CATCCTGCCATCTCTTGCGATCCCCTGTTGGCCATCTGCATGCGCATTTGCACGTCTTGGTTTATGGGTGCATTTGTCTTCCGCCAGACGTCTTCTCAAATTATGACTATTTCAGATCCTTCATCCAGCAGCGCGAGTTCTGAATGGGAGCCGTTCAGCATTACGCGAATTTTGTGTAATGGTGTGGCGTGCTCAATCTGCAAGGGGGTGGTGCTGGTTGCTGCAACAAGGGCTTTTGCTGGGGGTATGGTGGAAGGTGCTGGTATTCGCTGGGTGTGGGAATGCTCAACCGCCTCTTTCCTCAAGTCTGGGCTGATTGATAAGAGGTCAGATATCGTTAAATGGGGAATGGGGGTGTTAAGGATGGCCTCGTAGAGCCATTTAGCTGCATTGGGTGAGTTTGCCTTCGACTCATACCGAAAGGCAGGTTCTTTCTTCGTTTCAATAGTGGCTGGTTTGACGGCTTCGGAAGGAGTGGGAATGGAGACGGTTTGCATAGGAAAGGCACTATCTGGGGTGTTCGCCTTGGACTTGGACCGAGTGACGGCAAGTGCCTCAGCCGTCTGCTCATCCTTGTCTTCTTTGACTGTCACCATTACTGCGTGATTTTCTACGACTGGGTTGCACTGCAGAAAGTATGATTCAGAAATGAAAGTGGAACTGGGAATGTCCGATGGATTAGGCTGCGAGCTAGGCTCCTGACGAGGATTTTTGATGGGGATAGAGTTTGATCCGGTGGCAGGCGTTGAAGGGGCAGCTGACGCGTATCTAGTGTCAATGACCTGTTTGAACATCTCATTTCCGAGTCGTCTTATGCGCAATCGGTCTGGATATGCGAAGTACTGTCCGTCTCGAATAATTCGTCCTGCCCGTAGATATTCTCCAGCTGTTGAGCAGGTTCGCATGACGTGAGGTCCTCCACAAAAGAAACACGTAGGACCAGATGACTGTCCTGCAGAGGATGGAAGGGGAGGGAGGTAAGGTAATGAGTTGTGAGGGGAAACAGTGTTGACGAGCTGACGTGATTTCAGAGGTGCCCATGCTTGAGCAGCTGTGGGAGCTAAGCAGACGAGTTGGGTGTAACACCCCGAATATGCAATGTCGCCAATGTCAAGTCCATGCATTTTGCGTGCTAGAACTTCTACTTCGTCAATGGTGGTTTTGACTGGCGCTGATGGGGGTGGCGTGAACGCTACTCGCTTAGTCTGAACCTCCCTTTGTACATCCCTTTTCTCTTCTTCTTCATCTGAGTCCCACGGGACAGTAGCTTTGACTTTGTTGGTATGTCCTTTCTGTATTGTCCGGATTCTGGTTGCAATGGGTTCATTGAGGTCCGCGTTGAAGGCATCGTCCGAAAATACAAAATGTCCTGCCTTGAGGACTTCCTCGAAGTCAGTGGCTTCTGTTCTTGAGTAGTTGGGGTCCTTGAGTTCAAGTCTTCTATCAATGGCGCATTGAGTAACGGCTGGCAGTCCTTGCCAGTAATAACGATCCCACTCTTGCGTTGAGATTTTACTGTTGGCAACAAGCCAATGGGCAATAGGACGAAATTGTCGGTAGTATTGTAGCAGCTCGGTCTCCGTTGATATATCATTCTCGACATTGCCAATAACAACTCGTTCGAGATCGCGAATGGAATAATGCTGTCCCTTGGCCACTCCAGAGTATTGCGCTAAGATATTGGTTTTGAATACTGTGAAGTCTTTGCTTTCGTATCCCATTAATGTTACCCAGAAATGTTTTGTTTCAATATCGACATAGCGAACAATCAACTTGCATTTCTCAGCGTCTGTGAGCGCACATGCCATTGCTAAATCTTCGAATAGCTCAAAGAACTCAAGGAGTTCGGAGGTTTCGCTGTTGAAGGATGGCGCTTTGGTAGAGTTCACGCCGGGCATCGCATTGATGCCTTTAGAGGCATTGGACATGGCAGTTGGCAATTGAGGAGGTGCTAGAGGGGCTGCAAATGAAGGCGGGGGCACAATAGATGGATTGGGAATTATGGTTGCGGGGGTGGGCTGCTGAGTTGCGATTGCGGAAGTCTGGGTTGGCGGTAATGCTTTTCGAAGGATGAATTCGGGTTTTGGAATGGGAGGGACGGTCGACGTGGCAAGAGTCTTTGGGATGATTAGGGTCTCAGGAGGAACTAGCGGGAGTGTAGGCGTTTCAGGATTGAATACGGCCGGTCTAAGGGTGAAAGTTGGCTGAGCGGTTATAACGGGAAAGGATGAATTTGCGCATGGGGGAAGGTTCACAGTATCGTTGTCCGATAGAGACGATTCCGTCGGTCTGTCCATTGCGTCTTGGAAAGGTCTGGCGTGTTGATCTAATCTATAGCGAGCTGGGGTAAAGGCCGGGGCGTCAAGGAATGGTTTTGTTGTGTTGGGAGGGGAGGTACTAAGGGCATTGTAGGTGTTGGCACAGCTTTGGCGTTTCTTGGTTGAGGTGTTCTTCGAGGTGGCCAGCGCAGATGGCTCGTTCTGTTGGAGGCATAGCTGCGCGTTAGGGTGGTAGTACTTAGTAATTGCGAGAATTCTAAGTTGGTCAAAAGACCGGGTTCTAGAAGAGAACAATCAGCGGATCAAACTCGGGGTGCAAGGGGTTGCTCGAGAACAATTCCCCTCGCGGTGGGCTCCAAATTTGTAAGGCTGACTTATAGTTTGATGGGGAATTGGAACGAGAAGACGAGAAATGCGAGACGTGTCGTTTTACTACATGAAAGTGGGAACAATGAGAGAGTCTGTAAGGCTGGTGCTGTGAGGATCTTTTCGTGCTTGGAGCGGGGAATCAGAGTCTTGGATTCTGCTCTAGGTATGAGTGTACATGGGCGGTTTATATACGTTTTCGAGTACTTGGCTAGACCTGAATGGGAATACGAAGCATATGGAGAGGTGAAAATACTTCGGTGAAGCAAGGAGATCGTGGAGCGTGAGCACAAGGTGAGATAACGAAAGAAAGTGAAAAGGAGATGTAAAGGAATGTATCCGTGTGACTCGGATGCGAAGAGTGACGCTCTTCACATCAGTGTGTCACATGGATGAGTTCAAATGCGTGGCGATTTGATCATCTTCATTTTGAAGTGCAGTCAGGGCATAAAGGATATTGAATCCTTACACCAGATACAAACGAGCGCAGCCTGAGACAAATGAAGACAAGCGTAGATGTGTGCAAGCACGCGAAGTGGCCGCAACGAAGTGCCAAAAAGTAAATGTACACAACTTCACAAATAGATATGTAGATACTTGTCAGCGTACATACATAGATAAGTGAAAAAAGACGCACCTAGATTGCATGACCAAGCACAAATGAATACAAACGAATCTTGGGTGAATGAAAAGACAATCACCAGGCGCAAACGTGCACAGGACAGCAGAGACAAGTACAAACAAGTAGTACAGACAAGCAGCGACAGTTGCAGACAATAACATATATGTAGATACATGTCAGTGATGTACATGCAGAGATAAGTGAAAAAAGACGCACCTAGATTGCACGAACGACTCGGAGCGTGATTAAGCATGGACTCTTGCTAGGTGGTATTGAAGCCACATAATGGCCGATTTGACTCTTCAGATGTGAGGTGTCATCAGAGCAAGTCACTGAAATAGCAGCATCCATCTGGTGGGTGAATTAAGTACATAATATGTGCATATATGCGCATACACTCACCTTCTTGATGATGACAGCGAGTTCAGTTTTCTGTGGGTCGCCAAGTAGAGGTGGCTACTGACAATACTGATAACCTGGAACTGTGGGATAATTCAGAAGATGATGATGAAATGGAGGCAGAGCGTTTGCAATGCGCCATGGTGGTGGAAGAGAAAGATAAGATGTAAAATATGCGATGTGCAATATTGATATTGATGTGCTTGTCCTTGTTTGGCGATATTAGATTCAAGTTTCGGGCGCTTTTCGATCCAAGATAAGCATCAAGCAAAATGATAAAGGTACCTTGGTGCCCGGAGTGCCTATATTCAAGTTGAAGCAGTAGGTGCCGTCCAACGAGACTGCATTCTGGATGTCGTTAGTTGATAAAATGGGAATAATTGAAGGAGTGCTTGTTGAGGGAGTCCTTTAGGTACTTTACTTGGGTTCCACCCAGTTTCATCATATATCACTAGTATTACTCTATATAATACATTGGATGTATCTGATATCTGGCTGACAGCTACTCTACTAGATGACCTGTGTCTGACAGACAGTATGTTCGACGTCATCATATCGTGACGTTATTTCAAATGTCGAATATGACGGGTATATATAATTGGCGGCGTCAGAAATGTCAACATGTCATGTGATGTCTGGATTCGGTAATTTTGGTGATGTTCGGGCGTTGTCGTAGAGTAGCTCATCATCATTGCCAGGCCTCCCCAGAGGCAGGCAGGCTCTTGGTCTGCACCGCTCCACCGTGAAAGACAAAGAGAGAAACGCTCAAAGGCTTGGGCCGCTTGGCAATATAAATTTCCTTTTTAGGTATTCCTCGATGCTGTGTTTGACGACGGAAAAGTAAGGAAACCTCCTACAAAACGACTCGAACTCAGGGACACGAAGATCTTGCATCGGGCTACCAGAATCAAAATTTTGGCAGAGGTACAAACTGTGGTACAAAACCCACTACCTTAGTCTACCTATAAATAGGTAGCGCTGAGATTTCACATTGTACGCAACAGCTGTGATCAGAGCCCTCAGCCGCTGAGCTGCGGAGGCTCACCGCTCAGGTAGGCTCACTGCACTGCGCAGTAAGTCATTTCATTCTACATCACTACTGCGGTATAAATATACTGACAGTGATAAGATAGGCTTCATGGATCCAATAACAACATGGACACCATCATGAATGCCTTCACATACTACTAGTACGCTTTGAGGGACACAGCTTCGCACAGCAACACATCTACGGTCTTCATCTTATTCACTTCCTGCGCTCGACCCCACCCAGAAACATCGTTGGCCTGTCTCCTGTGCGATTCTGGCTTAGTGGTCAAGTGACATAACCGACCATGAGCATATCTCTGGCCAAAGCTGCATTCTTAGGTTTGTTTTTTGAGACCTTATTGTACGGTGCATTACCTACTGGTAGAAGAGTGATGGTGTCGGATCTCACTATTTAAAATAGGCGTGTTCTTCACTTTGTACTGGTTAACGCTGTTCGTCCTCTTCAAGAAAACTGGCATTCAACGGCGACTTCTTATCCCAGTGGCAACCTTGCTGCTCTGCATCGCAACGGCCATGAGTGTGATCAATCCTCTTGGGGGAATAAGTTTAACACGATCACTTTCAGCATCTAATCATAGATTTTATTCAAGGGTTAGAGGCATTCATATTCCAGGTGGATACGATTGGTGCCGATGCCTATTATTCCGACATGGCTTCACTGCTGAATCTCGTATTGATATCACTTTATGTCACGCAAACCATTCTTGCTGATGGTGTACTTGTGAGTTTCACCACCCGAGATGTTCGCTCTCCTCTGAGTAGGGTATTAGATTTGGCGAGTTTACGCGTTCAACAACGGAAGCCTCTTCATTGCCATTCCTGGTTGTATCGTTCTGTCGGCCACTGCGGGTGAGTATTCCGATAGGTGTTATTCGATCATCTTATTCCATGGCATTTTTAGCCATTGGGTACTATCTTATTTGGCCCTTCTCTCGGACCAGTCTGATGTTCAATATCCCTGCTGCTACTTCTGGGTGTATCGCCACTTTCTATACATTGACCATGTTTACCAGCGCCACCTGTACCAGTATGTCTGTTGCACCAGATCTGCAGGCACCTGATGACCAGAACAACGCAGCTTTGATTGCCTGGCGCATCTATCGCAATCGCCGTTTCATGCCAGGAGGGCTTGGCATTTTTTTACCCGTCTTCATCGTCATCATTGAGAGCGGCCCTTTATATACTACGTGTGTCCTTGCACTCCTTGCAGCATTCTTGATCAAATCCAATGGCGAATATGTTGTGTTGGGCGTTATCGCTCCTACTGTGGTAAGCTGATTTGGCTTGGACATAAACTGCTCATAAGATTTTTCTTCAGGGGATCATATTCTGCCTCATTATCCTGCAAGTGCATTTCAACGTAGGCGGCAGGCCCCCCACCGAGCAACCTGCGCAAACGAGGAGCATTTGATTTAGAGGGCGAGGTGTCCGGGACGTCGACTCCAGCAGGGAACCGATGACTATGCTCACCATGCAGGAGTCGGAGATCGTTCAATCTGACATAATGGGAAGAAAGAATGGCCAACTGCTCTCGGGGGGTTTCTTTCAATTGTAAATTGGTCACGTTCAATTCTATGCAACCTTTCCATCTGCGTTCAGCTAGGTTGCCGATCCTGTTTTCGGAGGACGAGACAGACAATGGTCTCACTACATCAAACATTATTGTACCAGGCGCTATACCCCCCATCTTTACACTATATATTCATCATTGGCTCGCTGAAGTTATTTATTGCATTATCGTATTTTAGAACAGACAAATGATGTCCTTCCATCCTGGACATGTTGCAGGAGATGACTGACCGACTGAAGAAAGAAGAACGTGATCTGAGCCATACTAATGTGGATCCTTCCACTGAAGCTGTGTTACCTTTGACGATCCGACTATCTGCAGGATGAATCACTGTCCGTGTAAGTAGTGGTGGTGCATGCTCTGTCCATCCATGTAGCCTTCCTGAAGTCAGCTGTTGTACCTACATATATGTGTTGATCTATGACATGAATAAAGCGAGGGGAGTCGGAGCCACACTGACAATTACATAGCGCCCAGGGTGCGGCACTCACACTCTGGAGCCTTACTAATGGCCCCCAAAATCATCTCTTGCCTGACATATTCCGCTGGGATGGCCCTGAACGCTGCCTAAAATACCAAGAGCACCGTGGCCACTGAGCTTGATCAACGCTGATGTGACTTGACCCATCTGTCAGCTCGGATATCCGGGTAGTGAATGTTAATCTCTGATGATGGAAGTGCTATGGGTGAGTTGATCATTACTAATGGCGTTTTATTCGAATCGACTGAGTGATCAACACATCGCTTTGTCAATCGGAAGCAAACTGCTACCAGATGAGTTGACCAATACTAATCGTGTCGTGTCTAAATCGTCCAAGTGAGTTAACTGATGAACTCGCACGATTTTAATCCGGTTCCGCAGCGCCCTAATTTCCTGTTTGCGTCGTCGAGAATCAAATTGCGAAGTCAGTTTGTGGATCCGAGTAACCGATTCTGAGGTGGGCCTATACAGCTGGTAATTCTTTCAAGGCTTGTAAAGCCAACTCCCCCATCTCCGGGCGCTAGGAGAGGGAACACCGCTTCACCGCGTCCTACTAACGCACACACACTCTCAATTAATATCACACCCTCCTTCAGCACATACCGACGACCTCACCCCTGACAACTCCAGCGGTGAATTGGCAGAAGCACCAAGAATTGCATGACACTACAATCAAACCGCAGAATATTCAAACGTGGTCACGACTTCAAGGAGCCGTGAGAACGTCTAAGCTTAAGCACCACAGGTTGAGCAAGTACAACTACCAGAAGTCGAGGCTCCATCGAGTTCGACCGTTTAGCACTACACAGCAGCAAGGTAAGAAACCACCAATTGAGGCGTACCAGTCTAAAGGCAGGACCCGAACCGGTAAGAAATTCTGACTTATTATGGCGGCGACTGCAGCAGACGCAGACGGAGCGAAACGACAACAGGAGGGGAGACGGGATCAGACGGTAGTATGGAATCACAGGAGTCCCAGTAATTTAAGAAGTATGGCTGCTGACGAGAGAAACGACCGTCTATCACAGGCCGTCACGGCATGAAATTTGGATTACAGTTACAGCTGTTTGTGTTGAGAAAATGAAAATCACCGAGCCATGCCAGTACCACACTATAATAAACTGTGAACACACCAGCTATAATCAGTTTCGCTCAAAGTGACGGATGAGCTGATTATTGAGAGAGAGATGCCAATAGATCCTTGTTTCTTGGAACGAACCTGCACTTGAATGGCTTAGGGTGCCTTTGGGTGTGTAAGAATACGATTTAGAGTCACAGATTGATGAGTTACCGAATTGGACCAACACCCTTGAACTCTGCAGAAGGGGTAATCTGTTCCCCTCTCTCATCTAGCGGTTTAGCGATCGTGAACGCAGCAAGGGTACAAGAAATATTGAGGTATAATGATGCTTTGGCAAAATGGATTCCTAAAATAGAAGGCACTCATTCAATTACAATCTGAGTGTTGACTGGGGCAGTGTTATGCGAATGACACGCACCAGGGCATGCACGACGCCCGAACCCAAAGACGAATTTGTGCGGGTCCAATTGGGGAGAGGGACCGAGGAAGTGTTCGGGCCTGAACTCCAATGGGTCGGGGTACGTCTCTTTATCACGTGACATGGAAAAGATGTTTGCTATGACGATGGCACCCTTAGGAATTCGGTACCCTTCATAGACGTCTTCCTTCATTGCGTAGTGGTTGAGCCCTGGGTTACTGAGAGTGAGCAGGAACGAAACCACAAAAAAAAGAATATGCCTAACCTCGCGGTGCCACGGGTGCCCATCGGAGGATCTCCTGGATGAGCGCTCTGATGTATGGAAGCTTTTCTCTATCCTTGAAAGTGGGAAATCTGTCTTGGCCCACGACAGCATCGATCTCTGCCTGCGCATGCTTCTGCACCTCGGGATAGAGCATCATCGCCAGAACAAAGGACGTGGTGGCTGCTACTGTCTGTTCATGTAATTGATTGTTTCACAATGCATGAGGGAAGGTGCAAAAAAAATCTTACGGTATCTGCTCCCCCGGCATAGATCCCCTGGCTGCACCACTTGATGATTTCTTCTTGCTCGGCACTGACTGTGGACCCATCCTCCCGAAGGAGTTGTTCTGAGACGAACGAAGGAGCATAGTTATCACTTTTCTAAGCGGCGATGACAATTGTTAGAGCTTCTTATGAAGGAAGTAACAATATCGCATAGCAAAGCTTACTATTTGCTGTTTCGTCCAGTCAAATGGTATGGTATCAGTCCTACTTAGCTTTTGCCCGAGGTCGAAGGCCACGCGTTTAAAACCTGCGCCTGGGAACCATGATGGTACGAAACGCACTCATAGAAGATTGGCTGGCTTAGCTTTATAATAACTCAGAAAATGAAAAGATGACCTACAGGATGGTATCACTTCGACCAACCAACGGCCAGGCCGGGACAGTATAGCAGACATGGCAATGCTTTCTTGCAAGATGCCAATGAGATAATCATCATTCTTAGTGACCTTCCAGCCATATGCGAGATTAAGGACAATGGCTGCCGCGTTCCTGCACCTCCGATGAGAAGCGAAGAAAACAAACCCAATCACGATTTTTTTTACCTTCTGATGTGCGCAAAAAATTGTTCAGGGTCCTTGTGCAGACCATCAAGCAGCACTCGAGATTCTTCGATTTGCAGCGACTGGTACCTTTGTATATTGCGGGGACTCAGACTTGCTCTGAACATCTTGCGATAAGTCTTGAAATACCGGTGATTGAAAGATATGTTGAACGCAGTCAGCATGCGCTTCGCAAGTTCTGTGTGCATCCATAATCTTGGACGATCGGAATACGTAGTGGCGCATGAATCGAGCAATTCAGTGGCTGTTTTTAGGGAGCTGAGCACTATGAACTGCTGGCCAGGTACACGGAAGGAGAGGATGGGCCCTACGAGAAGTAGGTTAGCAAGTGTCCCAGAAAGCAGAGAACTGGAGATTATGCACCATAACTTTCCGCCCAAGTGGCGTACATCCGCCAAGACTCCTGCTTGGGTAGTTGACGTGCATTTCCAGTGAAGAACTTTGGATGTGGCCCAGGTGGTAGTGGCAATCTACTGCGTCGACGGCTGTAGAAGTAAACTGCGAATGCAGTGACAAAGAGGACGATTATACCAGACAACATTCAACAGATAACAGGTAGGTCGACTATCGGCTTGAGCTCGCTTCTTTTTAAATCCATCACCTTAGCCGCGCCCCTCGGACCCATTAGCATCATAGAAGCAAGAAGACACACTTTCAATGAGTCACGGTCCGACTTGACTCCAATGGAGCGCGCAACTTCAAGTTGTGGTGACGAATCGTGTCGTGTCCCTGAGACTCCGAATCTGCAAGTGAGTCAGCTCTCAAGATTGAACAACCTCAGGCTGAACCCGAGTAAGTACTACAGTATAAGTACAGAGTAAGAAAATCGCATGGATAGTCAACTTTTTATACCACTTGCCTAATAAGATGATGAGTACTATGAGATATCATGAATGAGCTTGACTCTTGATCATGCTGATGACTCAACGACCCATCAATCAGCTTAAAATATTAACCTCTCGGGATATCATATGACCAAGGTGCTATGAGGTGCTATGGATGAATTGATCATTACCTGGCGTCTTGTTCAAATCGTCCAAGGTACTTGCACCATCAAATCACTTGGTCAATCTACCAGGCAGATAATTTAATTACATAATACTAATTGTCATGTCCTAATGATCAATCATCCAAGTGAGCGAGAGCCATTCCACTCAGACAAGGACTCGTGTGACTCTTAGATGATTTGAACATGAGAGAACTGAGTGTAGAGCGATTCATATATACGAGATCGTAGTGGCGCCTGTGCGCCAGTCCTCGACCCCAGTTGGTAGTATGCCTACACATCAATCTGATTCAGTCTCGAGAACATCCATTAAATTTTGAGTGGATGAATTACGAATACATCGCGAGTCACTGTATCCAATATTGTTATGAGGAAATGGAAACGGCGCTATCATAACTAACACATGACGAGGAGCATGTCGGCTGGCCGGTCTCCACTCGAAACAAGAACTAGTCCTCACACCCGAAAAATCACATGACAGATGGACAGCCTTGCTATCATTCAGTCCTTTCACCACGACAATGACAGGCACCGTGTTCCCGCGGTAAGTGGACATGGACCGGGTACTGTGTCTGTTGCTGTAACCGAGTTAGCCCAATCACCAGCTGAGTGTGGTGCGTCCCAGACGGTAGTCAGGATGGTACAGGCTGGCACGGACACGTCCGTGCGTTGATTAAGAGAAGCCTTCAAATATTGTCAACGTGACATGACTACAACAGGCATCTCAACCCCTCACCCACTAAGAGCCCGTTCAGCAACCGAAATTTGAACGAAATTTGCCAACCCAAAGTATTGGAAGTGTCTGAGATGTAAGCGGAGTCAGAAACCAATCGGTAAGATTGATCGTTATTGATATGTTATCACAGTATAACATGGATCCAGTACTCACTATGCAGCTGCTGTTGAATCAGCCGCTGTTTGCTGACCCAATACTTGCTAACAGTCTTATTCCACAGGGACCTCTCATTACTGCTCAGCTGCTGCCAGGAGCTCGACAAGCAGATCAGAGTCGCCAGGCGCGAGCCGCAGTCCGCGAACGCATGCTTCGTTACATCGCTCTTCTCGTCAATATACTGCTCGCCGCCATAACACAAGTCTTCCTGCAACAAATCCCGGACGAGCCTGAGCCCTATCACACCTCCGCGCTGACAGGGGAAGAGTGGGTGATAGAGCTGATTGTTGGCCACCCAGAGTGCATTCGCTGCGAACTTGGCGTAAATGCCCACATCTTTGAGAGTTTGATCAATGACCTTCGAGGCCTTGGCCATACGGATTCACGATACGTCTCGCTAGAGGAGCAACTGGCCATTTTTCTATACACGTGTGTGACAGGATTGACTGTCAGACACGTCGCGGAACGATTTCAGCGATCAAACGCTACAATTTCTCGGTACGTTGTATGATCTACTAGTATATTTCACACCTGATACTACTAACTCAACTCTTTTGTAGGTATTTCCGCAAAATGCTAGACATTTTTGCATCCAACCCTTTCTACACTACGCATGTACACCTTCCTGCTGAAAACGCACCCATCTCACGCACAATTCGCGACAACCCGAAACGTTGGCCATACTTCCGCAATGCTATCGGAGCAATCGATGGAAGTCACATTCACGCATTTCCCCCCTCATCCACCCGCCACCTTTACTATAACCGAAAAGGCTTTGTCTCTCAGAACTGTCTCTTCATATGCGACTTCGACCTCAATTTTACGTTTGCTTTGACTGGGTGGGAGGGGTCTGTTACAGATGCGTGACTTTGGGAGATAGCGCACAACGATGGCTTAAATATCCCCCGGGGGAAATATCTTCTTGCTGACCTTGGGTTCCCATCATGCCGGGAGCTATTAGTTCCTTACCGTGGTGTTCGCTATCATCTGGCCGAGTGGGGTCGCGCCAGCGTCAGGTAAGCTTCTAGCTCATTTTTTCTTTGTTCGGCTCACTCAATACCATTTTGTTTTTAGACCTGAAAACAAGGAAGAATTATTCAACCTTCGTCACGCATCTGCACGTAATGTGGTCGAATGCATTTTCGGTGTCGTGAAGCGACGCTTTCGGATCCTTCTAATATCCCCTGAGTACAAAATCGATATTCAAGCCCGCATTCCCACAGCGCTTTGCGCTATTCATAATTACATCCGCGCTCATGACCCAGATGAAGCGCCTCTGCCACAGAGAGCTGTCTTCAATGACAACCCTGCTCATCAAGGACTCGGACAACTTCACAACGTCGATGATCACGCTCCGAATGACAGCGACAATGACGACATAAGCGCAAGTGTATTTCGAGATCGCTTGGCGACGCAGATGTGGGACGACTATCAGAGTATTTTACGCGAGCGAGACTTGTTAGATGTATATCACTTCTTAGATATTGACGAAGACTTGGAGGACGAGGAAGACTTAGACGAGTACTATGGGAGCGATGATGAGAATGATGCATAGATTCGTAGCAAACTTCTACTAGTACATAACAATCAATGGAAGCTATGGACGTGAGAAGATAAGCGATACAAATGAGCAACACAAAAACAAGTGATGCGAAGATGATTCGTGATGATGGCAACATTACAACAGCCCCAAATCCTGCCTGTTTGCCTGCCGGATCATAGATTGCAAGAACCCCAGACGCCTCTCAGGCTGGATGACCAAGTAAGAACTACATATTGTCGGGCTCCTCATGAATAGGTTCATGAGGACAAGTGCATCATCTTCTGATAAACCCGGTTCATTTTGCATCATGACGAGGGCCCTCGTTCTTTCGTCCGACACCCTGAGTCTCATCAGTAGTGGTGGTCAGCGTCGTTGTGAGACTGTCTGTGAGACTGGTTTATGGAGCCCTGGAGGTTCATGAACGCAGCAGTGCTGGCAGCCTCCTTGGCAGCCTTCTTGCTTGTGCCTGCATGCGAACTAGAAGCGCCACGTGAGATGCTGCTGGGTGCCGCTGACCGCCGCGGCTTTTTTGAAGATGATGCCACCGAAGTTTCGATGGTGGAAGGGGGTGCCGAATGCGAGAGAATCATGTCGGAATGAGAACATTTTCCTGTGCTAGAGGAAGAAGTGGGGGCAGGGGGGATGATGAATGAACTTCCAGCTACAGGTGGAAGGGCAGACTGCGTTCTCATCCCATCTAAAGTCATTGACACCCCCCGTGCTATTGCCAGCCATGTTGCCGACATCACCATACGTGCCTGGGGGGGCAGCCATGCTCATCTCGGCAGCCACTGGTACCTGTGCGGCTAATGAAGCCGGGTTATAGGCGGCCGTCCCTTGTGCGCCACTACCGCCTGGTAGAAGGTCTTGCATGGCAGCATAATGTCTCCATCCGCTATTTTTGAATGACTTCATGGTCTTAAGCAGAAGGTGAGCACCAGACCGGAGACCAAAGTGTAGTTCAATACATACCTTATTGCTGTTACTGGCGTTGATATACTCGTCCCACATGCTTTCTGCGGCTTCCCCCTGAATATTGGCACCGTTCTCGTTGTCCCAGTGACATCCTGATCGAGACCGGCGATATTTATCGATGGCGCTGTATATCTGTTTCAACTATAATATGTTAGTGATGGTGGCTGAGCGGTGTGAGACTCAGATGGATGTGACATACCGATGCCCATTTGTTCTTGCAGTGCTCCATTGTCTTCACAGGGCCCCGCTTCCATAGTGAAGCAATATCTTTTGAAGCTGCAAGGAGTGTCGCATCTTTGAAGGTGCTTGATCCTGCGATCTTGGATTTCTGTGTAATGAGATACTCCAGGAAGCGATCGGTCTCCTCTTCAGTCCAATAGGCCTTCTCTTTTGGTGCTTTGTCTTCTGGTTGCGCCATCTCTAGAAGTTTAAACTGAGTGCAGATGATGAAAGCAGCGATAGTCGCATAGATGCGCTTTCGCTGCTGAGGATCGACTTGATATCGACTGATAGTGGTCATGGTCGGAGGGAGAGTATTTTCAATCTCCGTCATCGGCTTCTATGGTGCCGCTCCACCATACTGTCACACATTGGCAAATTTCGTTCAAATTTCGGTTGCTGAACGGGCTCTAACAAAGGCTCTCAAAGAAGAAGCTTTCGTCTCCCTGGTTGAATCGGCAAGCCTGTATAATGGTCCAATTGAACATCAGCGAGGTTATTTATCCCGTTGTTCGTGCGTATAAGCGGCAGACGAAACTATCGAGAACTTATCACTGATGTGAATAGGAGACGATAAACAACGATCTGTGGGTCTTTCGGCCTATCAGCCAATAGGAACGTATCACTTTGTACTGTGATAATGCGCTAGAAGTGCAGCTCCCGTCTGATGACTAAGTTGTGAATATGAGCGATGATGAACAAAGTATTGGAGTATCGAATTGCCATACCTAGGATGAAACCTCGCTCAATGGCCCCTCAGCGCGGCTGGACCTCTGCTGTATGAGATTCTGGAAACTCTCAAGCCTTTGCTCTAGACGTTGCTGCTGCAATACTAGTACTTGCTGCAACCGGGTGAGCGACGCCGACACTTGAGGTGTGTACGTGCCAGCTACTCGTGTCATGGCATAGGCATGGCGGGCGGGCGCCAGTCCCGGACTGGTTATTTGCTCCTTATGTAATTCACACCGTCATAGCTAACGGTAAGTACAGGGAGTCCGTAATCAAGCCAAACCGCAGGAGGCACGACGCAAGCGTCCACGAACCAGGACCTATGCGGTAGCTGTTGAAGGCACCCCTGCGAAACAGAGCGGGTCGACGTAGAGTGACCGTTGAAGGACATGTGCCATTACAACGAAACAGGCAGCGCCCGTTGAAGGAAGTGTTGGATCAGTGAGAGTACTAGTAGCCGTCGAGGGCTGCGTGGAGAGGAACCAAGGTCACCGAAAGATGCAAGCAGTATTGGTGATTTAGAACCATCATGTCAGAACATGTCCCCGCAAGTACCGCCGCTTTCTTTGTAGTAAAAAGAGACGGCAGGGGGCAGCCCCCGGTACTGAAATTAGGAAGAGAGAAGGAACTGCGTGCACGACAAGGAGTGTGGCCCAGATCGAACCAAGAGATGATAGTATCAGATTAGTACTGAACGTAGCGAGCAGAGGCGTCAAGGGAGACTTAGCAAAGAAACGAGGCCAGCAAAGTCGGGAGTCAAGAAGGCTTGGCTATATAAATTACCTTTTTAGGTATTCCTTGAATTGCTGTGTTTGACGTTGAGGAGGAGTCGGTACCGTTCCGCAGCCAGGAGCATAATTTCCTGTTCGCGCTTGTCGAGAATCAAATTACAAAAAGTCGGTCCAGTTAAACCGACTTTTGATTTCGGACTATTTAACTGGCAATGGCACCCAACTTCTTTTCAAAGCTTGTCAAGCCAACTTCCCCTCCTCCGGGTGGTAGTAAAGAGAACGGCGTTTCACCGCGTCCTAGTACAACGCGCCCACATTCCCAATCAATATCACACCCTCCTTTATCACATACCGACGACATCACCCCTGACAACGCTAGCGGTAAAGGCAGCGTAAAGATTGGTATAATTCCACCTTCTCCTCGTTCAGCCCTTTTGGCTTTTCCTGAACCACCCTCGCAAGACTACACTCCTTCTGAAACATCCCAACAGCGACGCGCTCGCTCGCAGGATAGGATGGTCCAAGATAGACATGCTGTTTCGTTCGCTGCTCGTCCAATGGCGAGCGATTCTTCATTGTCCATAGAAGACATGCTTCCAACCCCAACCCCCTCTCGCTCTCGTCCCGAACAATGGAAGAAAACAAGCGCTGATGGCTCTCCAAGAAGTTCTCGCCAGCTCACTCCTGCGTCATCCACAGGCAACCTGAGAGCTTTCGTAGACAAGCGTACCGGCGCTACTCATGACTCCCGCACATCCACCCTACCCACCAAAGCCGTTGAAAAGTCTCTTTCAAAGCAATCACTCCGTAGTCGAACACAGCCTCCCGCTCCACTCGATTTCGATAACCGCACGGAGACTAATCGTGGCGATACAAACAGGCCAGGCCGCCACGAGCATAGTGGTGTCATAATAGAAAATGGCCTCGTGGACTCACCCACCGCAACAACCCATGCTAGAAAGAGCTCTCAACCCCAAGAACTTTTGCCTGCTCTCAACGACACCGACGCAAAATCCATTCATTCCGTAACAAGCTCAGATTCGAAGAAGAAAGGTTGGCGTCGCCCTTCTGTAACTACTCCCACTCGTAAACCTCCTGGCGCCGCTTCTGCTAGTCTCGCAATGACCAACACCGCCTCTCAAATGCCCCCTGTCCCTCCAGTCCCAAAGGTTCCCCATGGAACAGTCAAATCAAACGCCTCTGCTCGTTTTGCAGTCCAGCACGCTGCTTCCGCCTCCATTACATCTATGCCAAGCTCTGTAGATACTCGCACCAGGCAGGTCTCATCTAGTCGAAGTGACTTTTCCGATGGTCAGACAGATACATTTGCTTCCAGTGAAGAAAGCGAGGCGTCAGACGACGGACTCGACATCAACGAGGACATTCCCGTCACGGGTTTCGCCGTTGCGAGCAGCAAACGTAATGCAGATTTCCATGAGCTGTTCCCTAGCATCCCCGAAGGCGACTATCTCATCGAAGGTTAGTCATTCTGTCGCACTGTCAACGTCTTCTTCATATTTTGTAGATTATGGGTGTGCGTTACAACGCGAGATCCTCATTCAAGGCCGGATATACATCTCGGAGAATCATATATGTTTCCACGCCAACATCTTCGGCTGGATCACCGACGTACGTCCCCTGCCCATCTTCATGCTCACTCTCTAACCATACCTTCACAGCTCTCAATCCCAATATACGAAATAACGGCTCTCGAGAAGAAAATGACAGCATTCGTCATCCCCAACGCCATCCAAATAACCACCCGACAAGCAAAATACACCTTCGCTTCCTTCCTCTCCCGAGACACGACATATGACGTCATCGCAAACATCTGGAGACTCGCCCGTCCTGAGGATACGTTCACCGATAGCCTCGCCAGCTCCTCTGGTCATATCGTCTCCCCGTCAAGTACTTCTGATATTTCAGGTCCCGTGACTATGAGCGAAGGGAAAGAAGCAGCTCCTCTGGCTCGCGCAAACAAAGTAACCCATTGTGCATGTTCGAAGAATGGGGGACATCTTAATGAGACCGCGCTTGAAACTGTGTTGCCCGGAACTCCGGATAAGATCTATAATTTGATGTTTGCCAGCGGGTTTATCAAGGATTTCATGCGGGTAGATCAGAAACTCATAGGGTAGGCTCTCTCTCTCTCTCTTTACTGAATCGTACTGACTCCCCATTTACACAGACGTGCAAATATCAGACTGGACTCCCATCGGTGACAACTCCAACCTTTTAGCGCGCAACATGTCATATATCAAGCCCCTGAACAACAGCGTTGGCCCGAAGCAGACAAAATGCGAGATCCACGATGAAGCTTTGACGTGCGATTTTGATAACTATGTGGTTATGCTTACAACGACGAGGACGCCTGATGTGCCCAGTGGGGGCGTGTTCTCTGTGAAGACGAAGACGTGCGTTATGTGGGCGAGTGCGATTTCCACACGGGTGATCGTTACTACTCAGGTGGAATGGACTGGGAGGAGTTTTATCAAAGGTACGCCTCCCCACAATCTTATAACGATACTCATACTCACATATAATACAAGGCCTCATCGAAAAATCAGCAATCGACGGCCAAAAAGTATACCACTCCGACCTCGACAAAGCCATGCGTATGTACATCCAAGAACACCAATCCGAATTCATTCCCGCAGGAATAGACCCAATGGCCGTAGCTCCTATCGAGCCCCTAAGCCCCGTCCTCGAACTCACCTCACCCCTCCTCACCCGTTCCCTCCCAGGAATCTCAGATTCTGAAGCCCGTAAAGCGCGCGAACACGACCGTAACAGACGAGGTCTTCAATGGGCGTATGATACATTCGACGGCGCGTATGGCGTTGCTAAGCGATCTACGGTTGGGGCGCTGGAACTTGTCAAGGAAGCTTGGGAACAGAGTTCGTCGATGACGATTTTATATTTTGTTATCGTTATTTTGGTGTTTAGTAATCTTTGGACGTTGGTGCTTGTGGGGAAGAGGGAGGAGGCGGGAAGGAGGAAGGAGGCGAAGAGGACAGAGGAGAGGGAGAAGTGGGTACAGGAGGTTGTTACTGGGCTTTGGGAGGAGATGGCGGTTGGGAGGGCGAGGGGTGGTGGTGGTGGTGGGTCGGTGCTTTCAGGTGCTGTGGGCGGTGATTGGAGATCAGAGGTCGATGCTATCACTACGACGCTCAATTCTGTCGAGGAGCGGGTACGGCTCATACGGGAGAGTCTGGAGGCGCTGAATTGACCTGTCGATGTTGGGGACGCTTGATCATGTTCTTATTTCTTAACCTAGGATCCACTCGCATAATATTATTAAGTTGATCGATTTATCGCTTTAGGGGTGCAGTACATGCGTTCAAGGTAAGGCCAACAAAAATGAATCCTTGCAAAAAAAATGACATGGGTATCAAACCGACCGATTATTGGGGATGCAATACGATTGAAATCCAAAGCAAAAAAACAGTAATGACAGAAAAACGCAATCAATTAGAAAACGTAAACGAGCACCCGAGGTCAAGTCCATCTGTAATGGTAATGGAGCAAAAGAAGAAAACCGGTCGCGATTCTAGGTCGCAAAACCATCCTTTGATGAACTGATAAAAATTTGGAAAAAGGGGAATGGCAAGGAAAGTGCTAGTAAGTAATTGTGAGGCGATGCATAGTGATAATGGGTTTTGAGATGAAGGATACAAGATTATGTTGACTTTGACTTTGTGAATGCAGCTGCAGCAAACAGAAAAGAAAAGAAAAGGGGAAAGGAACGAGGGAGGGGACCGGGCCTGCGGTCGTCTGGACCGTGATCATTGACGAGGAGAAGCGAAGAGGGACAGCATTTTCTCTGCGCCTTCTTTATACTTCTTTAGCTTTTTGTTCTTAAGCTTCTCGGGCTCCTCGGCGTGAGCAGCCGAGGGTCCCCTCGTCGATTCGGGTGAAACAAGGGTTTCCGGTATCGTATCACCATTTGATTGATCCGACGATAGACTTTCGCCCACCGACGTCGCTGACTCTTTCGATTTGAGCGACGGTGACATTGGTGTCGAACTCGTGCCCGAGACGGAAGGCGATAGGAGGCCACTTGATGCAGATGATAGCGTAGCGGATGTGGAAGGAGTGAGAGTTTTGACTGTGGGACCTGATTTGGCGGAAAATGAGGATGGAGGAGACTTTGCGCGGAGGAACTGTCTGGGCGTTTTTCGGAACTTCAATCCAGGTGTACGTCCACGACGGTGCTTCTCTGACGGACTGGGTGAATCTCCTAGGTCGGTACCGTGAATATCAGACTCTTTTGACATGCCAGAAAATGAGCGTCCGCCCATCCGTTGCGAAGGGGTAGATGCTTTGCGGAATACGGCCAGCCGGTAGCGGTCGACGACGCCGCGAGCAAACAGGCTTGTGCCCTTGGTGCCATTGCGATCCTCGCCATCTCCAGCTTCAATGAAGTCCCAGTCCTCATCCTCCTCTTCCTTCTCCGTACCCTCTTCATCAGGGCCATCAGAAAGGAAGCGGTCAAGGGCAGGGACACCAGACTTCTCTCGGCGATTACGCGATGAACGATGGGCGCCCGGCCGAGTAGCAACTGGTTTCGTGATCTTCGGCTTCATATCCTTTGCCGGTGGAGTAGGCACAATCTCTTCAGGCGGTGATGTGGGAGTAGTCGGCACTGGCGATTCTGTGCGAGGAGTGGCTATCTGCTCCGATGGTGTAACAGGCTCAACCGGCGTTGCAGAGTCCTCTTGCGGCTGGACGATAATCTCGGCGGGTTGCTCCTCTGGCAAGACTTGTGGTCTCGCTTCAGGAGTCTTCGGCTCTGGAGTGGCTTCATTAACAATAGGAGATATCTCCTCGACCTCCGCTTGCACAGGGGTATCCACGATATCTGCAAGAACGATAACGTCTGGTATCTCTTCTTCATCCGTTTCATCTCCTTCAGATTCTCCAGATGCGTCGTCGTCGTCATCATCGTCCAGGATAACAGAATGCCGGCCCTTGAACGAGTACCCATCAAAGACATCGACACTCTCGTCATTTGGATGCACTGATGGGCTACGCGAGTGCGAGGGCGTCGTGTTCGAGTCTTCGCCATCGCCATCAGTGGGCTCGGCGTCTGTCTGGTCGCGGTCCGTATCGGTCTGTTCCTGATCATTCGGGTCGTCAATAACTGGTTCCATGTCCAAGAATGTATCGTCGAAGTTCTGGGTATCACTGGCATTGGATGGGTCGATGGGTGGGATATAGGGGGCTAGAGGGACGGCCTAGTAAGTCAATCCGTCTATCACAACAGCGAATGTGCCTCACGTATGTAGCGCTTGTAATACACGTGCGACCAGTCACTGAAAGAGAGGAATTCAGGATTAGGAAGGATAGGTTCGTAATTAACTCACATCATGGAGAAGTACGGGTGCCGCTTGATCCGCGGCTCGCACATCCTAAGTGCAGGATTTCGTTGCAGGAGCTGCGTATGGGCGACTATAAATGACTTGCGGTCATAATAAAAAAGCGTCACCCACCCCTCTAATCAAGCTCTTAGTGTCCTGGTCAATCGCTCTATCCTCAGGGAACTGTAGTTCGTCCTGCAGGACTCTGACATACATGTCGGAGTGGTTATTTGCCCAGAATGGCGTCTGGTGCGCATATCAGTAACCGCAGAAGCTTATAGTCTAGACACCTACAATTCCTGTCAACATCTCATAAAGCATCGTGCCGAAACTCCACCAGTCGACCTCGTAACTGTATGGCAGTCCTTGGATGACCTCTGGAGCCAAATACTCTGCTGTGCCACAGAAAGTCGTCGTCGAATCCATAGGACCAACAGTCGGCCCATGCCATCCAATAGCAAGATCCTGGGACTTCTCGCCCTTCATCCAGGGCGGCGTCGAGGGCTCACTGCCCGGAGCTGAGTAAAACTCGCTCCTCGTCGCCGAGGGAGTAGGAGGCGCAGTCATCGCGGCTGCACGGCGTGGGAACTCTTTTGAAAGACCAAAGTCCGTCAGCACAATATGCCCATCTGCACCAATAAGGATATTTTCGGGTTTGAGATCGCGGTAAATGACACCGGCTGCATGCAGGCCCTCGACACCCTCGACAATCTCCGCGGCATAAAATCGTGCACGGTCCCGACCCAGCCTACCCCAACGTGCAAGCTGCGTGGCAAGGTCCCCACCTGGGTGGAAGTCCTAGGATAAAACGCCATTAACGTGCGTTTCTGACTATATGAAGAAGCATACCATGACTAAAAATAGATTCTCCTTGTCATGAAAACTCCACCAAAGCTTGACAACGAATGGGTCCTTGGACTCTGCTGCCATCCGCTTGAGTACAGCTTGTTCTGTCAACGTATGCTGCAGCTCCTGGTGCGCCAAGACATGGCGTTTCGTGATCGCCTTCAGGGCATACAGATCCGAGCTCGTCTTGTGCCTCACAAGCAAGACTTTACCTGCGCAGCCCTTGCCAAGGACACGCATCATCTCGAAGTCATCAATGACGACTTTGCGCTTCGAGCGCTTCTTGAGCTCCTTGTTCGGATCGGTGGATTTTGAGCGCTTCTTACGTCCCCCAGTGTTGGTGCTGATCGATGAATCATCGCCTGTTTGGGAGCTTGTGCCATCCTGCAGCGTCGAGGAGGTGTACACTCGTGAGAGACGGCTGGATTTATCGGGATCGGCAGAGTGGGAGCGAGGTATCCGGGAAATTTGGACATCTGCGACAGGTGTAGAGACAGCTGTCTCTTCCTCATCGGCCGCGTTAGGAGCTGCTAGTTCTGTCTCTATGGGTGCAGGAACTGCTTCATCCGCAATGGCAATGTCCTCGGCTGCCCCAGTATCAGGAGCCTCCGTAGCAGGAGCTTGACCTTCCGCCTGAACAGGAGCAGATTCCGCGTCCTCTTCCTCCTCTTTAATCCCCTCCTCTCTCAAGTCAGCAACGCTGAAGTCATTCAAGTTGATTTCGCTCGCAGTACTAATGCCATCCGCCTCGATTTCGCTGACGTTGCCCGAGCTGATATTGGTGGTAACCTTCGAACCCACATGCGCTGCCAGATCAGAACGCACACGCTTGATCGCGCGCTCTACACGCACGCTCTCGAGGTCATCGGTGCGCACACGTACGAAACGCTTCCAGGCACGGGTCTGTCGGAACGTTGGTTCATTTGAGATGGTGGTGAGATATGCAGCAAGGCTCGTGACCATATTGCCCCCTGAACCTGTGGTGCCTGCCTCTGTAAAAGGGTCGCCAATCTCATGCGATGGTGAAGCAATGGGAACGCCGGCGTTGGAACTGCCACTAGCAATGCGTGTAGACACCGTGCGCGCTACTTTGTTGCTTGGGGATGCAAGACGGGAAAGCGTGTTGAGGAAGATATTCCGCTTGATGGGCTGGACCGCCAAATCTATGGGCAACTTTGGGAGTTTGGTGCCTGGGACGGAGTCTGCAAGCTTGACGTGCAACTCGACGATCTCGGTGGCAGTGCGAGTCAGGGTGAGGTTGTGCGTGGAAGCTGCGGAAGGGAGATCGTCAGCAAGTTCGTTTGTCAAAGACATGGGCGGGAATTAACAGGGCTTCGAGATATAAAATGCTAGACACGCGCTGTCGATGTGCGCACGGAATGGCAACCCGAATACCTCGGAAGCCAATCGAGAATATAAATGCGTAGGTAATGAACAAACCTGTCCGACGGACGTGGTGGAGAAAGAGTGGAAGGGAAGATGTGATACTCACTCTTTATGTAAATGCTATACGAGTGTGCATCATGTGGCGTCTCTGCGACACTAACGCTCCAAGGACCTTCCTGAGCATCAATCCTGACCGGATGTCTTCTATTAGGACGGCTATGAGCGGCGTCTATGGATTTCATACTGCGGACGGAGTTATTGGGGTCGTGTTTGTGGTTCTGGCTATGCTGCTGGTGTGGGTTGGGAGAACTTGAGAGGGAATCAGAGGAGACGTCGGTAGCACTAGCACGCTCCAGACGAGATTTGCGCTTGTATTGAAAACTTCTGGTGGTATCGATACTGACTCTACTTGGAGGTTGACGTGGAAGGTAAGAGTCGACTGAAGAACGGCTTCGGTTGAAAGACCCGAAACCAAGGACGGACTTGAAGTTTTTCTTTGAGGGACCGCGCTGATGAAGGGTGGCGGCTACACCAGGCATCCGCGGGAATAAAAATTGACGAAGTTTACGAGAACTGGAATAAACAAGCCGTCTGTAACGTCCTGGGTGATTTGAAGCGGGTATGTGACTCCTAGTAGACAAAGCTATGTGAGGGCAGGAGAAAGACGAGAGGACGACAAAGGGAGTTTGATTCTGTGACAATTGAGAGATCGATTAATTAGGGCGGGAGATATTATGGGTAATCGTCGCGCGGCGTTGGCGTGAAATGCCACGAGGAGACCACGGGTAGGAAAAGATAATGGAAACGGTGAACGGTGCCGGCCTGAGTTCAGGTACTAAAAAAGCTTGCTAAAAGCAATGATTTATACTGGTAAAGAGGTCTTCCAGTAAACGTGCCTTTGACTCGGAAGATCAAGGTTACGGTTGAACTTCCAGATGAGCAAACTGAGTTCAGATTTCTGCCTCGAGGCTGTAGCTGTGCAGCGGTGACGGTGTATACCGCAAGTCAGGTGGAGTCGTGGTATTGGAGTAAAGAGTATAAACGAAAGACTGCGTCAATGAATTTAATTGACTTTGGTTTGGATTATAGTTGCTGCTGTCGTTTGGTTGATGAACTCTCGTGACGGTTGGTTGTCTGGCCTTACTTGGCCTTTTTCGCGACCTACTCGAATTCCAGCTGCCGTAAACTTAAAAGCATCTCTCCGTTTTGTCTCCCTTCTTCCTTCTCAAATTTTAAAATAACAGCTTCCTAGAAGGTTTCCTTCTCAGGCGTATGTCCTCACTATGCAAGCCTCAGTCGTCCAAGCAAATGCCAAAAAGGACAGCCTATCCAAGTCACGTATCCAGGCCCACATGTCCAAACTGGCAGTCGTTGAGAACCCAGAAACAGATGAGAACTATACACCACATCAAGCTTACATACCCATGCAGGTCCGTCATCACCTTAGAGATAACAGAATCACGGATGTTTGCGAACGCCCAGCAACCCAGTGCCCCTTTCAGCTCACTCACCGCAGTGCAACGGACGAGACCAAGCCCAATGATATTACAAATTTGTGTCATATTCACATCGGGCATATTCTCTGGTGGTGCTTGGGCTTGAGTGGTTCCTGTGCGAAACACAGGTCCTGCTACACAGATCATAAGACCCTTCTAAAGCCATTCACATGTACGTGATCAGTGCTTAAATGGAATAGGGCTAGTTTGTAACTACCCGCACGAGAAGAATCTATCTGGCGATCATTGCATTTCATCTCTGAAGAATTGAACTCCTCGGCAATGTCGCGGCGACATACATCGTGGATTCTAGACTCGGGGATTGTGCTCACGTGTGCAAAAGTTCTCGGTGCGCAATGATGAACTGCAGCGCCTTCTGTCGGCGATAGGCTGCTAAAAGCGTTCCTACAACGTCCATTCGTCAGAACTCGCACTAGAACGCAGCCTGAGCTGTATTTTACTATACAGCATCGTCACCGAGCCGCACAGCACAAACAGCTCAATCGTAGCTGATAACGCAGCGGTACGAAAACAGTTTGTGCTGATTAATATGACGTGCTGTATATGCAAGAGATAGTCCCCGTAGGCAGACCCAATAGAAGGAGAATAATCGTTCCTTTATGCAACAGGTGCCACTCGTCCCATCAGTGATCAGTGCTAGGCATAGACATTGACACACACCTAATGAAGCTCAAAGGGTTCAAAAACAAATACAGGCAGTATAAAAGCAGCACTTTTTCCGTAATCGGTGATAATCGTAGATGTTCCATCGGTGAGTGCGAACAGACAAGAACGCCTCCGAGGCCGTAGCACAACGTGCTCAATAAGAATACTTCACGGAGGTACCCATCAGAAACGTGGGGCGAAGATAATTCAATCGATGACAAAAGTCAGGTCACCGTGATCCGTTGCAAAGATTGAGGCCTGACTCCCGGAGGTCCGAGTTTGCCGTTTAAGACCGCTCGCTGATACCTGCAGCCTGAGGTCAGTCCATCATCATCCACGAAAAATATAATTGTCCCTAGCTCACAATGTGCAAGAGGTGAAAACTACTCGTATTTTTCCCGGACGATACTAACACATGCAACGCAGGGCACAGTGACAACCCATCATACTATTGCATGTGTTACATCTACGGTAAAGATTGCTCTGTTACCATTGACTATCTGTCATGGAATTCTACGCCTCGCATCAGTGAACTGATGAGCTGCAGATAAAGACTTATATGACGATATATCTTCATATATAGAACTTCTTTCCGTTATATTGGAATATAAAGTCATATAAAGTCATGTAAAACGCCGTAATCGACGTAAAGTACCCTGGGTAGACTCACGAGTTCTCTGATGTCCAGAATCGTACGACTTGGCCACACGCATGCCAGTCAAGTGAGTACTAGTGCTCAACTAGCTTGACTGCCAACTGTCAATGCAGTGGCACGAGGTTGTCTTTCGCGATCAGCGGCGCACTACGGCTCTCGAGTTCCGCATGCTAGAAGCACAACAACGTTAGTATGGCGTCACGGGGACGAACATTTGGAGGTGAAACATCCTAGTCAAAGCTTGTAAAGAAGTGCCAACTTGAACGAGCGAGTCGGGCATGGAAGTTGGTGGCGACGCGTACTAGTAGTATCTTGACATTTGTTTGGTGTGCTGCCCCTATTAGTATCAGCATGACTGAAAGCCGTTAGGGCGGCCATGCCTTCAGACATCTGAAGTTCGAGAAAACCGAGAAGTGCTATGAGTGGGAACTGTACTCACCCAGTGTGTGGGCTTACATAGTAGCTGCTCAACGTTGCAACGAGGAGCCGGTCAACTAGGATAACCCTAGGTTGCAATTCACTTGATACATGTCGCCGGTCCTGGGGCTCAGTAATTTTTAGAAAATAAGACATCCTCCCCTTGATGACTGCAAGTACAAAATAAACGATACAGTACACATACAAAATTACACAACATTAATTATAGGAAACAACATCGCGAGCACATCTCCTGCACATTAACTCACCACGTGAGGGACTTCAGCTTCAGGGATAGTAATCGGCGATTCAACTTGGGGCGCCTGTGGACCACGGGCATTAGCTGACTGAGCTGTAGTACCGATTTACTGAGGCTGCTGACCTTGCATCTGACTCTGAGGCGCTTTCTGAGCTTCGGAATCTCCTCCTCTGGTGGCCTGCGTCCTATCATCTGCCGTGAAGGCCTTCACAATCACTGCTATACTATAGCAGAGCACTGAAGATACCCTTAAGAGACAGAAAAATGAGAGTGGGGAGAGACGCACAGAAGACGAAGATAATGTAAGAGAACGCCTCGACGACCCTAAACTCATTGCAGATTTGGCTACTGTAGAAAGAGACTGAGATGCAGAGGCAAAATGACAATATCGGTAAAGCGCTTCGGGTCGAGAATCATAGCACTTACTGAAGCTACAGGCACCAGGGAAAAAGCGGCTGCGGGCCGCACGAGTGGCGTTAGCTCCAGTTGAGAGCCAGAGGATCCACATGATAGCTTTAAACCGAACCGTGAATAATCAGCAGGGTAACTTCCAGAGCCAGAAGCCACATACTTAGCCAAGCGGACTCGCTGATCCTGAAACCCGACGATTTACGGTTGCGCTCAGACAAGCTAATGATGAGACTGAAAATTGCGACCATGAATCGATACTGGCTTAGTTGACTGGAAAGGAAACGCACATGACGGGGAAAGTAAGAATTGTCAGGGAGGACACTGCGACCGCAAGCGCAGCAAAGCGCCAGTAATCTGTAGTTCGGATAGCGATGAGGTGAGCACTCACGCCGAGCACCACGATCGCCAGCATGAGGGTAAACGCTGTCATCAAGATGAGCTAGTCAGTAACATGCTTTTGCATGCGAAGGAGAAACGACGCACACAAGATGAGAAGTCGGGTGACAGAGAAAAATCCCATCTTGAGTGAGTGTTAAGAGTGAGGATAGTCTCTTGATGCGAGAGGACGGTTTTTCTTAAGTCTGAGCTAACTTAGCCCCTGTCTACTACCTCCTAACAAATTTCGGATTGCTGACGAAGCGCCTGACGTCAGAGGCGGGTAGATCGTTGATCTTGTTCACTTGCCGCATGCCGCATTCATAGAGAATGATCTGCCCGCCTCTGACTTCAAGTCGGCCAGTCGGCACGAGAGTGCAATATACGCATGAAGTGTGATCCGAGCACACCTTCTATAACGTTCACAGGTTACCAACTTTTTCGTATCAGTTTCCATGTTTTGGCCACAGAAATTCAATTTCATATTAGCTGCCAGATAATAAGATTAGCTGCAGTTTGGAAATTAAAGCTTGATCGTACTCCGAATGTGGCGGGAGCTGACACGTACGATATTAGTCTCTGCCGGTTGCGCTGAAAGTCACTGATGACTGCAAGTTCTACAGTGTCGAGGCATTCATTGAAGTTGCCCTCAAACCCTTCTTCCCAACGTGAGTTATTTGATAGCGTACAATGAACACAGAAAAATTGCCACTCAGCGGAAAACTTCTAGATCTCAATTGTTCAACGTTGTGTGCATATTTTGTGTACATACCGTTACAGTACCTTGGATAAATGTATAAAAGGAACAATTGCCTTCCTTCTATTGGGGTGACAAGTACTGCTAGATAAACGGCACGCCGTGATGCAACGCAAATTCGCTTACCCAACATAGACAGGTCAGGTGAAGATCAGGAAGAAATATGGGGTTATATTGAGGTTATAAGTTAACGACCCCCACGCAGCCGTCGCAGCGACCTCCCGCCACATCCAAAGACAGCAATCCCCCTGGGATGGCGATCTTTTCTGAGCGTGCGACGTGTTGAGCACAGGACCAAACGTTCGTCAGCTACCCTGGAGGTGAGAATTAGAATATCATTTCGCTATGCCACCATAGCGCTAATCCCTTTCTCGCTTCCCCCATTACAGTTGGTTAAAATTCAACCAACGGTTGAACCCAATCCCTCAAGGCTCCTCTTAACTGTCTAAAGCCGAAAATGTCTGCTGACCCCACACTGGAGCCTACACTCCCCGCAGAAGAGCAAGATATAGAGGAGGTTGACGATGGGGAGGAGAGCGATGAGTATGAGGTCGAGGTTTGCAAACCATTTTCTGATATTTTATGACTCGCGCTCATTTCGCGCATCTAAACTCACTCTTCTTTCCGAATGACAATTACCTCTTTTTTAATCGCTCTGTCGGCCTTTCATGATAACAGGGCGAAGAAGAAGATCAAGGCAACTCGCTCTACCCCGATCGAGGCGAAGAAGAAGAGGAAGAGGATGATGGAGAGGAAGGAGGTGCCACATCAAGGGTATGCCTCTTCCTTGTCCATCAACACTTGCAAGACAATTGATTTGGTGGCGCAGAGCAAACCAAGTTTGACAGCACTACTGGTTGGGGAGGTATGTCTACATTTGTTTTGTCTCCATAGAAGGCCCATATCATTCTTCCAGAATGGCACATCAGCTTTAGCTTGCTGCTGCTTGATGAAGACGCCGAGGACGATGACGAGTATTACGAGGAAGACGAAGATGAGCCCCCTACTTCTGCTGGCGGCTTAAAACGTTCGGTGGATGAAATCAGTGAAGGAGATGATGAAGAGGACGAAGAGGAAGATGACGGAACTGCGAAGAGGGCACGGGTTGGGTGAAGCACAAATAAAATGCGGCGCGGCTAAGTCTTATTATTGTCCTATTTCTACTTCTCGGGATATGGTGTTTTTGCTAAAGATATCTATGGTGTTGTACTTACTATATATATAGACATTCTTGGTTCTATCATCAGAGGTGTGATCTCTTGTACTGTAACCAAGCAAAGTACACTCGGGATATTATGGTTACCGCGCGCTGGCATACCGCCCTCAAACGTGCTCTGCAGGAGGAAGAAGGGATGAAAAACGGTGAGCTTCTAACTACACTTCCTGAGACGCGAAACAATGTTCGGACGTTGCAGTCTTTCAGCTCGCAACTACCGACGTCAACACCACTCCATATGTTCGCAGCAATGTCCTTCGGGACCATATCATTCACCCATCCTTACCTTCTCTGCCCCTGCTCCTCGCAACCACAGATATCCGTATTCCAAAGGTCACTCAGATTAAGTCCAACCCCAGCCACCGCGTGGAAGCGCATTTCTGGATCGAAGCCACAAACGAGCAATTCCGCATTTCGGGGCGTGCTGCTATCTACCCCTCACCGGAACTTAGTGAGCAAAAAGGAATCGAAGGAGTGGGGGAGGTGTATGATGCATTCAGGAGTCAGGGATGGAACTGGGAGGACGAGCGAAGGAAGCAATTTGACAATGTCGGCGCCCACATGCGCGCATCATGGTGCCGGCCCGTTCCCGGTTCCCCCATGAACTCTTACAGCGATGCAGAGAAGTGGCCAGTCAAGATCGCGAGACCCGGAGAGGAAGGGTACGACGCGAAGAATTACGAGGAAGCGCTAGGACACTTCGCACTGCTTCTGATTGACCCCGTTGAAGTTGACTATGTCGAACTCGGGGTTATGCCTAACCGGAGGACAAAGTTCGTTAGACAGGAATCGGATGGCGAGAGGTGGAAGGAGGTGATCTTGGTCCCGTAATTTTCGGGACCTTCCAGGGTTCCATGAACCTTTTAGACTTGTAAAGGCAGAAACCATTGTTAAACAGAATTGGATGTACGATACATACCACTAGCTAGACGTAAGACTCAGGAGCATTGACACTTCACGCCAATCGATGCATCAATGATCGCGGTCCAATACCAAAATTTCACACTGTCTGCATCCTGTCAGCCATACACGCTCAACAACCAGAAGGACCAGGGTTTTGGAATTATTTTTCTTGCTTTGAACAAACCACTAGCTAGATGGGTTCACCGCCAGCTATTATCGAAGAAACACTACCTTCTCTTCCGGCCTCGAAGCAATCCATGCAACGATATGAATGACGCCCAACCCAACACGTTCCATCAAACCCCCATTCTGACTAACCGCCATCACATTTAGCAAGCACCCGCTATAGTGCATATAACTCTCTTCGTCAAACGTACCGTGCACACCGGCGATAGAACGGGCAAGGACGATGAACTCGAGAGAAGTCGGCGGGGCAGGGTCCAATGGCAGAATGGCAGTGCCAATCCAAGTGGGAGGGGAAGATGCGGTGGAGAGAATATTGAAGAGACCATAGTAGATAGATGTATTTGATTCCTCGTTTTCTTCACCACCTCGCCTTGTAATGCCGAAGTGGCTGGAAGTCGTGCGGAAGATGAGGGTGCCTGGTTCTAACGGTCGACGAATATCTAGTGTCAGCTCCGTTGGGTCTAAGATCCCTCGCGAACAAGAATATGCAGGGTGCTCTTCCTCTGTCTGAAAGTCATGGGAAACCCGGCGAACGTCAAGCTGCACTGTATCGCCACTGTGGTTCACGATATACCAATTATCAATAAATGTTTCATCCACCCGCGGTTCGTCGCTATATTTGCCGATCTGAGTTCCCACATACGCGACCTCCCCCGCGTGGATAACAGCACCACGCCATGCAGCCCATGCCCAAGAAGGCCAAGGTGAGCTGCTTCCGTCAGGGAGCGAACGACGAGCGCGAGGTGTATGTGGAGCGTGTTGCCAAAGAAGCGTGAGATGCAGTTCCGTCAACATCATTCCATGTTGAAAGGCTCTGGCGGGGTCACCGAGCCCATAGCCATTTGCCAAAGCATTGGTCACGCCAGTGAAAGCATCAACAATGTCTGATTCCTTGGTGAGATTGCGTCGAGTACACTTCTCAACGGCCCCCCTGTAACTCTCAAACTTGAAGGAGTCAGAGGCTATCTGAAAATATTCTCCACGTGGGAACCGAAGGAAGCTGCGACAGGATTGAGACTTGCTTTCGGCGACGATGTCTTCGCAGAAGATTTGATCTCGGCACTCAAAGTAGACTTGATGCCCAGTGAAATATATCCTTCTGCGGGAGAGCGCGCTCTCTTGATAGGTCCAACAACGCGTGTGCCATGCTGACTGAACAACAGCCTCCCCAAGTCTTGGAGGAGCCAGATATAGATGAAGTCCTTGAACAACCTCGATATGTTGTTGTAGTGTTCTAGTTCGTGGACGGCATCCTGGGAGAGGATCTCGAGCCGTCTTGCCGCCGGCAGCGATTATCGTGAAATAAGACAGGCCGTAGACCAAGTCCATAGCGTGTATCTGAGTGGACTTGTCCTGCGAATCATCTTGAATGATGCATAGAGCGTCAATCCATATGTAACGTTCATCAAGTTGTCGAACGAATAGAATCGCATCGGAGATGGTGTCAGGAAGGTTTGCCGCGTTCAACCCGCCAGGCTTGGAGCGCTCCGTTATATTATCCTTCGTCGTCCAATACTCTGCGCCGATGCTTCCCCATACGTAACTGAGGGAGACATAACGACACCCAGAAGGTGCAGGAACCACGGCCATCGATATTACATCCACCACTCTCACAAATCCGGGCAGCTTCCCGTCCATTCTGCAAACATTCACACATTTATCTCCATGGTACTCCTGGCACAGGTTAATCCACTTCTTCACCAAACCGATATCCACAGTGTTCTTCACCCTGCGGCCATGAAGATCTGTTGGTCTCCCAAACTTGAAAGCATCTTCTTGCATGAGATGAATTATTAGCGGACCTGCTTCATCGGGAGCTGGATGTATCTCCCAAACGCCCTTCCTAATGATGTGGAGGCGGCGGCAAAAATAATATTTTGGTGGGGGATAAGGGGGCCTCTGAAGAGAACCACAATGCATCGTGTACACCTCGCATTCGATCCCTGAGAGATCGACGTGAGGAAACTTCTCCAACATCCGTGTTCGACGGACATACAACGATATGAGGCGACAGAAACTGCATTGATAGGATTTTTCTAAGATGGATGAGAGTGAACCGAGCGGAACCGCCTCCAGCTCTGGGATGCCATAAAGGAAGATCCGGTAAAAATCCAGAGTCGCACAGATGGAACAGAGTAATGCGTCCTTGTCTAATGTGGTAGTATGACCCCTCTGTTCGCCCTCAAAGTTTGATCAGTCCACTGCGCTGCGTAAGCGGTGATGCTATTGAGTTCCTCACCTGAATGTCAGTTCGTATTTGATCCGGATGCAGGAGAGGGGCGGATTCAGAGGTCCCATCAGATGCGACGTATGCCCTGAGTTTGCATGTGCGGACGACCGATAGCCAGACAACCCAAACTCCAAGAGCGAGCCCTCCAATAATTCCAACAAGGGCCAAACCATGTGTGGAGACCGGACTGACAGTCTCAATAATACCAGTGGGTAGTGCTGTAAGCCCTTCACGAGCATCTTGAATACGCGACAAAGAACGGCAAAAAAAGCCATTGTAGAGGCAAGATACCCACCTGACCGAGTCACGATTGCGCTATTCAAAGGAGGAATCATAAGTCGCGCAGATTCACCAGAAGGATTTTGGTTTGATTCCTCGCAGTTCAAAGTTGCAGGTGCATAGTACTAGGTGAGCAATAGGCACTGGGCAGGTAAGTCCACGTTGGGTACGGCAGTTGATGAGGCTGTGTTCCGTTGGCGATGTTCTCGTGTATTCTAAATCCTACCATTGGCATAAGTTGACGGCAAGGCTAAAAAAGGTTGAAACGATACGTTTCGCGCGCCTCTAAACACGACATTTTGCGGATGGAATCGATAGATTTGAAGGAGTCGAAGGAGACGAAGAGAATGGCGGCACGGGCCGCCATCATGATGGCGGAGCTGCGAAGAAAGCGCGGTTAGCCTTGTGATTCAAATGTATGTATCACGACCAACGTTGCACTGTCTGTAAGTCATACATGCATTTGATTCATAATATAGAAGGAACGACTACAATGTGCAGGCTATGGAGCATTTGACAATCCGAAGGACAATAAATTATTGCTTTGAAACAACCGATGTCAAACCATTACCGCCAGCCATTATCGAAGAAACACTACCTTCTCCTCCGGCCTTGAAGCAATCCAGGCAGCTTCATGAATGACGCCCAACCCAACACGTTCCATCAAGCCCTCATTCTGACTAACCGCCATCACATTTAGCAAGCATTCATGGTAATATATAAATTTATCTTCGTCGTACACGCCACGCACACCGGGATCACGGGAAAGGACGATGAACTCGAGACAAGTCGGCGGGGGAGGGCACAACGGCAATATGGTACTGCCAACCCAAGTGGGAGGGGAAGATGTAGTGGAGAAAATATTGAAGTGACCATAGTGGACACATTCACTTGATTCTTCATCACCTCGCCGTGCAATGCCAAACTGGCAGGAAGTTGTGCGGAAAATGAGGGTGCCTGGTTTGAGCGGTCGATGGATGTCAAGTGTCAGCTCCGTTGGGTCTAAGATTCCTCGTGGAGAAGAATACGCGGACTTTGTCTTGGGCATCAAAATGACCCGGGGGGCTCGGCGAACATCGAGCTGCAGTGTATCGCCACTATGGTCAACGATGTACCAAGGATCAACAAACGGTTCCTTCACCGTCGGTTCGCCACTATAATTGCTGATCCGGGTCCCCAGATACACATCCGCTGCCTTATAGATAACAGCGCCACGCCACGTAGCCCATGCCCAAGAAGACCAAGGTGAGCTGCCTCCGTCAGGGGGCGCACGACGAGCGCGAGGTGTGTATGGATCGTGTTGCCAGAGAAGCGCGTGATGCAGGTCGGTCAACATCATTCCATATTGAAAGGCTCTCGCGGGGTCACCAAGCCCAAACGCTATCGCCAAAGCATTTGTCACACCAGTGAGAGCATCAACAATGTCTGATTCTATGGTGAGACTGCGTCGTGTACACGCCTCAACGGCCCACACGTAACTCTCAAAGGAGTGAAGGGTTGGAAAAGTTTGCCCTGATGATAACTGGAGAAAGCTGCGGGAGCGTGGGTGCTCACTTTCGGCGATGATGTCTTCGCAGAAGGTATCGCGCCGGCAGTCAAAGTAGACTTGCTGCCCAGTGAAGTATATCCTTCGGCGGGAGAGCACGCTCTCTTGACAGGTCCAACAACGCGTATTCCATGCGGACAGAGTGATAGCCTCCCGAAGTCTTGGAGGAGCCACACAGAGATGAAGTCCTTGAACAACCTCGATATGTTGTTGTAGTGTTCTAGTTCGTGGACGGCATCCTGGGAGAGGATCTCGAGCTGTCGTGCTGCCAGCAGCGATGATCGTGAGATGAGATAGACCGTAGACCGAATCCATAGCGTGTAGCTGAGTGGACTTGTCCTTTAAATCATCTTGAATGATGCATAGAGCGTCGATCCATATGTAACGTTCACCAAGTTGTCGAACGAATAGAATCGAATCAGTGATAGTGTCAGGAAGGTTTGCCGTGTTCAACCCGCCAGGCTTGGAGCGCTCCGTTATATTATCCTTCGTCGTCCAATACTCTGTGCCGATGCCTCCCCATACGTAACTGAGGGAGACATAACGACGGCCAGAAGGTGCAGGAACCACGGCCATCGACACTACATCCACCACTCTCACAAACCCCGGCAGCTTCCTGTCGGTTCTCCAAACATTCCCGGTGCATACATCTCCATGTTTCTCCTGGCACAGCTTAATCCACTTCTTTACCAGACCGATATCCACAGGTGTTCCTTCACCCTGCGGCCATGAAGATCGGGCGGTCTCCCAAACTTGAAAGCATCTTCTTGCATGAGGTGAATGGTTGGCAGACCGGCTGCCCCAAAAGCTGGATATTTCTCCAAAAGGTGATCTGGGTCCTTCATAATGATCATGTGGAGGCGGTAGCAATGGAATTTAGGTCGATAAAAGGGCTCGCGAAGACAACCACAATTCATTGAGAACATCCCACACTCGATCCCTGAGAGATCGACGTGAGAAAACTTATCCAACATCCATGTTCGACGGACATGAAAGGATATGAGGCGACAGAAACTGCATTGATAGGATCTCTCTAAGATGGTTGAGAGTGAACCAAGCGGGATCTTCTCCGTCTCTGGGATGCCATCAAGGAAGATCTGATAAAAATCTAGATTCGCACAGATGGAACAGAGTAAGGTGTCGCTGCCTGACGCAGTGACAGTATGATGCCTCTGTTCAAACTTCAGTCCACTGCGCTGTGTAAGCGGGAATGCCATTGAATTCCTCACCTGAAGATCAGTCCGTAGGTCTGGGTTTATCAGAGGGGCAGATTCAGAGGTCCTATCAATATTTGCTTTGAGTTTGCATATGCGGACAACCGATAGCCAAAGAACCCAAACTCCAAGAGCGACCCCTGCAATAATTCCAACAAGGGCTAAACCATGTGTGGAGACCGGACTGATAGCCTCAAAAACACTAGTGGGCAGTACTGCAAGCCATTCATGGTTACCTGAGAAGTAACTTGAATACATGATGAAGAACGGCAAAACAATTATTGTAGAGGCAACTTGCAAGATACCAACCTGACCGAGTCACAGTTGCGCTATTGAAAGGGGGAATCATAAGCACAAGTTGCGGGGGTTTACCAGGAAAATTTTGGTTTCATGAACTGCCGTCACATGTACCTGCCTAGTGCTTATACGCGAAGAAAGCTACTAGAACTCCCAAGTCGACGGCAGGGTTCGGCAGGGTTCAGAGGAGTGAAGCTTGAAGCTGTGAAGCACGGTACGTTTGCAGCCTCCAAGCAAACAGCCACATCGTGACGTTATGCGGATGAAACCGGTGAATCTGAAGGAGATAGTAAAGACATAATATAGAAGGAATGACTGTCTCTTCATTCTGCCTACGGGAGACTAAGATAAAGAGGAGCATGAAAAGGAGTGTGTACATGGGCTGCCAGGTCCATATGCATGACGGAGCTGCGAAGAGAGCACGCCGGGTTGTTCTTAATATTCAATATGTATATTATCCATGCATCACGACGACCAACACGAAAACATCGCACTGTCTGCATCCCGTCGGTCATATACATACACGCCCTTGATTCAGAAGCTAGAGTCGTGACTGTTTAGTAGTCAACAATCCGAAGAACAATAAATCATTACTTTTAAACAACCAAGGTCAAACTACTTCAAACTATCACCACCGGCCATTATCGAAGAAACACTACCTTCTCCTCTGGCCTTGAAGTAATCCAGGCGGCTTCATGAATGACGCCCAACCCAACACGTTCCATCAAGCCTTCATTCTGACTAACCGCCATCACATGTAGCAAGTATTCATCTCGAACCATCAAATTCTCCTCGTTGTGCACACCGCCCGTATCGTAAGTACGGGAAAGGACGATGAACTCGAGAGAAGGCGGCGGGGCAGGGTCCAGTGGCAGGATGGTAGTGCCAACCCAACTGGGAGGGGAAGATGTGGTGCAGAGAATATTGAAGTGACCATAGTGAACAGGTTCGTTTGATTCTTGGGTTTCTTCACCACTTCGCCTTGCAATGCCAAAGTGGCTGGAAGTCGTGCGGAAGATGAGGGTGCCTGTTTCTAGCGGTCGATGGGTCAGCTCCGTTAGGTCTATGATCCCTTGCGGAGAAGAATATGCAGGGTTCTCTTCCTCTGTCCTGCGATTCACGAAAAAGACCCGGGAAACCCGACGCACATTGAGCTGGGTTATATCGCCACGGCGGTCCACCATGTACCAAGGATCAATAAGCGTTTTAGTCACGGACAAATCGTCACCTAAGTTCCTGATTCGAGTCCCTTGATACCCACCCTCTGAGACGTGGATAACAGCGCCACGCCACGCAGCCCATGCCCAGGAAGGCCAAGGTGAGATGCCTCCGTCAGGGGGCGCACGGCGAATGTGGGGTGTGTGTGGATGATGTTGCCAAAGAAGCGCGAGATGCAGTTCCGTCAACATCATTCCATATTGAAAGGCGCTGGCGGGGTCACCGAGCCCATATCGTATTGCCAGGGCATTTGTCACGCCCGTGAAAGCATCAACAATGTCTGATTCTACGGTGAGATTGCGCCGTGTATATCTCTCTACGGCACCCTTGTAACCCGAAAAGGAGGAAAGGTCTGGGAAGCGGTCTCCAAAGGAGGACTGAAGAAAGCTGCGAGAGAGTTGGGGACGCTTGCTTTCAGCGATGATGTCTTCGCAGAAAATATCATTTTGGCACTCAAAGTAGACTTGCTGTGCAGTGAAGTATATCCTTCGGCGCGAGAGCGCACTCTCTTGATAGGTCCAGCAACGCGTATTCCATGCGGACAGAGCGAGAACATCCGTAGGTCTTGGAGGAGCTACATAGAGATGAAGTCCTTGAACAACCTCGATATGTTGTTGTACTGTTCTAGTTCGTGGACGGCATCCTGGGAGAGGATCTCGAGCTGTCGTGCTGCCAGCAGCGATAATCGTGAGATAAGATAGACCGTAGACCGAATCCATAGCGTGTATCTGAGTGAACTTGTCATGCAAATCATCTTGAATGATGCATAGAGCGTCGATCCATATGTAACGTTCACCAAGTTGTCGAACGAATAGAATAGAATCAGTGATGGTGTCGGGAAGGTTTGCCGCGTTCAACCCGCCAGGCTTAGAGCGCTCCGCTATATTATCCTTCATCGTCCAATACTCCGCGCCGATGCTTCCCCATACGTAACTAGAGGGAGACATAACGACAACCAGAGGGTGCGAGAACCACGGCCATCGATATTACATCCACCACTCTCACAAATCCGGGTAGTTTCTTGTCCATCTTCCAAGCATTCTCACAACCATCTCCATGGTTCTCCTGACATAGCTTCATCCACTTCTTCACCAGACTGATATCAACAGTGTTCTTCACCCTACGGCCATGAAGATCGGTCGGTCTCCCAAACTTGAAAGCATCATCTTGCATGAGGTGAATTGTTGGCGGGTATGCTGTATTGAGAGCTGGGTGTCTCCACCACAGGCCCATCGGGCTCCCAATAGTGACCTGGAGGCGGTAACAACGAAATTTGGATCTGGGATAAAAGGACGGCCGAAGAGAACCACAACTAATCGAGAACAGCCCACATGCAATCCCTGAGGGATCGACGTGAGGAAGCTTGTCCCACATCCACGTCCGACGGACATGAAAGGATATGAGGCGGCAGAAATTGCATTGATAGGATTTTTCTAAGATGGATGAGAGTGAGCCGAGCGGGATCTCTTTCGCCTTAGGGATGCCATCAAGGAAGATCTGGTGAAAATCCAGATTCGCACAGATGGAACAGAGTAATGTGTCGCTGCCTAACGTGACAGTAGGATCCCTCTGTTCACCCCCTTCAATTAGTCCACTGCGCTGGGGGGATGCCGTTGATCCACTCACCTGATGATCAGCTCGATCTTGATTTAGGAGAGGGGTGGATTCAGAGGTCCTGTCGGATGTGACGTGTGTCCTGAGTTTGCATGTGCGGACAACCGATGGCCAAATAACCCAAACTCCAAGACCGACCCCTCCAATAATACCAACAATGGCCAAACCAAGCATGGAGTCCGGACTGAGAATTTCGAGAAAACCAGTGGATAGTGCGATAAACCTTTCATAGTTACCTGAGTATTACTTGAATACGTGACGAAGAACGGTAAATTGTAGAGGGTGGATACCCACCTGTGCTATTGAAGGGAGGGCTCATAAGTACGAGTTGCTGGGTTCATCAGGACTTGGTTTAACTCCTTGCAAGAGTTCATGACAGGCTGTGTTCTGTTGGCGGTTTCTCATATCGGGCCCATCCGCCCAAATCCCGGCACTGGACCCGGATCACTAAGAAAAGATACATAAGTTCGCACGTTCCAACTATCCACAACGCGGCTTGAAACGTTATGCTTGAAATTAGTGAAGAGGAAGTCGATTATGTCCACATCAGAATTATGCACGACTCAAAGTTCATTAGACAGGAATCGGATGGCACGAGGTGATCTTGTCCCCGTAACTTTCCCTTCCCTTCCTGAACCTTACAGGATGAACCGATTATACTTGGGAAGTTGTTACGAGGTAACTGCCAGAATTACCAGGGACGACAAACCGTCCAACACAAGATAGTACCACTAGAAATTAATACATAAGTGGTTTGAATAATGCCTGCAATGAATGGCATCTGGCACGACCAACCCGCTATTAGCACGTCGCCGACCCTCTTCAAGTTCAGGCGCATCAATGGCGGCTTTGTGCAATCAAATAACTCGCACGTTAGCTGCGAGGTTCAGGATAGTGCAGACCATTTCTCTCTTGGACTTTCTCATTTTCAAAGGCGATTTCATGCACTAAATAGGATCTTCCAAGTTCAAATAGCTTGTTGCTTGCATGGAGTTACCACAAAAACCTGGGAATGCACATACTCGACTGCAATAAATTAGAGGGCATACGAGGCGTTTGGATCGTGTACACATTATTGGTCGCTCAGATGGCTCGAATCATGGCGTGGGCGAATCTGACGTCAAGCCATCCTGATTCCTGAAAGAATGTTAAGAAGCAGAACCTGCAGGTAGCAGCAGTGAGGACTTGATGCAGGCAATGCATCACGCTGCGTAAGTCCGAGATCAAGTGCCTGCAAACAAGAAATATACTGAGGATGAGTAATTATGAAACTGGGCAGAGAACTAGTTAATGGTCGCGCTGTTGGCACAAGTACTTGGAGTAAAAAAAAGGCTTCCAAATCGAAGGAGACGCGAAGAAAAATGCGTGGCGAATATTGATGTCATCTGGCATGGCATGATATTAGCGACCGCTTCAATGGAACCATTGCTAGCATCCAGTTACCGTTAATAATGACAAAGAGTTGCTTGTAGCATGCTGCATGCGTCAACAACCTTGACGCGGCAGGACCGCGTCACCATGACTGCATCGACACACACGGCGTTTCGATCCCTAAGTGAATCTGCGCACCTGACAGTGAAGGCGTAGAAGATACTCAATATTAATTCATCGCGTCGACAAGTCGACGACGGCGTGTTACCTCGTGTTACAGCCTGTTACCCGTGTCTGAACTTCTATTTAAAAACTCAAACTCGAGTCAATAATCGGGTGTTTGATATCGTACTGACTTGGTACTGACGGTTGTATGTCCATGTCCGGGTGAGGTTCCGTCGGCGGTTATCGTCTTCCAAAACAGTCTTCTATGCTCAAGGTCTGACTAAGTACGGGAGAGTACTAAATGCAATCATGCTGATCCGGGACTAAGTACTAAGTCCGTATGAGGTCTCTGATGTAAGCAGTGCCGACGGAAGGCACCAAACATGCACTGGCTGTGTTCCGTTGGCGGTCTTCTCATGACTGGCGGCCCATCCTAGGCTCTCCCAATATCCCATCACTGAAGGATCGATGGGCGCCATAGCAAGGCTAAGAAAAGAAAGGCACGATACGCTTCACATGTCTCCAAATACCCATGCGGCAAGTCTTCGATTACGGTCTAGGTCCTGAATGCAAAACTATGAATTGCTACCCATGCAAACGGCGAGCACCAGGGAAGGTTGAAAAGGAAGATCCAGAACCTTTGTCATGTACGTCAATTAATGTACGTGGTAGAAGCTGGTGCAAAGCTGGTGGAAGTTTGTAATACTAAAATACTAATTCTCCACTTCTCCGCGCATCTCACGATAGCGGCATCTCTGCCAGTGTGTGCAATGGCAGCAGATCTAGATTAATCAATACACCGGCTGCTGCGTGTTCCCTTCAACTGCGTCTTTGTATATAAGTTCTCTTGAAATTGAATCGTCATCCCTCTCGGTGCGACAGTGACCATGGCGTCTACGGGGAGTCTGTTCCTCCGGCAATTTGCAATACTATGCTGGAAGAACTGGATCGTTCTCTCTAAGCATTCGCTTGTGAGTAAAAGGCACTGCGGGAAGTTCACCATTTTGACCATGACATAGTTGAACATCCTGCGTTGCTTGCTGTTGCCCGTCGGATACGGAAGTACGTCCATCGCGCCCTCTTAAATCCATGAAAACATGCTTACAAGGGTTATCAAGTTTTCCTTGCTGTCGCGCAGACATTCCTGTTAAAGCCAAACAACGTAGGAATGCTTTCGAAATATTCAAGTCCACGACCTAACATCGTGTAGTACGGTTTTGGCTCTCCTATCTCCGTCTACAATTTCCAGAATCGGTTTGATGGCTCTCTATCTTTAATCTGGGCTGATGGAACCAATGGTACTGGAACACCTTCTGCGGAACAGGTCATGGCTCGCATCACTAGTAACTTCGCGCCAAATCAACTCCAAGCAGTTAAGCAGGTTGTGTCACCTGCGGACATTCCATCCCAATGTCCACAAAACTTCAACCTATTCTCTGAATGCTTTGCTGCAATTGCGTTCAACTCCCTTCCAATGAATGCTACGGATACGACTCCGATTAATTACACCATAAGTGCCGATGGAGGACTTGCCTACATCGATGTGTACGGTCATAGCAGTGATTTCGAGACACGTATTCTACCGTTACAATGGGCAATTGACCAGGTCTGACTTTCGCTTGTTCCCTTTCAAATCAAGTGTTAATATTTCGCTTCAGGCAATTATTTCGCTTAGATCTGGACAGGGAGTACCCACTCCAATGGAATGGCCGTACACTTTGGAAACCAACCAACAACAGGCTACGGATACTAGACTTAGTACGTTGTTTACGTCCATGGTATGATCGCACACTGATCACTATATCAGGTTTCATCAGAGGCATCCGGAATCTTCTTGTTATTGCACTGTGAGTCATACACATGAACTAAATATCCTACAACTAATCCGGGACCCAGGTTTATTTGTTATATTGGAATTGCGTACCAACTTCCAGGGGCATTCACCGGCGAGAGAGCCAACCTTGTGACTAGCCATATGAAGGCCATGGGTCTACTTGATGCTGCTAGAATAACGTACGTCACCGCTAAAAAGGGCCCGTTAAACATCGTGTTCGCTGATTACTTATGGCATTCAGATCATGGCATATCAGTCTGTCTGTAGCATATCTTCCTGCATGGGTTATTGTTTCTATCGTATGGCACTACCGAATTTTCACCGGCACCAATGTCGGCCTGGTGCTTATTGTGCACCTTCTGTTCGGATTCTCGCTTGCCAGTTGGACCTTCTTCGTCGCGGCTCCTTTTGGCAAGAGTCCTCAGCTTGCGGCTGTGGCATCTACGTTCCTTGGTATCATGTTTGGTATTCTCGCGCTGGTCTTCAGCAGAGCCAGCACGGGTGCGGCGACTATTTTTACCTTAATTTTTCCACCCGGGTACTACGTCTTCGCTATCCGTGCCATATGTGGCTGGGAAAACCACCAGATTCCAACCAATATCCTCAAGCCAGATCCGGATAGCAATCTAATTTTGTTGCCCTTGATCATTGCCGCCATTGTACGTGGTGCATATAATATATATCGAGCACAATGTGTTAACCTATGCCCAGATTGACGTGTTCCTATGGCCATACTTGGGTGTCCTGCTTGAGAGGAGGCTCTATGACGCCCGGGAACCATCCTCAGGCTTCTGGTCATGCTGTCGCAGGCAGAAAAAGGCTCACTTGCCACCGCATCCTGATGGGGTTGCGATTTCTATCAGGAACTTGGGAAAGACATTTTCCCCTTCCATGTTCCACCGTGAGAAGCAACCAGTTACTGCCGTCGCAGACTTGTCTCTCGATGTCCCGAAGTCCGGTATCTTTGTTCTGCTGGGATCAAACGGGTGGGTTCCACTTGACCCCTGGCAGATTGGAAATAATGCTAATCAACGAGGGTGATAATATAGCGCCGGCAAGTCAACAGCATTATCAATTATTGGAAATCTCCTCGGGCGCAGCACTGGATCTATCACTTTTGAGGGCGGTGTCTCTCGTCCTCCCCGTGGAACTCTCGGCATTGTGCCTCAGAAAAATGTGATATTCCCCGAGCTGTCTTGCTATCAAACTCTCCGCGTATGGCGTGCGGTGAAGCATTCTGCTCAATCGATCGACGAAGACGAAGATTTCGAGCAGCTACTGCGCGACTGCGATCTTGGCAAAAAAATCCACTCCAACGCTAGCACTCTCTCGGGTGGTCAGAAGCGCAAGCTGCAGCTTGCTATTGGACTTATTGGAGGCTCCAAGATCGTGCTTGTGGATGAGTGTACATCTGGCGTCGATCCATTATCCCGCCGGGCCTTGTGGAGGATTCTGACATCTGTTCGCCATGACCGGACTATTGTGTTCACCACTCATTTCTTGGATGAAGCCGATCTCTTGGCTGATAAGATAGCCATCCTTGCCGCGCCAGGCAAGCTGGTGGCTGAGGGCACCCCTGTCGCTCTGAAGTCAAACCTTGGGCAGGGATACAGCATCCAAGTCATGTTTGACTTCCCTGATTTGACTGAGAAGGACCTTCCAAAAGCACCGTCGGTAACTTTGGATCGTATTCGCCAAGTGTCCCCCCAGTGCTCCATGTCACTCGCATCGCCGAGCCAAGCGTCATACCACCTCAAGTCGAAGGATTCTGTTGTTGTGGAGAAGGTCCTCCAGTTGTTGGATAAGGAGCGCGACGCCCTTCGCATCGCTTCCTACGATGTGTTGGGAACGTCCATTGAAGATATCTTCCTAGATCTCATGGCCCGTCAAACTCGTAGCGCCTCTCCCGATGGCACTGAAAAATCCATCTCAAGTTCAGGTGGCATTTCTGAGCCCATCCTGCCCGACTTGACTGGTGTCCCATCGGCTCCAGCCAAAGCCCTCGAGCTTACCGATGGACGACCTCGTTCTCCTCTTAGCCAGGCTTTGACGATTTTTTATAAGCGTGCATTGATCGCCCGCAGAAGTTGGCTGACACCTTTGTTGGTCGTCCTCATCGCGGTTTGCGGCTCATGTATCCCGCTAGTTTTTCTATCTGGCCAGACAGCAACATGTACCCTCCAGTTCAAGAACGAGACCGTCATTCCTTTGTACTTCCCAGACTCGCCTATCTACTATCGGGCGTCTGGACCTGGTACCCAGATCTTGACGTCACCCCCGAATATCACTGCGACTCTCGGAAAGACTGCCATGTTCCTGAAAACGGAGAACGTTCCTGATAATGCAACCTTCGTCTCGACGATTGAACAGGACTACCTAAACTTGTCGTTTGGCGGGATTTCAATAGATATGCAGACCGGCGACTCATTATTTGCGTGGGAGGCAACCCCGCCTGGTTTCACTGGTCCGACAATGATGAATCTGGCGACAAATATACTGTACAATCGGGCATTGAACGCGTCTGGGAACGCTGCAAGCACACCGAGCCTCATTTTAGCAAATTATGCTAGTTTCCCCCATCTTGCTGCAGGGACTCTGGTTGATCTCAAGTGGGTCGCGTTCTTTGGGGCCGCTATGGTACGTACTTCGCGAGAGTGACAGATCGAACGACGTGCTAATATCTTGTCTAGGCTGTATTCCCTGCGTTCTTCTCCCTCTATGTCTCTAGAGAGCGAAGGTCAGCCGTACAAGCCATGCAGCTATCGAACGGACTTTCAGATCCCATTGGGCTTTGGATTGGCCATCTCCTATGGGACTCGATATTCTCGGTGATACTAGCTACGATAATTATCATCATCTTCGCAGTTACCACGAATCAATTCAACGGCCTTGGTTTCTTTGTATGTTTTCCTTTGCTGTTCTGAATGTTGGATTTCACTGATGTATTCTCGTAGTGGGTCATCCTCGTTTTGTATGGCATCGTTGGCGCGTTATTTGCGTACTGCGTATCGTTGTTCATGTCGTCGCCACTGTCCTCTTTTGCAGCAGTGGCAGGGTACCAGATCGTCATGTATATTGTAAGCTCTCACAGGTTTTTTAGCGCGCCACCACTGACGCAGACTAGTTGTACCTGGCTGGATATCTCCTGACGCTGACTTACGCAATGACGTCTCAGTCGAGTACTATTATCACGATTATCCGTAAGGCTTTGTTATCTATATGTGACCTTGCGTTTTAAACAATCTTTCTAGACTTCACGCTTTCAGTGTTATCACCTGTGGCTAGTGTTGTAAGTTGCATCATCTCATTCTTGCAAACCGGCCTTACTGTTTCACAGATGCGTGCGGCCTTCGTGTCAGTGAACCTTTTCTCCCTGCTTTGCGATGGCACGACTCCCGTGACAACGGCATCACTTGGTGACATCATGAGATATGGAGGACCCATCCTCTACCTCTTTGTTTATGGCTTTGTGCTGTTCGGCATTCTTGTATGGGTCGATTCTGGGTCGATCATCCCTCGTCGATTCCTCAATACCAAGAAACGGCAAGTACGAATGAACGAACTGCAGGCCAACTTTGAGGCCAACAGACAAGATGTGGCCGCTGAAGCGCATGCAGTGGGACACTCCAGCGATGCGCTGCGGCTTCTCCATCTTACCAAGGCATTTGGTGGAAATAAGGTTGTTGATGACGTGTCTTACGGGGTGTCTCGGGACACCATTTTCGCCATGCTTGGGCCTAACGGAGCTGGCAAAACTACCACCTTCAATATGATTCGTACGTATGTCTGATACGATGATAAAGCTCTAAGTCTCATGTTCCGCGGCGATATCTAGGTGGCGACGTAGTTCCGGACATGGGAGATGTATTGATCAAAGGGACATCGGTGTTGACCTCTCCGAGGACTGCACGTCTATCCTTGGGAGTCTGCCCACAGTTTACCGCGATTGACTCTCAGCTGACTGTCCGAGAACACCTCATGATCTACGGTCGTCTAAAGGGCCTCAACAGGGGCCATGAGCTGAAGTCGAATGTTGAGGCACTCATGGTTGCTACATCATTGCATGTGTATGCCGACCGACTAGCGAGTCAACTGTCCGGCGGGAATCAGCGCAAGCTCTCCCTTGCCATCGCCCTTATCGGTGAGTTCTTGAAATTCCAGTACGAGAGATGGCTGACATAGACACATTTAGGTAACCCCTCGGTTGTCCTCATCGATGAGTTCTCTACAGGAGTTGATGCAAAGATGAAGAGAGATATGTGGGGCACTCTCAGAAACGTCGCTGTCGGTAAAGCAGTCGTTATCACAACACGTGCGTTTTCTTGGAAGTTATCGTTGCCCCGCTTCTAATCTCAGATGGCTATTTAGATTCCATGGAAGAAGCTTCAGCTCTCGCAAACAAGGTTGGCATTATCTCTAAACAGCTGCTGGGTAAGCAAGTCCATTGTTTTCTATGTGTGCAATATCTGATCGCTTTGCAGCTGTTGGTACAATAGAGAACCTGGCCTCACGTTATGCCACATACCAAGTGCACTTCTCTTGTCCGACACGAGAAGACGTGACTAGAGCTCAGGTTCTCATGAGTCGTATTCCGGGCTCCCGTCTAGCCGACGATGTTGCCACGCGCTTCGAAGTTCCCATACAAGAAGGCAATGGGCTCACCCTTGCACAACTATTCCATGTTCTCTCAGTCTCAGGGCGATTTCCAGGAGTACAGTGTGGAAAAGGCGACACTAGAGAGCGTGTTCCTGAAGGTTATTAGAGGAAATAATGTCCTCGAGGAAGACAATTCCTCTGGAACACAACGCAGATTTCGATTTTGGTAGGGCTGTAAGTTGCTCAACTATTTAGATGAAGACCGGACTTATTTGCACGTACTTGACATGGACGATATATGCATTTGGCAATAATTAATGTTGTATCTATATGACCATTAATTGTACTCGAGGAAGTACTTAGCAGCACTGCGGTGCGTACGGTGAACGGCGGTTGGCGCGCGCGTCAGACGATGCGCAAAGATGTGGTTTGTGTTGCTATCATGAACACTTGAGGGAAGTCGTACATAGTGTGATGATGACATTCGGGATTTCATAGGGGCGTGGCTAAGGTGACGTAGTGTTTGAAGTCGCAAGGCACATCACATGCTCAGGATATTTATGTAAGAAGAGAGCTCAAGCTTGCAAGCCGCAGAATGGGCGATAGTCGATCCACCTGTTATCTGTTAAATGTCGTCTGGCATAATCGTCCTCTTTGTCATTGCATTCGCAGTTTACTTCTACAGCTGTCGACGCAGTAGATTACCACTACCTCCTGGGCCACGTCCAAAGTTCTTCACTGGAAATGCGCATCAACTACCCAAGCAGGAGTCTTGGCGGATGTACGCTACTTGGGCGGAAATTTATGGTCATAATCTCCAGTTCTCTGCTTTCTGGGAGACTTGCTGACATACTTCTCATAGGGCCCATTTTCTCCTTCCGCGTGCCTGGCCAGCAGTTCATAGTGCTCAGCTCCATAAAAACAGCCTACTGAATTACTCGATTTACGCGCCACTACATATTCTGATCGTCCAAGACTATGGATGTATACAGGAACTTGCGAAGCGCAAGCTGAATACGTTCAACATACCTTTCAATCACCCGTATTTCAAGATCTATCGTAGGATCTTCAAAGCAAGTCTGAGTCCCCGCAATATACAAGGCTACCAGTCGCTGCAGACCGAAGAATCCCGTGTGCTGCTTGATGGTTTGCACAAGGACCCTGAACAATTCATCGCCCACATCAGAAGGTAAAAAAATTCTCGTGTTTGGTTTTTTCTTTCCTCGCTTCTCATCGGAGGTGCAGAAACGCAGCGGCCGTTGTCCTTAATCTCGCATATGGCTGGAAGGTCACTAAGAATGACGATTATCTCATTGGTGTCGTGCAAGAAGGCCTTGCCATCACTGGCATCCTGTCCCAGCCTAGCCGTTGGTTAGTCGAAGTGATACCATCCTGTAGGTTATCCTTTCATTTTCCGAGTTATCATAAAGCTGAGCGAGCCAACCTTCTATTAGTACGTTTCGTACCATCATGGTTCCCAGGAGCAGGTTTTAAACGCGTGGCCTTCGACCTCGGGCAAAAGCTAAGTAGGACTGATACGATACCATTTGACTGGGCTAAACAGCAAATTGTAAGCTTTGCCACGCAATCTTGTGACTTGCTGTCATCAGGAGCTCTAACAATTGTCATCGCCGCTTAGCGAAGCGGCAGCTATACTCGTTCATTCGTCTCAGAACAGCTCCTTCTGGAGGATGGGTCCGCGGTCGGCCCCCAACAAGAAGAAATCATCAAGTGGTCCAGCCAGGGAATCTATGCCGGGGGAGCAGACACCGTAAGATTTCTTGTGCACCTTCCCTAGTATGAATTGTGACATGATCAATGACATGAGCAGACAGTATCAGCCGCTACGTCTTCTGTTCTAGCGATGATGCTCTATCCCGAGGCGCAGAAGCAGGCGCAGGCAGAGATCGATGCTGTCGTGGGCCAAGACAGATTTCCCACTTTCGAGGATAGAGAAAAGCTCCCGTACATCGGAGCGATCATCCAGGAGATCCTCCGTTGGGCACCCGTGGTACCGTCAGGTCAGGCACATGACTTTTTATGTCTTCGTTCCCGCTCACCCTCAGTAACTCAGGGCTCCAGCACCACGCGATGAACGAAGACGTCTACGAAGGGTACCGAATTCCCAAGGGTACCATCGTCATAGCAAACGTCTTTTCCATCTCACGCGATAAAGAAACGTACCCCGACCCATTGGAGTTCAGGCCCGAGCGCTTCCTCGGTCCCTCGCCCCAAATGGACCCACATAAATTTGTCTTTGGGTTCGGGCGCCGTGCATGCCCTGGTGCGTATCATTTGCATAACACTGTCCCGGTCGAAACTCCGATTGTAATTGAACGAGCTCCTTTTATTTCAGGATTCCATTTTGCCGAAGCGTCGTTATACCTCAATATTTCGTGTATCCTTGCTGCGTTCACGATCGCCAAACCACTCGATGAAAGAGGGGAAGAAATCACACCTCCTGCAGAGTTCGAGGGTGTTGGCCCAATCCGGTAACTCGTCGGTCAATCTATGACCCTAAAACATAATCTTACACACCCAAAGGCACCCCAAACCATTCAAGTGCAGGTTTATCCCAAGAAACAAGGATCTGTTGGCATCTCTCTCGCAATAATCAGCACATCGGTCGACTTGAGCTCAACTCCCCGAATTGCAGCCAGTGTGCAGTTGATCATAGTGCGCTACTAGCATGGTTCCGAGACTTGGCATTGAGTGATATTCATCTTCTCAAAACCACAAACAGCTGTAACTGTGATCCAAAATTGATCCCGTCACGGCCTGTGATCACAGTCGTTTTTCTCGTCAACAGTCGTACTTCTTAAATTACTGGGACTCCCGCGACTCGATACTGCCGTCCAACTCATTTTTATCCCATCTCCCCTCCTGTTGTCATCTCGCTCCGTCTGCAGTTGCCCCCATAATCAGTCAAGATTTCTTATCGGTTCGGCTCTTAGACTGGCACGCTTAATGGGTGGTTTCTTAACTTGCTGTTGTGTGGTGTGAAGTCACTGCTAAATGGTTGAACTCGATGAAGCCTTGACTTGTGGTGGTTGTATCTGCTCACCCTGTGGTGCTTACACTCGACCTCACGAGCACGTGTGTAGTTGTCTGCAGTTTGATCAGTGTTATGCAATTCTCCCGGTCGTGCTTCCGAGTCTTCCAGTGTTTTCAATGCTCCTACTAGTGTTACAAGACGACACAATGTCGTCTACGCGCCGCGGCTGATGTCATGATCAACATTGTGATCTGTGGGAGTAGGCAACGCATGCCGAACTTCCATTCGAACACCGGTAGTGACGTTGGTTTACTGAAGCTGCCTTGGCAAAGACAACTCCAATGTTCATCTTGAGGTCATAAGGCGGAACTCAGGCATCATAAATTCGAGTCTTACATGGTCATACTAGTCTTTCCCATTCCGAAGCAAATGACAATACCCTTGGTTGTGTGGTCAATATGTCACTGACGATCACCTCCTCTGATGAGCGAGGGAAGGCCGTCTTCCGACTTGAGGTCAGGTGGTCACGACTGCGCACTGGCATGAGGTAACTTAGTATATAAATGTCGCCTTTCCACAACCTTTTCAGGTACTCGCTCTTGAAAGCACTCTCTACCGTGCTGTGACCTATCCTACTCAAAGTTCGTTTGTCCACTTTTGTTCATACCACCCGGGTTCTGACATGATGGGGCTCCTCGGTTAGCTCCTCGGTTAGATCGTTATGCCTGGAAGTACTCTTCCTCCTTTCCCGGACGATGTTCGAACACATCCGCTCTTGATCATTGATTACAAACTCATCCAGGCTGGAGATGTGGAGGAAGTGAATCGTTTGTGGGAGGCTGCGACAACTCTTGGATTCTGGTAGTACGTCGTCTTGTGTATTCGCCGGACATGTGTTGAATCTAATTCTGTAACAGTTTAATGAACCATGGCGCAGACCAAGAAGTCAGCGACATGTTTGATATGGGAGTAGAAACAATGACCTTGCCTCTCGAAGAACGGATGAAGTTCGAGCAAGGAGACAAGGGTCAATCTTTCGGGTTCGTTTTAATTCGGCCCACACACGTCTCTCATCTTATCGGGGTTCCTTATCAGATACAAGAAAGCGGGGGCTAATGCGATCGATGCAACCGGTACGTACTTACAAGTCACTGGCGATAGACTAACACACATCTAGGCAGATCCTTGGACACGGTTGAATTCATAAACGTCTCAAAAGATGATGCACTGGCATATCCACGTGTCGTTCATCGCACCTACCCATCGACCGTAAATGCCCGCATGGAAAACACGATTGCACCATTTGTGCGCAAAGGTCTTGAGGTGACGTATGTCATGTTGAATATATTCAATGACAAGCTTGGACTGCCGCAAGGGACATTGGAGAGACTAAATGGCATGGAGGAGCACAGTTGTAGCGAAACTAGATGCATTCGTAATCCTCCTACGCAGGTTAAGGAAGCGATGGAAAGGGCTGCGATAGGCGCTCATACTGACTTTGGCAGTCTGGTGGGTTACTCCATATATACGGCGATGTTTTTGTTGACAAAAAATATTACCAGAGCTTCCTGCACAATCGCCTTGGTGGACTCCAAGTGATGCCCCCTGGTCATCATGAGTGGTCCTACATTCGAGTGAGCAAGAGTCCCTTACCCGCGTGCAACAGACACTCATCTATGGATAGCCCATCCCTGGACATGCCATTTGCAACATTGGAGATGCGCTGTCTCTTTTCAGTGGAGGCATCCTGCAATCCAACATCCACCGCGTTGTGTACGTATATGAGGGCTTGATTTTGCAGACTTACTAATTTGTCGAATAACCATGGATAGTCCACCTCCTGGTGCACAGGCTGAATACGAGCGGTGGTCGCTGGTGTTCTTTACCCGTCCAGGCAACTCGAAAGTCCTTCGGGCTCTTGTTGAATCAAGTCCTATCATTGCAGATGCGGTGAAGAAGCAACCTGACCGAAACTTCGAGACTGGTTCCACTGCTGCAGAGTGGTTCGCGCGAAGAATCAGGAACCAGAGGATTAATAACAGAACGGTAGGAATATCTTCAGCGCTGTGGTGGATGCGATTACGGATAATATCACAGGGACCGGAGACATGGGCTGCAAGCCGAGGTACCGAACACACTCCGACGGTGGTCTAGGTTGTGAACTGTCCGTGTCGTTCGACAACCAGTCTGATTTGATGCAAAAGTTCCTGCTACGATACCGATTGCAAATGACCTGCCATGATCTGTTTTCCTGCTTCTAGTTCATGAATATGAAATACTCCTGGTACAAACTACAACTCCTCGAAAAGAACAGAAGAGAGAGTCAGCTTTCTCTTTTCAATTTTTGGAAATCAACCTAATACCTTTGCAAGAAGGCGGACATCAAGGATGCATCAAGCTTCAAGTTCGGACTCCAGCATGCGTGCCAACTTCACACAAGTTGCTAGAGCTTGTTAGGTGTGTTGGAATCCGAAGTGGTATACTGTCACGCAAAGGTGGTTGTATCTATGATGTACCATAGGATATTCGATTTACTCGATGCATCCGTTAATACATCCGCTCTTGAAGCCTGGCATCTGTAACGCCATACAATAAAAATGCAACAACTATGAAGCGAGATAATCTATGCAGGTAAAGGCCGACAGGACCATCGAGAACACATGAGAGAGACAACCCCAACTAGAAAGCAAGCCTACACACAACAAGAAGCAATATCAAACGCTCCAAAATCTACGAAACAACACACCCGTGAAATCAAATCAACCACATAGGGTCAGGTAACACGACCACACGTGATCTTGCATCCATTTGCCAGCAGTATTCACGCTGACTTGCCCTTCATAGATCATTAGCACCCCAAAGCACACAACAAACCAAGCCACGACGCACCATCATCGGCTTTCTTGCCACCCACCGCTTCTCAGCGTAATGTCCCACGCGCATCAAGTCTGGCCACATAAATAATGGTATGACGACCGCCATGACAGGGATCGCAATCTTCCAGAAACTATGCGCATGCATAAGTCAGCCTTGATTTCCGTATGGATTCGGAGATACGTACAAGACTTCGGAATGGGTATTGACACTCCACATAGGGTCAAAGTTCATTCCCTGTGCGATGCGTTAGAGTGGCGGGGGAAGAAGGGAGATAAGAAACGCACGAAGTAACCCGAAAGTAACGTCAACGGAAGGAATATGATAGTGGCGAGAGTGAGGCGGCGCCTGATAGTCCCCATTTAGTTCGAGACACGTCCAAAGAAATCAAAGATGCACGCACATGACTACGTTCATCTCGTATGATTTGATCTGTTACTTATGTCAATGAAGGTGAGGAAATCAGGACAAAGGAATAGCCCACATTGAACGTGTAGTTGATCAGATTCTCTGTGATCCCTGCGAACATATCCATACTCGTAAGGATATATTCCATGTGATCGTGCACGTCCGCCTACCACAACATTCCAGCTCAGCTGCACTTAGACGAAGGGGTCACGACACACCAGGTATATTTTACTCTTGTGGGTCATGAACCCCTTTATTCTCTCCCCTCTTCGCTCTTGAATCTCCTTCTCCTCAGACGAGAGAAGTGCAGCACATCGATCCTCATCGTACCGCCGCAGCCCATAGATGACCGTCTTCAGCGGCCCGAGGGTCCGCTTGTGCAGCGTCAAATCACCCGAAAGAATATGCACTATACGTCAGGATTGTTAAAACAAACAGAAACGGACGGGGGAATAACACGCACGCCGCGAAACGACCTTCACATTCGGCTTCATCAACACGTCATACTCTAGCTGTAATATTTTCTCATGGAATGCATCCACTACCTCGAGTGCGGAGTCCACGATGAGATCCAGAAGACTTTGGACGAGCAAACTGGAATCTGCAGATGCACGTAGGCCTGTGTCGGGCTGTCGGAGGCGCGCCATGATGGGACCCGCAAAGTCGACGAAGTTGGAGGGCATGATAGATATAACTGTGCCTGTGTCAGGTATCAGTTATGAGCATTTGAACTTGTGATGCAGAATGTGTAGATTCAATGCATGTACGCCCGAATAACAGCATGAATGCATGCAAATCAAGGTAAATGCGTCGAAAGAAAAGCATGTAGTGACTCGAGGCGGTGAATATTAGCCCAGAACCAGGATATATGCGCCATAAATGTCGTCCACCTGACGTGTGTACACTCCCATCGGCATGAATTGAGAAGGATGGAAAAATTAAGATAGGAAACAGGAGGGAAACAACACAATGATGAAGCAAGTCGGTAAATGAGTGCAGGACTCACCATCTCTCAACAAGAAGATTGATATCGGCTGGACGCAGACGTTCACGCGACCTTCCTTCTTCAGGTCCGCGAGAGTCATTTGAGCTTTCTCCCGACGTTTTCGGGACTGCGCAGCGAGCATGTTAAGATGAGTATTGGTTTCGAACTGCATTGATTAAGAGGAAAGAAAAGGCAGAAAAGTACCGTCGACAAAAGTGCGATAGATCGCATTGAAGTAAGGTTGAAGAAAGAAAAACCGAAGAAAAGATGAGAAAAAAACAATGAGGAAAAACACAATACCAGTGACAAAACGTACCGCACTCTCTTTCCGTGTAGTAGTTGTCAGCGGGGTGTTGGCTTCGTTGCCCCTCGCCGCGCTCTCCGTGTCGGCATTCGTTGACCTTCTGCTCCTGATACCGCCCCGAAGCCTCCAGGTTGCAGGCGCACTGCCGCCATACATTGTACGATCTTCATCCCCAATCTCTGCATCGACATCGTTATCCTTGAGATACTCCTTCTTGGGATAGTCCCCTGGCGTCATTGGGCCTGGTGAGGCGCTCCGTGGCGGCAAGGGGTCTTCGTCTTCTGGGATGTAGGAGTTTGGAGATGAAGAAGAAGAAACGAGTGTATGAGATACGGCATGAATGAAGAGGTGTTTGCTGTAATAGTCCGTTTTGGAGCGCGTGTGTCCGCGTTTGTGGAGGACGTCTTCGAGGGCGAGGGGGTGAAGGTCTACACGTCATGATTTTCAATACCTCACATGACGTATTATAGCCAGATAACACACCGTATTTCAGGGCAAGCGCACTCATTACGTCCCAACTGATGCCACACACATTTATCCACCTAACCTTCACCCACGGCTCCCTCTCCGAACTCTTCACATCGTTGAACATTTGTACAAAGCGTTCATTATCCATCTTTCCAAAGCTGCTCCGCACAGTACTATAATCTGTGATCTGGATCTCGCAGCGCTCGCGGATGTGCGCATAATGGAGATACGCAGACTGCTTGCGCGGGTCAATACCGGGTTCTGCACCAGCGAGGCCAAAGCGCGTAAAGATAGTTGATGTCCGATGCATGGAAATTACTTTGCGAACACATGCGCGGAAGCGGTCTTTTGGGGTAAGGATGGCAGGACGCTTGGACTGCAGTGATGCTGGGGTTATTGACGAAAATGCTCGTTGCCGAGATTGGGTTACAGGCTCTCGGGAGGATCCATTGGAGGGTAGAGACAGTTCAACCTGAACAGGAGATGCGCAACGCGGCGATGGAAGCGATGGCGCGAACTCGTCCTCAAGGTCGGGCGTCAAGGAACGCCCGACAGAGTCCGTGAAACTGTTTTCACGAGGCATGGCAAGCTGTAATTTTCGTCAGTAGTGAGGTATTTTGTTAGTATGAGTTTTCGGGTATCGTTCCCCCTGGTATCTTGGAGTACGGTAGAGAATACTGCTGAACCTGGTAACTCGGCCCTACAGTGATACTTATGGAGCGTATGACTGCAGGGATGAATGGAAGGAACGTCTGGAAGGACCCGAACTGATAAGTTTATGAAACCAGCTTGGAACGTTCATGTTACAGCTGGCAGTACGTACGACGTACGTATCAATGCAACGAGGTGCCTTGGACCCATCCAGGCTCTCTGAAGATGATCCGTCCAACCCACGAGTTTCAGATTTCTTGATTCTCCGTAGTAAGAGTAAGACCCAATTGCAAGCGGACTTCCTTCAGGACCTTCTACTACAACAGTGCGATACCCTCGAAGGTCCTTTATTTCTCTCTTGTGGACTATTACTAGCATCAGTGCTTCGACTGAATCTATGTGTACTCCATGCGTGCCAAGCTTGTAGTAAGTGTCCCCAAGTATTTGCCAGTCTCACAGAGCATTTGATAGGGACAGTCGCGGGGCTCGCAGCTGCCACTGTCACGGTTGCACTGGAATCTGCTGAGTCTGCTGACACCACTGCACTTTTCTCCAACGTCCACGGCCCTCGCCATCTTGCAGCACGCTCACGAACTGCTCGGGATTCAAAGGGCAGAGCGCAACATAATTGACATCACCCGTGTGCCCGCGGAGGGCTTCTCCGTCATGCTAACCCAGACTGAACATTCCATATTCACAATGATCGGTCATATACCATCATGAAGGTACACAATACTGTTGACTAAGTTCTCATGTCATGGTCTCCATACTTCATGTCCCCGTAGGATTCTATCGCGCGAGGCGGTATAAGTACCTGTCCCAGAGACAAAGCACGTTAAAGTCAGACGACTTTGGTACGGGGCATATATTACAGAGACAGAAGAACTGGCCTATGAACGTGCGCTGGAGCTTAACGCGCCGTTTGGCTTGAGCCCTGTTTGAGTGTCTCCGCTTTGGGCCCTCGCAAGTTGCGACTTCTTCAAATTGAAGCACCGGTACGTTAAGTGTCTTATCAATATGCCATGAGCTAAACACACCGCGATGACACGCGTGGAAGCAAGTAGTCGTCTTCTTATCTCCGCATTGCATGACGGGGTAAATACTTATTCGACCATCCATAATGGAGAACTTCTCCTTTCTGCTCGCCCTGACTCGGAGTCCCCTACCCAGCTGGGTTTGGATATATGAAGGTCCGAGTACTTTACATTCTATACAGCATAATTTTTTAGATGCTGAGTCTCGAGCTACTTGAACAGATTAAGGTCCCTGATCTTCTATCTATCGGGTTCGGTTCAAGATATCATGTATCCTTGCAATACTTCTGTACCGAATGGCGCGGACTGTGGTTCTCCATGTGTACCTGTTAATTGTTCTCTCCGGCTACTAGCATTACCCGACCATCACGATCACGATTCCAAGGTAAGCAGTTACAATCGGTTGAGAATCGAGCACCGCCAATTTTGATTCAGACTTGCAAGGCATGCGAACACTGAAACTATTAATTGAAGGTAAAAGATCGACAATGGATGGGGAAATAGGATCGATACTAGAGTACTGCACGTGGTGGTGTAACCCAAGATGCTTGATCGTGTTAGCCACGGACATGATTCCACACTGGGCGTGGCTGCTACATACTAATGAAGCAGGAAGTTGCACAGTGCCACCGTGTTTCGCTTGCTACCCTCAACCGGGTAAGAATCTGCCAGCAGGTTGAGGTGCTATGCTGGTCCAATTCAGCCCCAGGAACTAAATACTGGTGATGGAAGCACCCAGCCTTCTCCTTGGATCATGCAGTGAATATCGCAGAACATATGACCTCTCTGCTCTCGCTACTTCCACCCAGAGAACAGGCACGATGGCAGATGTGTTTACCGGGACCAAATCCCAAATCAAGTTGCCATGAACCTTAGATCCTAGGGAGCGAATATCACGAGATAATAGCACAAATGACGACTCGTTTCTCGATGTTCATATCAGAGTCGTGCATTATTTCAATACAGTACTCAAGCTTCGAAATCTCATATTTGATGGACACAGTGGGTGCCAGACACTACATAATACGTAACGCTTCCATTGGCGCTATTGCGTGACTTTACCACAGTTTTCAGCGCATAATGAGAGTCCTTAATACTCGCGCTTTCAAGTCTGTTCGAACGATCACACCGGAGTTTCGATTATGCGCCTTTATGCATGAGCTGCAATGAGTATGAGACAGCGTCATATCGGAGGCTCCATTGACGTGAAGTGCGTTTTGATTTGTGTCCTAAGCATCTTGTAGTAAGCACTTAGTGATACCGCTATAGGTGGGGAGGGGCAACACCCTGCCAATTTCAATCTCCGACAGTGACTAGTCTATAAGGGATTACCACTAGTTAGGCGTTAATGGATGGTCGCATAATGTATCTACCGCTACAGCTCAAACACATCACCAGTTGCTAAAACTTGAAGGGGGACAATGGCGTGAATTCCGAATCCAATTGTATTCTTGGTGCCACTTTTCAGAAAAACACGGTTTAGAAGGGGATGCATTCCAGCACAGGAGGCAGACAAGCAAATTTTTATTAAATTCCACCAAGAATACAATGAACGAGTAAATCTAGTGTATTCTAGATGGTCATTTACACACCAGCACAACGTAGTGGGGTGCGAGCGGTAGGTCAATGATTGTGAAGATTCGCTGCTGAGTAAGCATAATAAACGCGTCGCGTCGCGTCACATCAAACATCCTGACACTCTGCAGACCCAAATGCCAGCACGATACACAAAGCACGACCGTTGGAAACCTTCGAGAAAACGGACAATAGCTCAACAGCAAGTCACATCACGCATGAAAGCTCAGAGCACTCACACAAAAGGTCTCCTGAAGGAAAACATCCCTCCTGCAGCTACAGTTTCGTCCCCCAAATTAACCCTACCTGATGCAATCCTCCCAACATCAAAGAATTTTCACGTCCGCTACAGAAATGAGCGCCGATGCCACAAGCGGACCAGGAGTCATGTTGAAAGGCTGGAGGCAAGCTTACAAGAAGCACAATCAGCTGTTGTCGGGGCTGCCTCACAGGCTCGGGCAGATCAACAGTCACTCTCACAGCTGCAAAGAGTGAGGCCAAACACTTGCGAGAGCGCAATGAGATCCTCACCAAACGTAACCATGCTCTTGGTATGCGTGTTTCTCGCGCACCTCTCCAGAAAGCACACGCCATCAAGAAGGCCACTGCTCGCACTATAGCACAAACCACAAAACATACAACATTTGCCCTGAAAAACAAGAATATAATCACTGATACTGTCCGCGACACAATCTGCGAGCTCGTAGCAACACACGACGTACCAGTATCGAGTGTTCGAGGTGTCTTTGGTGTTATCGCAGAGGACATCAACAAGATGCGCGTCGCTGAGCTGGACCTGCAGATCCGCTGGCATCGCCAATTCGATTCACAAATTCCTGCAGCGAAGGACCTTAAAGGCAAGAAAGCACCGGAGAAAAGGGCCATTCTGGCAGCTGCAGCAGAGCGGCTTTCTAGTGGGGAAGTAGGACCCAACACTGACAAGGCTGCGACGATGCAGGAAATTGAGGGACATGACACCACCAATGTTGGGGCTCTCTTAGGGGACTCCGATGAAGAAAATGACTCGTAGACGGCCGCTCCTCTTAAAATTTGATAGGCTCGTATAATCCACCTCATCTATAGTTCTTGCTGATGGCTCGGCGACCTAAATTCTTGTCGTGTAGGTGTTTGGTTACATGTCTACACCATCTCGTACTTTATTGACCACGTATTTCGCCGATACTTGATTACATAATATCACACTTTGTTTGGTGGCGCTGCGCCTCCCCACTATAGGTATGCCTGCGTCCAAATCGCGCGTGCAATTTCCATTCAGAAGTATCATATATCATATAACATGAGGGATACAGGCATGTGGTACTCTACTTTTAGGACCATGTGATGAACAAGTATCAAGATTTACTTAAAGCTCTGATGGCAGAAGACAGATGTCCGCCTATAGCAGTCTTTGCCCTATGTCATGTATTTCTGTGGTGAATCGACTACCAGCTGAGTAAACTTGTTGCGGGGCTCAAAGGTTTGGGCTATATAACACTTGACGTGCTTTCGATGAGCAACACAAGCAGAACTGTCATGGCACAATCCACTCCTCGAGTTTGGTTGAGTGAGTTGACATGCAACCTCAGGCCTCAGTGTGTGGATTTACTGACTACTCGCAGTTACCGGTTCTTCTACTGGGTTTGGAAGGGCGATGGTAGAAGAGGTCCTACGTAATGGCGAGATTGCGGTCGCAACGCTGCGCAAGCCCTCCGTCTTCGACGACCTCGCCGCCAAATATCCCCACACCCAGCTCCTAGTGCTCCCGCTCGACGTGACGAACGAGGGGCAAGTCAGGTCTGTATTTGTACAGGCCAAGGATGCCTTTGGGCGCGTCGATGTTGTGTACAACAACGCGGCTCAGTTATTGTTTCAGGAGCTGGAGGGGGTGCCAATGGACCGTGCCAGGGCGCTGATGGATGTCAATTTCTGGGGCGCGGTAAGTGTAAGCTTTGAGGCAGTGAAATTCTTTAGAGAAGTGAACCCGAAAGATGCTGGGGGGATGCTCGTGCAAGTATCAAGCATGGTAGGGACCACGGGTGTCCCGCTACTCGGGTTCTATAACACCACGTGAGTGGGTTGATGCTGTCCGATTAAATATCGCTGAAGCGTTTGGTGTTCGTAGGAAAGCAGGTACGTTGCTTATGGCACACACACCTTATCATCATTTTGATCACCACAATTTAGCCTTGGATTCGTTCACCGAAGTCCTGGCACAGGAAGTCCTTCCCGCTTGGAACATTCGGGTGAGTAATTGAACAGTGAGAGATAAAATTCGCTGCCGAGCGCTGAATGGTCATGCAGCTCGTGAATGTTCACCCAGGTTGGACGCGCACGCCTATTCTGTCCAGCGACATGCTCGAACCTCCAGCACTGTATGCGTCGGAACCGACAGCCGCGACAACGAAGAGGCGTGCTGGGTGGGATGCGTTCGTCAAGAGCGATCTGACCGACATTGAAACCGTGACGAAGCGCATTTGGTCGGTGACACGGATGGACGATGAGGACCTGCGTAAAGGTGTTCAGGAGGGCATTCCAGGTCTCGTGAACATGTATACGGGCATGGACTCGCTGGAGTGTATGCATGCAAAAATTGGCCGCCTGCATGGCGAGATGATGTGGAATACAAAGGTTCATTATGAGTACTAGTCTCTCTAGGTTTCGTATGTAAGTCAGATGTAAGTATGTATGAATGCACACTGTACCAGTACACCAAGGAGACTGACCTCGAGGCTAGCACTGAACGACCATCGTGCTGTTTTCATGATTCAGATAACCTGCACTTACATTGCTCTGGAACTTCTACGTATGTTCTCAACAAAAGCACGAAGATCATCTTCCAGCATTGGTTTCAGACCGTAATCGATATCCAGCTGAAGGTCCAAAAGACGGTTGTCAAGCTCGTGCACTAGCTCGGCAGGCGCAGCAGGACGATTCTCTAATTCGAGTTGGTCGAGCCATGACCGAAATGTATGAATCTCAGCGCCTTCTAGATTGACGTTGAGATCCAGACCAGTCACTTCTCCCCCACCGGCTTTCTTGGGAGGTTTGAAACGTACGAAGGCATACGTATGGCGTCGGTCTCTTTCTACTTCGGCCCCAGAGCTAATTCTCGGTGGCGTATACAGCGCAAACACCCAACCTTCTCCCTGCAGACCTCGCATTGAATATTGCGGAATACATGTGACCTCTCTGTTCTCGCTATTTGCTTTGCGGAATCCAGAGAACAAGGTTGCAGGCGTAACGGCGGATGCACGTTGCAGAACCACATCGAGATGCCATGAGGGATCGTCGGGAGCGAATGTCACAAGATCAAGGATGGCACGGATGACGACGGCCGACTGGAGCAAGGGTAGGGCGCATGCAACCGGATGACTATGCGTGTCCGAGGCCTGTATGTAGGAGAAGGCGACGGGGTAAGACACATTTTCAAGCGCAAGCTCCCTAAGAGGCTGCAAGAGAGAGGAATGTAGTAGGGCTTCGAGTGAGTGAAACAGATGCCCGTGGTTCCGCAGCAGTTGATAAATGTCGTCGTTTGATATTAAGGGGCAACCTAGAGTTATTAAGGTGCTCAAGCGCGGAGCCAGCTGCAAGATCTTGGGGACGATCTGCGTCGTGAGATAGGAGTTATAGGAAAGATCAAGTCTTTTGATTTTGTTCCCATGGAAATTCAGGATTTCTTCAACCTGATCGTCTCGTAGCGCCACCTCCGCAAGTGATAACACGCCATTCTTTTCGCTCAGCTTCTCTTCAACAACTTCGTGCAACAATGACATTCCGTTGTGGGGAAACGGCGATAAGTCCCGCAGCGCACCACAAACCTGAAATTTTTTTCCAGCCTGCCAAAGTTCGTTCAATTGATCGATGTCGTATGTGTCGTGGGTGTCCTGCGTAATGGTGATGGTTGGAATTGGTGCCTTTGATATCGTCGTCAACTCTGGTGCGACTGATTGTAACAGAGGCATCCCAACGAGTTTTCTGACTTCTTCGCTAATTTTGAAATCAAAAGCCTCAGACCCCGAAGAAAGAACATCTTGGGGGGTCTGCGTCTTCTTGAACTCGTTCGGCCAAACTGATATCAGAGTGTCCAGGTTGATCAACTTGACGTTATCAAGTTTTTTGATATGCCCATTCCCTTTGAAATCGCCTTTGGTATATGCACACAGATATTGGCGTGCAGAAAGCGGCACACGCGGAGCAGGAATTACTGCGTCCTTCACATTGCATCCCGTATTTGCAACGTTGACGAAGCAGTACATTGGCGATCTGACCTCAGTGAGGTCAATTACAGTGATCCTTTGTTTATTGTCTGTTGAACAAACTCAGTTATCATCCGTATGGATGAAAAGGTACAAACCTGCATCATCGTTTCCCATGTTCCCGGTGCTCCAGCACATAGCCATCAGGAAAGTGATGAACGGGCAACAGAGAGCTGGTATATCCTCGTTACTGCAGTACTTCTCGTGCAGAGCGCTCACTTCCGACTCTATCACCTCTCTATTACTACCATACTTCACCATCGCGAGAAAGCGGAGGAGACAGGATAGCGCGGTGACTGCTCCTTGACATTGCGGGACATGATACGCTGCCACGCAGCGATGTTTTGTAGATCCTGAACACGCAGATCGGATGCGAGCGATAACGAATATCTGGAGTCGTCCATCCATATAGGAAATGAAAATGGCAGTATCAACTGTTGAACTTGAGGTTGAACCGACGTTGTCACGCTCAGTGTTTACATGTACACTTAGGGGACTCCACAAACAAGTGTCAACAACTCGCATCGCGTCGCGCTGCCTGGCAGTGAATAATGATTTGTCTCCTTCGATACATTTGGATCAGATTATCATGCATGCCGCGACGTCTGCAAAGGTACGCCATATTTAAAGTCGGGCGTTTATGACCAGCATGTTCATTTATGTACAGAAGCAAAAAGAATACATCGATAAACTTGAAGCAGAAATTGACATCTTGCAAAAGAGGATAGGGTTGGAGCAGATAATCGACTCCGGCGAAACACACTGACCCCCTTGAACCAATTTTCAGTGAGGATGAGAGCGCCGAGGCAATCGTATCGAGGCACATCAGCTTGTTACACCGCTATAATGAAGCCAAGGACGCTGCTCAGGTTTGACTCGGATTTTCTGACTTTGTATATGCTGCAAGCTAATGCTCTGCGTCGAAGATATTGATAGGAAGGGTATTAAACTCTACGAGGTCCTTTGTTGCTTTTATGAGATGCTCATCTTTTGCTACAGCTTGCTGCTTCGAAGGAAACCACTGTCCGGCAAATTCACATCGACATGGACCTCATGGATGATCAGTGACCTCAGCTCTGCAGTTTTAATAGTCGATTGTTTTTTCTATCGCGCATACATTGTGTTTCAACAGACCTGTATTTCATATTTGTAACAAGATCCAACTGGTCCCATTTCCAGCCCATACTCGAACTATTTGTCCGTCCGGCGCGTATCCTCCTGCTGGCCAGATCTTGACGGGCCTCAGAACATCGCCCGTATGGTCCAGCCCCAGATTCCCGTGCTCGTTCCATCCCCAACCCCAAACTTCCATGCCTGACAAGGCAGCGGGGGAGATTACTGCCATCACATGTTCGCTGCCACAAGCAAACGATCTCAGCGAAGGAACTGAGTCATCGTGTGATGAAGTAAATTCGACAGGCCCAACTCCGCTCTCCTCTCCTTGCAACCCCCGACCTAGTTGGCCATGGGCATTACTTCCCGTGGATAGAAGGATGTTTTTATCGTCTTTCATGAGAAGATATGTCCCATTCCATGTACACCCGACCTGTCGAACACGGTCCCAAGAATCCCTCACATGCAATTGTCCTTTCTTGTTAGATCCCGAAGCTGTGATCCGCCCTGACTGGTGGAGGATGACGGTGTGCTGGAGACCAAGAGAATATGTTTGCACTGGATCTGCGGATATATCGAGGGAAATGATGCGAGGGAGCTCATAGTTCCCGATCTTCATGTCCCCTAGTTGGCCGTGTCTGGCCAAACCCCAGCCAATGAGCATGTGTTCATTCTTGAGAATTGGTCGTACATGAAGTACGACATGACGAGGTCCTGCCATAATGGACTCGATAACGAGTCTACTAGGGTCGGCAGAGCGCCCCTCGACAGTGAGGTGATCAAACGAAACAACTGCCGGAGTTGACGTATCTCGTTTCGTGCCAACGCCGAGTGCCCCAAAGTCGTTCGAACCCATCGAGATGAGCACGTCTGGCCGAGATGAGGATTTTAAGACAATATATGATGTCTCCCAAGAGGCAGCAATGAGACAACAGGTATATCCTTGTGAACCATAAGTTTCGTACAAGGGCATGCTGATCGGTGTGAACTCTGTCAACTGTCCTGTGTATTCAGGACCTAGCTGCCCTCTGCTCGCGTCTCCGCACCCCCAAAGCTCCCTTCTTCCGCCATCGAATTCCAACAGTACAAGAGTGTGGTTTGCTCCGGTCGCAAGTTGCACAATTCCGCGCGTACCAGAAGGAAGTCCACCCTCGGTGCAGCTCATGAAGAGGCACTCTTTGAAAGTATGTGAATCGCCATCAGAACCATTAGCTAGCTGACCGCGAGCATTCGAGCCTGTAGCTAGGAGACGTAGACATGGAGTTTGAGCCTCCATCAAAATGGGCAAGATGTAAGACTTTATCGTGATCAGTGATCACTAATGACACTGATCAATCTGAATCAATTCAGATCGTGTACGTATGGATGTTGTTCGCTGTTAACGAACACCAGTCCTTTGTTATCCGAGTTTGCTGAGCCACAAGTCGATCGAGTCGAATGTCATGAAAGGAGGTTCAATTAATGAAACAATTTTTGAATCATTCCGGCGACTTACTAGCGAGACCAACGAGCTAATCAGAGACTGTGCACCACTACGAACTACAAACTTGATCTGGTATCAAGGAAGTGAAGAGTGCACCCTAGGGGCGTTTACTAGATGCGAAATGGAAGCAACAGTACTTAGTACAGACCAAACATGCAGTATAAACTGAGATTCGTTATTATCTAAGCTTAGCTCGTTATCCGACCAATGAAATTTAATGTCCGTAGTTTCGCTCGTGTTCCAAGGCTATGCAATTGTAAGGTTCTAACACGCCGCAACCTGGGTTGTTGAGCCCCAGTCGGATATACGACTGTCTGAATAGCCAACACCGAAGCGTATCCTGTTACCAGTTCACTCGACGTGATGGTTCTCAGTGAGAGCAGCGTCTTGGAAGTGCTGAATACTAATTTGAAGAAGAGTACGTTCCACGATCATCGCTTGTATTCATAGCGACTAAGGCACGGTGCTGATTATTATAATTCATCTTGTACTATATACAGGAGCCACTCAGTGAGCCAATAGCATAACTGCTGGCGTATCCTCGACCCAATGTTATCACTTATACAGGTTCGACCGTGGAGATCTCTCTTTTATTATAGTGGCAGGTGCCATGGTATCTTTCATGATACCGGGTCTTGGTTCGCAAAATCTGTCTCACCTTGGGTTTCGCCCGCTCACTCAGGGTGTTGTATTCAGCCTTTCTATATTCTGGATTGGGAAGGAGAAAGTCCGCTTTATCGCTTATCTGGGCAGTCACTGCCAGCAATGCAGTCTGCATTTTTCAGTGGTACTTCTGGGGTTACTCCTTGGCGTTTTCGCCAACTGCTACCAATGGATTCATCGGAAACCTTGCCCACTTTGGCCTGATGAACGTCCTTGACGACCCTTCACCAGGTTCCCCGCTAATTCCTGACCTGTTGTACGCATTTTACCAGATGGAATTCGCATGCGTCACAGCAGGAATCCTGATGGGCGGGATTGCCGAACGAGGTCGGGTTCTCCCAGCTGCAATCTTCACATTTGTGTGGTTGACCTTGGTTTATTGCCCCCTCGCTTGCTGGCCGTGGAATATAAATGGATGGGGTTTTAAGTATGGCGTTCTTGATTATGCAGGTTAGTCGTCTATAGACTATCTTTACTGCCGTCTGTATTTTCTGACTTCTTTTCATCTACAAGGTGGAGGCCCTGTGGAGATCGGAAGCGGGGTAGGAGGACTTGCCTATGCCTGGGTGCTTGGTCGTAGGCAGGAGAAGGAGCTCCTGAACTTCCGACCACACAATGTTTCCATGGTTAACTTGGGCACATTCATACTCTGGTTTGGATGGCTAGGTTTCAATGGTGGTAGCGCTTTCGGTGCCAACTTACGCGCTGTCATGGCGGTGTGGAACTCCATGCTTGCTGCTGCGTTTGGCGGTATCGTTTGGTGTCTCCTCGACTACCGTCTGGAGCGCAAGTATACTATGGTCGGGTTCTGTTCCGGAACCATTGCTGGTCTCGTGGCAGCCACACCTGCTTCAGGATACATACATCCATGGGCAGCGGTCATCTTGGGCACGATCACAGGCGCCGTATGTAATTACGCAACGAAAGGTGAGACTACTGGACTGCTTAATTAGAATGTGCAGATATTGACGCAACCTGAGTTAAATTCCTTCTTCATGTGGATGACGCACTCGACCTGTTTGCTGAGCACGCTGTCGGTGGGATGGTGGGTCTCTTAGCGAACGCATTTTTTGCTTCCCGTTCTGTTGTCGCTCTAGACGGCGTCAACACAAACATTCCTGGCGGCTGGGTCGATCGCCATTGGAAGCAGCTTTACATTCAAGTCGCCTATATTTGCGCGACTTGCTCGTATACCTTCGTTGTTACGGCTCTCATCGCCAAGTGCATCAACATAATCCCTGGCCTCCACTTACGCACTACGGCTGAGGGTGAGAAACTCGGTCTTGACGAAGTCGAGGTAGGCCTTGTCGTACTCTTGAATTTTATTCAGCCTAATAAAAGCCCAGATTGGTGAATTCGCGAACGACTATATCGAAGTACGGCGTGATTATATGGACTGGACGGCATCTGGCGACCCCATGAGTGCACACGGACTCGTTGCTGCTGGTGACAGACACGGTCAGCCAGACCTTACGCAACCGGATCATGTGTGCATTGAAGTACCGAAGCCCGATAGAAATGATGAGAAGTCCATTGAAGTTCCTCAGGCCGACGCAGCCTCTCCTTAATTGCATGGTTCCTCGGTTTTGCACTCTGTAAACATATCTACCCGTCTATCACTTCACTTGTATCTCCATGCACTAGTCTTCGCTCTCTTTTCTATTCCTGTCTTCAGCATAATTATTGGGAGGCAAATTGCTAACATTCCGTACTTCACTTCCATCCCAAGAAGAGGGCGTATCGGTTGCATAGTAATACATAGTTACCTGCGCTGCAAAGGTTCATCATAATATCACTACCTTGGGTAGCCAAAAAAATTCTAGTCTGAGGTTCGGGTCAACCCTCGTCTGAACAACCTGGATATCAATCGCGCCAGCTCGTGGCGACAATTTAGCCAAATTCAACAATTATTGTGTTCACAACTAAGAACACCTACCCATGTTAAAGTAAGCCGATCCTGTTCCAGAATAGACTGAACAAGTTACACATCACAAAGGGCGTACGGCAGACAGTAGCAGTGTAAGCATGATTGGAGCCAGTGTCCTCATCGAAGCACGACTGGATTATGCGACCCAGCCTGCGGATGAGAGAGTGGGGCGAGTCGGGATCGTAGATATTTTCCGAACGAGCGATGACTTGCTTATTGAAGTCCCAGATATGCACGTACAAGTAATCCCCGGTGAAGAGTTCTTCCAATCTTTGCCCGGATTCAGGAGTACAATCTCGAGGAAGAGTATAGGCCAGTTTGCTACCGAACACGCTGATTCGGTGGCTTGAGCGGAAAGCACCACGCATGCTGAGGTCCCCAGTCTGACCAGGGAATCGTGACAGGAATCTGTGAGTGCAGGGCCATTCCCGAGAAGATGGCCATATCGATGACTAAGATAACAGGACATGTGCGAGAGAGAACCTCTAAAACCATGATTTGTGACTCCAGCAAGGGCGCATAGCCGAGGATACGTTCCGGGCAAGCCACGGGGCTGTGGAACGATGGCTGGCATGAACAGCTGTACGTGGCAAGAAAAGATGTTGGCATTTCGGAAGGAGATATATGATTTGGCGCTGCGGCGACCCATCAAGTGCTTGTAACGTGCACAAGGTTATGAGGCCGTCCGAGCCGATGCCAACAATCGTTTGTTCGTCAACTAGATGGAAACGTGCAGCATGTTGCCACAAAGGATGCTGCTTATACTAAACAGCAGAATTTTCATGAACAGAGGGGACTCACGCTCTTCGCACGTCCCTTCCTCCAATCGATCACATGCAAGAACGTGGTGGACAGACGTATGTCATCCGTGTCCTCTACGTGATAGTAGACGAACGCACGATCACCACAGATTGCAGGATTGCCCACAAAACGAACAACGTAAGCGCCAGATGCATCGAAAGTATAGTTGCACTCCAAGGAAGCGGATTACATGAATGTTACCATCAGGCGACAAGACTAGGACCGCAAGATCCTGCAGAGGGTCGACAATGGCATGTCTCAGAGACCGGTGGTGAGAAAACAGGGCGCTTCTGGGCCACGTCCGGGAGAGTTTGGGATTTGTGTTACAGTCCTGAATGAAAAGATTATGCTGTCCCAGCATCCACCAAACTCTATATTTCACTGATTGTCTCTGTGTTATGTGTTGATATAGCCCGGGAAGATGCCTGTAGGCAGCAGCAATCACTGCTTCAAAAACAATGTTCACATGGAAGTCAGACCGCCACAAGGATGCCAATTTCTTGAGTAAACACATCTTTCTAGAAACGCCGATAGAGTCTATGGTGGTGGTCTCAGTGAAACCCTGAGCATAAAGTTCGAGCTTGTATTGAATTTGAACAGAACTGCAGGCCACACCCCAGACGGTTTTGCATGTCCAGCGTAAACCAAAAGTTAGCCCAGGGAGAAACACGAACCAGAGGAAATAGCGAACCATTGCACAACGACAAAGGTCCCTTGGGGTAAGGATCAATAGGATGTGGCATATGAGCTCTGTAGGAAGCGACACAAGGGTCATAGTTCAAGTTGTAGAAGAGTTTAGAAGGCCGTAATCAGGGTCGCCTACTTTCTTTCGCAAAAAAACTTTGTCGCCGTTTTTGCGTGCATGTGACGTAATGCTAGACGGACGATGGTTGGGTCCAATCCACGCTTCCTCTCAGACGTGGATCTGGAACGCTTTCCGGCTGGTAAAGTGTTTGAACGGGGTCGCTCGAAGGTCGGTCTGGTATGATGACAACAACAACAGATATTCACCGCGCTCTTGAACAATTAATTGTGTATATACGCATGAAGTACATTGCGAACTCATGCTTATGCTGCGATTGAATAGCTGCGAAAGCAATGAGAATGAGAAACATACTAAGGATCATCACATAGTAAGTATGATGATCATATATATTCTCTACGTGAGTTTGCATCCCGTGATCTTAACTAGATAACGCGAAAAGTGGTCAGCGGTTGTGGTCGCGATTATTAACACGTGCAACGCACCAGAGCCGTCAGGCTGACCAACAGCGTACAGCATCTCCATTGGGTGGAATGCGAAAGACGTGTGCCTAGGGATATAAGGCGATGGTGGTCGAGAGGGGTACATGCTCAATCCCGTCGGTAGGTTCAGCGTGGAGAGCGGCGATGAATCTGAGATAGAGTGGACCATGAGCCGCTGGTGTCTAAAGTTTGCAGGGGTAAGAGCAGATGTTCTGAAACCTAGTCAGCCAACCGCGCTGCTAGATGAGATCACACTTACGTAGCAAACACGCCCGTCTGCGAATGCATATCGAACGTGGACAAGCCAGCATGGTGCAAGTCCCAAGATTGAGCCGCTTTATCAGGGCCTCTTACATCCCACAGACGGATCTCGCCAGCGAGGCTGCACTCAAGTCAGCCCCAGTACAGATATTTCACGTCATTGGCTTACCTTGCAGACAAGAATTGACCGCTGATGCGCGGGTGGTATTTAACATTCTGAACCCATGAGTGATGATCATGATACGATCGAACAATAGCGTCCTCTTCCTCTAGTCGACGATCGAAAACTTTGACTAGACCGTCGGCAAAGCCAACAATGAACGTGGACGACGAGCCCTGATCAGAGGTGATGGACGTCACGGAACTCTCGCAATTCGTATCGAGATCCTTTAAAAAATTGTGAGTGATTGTTTTTCACGATGAGGTAATGCCCTTACCAGGACTTGGGTTTCCGTGTGGGCATCCCATACACGAATAATGCGAGAGTCGCCTCCGATCAGTAGGGTGCCACCAGATTGTTTCCAATCTAGCACAAGGCCACTACCTCTACGCACCTGGATCATCTCATGCAAGGCACGGAATGAGCTGACCATCTGCAGCGGACCCTGGTTCACCGTGGGGTCATAATTCCGGTACAGACGCACGATGCCGTCCGCTGTACGAATGGTGGGTATTTGTAATTACAAGTAGGAAAAGCACGAACCTGCACCAGTCATGATGATTCCTCCCACATCCTGGTTGATGACATGCAGCGACGTAATGCTCGTGCCTTTAGGATTACCATTGCAGAAGTAATTCAAGCGTTTGCGCTGTGTCCAGTCCCAAACGCTGCGATATGATCCGTCAATAGGGTCATCCAGCACCAAAAAATCACAGCCAAACCTGATCATGTCTGTATCATTCGCGACAACCAGGTGGGGGTCGTACGCATGCATGGCCATGCACAACGGATGATTGTTCACGTGTAGATTGGCCACGGGACGATCCCATCTCGAGCTCTCTACGCAACATCAGCAAGCGGGTATCACATCGAGACAAAACCCGCACCAGCAACAATTGCCTGTTTTTGCGTCTCCGTAATAACTTGCTCATTTCGTTGCTGCCTCCACACCTGATAATTGTACTGCATGCTTCCTGGCTCGTCTGCCTCCGTTTGCTGCAACCACAGTTAGTTCAAGATCCATGACAAATGTAATGTCGCGCACGTACCCGCATCTGTGGCTCCGTAAAGTATTCGCAACACCAAGCGAAAAACGAGCTCTTCAGGGGCAACACATCTCGCAGCCCGTTCCCGGTCCCACAACCAAGCGGTACATTGCTGACATTCGAGTCCATAGAAAACGTGCTCTCACATGGACTGTTCATGCCACCACCGGCGCTACCTCCATGACCGAGCCCTGTGCCTGCGGACCGTCGTCCGTTTACTCCTCCCCGACGTCGTGCTCGTAAACGCACCATATCTTCCTCCACAAGCGCTTCCATCACATGTGAAGGCAGGAAGTTCACAGGGACTGCGGTTGGGGACACTGGAGGCGAATTGAAGTCTCTTTCTCTCTCCCTATCCCGTGACGGCGTTGGCGGACGTGAGTAAGGCGAAGCATACTGTGCGACATTGAGATTGGGTGATGGGGGTCGCGATGCAGCGAGGACGTCAGAACGGGAGAGTGAGGAGGGTACAGGGCTGGGCGGCGCGCGTGCATCATCGGTGCTGGGAAAAGGGATGCTTCCTGCAAGATGACGCAAGGTATTAGCGAAGGAAGACGTGCGCCGGAGGGTATTTGATGGACGGGACAATGACGGGGAGGGCGGTGCGTGTTGCATCAGTGGTGAGCTTTGCGCTGAGCCTGCGCGTGAGTGTGACCCGTTTGCACCAGCGGGCTTATAATCGACTGGCAGTGGGGGGACAAGATCAAGCCTCGAAAATGGTGATGCGAGGAGCAGAGCAAATATGTAGTCCATCACCGTCTGCGCTAGCGTCGCGACCTCGTGGTATGGATCAATTGTCAGCTCGATGAGCACCACGAAAATCGTAAAGAAGCTTGAGAGTAACACCCGATTTTCTTCCCTTGCACCTTCATCGTCCCCGAACCCGTCCAGCCATTCTGCGAGCGCCTGTGCTGTGACCTCGTCTTCCGTATGGTGAGAATAGGCATGCGAGTCACCTGTGCGCCATCGCCGGTCCTCTTCCCAGTACATCCACGCGCAAACGACGAAGTGCCCGCGCCATTCACGTACAAGGCAGCTAATGAGCACAAGTAGCTCCTTGCGCACCATCGGGCTTGCGTCATCCCTCACTGCAAGAGTGGCTCCGGTTGCGACAGCCACCTCCATCCTGAAGTGAATACGTTCTTCGAGCTGATACTGAGTCCCAGTCCCACAGCCACCCTGACCTTTGCCCCCGGCCGCACCCATAAAAGTCGATAGTGCGTATAGGACTGCACTTCTGACCTCAGGGGAGTCATCGGACAGCATGAGGATGAGTTTGTCTTGTATCCCACGATCGACTCCATAGACTTTGACTTCATCATTGGAGTCCCATATCTGCGCGATACATAGCGCACTCCACTGCCTCAGCAAAAAGTCGCCCTCTTCCAGACGCTCGGAACAAGCGTCAAATACCCGTTCGCGCCAGCACGCCATTTGGCCGTTATAGAAATCCCTTGCTACGGCACTGAGGATGAACGCAGCACATGGCCTTGTGCTCACTGCTGTTGGGCAGCTCGTTGTCTTCCTGCGTCGCAAGCACATTTGCAAAGTATTTGAAACCCCCGGTGTTGTACAGATCTACTTGAACGCTGGGATCTACTGCGAGGATGCGCGCCCATATGAAGATTAAAACGGGGCGCAGGTCTTGGCCTGCGGCTTGCAGCAGCTTTGAGATGTATGGGAAAATTCCAATGGTGAGCACAAGGTTGACGGCCCAGGGTCCGAGGTCCACGAATTGGGAGAGGAGAATCAGTGCCCGAAGTCGGTGGGGCTGCGAGAGCAGAACTTGGAGGACGATGGGGAGTTGATCGGGGGGCTTGCGCGGGACAAGATCAGCATCAGAAGTGGCAGCTCCATTCACAACGTCAGGCGTGTCACAACGATCCCCACCGTTCTGGAGAGGTAGGGAAAGAGGACCACGCTTTGTGAGTGCAGAACCACCGCGCGAGATCCACACCTCGAATGCGGTGAGCTGGTCAGTAAAGAAGCGACTCGGGACATATTGGTATGGTTTTTCGTTATGCGGAGCATTAGCAGACCCACGCTGTCCCGAGCGCGCGCCGGGAACAGGACTTGGAGGACTGCTGGACACGCCTGGCGTCTTCGCAAGCAGCTCAGGCAGCTGGCGCAGACATGTATCCAGAGCGAGATCCCATGCTGCCCAGAGCTGATGGGTGTTTGTGGCAGGAAGGGGAGGATGTGTCTGGGGGGTGCAGTGGTAATTCTTCATGATTCGCTCCGCGAGCAAGAAGTTTCGGAAGAGACTTGCGATAAGAAGGTCAGAGCGGTAAAGGCGCGTGAACACGTCCCTGGGGAACGTGGTCCATGCGATGGTGTCTGTGATAGCAGTGAAAATCCAGTTGAGCTCACCGAGAGGTGTCCTACGGTCCTTGAGGTCTCCTGGTAGCTGCATGACCATATCGGGGGTGATGTTATTCGGGAGATGGTGGGTCATGATGAAGTATCGCAGCGCGATGTCGATGGGCGAAGTCAGGCAGGATGTGAAGACGTCTGCTGGCAGTTCTGGGCATGTTGGAAGTTGCTCGTGGGCAGCGCACGCAGCGAGTTGAAGTGAGTTCATGTATGGCTGCATGCCATCCGCGTAGCCCCCACGGGTAGTGAACGCATCTTGATCTCGACGTTCAGCAAAAACGATGAAGTTGTTGAGCAAGTGCCCGGCAGCACTGCAATCCCAGATGTACACGCCTGGACTGCCAAGCCATGTCTGGACCTCCATAAGTGATACGGGAATATATTGGGTGTAGTTGCGGTTAAAGCACCAAAGTTCCCCGCTAGGGGTGGGCTTGGGAACACCATGACCGTTGTAATAAAAGCAGACTGTCTCGTCTTTGGCCTGTTTGCGAAGAGTTATGCAGAAGCGACGGAGGTCCTCATAAGAGGGATCAAGGATGGGTTTGTAGGGGATCTTGAGGCTCAGACCTTCAAACTGATGTTGAAGGTTTGAGCCGATGGCTTCAAGAGCCTTGTGAGATGGGAGTGAGTGGGGATTGACCCAGCACTCGAGCGCTGCGCATGGGTTAGTCTTGATTATATCTGGGGGGTCAACATCGATGTTTAGACAGAGAACTAGAGCAGCATTTGCGGTCTTGAGCTTTCCGGGTGCACTTCCCCGCCATGGAAAGAGACGGGCTGATGAAGAACGAGGGGCAGGATTACCGCATGTGAGGTGACGCTTGGCAGACCAGTATGGAATAATCGGAGTTGGGTCAGGCAAAGTTGCATCTGATGCTGTACGCAGACCATGAGCACCATTTGTAGTGCGCGTGGATGATGGATCAGAGGTCGAGGTTGAACCCCAGGCGCGCTCGGTGAGGACATCCGAGCCTATATCAGAGCCTTGTCGCTCTCTGAACCCCAGGAGGTCTATTATACCTGCAGTATCATGTAATGTAATTAAATATAAAAATTAAAAACAAACCTTGGACATGTCGACCGTTTTGCATGGGAGGTAAGTAGAAGTGATAGATCTTCCTCGTCAGTCTTCCGTAACCTACGGAGGTTCATAGTCCATGGACCTTTTGTCACATGGCTTACTATTTATGGACCTATTTTCACGTGACCTACGTCCATGGACCATTTCGGTTATGCAGACGCGTTTACATGGCAGACTTGCACAAAACTACTAGCTAGCTAACTACTTTCATTCGTTTGTTTCTCAGATGGACCCGCCTGTGGGTGCGCTCGTCGAAGTTTCAGCGGGTCGTGGAATCGTGCGTTTTGCTGGTGCCACGTCTTTCTCGTCGGGCAAGTGGATTGGTATCGAGCTTCCCGAGCCCAAGGGCAAGAACGACGGAAGCATCAAAGATGTCGTGTATTTCTCATGCAAGCCAAATCATGGCGTATTCGTTCGTCCAAGCCAGGTCAAGGTCATAAATGCGGAACCTGAACTGCAGCCCCCTGTGAGTCCATAATGTTGCTTCGTCAGAGCCACCCTGACCCGGCTTGTGTTCATAGAAAACACAGGTGAACGTCGCTCGGACCGTGTTGGGTCATCAACGCACCCCTAGTGCTAGCCTTTCACGTGCAGCGTCACTGCGTTCTAATGGAGCATCAGGGTCTTCTTCCCGATCCTCGAGTCCCGTCAAGCCCACCCCTTCCACTTCCACACCCGCCTCTGCCGTAGCTAGCCCACGCACTTCACGTCTTGCACCCCCCTCCTCTCCTGCAAAGCGCATTCCCTCTCTTACCCTCCAACCTCGCAAATCTTTCCCCCGTCTACCATCCGCCGAATCCGCCGCACCTCTGAGCCCGGCCTTGCAGACCCCTAAGATTGGCTCATCCCCCTCACAGGAACCAGTAATCCAGTTGCAAAGGACATCCTCCCCATTAGCGCTGCCACAGAATGCGGTTGTGGAGCCTCCGCCACCGCTCTCCCCTGTCGCGCACACACTTCTGCAACCCCCCGTCCCAATCGACTCCAGCCCATCTCCCATCAATGGCACGAAACTTGCACCGTCACCTTCTATATCTCGTGTCCCCTCACATGAGCCATCATCACCCATAACCGTAAGTCCATGAGTATATACCCTATATGCGCTCATTTCAGTCGAAAATTCTAGCGTACCGAGGATTCTGCCATGCACGCGAAAATTCGCGTCCTAGAAGCTAAACGCGCTGATGACGCGCGACATATCCGAGAGCTTGAGACCCGCCTTGCAGACGCAGAGTCCTTTGTTGCCCTGCGTCCCAAACTTCAAGCTAAACTACAATCCCTCCAATCCGAACTTATTGCAACGAGACGTGCATTGGCGGACGCAGAGCAACTTGCGAGTTTGGGCGAGACGAGGGGCGTGGATTCACAGGAGCAGTTGGAAATGGCCATGTTGGATAAGGAAGTTGCGGAGGAGAAGGCGGAATTGGCAGAACAGGAGTTGGAAGAGGTGAAGGAGCGACTTGCGCATGTAGAAGTAGAGCTGGGAGTGTTGAAGGAGGGTGGAGGTCAGTACAGTGCGTCGAGTTTGGGTTTGGCTGATGAACCGTTTTTGTAGCGTCTGGTGGAGATAGTGATTCAAACGCTAAGACATCACTCGCATATATCCAGCTTGAGAAGCAGAACGAACGGTTGAAGGAGGCACTGATACGGTGCGTTATGTTTACTGTCTCCTTACATTGCATTCCTCATGATTTTTGCGTTAAAATAGGCTTCGCGATATGTCGCAGGAGACAGAACAAGAACAGCGCCACCGCATAGCAGAGATGGAGAAAGACATCACAAGTATCGATGATCTTCAAGGCATGTCCTTCCTTTTTTCTCATCTACCTTCCACCGCAATTGTTCTGAACCAACGTTCTACACAGGCCAGTACGAACAAACACTGATTAAACTTTCCAATGCGGAGACACAGATATCATCGCTCCAACAACAGCTTGACGATGCACTAGGAGCAGAAGATCTGCTCGTGCAACTCACAGAGCGGAATTTATCGCTATCAGAGGTGTGTATGGTCTCTTCGTCCTTCCCTCCTGGAATGTCATTTTTATTCTCGGCCCACAAATGTGGCCTCCATACCAAAACCCTCTGCATTTCTCAAACTTGCTCATCCTCCTCCCCAGAAAATTGAAGAACAGCGCATCACAATCGAAGACCTCGAGGCCCTCAAGGAACTCACGGACGAGCTCGAAGAGAACCATGTTCAAGTCGAGCGTGAGCTTCGAGATGAGATTTTAGAGCGCGAGAAGGATCTGAGGGAGGAGAAGGTCAGAGTAGGGTTATTAGAAGACGTAGTGGCAGACGCAGATGGGACAATCGCAAGGTTCAGAGAGGTCGTTGGAGAAATGCAGGGGTGCGTTTTCCTATCCCTTCTGCTTTCTTCTTTAGTTGTGTTCCTTGACGGGAGATGCTGATAAACTCACCAGCGAACTCGACTCCTTGCGTTCAGCGACGCAAACAGCACAACACGAGTCTGCCACGGCTGCCCACCAGACGGCAGCGATGATGTCGCTGAATTTGAAACTCCAATCCTCGGCGGCGAAGAACCAGGCCAGGGCAGTAGAGCTGGAGATCAAGAAACTCGAGGCGAAGGAGAGGGGAGAACTGTTAGGAATTGTGCAGGTGGGCTTCCTTTTCTGTTGTTTTCCAGCGTTTATTTTCTTTCACTCTATCTGTTCCACTACTTTCGTTCTTGTTCTCCATCGTTTCTTTCGTTGGTTGCAATTTCCGCTCGTCGTCAGTGAAAAAGAGGTCATCCGAAGGCAAGGCAAATCCGGATTGGTGGGTTCAATGCCAACCTTCCCCGTTTGCCATGCCTTCGGTTTATGACTTCATGCGTCCCTCTCTTTTCAGTTTACGTGTCTGCTTCGTTCTTTTCGTCCTGTCCGTTATTTCTTTTCCTTTACTCCCTTGGTTTCCTTTCTCCCCCTTCGCTTATTTTAATCGCTCCTTGATGTGCGCCTTCTCATCGGCTAACTTTTCAATTTTCAGCCTTACCTACCTCAACAATACGTCGAATCCGACAGCGACGCCACAAATTGCTATCTCTTCTTCGCACGCCTGGGGTACAAAACCGATCTCATCAACACTATTGTGGGGCTGGCTCATGGCCTACCCGAGTCGCTCAATGGTGTCGTGTCAGAAACGCTTGTCGGAATATGCGAAGTGCGTTACATTTTCCAACTTACAACAGTGGCATATGTAACATTCATTCACCGATAACAGATGCGCGGCCGTGCCGCGTCGTTCTCCACGCTCTGCAAACGCTTCGCTGCCATCCTGAGGCGATGCGACCCCACGTCGTTCCTCAACATCGGACGCATATACCCTGAGATCGCCCCAATGGAGAAACGCATCGATCTGCACATTGATCTTCTCCGACGGGATGAGTTTAGGGAGATGGAATTCGTCAGTGATGTGCTCAAGTGCGTTCGGTCCTCATTTTTACTTTCATTTCCTTACCTTTGCATGTCAACGGATGGAAAATGCTTACCGCTGACACAGGATGCTAGCCCAGTTCGACCATCTTGCAGAGACATATTTCGATGGGTTTGAGCAGGACCTGGGCGAGCGCGAGCTCGGATACGCACTTTCGTTTGACCATGATCTAGATGTGTTTGCTGCATCTATCGGGCTCACGAAAACATCCGTTGCTGTGATTCTCAATGATGAAGGTGCGTAACACTGCCTTTATTGGCACGATGTTTGTTGCTCACACAAATCACTCCAAAGATGTTGTCCTCGACATGGGTGGCTATGATCCTGAGGAAGAGCTCATTGAGCCTTTGCAGAAACTTTTGGAACAGTGCAAGAGCGCGAAAGTGTTGTCCAAGTAAGGTAGTTTTACCGCATGGCGGATATATGCTGAAGGGGTTGACAGGAAACTTACGAAGCGCCTCGACGATGTTATCCAGGAGTCTTCGGCGCTTAAGTCCCATCTCGTTCCACAGCTCAAGACTCTCAGCAATGCAGTTCCCGAGCTGGTCAACTTTGGTATATCTGTTAGTGTTCCTGTGCCACCTTCTAAGGATGACTGCTAATTTGCCCAATTGTAGCTCGCCCAACAAGTAATCCCGCACCTTAGCGATGCCCGCAGCGCCAAGTCTCCATTCCAGCTTGCAACAGTGTTATCGTACGCAAAGCAAACTGCACTGTCCACTGTCGCCAAGGACATGAAACCTGGAACCTCATGCTTCGAGGCAGTTGGCGAAGCTATTGCTCAGCTATCGGCGGAGTGCAACAAGTTGCTGCCTTTGGCAATGGAACCGGAGAGTGTATTGAAGAGTATGCCTCCTTTGACTCTAGTCTCCGTGGGTACCAAGCTAACGATGACCAAGTCTCCGGCACGCCACCATGGGTCCTACGTATCGAGGAGATCAGAGCCAGCATGGCTATCAATGCCGAAGCCGAGCGCAAAGCTGCACAGCTGCAGGAAGAAATCCAAGGGCTTGTGCGGAGCCTCAAGACGAAGGACCAAACGATACAGGAATCAGGAGTGAAGATAGAGCTTATGGAGCGGCGCATGGAGGCGGTCAAGAAGCAAGCAGACACCATCGCAGATCTTGAGATTGAGCTCTCGAAAGCGCGCAAGCAGGAGCGCGCGTATGAGGAAGCAATGGAGCAACTGCAGGCAGACCTAGATACGTTTGAGCAAGATAACGCGAAGCTAAAGGCGTTGGCTGCGGGTTCGGAGAGACAAGGTATATTTCTTTGTATGTTAAATGAACAGTTTGGTGACTGGGCATGTTTAGCTGCTGGCGCACAGCTCGTCGATTCAGAGAATGTGCCCATGGAGGGCAATGTGGAGACATCACACCTTCTGGAGCAGGTTCGTGCAGGTTCAATGACGTCTTATTATTTTTCTGACTCTTAATTAGATCGAGGCTCTTCGTGGCACTGTCCGTTTCTTGCGCACAGAAAACTCGTATCTCAAAGGGCAAGACCTGCTAAAGGAAATACAAGCACTACCGACCCTTCCAGAACCTGTCAGCCGCGTGCATACACCTCCACTGGACCCATCAGGTCAATCCGACACAGACGAATCAGATTCCGAGACCCCGCCCGCGCCTCCTACCATTCGCTCGCTCGCCACAGAAACCAAGGTGCTCTACCGGGACGTCATCAAATTCTCTTCATCACCTCGTGTTGTCGATCTTTCTGCGCTTCATGCAAAGAGAGCAGAAAGCGATTGCAAAGGTGGGAAGATATGGATGCGGAGGAAGGCTAGTCCTGCTCAACAGGTTCTTGAGCGGAAGATTGAGGCCGAAAGACTTAGCAGGCGCGTTAGGGGCCTGCTAGATCGTGCCAGTGCGCTATGAGAGGTTTCACTGATACTTCGCTTCATTTTTTATGTTACTCTACAGCTTGATATTAGGTTGTATACCCTGCATGACTCTGTTATTAACTTATGCACTATGGGGAGGAGATAAAGTAGATTTCATCATGTGGTACCAAGGACATGGCTGGCGGACAGATAAATATCAGTATCGCATATGCAAATACCCATAAATCATTTACATTACCTTGCTGCACTATTAATTTCAGTGAGGACGGAGGAAAGGATTTGAGTTTATTTGTGTCAGTTGGATTCTAAAGCCTCGTGCCAAACAAAGTTTAACAAACTGCAAACTCATCATCGGGCAGTCATTTGGTCGTCGAGAATCCTCCAGCTAAACATGGCTGACGAATTTGATCTTGAAGCACTCGTGCACCTGGAACAGACGTTGGCTTTATCATTTTTCTAATTGACAGATCCCTCTGAAGAGCAAGTCTCAGGTTCTACGACGCCGGGTACGCCGACGGCTTTGTCCATGGTCGTATTCATGGGTTGATCGAAGGTCGAGCGCTCGGGCGCGAGAAGGGCTTCGAGATATGGGAGGAGATCGGATTTTACGAGGGATTTGCTAATACTTGGCAAGCAATATATGCAAAGCATGGACACAACGACCAGTACGTCGTGACTGATCTGCATGTTTCTTCATCATGATGACCTTGAATTGTTGCAGGCGCGCATTACACCACATCAAGCATCTTCTTGATCTCATATCACAGTTCCCGCGAATAAATCCCTCCGCAGCTGCAGTGACATATGACGCTACGGAAGAGATCGATATTTCGAAGCTGCAGCGCCAGATTCGATCGCGATATAAGGCGTTATGTGCATCTCTCGGTGTAAAGCCTACACTAAGGGCGGTCGATGTAGACTCGACTGATGAGGGTGTGCAAAGTATGGATCAGCAGAAACAAGTTTGGAAACTAGAAGAAGATGCAAGAAGACCGACGATGCAAGGACTGAGTTTTTGAAGAGGACTCCAAGACAGATCCAAAGGTCACGCCTTTACGCGCGAAACACTTACATATGGATATCCACCAAATGCAAGTCCATCTTATCATTGAATTTTCAATCTATCTCACATTCTCGCTAGATCCAAGATGACAACGGCAATATCGCATTAAGAGCTCGGATTTTTATCCGAGTAAGCATAGGTAATACAGTGGGACGTATTAAACGCTCGGATCTTTGTCCGAGTAAGCATAGTAGGTACTCGAGATATCTGATACATGGGCAGTCAGTTAGGGATAAACAAATTTGTTATACAGTGGTGTCCCTCGAGTACGCAGAACCAAGAAAATGTTGCATGAGCGGTATCACGAGCAGCAAGCGTGCCCGTTCGTGCCGTTGGCGGCGTTCGCTCCATTAACTGCAGTGCCATTGGAGAAGGCTGGCTTGCTCAGCGGGTCGTTCGTTCCTGGAACATCCATGCTCGGGTTCTTCGAGAAGAAATTGTTAGGTTTGAACAACAAATTGACGTGCTCAACTGGCATGCTAAGGGAGGGTTAGGCGGTCCAACTCTTTTATTCAGTAAGTGGTACTCACACAGGCCAATCCTCAGGGCGAGGAATGTGAGTCGTGCCTACGACAGAGATGTGAATATGGGTCATCCAACGGTCAAATAGTGGGACCAAGGGCATCATAACGCACCGACAGTCAGGTAGAGCACGATGTCCTCGTTCTCGATGCTTCCGTCTCCTTCCTTGACCCATCTGCCAACAGAGTCCTCAGGCTCCTCACGCGTCTGTGGGACGTACTTTCCACTAGGCCACATCCTGCTACCATCTGCACCCTCCTTATCTTTTACAACCCACAACGTCTTGTGGGCAAACGAAGCACGACGAGCAACCCAGGAATCAGTATGCGCCATAAGTGGAAGCACACCTCCCTTCATCATGATAGCATAACTTGAGTGCTTGCCTGATGAATAATGCGTTCGCGCGGGATTGGTGATGCGCCAGCGACGTTCACGAGCCCAGTCGAAGTCGCGAGCGCCATCTTGCACTTGGGACTTGAGCACCTTGTCCTTTACAACGAAACCGTTGCCGGCGAAGTTCCCTTTTGAGCCAGTAGGGGCACTGAGAGGAACAATGTCGGACTCGACGACGGAGTTGTAGAGACCGTCGAGCATCGGGTCGACCCGAACGGAGAACAGGTGCTGGTGGTTGTGTGCATTGACGTTCGGAGCAACAGTCGTACCATAAGGGTTAGGTTCATCTTGGCCAGCGACATAGACCTGAAGAATGCCGGTAAGACGGATTTCAAGTTCAATGTTACCGTCTTGGTAGAAATAAAAGTTCCAGATGTACTCTGATGACAATGGGAACTTAGCCAACGCGAGTCCAAACTTGTGTCCCAGCCGACGTACCGTAGTTTGCAAGCGTGCAGACCATGCTGACGACAAGACGCCTGCTGCGAACGGTCTGATGACGGCCACCGGGACGATAGTCAGTGTGCTTCCAAAGAACACCAGCATCTTCTTCGTGAATACATATCGCATTCTTGATAGTAAATGGGGTTCCAGCATGTGTGACGTACGCGCCAGGCTGGAGGAGGATGAGCAAGATATCATCACGCAGAGTGACAGTCGTGGGTACGTACGAGGTAGTGGATCTGCCCGAGGCAATCACAACCTAAAGATAGCTCGTTTGCCATCGTTCCCATCCCGTATTCGCCACTAGAATAACCTGAGATACTCGTCAAAAATTGGTCAGGAGACTACTCACCTGTCAAATGCGAATTTGCGAGGATGAGGGAATTCCGGTGCGCCGTATGGAACGACCATCTCTGCAAGCGACAGACGATACAGAATAGGACGGATTTCGCCGTCGTCGTTGTATGTAACTGTCGAGATTGCGATACCCTCCCGATGGCTGAATCCTGCAATGATGTTATATTGGAGAACGAGGCTGAGGATCGCAAATGACAAACCGATGTGCATCTTCCATTTCTGCCACTCGAGCACATTGCCATCCATCTTAAATGACACGCCCTCAGGTTGGAGAACATGAAGAGGCTTGATATCATCGCGAGGCTTGTGAGACGGGTCTGACTGCTGGAGGAGATCGGGAAGGAAGTCGAAAGGCTTGAGAGGGGGCGGAAGGCGCTCTCGTTTGGACTCGGTGAAAGAGTCTTCGGACAATGGGCATGCCTCCGTAGTCGAGACGCTCAGCTCTGCAGAACCATCCTTGGCCTTCTTGTAGGTCGGCGGGAAGTCAATATGGACGACCTTCTCTGCGACTGAGTCGATGACTACGACAAAGTCCTGTAATTATATGGCCTGAGATAATTCAGCAACGTGAATGGCAAAGAACTGACCAAGGGGTGGGCATAGAGGTTCTCATGCTCAGATAAACGAGCGAAGAGAAAGGCTTGTTGCAAGCGAGTGCTCTTCGGGAAGCGGTCATCATAGCCGATGGCCCAACCGTCAGCATAGATTTGTTCAGGCAGCACTCCTACGCGACAGTGAGCATAATCTCAGGTCACAGCCAGTCATCACTTACCAACTTCTTTCGCGAGGGCTTGAACTGTGGGATCTCTGCGGACGATGTATTCACAGTCGGCGAGCTCCTCAGGAGAAATCTGAGGTTCTGAGCCCTCTGCAACTAATTCGCAAGTATCAACCTTCCATGTCCCATCTTGGAGAGACAAGATGGCATTGTATGTTCCCCTATGTTACGATGAGCTGTCGTTTAACCGCAATAATTATGCAAAACAACGAACCCATTTACCACGTCCAAGAACTATGTACGTCTGGTTAGAACAAAGTTATGCAACGTTAACTGCGTTATATTTACGTACATCACTCTCGGCCTTCCTCACGATCGGGGTGGGCGCTTCGGGCTTGCCGCCCGGCATAAGAGGGATCCCGAGTGCCGCAAGCACAACCTTCTTCGGAGGCGGGATAAGAGTGCAAGTGATGAAGCGAACCGCCTTGATTGGTGTATTTGCGGTGGTATGATGCCGGATCGCCAGAGACACGGCATTGATCTAGACGACGGAATGAGCACAGGTTGAAGGCAGAAAGCCAATCATTGACCTCATCTGGGGTCAAGGGGTCAAGGGGGTGTTTAATCTTGGTCGGCTTTGTTGGCACGGCTGTATGGACCGTCGTAGCGGTTGTGGGAGGGAGGGCTGTAGGAGCCATATCGCTATAGGAAGGACGAGCACGGAAGTATTGAGGCTGATAGGCTACTGGGGGTCGAGATACGCACTACCCTTCTTATAGGATGACAGAATCTAGAAATATTAGGCTAAACTAGTGCTTATCATATGAGTAAATGAACACGATGTAGCCTTGAGGGAGACCCTTTGAACGTGTTCAATTAGATAAGATATCACTGGGAACATTCCTAATGATAAGCTTAAGGCGAACAAGTGGCGAGAGTGTGGGCAACAAGACGCAAACATAATAGCTAGACTAGAACTAAACCAAATACGAACTCACCGAGCGTTACGGAGCGGGTAAGATGACGTCAAGCTGATATCGGAATACCAGTTTGAATCGCAAGACTTAAAAACTGTTAAACATGTCGCTTTGATTCATCATCTCAACTTAGGGCATATCCAAAGAAGACACCATTACCAAGTTTAACGAGCAGATAAATATGACGGCTGACGAGCTCGAACCGTGGCTTGCCTCGGATAAGAGTCATCAAGCAGGCACCGGGGTGGGTCTCGTGATTGGAGCTAAGATAGTGGATATCCTGAAGAAGAACCCGGACATGGACCCAGAGAAATATGAAGGGGTATGTGGTACACTAGTTTCCTCATTCGTGATCTTGACCGCGTTAGGATGATTTTTGGATCACATGCGCAAGGTGGTCGGGTGAGTAGCGACGCGAACGTGACACGCATACCGCGGGATTGAACCCCACACAGTTACAATAGTCGACATCTGGTGCAAGAGGATCATCTCAAGGAAACGAAAACCAAGGAAGAGCTCGCCAATACAAAGAGCACCATAAGGTAAGGCTGATTCTTACTTCCTCGTAGGTGGAACGCCGAGTTTGATGCAGTCTGCAAAAGTTTCAAAAATTGGGGTCATGTGAGTGCCGTGGAACGCGGAGGCCGCTCAATTACCCGTTTTCATTACGTTGGTCATTTTTACAGGATCCGGTCGAGGCCCTCGAGGAAGGAGAGAGCGCCGTGCCATAACAAACCGGGTGAAAACAACGCCGCAAGAACCAGATAGCGTGCAACCGGACCCCAGAAAGGGTGGAAAGCACAAAGGGAACCATAACGACGAGCAACAACCGGCTAGCAAAAGAAAACGAGACACCACTGACGGCAGGGTGGATCGGTCAAATGGTGATACCGAGGAAGAAACGAGAAACCGGGGCAAATCTATGAAGAGTCGCCCGTGCAAGTTGCCCACCAGGAAATCTGCCAGAAATCGCAAGCCCGTCATTAGGAACTGCTAGTCTGCGGACGTGTGCTTGGGATGTTTTGTTATCTCTAAATCTGTCGCGGTTATGTGCATCATTTCTTCTCGAAAGCGGTCTTCTATACATATCTATATCTTCCAAGCAAGGATTGACCTTCGGTGCGTACACGGCATGGAGAAGCACATCCTTCGGAATCTTTGTGCATGGCATTTGCAATTTTTGGATTCGTTAGACGTAGAAGATAAAGCCAGAGTATTTACGCAACTGCACACCAAAACCAATCAAATGAACTGTAGGATCGACTGGTTACCAAGGTGCCTCAGACCCTACTAGTTACCTTTCTTGATGTGTCATGCACGATGAGATGGCTTTCAAACTCTTGCAAAGGTGTTTTGACCTTTGCTTCGAGAAAGAGATACAGACGAGACAATGGACGTGGTCTCGCCCAGGTCGACGACAACGTCACGGTGGTCGATGAACTGATTGTGAGACTTAAGTCCGTACGCTGAGCTCAGTGCTGGCTAGTGACCTACGATGTGATCCAAGGGAGAAACGATCTTCTGCTAGGACCAAAGGCGTATCTTTCGTCAAGACTGGGGAAAGGACACTGAAGCTCTAAAGCATCAAGAATCGAGATTGAGTACGACAGCTATGGGTGGAAAATGTGGGCATATCCGTTCTGCAATTATCGCGCTCGAAGGTCGCTGAAAGATATAGGTTTGATCTCTTGGATCGAGCTTGAGGGTGAACTAGTTATTTCTGACTTTACCCCAAAATTTGTGCAGAATGAGATCTTCTGCGTATGCTTCGTCCTTTAGGCTTTGTGACAGCGAGAGAGAAGTTGGTTCTCTAAAGACGAACAAGAAGTTGACTACAGTCGTTGCTAAAGCAAAACTTGCGGTAGGTAATTTTACACATGGATAGTGAGATCTGCATACATACAACTTAAGCCATTTGGACAGTCTCACTGTCCATGATGAAGAATTGATTACAACCAAGTTTTCTGCGGGGGCACTGTTTTTAAGGTTACAAACGTGAGAATATTATTCCAAAGTAGATCATTGATTGGGTTCGTGAAAAGAGCAGGAACCGACAAGCAACTGCAGTTTCTACTAGCTTATCCAGCCTTTATCCAGACCGTCGTAGACGATGTCCAAGCAGGGCTCTTTGTCGTCGGAAATGGACTTCATCTCCCAAAACGATACCACACTGTCGCATGGCGTGCAAGTAGAGTGTATTACCCAGTTCGTGACGTCTTCGGCCACTTCGACTGACTCTTCGACTGGACTTTCACCCAAATGCGACCTTTTACCCTTGGAGTCTTCCGCGTCAGCAAGTCAGAAGAAAAAGAAGAAGAAGAAATCCAAGAAGCCAAAGACTCATGATACTACTGATCCCCCTCCGGGGAAATCACGGGTAACACCTTCACCTGACTCCGAGCGTGCATCTGTGCTGTGCATTAGTAGAAACAAACATTGGAAATATATCAGCTCTTACCACGTAAATGTGCCACCCACCTCTCCGAGGCGACCGAACTGATCCTCCGCGTCTTATACCAGGGCCCGTGGCTGCAACTCCCGCTGGAGCTGCTGGAATCTTTGCTTGCCCTCAATATTGACCCTGCCACCATGTCTACATCGGAAACGCAGCTGCCTACCCTTGCTTATGCCTCCCAAGTTTCAGTTGGAAACACTCAGTCGCGACTGTCACCACGCCCTCGCGACCGCGACCGCGTAGTTTATTCACTCAAGGATAATATCCCTCCGGAATCACCGGGTAACACTTTCACCACCTTGTCGACGCCGTATATTCCGACTTCACAGTCAGTTGCGTTTCCCCTGCCCGCTCCGGGCAAAGCCACTCCGCCGCCCATCGACCCTGGCGTTTTTCGAAATGTTGCAGCGATCAGGAGGCTCATCGATGAAGCTTCAGAGCTTTCTGTACGTGCATCTTCTGGCTTCTCAGCCGCTGCTCTTGGTTCCATGCGCACAACAAATAATAACCCCTGGGCTACGGCTCAAGGGCTTGGCTTCGACGGCTCAAATAACGTCGGCGGGGGAAGGAATGTTGCTATGAGTGCGATGCGTGTGCATAGGCTCAGAGCCCTTGCTGTTCAGAAGCTTGCAGCCGCATATAAGGCGGATGAAATTGCTAGTAGCGTCATGGTAATGCAAGGAGGGAGTGTATTTGATGACATTGCTGAGAAAGTTCTCAAATACGGTATGTCCAGGACGACGCGTTTTTTCCAGCGGGCCGTAGCGCTAATGCTGCAACCTAAACACAGATCCCAGCGACGCTGATGCACGATATGTGCATTTCTTCCATGAGAAGATTCCCTCCCGGTTCGTGCAACGCGTATATGATTCTTTGCCTGACTTTTTAAATTCAGTTCCAATAGGCAACTTGCGGACTCCACATCGACACAAGTGCTTGATGAGCTGATTGTGGCTCATCCTCAACGACTGGAATACCATCGGACGCGTGGAATAGTACATTGTTTCCGCGACGAATATTCCTTGGCAACAAAAGACTTCACTCACGCTTTACGAGAGTCCCGTGCGGTGCGAAAAGCCCGTGCGGCACACCAAGATTTAATATCTTCCCGTGAACCCCGAGGGAGAGCTCCCAAAAAGAAAAGGGGCTCCAATAAAAGCAACGGACAGGCGCCTCCTAATGGTACCAGTGCTGCTGCAGATGGGCTTAACATCGAGGGAATGGACGGGGAGCCGTTACTTTTGCATCCTTCAATTTTGCCGGATGCGCCAGACCCTATTGAACCGCAAGTATTATTTTTGCGGGGGGCGGCGCATTTGCAGCATGCTGTGTACCTCATTGAATCTGCAATATTGCAGCTCGAGGGCGTCAGCAAGATTAATACATCCCTTGATGGAGCCGAGATGCGGCTTTGTTACCTCTCTAATGGCCGCTACGGGGGAGTCGAGATGGGAAATCCCGACGGTCCGTTGGGGCGCAGTGATGACCCAAAAGCCCAGGCATATCGACGAGTTCTGGCAGACGACACTTTCCGCGAAACCATTTACTCGCTCCTGAAGAAGAGTTTGCGTGATCACGAACGCTTCCTCTCTCATTTTGACACGCTAGAAGGCCCTGCCCCAATGCAAGCAGATCTGGCCAAAAGGGTGGAGGTTGCCTTCCTCTTAACCGAACTGGTGCGCCCAAATATCCATACGTCGACCGCGGCTGGCCTCGCACATGTCGACTCCATTCTCCCGCCAATGTTCACCACCTATCACCCCTTACTTGTGGAGTCCCATTTCAGTATCCTTATTTGCCAACTTATGCTTGCCGACTTACCCACTTTGCTCGCCACATTCTCGCGGACTGCAGTCATTGTAGACGGGCTGGAGGGATACCCTGTTTTTCTACCTCCACGGTCGATGGCTCAAGCCGAGTTCATTGAGGTCCTTGAACGACTTGCTGGTGGGTGGATGACGGGTGTGCAGCCCCATTCATACGTACAGGGTAAGAAGGCGATACATCGACTTGTTATCGAGCCTGTACCACCCCCCTCACCACCCATGTCTTCAATCGATGCCATGTCCACATCTTCGGCGGACACAGAGTCTTACACTGCTTTTGCATCCTTTTCGAACACATGCCAAATCCCCTCGGGTTCCTCATTACCCACTAATGGACGAAATACCCCTTCTAGCGCCTTCGGTGGGAGCCGCGAGGACCTTATAGAGGCATTAGACTGTGCCCGCATATTGCTCGTCCCTGTTGCTGCGAGGCAAAAGGAACGTGCTGAGAAGGCAGCAGCGGAGAAAGTCAAAGCCGGGAACAAAAAGAAGCCATTAAATTTCAACATACCATTGCACGGCCCACGAGTAGAAATCATCCTCGCGTGGTTTGCAGCCGTTCATGTTGTTGAGCTGGAAAGCGTTGCTTGATATCACACCCGTGGAGAGTCTCGTGTTGATGGCGACAGGTGGTTTCTTGGTTTGGCAAAGCTGTATAGTCTACCGAGAAGGTAGCTCGATCTATCATATGAAATAGATTTTCTTTGGCGAGCGTAGAATAGTAATATGTGTGTGCCTCGAACGTTGGGATCGCCCTCCCTGTCGAGATGAAAACGCCACAGCATCGAGAAAAGTGCATGTATACCTCACGACTAACACATCTCAGCGTTCCTTCTTTTCTCGAGCTGTGCTACTATTGCGCAATTCCTGTCTCGCCTGCTGTATGGAACGATCGAGATAACCAATTATCCACGGTGTGGCTAGAGCCGCACAGGACAAAACGGGGATAAGGAAACACACGGTAGGAAGGAGAGAAGCCGGTAGAACGCCTAGGTAAAGTTGTTCGAGAATGAGAATGAATGGTATCGGTTGAACCGCTTGAGCAGCCGATGCATTGAGATCAGGTGTAGGTGTGCGTACACCAGTATCAACGACTCTCATCCTTGCGTACTTTAGGCGAGTAGCGGAGGAGCCCGCGCGCGATAAATGCGGCGCAGTGATCGAAGCAGCGTCATCTATCGCTGACCGGTGCGGTTTAGACAAACGGGTTAAGATCGCCTCTGGACTGTATATTTCGAGCAAAAAATCCGCGGGGGACTGTAATAGTGACGCATGGTTGACGACCGTGAACTTGGCTCGAGACTGGACGAAAAAGGGTGCAACGTACGGAAGCAGGCCAGGATAGACGTAGCGTAAACTTTGAATAGGATATCCATCTTTCATCATCGAGATCTAGCGCTACCCAGAGTTCGTGAGGACACGAGAAGGGTTTTTCCGGAGCAATACCCGTCTCTGGCTCGCATACCTGCTGCAAAGGCGTGTCGAGCAGAGCGGGATCTACGTTCCAGTGTCCTTTGTTATTTTTGTAATTCAACACTGGCCTGCACGCAGGGCTGCGTCAACCACCAGGACTGCTCCAAGCATCGTGTTCGAACTTACCAACTGACAACCGTGGTTGAGGAGAAGTCAACATTGCTTTCTTCAGCGGCAAGGAAGTTGATAATTTCCGTGTTGGCTATGACTTCCTGACATATGAACAGCAAAATGAGGGGCAGGATGATGAAAGAGTGAAGCATGAGAAAACGCCCTGACATTCACGCTGTCTCGTTTAAGTATTGGCCCCGCTTCAATTGCAGTGCGATGGACGAGATGGAGTCAGAGATTGGGATTCCTAGACCCACAAACAACTTCGATTATGAATCATGTACGGCGCAATTCAAACGCGGAGAATAAGGATGTATGTAAGGTATGACTACCATGTACAACTGAGGGGGAACAGGAAACCTGCTTTGGCCAGAGCTGTCAAGAACTATTGATAATAAAATTATCGATGAGGATGTTAAGGTACGCAGATAGTGACTCGTAATAGGTAAAGGCGATGTTGGTTTGAAGAATGAAAAGCGTACGGTAAACAAATGGAAACTGATTATCTGTGACGAAACCATGTGGATGTGGCATGTGAAGGAACGCAGACAACACGAGGGCTGAATAAGAAGAGTCCTCAGTCAGGTATAGCTTTTTATGGATCTTCATCATCTAGAACTTACGAAGTTACATGGTGAGGCGGTGGACCCCATTAAAGAGATTGTTCATGGCGTCTTGGACGGCCCTGAACTTGGTCACACCACAGCGCTCGCTCTCAATGTGCTGACACAACCCACTAAGAGAGGCAAAGTGGGTCTGGCATGTACTCGAGAGGGCACCGATAAACTTTCTCCTGATGACGGGGGCTAGCCAAGTGACGGTTCAAGTCCGTCAACGCCCGGAACTGGGTGTGACAAAGAACACATTCATAGGCCCGCCCGTTCCAAGTCTGCTCTGTCGCGAGAAGCTGAACGTTGCCCCGTTCGCCCGCAGTGATGAGGCGCGCTGGGTTGGTTATCACGTTAGTGTGGTCGTTGGCACGAACCCAGTTGTCAACGGCGCGTCGGTTGACACCTGATTGACATGAGCCAGATTCAAGATGGAGCATGAGGGCGGATTTATTGATGAACGCCATGCCGCATCCGGTGAAGGGGCAGATAGGTATCTTTAGGGCGATGTACGCTAGAGTTCAAGTGCTAGTTCATCAAGGTCAGGTTGTGTGCAGTTCCAATAATGGAATGAAGCTACAGATTGAAGGTTACTCGGAGACTGGAAAAGCCTTTTGCACGAAACACAGTACATGTTAGCGTGCTTCGGGTTCTGGCGATTGTGCTCGTGCAAGCCGAAATCGTTCTTGAATACCTTGTGACAAGAGCGACAGTAAGCATGTTGGTCCTCGTAATGATTCTGTAGCCCAAGTGCGGTGTTGAAATGGAAGTTACAATACTGGCAGTAATGGTGGTGAGGGCTCTGAACGTAATGTTCTTTGAGACCCAGCCAAGAATCGAAGTCGATATGACAGTCTTCGCATATCCAGTGATTGTTGGAGTCCCGGATATGCTGATCGTAAGCAGACTAGGAATTGTAGTAGCGATCACAGCGATCACAATCAGGCATTTTCTGGATAATTCTGCTGAATATGACTGAGCTGCTATAGGCTTGTTAGTGACACCTCCCCCAATCAACGCAAGAACGATTACTTTGTCGTTGTGACTTGCAATGACTCCCAATGGTTCGTTAAGAAGAAGGATAAAGAGATGACGCGACGAGCCATTATTATTTATAGTAGTGGTGCAAGGGGTCCCAGACGCGTCAGTTCCAAACAGGCCATCACTAAGTTTCTCAAGTGCTGGGTTTCACGTCGTTATACCCATTCCCGCTAGTCCATGTACTCTGCTTCTGCACAAAAAGCCAAGAGACGCGCCCACACGCGTCCAGAGCTTACCGACGAACAGAAACAAGAGATAAAGGAGGCTTTTGAACTGTTCGACACGGACAAGGATGGTTCGCTGGACTATCATGAGCTCAAGGTCGCAATGCGCGCCCTCGGCTTCGACATGAAGAAAGCAGAGGTATTGAAAATATTAAGAGATCACGACAAGAGCGGTCATGGTCTCATTGACTTTGAGGATTTCGCAAAAATCAGTTGAGTATTTCAGGTTTCATCTATTCTACTCATGCGACCAGTCCGCGCCAGATCCTTACCAAACACACGTCCATTCATGTTACATCATGCGGACCGGATTTCACACTACGCAGCACCTCGAACTTCTCTCGTGATTCTGCGCCCTTGTGCTAACGCTGTTTACCTAGTGAGCGAACGGATCCTTGCGCGAGATCCGATGGATGAGATCCGCCGAGCCTTTCAATTGTTCGATGACGACAACACAGGAAAGATTAGTCTGCGGAATCTTCGACGTGTTGCAAAAGAGATCGGTGACCGATTGGAAGATGATGAATTGTGAGTCAACGCACTCTTCTCATTTTGGGGTACATGGTCTGCGAGAGGCACCCAGTCACTTCGTCCCAACAACCCTTTTTCGGTCTTGTTACTGCATCGGCTCCCTTCCTTTGCATTTCCGCTTTTTCTTCACCGCTATTTCCCAAGTGATTGATTTTTATCGTTGGTGAAGTTCCAAATTTGCTCACCCTTGTTCTTCCATTTCGCAGGCAAGCGATGATAGATGAATTTGACCTCGACCAGGATGGAGAGATTAACGAGCAAGAGTTTTTCGCCATCATGACAGACGATGCATAGCTCTTTTCGCTTATGGTTATTTATCTATTCTTTTTCGTTCCTCCATTTTTCTCGAGTCGTACACTGTCTCTCGCCGGTTATTATCTATTAACTCACGTGTTTGGTAATATTGCGATCATTCTCTGTCCGGAACATCTACGGGCTTCGTTTGTGAGTCCTTTGCTAAACAAGTAAGGCGTCCTCTGATTCGTAATATAACCAGCTGTGCTCTATTCATTAGAGCTCCTCGTGTAATTGTACAGCCGCCGGTTGATGAGTAGTGTGCCGCTGAGTAATGCCTATTCTACGGACGCGGCCCTGGTGTTCACCGCGAACCATGATCGGGAGCCGTAAGAGGCCTGTAGAGACGCCAAGGAGAACCTAACAAGCTGCCTGCGCAGCTTGAGCTGATGAATAAAAATACATGCATTTGTTGTTCACTTTTGGCTACATAGCCTGATCATACAAGACAGGCAACCATATAGAGCCCTATAATTCCCCAAAGAAGACTACAATAAAAAAAACCCGTAAAACAAATCTCCGAAATAAACACCCGAGCAGTAAAATACTTTACAACCATGACGTATAGCTACATACGCCAGACTGGTGTTATGATACGACTGAGAATGATGAGAAATAAATAAAAAACCGTCCATGATGCAAGGGGATGAGTGATAAAGATACAACGTGACGATGGGATGCAAGGATAGGATACAACCAGATTTGGCATGGGGGCGTTGAATTTTCGTAGTAGTGTTGACAGACGTTAAGACAACCTTTTGCAAGGGTTGCATGTGATCGGCATAGTGGCGCTGTGGTTACAAAGACCTATGCTCTAAGGATAGAGCGCGAGCTCCGGGTAACTGAGAGGGGTGAGCGATAATGAGGTCATGGTAGGCGTCGACATGGAGATGATGCGGAAGAGCGGGGCGAAAATCATGAGAACGTATATGCTTTGGCGGTGGCAGTGTATATCATGAGCGAATGACAAACATAAGCGATGATGAGGGCTCATTGGTGACCCGAGGATGGGCATCTGGAGCAAGTCGACGCAAACAGTGAATGATGAAAGTATAGAACAAGGAGAAAAGAGTCGTCAATGGATCTTTGGATGCGGGAGAATGGCTGGGATCGAGAGATAGAACAAGAGTGATGCGAAAGTCGTCGAGCGAGTAAGAGAGAGAAAGAGACCGGAATGACACAAGGTCCAGACCTGCGAAATCCGACTATGTCGCAGATGAATATACCGAGACGTGAGTTCTCCGCGTCTCGAATTCCACCCGACGACGAACCTGAAGCCGGTGTCGTAATCATGAGTGGATGAAATTAAACATCGTCCACCATACCCATCCTCTCCATCAACTTTGGAAGATCCTTATGGACCTTCATGTGCTGGCCTAGGTTATCATGCCGACTGAATTCCTTTCCACAGCCAGGGTATGGACACCTATGCGCTGCCATTGTCGATAAGAACGAGGTTATCAACGGTGAAAAAAATAACTTACGCTTTTCATTCGTGTGGATGCTCCTGATGTGTCGTTTGAGGTGTTCCCCTCTTGCGAAACATTTGCCGCAGCCGCTAATGTCGCACAGATAGATCCGACTTCCGAGAGGGTCACTATAACCTCGGGCCCGACCGCTGCCGCCGGCATTGTTCACCGTTGGCACGCGACGACCCCTCGACTTCTTAGTGAGATTAGGGACCGGGACAGGGACAGGGAGGGATCGAGTATTCTTTCGAGGCTTTCCTACCTGAGATGACGAGCCTGGCGTCAAAGTGGAGGCAGCAATAAGAGGCGACTTCGCGGCATGCTTCGGTGCAGGCTGTGGGAGTGAAGAGCCATAGGGATGGTACCGCGCCGAATTCTTGCCGGAAAAAGATCGAGAACGTAAGCTTCGCGTGTTCTTTGACGTAGCTCGCATGTGGGGTACGAAGTCGCCGTCGCCGTCATCATTCTCTACTTCTTCCGCCCCGTAATCATCGTCGTTATCGTCAAGGCCAACTTCATCAACACCGTCTGCATCTTCTTCGTCGTCCAGACTGAAGTTATTGCCTCTCTCAATGCGGAAAGTCTCGCCAAGCTGTTGGGCAAAACTTTGGGGCATGAAATGACCTTTCCCCGAACTATGTCCATTGTTGGAGCTGGACCCATGGTGATTAAAAGTTGCAATGTCCGGCTCGCCTTCAGCATCCTCATCCTCAGGTTCCGGTAGATCCGTGAAACCCATCACGGGTGATACCTCCGCAGGTCGCACAGTTCTCTGCTCCTGTAGACCCTGCGTCTGAACTCTCAAAGCCTGCCGTTGTTGTTCCTGTTCCTGGCACGTGCGCTCACAATCGCTCACAATAGATGGTCCAAGATACGCTTGTCGTGGAATAGGTGCAGGCAACATAGGCAGACTCATCGATGACAACGGAGTACTTTGGCTTGACATATAGCGCATTGCCAGTTCCGAAATCCCAGTGTTGTGCTGGTCAATTGGGGGCGAACCTGCTTTTAAAGACGTCAGATACAGCGGTCCAGACATTTTGCGGGTACCAACCTGTGCTAAAAAGACCATCATACGCCGCCAAGCTACTAGGCGAGTTGGAAACGTCGGCTGGCGGGGTGTAACGGGCCACATGGTCTGGAATGCTTTCTACTTTGATGTTCTGACGAGGCTGCTGATAACAAGCGTGCGATGCTGCGGAAACTGAATTCGGGAAGCTCGGATAAGAGGTTGTGGCCGCCTGCGGCTGGTACGCGGCATCAAAATTCTGTCGGTAGGTGTGTGCATCGCTCTCCGCAGGATGCGGCGTAGGCGGAGAGTCATACAAGGAGTTGTTGTATTGCTGAGGATCCGCTTCCTGTTGCTGCTGTGGTGGACACAACGGTTGAAATTTCTTCACTTCCGGTGAATAAGTATACCCCATTGCGACTGACAAGGGCATGGGCAACGGTGCTGCTACAGGCTGCTTATACACCTCCGGGTTCTCGGCCACATACCCCGATAGGGCGAATGCCCGTGGGGCGTGCGGGAACATGTATCCAGCGGCAACCAAGTCGTCTGCCATGGTGTAGGGAAAATAATCATCACTGCTAACAACATGTGATGTGTCGTTCTCCATTGAATCAATGGGAGGCTCAGGAAGCGGGCTCTCGTTGGCCGATGAAGAAGAAAGCGGAGATTCAGCGGAAGCAGCCGAGCCGTCCGATGGGTATGGGCTATAGTCCGGGAGGGGCTGGGGAGGCGACTGCTGCTGTGCAAGGGAGTAATATGAATTGAAACGAACAGAAGGGGAGAAATGACCAAGACTGGAGTTGGAGCTGGAGTGCGAGTGTGAGCGAGCGAAATACGGCGGGCTTGGCATGTTGACAACCGCCGGACGTCCAGAATGTTGTCGTTGGGCTGGTTGATGGGTGAAAGGATAAGGAGCAGAGTCAAAATACGAGGGACGAATATTCGAATCCATTTGCATTTTTAAGGACCGACTCGACACGGTCTTGCCTTGTCTGGAGTGAATATGAGCCCAGATTTATCTGGAGGCACTAAAATAAGGGAATTGATTTGAGTTGGAAATTATTGGTCATACCAAGGACGACAGATCACCAGGTTTGCGCACAAGGCAAGCAGTCGCGTTCAGGTACAAGCGGATGTGATCGTGTGGCTGTGAGTGTAATTTACAATTGAGGGGGAAAAAGATCTGAGAATGGAACAATCGCGGGGAGCGCGTTGGGCGACGGCGGGACACCGGAAAGGGCCTTAGAAATCTGGATGAAAATGCGATCGAGGCTGTGGAGCAGAGGCTCTGCTGCTTCTGACTCAATGAGTCACGTCGTGTTCAAAAGTCGTGAGTTATTCGTCAAAAGTCGAGAACAATAAAAGTGTCAGATTTCTGTCAAATGAGCAGTACCGCAGTTGAGCGGCGATGAAGTTGGAACAGCCAAGGAGGGACAGCTTACTGAAAGAAAGCAGAAACCAAGAAATAAGTGGAAGGCTTAGTACAGCCTAAAGAAAGCTTTGCACCGCCGAACGAACCTGATAGTGATACGGAATCAAGAGAATGAAACTCATTTACGATCATGAAGAAGAATGTTCCCTTGCCTGTGTACTATTGTTGACTCTACTTTGCCGGATTGCCAGTTTATTGGAAGGTTTCCTCGGGGCCAGGTTGCCTTAATGGCTATCCTCTGGATGAGGTGCTTTTTCAATTGAAAAAGTATAGCCACAAAATTTAAAGTAGTCACTCGGGTCGGTATAGTCATAGCACGAGGCTACTGAACACCTTTCGACAATCTTTGCTCTTTTGGAGTTTTCAAGGTTCACAAGCATACTAATAGTACTGGTGCAGGCAGCTGCCACTGATCACATCTAAAGTATGATCTAAGGTTTGACCAATGCTTCCAAGCTCCGATCTACCACCTGATCTCAAGTCGTGAACGTTATCAATAATCGTGTTAGTCCCACGAACGTTCAATTCAGCATCTCCACGTCTGAGTACTTCTCGTGTACAGGCAGAAGATCTCATACGTAGCCTTCTATACTCACAGAGATATCGTTACTTTAGGTACATACTACTTACTCGTGCCTAACCTACCTTCTTTGATCTATCTGGCGTATCCCACTTATTTCCCAAGGCGAGGCACTCGGCTCCCTGCATCCTCATATTTACACCTCCCTGCAGTATGAAACCTCTTTACGATAACTATTCTGTCCTTTACCCAGGAAAGGCTTCCGCGCCATCCTTTCACCGCATGTCAGTTCGCGCCAGGGGTGGCAAAGCGACGTAAATCAACTCTTCCTCGAGAAGGTCCCTGAGAGTTTCACCTCGCACTTTCATATCTATGATCGGAAATCCACTCCCGCAGGTCCACTGCAGGTCCCCACACCAACAGTGCTACTTACCTTCTAAATTCATACTACGTTGCCGTACACCCTCGCTATCCTTTTCCAATCACCCTGCTGGTCTTCTAAATCACCCCAGCCACCCTGATTGCGGTGTGTATCATTTCGTTGGCTTCTGCGCGAAATTAGACCAGGATCTATTCATGTCACTTGACATGAACAACCACTTACCTGGGAATCACATTCGTATCGCGCCGCATATCGCTTTTAATCGATTGTTTCATTTATTAAGAGGTCGGTTGGCAGGCGTGTGCACGCCAGTGTGATCCTGGATAGAGACTTGCCAAGAATCAACAATGCCGCTCAACCTTCCTTTTTGCGTTTGATACTCGAATCTAAAGCGCCTGTTCTATCTCCATAGAGCAGGGCATCATGGGAACACCCGCCGGAGAGCTGAATTCGGTAAATGGATTTTTGACCAGCCGTGGATGGCGGGAGCGAGTGTGTATAGGACGTAAGGGGGCAAGGCCCCATCAGATAGGCATAAAATTAATGAATTCGAATGAGCGCACGAATCGCGAAACATCTTGGTCCGACATAGGTAAATTTCATACACCAAAGATCAGTAATAGAAGAACCTTGCTTTGTCTGCGGATGAATGATGATGAGCTCATTTGCGCGGTCTAGCTAGATTTAAAAGCACCGCAACTGTCTAATGCTTGTCCAACATAGTTCCGAGTTATGCCCAATTCAACGAGTGATGGTATTATAGTTGTGACGGAGCGCCAACGATAATTAAGCGGAAACCTGCGTAAGGTCGTGCAATCAGTATTCCATCGAACGGAATTGGAGACTGGGCGAACCATGCAAGTAAAATAGTGGCCTTGCTGGATTTGTGCCAGTGGCAAGCATGAGTATGTCGTGCGGTGACTGATCCGAGGGTGATGACGCTCACAATAGACCCAATAGTAAGAAAGGTGCCGATTGATTGCGACATTGACGTGACTATCAGCGTTCACTGCGTGTCGGACGGACGGCCTGAAACTCAATTAAAACATGATTATTGAAACAGATGAATTTCAAAGCAACAAAGGCAATACTTGACAATCACCAAATGCGGAAACCACTATCCTTGTTGAGTCAGCGAAACATGAGCGCCCGAACAGCGAATAGGCTCCTTAAACTTACCAATAGATTCCAAAAAGACAAAATCGCCGTATTGCCATTAGGAAAGTCGATACTTCTTCGGAACACTATAATAGCTTGCCGGATTGACTCGGAGGAGAAGTAGCAAGGGCGATGCCGAAGCGCAGTACTTCACAATCAGTCGGCAGGTCCCGACGATGTGATTGCTCTCAAGAGTTGCTACATTTGCAAATGTACATTAGTAGTGTGGACATAGAACAGCGGAGAACATACGCAACGATTCTAGCGAATGGACGTGCATAGCCTCGAAGAGACAGCCTTATCATGGAGCGTGCATTCAAGGAAAATGACGCAAGGAGGCAACGTCACTTTGCGCCTCGAGATGAGTTAACGATTAACGGCCTCAGGCCTCAGTGCTTAGTAGCAGATGAGGCTCCTGTATTCATGGGAAGAGTGACACATCTCGTATCCGTCGATGCCGCGGATGTGCGGAAAGGAACACAGGCACTGTTCATTTGTAGAGAGTCAGTAAAAACACGGTGTTCAAGATGGATCCGGCCAGTGGGGCTATGGATGAGAGTGATATTAATAGAAAAAGACAAAGAAAAAGAATGAAGACGGCGAATTGATGAACCAAGGAAGTGAGAACCGGAAAGTGAATATGGAAAGTGTGTCGAGGATGTCGTGTTCTTGGATACCCCTTGCGGATGCGAGGGCGGAAATTGGGAATAAATACATTGCCTGAGGACCTGGTCGTCAATTCAAGGCTATCAGTACCGTATGTACGTACATTCTCGAACATACAATCAAGGTTCGAACCAAAACTATCGAAACTGCGTGCCAGACGAAGGAGGGAAGAGCAGCCAGATGAACCTGGAACGACGGTAAAGGCAACTTATTACAACGGTGCGGATACTGCTGAGACAAGGCAGAGCTAGTGGAACTCGTGGAGAGGACGACATGTGCTCAGTGATGTCCCGATATACCAGCAAACACAAGACCAGAGGATGCCTATCTTGGTATATCTGGTTAAAATATGTTTGTCAGGGACGTGACACTAGTACTGGGTAACTCGAGCAATATGAAGACCACTAAACGAAAAGCAGAGTTTTAGACAAGGACGTAGGTCGTTACCAACGACGGTCAGCCGACTTTCGTCGATGGAGGAGGTCCATGGACCGTCACATGAAGTACTTGTCACGGTTGAACACGTGGGTAGGGTTCGATCGTGTGAACAGAGGTAGTTTGGCAAAAAAACAACGAAGGACCCCTGTCCGAAATCCCCTGCGCCAGAGTTCGTCCGCAAGCAAATCTCTTTCGTTTCAAAACATTGTTCAACGCTGGTTTATACCTTAGAATTAGTCTGTAACAGCATTGGATAAATCTTTGTTCAAGAGGTAAGAAGAAGTCGTCTCCGGAAAGCCCCTTGTTCACATTCTCCCATCAGGCGTCGCAAAAACGATGGAAAGCCCCCAGTTTCAATTCAATCAATCTCCCGGAGCTTTACTACAACCTTTGGAAGACGACGACACCTTGGTTGACCTTAATCATCCATCTAAATTGGTCAGTATCATTTTTTGCTTTATATTCCGTTATAATATTTACCAGGGTAACGCCACTCCTTCCATTGGCAATACAATCCCTTACAGGACTCTCCTCCATTATCAACAGATTCTAATCCTAATTCTCGAAGAGTAACGCGTTCTCAAACAACAGGCCGACCAACTGTACGTTGGGGTAAGCACGGCAGAGGTGACCCCCCCGACACGCCATACAGAGGATCTAGTGCTTCTCTCAAACGATCTTTTGACGCGCGAGCAGTCGACGACGAAACAGACGTTGAGGCGGATCAAGACCCCACTTACGTGCCATCAAAGCTTCTAAAGATGGAACCCACCGTGTTGATCCCGGAGTCGTCTGCCGGTTCAGTTGTTGAAGATACACCCCAGCCAAATGAATTGGAACTCACACCTCCATTTGAACTCAGTGGCACGCCTATGCCCGGGGAATATACTTTCCTTGACGCTTCCTCTTCCTCGTTTACTTCTGAACGTCGTGGACCGAGGATACGCACAGCCCCCCCTATTCCCGTTCCGAACTTGACGAAAAAGAGTCGCGGTCGCCGCGTCCCTACCGCCGGCGACGACGCAGCGGTAGAAGGAGAAGCAGCTGAGGGACGTAAGGGACGCGTTTATGTTTGTAAAGTGGAAGATTGTGGCAAGTGCTTCAGCCGTGGAGAGCATCTCAAACGGCACATCCGATCTATCCATACACATGAAAAACGTGAGCGTCTTTCTTGCATAATCCCCTTTCGGCACTTTGCTAATAAAGGTTGTTATGATCAGCGTTCGATTGCCCTCACCCCACGTGCGACAAACGTTTCAACCGGAATGATAATTTACTTCAACATCTACGTGTCCACAAGGGTGACAATTCTTCTCAGACCTCTGTTGATTCTGCAAATCCAGCTACTGCTGCAGAATCCGCTCCTGATGATGGCAGTTCCCCAGTAGCCACTCAGCGTGCCTCCTCATCTAAGACAAGCGCCGCCCGCCGAGCAGTCCGCCCAGCGCGCAAGAGTAAGTCTGCTGCGTCCACGCCACCAATCCATCCTGCACGTCTTGCTGCTTCACGAGCAGCGAGTCGGAATGCTCCCCTTACTCTTCCACGCACCTACTCCCTTCCTCCGCTCCCCTCTCTAGTACCACCCTATCACAACCCTGCTATTGCAGGCTTCATGAACAACACCAACATTGCGGTCTCCTCCCTCCGGACCGCCATGGATGAGGAAGAGACGGATCACGAACAGGAAACTGAGATTTCTGAGGACGAAGGTCACCATGGCCGGACAACACACAGTCTCAGCGACCTCCGCTCGATGTACAACTTCCGCAACGCTTTCAGCTCTGCTCCCCTAGCACCCAGGAAAGATGTATCACGCGGTAACAGTCTGCCTGCTGAGGAGCACCTAGACAGTGCTCCTGTCTCCGCTGGACCCGGGCCGTCTTCCAGCCCTTCGCCTTCATCCATGTCACGCGATCCTGACGACGCTCACAAGTCAGCTCCACATTCGCCCCCAACCGTGGATACTCAACCCAAGGACAACTGTTAATGGTCTCGAGCTTTGTCCGTGTCTCTAAATCATCGCTGTGGATATACATTGATTGCATCATATGTTGATCATTTTCACTGGCCGTTGTCTTGTATGTTGTCTTTCCGTCACTTTCATCGATGCTCTGCGTTTACAAAATTGATTAATATTGGTCTCGTATCGTGGCTTCCCTTATCCTCTTTGTCGTTAAAACTTGTCTTGCGTCTTTCCGTGTTTGATTGAATCAGTTCTTGTTTCCTCTTCTATGCCCTCTGGATCCGCTTGACTTTGCATACTTAGTTACTTGGTCTCTATAACCCTAATTGCGGTACGGTTCGCCTATGGAGTCACCTGCTTTTTCTTGGTCGTGTGCTTCTTGCGATACCTGGATGGTTGTAGTACAAATTATCTGGACAAACTATAGTTTGGATACAACTTGACCAGGTAGTCCATTGTGATGAGTACATTGATTGCAGGAAACGAATATCTATGCATGAATATTGTGAGAAGGCGAGCGTCATATCGGTATCGTACAGTTCCGTAGTATCATACATATATGCCCCCGATTAAAGAGCTGACTCGTGCTTGCCCTTTAAGCCCAGGCGATGATGTCCTGCTCCGTAGGACCGGTGGGAACATCAGACGCAGCGAGGTTGCACTGATGGAATGCGCGGACTTGATCGGGCTTGAAAGCACCGACGACGGTGTGGAGTAAACCGCGGTTGTGGAACAAGACAAGATCTCGTTCCTTCCAATCATGCGGATACACCAACTAGGCAAAGTCGTTATCAGCTCATATAAAGGAGCAATGAGGGAAAAAAGTACCCCCGGCGCGATACCGGGCCGCTGCATCAAGTGCAGAAGCTCGCGAACCTTTTCAAGGTCCTTGATGTGCTCTCCATCGGGGTACAAAGCACCTTCACGCGAAGCACCACGGGGCAAGGGTCCCACTATGAGTTCTTGAGCACCGCAGGGATGAACTTGGAAGTGTAGTTCGCCCGTGACGGGGTTCTTCCAAAGCTACGGCGTAGTATTCTCAGCTTTTCACATATGTCCGCGGAATGGAAGCAGGACGTACAATAGGCAACGTTTTAATTTTTGATTCCTCCCACTCTGGAAGTTCGTTCAGAGGCAGTTCGAGACCTTCGTTCTCAATTCCTAGACCATCTGATTTCGCACGGGCAGGTGCCATCCAGACGTAAGGATGGGGTGCATACCGGACAGAAGTCCGGACGGCGAGGCTCTTCAATTCAGGCGGTAGGATCTCAAATATCTTCTTTCCGGTCACAAATGCTGTGGTCCCCAGAGGTACGGATAGGGTCTCCCCGGATGGATCATCGCTATACCTGACAGTCTGCCTATTGCCACCAGGCACGGTGATGCCATAGAGGGTGGTTGCACGCGGTGGGTTATAATCGTACAGCGCCGCATCGATGTGCCAGCGATAGAATCGGGTGAAGCCCAAAGCCTCGTCTTCAGCAGAGACACGAGTCTTGTGGAAGGTCGTGTGTGAGGGGTGTTTGAGAGCAGCAGATTCTAGACCTTCATGGTTGTAGACCATGCCGTTGCCGATCAGTTGAACTTGGGGTACACGAGGAATTGTCTTAAGGTCTGGGTGAAGAATGGACTTCTTGGTCGACTGGGTCTTGTTGTTTCCATGCCCGTATGATTCAGACTCGGGATCAAAGGCCTGTCTGAACCTGAGAACTGCGTTGAAAGTCACGCCAACGAATGCGCCCACCTTTGTTAAAGCATACTGTTGTTCCGGAGTAAGAGAAACATCTCTGAACAGTAGGATTCCGTGCTACAAAGTGGATAAGTCACGGGCGTTTCACTGTAGGAAGACCCGGGAGTTACAGTGTACAAAGCTGTCTCGATCTCCTTGAATTGCTCAGGAGTGAGTTCGCCAGGGTTCACGCCCTTGACTTCCCGACCAAAAGTGGGGTCAAAATCGGTAACATTGGCAGAGACGGGGAGGGTGAGTGGTGCTAGTTCAATAGCCATTATCGTCGTTTAGATCAAATGGGAATGTAACAAGTCAAATCGACAGAGGACTTGAGAACAATGATCCGGCCTTATCTTCTGCATTACGAGCGACCTGTCGGCCCGAACTGGAGCCGACAGCCGAATGTCCTTATCATGTTGGGAGGTAACACCCGGTGACGACTGTACACGTCCAAAACCTGCGGGAAACTTGAAGGACAGCCCAAGGACGGCGATATGAATTGTAATATGTATATGCGAAGTTGAATTCTGTCTGGCCGAACAGAAACTGATTGTAATTTTAGTTATCATAAAGAGTAATCAAGCCCGTCTTTTGACGTCTTCATCGCCTGGTCTTGCCGGCGGTTAGAGGGAAGAAAGGTTAGACTGGTGGAAGACACGTACGTACTTGGTCTTCCCTGAACGAGCTTACAACGGTATGGTTTACTCCGGGATTAATGTAGAAGAATACCAGATCCTTCCCGTGCCTTGATGAAATGAAAGCTGCAAGAAGTACTAAGAACTAACCCAAACCTAAAATATGATTCGGACTCACCAATCGCAGGGATATATACCAAGTGAGGGAAGTGCGTCAGATCTAGCATGTTCGTGAAAATGGCAAGACTGGCAGATGGCTTTATGCCTTGTCGTTGGAGTCTGTACAGGATATGACGAATCTCTTTAACATCCGTTAGATGTGCTCTATCTAGGTACAAACAGCTTCAGGCAGAGCGCCAATAAAGACCTCTGTTACAGCAGTACCTGTGAAGATTTCCGATGAGCATGTTTTTCCAAAGCTGACAACAACCATATTAGTCGGAAGCAACACACAAGCAGAAGTAGGTACACCTACCATGGGCAGTAGTTTTATCTTACTTTCGTCCCAATGACGTAGCTCGTAATGAGGGACTTCCAGGCCTTCTGATTCCAGCATCAGGCCAGTCGAACGAGTCCTCGCGGGGATTTTTCGGCATCCAGCCCTCAAACCTCTGCCAGAACGTGACTATTTTTGGATGTCAGCAGCAGGGGGTGGGGGAATGCTCACTGGGACGGGGAGGCAGACTCCGAGTCCGAGCATGTTCAAGGTAATTGCTCTTGCTGGGAGTATGATACCCTACCAGGAGCGTCAGATTTGCGGTGTTCTCATCTTCACTTCCGTCAATGACATCACGTAAGAAGAAGAAAAAATAAGAATCGGCGTCACTAGGATGTGACTTGTTCGGGACTTACTTGCATGAAAGGGATACGGTGCCACGCTTCCAATCGATAGCAAATTGTTCGCTGCCTAGGCCCTATCAGACGGCAAAGGAATTATGATCCTGGAGCACCATCATATCAGTCCATTGTTCATCCCATGGACCCAAAAACAGGGCACCGCGCGCATGTGTCGCTCATGCTATGGCCTCAGTAGTTCCAAAAATAGAGGCCAGGGGTGGACCAACATTCTACGGTGTTTTTGGCCGATCATAGCCTGTCGTTGCGCACGCGATTCGCACGCGGATATTCCAAAAAGTGTGTTCACAGGTGAAGAGCTTCAACATAACCGAGCGATAAATCAGTGAAGATCGTAAGTATAGTTATGAGATGATCATTATAAGAAACATTGAAGGCCCCTTCCAGGGATGCTGCAGAGTGTAGCAGTGAGCCTTAACTTGAAGCGAAGGAAGGTGCGATATTAAATACGCGTAAGGTGGGAAAGTGGCACGAGATGATCATGAATCATGATCGATGACGCCAGCTGTGCTACTTCAACGCGACGTGTCAGGCAGTCAGAGCGCATAGCTTTATGATGACCTACCAGGGCCCAGCAGCACCCGTGTAAAGCCTGAGATCGTAACTTTTGCCCGAAAGTCGTGTGTTGTCCAAAATGTCGAATACCGCGTACGACTTTCAGGCAAAATCGTAAGAACATCTGCTTTGGGTCGGCCAACTTCTGCCATGTCAATAAGTTGCAAGCAGCTTGATACGTTTGTGAATCATGGAAATTTTTGTCAGAGGAGGATGGCAGAGTCCGCAAAATGTTCGAGTATAAGTTTGATAATGTTGATCTGCCGTTAGCCTGCCGTAGTATGAGTAGGCCGTAGTAGGCAAGAGTCGAGTATAAGTGAGTTGCTTGCCCACGCATGCAAGTACTTTCACTCTTATCACTTGCAGCCATGGAAGAGCCAGGCGTTAGGCAAAGGAAGAAAGCAACTCCCGGGTCCTCGAATAATCACGAAGTGCGTACTTGTCAGTTGCTTTTGATATGCTAATGACAGGCACTGCAGACGGGCGGTGAAACCAAGCCCAGCCCAGCATTTCCAAAGGTACTATATGGGTTGTTAGTCGTGGTATTGGTTTTGGCACTTTACAATGTATGTGCATAGAATTTCAATGTCTCACTTCCTACTTCTTCCTACTTACCATATGCTAGTTTTCGGCTGTAGTGAAGAGTCAGCTCAACCAGTTCCTTGGTATACCCGACCCTACCAGACATCTACCAGGAGTTCGAACAAACTTATGTCCCCACGTTCGTGGCGGACGAAGCAAAGCGAGACGCAGTGGTAGAGGCCTTCAAAGTACGAAAGCCTGTATTTGCTCATTCTTTCATGGACTGATGCCTCAACTTAGCATGCGTGGCTTGCATACGGTAATGCGCAGTCCATGTAATTATCGCCAAACGACTGATTCCAGTAGAAAGGGATGCTATGGGTGACGACGAGTACCACCCGATCTCGCACACTGGTTCAAATCTAACCAAAGCAGGGGGTATTGGGTATGTTATTGCAGACTCTATTGACACGATGATTATCATGGGGCTGGACGATGAGTACCAACGTGCAAGGGCATGGGTGGCAGACAAACTCTCGTTCGAACGGGATGGTAACCTCAACACCTTTGAGGTAAGCAGAAACCTTCGCTTAGTGTCGTGGCGACCTGATGTGTTTTCTATCATCAGACAACAATTAGAGTCCTGGGTGGCTTACTGGCTGCATACCATTTGTCTGGGCAAGACCCTGTGTTTCTCAAGAAGGCTCATGAACTTGGTAGTCGCATTCTGCCCGTCTTTGAGACAGAGTCTGGTCTTCCACTATCCCTGATCAATCTAGCGCTTCGGGAAGGTGCGCCAGACCGCGATAACAATGGGTATATAAGCACTGCCGAGGCTTCAACGTTACAACTCGAGTTCCGCTATCTCGCGTACCTTACAGAGGAGGATGCTTATTGGGAGAAGGCTGAACATGTGAGCACTTTACTTAGGGTGCTGCACCAAACCTTACGGTATCCCAGGTGATGGCCGTTCTGAAGGCGGGCGCTATGCCTCATGGGCTAGTCTCCATCTTTGTCGAGTAAGTGTTGGAATTTATAGTCACTAAGCATACTGCTTATATGTCAGCCCGAAAATGGGTCGCTACCGAACTTCGCCGATACGACTCGGGTCTCGCGGGGATTCTTACTATGAATATCTACTGTGAGCAAACAAAGTGGTAAGTTCGACGTTGCACTCATATTTATGTCACAGGAAACAATACCTGCAAACTGTAAGTATAGTATACAGGAAAGGTTGATCTCGGAGAGGCTGATAATTCCCTCAGAACCAAACGGAGATTGTGTATCGCGAGGTAGATTCCACAGTCCAACTGATCCAAAATATCATTTCATGGTATATCATAGATGTATGACACTGCCATGACAGGTATCCACGACCACCTGGTACAACGAGGGCTTTCTAGCCAGCTTCTTTACATCGCCGAGCTTAATCCGCAGCAGACCCAGGGTGGGGGAATGTTAGTTCACTTCTTATTCTTCAATGATCAGTGCCCTGACGTGATTCCTAGCGAATGGCGTTTAGTTCCCAAGCAAGACCATCTCGTGTGCTTCCTTGGTGGTTCTCTTATGCTCGGTGCCACAACATCCGGTGCCCTTGTTGAGCATGTCTCGGTCCCACCGCAAACCGACGAGCTCACCCACCAAGGCGAGCGTGATTGGCTTACGGGAGTGGAACTTATCGACACCTGTATGGCCACACATGACACCCAAACGTATGTATCGATGTACCCCGGTTACTTTACGTGTATACTGAATATGACAACCAGCGGCCTGGCGCCTGAGATTGCGCACTTCCGTATTCCGGGCGATAGGATGGATGATTCGGTGGCTCCTGCGGATTGGTACATCAAAGGCGCGCGGTATGTTGACTCACTTGTCACATCGAGTTTCACGCTGACTTACCTTGTGAATTACCAGTCCCGACACCCCTCCTCCTTTTGATGCCCGATACATCCTCCGGTATGTTTGGTTACGTTCAGTCGCACACTCATGGGTGATCCGACTTGTACCGCAGCCCGGAAACCGTCGAATCCATCTTCCTTGCCTTCAGGCTCACCGGCGATCCCAAGTATCGCGATTATGGCTGGGCGATATTCCAGGCCATCGAAAAGCATTGCCGTATCCCAACAGGTGGGTACGCAAGTGTGATCAATGTGGATCAAGTTCCCGTGGAGTATGAAGATAAAATGGAGACTTTCTTAATGGTGTGTGATGTTTCTTGCCCGATTTTGTGGCACTCATTTTTCTCGCCAGAGTGAGACATTGAAGTATTTATATCTATTATTTGCGGATTCAAGCGTGCTTCCTCTCAACGGTGAGTGTCATGCCTAGACTTGTTGTCATGTCTGCCAACATGATCCCTATTTCGCAGAATATGTCTTTAACACAGAGGTAAGCCTGAAATATATCCATCTTCCCTCCTACATTTACTAACTCAGAAATTCGACAGGCGCATCCCTTGCCCGTATTTAACCCAACTATACGCACGGGCTTTTCTTGATTATTCGCCTGCGCGGCGGTCGTTGGTTTGTCTTAGTGTATTATTAGCCGACTGGTCTATCATTATCTTGATAGCTGCTTGCAGCTTTGATAGGCTTACTAGTTGCATCGAAACATACTTGGACAATTGCGTCTTTACCATCTGTAGCACCGACACCCTCGTCGGTGCACTCAAAACACCGGCAGTATCTGACACCATCAATATATTGATTCTCAAAGCCCAAATAAACTGCCCATTCATTAAGTAGAATTATAACGAGGACCAAGACGAAACGACGCGGAGCTCGAAGGTATAACGTGAGTTCGTAATGAATGAAAAGATGAATGAACTAAATCGTAATGGGTGTAGTATTATGAACTGGTCCAACGTCAAATACAATAGCACTAAAGGGCCAAAGCAGCGGCCTGAGCGTACGACAGGCCCTTCCAAGCGGGTGATTCCGGGGCAAGGGAAATGAATTCCCAAGGCTCATCGATCTCAATGTCGTGTCCAAAGTCATCAAGAGCAATGACAGAACGGACGGGTGGGAGGAACTCAAAGTCGACATCTACGCACAACTATGAGTCAGCATTGTCACGAATGAAAGCCTGAAATACCATACCTTGTGCTTTGGATAGTTTCTTGGTCTTGAATGTCACGAAATCCGCAAGCACCACCTTGGAGAAACCAGACTTGATCCTCGGCACTGGTGCGACATTAATGGGACGCCCCAGGCCAGTGAGAGGACCAGAGTCAGGCTCATCGCCATCCCAGAACTCCATGCTGACCCTCCTGGCAGCACGGCTTACGTGCCCTTCCTTGGGCGGTGTTGCTCTCACTCCTGTAGCTGCCCTCTCCTTGCGCTCCTTCAGCTGTGCGTGCTCCCGCCGCTCCTTAGTCTGGTGCCTAGCGCGCTCGTAGGCACGCTGGTCCTTTGCACCGACTTCAGTGAGACAATTGCTCACTGTCTCATGCGACTTCTGGGGGGATTTCTCGGAGGATGTGGTAGACATGAATAAGGGTTGAAGGACAGGGTCTCACTTATATAGACAGGTGGAAGCGATGTCCCACGGTGGAGGCGGCGGCGGCGGAAGCATTGCCTTTGAGTGTCAGGTAATGCCAGTACCACGGCCACTGGTCTGAGACATGATAACTAGGTTTAGCACACAGCTTTACCAAGGAGGCTACCTGTCGAATAGCTATCTCAGGGCACTGCAGGCAAGATAGCGCGAAATAGGAAACTCCGATCGTATATGGGTCACGTGACTTACGGACTGACGGGTAATCACTCTACCGACTTCGGGCTGCCAATATCATAGCTTGTGGCACCTGTAGCTTTTCTATTCCGCTATCGAACGGTCTAGATATTTAAATATGGTCTCATATAGATACCGCAATGTAATTGCTTTGACGCAGGCCCTCGTCTCTAAGAAGCTTGTTTGAAATCGATTATCTAGGCCGTACGCACACTCATTGCGCTCGTGCTTGTCACACGTATTCAGAGTGCGGAGATGGGCGCCCCAGACCCTCCTCGGATATAGTATTCTCGTTCTCATTATCATGATTCTCATCGATCGTGGTAATGAGTCGAATAGTATCAATATCTACGCTGCTTTCGGGTCAACGTATGATCACGACGTGATGGAACGTGCATCTAAGCATGAAAAATCGCTATCATGGCCACTGATGAACGTACACTTGCTGTTAATGTGGCAATTATCCAAGGGATGAATTGTACAATTGAACTTCTTGCCACTACATGCAGCTCTCGATCTACTTTTTGTAGCAGAGCAGGGAGGGGAGTCAAACCAACCGAAAGACCCTTGTCACCAGCATAAACACCGTCAAACACCGTCTGTGATCTCGTCTCTTTGAGTCTTGATTCCTTCTTCTGGTGTTGACAAAGACAGATGCGATGCGCAGCGGAAAAGGCTTGCTATGACAAAAAAGGGGCGAGAAAAAAAAGAAGAAGAAAAGGCGAGCACAGTTCATCATAATATTGCTAGCTGAGATATTTAGTCTGTGAGGTTCAGACCAACTCCGTTTTGAACAGGGGAAAAAACCTGAATATCAATCGCGCCAACTCGTGGCTACAATTTGGCCAAATTTAACAATTACTGTGTTCACAACTAAGAACACTTACCCATGTCAACGTAAGCCGATCCTGTTCCAGGAATAGACTGAACAAGTTACACATCGCAAAGGGCGTACGGCAAACAGTAGCGGTGTAAGCCTGATTACTTCATCGTAGCACGATTGAGTTACCCGACCCGGCTTGCGGATGAGAAGGTCTGGTGAGTCAGGATCGTGTGTGATTTCCAAACGAGCGATGACTCGCTGATCGAAGTCCCAGATGTGCACATAGAAGTAACGGTCAGTGGAGAGTGCTTCCAGTCTTTATGCAGGTTCAGGGGTACGATCTCGGGGAAGAGCATACGTCATTTTGCTACCGAACACGCTGACTCGGTGGCTTGAGTGATGCGGAAAGCACCACGTATGCTGAGGTCCCCAGTCTGATCAGGGAATCGTGACAACAGGCATCTCCGAGTGCAAGGCCGTTTCAGAGAAGATGACCATATTATTGATGACCAGGATAACAAGCTGTGCGCTAGATGAAATTTCTACAACCATGATTTGCGACTCCAGAGATGGCAAAAAGCTGGGCATTAGTTCTGGGCGAGCCGCTGCGCCGTGGAACGATGGGTTGGCATGAACAGCAATGAATGGAAAGTTTGAAGGACGACATTTCGGAAGTAGATGTGTGGTTCGGCGCTGTAACGACCCATCAAGATCTTATAACGTGCACACGGTTATGACGCCTTCCGAGCTAATAATAACAATTGTTTATTCGTCGACGAAATGGATACATTCCGCATCTTGCCACAAAGGATGCTGCTTATGCTAAGTAGCATTTTTTCAAGAAAGGAGGGGACTTACACTCTTCCCATATCCCTTCCTCTAATCGATCACATGTATGAACATGGTGGACAGATGCCAGTCATTCATGTCCTCTATCCGATAGTAGATAGATACACGATCACCACAGATTACAGGCGTTTCCACAGAGGCAACACTGTAAAAGCCAGGTGCATCAAAAGTATGTTTGCACTCCAAGGAAGGGCACGCAAAGTCCAAATGCGGACGCTAGGACGAAGCCAGCCGAAACTCCACCAAAAAGATATGGTGTTCAACATAGGTCACATTGATTCTACAAGGCGAAAAGACTAAGACCGCAAGATCCTGCAGAGGGTCAACGATGGCATGGTCCAGAACCCGGTGTTGAGAAAACAAGCCGCGTTTGATGGGCCACGTCCGGGAGAGTTTGCAATTTGCGTTACAGTCCCGGATGAAAAGATTATCCCGTCTCGCTGCCAGTGGCAGCATCCACCAAACACCACCTTTCACCGATTGTCCCCATGGTATGCGTTGAAGTGGCCCTGGAATATGCATGTAGGCAGCAGCAACCACCGTTTCAAAAACAGTGTTCACATGGAAGTCAGACCGCCACAAGGATGCCAATTTCTTGAGTGAACACATTTTTCTGGAACCTTCAATCGAGTCCATGATGGCAGTCCCAAAGCACTGGGCATGAAGTTCAAGCTTGTATTGACTGTGAACAGAACTGCAGGCGGCATCCCAGAAGGTTTTACAGGTCTAGCGTAAACTAAAAGTTAAGTTAGCCCAGGCGGAAACATGAAACCAGGGGAAATAGCGAACTAGCATTGCACAACAACAAAGGTCCCTGGGGGTAAGAAGCAATAGGATGTGACATATATGAGCTCTGTAGGAAGCGACAAGAACCCCAACTGCCATCGTCATAGTTTTAGAAGAAAGAAAGAGAATTTTAAGAGGCCGTAAATTATATCAAATGGCAAGGGGTCCGCCGAGCCGCATGAAAGTCCCCACATTCTTCTCGCAAATTTCAAGTTTCAGCAAGTAGTTGTCGATGCAAGCGGTCTTGTGTGCACCGCAGGCTGCAAAAAAGCCACAACATGAGGCACACTGTATGTGGTTCCATGTATTTCTTCTCCTTTGTTGCGTCCCTCCTCCCTCCTCGATTGAATTAATTAATATTCGTACCAAAGCGTACAAGAGTAGGTCTAACGCCTACCGCCTGACCTTATGTCAATGCGAGCTGAACGTATCGTGACGCACATGGAACATGGTTCTAGGCATTTGAAAATCATTTGGCTATCGTCGTGAATGTACATTTGTTGTGAGTATGGCAATTATTTAAAGAATGAATTGTACAATTGAAGTTCTTGTCACTACATGCAGCTCTCGAGCTACTTTTTGAGCAGAGCAGGGGCGGTCAAACCAGCCGAAAGACCCTTGTCCCCAGCATAAACTCCGTCTGTGATCTCGTCCCTGAGAAACGATCAGCACATATTTCCTTCGGTGCATAATAACAACTCACTCAATGCGCAACAATGCATTGTATTTTGCGACACGCTCGCTACGAGCAGGTGCACCAGTCTTGATCTGGCCAGTCCCAAGGGCAACGACCAAGTCAGCAATTATGGTGTTCTCCGTCTCACCAGAGCGGTGTGACACCATGACTCCCCAGCCATCAGACTGAGCAAGCTGTGCACTGAAAAATCGTCAGCCAAGGTTTGTACTCATGGCAGCAGTAACATACGCCTGAATGGATTCCGAGATGGTACCAATTTGGTTGATCTAAACAAGTGACAGTGTCAGAAGATATCACGACCTGAATAATCACGAGCACCGACCTTCAAGAGCAGGCCATTGCATGCCTTCTTCTCAATGGCCGTCTTGATGCGAAGAGGGTTGGTAACAGTCAAGTCGTCACCAACAATTTGAACCGAGCTGTTCTTGGTGAAGTGGCTCCAAGCCTCCCAATCGTCTTGGTCGAAGGGGTCTTCGATCGAGACGATGGGGTACTTCTTGACATAGCTGAGGTAGAGGTCTGCAAGCTCAGTGCCCGAGATCCACTTCTGGGGGTCTGAGTTGGGGTTCTTGAAGTCAAGGTCATATTTTCCCTCCTTGTAGAACTCGGACGAAGCAACGTCAAGAGCAATCTTGATCTTGCCTTCGTATCCGGCCTTGCTGATAGCCTCCGTAAGGAGCTCCAGAGACTCCTCAGCTCCCGAGACGTTGGGAGCAAATCCACCTTCATCACCAACGTTGACGGCTAGAGCGCATACTTCAGACTGACGCAGAATCACGGCACACAGATTACATACCGTCAATGCCATACTTTGCGCTGATGACCTTCTTCAGCGTGTGGTAGGTCTCGGTACCGATTTTCATCGCTTCGGTGAATGAAGAAGCACCAGTAGGAAGAAGCATGAACTCCTGGAATGCCAGCTTGTTGCCTGCGTGCGAACCACCGTTGATGACATTGAAGGCAGGACAAGGCATGACATAGGGGGGCTTGACACCAGCCAGTTCAGCGAGATGCTGGTACACAGGAACACCTTTCTCAACAGCACCAGCCTCCACGCAGGCGATAGAAACGCCAAGAATGGCGTTGGCACCGAGCTTGCCCTTGTTGGGAGTACCATCGAGCTTGATCAGAAGGTCGTCAATCTCCTTCTGCTGAGTGACCTTGAGGCCGGACTTGATGAGCTCTGGACCGAGAACAGTGTTCACGTTGTTGACGGCCTTCGAGACTCCTGAATAATATTCAGTGAACGTGTCTAGAACCTAGAAGTGGAGTATATACCCTTTCCCATGTAGTTGGCTTTATCGCCATCGCGAAGCTCAACAGCCTCGTGGACACCGGTGGATGCACCAGAGGGGACAGCGGCACGGAAAAGACCTAGAGAAGACGTGTTAGAGCGGAAGAGCTGTTGGATCGCGTCCGATCTCTTACCTTTGTCAGTGTAAAGGTCGACCTCAACGGTGGGGTTACCGCGAGAGTCGAAGATCTGGAAATATTGGACTCAAGTTTACTATACAAACTTGGTTGGCTTACCTGGCGAGCGTGGACTTTGGTGACAGACATGGAGGACAAAAGTCAAGATGGGTGAATCGGTGGAAGCACAATCGAAGGTTTATATGAGCGACGGAGATAATCAGTAGCTTCTATGCTTTCTTTCCCACGCAATCCTCGTACCAGATTTCGGCCATTTTCACGAAACCGGCTCATACGTTGGAGCTAGTATCCTCTTCAGACCACAAGCGTGCCTGTCAATGCTATGAACGTTGCTGATAGACATGACGAGTCGGAGAAAGCGCGGAGGAAGATTTGTTTTAGCTTTTCTGCGTTAGTCCGACTTGATCCACGCTCAAAATAGGTGAACGTTTGATGGCAGTAAAACAATTCATCTGCACAGCAGTAACATATCTAGTCAAGTATCAGCGCCGTTTCCGTCCTTCACCCTTCTTGCCCACAGGAAGAGACTTCATCAGAGCCGCTTTGTTGCGATTTTTGTTCTTCACATTGGTGTTTGTGTAAAAATTCTCTGCCTTTTTCTGTAAACTTGGTTAGCACAGGGAACGAACAGGAATGAAAATATGCCATACCTTGTTCGTCTTCATGCGTGGCTTCTTCGTCAGCGCAGTGTCCTCTACATCGGGTGTGTCACCTGGAGACGTGATCAGGCCACAAAGAACGCGGTCAAAATGACACCATACCTTGCTCGGCCGAAAACAAATTATCTTCAATACCTTGGCTTGCCGGCTCGTTCTTATCGTCGAAGACATCGTTCCAAGACAATTCTTCGTCATCGTCATCGTTGCCTTCATCGCTACCGAGTTCGCTCCCTTCATCCCCTTCCTTTGATGCATTATCTCCTGGGGCACCGGAAACTTCTTCATCCTCTTCAGTCTTCTTCGTCCAACGGTTGCACGTCCTCAGCAAGGAACGTGTTCTTCTGCACAATGGTCTTCAAATTCTGCTTGACCGCCAACACCTCGGTCTCGCCCTTGACAGCTTTCTCTTTGCCCTTGCTTCTCGCCTTCAACTTAGCTTCAGTTTTGTTGAGCTCCTCCGACCGCTCAGGGGGAGGCACGAAAAATGGTATTCGGCCCCTCACCCAGTCGCTCAGTATGATTTTAGCAACGCCATCTACGTCTGGCTCGCCTCCTTTTAATAAGCGTCCCTTCATCCGCGCAAGAGTGTCCAAGAACTGTTCCGGATCCCAGAAGCGAGATGGATCGTCAGGATATGGAAGAGGAACACCATATGTTCGCGAGAGATACAACGGCTTTACGCGCGACATAAGAGTGGGGATGTGCTCAGACGGCACGGGAAGGGCTTCAACGCGTAGAACACCTTTGAGGACAGTGGACGTTTGGGAATCATTTGCGGACGTAGGGACGACACCCGGACAGTCGATGAGATATATCCGCCGGGTCAATGTGATATACTGCCAAACCTGAGTTCGAAGTGAAACATTTGGTCATTCAGCTTGACAGTGACTATTGGCAAGTACCTTGGTTTCTCCTGGCACAGGTGCAACACGACAGACCTTACCACTCTTCAAGGTATTGATGACGCTGCTCTTGCCTACGTTTGGGTATCCAACAAATCCAACGGAAATTTGCTTCTTATCCGAATGAAGCTGGGAGAATTGGCGAAGGAGCTGAATCAAAGAGCCCTTGCCAAACGAGTGATTCGGTGACGCGTGAAAGGCAATCGTAGGGTATCGAGGTGTTAGATGTTGAATGTACCTTGCCTATGGCACGCTCAGCAGGTGAATGGACAGGAGGATCACGAAAAGCTTACAGTAACCCAATTAGGCACCAAGTCACACTTGTTGATGACAAGGACAACTTGTTTGTGCGCTTTCTCTTTTTTCATGTACTCGAGCACAGATTCACACATGGTGCCAAGGGGATCGCGAGCATCAAGGATATGCAGTATAACGTCTGAGGAGTCTATCACCTTGTACAGCTCCCCATAGATGCGCCTTGACGTTCCTTTAGCGAAAATGGGTTCAATATAGTCTGCGTGGGTTTGCGGCCCGGAGGCGTCCAAAGACTGCGCTGCCAAAAGTCAGAACATGTTTGATTGGAGGGGAATCATACTGCAATGAGGCACCTATTTCTAGATCATTGGCTACTTGTTCAGCATCTTCCGCTGCAGCTGCGCCCAGTTTACTTAGTTCCTCGAAAGTGCCAACGTCAAGTCTGGCCTTCTTGCGCTGTGCCTTGGGTCCAAACGTCTCGCTGAAAGGTTCTGTTTCCACGATGTGGGATCGCTACATAATATCAGCACACAAGTAATAGAAATGTGCTGGAACCTGCCTTTCGGGTATTAGGGTTGGACGCATCGTCCAAGAGCGCCATGGGTAGTTTATTTCGACGGAGTAGCACTGAGTATGGATCATCTTTCTTCGTCGAGAGGCTCGTTCTGAAGTGATCAAGAGCTGTCTGTGAGATCACTCGTGTATTGCCTATTATTTTCATGAGTAATGGCCTACACATATACCGACGCAACTCACCAAACCATCTACGATCGGGCTGAACTCTCCCAGGTTTTGTCTCGTCTTCTCCCTTCTGAAACGCAGCAGCCTGAATTATCTTGCCATCCTTATCCCGGATGGCCTTTCCCCCCGACAGCATCTTGAGACGGCCGACTTGTTTTGCATTGCGGTAAAAGTTCTCGCCTTTCACTTTTTTCAGTGTTGGTTCCTTGGATCCAGAAGAGCGGACCTTGGGCAAAGCCTTGGTCTTTTTTATGGGCGCCATCGTGTGCCACGACCGTGAAGTCGAGGTCTTCAAAACCTCAAGAAATGATCACAATTGTTCCCACGGCTCATTAGTCTTCTGCCAACTTTTTTGGACGGGGCGCGTTAGGTTTGCTATGTTCAGATCCTGCCTAACCAACGGTATGTCCAATTCTATAAAACTCTGACCGCTTCTGACGTTTCCTTAGCATCACATGCCGTCGCGTCGTCCAGCCGTTCATCACTGCATACTTCAGCAGTTCTCAATGCCCACTTGACGAGCAAACAAGTTCGACATGAGAAGATCTCCAAAGTCCAGGCGCGCATCAATCGCAAGCTCGCAGTCGATGCGCAGCGCGAATATGCTGTTCTAGGTCACCGCCCAGGTCAGGACCACAAATGGCGGAGCTGTGCCCTTGCAAAAGCCGTCATCACGGAAGACGTGCTATACTCGGATTCTGTCCCTGAGATTATTCACAGTGTCGAAGGCGACATCGAGCTTCCGTCACATCTAAGCTTTGGCATTAATGAGAGGTCGAAGGAGCTGCTTTTCGAGGTGTTACCCCAACTATCCGCTCAGAAAGGCGTGACCAAGTTCAGCGAGAACGTGGTTAGCGAAATGCAGGAAGCGATGGGGAAGGAAAATGCCAAAGCGAACATGTTCGCAAAGGTTGTTGATTTGCGTAATGCAAACGCGAAAGGTCTCGCATTCGAGAATCGCCGCCGTTGTATCACGCTGTTTTCTCCGCCGGGCAATCCATATGACACGGGCCGCCCAGAAGTACAAGGTGCTTACTGCTGAATTTCTGACCACAGTACTTGTCATCCTGACGTCTTCTGGATATAGCTGCCTTGTTAACGATACAAATACGTGGGCTATGGAAGCATCTTTTGACTTTCCGCAAGGACATAGATAACCGCAGGGGCCTTCGTCAGCTTGTGCACGAACGGGCCAAGATACTCAAGTATCTGAAGAGACTTGACCGTGACCGATATGAGGCTGTCCTTCCTCGACTTGGGCTCGACGCCGCGAGTGTGGAAGGAGAGCTGGTAGTCTGATCATCTACAGGACTATGTCACGGTAATATACTCTAGAGAGACTTGTTTGACTATTTCTGAATCGGTTCGTCTTGGATAAACATGAGGACGCGTGAAGAACATCAGTGTCCAGTAACATTAAAACTTTGGCTACGTATATTTAGAAAAGGACGCGTGAGGAATCATTAAAACTTTGGTCACGTATTTGGAGAGGGGGATGATTAATGGACGAGTTGTGGACGAATGTTATTTGTCAGTCAGAAGAAAGGGAAGAAAGAGCTACCAAAATAGATATCGTCATCCTCGTCATCCTCGTCATTTTCATCATCCTCGTCATCCTCATCAATACCATAGAAACCTTCCCCTGGTAGAGGGACATAGGAAGGCCTCTCCATTTGCAAAGTAACAGTGGAGTCGGATGGTTTGAGGTCTGGTCTGCGACCCTGTGGCGCTTCGTAATCCTTATAATAGTCCTGATTTTCCACAGGCTCTTCAATGCCATGACTAATGCCACGAATACTTGAGCAACAATGTACATGATGTGACGAGAAGAACAGGACGTGCCTTGTAAGAAGATGACTCTTGATTTTGCCAAGTTCATAGCATTCCCTCTCCTGTGGCAAATCCATGCAGTGGGCGCACAGCCAAATGACGTTTGCAGGCTGAGTGATATTCGGGAAAGGTTGAAAATCGAACATGTGCTGTATGATTTCGGTGAGATCGCGAGCATTTCGGTTAGCCTCCTCGAGTAATTCTCCCTCGAGTTTCAGCCAGTTGGCTGTCCGGCGTTCGTAGCGATGCTCTCGCATCCTGTGTTGGATCTAGAAACCAATTAGATACCATGAAACAGAAATATTCGAATGGTAAAGCACTAACCGCTGAACGCCAAGTGAAGACAGGTGCATTAGCTTGATTCACCTCGTGCTTGGACCACTTCACGCAGTCAACGCACGCAAAGCGAAGATCTAACTCGTCCATTTTGGTCGCAGTGGTGGTGAGCGGGTCTTCACCACATGCCGCCACGACAGCACGAGCAGCCTTGCTTGCCTCTTCGTCCACCTGCAGAAGCTGGGAGTTCCACTTTGTGCGGGTGCTCATTGGAAAGTCGATCCGGAAGTTAGGGTCGTCCGTAGCAAAATAGTCCCAAGGCAACGTTCGCGATCTGGTTAGGCAGCAATGGCCCATGACTTTGGGATAGAAAAGAGGAATGGATCTAGACCGTCGTCCGCCGAGGCTATCAAGGAAATCGTCATAGTCACTATCAGACAAATCGCCAGGGAGTCCAATGGATGGAGTGCATGATTTGCAGCAAAATACAGTTGTCGCTAGCGGGATGCTCTGGTCGATCTCGGCGTCGTCGGGCACCGGGGGCGATACCTCCTTCTTCTTGCCTTTGATGTCTACTATGTCGGCACCGAGGCTTTCCACGTACTCTTCGTAGTATGGATCCGGCGTAACCCGATCCTCCCACACACGCCGCCTTGCGGTTAAGAGCAAGTTATTTTTGACCCTAGCTCTGAGCTGGGAGTGCATGCGTGTACGCCAGGCGTGTACCAAGTCATCCATCCGGGAAGCAACGTCTGCAAATGTCGCTTCCGTAACATCTGTCTCCGTGGGCAGTCCAACAATTTCGACGACTTCAGGGAAGGAACAGAAGTCCACTGGCTCCGGCATGACATCAGTAAAAGGGAGGTGAGCAATCTTATAGCTACGCAGAACGCCAATGGCAGTGCGCCTTCGAGTGATAAGCAGGGCTTTACGCTCGCGCTCAAGACGTCGCGCTCTCATTTCTTCCATGTACTTGATCATGTCGTTCTTGATGTTATTCCAGACTGAATGACAGGTAAGAGGTTGAGTCAGAATCATTCAAGGAGAGAACTGACTGCGATCTGTCAGGCGGGTGGGTTGCTTGACCAACCTGTGGTGACTCAAGTCGTCCGTGTATGGAATATGTTCGATTTCATCGCCCCAACCAATTTCAGTGAGCCTCCCAATGATCCTGGGAAGTGTCAGTCAAAGTGTTGTAGCCATTCTCTTAACTTACGCAGCCTTCCTGTCACGCCTAGCATCCTCCAGCTGATCGGATCGATCTTTAGCCTGAGATGCAGCCCATGCTTCTAACGCTTTCGCTTTCTGGATAGATGTTTGCTGGGTTAATATTATGACGAACAGAGCACTCACCGTATCCATTTCCTTGACGAATGCCCTCCTCTCTTCGCTATAGGCTTGAAGCTCATCTGGATCCGTGAGTGTGCGCAATTTCTTCTGGACTTCTTCGACATCCTTGCGGTAGAATAGAAGGCGACCTCGTTCTGGAAATATTAATTCAGTACCATTACATCACGAGATACCGGATAAATAACACGGACTGCCATATTTACTTGGTACAAGACTGCTGATTACAGACTCCCCGGGATAGGCATCTACCATGCTGTTGACACACGATGAGTAAGGCTCCTGAGCGTGCGTTCAAGATCGCGATGCATACCAATTCTTGGAACACTTTGCGCAGATCCGCCTACCGATGCGCCAGTCAACGTTGCGCACACCAGGAGCACCACATTCCTTTCCCTAAGTGTAAGGAGGAAACATGGTATGATTAAAATTGGAGACGGACATGGCAGTGCGGATCGAAAGCAAGGTTTGCATAGTGGGGTTCCGTCCAGAAAGGCGGGCAATCTGGCATGTTGGGCACATTTTCTCTAGTATTCTTCCATACAGACATTGAAGAACGATGCATGAGCACGCGTCTGAATTGTTTCGTCGTGCGGGCCAGGCGAAGTAAATCCAAAGGATTCAAGTGTCCAAATATCTGAGGCACTTGTAGACACTAGACACAGGAATGGCAAAAGGGGCAAACCTCGAATAAGACGTCCAGTGGTAGATTCATGAGGGCGGCAAGCTTTCCCGGCCTGGGCTGCCATTTAGCTCTCTTTGCACCAGATTTAACGAGTTCAACGTTCTGCTGATTTCCATCGACGTCAGAACCACGCGCTCGCTTTTTTGGGGGTCGGCGAGGCTTCTTGACGTTATCGACAGGCGCTTGTGTAACCGAGCTTCGAGGCCGCATTTCCAACGAAATACCAGTATGCTGTCAATCAAAATAAGAAATATAAAAGAAAGGAGTAGTGATGACGGTGGTAAGGAAACAAGACAGGTTCGGTGGTCGGACCCCAATTTCTATCCTCTTGGCCATTCACTGAGTTTTCGGAAACGGCAATTCCCGCTGCTCAAACGCGTCGCGTCCGCACGTGAGGTACACCCTAACATATTACTACCCGCTCGCTTTGTTCTGAGTCTCATCACCACTGACGATGGCAGCGGCGAACGTCTCCCAGATATTGGCAGATACTCTAAGTGCAGATACAAATACTAGGATCGCTGCTGAACTCAAGCTTTCCGAGGTTCTGCTGCATCAAGGTTGGTGTTCATAATCGTGGCCAGCAACCGGAAATCTGACGATTAGCACGCGTCTATCAGAGGCGGGTCTCGCCCTCGCCCAGCTTATTTTAACACAGGATGTGGATATCCCGCTCCGGCAGATGAGTTCTTCCTCATCTTTCTGCAATGCTCGCTTCTTTATCTTGGATGATACCTAGCACTCAGCCAGCATCATCCTCAGAAAATATGTCAAAGAACGATGGTCTCCGTACTTTGAATCGTTCAAGGGCAATGCACCTTCAGTAGAGGTATGCTCATCGATGTTATCCGGCTCGATCATAACAATCTTCCACAGGTCAAATCCCAAATACGCCATGCTGTCCTTCGAGGCTTATCAGATCCAAACCGGAAAATTCGGTCTTTATGTGTGAGTTCCATCTTGAGCGCTTTGGAACAGTTAGGTCTCAATGACCATGTCAAGGCTCATACAATGTCATATATTGGAAACTGCGATTGGCCGGATGAATACCCTGATTTACTCAACTCCCTCATTGCTTTGATTTCTTCAAGTTCTTCTGACTCTGTGCATGGCGCGATGCAGGTGTTCACCGAATTCATAAAATCAGACCTTACCGAAGATCAAATATTACCTGTATTGCGACAGCTTCTTCCTGTCTTGCTTACTATACTTGGATCCACGGAGGTGCGGTCCAGCTTCTCTCTCAAATCATTGCGACTTAATATTTGAGATTAGCAACATACACCTCTGACTCGCGCACGAACCGTGTCCGTTTTTCGTCAATGTGTGACAGCACTCTACATGGTCAAAGATCAACATCCTCAAGCAGTGAAGGAAGCCGTTGCAACCATTCTCCCGGTTTGGTTGGAGGCCTTCAAAGTCCTTCTTAACCTCAACCCTTTGGAGGATGTATCGAACCAGGACAACTGGGATGGATTGGCTGTCAGAATCCAAGTCTTCAAGGTATGTGTTCCACTACACTATGTGATGCTTACTGACGCGTACAATTCCAGACACTGGATGTTATTCACACGTCTTTCCCTCGTGCCATGACCTCTTACCTTCGTGGTTATCTTGATGCATCCTTACGCCATCTTCAGGTGATGTTCGAAACATATGATCTCTTCTACATCTCGGGATCCAGGAGCGCCCCTGGGTCATCAGAGGAAGAGATAGTGGAATTTCCGCACCTTATATGCCCTTTGTTTGACTTCGTTTCGAATGTCATCAGAGGGGGGAAAGCAAAGGATTGGCTTCAGGCGGAGAACTTGAATGGTTTGGTCTCTGCGATCTTCAATTATTCGCAGATGACTGCGGATGATGTTCGTCCCATCCATGTCTTTGTTTCGGGATATTTACTAATTCGTCCACAGGAAGAGACGTGGGCGGCGGATGCCAATGCCTTCGTGGCACATGAAGAAGATGACACACAGACATATGGCGTCCGAGTCGCTGGCTTTGAGCTGCTTTACGTGCGTGATGGGCTCAACCCATTTAAAAAAAACAAGGCTAAAGCCCTCCTTAGACTATTCTCAACCGCTCTCCTGCCAAAATCTGTGCTACCTTCCAGACTGTCATTCATCAGGTCATTACAGCATCACAGAGAGCACGAGAAACCGGATCAACTGCTTGGTGAGTAACCGAAATTTGATTCTGTTCAACCTGTTCATGAGGTTGAGTGCAGGTGGAAACCACTTGAAGCATCCTTAGCCGCAATTGGGTCCCAATCCGAAGATGTCCTCGAGTGCATTGAAGATGAACAGGATTCCGGCCGAGCAAAACCTATTGATATCGAGGACTTGCTTGCCAATGTCGTTCCGTCGGTCTTAAATCAGTCTGGTATGCATCAAGCGCCTTCATGTTTGCTTTATTGATATCTTCTCCAGACTTTCCATTCTTGCAAGGCAGAGGTTTTGTATTCGCGAGTCAGTTTGCCAAGCTATTGCCCTTACAGATGGCTGGTCAGTACCTGGAAGCCGCTATGCATGTCATCGAATCAAATTCTGCTGGGATCCCCGTGAAGATATCTGCTGTTAAAGCTATTCACAAGTGAGTTGTATACCTCGGGCGATACGCCGTGTTGATAGTCCAGCAGCTTCTGTGAAGGCGCGGAAGAGTCGGCCATTACGCCCTTCGTGTCGCGGATCGCACAGGACCTGGGCCCATTCCTCCTGGTTACGACTGAGGACACGTTATCCTTAGTTCTCGAGACGATGTCGGTTGTTCTAGATGTCAACCAGGGTCAATGGCTCACCACTGACTTGTCTAATTCTCTCGTGTTGGCGGTCCTGGAGGTCTGGGCGAAGAATAACAAAGGTAAATCACACCTCCCCTGCACCCTTCAACAACTAAACGCAGATAATAGATCCCATTTTCCTGTCAATTTTCACCGACATATTCACGTCGCTGGCCTCCTCGACCGGCACAGGAGTGTACGAAACCGTTGTCAAACAGGCGCTTCCCACTCTTTGTACTGCCATCGCAGGTGCCAAAATTCAAGAAGCCTGGATAGCAGGGTCTGCCATTGATTTGATCTCGAGCCTCGTTCGGGGCGCACCTGAAGGTGGACTTGGAGACGGCTTCTTCGCTCTCCTTGCCCCTAGCTTGTTCAACTGCCTTAGCGAAGCTGAGGATCGTGATGTCTTACAGAACGGCATGGAGTGCCTTGCTTTGATTGTCCGCAAAGATTGCAGGCAAATCCTAGAATGGCGAGACCCATCTGGCCAATCCGGTCTCGATCACGTTCTGAAAGTTATCGCTCGGCTCCTGCAAAATGACGATGAATCCGGTGGCTTGGTCATTGGTGATCTCATTATCCATTTGCTGCGTCGTGCAGGCGAAGCTGTTCTGCCTGTGCTTCCGGGGCTTCTTCAAGCAATGGTATCACGGATGCTATCCGCCAAGACGGCCACTTTCATTCAAAGTCTCGTCATTCCATTCGCGTTCCTCATATACAACCAACCGGACACAGTATTGTACTTGCTGGAATCGACTACCACGAATGACAGGAATGGTCTCGATATCCTCATCCAAACGTGGTGTGAGAACGCAGAAACATTCCAGGGCTTCTGGCAATCGCGCATCAGCACACTGGCGCTCACGAAATTGTACGCTTCTGGTCGCCCAAGCCTGCAGTCATTGATGGTCAAGGGTGATATCATCTTGAAGCCAGAGACGAAGAATGGTGAGTCTTCCTTCTGCATAGAGAAATGTTCACTTCCGGATATTCAACGGCTTGTTCTTGTGCTTCCGGGACAGTGATTATGACCCGGTCGCGAACGAAGACGAGTATGGATCAGTTTTCTATCTCTCATCCCCTTGCTTGGCGTAATGCTGATTTTTGGCTGCGCAGCACCGCATGAATTCACATCAGTGCCTTTCCCTGTCAAGGCACTTAAACTGCTTGTGCACGATCTCCGATCTGGGGGCGATTCTGCGACAATCCCCAAAGCTGAGTTTGATGTGGATTCGGATGATGGCGTACGTATCATTACACGCTCCATTCTATGTCCCATTAAGTGATCCACAGGATGAAGAATGGACAGAAGAAGAACAGAATCAGGGCTTCAAGCAAGAGGAATTTGCCTTCCTCTCCGAGATGCTAGGTCCCCGCGGCGTCAACTTTGATAATGATGACCTTCTCGAGGAGACTGATGATGAGGACCTTAGAAATGATGCAATCTCTCAGATCGATATGCAGGTAGGTGCCCCTGATTTAACGGCGACTTCGTACGTGCCTAACAGCGTCTTTCAGGCGCACTTGGTGTCATTCTTCAAAGAATGCGCATCGCACAACGTCAACAACTTCTCGACAAGCGTGGATCAATTGTCGGCTGAGGAGATCATGGTTGTGCGCCATGCTATTGATCAGCTGAGTTGGATAGAGGGTTTCCTACTATGAAAACATATTGTACACGCAACAAGAGCCTATGTGATGATGGTATCCTGTATGATAAATGCAGATTAGTATTACTGGCTATTAGCCGTTAAAAACCCTCCTTCCCCAAATCCCACTCCCGAACGGTCCCCCTTTTCTTGTACTCAATATCCATGATGCTATCCCCTCCACTAGCCCACCGATCAGCCGCTCCATTATTCGTGCCTTTCTTCTCGATCTTGTCTGTTGATATTCCAAGACGTTCAAGACGTTTCTTCTCAGCCTTATCTTCCCGTCGTTGACGGATGAGTTCGAGCATTGCGTCCCAACCTGCAAACTCTGCGTCACTGACCAAGCCAGTGGCAGGTACGTTGGGGAGAGGGAGCGTTGCCACGTCGAGCCTGGGGTCGTAAGAGTCTTTAAAGTATTTGTCCATCTTTGAAGGAAGCTGCGCGGTCGGTAAAGGAGGGGGTGACGAAGACGGTGAACGAACGGTGTTTGAGCGTGACGGGGTAACTGCAGGCCGGTTTCGGCGAGGTGGTGGAGAAGGTGAGCGAGTAAGAGGGGATGGTTTAGAGTAGTCGTCGAGAGCTTTTGTTTTACCCTTGAGAGAAGATCGAATTTCTTCTGCTACCTCCGCAGCTTCATCGTCTGGGGATGTTTGGGATGACCGGGAAGGAGACCGGGTGGCACGACGACTCGAGCGCCGGGCGCACTTGATGGTTTTCCTATGATCATCATCAGATGGTAATACTGATCTCGTCCTTTTCCTGGAGGCTGGGATCTCTGGAATAGGCTGTGCTGGTGACTCGGTGTGATGTGGGGAAGTTGAACGACTCGTATGGCGTCTTCTCTTTCGAGAATTGTCATCATTGTGTCGCCTGTGTCTTCTCCGTTGACGGTCATCAGATGAACTACCTCTCTCTGGAGACGGTGATCGCCGACGACTTTTCCTGTGCTTCGAATCATGATTCCGTTCTTTTGACGCCGAATGTGGGTGATGTCTCCGTCTGCTGGACCTCTCTTCCCTGTTTCTGTCATCATCGGTATCATCCTTGTAACGCCTCTCTGGACTCTTTTCTTTTCCCCTGCTCTGGTCTCTATCTCTCCGTCGGTCACGTTCCCTTCGGCTATCCCAACTAAGCTCATCATAGTCACGTCTCCGTCTCCTGATTCGCTCGGCAGCAGCAGCCTCTTCTGCACGAGCCTTCCTATCTCTTCGCTCCCGCTCATCTTTCTCCCTCTTGATTTCCTGTGCGGCAAGTGCCTGAGCGCGGAGTATAGTCTTATTGTGATCATCCGTGCTCTTGATAATCGAACTCAGGAAGCGCTTGTTCGGGCGAGGCGCATTCGGGTCAGGCCTGAACAAAAATTTGGTAAGTAATGGGTTGATTTTTTTAGATGGCAGACTAACGCAGTTGGAAGGTATGCTTTGATTCCAACTTCGCCGTAGCTTTCGGCCTTCCGTTTGGCTTCCCTTAAGATGAGCTCTGCAACGTGTCTGTCGAGGTCGTCGTCGGTAATGGATGGTGAAATGGTTGTCCCCATGGACGCCCGGACGAGGTTTGAAACAACCGATGAGAGTGACGACGATGAGGACATGTTTGACGACGACCTCCTCAAGTTTTGTTCAAGCTCAAGGTCTGAGTCCCACAGACATTGTTTGTCCTTATTTTGGCATTGTGGCTCGCGGCCCGGCACCTGACCAATACAGCTGCGGATCACAAGTCGTGCTCTCGAATGCATCTTTACAGGCGAGCGAACTTTTGACCTATGTACGGTATAGTCTGACTCTCCGGAGTCCGCAGGTGTCGGCTCGATCGTACACCACCTTATCTTCTAAGTTGACTCTTAGTTGACTCACTCGAAAGATCCAGTGCCAAGTAAGAGAAGGCGGCTTTCAGTAAATAGTCTCGTGCATGCGCAAGTCTCATGTGACCATTTCTCCGTAGACAACGTATCAGTCTTAGGGGGGCTCCGCGGATCGACCATCAGGCTATAGAGTTCTACGATAGTTCAACTTCAAGGCCTTTTGTCCACCGGTCCTACTCGATTAATCCTTGTGTTCCATTTTTCACCCAGTCGTGCCCAATACAATAGCAAAGTGAGTCATACTCTGCAGTAATGGAAGGTCACGGCTGTAGCGTTATATCCCAGGATGTCACGAGCAAGCGACGATATGTTGCAGACTCAGTAAATGTCGCGAGCGACCCGTGAACGTTAACGTCAACAACGGTTGCAACGTTGAACACCGAGCACGCGCCCCAACCGGGGGAAACCTCTCCGAGATCAGTTGCATCACGATTGGACCTTTGATCTCTTTGAGAGTTGTTGCATGTGGGACGGTCTCTCCCCCCGTCCTGTCTCGCCGTTCGGATTAAGTGAAGTGACATCACCGAGACCCGGCAGGACGCGGCCTCTTTCTGAAATCACGATCCACGCCAGGCAAGAACGTAATTGCCGATGCCAGCCAATGAACATTCCCCAACAAGCGACTGCAACCCTCTCCAACCGCGGCCATTCATTAGCCCTCGTTACAGCTTATTACTTGTGAGAATACGAATGTCACGTGTAAACCTGTGTAAACTCGCGTGTACCTTGGTAGATCAGGGGATTCATTTTTTTGAGAAGAATACCGTCTCGTCTCCGACCCGCTGAATCAAACCCCAGGGAGTTCTTGAGTAGAACATCGTTTCGCCTCCGCTCGCTGAATCAAGGTGCCGTTTGTAATTAATTGGTAGACGGTTATAGCCGCGGCGGGCATCGAGCGGGGTTGTGGGACTTATTAGCCTAGCAGACAGCTTACTACCTCTGAGCGTCAAAACTTTCAGGGCTGTCCGCGCGGCAACAACCGTGGGTCATGCACGCAAATGCCCGCGGTAGTAAGTGGAAGAAGGTTTACGACTGAACGGGAGGACAATAAATGCCAGTAAAATGAATCATGATTCGGACACCGTGCGTCGTGGGATGTAATCCAATGAAACTGGAACATCCATAGATCTGGGTTGAAAGTCATAGGAAACTGGATATCGAATAAAGGCTTCTCAATCGATGATTTGTACAGAGGATCGGTAGAATTTGTGGACTCTTTGTGGGTTTCGTCTCAATAAACGTATAAGCTTCGTTAGCCTTCGATTCGTTGAGTTCTAAAAATGGAAGGTATGGACCACGTAGACGGAAGCAATAGAATATTTGTACTTACCACCATCTGGTGACAAGGTTTCGGAACTACCTATCTTATTCCTTCACCGCGGCGGCAGTGTAAAGCTTGGATATCATAAGCTGTGGACATTTCATCACCGTCTTCCTATAAATAATGACTCCATCCTATGTGTTGAATCATATTTCCAGTCCGAGCCCCTGCAGCCCGAGCTGTATATATTACTGATCTCGTTCTACATCTTATTATTTTCACGACGTCATGACTCTTTTCGCATTCTTACGATCCTGTCCCCCTCCCAGAGTGAGTATTTTGATGCAGAGGCTATAGAGCACCCGTTGACGCGTTTGCAGGTTGCAGCTCACGAAATATCACTTGAATTCGCACCACGTTGCCCCCCTCACGAAGTTTACGAGAATTTTCCAACACCACGCGTACCCGCCAGTGGTATCCCCATCGAGGTCGTGCTGACCGTCTTAGAGGCCGCATATTTTGATGAGAGAGATGATCCTGACATCGATCTCCTAAATAAGTGCACGCTTGTTTGCAGAGCATGGTCCATACATGCTCAGAAGCTCTTGTTTCGACGCGTTCGCCTCCGTTCTCAATCAGCGTTTGAGTCGTTTACTCAGGCTGTCAACCGGAGTTCCCCGCGCGGGCGCTTGCTCGGTGACGCTGTCATCCAAATGCGCGCGGTCCTTGATCATAACCAGCCTGGGTCCCTCGACCAATCATCGCTCGCCGTTGCAGTGGCCAATTGCCCTAATTTATACGAGCTAGATATCGCTCAGTACGGGTGTGTCGCTCCTGGTAAAGATGTTGTTGGAAGTCCTACCCAGGAACGCATGCGGCGTCCCGCTCCGTCTTTTGACGAGCGTTCTCTGGAATTACTCAGATCTGGCCCTCGCATCACGGCTCTGCACTTCAGCAACTGGTCGGAGAACGATCATGCTGTTCTCCAACTTCTCGAAGTTTGGCATTCGTTAAAATCATTGTCTATCACTGGAACATCCCCCGTCCTATCTCCCGGCATGACGTATCCTCCATTCCCTTGCGCTCTAGAAGAACTGCGCCTGAACTGCCAAAGAGAACCTGCCAAGGAATTTCTCGGCTGGCTCTTGCATCGCTCCGCGGAAGAAAAAAGTTTACGAGTCATTGATCTAGAACGTCAACCGAGTCCTGAGCTTCTAGACTACCTCGTCGAGAAGCACAGCGAAACATTGCACTCGCTCGCCATTCCATCTTTTGCTACGCATGAGCACGCACATGCCGCGATGCGCTGCCGCTCTCTTCGTGAGCTTCGCACCGAGAGCTCGTGGTCTTCTCCCGTCGTTTGCCGTCAGATGCCAGAGTCTATACAACATCTGGCATTCGGGCTCGACATGGACACCATTCTCCACCCTATCATTGATCTCGTCAAGACTCGGGACGACCTGCAAGCTGTAACGGTCAATATTTGGCGCGACGGCGACCGCCATCCCCAGCTCGCATCTCTCCAGATGACTTGTGCATACCGCGGCGTTGACCTCCGTTTAACGCGGGACGTGCGAAGAATGCGCATGATGGTGGTGAGTAAACAACCTTCTTTCCTGCTGTAAGTTGATATTGATTGACCGAATAGCGCGGGGATCCTGTTGTGCCGCCAACTTATCCACGTATTCAGACTCTCGACAGCATGCAGCCTGCTGTTCGCTCTACCTTTGTGGCATAATCTGACGGTTGTTTCTGATTCACATTACTTATCAATATATTTCTTTCTCGATACTTTACTTAACGGCACAATCCAGCGGCTTTTGCATTATCGCCTTCTAATCACACCTTACTTCAACCTTACTCCATATATATTCTCCATGTAGCTATGTCAGGCCATTAGTATTATTAATCTACTTGTTGCGCGCTCCCGAGGGGAGCGAGGCATTGCAATATTTATCGAGTTTGATCACCCTCGGTGATATCGAAACAGGGCGAAGATAAACCCAGTCTGAACTCTGCTTGGTGAAACGGTTACCTACTGCCAGTGTACTTGATTCCTGCAAGGTGCGCGCGCTCTATATTTTTTTGGTCTAACAAGTGATGAACTATGTACATAAGCAATTAGCTAAGTATAGCAGTCAACTGAGTTTGACGATGACTACGGCGGTCCCAACGTTGAACGAGCTATCGAGCCTTCCGGATGTCATTTCTGGTTCGCCTCTCGCGTCAAGCTCATCCAATCTTAAATTTCTCGCCGAACTACCGACACATGCACTATCAGAGTTGCTCTCAACGCCGACCGCGCTCACGACACAGTCTCATACATTGACTTCCTCGCTCACTGCATTAACTCACACGTCATACCCAACTTTTCTATCCCTTCATCACACATCCACAGCGCTGCTTACATCCCTTTCCTCGTTTGACACGTCTCTTGATTCTCTAATCAACACCGCTTTACCAGCTCTTGATGATGCTGCACGCGTTTTTCGCGAGAAGACTGGTCCAGAGGTCATCGAGGGTAGGCAGAAGGCACGTCTCGTACTGGAGCAGCACGACAAGCTGCGGGACTTGCTTGATATTCCAGTGCTCGTTGACACATGCGTCCGCAATGGGCTCTACGCAGAAGCTCTTTCAGTCGCTGCCCACGCGTCATCTGCATTGTCCTCTTTGGTAGCTCAAACTAGGAAGAGTGTCAGTGATGACAAGGAAGCCGCGCAGGGATTGCCGCTTCAACTTGCGGATTCATTACAAGCTGAGATAGCCTCATCGTTGCATTCCATGCAGCTTATCCTTCTCAACACTTTATATGAGCCTGCTCGGAAGCTACCAGCATTCTGGAAAGCAGTGCAATTTCTTCGTCGAATGAAGGCGATGCACGAGGACGAACTGGCGCTCGTGTTTATCAGCGCTCGGATTGGATGTCTTCGCGATGCCTTGGATGGCATTGAAAGGGATGCTGGTATACCTTCGGACGCCGGAAGAGCGGAATTCAAGTTTCCTGCTGGGAGCACTATAGAGGAAAGAGAGCGGGAGGTTGATAGGGAGGCTGATGACATCGCCCGGTTCCTCAAGAAGTACATCGATATTTGGAGGGAAGGCGCGTATGATCTTATCACACAATATACGACAATATTTCTCGACCGTTCACATGCTGGGGCACGGATAGCACCACCTGCAGATCAGGATGCTTCGGCATCCTCATATATCATTCGACAAACGTTGCCTTCAACACTTCTGGAACTGCTCCTTCCGACTCTCCGATCGTACCTTGAGCGTGCTTACCCACACCTCGCACCCCTTGCGACACAGCTTGCATATTGTAGTTCTGCTTTAGCGCGTGCAGGGATGGTAAGTGTCATACATTGTGATTTCTCTCGTGTTAAATTCATGTGCATACAGGATTTTCGTGCTTTGCTGTCACCACTGATTTCGCGATCGGTTGTCAGCGGTTTTGCGCGAGACGTACGACTCAGTGTAGAGCATGAATGGTTTGCAGTGCTCGCAAAACACGTCACGAGTAGACCTAGGCCCTCTCCTCCTTCCGTTTGGTTGGTAGCCACACCAAACAGTTTGCCTGCGTTCAAGACGCTGGTTCTCTCGCCATCAAATGCTCCGCATTCTCCGCCTCAAGTGCTAACAGCCTTCCCGCCGCTTGCGAAGATCTTGAACGCATATATCCGCGTGCTTAACAGGCTGCGCATGCTTGCACCTGTCGATGCTTTGTCGGGCATCGTGGATGGTGCTGAAGAGTGTCTTGCAAATGCAGGCCATGGTCTACTACAGTATTCCAGGGACTGGCAAGGTGGGGATGCGAAGGAGATACAGATTCTGCAAGCGGCTGGGGCAGCATATACCCGGGTTCTTGTTCCCTGGCTGCAGCGCGCTATTGTGGAAGGTGTTTTCAGCGCCTCACTTCAGGATCGTCAATCTGCTGCTGATGGAGGGGGAGATTCCGATGCGGATGAAGAAGGCAAACGTGAGTTATCTGACATAGTTAGAGAGTGGGAGAGTTGGCTGGGTTCCACAGGAATATAGTGTAAATGTGCGATGGCAATGGCCCTTGTTTTATGGTTGTGAGTGTTCTTGATTCCATGAACCAAGACGACGCTGCCAGCCCCACACATAGTCACGTGGATCGTTCTGCTCGGAAGATAATATCATCATATCATGTTGAAATACAACGATACTTTCCGATCATAATAGAAGCACATCAAGGTGTCCATCTTATCGGGAACGGATATATACGCCACTCCGACGCTCAGCCGTCTTGCATACTAGCACCCCTCGTCCACGAAATGACGCACCAGACTGACAGCGATAGCTGGCAGGCTAACAGGGAAAAAAGGAGAGCAGCTTGCGGCTTCCAGCATCCCTTTAGTTTGGATAGCTGTGCTCCTCCAACGATGCTGACGTGGTTTACTGCAGAGGCATATTCTAAGCTGAAGAAAGACTGTCGTTCACTTCAGTGTTTTCTTTCAAAGCATGGACTGGCCCTCTTTTGCGTTTTTAGCTGCCTTGACAGAACACCGGAGCGCTTTCTCAGCCGCAGTTTGTCCCAGTGACCCCTATTTCCCCCGATCAGTTGCGCCGCACCAGGCTCTCAGGCTCCCAAGTCACGCGTTGCGTCAGGTGTAAAAGACGCTGATCATAACGTATCGAGGTCCGAAGGCCGCACAAATTACGTGTCGGTTGATTGCACACTTGTTTGCACTTTGAACTCTGCTCAGAATGACCGGCCGACCAGCAAACTGCTTGTGCGTGCAGTGAGGTCCTTGGAAAAACCTATGACTATTTCTCAACTATAGACCATTTTTTTTAATCACGCTCTCTGTTATATGCGGGCGGGAGTATGTCAAACCTTTTGGGGGCAAGGATGCCTTCTTTATGATCCCCCGGACCGCATGTCCCCATTATGCGTCATATGATAAACAAAGAACAGTTATTCATCTTTACCCCGCTTGCTCAGAACTTATACTTAAGCATGTATGCGGAGCAGCGGGCTTCTCTAACCGCCTTTTCTTAGACGTTTCTTCCACTAAGTCATGGCGAAAGACGTTCCAACAGGCCGTAGAGCGGTCTTCCTCGCCATATTCATCGCGTTTGGTGAGTTCATCCCCGTCACAGTCATTCGGTGCTCATTAGTCTCTCTCTTGCAGGAGGTGGGCGACTTCCATATACGAAATAAACGTACGTCGTTTATAAGCTGCAACCCTCCTATTTCTTTGCTCACATCGGCAGTAGATCCATTCACTTAACTTCCGGTGATAGGTTTTCTGTTTGGGTATGATATAGGTGTCATTTCTGTATGTAATCGTACTCGTCAGTGACCTTCACGATCCCGATCCCTTGTCTCCTTCAGGGATGTTTGATCATGCCAGACTTCATACGCCGATTTGGCCAAGAAGGAACAGATGGCCAGTACTATCTGTCAAGTTCGAGACAATCAGTCATCGTCTCCCTCTTGTCGGCCGGGTAAGACTGCGATATCTGATTCTGCCCTTTACTGACGTTCATACTCACTATAAGCACGTTCTGGTGGGGATATTGTGTCTCGCTATTTTCATAATAGTCTGACGAATGACTAAAGCGGAGCTATCGCTCAAGCGTTCACTGCTGACCGGTTTGGGCGCCGTGGATCCATTTTATTCTGGTCGGCTATATTCACCGTCGGCGTGGCCATCCAAACTGGCACGACATACTCTGTTGTTCAGTTGGTTATAGGTCGTTATATTGCAGGTTTGGGTGTCGGTTCATTGTCTGGTCGGTGTTGAGGTCAAGTCTTGACTTTGTGAATCTTACTACGTCAATCCAGCTATCGTGCCCCTGTACAACGGAGAAACGGCACCGAAAGCCATTCGCGGTACGATCTTGGTGATTTATCAAGTCCAAATCATCTCGGGGTTCGTGGATTCTCACTCATCCATCAGAGCGCTCACTGACACCTGTCCATCTAGCATATTTTTGAGTTACCTACTTGAACTAGGAAGTCACACAATCAACAACTCTGCGTCTTGGCGAATCCCGATCGGATTGCAAATGGTCTGGGGTATCATACTTTTGTCTGGAATGTTTTTCCTTCCAGAATCGCCGTACGTGCAACTTTGAAAATCTCTCAGGCGCACTGACGATCTTTACCGTTATTAGCCGGCACCTTCTTGGAACTGGACGACGCGACGAAGCGCGCAAAGTCATCGCAGAACTCAACGGAGTTTCTGAAGACAACCCTCTTGTCGCTGAAAGTGTCGAGGAACTCGATTTCGCTATCAGAGCAGAGAACGAGGGCGGCAAAGCGAATTGGCTAGAATGCTTCTCCACGAGAAATGCACTGTGGCGTCGAACAATCAACGGCATGATGCTGCAATTTATTCAGCAGCTAAACGGCCAGAACTTTTACTGTGGGATACCTCATGCCAGTTGATTTTTACCACTAATGGCTATTGTCGACAGACTATTATGGCGACACCTTCTTTCAGAGTGCAGGTGCAGGGCGAGTCCTTAAACCCCTTTGCCTCATACGTTTTAGCTCATGTATTAGCAGACTTTCACCTTATATCATTCAAACGATTCTCGGTGCGGTGTCGGTTGCTGGAACTCTCCCCGCGTTGTACTTCATCGAGGCTTGGGGTCGCCGAAAGGTACGTTTTGGCCTTTCGCTAGATAATTAAATCGGAAGTTGATACTGTTTTTATAGTCCCTTCTCCTTGGAGCATTGCTGCAAGCTGTCTGTGCAATAATTGTCTGTGCACATTGTCCATTGGCAAACAGTGCTCGACTGATACTTCCGTCAGGTTGCTTTTGTTGGACATTCTACCCTTGCGCCTTCTGGAACACCGACTTCAGAGCTCACTGCTCGTAATAGAGCTGGAGGCGACGTCGTCATCGCATTCGCAGTCTTACAGGTGTTCATCTTCGGCACGACTTGGGGCCCTACTCCATGGGTGTACCTCGGAGAGTCGTTCCCTCTCCGAGTACGTCCCAAGTCGATTGCGCTCGGTAGTGCAACAAGTACGAATGCTACCTTCTCACTATCTGAACGTCGTTGCTCACCTTTATGCAAGACTGGTTCTGGAACTTCATGCTTTCGTTCTTCTCTCCAAGGATTGTTGCTCGGTGAGTTTGAACTAAGGGCAAAAATTCTGGGACACTACTAGGTGTCTGAACGCTTTGCCAGCATTGGCCCAATGATAATGTTGATCTTCTTCGGCATGCTCATCTTTGGATACATCTACGTGTATTTCGCTATCCCTGAGACTAAAGGCCTGACTTTAGAAGAGGTGAGGTTGCATTCATCCCCGTTGTGAAATGCTGCTCATCAGATGATCAACCAGGTGGACGAATTGTACCGCTCTGGCATTCCGCCCTGGCGATCTGTCGGTTGGAGACCGAGCGAGAAACATTATCACCACGAGGTGCATGAGAAACGAGCGTCAGACTCTGTGGAGAAGGCCTAACACCTGAAGAGATCTATTCATATACACTGTATACTATGTACTGTCTGCGTTCCTGCACAACTGATAGTGTTGTTTGAACAATGGTATGCGGTGGATGGATCACATCACTTGAGGCCAAAGTATTAAGCACTCGAGCCCACCAGACGGTTGCTCACGGTGCACCGTGGCGTCGATCTTTGACAAATCGGTAACATTGACCTGCGCCACCACGGATGTGTCTTTGTAGTTGACCTTTGGCAACACCGGGACAAGCCTAGTTTGCTGTATTTCCGGGCCCATGGTGCCAAAGTATCTGCAATTCCATTCAAGGTGAGTGATAATTCATACCAATGGGAAATTCTCGTGACCTTTGAGCCTCGAAACTCCAACAACAGTTTGCTCGAGCCCAGGTTGCTATCCCATCAAAATACTCCTTGACAAGGGCGTCGGTGGAAGCTCCCCACGAAGGGACCTTTGAACGACCGTCGATAAACTTTTTCTCGACATCAGTGTGATAGCGTGCTGCCCAAGCCATCGCACCGCCTCTGTCGAGGCTGAGTTCCAACATGATAGCAGAGACCAAGTTATGGTTTTCGTCCCCAGTCGCTTGCTCTCTGTTGTATGAGAGCATGTCCTATGAAAGTCGTCAGCAGACTGCAAATCACATCTTTAATACGACTTTACGTTGTCGATCAAAATCAACTCTATGATGCAGTCAACCAGTTCCACGATGACGGGATGGTAGAACACTTCATCAGGAAGCTCCATTCCCATTTCATATACTGCGAAAGCAGATTTTGCGCCACACGTATCCCGCCGGAGCTTGAGATAGTCATCGATACTGCGACGACGACTCTGTTCGCGGTCGACAGCCTCGACGACTACTGCACGAAGGTATGCGGTGTAGCTGTCGAGGAAGTGACGCTGAGAAGGCAGACTTGCAGTCTGGATTGCACGAGCCCAAAATCTACACGGAAATACCTTGAATTTTAGATGTTTCATCAAACGATTTGGAGGTACTTACTGTCGTGAGATTTCACCGAGGATGCATTCGCCTTGTGGCCGTGCTTTATGAGGATTGTCTAGGGCATCAAGCACGATATCCACCATTGCCTTAGTGCCTGCCGCATTTTCGCTGTCGGTGAACTCGTCCACAATGAAGTAGACATTCATTAACTCAGAACCTATTCGAAGGTGTTCTATTTTTCAGGAAAATAATCAGGGCTCGGGGTGCATGGTTTGGCAGTGGTCAAATACGAACCTCTCGGTGCATTTGGATAAGCCAGTGCTGTTAGGCGGGCTACAAGCACAGTACGTATCAGCCGTCTTCAGAATTGAGAGAATGTAACATAGTTCAAACCAAAGTCACACTTGTCGAATGCCTCCTGTGACTCAGGACTCAGAGCCTTAAAATCACGGAACGAAGCATCGACTTCAGCTTTCACATCCTCGAAATGAGGATTGATGGCACGAGGCCAGGGCCAGTTGGTCATGGTGTCTGGGAGGTACATCATCCTTGCATGAGCGTTCATGGCCTCCGCAATGTAGTTTCTGACGATGAGTGTGAGTGATTGAAAGAGGAGAAAAATTGTTACTAGTCGAGTCCAGGACTTGCAGCAGAATTTATATTCCTGCCCCCCAGCGTCAGTATCTGCCTACTTTACGTGCATATCCGCAACAGATGAACGTATCTGTCCACACAACTGCAGTGCAAGCTCAGACATGTTTGGTACTCCGGCAGCATTTTCTATTGCAGGCGGTGTGCGATGGGTGCCTACGAAGGTGAGATGATATCGGTAATGAAGTCCTGATACATAAGTCAATCCAGACGATGGCCCAATCAAATCAAAAAAAAATAGGCTCTAAAGATCATGATGGACACGGTTGCATACCCGGTGTAGAGCCTCCCGCAGGCTGTTACAGACCCTTCCAGTTATCCGGGTAGGTCGCTGGACGTGGTATGAGGATGAAGTAAAGTTGGACCTACTCGGACCATCGAGGTGGTCGTGTACAAATGGAAAATGGAAGCGAATGTAGAATTTCGAGGGGGTCTCTTCCTTCGTCTATAAGAGTCTGGCTAGGGGAGACTAGGGTAGTATGTGTTCAGTTTGCGAACTTGAACGGTGATGACAGTGAGTACAACGAGGTTCGTATAGCAATTCCGTAGTAAGAAGTGGACCATTGGATGGGAGGCATGGGTATCATCTTAGTGAATCACTGATCGCACCAGGAGGAACTCCCGCAAGACCGGATAATAATGACGTATAGTCCCGTTTATCGGAGAGGGATATTGAAGATTGTAGTAAAGCAGTTTAATGCCTTGTGGTCGACTAACGGCGCTTTCAAGTTTCGACCCTTGTTCTGTTTGAACCTAAGTTATTGACGATGACTACGGAGGTCCTAAATTTGAACAAGCCGCTGTCTCACCGAGAGTCATCCCACTAGCTATGCTGCTACAGGCACAAGCTTCTTGCTACGTCCACATGGAACAGCACAACCAGCAGCCCACATGGCGAAACTGTCACGGAAATGTCCGATTTGGTAAGCATACTATTGTGTGTGTGCAAATTTGCGGAATCGGAATGCCTAAGTTGGTGATGTAAGATCGTATTGCCTCTCGAGTATGTCAAGGTTTGCGACGGTAGGTTTTGACTGGGCCAAAATAACAATAAAAATCACAACAGAGAGTGTCGGAGATTGACAAGCTCGCCGCAGTGCTGACCCCGACTCGGACTTGGGGCTTTGTTTTTGATATGATCGATCATTGATCATCGATCATTTACTAACTCTCCTAAGTTCTGTTTCCGACGATGACTCTAACCCACTCCCTGTGCTAGACCTTGTGCTTGACCATTCAGAAACTCCATTGGCTGCTCTCTCCCGTCTGAGACTGGCTCAGTTGGTCCGTCGACATTACCGGCCGTAATTATGTCCATACCTTTGGCAAAAGCTGCGTTCTTAGGTTTGTTTCTCGAGACCTTGCTTTACGGTGCGTTACCCACTGGTAGAATAGCTACGAGGTCGAATCTCATTATCACAATCAGGCGTGCTCCTCGCATTGTACTGGTTCACGCTATTCATCCTACTCAAGAAAACTCCCATTCAACGGAAAGTTCTTATCCCAGTGGGAACATTGCTGCTCTGCATCGCAACGGCCGTGAGTGTAATCGTTGAACCCTCTTGGGGGAATAGCCTAACACGATCACTTTCAGCGTCTAATCGTTGATTTTGTTCGAGGGTTACAGGCATTCGTATTCCAGGTGGATACGATTGGTGCAAATGCCTATTATTTCAACCTTGCTTCGCCGCTGAATCTTGCATCGATATCACTTTACATCACGCAAACCATTCTTGGTGATGGTGCACTTGTGAGCTTCTCCACTCGACATGATCGCTCTCTTCTGAGAAGGGTATTAGATTTGGCGATGTTATATGCTCTACAGCAGAAGCCTCTTCATTGCCGTTGCTGGTTGTATCGTCCTGTTAGCCCTTGGGGGTGAGTATCTCGGGAGGTATTATTTGATCATCGTCTTAGCCTGCGACAATTCACAGCCATTGCGTACTATGTTGTCTGGTCCATGTCTCACTTTGGTCCGCTGTTCACCGTTTCCACCGCTGGTTCTGCGTGCATCACCACAATCTATGTATTGACCATGTTTATCAGCGTCACCTGTACCAGTACGTCTATTGTTCCTGACCTACAGACTTCTCACGACCAGAGTATTGCAGCTTTGATCGCCTGGCGCATCTATCGCACTCGTCGTTTCATGCCAGATGGCCTTGGTTCCTTTTTACCCGTTTTCATCGTCATCATTGAGAGCGGCGCTTTATATGCCATGAGTGTCCTTGCACTCCTTGTAACATCCTTGGTCGGATCCAATGGCAGATTCGTCATAGTGTGCGTTATCCCTCCTATTATAGTAAGTCCAATTAGCTTGAATATAAACTGTTCATAAGACTTTCTTCAGGGGATCACATTCTGCCTCATCATCCTGCAAGTGCATTTCCACGTAGGCTGCAGCTCCCCCACCGAACAGCCTGCTGAAACAAGGAGCCCCATGACCAACCTCTTTAGAGGGCGAGATGTCATGGACGCGGGCTCCAGCCTTGAACCAATGACTGTGCAGATCACGGAGGAGATGGAGATCGGTCAGTCTGACGTGATGGGAAAAAAGAATGACCAACGGGTCTCGGGGGGTATCTTTCAATTGTAAATTAGTCACGTTCAATTCTATTCAGCCTTTCAATCTGCGAGCAGCTAGCTCGCCGATCCTGTTTTCGGTGGATGAGACGGACTGTGACAAGGGTCTCACTACATTGTACCAGGCGCTATACCTCCCCATCTTTACACTACATATACGATTGGCTTGCTTAAGTTGTTTATCGCATTTCTGAACAGACACAGAAATGATGCCCTTTCATCCTGTACATGTCGCAGGTGATGACTGACCGACTGAAGAAATTTAGAAGGTGATTTAGGCCAGACTGGTGTGGATGCTTCTACTGAAGCCGTGTTTGTTGGCGCTTATGCTTAGCACCACTCAGTCATCATGTCGTACGCACGCAAATATTCTGCATTCACAGGCGACAGTGTCATTATGACCTACCAATTACCTGTCGTTGTAGAAGGCACGTGATATATCCTGGTCTTTGACAGCGACTGTACTAAGAAGACGATACATCAGCCATAGAACATGATACATGACCACCTACCACCAGAGATTATCAGCCATCCTGCGATAGATCACAACCTCGTATTAGTAGCATATCAGCTATAGAGTATGATATATCGCACCTTTATAGATACCTGGTTGGTTGATGGTATATCATCACCCCCTTGTTCGTGTACTACGGTCCTTTCCGGTAGATTGCGTTACTGGCATCGTGATATATCACGTACCTCGGCATTTCAGGATACTGGCAATGGTTGTAGTAGAGTAGTGATATATTCCTGGTAGTATAGCGAAATGTGTTACGCCTGTGGGCTGTAGTAATATATCACCTGAAAGAAAGCACAATGTCAGCTAACTCCACTTCTGTACTCAAAGTCACGGTTTGGACTAGCCTCAGCTACTGCCACTTCCAGTTACCAGAGAGGAGAGTGGGGATTGGCGCTCGTGAAGCCAAGATGACAGTAGTGATGAATGATGGATGGTCACGGACTATGTAAACACAGAATCTTACCGGCGCCGTGACCACGGGGTTTCATACTTTATGCAAAACAAATAGAGTTAAGTTTTGGAAACAGGTCAAATGGACGGCCCGAGGCATTGCTGTAGTGAATCAGAGTGAATCACTAGGAGGAACTCCCTGCGAGATGATCTGAAGACATGATGGATTCATATTCGCTGCATTATTACATGTTGTCTATGTTCTCGCACAACTGACACTGTAATTCTGAACGGGTGGAATGTGACGGATCACATCGCACTGATCATTGAGGCCAAAGTATTAGGCAGTCGAGCTCACCAGATGGTTGCTCCCCATGCACTGTGGCGTGGATCTTTGATAAATTGGCAACATTGACCTTCCCCACCGCGGATGCCACTTTGCAGTTGACCTTTGGTAACACCGGGACGAGCCTAGTTTGCTGTATCTCTGGGCCCCTGGTGCCAAAGTATCTGCAATTCCATCCAGCGTGAGTGATGATTCATACCAATGGGAAATTTTATGACATTTGAGCCTCAAAACTCCAACAATGGTGTCCCCGGGCCCACATTGCTATCGCATTAAGATACTCCTTGACTAAGACATCGACAAATGGGTCCCCATGAAGGGACCTTTGCAAGGCCGTCGATAAATCATTTCTGAACTTCAGCGTGATAGTGTGCTGCCCAAACCATCGCACCACTTCTGTCGACGCTGAGTTCCGACATGACAGCCGTGATCAAGTTGTGGTTCTCGTCCCCAGTCGCTTGCTCTCTGTTGTACGAGATCATGTCCTATGAAGTTTGTTAACAGACTGCAAACGACACCTTTAATACACGACTTCACATTATCGATCAGACACAACTCTGTAATGCAGTCAACCAGTTCCACGATGACTGGATGATAGAACACATCATCAGGAAGCTCCATTCCCATTTCACACATTGGGACGGAGGATTTGACGGCACACGTATCCCGCCGGAGCTTGAGGTAGTTATCAATACTGCGACAATGACCTTGTTCGCGGTCGAGAGCCTCAACGACTATCGCACCAAGGTATGTGGTAAAGGTTTCAATGAAGTGACGCTGAGAAGGCAAGCTTGCCGTCCGGATTGCGCGAGCCCAAAATCTAGACAAAAATGCACTAAACCCAATGGATCACTAAATTTTTGGACCTTTACTTACTGTCGCACGATTTCACCCAGGATGCATTCGCATTCCGGTCGCACCTTATGAGGATTACGTATGGCATCGAGCACGATGTCCACCATTTCCTTGGTGACTGCTGCATTTTCGATGTCGGTGTACTCGTCTACAATGAAGTAAACATTCGACAAGTCACAGCCAATTCGAAGGTGCTCTATTTTGCAGTAATGAATCAGGATCCCATGGTGCGCGAATTGTCAGGGATCAAATACGAACCTCTAGGTACATTGGGATAGATCAGTATTGATAGGCGGGCTATAATCACAGTACGCGTCAACAATCTTCAAAATTGAGAGGAGACGTAGGGCGAAGCAAAATCACATTTGTCGAATGCTTCCTGGGACTATGCTCTGGAGCCTCAGCTCAGGGCTGGATGCGCGACGGTGCTTCTGGGGAAGCAGGAACTGATCGCGTGATTTGGTCGTGTTTGATGCGGAGCGCAGAGGTTTAAGGAGTGACATGACTTTGATAGATACAGTGGATGCGATGCGTGTTTCAGCTGAACGGTAGGTACTGATTCGCTCTGGCAGGCTACGCGAAACATCGCCTCGTTCCACGCATATGTAAATAGTGACTAGTTGACTAGTGAACCCGCAACAGAAATTCCTCAGACCTAGGACTTTGGAATGCGGGCATAATAATCTCGATAAGATCATTCGCAATTGACGTAAACGCAGGCCAGTAATTGGTGTAACGAGCGTAATACACAACTGTGTAAGATGACATTGTCTATAACAACTTATCAGTAAAGAGTTCCGATACTAACCTACGTGCCACATCATTACCTGTCCGTAAATATTGTGCAAGTAATTCTACATATGATGAAAATGTCCAGTAAAATCACGGACCACAATAATCCATTAAATGTCCCTCAAACGCGACCGTCCTCTACAACCAACTTCTCAGCAACCAAGCCTTGGGTACCCTCGGTCTACGATCAGTCCCAAACCCGGCGGAGGGTAGTGAACCCAGAGAGTAGCATGATGACAATCATCGCGACGACACCAGGAAGAGCAGAGTCTATTTTGAGCTGAGGTAACGCTCCTGAGCATCCGGCACATTGCCACCCTATGTATTCAAATATAAGATCGATGACGCACATAGGCGAATGAAGACTTACCACTAGTCAATGGCGTGTACGCCTGTGGCGTATATATAGCGAACACAAGCCCGCTGTATGGAGCCAGGTAACCAGGTGTGGGCACTGCGCTAGGGCCGCCATCGCCCCAAATATGAAGAGTGTAGCTTGCCTGAACCAGCGGAAGGCTAGGGTCTGCGGTCTGGTAGCCATATGGATACCACACCACGCTCTGAGCGTTTCCCGGAATGACACCGTCGGTTGGGCCCACGGGGTATGTGTACCCATTTGCACCTACTGCTGCAACGGTGAGGGAGGTGGGTGCCACACTGATGCTTGAAAAGTTCCACCCAAACGTAATATATTCGCTGGGGGCAAGTTTGTAGTAAGAGGTCGACTGGATGGGAGGCATGGTTATAGTGATTGCCCCAGGAGGAGCTCCCGCCGAGACGGATGGCAATGGGGTGCTCCCATTCACGAGGGATGCCGAGCCAGAGACTGTCGCAGAACCTGAAGCCGAAGCGGTTCCATTCTGCTGTCGGCGTTGCAGATCCAAGTGATTATGCATGGTTTTGTACCCTCAAAGGAAGAAGAGTGTCTGTGAGGAGGGCGGGGCGAAGGGGTAAGAAAGTGTAGAACGGAGGGAACAACTAGTAGTGCAACCGTACACCTTGAGAGAGCATGGCCTTCGAGTCACACGCGATACGTTCCAATTCCAGGAGAGGCTTGTTTTAGACTCTGCCGCAGCCGTTGTTTTCCACGACTTCAACTGGCGTAGCCGAAGGAGCTATATCAAGCACCGCAGTCACAGCCCTAAGCCTGGTCGCAACAAGGCGCTGACTTGGTCCCAAAATAGGAATTGAAACATCGTTGAGACTAGACTGAATGGCCCATCTGCCATCATCCCCGACCGCGGCATCTTCAGAGACTGAAGTAGAGTTGTAGTCCGGAGAATGTCAACCCAGGAGTCGTGAAAGGTAAGAAGAGGTCAGATGCCATGATCCAGATCAGCAGACTATCTACAGACTGAGTAAGTTTAGCAGTGGTCGTATGTCGTGCTCTGTGATTGTGACGGTCGTCAGGTTTTGCCCGTTGCTTGCTCGGCTTGCTTACATAAGTAGCCGATGGGACTCACGATGACAAAGATGATCCAATCCAGGAAGGTGTCGTGGTTGGCCCACCCACTCGCATAATATCCATAATATCCATCTCATAATTGCAAATGAATTCCCAGCTAGTCCGCGCTCGTATCCCGACCCTGGCATCTTCTGTTAAACGATGCATAATGCCAAATTTACAGCATGTCAACGACGTTCAGAAAACGAGCATGTTAGAACATTTTTATTTTATCTTTTTCCAAATTATGACAGGGTTCAGCTCTTCTGAATCAACAATCCATTCAACGTCACCCGTATGCCGCAACTCCGAGCCCAAGATAACTAATAGATTTTGCATTATGCTGCCTGGTAAAATCTCCCAAGTGGGCAACGCAACATTTGCATCACCAGAAAGTGAGCCTACGTAAATGTCATATACCCGATCTGCGCCGTCGGAAGCCTGTACATCTGTATGTGTTCCATCTTCTGATTTTTGGGCTGATGAATTGTTCTGGGCAGCGCGAGCCCCTGGCACAGTCAATGACTTCATTCAACTCTACACAGTATTCTATCGTCTTGGTCAATCTTCCCCTTTAGGCTCTCGACCATCGATGTGTGTTACAGTTAACGCACCTCGTGACTAAGACAGTTGAAATATTAGTGTCTCGTTAACGGACGCATCGCGCGGTAAGTCACAGACAGATCTCTGCAGGGAGAAACTTCGTTTGCCTAAACATTACCTTGGTTCGCCAGATATCCTTTTCATGTCATCACAGCTTCCCTACTATTTCTCGTAGTAACTGCCCATAGGATCAATGCTGATGATTTCTGTTGCTATAAACTGTCTCTTCCGACGTCCTTGTTGCATGTTCGTCGAGTAACCTTGCCTGTCCTGCACCCGGGATTATGGTCAGTGTCTGTCTGCTAGTGTTCGCCAAAATGACAAGTCAGGAGCATCCAGTGACTTGAAGCGAAGTGATATGTACATTTGCAAAACTGCCGTAAATCGTTCTTGTATCCTGATTCAACTTTGGAGGATTCCGTGAGGGAAATCCTACTTCGATTCAACATCTTCTACAGTCTCGTAGAAATCTCTAGCGATCCGCAACTGTGCCTCTCTACCCGTTTCGTTGGGTGTGTCCGGAATAGCACGGATGACTAGATACTTGCGGCCTGTCAAAACATCCGGCGTGACCTTGAAAGGATCAATGCTAGAGCCGGTAGACGTCGCAGCGGCCAAAGCTGCATGTGACCCCACTACCACACCACCAGCTTCCTGAGCGATGACGATGCCAGCCTTAAGGAACATATGAGGTGGAGATATCCAAAAAATATGGCGGAATTAGTTACGCAGACATCCCATGGCCTTGTCGTGCATGAACGTAATGATCGGCATAAAAGTAAGGCCCACTCACCAGGAATCGGTTCCCCTAGCCAAGAGAACACGTCAGAGAGTGACATCCAAGCGCAAGGGCACGGCTCACCAAAATAAGTCTATGCCACCTTGAGCGACCATACAGCAATTAAGCGCTGTACTGCCCAGGGACCGTATAGAATGAGCCATTCGTCCCCCTGTGATGCCGTCTGCAGGATCGCCCGCGAGACGCAAGAATGAGTCGGATTTTGGTACCAGCATCTTTTTGCCACGGTCAGAGGCCCATCCGAGGGCTTGGAGAAATGAATTTGCATATTCTCATGCATGGACGCGCGACGTACCCAAAAGAGCCTTCCGCAAGGATGAAAGGGACTTAGGCTTGGTGAGGGGTAGTTTCAGAGGTTGACTATTACCACGAGTGAGGAATGATCCTTGACCTTCGATCGCGGTGTACTTCAAGTTAATGTAAGGGTGAGTGACACCCTTCGATGTCACTGAGTATTATATACGTACGAGGTGGTCTAGGAAGGGGTTGTATATGACACCTAGAACGGGCCGCTTCTGATAGATTAATCCAAGAGAAATACACGCAAATGGGAAGCCGTGGACAAAGTTCGTGGTCCCGTCTGAAAGGTCGCTGGTCGGCTACCAATGAACAACTTGATAATAGGCGTTAGCCTCACCGATCGGATCAACGCAGTATGTTGGTTCATCCGTGAGCTCATTACGAGTTCCAGAGGAGTATGATTCCTCTCCGATGCTATTGGGACCTAGATTGATCAGAATCATCCTTTCTGCGTACATTACAGACTTACAACTTGAAGCTGGGGTATGCCTCGAAGATTTCGTTCTTCACGAGCTCTTCGACAGCAACATCGTATTCAGTGACCAAATCGACGGAATTCTTCTTTTCATTGACGTCCGAAGTTGACTGAATGGCTTGTGAGCCTTCGAGAATTAATGTACCGGCAGTGCGTGCAAGCTTGATGGTGAAAGTCAAGATAGAGCGCAGGTCGACGGACTTCAATGTTTGTACATCCGCTGACATGGTGGTCGAAAGCAACCGGGGTGATCGATTGCTGAGCGCTCAGCTAACTGGCCAGCCGATTTGCCAAATCGGTTCGAACTTCGAATAAAGATCGACGGCTTGCATCATAGACTGAATCGTCACGACTCGGAGTCTAGCCTATCTATTGATACCATACATATGAAGTTTACCTTCTCCATAACAATTAGTACTGGCATTTTATGAGACTGGTAGTTTAAAATGGCCTGGCCAGGATCGAAACGTCCTCCTGTGATGTTCACTCGGGTAACATCCAGAAAACGCCGGGTAAACGAAATCGTCACAATAAGGTCCAAAGAGGAGATCGATTGTGAAATGGACATGGGCATTTGCAAAACACTCGGGCCAAATAGAAGCACCATGTTCAGACGGGGAACATCCAGAAAACTCGAGCGTAAGCATCTTGGGGGGATGAAGTCGTCATCGCATAGAAGCGAGGTCCACCGAACGGCATTAAGTTTGATCGAAGGGCCATCAGTTGAATGATTGTTCAAAGTAAGACTAGAAAGCAAGTCGGAGCTTCGAGCTAAGGGACCGTAAGAGAGGTGGTCGGATCCAAAGAAACAGTAATGAGATCGTCAAAAGAAATCGGGTCTCGAGAAGAGATCAACTGTGAGATGGACATGAGCATCCAAGTTTGGGCAGGGTCAAAGACATAGTCACCCACGAGCAAAGCCCGTCACAAGAATGACTGATTGAGTAAAAGTTTGATCGAAAATAACCTGTCAGCCCAGTTAGCAAAACTTGAAGAGGGAGATTGATCAGCGCTTGAAGGGATCGTAAAATGGAGGTGGCCGAAATCCCCAGAAACGTCGGGTAAACGAGATTAAAATCGACGTCTTCAGGAGAAGCCAAAAGGCCATGCCCACCTCAGTCCTCAGTGGGGGAACCTTCAGATGGCAAGGATGATTCGGAAGCGAAGAAGGTCGCAAGAAGGAAATATCGACGATGTAACCAAGTTCGAATCGATCACGACTATTGAACGGGCAGATCGACATACGAGATGACGAGGCTGATTCAATGGACTCGAGCGAAAGCAGATCAAAAGTTTTCGTCGTACAGGAACAAGGTCCATCGAAAGAAGGAATAGGTATATGTAAGTTCGACCAATTGTACCCGTTGTCAAGTGGAGGAAGTCGATCGTAACTTGAAGGGACCGGAAGAGCCTTTGTGATCGAATTCCACAGAAACACCGGGAAAACGAGATCGAAAAAATAGAATCGGAGATCAACTATGAGATCGACACGACAAAGGTCGTTGGTTAGGCGGGAGAATCCAATCAACTCCGAGAGGAAAAGAACTAGGGCAGCCGTCGTAAATGCGCACCAGACAGTGAGACAGTCCTCTTAGTCCAGTCGTGCGAGCAAGTCTAGGTAGTCCAGGTCGACTTGTTAGATCGTACCAAGTTCGTAGATTGGCGTCGTGCTATCGAATACACAAAGGGTGTGAAGTCGGAGGTCAAAACAAGTGAAGGAGGTGGAAGTAGAGAGAAGAGAAGGTCGAGCCAAACGGCTGCCTCATATATGCGGGCGGACGTCGGAGGCAATTGTGGAACATCCGAACACGATGGTGGAAGCCGAAGTTTCACAACTGTCAGCCTCTGCGCGGAGTGACGTCATTGAGGACTGGTACACCTATTACTTATCATGATCAATGGAAGATGCGGCTAGATCTCAAAGTATGCGACTACACCACTAAATAACACGTACACGCACCTTCTAATATGCTCAGTGTGACGTAGCTTTAGCGGAATGACATAGACTTTCGTAGAACTGCCTTGAATCATTCTTATATCCTAATCTCGCATTTGTGTACTTTGAAGGATTCTGCTACTTCGGTTCAACGTCTTCTACAGTCTCGTAGAAATCCCTAGCAATCCGCAACTGTGCCTCTCTACCCGTTTCATTGGGTGTGTCCGGGATAGCACGGATGACCATATATTTTCGGCCTGTCAAGACATCCGGTGTGATCCTGAAAGGATCGATGCTAGACCCAGCAGATGTCGCAGTGGCCAAAGCTGCATGAGATCCAACTACTACACCGCCAGCTTCCTGGGCAATAACGATACCAGCCTTATAGAACAGGTGAGGTGGAGATGTAAAGCAAATACGGCGAGGTTACTTACGCAAACGTCCCATGGCCTTGATGTGCAGCATAAACTGTGATGATCGGCATAAAAGTATGGTCCACTCACCAGCAACCAATTTCCCTAGTCACGTTATATCAAGGAACACGTCATGTTAGATTGTCCAACATGTGCTATGGCACAGCTCACCAATATAAGTCTAGGCCACCCTGAGCGACCATCGAGAAATTAAGCGCTGCACTGCCCAGGGACCGTATAGAATGGGCCATTCGTCCCCCTGCGATACCATCCGCGGGATCGCCCGCGAGACGCAAAAATGAGTCGGATTTTGGTACCAGCGTCTTTTTGCCACGGTCGGAGCCCCATTCGACGGCTTGGGGAAATGAATTCGCATATTTTTATTCATGAGGCGTGACGTACCCAAAAGAGCCTTCTGCAAGGATGGAAGGGGCTTAGGCTTGGTGAGGGGTAATTTCAGCGGTTGGCTATTACCACGGGTGAGGAATGATCCTTGACCTTCGATCGCAGTGTACTTGATGTAAGAGTTAGCAGCTTCCTTCGATCAAACTGAGAATTATACTACGTACGAGATGGTCCAGGAAGGGGTTGTATATGACACCTAGAACGGGCCGCTTCTGATAGATCAGCCCAAGAGAAATACACGCGAATGGGAAGCCGTGGATAAAGTTCGTGGTCCCGTCTGAAATGTCACTGGTCGGCTACCAAACGAACAACTTGAAAATAGGCATTAGCCTCACCGATCGGATCAACGCAGTATGTTGGTTCATCCGTGAGCTCATTACGAGTTCCAGAGGAGTATGATTCCTCTCCGATGCTATCAGGACACATATCGATCAAAGTCATCCTTTTTCTGGTACATTATAGACTCACAACTTGAAGTTGGGGTATGCCTTGGCGATTTCGCTCTTCACGAGCTCCTCGACAGCAACATCGTATTCAGTGACCAAATCGACGGAATTCTTCTTTTCATTGACGTCCGAAGTTGACTGAATGGCTTGTGAGCCTTCAAGAATTAATGTACCAGCAGTGCGCGCAAGCTGGACTGTGAAAGTCAAGATGGATCGCAGGTCGACGGGCTTCAATGTTTGTGCATCTGCTGACATGGTGGTCGAAAAGCAAGTGGAGTAATTAGGAGCTGAGCCGACTGCCAGCCGATTAGCCACAACGGTTCGAACAGCCTGGATCTATTAAAACCATGAAGCTTGTAACTAACGTTATAGCAGATTCAATGCATATCTATTCTCCCCGCAGTGGCTTGCCAACCTGATGTGACCACACTATTTAACAACACGCAAGCAAGGTCTTTGCTGGCAACGAAGCATTGAATTCAAAATTGCAGTTCTAAGGACTCTTCTGCGAGTCTGAGGAAGGGGTCATGTTTGGGCCTGCTGGCCATAGTCGAGGAGGAGCGTGAGCCGTCGAACATATCTGGGGGGAGGCAGAATAAGATATTAACACGATCTGTAAATGCACGCGCACCTTCTCATATGCTCACGGAACCTGAGGCCTGAGGGACCATCAGGTCGTATTGTTCTTCATCTCCCTCAAAGGGCAAATATGTAGATTGCCTTGTGTGGGTATCACCAACGGTCTTTTCTTCTTCTCCAGCAGGCGCCGAGAGCGGGAAACGAGACAAGCCATTGCGCTGTATTGGGGTGAGGCGAGAGGGTATAGTAGTGGTACTAAGTTGCAATCAAAAGTACTCGCATCTTGTAAGTACTTTGCTGGAGCTGAGCTTGCCCACCCGCCCTGATGCATGCGACGATGTTCAGCCCTAACTACAACATGGATTTGACATAAAGATCAGATGCACGCTGTCGCTCTGACTCAACTAGACACAAGATCGTAGCAAGGGTCCGATAGCCTGAAAACAGTCAACCAAATTTTTCGAGCCTTGGGAGATGCGGGTCTGGGGAACGACTCCGAACAAGGGCCAACGCCGAAGTAAAGCTACACTGCACAAAATGGAAACTGTTTCCCACATGCTAACTACCGACGCGCGTCGACACTTGTAAGTACTGACGCAGAACCTAACACTTCCACTCTCTACCTACCTCCCATCCTTGTAAACCATGTTTTTGACGCGTTCCGAGTACGGTTCGTTTATTCTGACAGTTCAGCATATTCATAGAATAGGGCTCATCATATTCGCAGATCGAGGTGTCAACACATTCTCCCCAGAAGGTCGACTGTTCCAAGGTGCGTTAGGCAACTCTGATATTCTGAAATCGTTTTCTGAGAAGGATACAGTCGAATATGCTATCGAAGCTATCAAGGTACCCATTACATCGAGCCGTGCAACAATAATATCCATCTCATCTTCCCCAGCTTGGATCGACAACAGTTGGCGTGCGCACTCCAGAAGGCATAGTCCTTGCAGTAGAGAAGCGCGTCCAATCACCACTCCTAGAATCAAGCTCCATCGAAAAGATAATGGAAATCGACACTCACCTAGGATGCGCAATGTCAGGCCTCACAGCTGACGCTCGGACCATGATCGACCACGCACGCGTCACAGCCCAGAACCACGCTTTCACCTACGACGAGAAGATTAAAGTAGAGAGTGTAACTCAGGCTGTGTGCGATCTGGCGTTGCGATTTGGTGAGAGTGTAAATGACGAGGACGCGATGATGAGTCGGCCATTTGGTGTTGCGCTGCTTATTGCTGGTGTTGACGAGCTGGGACCACAACTGTGGGTGTAATCGAATGAATAGCCTTGCTCAACCTGATCCTCTGCGAACTCGGTAGATACCATACGGATCCCTCGGGCACCTTCATGCGGTATAATGCAAAAGCCATAGGGTCAGGATCAGAAGCAGCACAAAGCGAGCTACAAGACAAGTGGCACAAGGTATAATACCCACCTTTTGAATGTGTTCTTCTTTAACACGTCATTGGACAGCAAATGACATTGCTTGAGGCACAAAAACTGACCCTGCGAGTTCTAAAGCAAGTTATGGAAGAGAAACTTGACCACCACAACGTCCAGTTGGCACAGGCATGTATCTCCCTACCTTGTCTCCCAAATCTTCATTACTGACTTCGTCACAGGTCACGCCACAGAAAGGCTTTGCGATATTAGACGAAGTACAACTGAAGGAAATTATTGACGCCATGTAATGTTTCAGGTAGATGTCAATATTAAGACCTTTCCTGGCTCTCGTCGCATTTGAATGAAGGGTAATAGCAGTTGAAGATTAATAATGGTATGAAAAATCTAATTAGCGGAAGGGTATGGTAAATCTGTACTACTACTAAGCCAACAATCGTATGCTGGACGCATGGTATACATTCTGAAAGGTTTGGTGATGAGATAGAAGAACATGGGGGATGCTTGGAACGAACAATTGCAAATAACAGACGAATAAAGAAGAGGCATAATAGTACGCGGATAATATAGAAATCCGTCAAATGAATGATTTAGGGCATCTCAAAAAAAAGAGTGATGACAGATGTTACATCAAATGAATGTTTTTCAAGTTTGCGGTAATGATGATATCTCGTACTGGGCGAAACGGTAAGCAATCAGCTCTTCTACAGAAAACTCCACGAACCATTCTGTATGATCATGGCTGTCCGTATAGTATCAGTAACTGATGTGAGATGAACTGTTGGCAGTGTAAGAAAGGGATCCTCGGGCGTGTTTAAGTTTACCTACTTTTGAATTCTCTCTCTTTGTTCGACGAGAATCTACGATGAATGCCTCCAAACTTGTTATAAAAGTCTATACGGAACTACTTGAGAGTAGTCCTGAGGGAAAGAACTGCCACCACCTACATGTAGATACATTCTCGTAATCATTTGGTCTGTCGCCATAGCGCGGCATATGATGGCTGAGACGAACACCGCTCTTGAGCTTTGCCTAAAGATCATCAGTATCATCGCCTTACTTATCAATGCAATGCCGACAGACCTGTAATAGGTCGACCTTGTTCAGGAAAAGAATGATGCTGACGTGTGAAAGTAATTTGTTTGACACGACAGATTTCCATAGCAGCAAAGAGTCCTCTAGTCTGTTCATCCTTGGATCCTATACACTGCGTCAGTGTGACAGATAAAGATGAGCAGTCAGTGGCTGACCTCTACCAATACCTGATCAAAAGCCGAGATAGGCGCCAGAAAAATAATCGCATTGACTGCATAACGAGATCAATGAACGACGATCACCAAACAATCAGCCCTATAATTACCATCCTCAAAGTATGGCGCCCAGGCATGCCGTTGATTCTGGGCACCTCCTACATCGTAAATCTTCCATTGTATAAACCGGCGTTGGGTATCAGCGATTGAGAAAGAGTGCTCGACGACGCCCATGGTCTTAAGCCGGGCTTTCAAGACGTCCTCTGAACATCGTTAGAAATGGCGCATTGCTGGTAATCAATTGACCTACGGTCGCTGGGGAAATACCGTAGAGCTGTGATACGGGATATCTCGTCCAAAAAGCTGTTTGTCGTCAAGCAAGATCCAACATCAGATACGACGAACTCACAAACCACTGCTCTCTTCTAATCTGATTTGTTTCTCCCGCAAGCGTTGTTTGACGCTGGGGTCTTTCCATAATGCCAGCATTGGCTGAGCGCATGAATTGAGCACATGGACGGGATCGCTTGGGTCGTCCCACCAGCCCTCGATCTCGTTTGTGTGCGCGCTCTTAGGACTCTTGATCCTATTGCCGAGAGAGAAGGCCTTTTTCCAGTTCGAGGTATGATGAACGCTGACTTCTGCATTCTTAGATTTAGACGAGCTGTTGCTTGACCCACCAGGCGAAGGCAGGCTCGTCGACGGTGACAGAGGAGAAAGCGGTGATGATGTGCGTGAGGGGGGTATCGTGATAAAAGGCGCTGGTCGGCCGTTCTTGCCAACATGAATTTGAGTATTGAAGTTACTGTTTGCATAGAGACTCCAATCAGGCTTCGGAGGGGTAGTGTGGGTAGCCTCATCTTCATCTGGAGATGACAACATTCGGATCAATCGTTCCTCCAGCTCCCTCAGAGGTTCTAGTGCATGGCGATATTGGGGGTACCTGGTCACCCTAGTCTTAGAAACCACGGGAGTCTCACGAATCGAGGGGACTGCGGAACCAGATCTAGTCTCCTGATCGTCTGCTTCGTCTAGTTGGTCTGAGTCAGGGGAGACAGCGTCAAGGATGCTGGAAACCAGGGTCATTATCTCACATGCTACTAAATTTAAAGTAATAACAACGCTCACCGGCGAACGGACCGCACGAGATTAAGATATATTACAGCTCTCCATGCGATTCGGTCAGCATGAAAGGCGGCGGTCGCATGCATCAATTGAAATTCTGGATGAGATACGGAGTCAGTACGGCCCAGACGTGTGCAGTACATAAATGCTGAGGAGGGCGGTTTGATGGAATAGATAGTTATTGCGCAAATGAAAACCAACATGAAGGTTCTTCTGGCCAAGTACACCCTTTTGCTAAGAGATGTTTACTCGATAGAAGTACAAAATGCGAACATGCTGTAGTGAAAACTGAGACTCCAGACCACGGCAGCCTGTTATGTTGGCAGCTTGTTTTCGCACAGAACAACGAAGAGACGAAGAACAAAACCTGAATGACTCACGTTTCAGAGTTGTACTCTTCCCACTCTCGCTCTGTCCCAGAAGTAAGACCTTAATTTCAGGTTTGGCCTTCTTCTCTTTCTTCTCTGCACGGAGCATTTCATCAATTCCATCGCTTACTCGTTTGGCCTCCGACTCTGCTGCCAATCTCCTTTCTCGATCTGCAGTGCTCTCGTTTGGAGGGGGCATGAGCGCAGCAGCCAGTGGATCGGAAAGGGATCGGCGTCGGTTTGGCTCCAGAGGCCGAGCCATTGTCATGGACGACAACAAGACTGGGGGTAGGGACAAGAATGGTCGAAAGAGAAAGCCGAAAGCCTAATCGTGCTTGAGAACTGGTTTTTATAAGTGCAACAGGCTAAACAAGAGGCTAGTCGCGACAAGCGCTTCCAAAAGAAGATTCTACCTTCACGTGGCATTTTTTAATGAATTTCTTTATTTTAGCTGTCATCATTCATGCATATCTTGTCACACCAGGTCGTTACTTTTTACTTCCTGGGCGATATTGCTTTGCAGCTTTGAAATTTCATGAGCGGCTCATGAGCCAGTTATAAGCTACTCCGTGGTTCGCCATACCGCGGAGAGTATTACGAGGCGTTACCTGGTAATATTCAGGTCTATTATGCAGGAGATATCCGAGCGCCGACTGTCAGTCTGTCACGTCGGTTTCTTCAGAACTCCCCGATAGGTGACCTTTGCGCTTTCCAGGAGAGCTTCTAGAGAAGGTTCGTCTACCACTCATGGGAAAGCCTCCTGCCGAGCGAGGGGCGCCAACTGTTATCCGCTGCTTCCCCCTCAATTCCGTGGCTCAAGGAAGCTTTCGATAACTTTAGAACTGTCGTAAGTATCCAATTTTCCTCTCGGCTCCCTTTTTATCTTCTAAGGGGAGTTTCATGAAACTAAGGAACGTTTGAGTAATTCTTGACCCAACGTAGATGCCCTTTGTGAAGAAGTTAGGAAAATATATACCAGGCGCGTGAGTTTTTGCATCGATGTGCCTGCTTCCTGCTGATCAGTCTCACAGCCCCAGGTTTAGTAACTTCTACCAACCCTGCTATCATACACCGGCCGCTCCATATACGGCACCCCACTCCATACGCTCCCATAGGCTTTGATCGGTATCGATGATGGCCTAATGGAGTTCCAGATTCGTTGGTTTCGCAGAGAAGACCGTTGGTTCTTCGCGAACATCAAACCACTAGCATTAGACAGCATCATGCAATCTTTGGCTATGCCTTGAATAACCTGTAATTTGCTCACTCTCTTCATGTAGCCATTGCCGGTTTTTCTCTGTGGGTATCATTCACTGAAGATCTCGTTTCTTTAACCTCAGCTGAGAATTGTTATACGGAAGGGAAAATCCCTCGGTCATTCAAGAAGAGCTGACGGTAGTTTTCGACAAGCGTCGTCAATGATAACATCTTCCCAAGCTTCTCCCTCTCCTTTGGGTCTCGTGAAGATAACTTTGTTTGCGCATAACCTCTTCCCTGACACACGTGGTTTTTCGTTGCACATTGTTCCTTCTACGGCGATGTATTGCTGTCCTCCTGTGGCATATCCATCATGATGTTGATCTTAATCCCACAGATCTAATTGTTTGTAATTCTAGAGTGTTCATACCAGCAACTCGAGCTTCAGGACCCTCCGTTTGAATGGAAACATTGACTGTCAAACATCTTGGCGGCACCCGTACCCTGCTATACAAACGAGACAAAATTCTACCCGACGGCTAACCCACGATTTGATAATTGATTGGTCACTCTCATTCATGTGGCCTCGAGAACTTCTACAACTATGCCTCCACACTCAGTTCAACAGCAGCAGCGGTCATGCACAGCATTCGAAGCTGATAAACATCGCCGTCAACTCCTTTGACAGAGTTCTCCAAGGAGTAGTGTGCTAAGCTCTTCGCCGCCATTGGGCGATTGTTCTCCGCAGGTATCAGCGCCCTCGCCAAAGCAGATGACATCGGCCAAGTTCCCCAAGTATGCGATAAATACCATTCATTCATTGACAACTCAGCATCATCCCAGGGGTGGCTGGGGACGTTAGAGTACTTAATTGCGATCTCTTTTTTCCACATGGAGGTGTACCCTGAGTTCTCTTTCCTGCAGCAGCTCCAGAAATGCATGTTTGGCAGTTATGAGTCATGTGGAGCTGAAGGAACAGAAGATCTGGAAACATCACAGTATATTGCGCAAGATGCGAGGGACCGGATATAAGTAGTACATCATTCATACCGGTATTCTTTACATTGCCTATTTGTGCACTTTTACCTAATATTCATTCTGAGTCAATATCCGAGGAGAATTTAAAAGGTGCTGAGCGTGACGACACGTTGGTTGTTCAAGCATATCCACTTCTTCCAGGGACAATTGCGAACGCAGGACCCCCCTTCGCGAACATTTTCCGCACATCTTGAACAAGCTCTTGCGGCCGTTCGTAGGCAGCAAAATGGCCTCCTGACTTATGATGGGACTCGAAAACAACGTTGTTCAACTTGCGCAGCCACCTACACTTTCACGTTAGCTTCAGGGCAGCCAAGCAGATAGATAAGAACACACGCTGAAGGTAAAAGTATGAGCTCTTTCGGGAAATACGACGCTCCCATAGGAATAGTGGGGTAACCAGTACGGCCTAGATCATAGAAATCGCCATGCAACTCAAAGTAAATGCGATGGGCGGCACCGGGCCCAGCACGGGAGAACCAGTAAATTGAGATCCACGTCAGCACTATTTCACAAGTAGGTAAGCAATAATATATCGGAAAATGAACGCTGTTACTACCTTCGTCATCAGTCCATTTGTAGTCGTCGGTCCAGATGACCAGTTTTTCGTAAAACCAAGCAAGTAGACTAACAGGGCTATCGGTAAAACCGTAAGCGAGTGTCTGCGGGAAGGTGCTCTGCTCAACAAAGTAACCAGATGATTTGGTGCGGTACCACGTGGTGCGCTCGACGCCTGCCTTCTCCTCGGCAGACCAAGGGGTTAGCAAGTACGACAAGAAAGATAGGGGCGATTTCCAGGTTGGTGGGTCGGCCCTAGTCAAAGATGAGTTGACATATGAGTTGAGCGAGAAAATGCCATATACATTGGAAAGTTGGTGTGCCACGCCTTGTGATGCTTTCCACCATACAGAGAGGCCATTCTCCGAGTGATCTGAGGGTACGTTAACGATAAGTCCTGTCTACTTGTCAAACGTCACTCACGAGGAAGCCCCAGTCGCCTCCCTGGGTGACTGCAAGAAAAATGAGCAAATCCATTGCGTAAAATAATCACGGTAGCGACGTACCATATTCGTTGTACCCGAGAGCGAGCATGAGTTTGTGAGCTACCTAGGTACGCCGGTGAACATGAGAGGGCTTAGAGCATGTGATAATCAATAATTACCTCGGCATATTGATCAAGAGCAAAGCCTGGTTTGTGTGGACCCTCCGAAAAGCCAAAACCGGGCAAGCTAAGCGCTACAACATGGAAGCTAGGATGTTCAGGGGACGATGCAGTCAAGAGGGGCAACATCCCCTTGACTTCCAAGAAACTCCCGGGCCCTAGCTAAGGTCAGAAACGTGTCGGTCTGCTTGGATAGGACATACATCCATGGGAGAACAACAGTGGGATGGCGTCAACAGTTTTGCTCTTCTTGTGAACATAGTGAATGTTCAGCGCGCCGTAACCATCCACGTGAATATCACGGGTAAACATTGGCAGCTCTTGATTCAATTCCTTTTCATGCTTACGCCAGTCGTACCCGTTTTTCCACCTCTCTGTGAGTCGTTTCATATCGGTCAGAGGTGGGCCATACTTCCATCCGGCGTCCTGCAATTCGTCCGGGAAAGTGGCAAGCTCAAGTTTAGCACGAAGGGTAGCGAGTTTCTCGTCCGGGATGTTGATTCGAAAGGGAGTTTCAGATGACATGGTGATCAAAGTGCAAGTGAGAGAGATGCGTCCTGGTACGTTCTGTGCTTTATCCTGTGACTTAATAGGAGCTGCCGCATCAAGAAGCGCTAACCTTCTAGTCTGTCTGATGAGAAAAACTTAAACGAGCCTTATCTCTTGTGTCATCATTTTGGCCAGACCACTTCATGGAACATGAAATATTTTTGGTGCTTCCATAAGACACCGTGCACCTTGCGCGCTCCGTTTTCTAGATTTATTGATGCAAGCGAAGACCCTCAATCGGTAAAGATGATATTAGGACAGAGGCACTACTGCGAGTCGTGACAGCAAATTTCTGTATGCGATGTAGGCGAAGTCACGGGCTTCATTGAATAGAGTGTCTGTGCGACGGTGCACACGCGATAGAGCGGTAGAGTTGTCCGTATGCAAACACGTCAGTGCGTAAGTCGAGAACCGCGTAAGCGAGGGTCCGTGGCAGCCATTGGAGGTAGTAGCATGAGCTAATCTCAAGGCGAAGTTATCGTCCATGGAGAGTGTCTGGGGTGAAAGTGAACATAATTCGGGGAATATAAATTGAGCAGTGTGAAGCGGCGGTGTAGTGCTGTGATACGAACTCGTGCGTTTTCCATCGAGAGATTGCGCTGGATTGCGCATAGCATTTTTTTATCGGTGGGGGATACGCCTTAGCATCGCGAGATTCTGGCATCAGCTCGGGGGGGTCGTGACTCGGAACAAATGCCACGTTAGCATCTGGAAGGGCTAATTGTTGAGTTTGTCCAGCAAAGCAATAAGAACGAGTTACTTTGTTGGATTGTCCAAATAATTTTGGCGGTGTACGAAGTCCTACGTCCGACTCTACGAAGTAAGGACCAAAGTGGATCGACCAGTTCTTCCCTAACGTGTTTCGTGACTTCGCCACCTCGGTCCTCAACGGTTCGCATGCGGTGACAACAGCACGTTACTTTAACCAAACCTTAACTTACCTAAGGAGCGCGTGAATTTTTGCATCATTAATGTGCCTGCTGCTGCTGAGCGCTGATCTCCGGTAACCGAGGAGGTATACAGGTTTGATTATGGTGGGAGTGACCGGGCTACGCTGAGGGCTGATTAGTCTCGCTAACGTCCACGGCACCCACCCTGCTATCATAACAGCGGACTGCCCGAGTCATTCCATATAATACGCACCGCAACTCCATCATGATACACTCCCATAGGCTGATGAACCTCTTGCAAAGAACCTCTTGAAGTTGAGGGCCATTGGAGTTGCAGATTCGTTGGTTTCGCAGATAAGACTGGAGAAGACTGTTCGTTCTTCGCGAAGATCAGCATAGATGACACGTTATGCAATCTGGCTATCATACTCCGAGAACCAACCTTACCTGAGGTACATGATTATTTGCTCATTTTCTCCTTCATGTGACCGTTGCCGGGTTTTCTCTGTTGGTATTGCATATAGGTCTCATTTCTTAAACATCAGGATTCAGCTGACAATTGTCTTACGGAAAGGAGAACCCCTCGGTCATTCAAGAAGAGCTAACGACAAGCGTCGTCAGATAACATCTTCCCAAGCCTGTCCACCTCCTTTAGGTCTCGTGAAGACAACTTTGTTTGCGCATGATCTATTTACATGCAGGGATAACCTCTTCCCTTGACACACGCATTACGTGTGGTTGATTATCCCCTCGACGGCGATGTATTGCTGTCCTCCTGTGGCATATCCATCATAATGTTGATCTTGTAACCCGGGCTCATTGCCATCGCAAATTTAATTGCCTGCAATTTTAGAGCGATACCACCAGCAGCTCTGGCTCCAGGACCCTCCATTTGAATGGACACGTTAACTGTTAGACATCTTGGCGGCACCTCCCGCTATACAAACGAGACGAAATTCTACTACCCGACGACTAACCCATCAATCTTTCGTCGAGAAATAGCTCTGAAACGCCAGCTGGGACATCATCAAGGGGTAACCGCAACAATAGCCTACATCGCCCTCACAGACATCACTGTAGCTTGTGAAAGTACATATTATCCTATGAAGGGGTTCATATGAAAATGCCACTTCCGCACCCCCGCTCCTGTTCTTCCGTATGCCATTCCGAAGACCCGTTGCTCGCTCTGCGTCTCTTGGTGAAAGCGCTACCGTCCCTCTCACCACATCAACACCGCCTACGCCTACAGGACTACCTAGCCCGTCAACCCCAACGTCGTCCTCCAGCTACTCGTCAGACGGGACAATCCCGATTTCATCCTCTAGCCACTCGTCGGACGGGACCCAGAGCACAATTCAGCAGACAACGCAATCATTAACAAATCCATCATCTTCGCCGACGGTACGGAACACTCTTTCATCTCTCGGCACATATAGTTATATTTCGTCACAGACACCCGGACAAGCCCCTAGCGTCTCGATAAGCACGACAATCTCGTCATCGTACGTTCTGTATCCTTACCGTTCATAGCAATCAGCTGAACTTCTCACGTCCGCATCATAAGGTCGGATGCCACATCAACTAATTATAAGGGGTCAGGGCCGAGTACGGACATGCCGAAATCCCCTTCTTCACAATCACCGATGAGTACTGGTGAAGGGGGGCAGACGAATGGTTCATCGTCAGGCAGCGGAATCACCACTTTATCGCCAAATGGAAGCGATGGCGGGACATCTTCTCAAATCAGTCCTACCACTTCCGGTCCAGTCATCAGTTCTAGTCTGAGCAACTCGTTAGGTGACCCTAGTCTCTCACTACCGACCTCACTACTTTCGCCACCCACCCCGACCTCCATACCTCTATCACTCACACCGACCTCTATACCTCTACCATCTGTACCGCCCACCACGGGTTTGCCCACTATTTTGTCAGGGCAACAGACAACTACCCAGTCATCTTCACTCACAACTCTGTCAACCGTGGGCAATCCCACAACTGCTTTCACATCCAGCTTATCCGTAGATGAGCCATCTGCAACAACAGACACATATTTGACCAGTACTTTATCAGGGAAACAGACATCCAGCTACCAGTCGACTTCACCGACTCTAGGCAATCCTAGTACTTCAAGTACTGATGCAGGGGGATCGTCTAAGCAAATATCATCATCGTCTAGTTCATCGACCCATAGTGATTCAGCCACTTCTCCGTCCCCAGAGCCCACTGTTACTTCTCAAACTACCGCAGCTACATCCGCGCCAATGACTTCTTCTCAGGAGGGACCTCTTCCATCTCTGTTGTCGAGTATACTTCAGCCACTTACAACTCACGAGACCCATCAGTCAACCCAGTCCTCAGCTACAACTTCAACGACATCCACTGGTAACTCAAAATTGCCGTGGTCATCTATCGGCCTGCCATTGCCCATCACTCCGCTTACCACAGATAGTCAGACTGGTACCTGGACCACTACGATTCCGCAATCCTTGAAAACTCATTCCTCCGACTCACCAGCTGCTACTGACTCCGACATCTTCGCAGACCTATTTCTCCGAGTCACTAAGTACAACGTTACCAACCACGTTCTTCGGAGGCTTGCCGACGACAGTGCCGGGTGCAAAATCTTCCCTTACACTGCAATCTCCCAGTGGGCGCCTAACGGATACTTCAAGCACGACTGTACATGGTGCCACAGTCCCACCTGCAGGTTTACCTACGACGTCAGGTGTGCAATCCTCTGGCGATCCTGTGGGTGACCCGTCTTCCACTGCACAGGGGACCACGGCAACTACTTCCCCCCCTCTGTGAGTTGTCTGAATCATTACTGGAATATGTTTACCTGATCGTCTGATCCTCAGCCCTACTGAGTCACCGCCCCAAATTTTGGATGGTCAATCGAGCACCACCACTCCGTTGCCCGTCCCAAGTGGGGAGACCTTGTCTTCGATCACACATACTTCGACAAGTGTTTACCTTACTACATTCGTCATCCCTTCTGGGACAGGTTCCGAAACCCTGACCTCGGCAGTGACTTCCACGTCTTTGATTGTTACCACGACCCCAGTACCATCGTCGGGAACTAGGTACGCTAGTTCAACCGTCTTTACATTGACATTGCATATGCATATAACCCACTGGAATAAAGGTCAATTGAAGCCCCTGTCATTGGAGGGGTTGTGGGCGGAGTTCTGGCGCTTCTACTGCTAGGTATTGCAGCATGTCATCTCGTCCGCCGCAGGCGCCACTTGCGTGCCCAACAGCGGCTTTATGACAGGGGACCTTACCGCGCCACTCTCTCCAGCAGAGGCAATGCGCGAGAATCACCCGTACCGACCTACGTACACCCCCCTTGTAGGAGGGCAAGTTGCGAGTGAGAGCCGTGGCAACTTGCATCACGCCTCAGACTCCCTTGGCTCGTCGGCCTTCCCACACCCCTCAATTACACCCAGGTTCCCCACATCATTTCGCTCGTGATTCATCAGGCTCAGTATTATACGAAAATAACAGGGAGTCGAACGATGGCGACGTCTCCTCAGATGACGGATCAGACGGCACAGAGAGATATTTCGGGGGCGCACAGAGTTTCTACCGCGACGCATCCATGAACGGGGAGCTCGGCGTGACCGGCGGTGTGGGTATCGCGATCGGGTCTCAGTCGAGCATGGATATCCAGTCGTATCACACTGCCGCTACCACGCTTGACGCGGGGGCCCAAGCTATTGTGGACGACGACTGAAGAATCCGAGAGCCCCGGACCAAGTCCTTCGTCATTCCCCGTTCCCCCCACCATGAACCCGTTCTTCGATGGCGCCCGAGTCGTCGATCTTCCTGATTTCGTGGCCTCTCGTGCATCACAAAACCGCGAAGCGGTGTCAGTTTCATCTGAAGGTGCCCGACCAGTGAAAATTCGCACATTCCTGGAGCAGCAGGCGTCTTGGACGGTGGTTGTAGTAGCTGCAAGCCCCATAGATACACCAACACCAATAGCAAATCAGAGCCTCCATGCACTTATAGACGATGGATACAATGTCGATACGTTAAATCAGGACCTCGAAACGCCAACGCAGTCACGGCCCCCAGTTACGCCATTCAGTGATTTGTCCTACATCGTCAACCCATTCTTACCTGAAACATCTCAGGAAGGGTTCAGTGACGAATCTGGGGGCAGCGACAGCCACGAGACTGTCTCTGAGATCCCATACGCAAATCCATTCGAGTCCTGGGACAAGGGGAAGGGGAAAGAGCAGCTGTCTGCTGACTTGGAGGACGATCCCAGGCGTAACAGACTATCGAATGCTAGCTCGGGTCTCGAGTTCCCCGAGAATGCAGTAAGTACTATCCGAGACTTCATGGAATCGTATCACTAACGAATGATGCCTTCAGTCGCAGTGTGGTATTGCACTCTAGGCAGATAACGGTATTTATGGTGGGCCTACGCCTCTAGCTTATACCTTATTAATGACGCTAGCCCTTATCGTACTATCTCATTCGGACATGCAGTTGATGTCTGCAGCGAAGCTTGTATCTATTACAATAGTTATCATCGACAGGAAGATCAGATTTCAATAAAGTACAGACAGGCAGGTCCAAAAGCTGCACGAATGAGCGTTCCCCGTAGGAATGGATGTGAGTTCGAACGTTCAAGATCAAAAAATGAATCCAACACTATCCAACACATCCATGCATCAAGGTTGGTCGAACTCGAAAATTTGAAATCATTGCATCGTAACCTCCCGTACTAAGGACTCAGATCGACAGTCGCATCTACGGTTTCATGCGCTCTGTCAACGACATTGGGTACAAATACACAAAGGCAAAAGTCGTTCAGCACCGTGTATATCCGAGAGTCCTGCCTGATCGAACCAGAGGGTCGAGGACGAACGAACGATACAAACGCGGTATTACTATTGAGGCGTTTGAATTAGATGTTCGTGGAAAAGCGGAGCGACGAGGCGGACACTGCACATGTAATTTATGTAAATGAAAGCGTATAGGGAAGAGCTTGCCAGTGGCCTTCACACCTCGAGTCTGCATTGAGTTCCGACAGATCCGCCCTGAATGATAATGAGGACATGCTTGGGTACGCTGGCTTTTCGAACGTTAGATGGCAGAACCCTACCTATGTCCGAGGTCTCAGGAGGTCTCAGGAGTCAGAATGAGGGGACATCGTTGTACCTGTCGTGATGTCCAGCAGGTTTCTGGGTTATTCAAGCTTGAAGTGTTGAGTCAATTTCGTGTTCTGTCTTTGGCACCAACGTGAATGGACTGGGAGGTAGTGTCACTAGATCATTCAACGTTCAACCTCGCTTATGTCCTTCCCTAAGCGTTATTCCAGCATGCATAATGAAGGTGTATCCAATAAATGACCATAATAAAGAACGAAGAGTAGTGCGTTATGCCATAGAATACAAAGTGGATGTGTGGGGGAATGCGATATGCCATATATGATGGAGTACAAAGTGAATGGGTGTAGTTTGTGGAAAGTGAGATAGTATCACTGTGCATCGATGAGTGCTCAGCATACATCAAAACATAAAGCGGATAGTCAATAACGCAAGTAAAATATGAAACGAACACCATATCCCATCGTGGATGGGGAGCAGAAAGAGAGAGATGCTAGTTCTGAGGGAGTTCTTCAGATGGAAAACTGTCAAAATCGAAGAATTGCATCAACTCGGCCACCTGATCAGGGGATACAGCTGCCCAGAAGGGGTCCGCAATAACGTCCGTTTCCTGCGACCTCGGGACCTCAATCGCTTGAGGCGGGAATTGCTTTAGCTCCGCTGATGCCCACTCCCCGAACAGGGCTGACACAGCAGGGTCTACACTTTCCACAGGGGCGGGCAGTAAGGGTCCGTTCGCGGTAGCGGGCAGGAAGAGATCTGCGGGAGCGATCGTTTTCTGCGACGGCGTAAGCTCAATTGCTTGGGGCAAGATGTGCATGTTCTCGAGGATTTTTGACGGCGTTAGGTCACTAGTCATTGACGCGGCGGTTGCGGGAGCGCGGAAGGTGAAGGGCCCTCTAGGGATTGCCACAGGCGAAGCAGAACTCATCGAGCCTTGACTAGGGGTTGAGGAGGAGGGCTGTTTGCGCATCTTGCGCTTCCTTCCACAGGCCGAATCCCTCCAGTGCCCCTCCAGGGCATCTACCCTGTTATACCTGATCACAAATATTATGAGACGCGTTTATTTGAGAGTGGGGATACACACGGTTTGCCACAATCGCAGATAAGCTCTCCTTCTGTGAGGCCCTGATGCCTTAACGTCTCGATGTGCTTGCGATGGCTGTCAGGGGTCATTTCTTGGTCACACCTCAGGCGTTTGATTTGTGCATGACCATCCTTGTCTGGCCTTGGCACCTGCCCCCAAACTAAGAATTCTACCTCACATAATGAAACGGAAACTCACACATTCGGGGTCGTCCAATATACGTTCTTCATGCTTGCTTCTCTTTCTTGTTTCGCAGTCCCCAAGGTCTTCCGCGACACGCTTTTGCCTGGCCAACGCCGACGACGCAGTTGCTTGAAGCAGAGAGGAGGAAGCAGAGCCCATTGTGAGCTCGGTACCGTAAGGCTGGAGGTATGCATGCTGAGATATTGGCGGAGGCATGTTCTGTTGGTACAACGCCTGGACCGGGTAACGGGGCAAAACTCCGGCAAAGCCTCCTGAGGAGAAGGGAGCTTGATTGTACTGAGCAGGCGCAGTAGCGTGTTGTAAGCGACGCGAAGCTACATAAGGTGTTCCTTGATCAATAAAAGACCGAACGCATGCGGGAGGATTAGGAAAACTCCGTGGGGCTTGGAACGAATTATGCGCATTTCCAACACCCACGCCTGAGGACGACACGACTGGGACATATGAGGGAGCGGCGACAGGCACCATGTTAGGCGGGAAGCCGTAGGGGTCGTTCCCTTGCGCTGTGGTATTGCTGGGTTGAGGGGTGTATGCGGGCTGGGTCCAGTACGTCCGGCCCATATACATTCCAGGATTCGGAATCAATCCGTTGTTGTTTCCAACGGACAAGTACGACGAGGAAGGATGCGAAGAAGTGCGTGCGTGGTTCATCTGGAGGTAGAATATAGATATAGTTAGGAAACGTAGGTGTTGAAGATGGGGATAAACGTACCTGATCCAGCAGGGGTTCACTTGAAAATTGAAGTGTGTACGCGTTCGCAGTGGCAGCTAGAGGTGGAGGCTAGTGGGTATGACAGAGAGGATAAAGGCCACATGAGCATATTTATATGTGGGTCGAGGACCCCCGCGCTGCTTGTACTGGGGGAACCTTCCTTTCATGGAAGATTTACTGTGGACCACTATTATTCACTAAAACGGACGGTGGACTTTTGCTCGACCCGTTGTGTTGTCCACCCACCGCTTGCGATACAAAGACGAGAAACGCCTTGAGGATTTTGTGCCCTAGCGCGGGTTAACAACTGTCCGATGGGGAACTCCACAGTATATTGTGTGACTCGGCGAACAGTTGAATAATCGTGGACCCCTTTATGAGTGACGATATCCATTGGATTTATTGAAGTGCTTTGAGGTGCTTTGAGAGGAACAGCTTGCTTGGAAAACTGGTCTAAAACACTAACACAAGGGCACTTACGCGAAGTTCAGTGGACGGTTCAGATCCGGGAAAAGCATCTAAGAGATTCGGATGTACAACTCTGTTAGCGCCTTCTAAACCTATAATTCAAGGGATAGCTTACCACTCGAGCGCGAAACATCACAGGTAAGAACATCATCCTTGCACTTTGTTGTGAGCACTCACACTATTTTTATTTTGGTTTCGTGCTCGATGCATTGTAACATCTCTGATGGAGCTCAACTCATCCGCACAATGAAACAAGACTGACCACTAATTTGCTGTTTTCAACCACATAAATTGAAGGAAATCGCCATCCTCCAACATTGGTTGATTTAAGCACATGCGTGCCTTTGGCCCCCTACCGGTAGCCCACAAGCGACCTCGTTGTGGTGCCCATACACGCGCTCATAAAGAGTAGCAAGACAATACCAGTTCCAAGGTATAACTTTTCTGGCCCGGAAGCACGGGGGATATAAGACACCTTCAGCGATTACAACGCAAATTCGCTTGTCAATTTCATCGATAATTGCAAGGAGCATCGAAGAACCCTTCATCATCGAACAGTGGTCTTGGACATTTATTCGCATTGCTACGGCTCGTAACAAAGGGGCATGCACATACAAGCCTGTCACGGCCTGAGCGCAGATGTCAATCGGATGGTGCGACAGTACAGGTAAGAAATAAACGGCCACGAAACTGGATTAGTGCCGGGCGACAAAGGATCTCGGAACACATGGAATAAACACATCTGCATCGAGTACATCGGTATCTTTGCGAAGTGCGGCTAAACATCGAGGAGGTAATATTTTCGCCCACAATCATTCGTGAATTGACATGGAGACGGAATAAGGGGGAGGACAGCGCAGACGAATAGAGGAATATCACATCGGGACAGAATATAGAGGCCAATGGAATGCGCAATTACAATGAGTGTGCGGTTCGAAGGCTCGCGCGGCGCGTACGTATAGCCGGCTGTCTCACCCTCTGGGGGCAAACTCGAACCTGCATATGGTTTCTGGTGTAGGTGAAGGCGGTGCGGACACAAATGGATATTAGATGGTCATCATCGAATGGCCGGGTGCCGCAAAAGGCGTATGCGGGCAAGGAGGAAGGAGGAAATTAATTTTTTGAGCTTGTTGACCTCCGACATTTTAGTAACATCTTGTTCACATGATGAGCGTGACATGAGGCACGCATGTCACACGTGACAAGACGCGTCTTTGCAGATACTTATCCGCGACGATGAGCATCATCCCGAATCCTCCTCGCTGGCAAGCCAGAGCTGATCCTGCATCCATAGATGTTCCAGGTCTCGACACCAATGCATCGATCAATGATCAGATCGATCAGATCGAACAGTTAATAACCATTAAACTCCAGGTTGTCCTGATTATGTTTTCTTCCGCTTAACACTGATGAAGTCATTAGAACATCGACGCGAATTTCTCAAAGATTCAAAATGTCATGGCCACAAAGTTACTACCAGCTGTGAAGCGGTATGCCGTGAGCACTGAACCCGTTCGGGAAGCTGCAAAGGTATGTCTGATGTGCCCTGTGTTCTCATCGATCTTACCCTGTCATCTCAGTTCTGGACATCATTTTACGAGAAAGCCGCACAAGTACATATTCCTACGTATGAGGACTACTCCTCTTTGCATGAACAGCGGTCGGAAGCAACATCCCAGGGCGAAAGTTCCTCTACCCGGCCCGACGCAGAGGAGACTTCTCATTTCGATACCGAGGATGATACAACGCCTTCACATCCTCACAGTCGCACTTATGATCCAAATTCTACTGCATCCGAAGCCTCTTTTATGCCATCGAATGCAGTATCATCTACCCCAGCTCGTACCGGGTTTTCTCGTAACGATACCGCGGATGATCAACCTTCCTGGAGTGCATCACTAGAATCTCCACTCGTTCGACTTGATCGCGAGCTCCAGAACTTTACCCTTGGAGAGGATAGCATAGTGGGCCAAGACACCACCTGCAATAGCTATGCTTATGAAGAAGAAAACACTGTCCAGCAATTTTCCGATAAGGGGAAGTCAAGGGATTATTCGCATGGACACTCTGTCTCGCAGGGTGCATCGCGCCCCAATCTTCCATCTTTGCGCGTTCCACCCAGTGCGCTTCCCACCCCTCGTGGCCTCCCAACTAGCACAAGGGTATCTCCACTGAAAGTCAAACCAAAGACACCCGTAGCAATCCCACAGCATCTACACGCATATCTTCCTCCACTCAATCATCCGGACCCCCCACTGCCATCACCTAGGAGGCAGAGATATCAGCGCTCTCCGCACAAGCCGTACCCCCCGCTTTCATCCGCCTCTAACTCGTCATCCACGCTAGATATACCATCTCTAACGAGACCATCCGATGATTCAAATAGACCCTTTGATCAGTTTAATGACTCCTTCGATGACTCGGCAGAACTCATGCGTGGTCTTTCACCACCGCGAACGGTGGCATTTCCACGTGGACCGAGGTCTAGCATTGGACTGGGGCTGCTACCACCAGGTCGGACGCCAGGCAAGGACTTGCATCATGCATTGGGAAAGACACCTAGGAAGGAGGCTGCAGAGCGCATACGTCGCGACCTTCTTGGCGATGTTCAATCTGATCACAGCTCCGTCCGAAGCAGTGCCACTGTAGACCGGTTTGTGGGCTTCAAGAAATTTGGCTACACCATTCCAGAAGGCACAGAAGATACCATGTCTACGATTCCCACCCCACCATCCATATCACGATATACCCGCCATGCTTATCCCTCGGCGTATGACAGCAGCGACCCAAGCTCCAGCTTAACAAGCATAATGCGCGGGGCGGGACTCGGCATACCCGAATCAACCTCTACATCAAAATCGCACTCCGTCGCATCTCACCAAAGTCTTGAAACAGCACGGCTTGTCCCTCCTTCTCAACCACAGCCTCTTCATACCCCCGATCCACAACCTGACCTTTTCCATTTCCAACAAGAAGAGCCCAGCACACTACAGCTAGGTGATCCTCACCCAGACTCTGACTCCGATTCAGATTCTCTCGGCGAGCCTGCACACCCAGGACAGCCATCGACTGCATTCCTTATGGCCTCCGCCCGCAATCAAGACCCGGATGATTCGTTTGGCTCGTCAAATTCAAACCACTCCAGCGACTCGATCGGAGGAGGCTTTGGCGATGAAGGCGGCGCCGTGCATCCATTTGCGCGCGCCGTTGAGGACGACGGTGATGGATTTGACGATAGTTTTGATTCTGTTGATGGAGATGGAGATGGAGATGGCTTGGGGGTGCAGGAGGAGACTGTATTTGGTATTCCCCCTACGCAGCGCAAGTACGGGAGAGGTCCAGGCGAGCTCAGGCTTCTTGGGGAAGATCTTCTGCAAGATACGATTGGTATTGGAAGTCAGCTGGCAAAAGTGGGGAGAGTGGAGGAGAGTCCGACACCATATGGGAGGGCCTAGTTGGCCTTGATTGTGTGTGATAACTACAGCTTGCGTCATACTAGTTTTTGCATTATTTGTGTGCATAACGGTCATGCACGTGTTTTACGCCTTGCATGGACAGCCTTGCGGGTTGGTACCGGTGAGCGCTTTGTTACGTCGTTGACACCAGCTGTTGAAACTAAGACGCTGGGGTGAGGGACCCCTAGCAGTAGAGGCAGGAGGAGGTGTTTGCGGAGGTTTAGGTCACTTAATCAGCATCAGAGAGACATTCGAGACGCCACTGCACTAGTTAGGACATCATCTCAGCAAACGATTCGCTCATTCACATTAGCTAGAGCTACCGCTCCAACGCCCCAAACCCTATATGCCGGTGCCGGTGAGCGCTGTAATCGTTACTAGTTACTTCTTACAGGTATATACTTCTATATATCGAGTCCAATAGACTGAGATTTACTTCTTACAGCTCCCGTTCTCGCTCCCGCTCCCGCTCTGTCATGACTCATAACCTGTGTTTGGATGGAGTACATAGGGAGGCAGGAGCCTGCCGCTACCGGCAGAATACACGCCATCACCAGCTGCTGGGACTAACGAGGACGAGGGGCGCTCATTCTCGAGCAGGGCTGCACTGCATGTCCAAGTCGTTTAGTCACTGAGATAGTTGGCGCTCGCTTTGTCCCTCCTTTGAAACGCTTAGCCCCACCATCGAAAAGGTGTTGGTGAACATTGACGTTTCTTGCAGCTGTCAAACTGTCCGACATGCTGGTTGGTTCTTTCCTTACCTCCACTCGGTTTGACTATCTTATCCATTTCGCAGACGACACGCACACAGAGATCTAAACGGCTTTGCACTACCATGTTGTATTTCTGTACCATCACCCAACTCACAACTTAGGTTCCTAGCTATTTTTCTCAATCGAACAGGTCGTGGATTGAATGGGCCAGCTACTACATCATGTACCTATTACAGTAGAGTACCGAAAAAAAAATTAAGCTAGTGAGATATCAACAAGACGTGAAAATACCTAGAGGCTGAGATTCAGACAGCTAGCGAGAATGAATCAAGGGTAGTTAGCAGCCACTGCAAGCGCATCCTTCGTGCCACTCCCGCACCCCTTCTGCAGATACTCGGAGAATATGTTGCGTCTCCAGCGTGCCTGCCAGCGCTCATGAAGGTCGCGGACTGCAAGAAATCTATTCAGCCCAGCAGCATACTCATCCCAGATTTCCGTAATCCGGGTGACAGGCTGGAAGGTGTAGGAAGGTAATCCTCGGATACCCACTCCCACCTATGCTTCTGCAGCTGCTCGATGCCAAAATGGTCCATCAGTGTGTCACGCTGCTGCTGACGAGCATCAAGGTCTGTAGCACCAGCGCTAGTAGCCACAGAATTTTGCAGGGGACGGAAGGCAGGTATGGCAGGAGGAGTTGGATCAGCCGTGTGCAGCATGGAGAGTGAAGAAAACAGGCCAGTCTGCAGAGCTGCAGATAGACTCGCTGTTGCCGTGGTTGATGATGCGAGGGGGGCAATGGGAGCCGTCAGATTCACGGAGCCTGCCACAGCAGGACTTAGTGCCACTGGGGTTAGAGGCTCAGCAGGTGGAGCACCTTTGGACCATCAGGTTTTTCTCTCCGTGAACAGAAAGATGAAATAACCACGGCGGCGGCAGCGTGAGGGACCGGACTCGTTTGCCATCTCGAGTCGTGAAACCTGCTCACAAAGCAGTGCAAGTTGTTCCGCATGCATGCAGTTGGCTTCGTCCTGTGCGAGGCGTGCGGACATGACAAATCCTACATGCTGTGGGAGGTGCTGCGGTGTAAGTTGCACCTCCTCGTCACCCTTGGCAAGCACAGCTGTTGAGTTTGCTGTAAATTCGTTGAACACCTTGCTTCGAAAGGGTGAAACCCCAAATATCGGGCATGTCGGGTCCTTTACGAACATTCCAGCAGCATCCTGTATGAGGACACGGCGCAACTACACAAGGAGACACAGGAAGCCCTTTAAGGCAATATCCCATCCTGCATGACCAAGTGCTGCCTCCCGCTGAGTATTCTCCAGGTGATACGCATAGTCAACCGTATAGTGCCCTATAGATGGCACTATTGCACTGCATCTAAAAAAGTCAAACTGGTCAAAACTTGTTTTCAACAGAAGGGCCTGTATGCAGCGCCTAAGTACCTCTCCACCAATGAGAGCGCACGCTTGTGGCTGAAGAAAGATTCAAATATGGACAAAGACTAGGCCGTCTCGTTCCCGCAAATTGTATCAAAGTCGACACGTATTATGAACTTCTTCAATTCATCTCACTACTGGGGCGGGAAACTCGATGGTGAAGCAAAGAAGCAGGGTATCAATCGGAAGATGAAACAAAACTGCGAGTCTCGATTTTATGCACTCGTGTTACAAAGCATGAGTGCCCTTGCCCACCGGTAGGCCAACCTTAAACTTCGATGGAGTACAGAAGGAGCATTCGAAGATGGGCAGGATGTAGATCGATCATATTAGGAGGTGGGAAATTAAAAGTTTGCCAAGTCGATGAGGACCCAGAACATAATATATTCGGGGGTCCTAGTTGATGTCATACAATACTCGACCATGTGTTGGCTTCTCAGCGCTCATTTTTGGTGGATGATCAAACTTTGGCGTGAAACGGGGGACCTATCTACTTCGAATCGCGCCCCGACTGGTTCCTCAATGAACTCCCAATATTACTCAGGATAACAGATTCATTTCCGTTCACTATACAACCGTCATCTACCGAGAGCTTTCACGCGCTGGAATTTCCCGCAAAAAGCTGAAGAAGATTGTGAAAGAAAGAAATGAAGCCAAACGGGCAGATTTGCACCAGGAGAATGGCACAATAATGGCCGGCTGCTTGCGAGGACGTCCTCGTTTCTTTGCAGGGCCTGTTTCGCAGCTGGTGATCATTAGTTAAAATGTTCTCCTTTTGGGAATCGTCGCTTATAAGATGATGTGCGCAATACTTCGATCGGGGTTATCGTTTGTTTTCAATTACAAGGGCTTCATCTGAGAGAGGCCTCACTTTACGTTCACAATTTGAAGCTTTCTCTATGATAGGGTTCCTCAACCTTAAGCGAGCGCTCTCATTGGTGGAGAGGACTCCCGGACAAACCTAAGTGCTGCTACGCGCTCGGCTGTGTACAGGCTCCGCTCAATGAGCACTCAATGAGCAGTTTGAACATTTAGATGTTGTTCCGATTCGACCGGATCCGATCCTCGAGGCCTCAAGGCCTCAGATATGGCCTCAAGCCACTGGTGGTTTCCGTCTCTAAGTGTTCGAATTGCTGTGCTTATACATGTGATACGGCAGTGTTATAGGCACACCGAACCGGCCAAGAGTGGGGCTCCAAAGCATGATGCATGATGTCTGGCTAGCCCAATGTTTTGTCACATTAACACGCTGGGGCATATATGAGATCTAGAGAGACCCATGTCTCCAAACATTCTTTACTCTATCGCTCTCACCCGGCTCTATAGTCCACGTACCCGACTCTATACCCACTTTCTACCCTCCCTACCCTCATCTACACCCGTCCTGCTCGACTTTACAACAATGCAGGACTTTTTACCCCTGGCTAACTTTACACCATCAACCCCACCTGAGTCACCTGATATCACCCCCATCCTACCCGATTCTACACCCACCCTGCCTGAATTTCTACATCAGGAAAATATTTTATTACCCAGGTGAGGGACCTCGCATGCATTTGACCTGTTATTCACGTTACATTCTCCCAGATGCTTTCTGCACGACTGTCCGTGTGGCCTTATGAGCCCTCGCGACGCCATTATCATAGATGTGGAGACAAGCACTGCTGTTAAAGCACGCTATTCCGCAGCAGATGCTATAGTCTATCGCTGTGCCTGGAACAACGAACATTCTCAAGCTTGCGGTATATTCATTGGGGGCACTCACAAAAATATTCTGTCCCATCTCCGGCGATGCCATGGCGTCGGGTTCAGTACTAGAGAAGACATCAATTGCTTGTGGGGTTCATGCTTGAGGGCAGAACATTTGAAGATAGGCAGCATTCCGAGGCACGTTGCTACACATCTCGGGATTCGGTCAAAATGTTCAGGATGCGGACGTGTCATGTCACGCGAAGATGCCGTTCAAGACCATATAAAAAAATCTCCTGGCTGTGTTGGAGCCATTGTCGAGATGGTTCCTGGTCCGGAAGCTCGACTGATTGTGTCAGCGCATCGGTAGCTTTATGGAAAGCAGCAACTTAACAACTTTTTTTATCTTGCGTCCTTGTCTGAACTTGAGACTCTCCAGATCTTCATATCATACGCGCTGCTTGATTACAATATAGCTACTTTCTGTTACTTTGTGAGTATCTCGCACGAAACGTCCATTTCTCTGCAAACGAATCAATGCCACATCTCAGACTACCTAATTTATTATGACGCATACTACTCTACTATGATGCACACTTTATGCAGCTCCCCCCCTTTCAAATGCCCAATATCTCTTGTTTTTGTATCTATACTCACTCGAGCCTCGTCATACTTCTTTTCATTGCTGTTCAATCACTTTCGCTGGACGTATTTCGGTCAATATTAAATAACATCTCTGTTGTCGCTACCCATAACAAGGCCTCAATTTTGATGTCGCTGAGTGAGTTTGAGATTGCTAAATATTTTTAATGCGTCGTTCTTCGTATTCCCTTGGGCGGAGGTGCCTTGGACGACTATCCGCCGGAGTCAATTGTACTGTACAAATTGTGGAGCTCCATCTCGCTGCGTTCGTAGGTGATCCCTTTTGGCTCCCATGCTTACAAATCGTGCCTCGTCTTTTCCGGATTGCGATGTCAAACGCGTATCCGAGAAGGCGGTTCATGTCGTATCGATTGTTTAATTTTTGTAACTTGCGTTATAAATGCAGTGGTATACTTGTGTTAGTCGGGGGCGGGGTCTGTTTCGATTTGAATCATTTGCGTAGTTTTGACCCGTACCGGTCCCGAGAGGTAATTTCATCACCGAAGCCTTGAAGGAGTAATGAAAGTCCATGTGAAAATAGCGTGCGCTTAATATCGACTAAAATACAAATCGAACGCAAACCACACCTACTGTTCCTCTTCCTTGTCCTTGATGTCAACCAACTCCTGCCCCTCCTCCACCATCTCCCCCTTCGCACATCCCACCGCACTAACAACACCCGCCACCTCAGCACGCAACACAGTTTCCGTTTTCATACTCTCCAACACCACCACCGGCTGACCCTTCTCAACGCGATCGCCGATGCTAACTTTCACCTCTACCACTAAACTCGGCATCGGGGCACGCAAGGCACCCTTGGATGCGGTAAGAGCATCCTGGCCAAGGGAGAGGAGGTATGCAGGAGGTGGGACAGCTAGCGTGGTCTTATTTCCTGACGCTGAAAACACGTGTAAGCGCTCCATAGAGTTTGTCGCACGTGACGCGGAGAGGGAAACAGGTGGGTGCTGTGACACAATCGTTATTTCTGTTGAAGCTCCGTTGAGCGTCGTACTCAATGTTGTAGGTGAAACCAGGCGTGCTGAGACACCTGTGAACGTCTTTGGTGTGTCAGAGTGAACAGCTATGTCGAAGTGGCCTGGAGAGATGGATTTCAGAGAAACCCGCGTAGGTTCTGCGGTTGCATCATCGAGCTGGATGGAGATGGTGCGTTCATAAATATCCCCGCCAAAGCGTCTTGAAGTCAGCGTTGTCCATGGTGTCGAAAGGCTTGTAGACTGGATCGGATGTTCTCGTAGTGCGACGAACAGCGCTGCTTGTGCCAGCAACTCAGCTGAGGGACTTTCGACAGCTGGGAACAGGTCTTCGTAGTGTTTCTATTCACAGGACAATACATAAACTTGGACAAGACAGCGAGAGAAAAGGCGAACCTTGATGAAACCGGTTTCAACCTCTCCATTAACAAATGCCTCATTTCCAGCGAGCATTCTCAGAAATTCGACGTTGGTCGAGACACCGACTACCTTATACCCTTCAAGTGCACGGCGAAGAGCACGAAGCGCGGAGGGTCTATCCCGCCCATGTACCACCAGCTTGGCAATCATCGGGTCATAGAACACACCAATTTGCGCCCCCTGTGTGAAACCTTGTTCCAAGCGCATTGACGGTGCCACATACGTTGAGGTATCAGGCGAGCGTTTCACCGAGTCCAATTCTGAACACGAATCGGTATTAGGGAGTGATGGGATTGGAGGAGCGAAGACATGGGTTGGCTTCGGGGTATCAAGGTACAAGAGTGGCCCAGAGTCTGGTAGGAAATCGTTTCGCGGGTTCTCGGCATATATCCGCGCCTCAAATGCATGCCCAACGAGAGGAATTTGTGCTTGAGAAAGCGGAAGAGGATTACCAGCTGCGACTTCCAGTTGCCACTCGACAAGGTCAAGGCCAGTGATCATCTCCGTGACGGGGTGCTCAACTTGCAGGCGGGTATTCCTGGAAATTTCGTGAGTGGTGTACCGTATAACTAGAAAGAACATACATTTCCATGAAGAAGAAATTCTCCGTATCGTTGTCGAAGATGAATTCGACAGTGCCAGCACCTACGTAATTCACGGCCTTTGCAGCAGCAACCGCTTTCGAGGATAAGTCTGCGCGAAGCTCAGGGCTCAAGCCAGGTGCTGGAGCCTACCAACGATTGTTGATCATACATTTTCCGTTCAAGTTTCTCGAACCTACCTCCTCGATAATCTTCTGGTTTCTTCTTTGCACAGAACAGTCTCTCTCCCATAGACTCACGGTATTCCCAAGCGTATCTGCAAATACCTGCACTTCGACATGTCTTGGACGCTCGATGTACTTCTCTACGAGAACATCTGCGTCACCGAAGCTTTTCAAGGATTCGCGCTGTGCGCTAGCAAGGGCATCCGTGAACTGCGATGGAGATGAAACGACGCGCATGCCCTTGCCACCGCCACCATGAATGGCTTTAATCAAGACTGGGTAACCTGTGTAACACAATGCGCTCAGCAAGGTGGCTTCGGGGAGGGCCTGAAAGAGGACGCTGCATACCGATCTTCTCAGCTTCTGCAAATAACAAGTCGGCGTCTTGGTTCGCGCCGTGATAACCTGGCACACAAGGAACACCAGCAGCTGCACAAAATTGTTGAGTGTCACGTTTGAGAAGCTCTATGGGCGAGGCATCGTACCAGACATGATGTTCTTAGATTCGCTGGAGGAAGCTTAGCTCTATATTGATATCGATGGTGCTTGAACCGACCTTTTCGAACCCATACTGACAATAGCGCTGGAGGGCGGTCCAATGAAAACAATGCCTTCTTCTGCCAGTCGCTCTGCAAATTTCGCATTCTCGCTCAAGAAACCATAGCTAACAAAAGTATCAGCATGTAGTATACGGATGCCGATATTAATCTACGCACCCCGGATGGACAGCCTGTGATTGGCACAATGCAAGCTCAAAGTCAAGCTCCGTCTCACATGACTGAACCTGAGACTGAACCGACCTGAGCTCCACTTCGATGACAAACTTCAATAATCTTATCCATGCGCAGCTAAGTGATCCGGCATCAACAAAGACTGTTGGATCAACGGAATCATAAACGAACATAGCTCTCAGCTGAAGGCGCAGGGCCGATGCAGTAGGCCTCGTCTGCTTCAAGGACATGCAGCGAGTTTGTATCAACTTCGCTGTATACTGCTACAGTCTTTATGCCGAGCTTCTTTGCAGTGCGAATCACACGGCACGCAATTTCACCCCTGAATTCAGGTCAGGCAAGTTAGACGAGAAGAAACACTGGGACGCCACCGGTTCGCAATCAGTATTTTGTCAAAGTGAGGCTTTCGTTCCGACGACAAGGTGGGAGTATCTGCATGTTCTTGAGCACATTTCACGCTGAGGGAGACTATCTCGTACTCGGAGTGGCGGTTGCAAATCTTCTCCGTACAACAGCAGGTTGTATCAACATCCTAGGTTGGCACCCCATGGATCCGACCACAGATGCCTTCGTTTGCAGTGTCCGTGCATATTTCGTGCTGCTGCTCACATCTGCAGCCAACAAAGTCCGCGGAATGTGATGAACATGGGTAGAAGAGCGGAGGAGAGAGGAGGCTGCTGTTCGATTTGTGGGTATCATTCCGCGCGTCGTCTCCAGCTCTTGAGACTTGAATGTAGATGCGAGAAGGGAAGCGGTTAAGTGAGTACTTAGTACCACCGGACCCGCTGAAGGTCCTTCCGCGAACCGGTCACGTGTGAAATTGTACAAGTGATTCTTAGAATCTTACCATCTCATCATCCCAGCAGATTATACCTTGCCAAGTCACAAAGTTTAAGGGGAAGGCGACTTTGATTTTCATGCTCGCTCGACTCGTTTGTTCATCCAGAGCACAATCAAAACTTCTGCAGCTTATACCGAGCTCTGCGTTTTTGACCATGTCTCGTCGCCCAATCTCAACATCCCCAACCCCTGGGCCTCACGACGACTCAAAACGACCACCGAAACGTCCACGAATAGATCATCTTACACCAGATTCCTTCAGGAATGGCGTGTTTCTCGCACCAATGGTTAGATCTGGTGCTTGTATGTACCAACTCTGTATTTGCAGTGATCCTAGTTTACGCAACGTTTAACAACAGTACCAACGCGATTAATGGCTCTCAAGCATGGCGCGACGCTAGTTTGGGGCCCTGAAATGGTAGACAAAGCCATATTACATGCAGAACGTGAGGTTGACCGTGAGTGTGACCTACCTCTCATTTCCATCGATCGACTGATTTTCTTTAGCTGTTACTGGTGTCATCTCATACAACGGCAAGTCTCGCGCCATGTTCACGACGCATCCTCTTGAGAAGCCCTACCTGGTATACCAAATCGGCTCCGCCGACCTCGAGCTAGCAGTACAGGCCGCCAAAACCGTTATGCAGGATGTTTCAGGCGTCGACCTCAACTGCGGGTGCCCGAAACCCTTCAGCACACACGCTGGCATGGGTGCGGCTCTGTTGACGAATCCGGACCTTCTTTGTGGAATATTGGAGGCTCTAAGGAGGGAGTTGCCGAAGGAAATCAGTGTGTCAGCGAAAATCAGACTGCTTGCAACTCAGGAAGACACGAAGAAGCTGGTAGAAAGGATTGCAAGGACAGGTGTGAATGCGATCACAGTACACTGTCGGACAAGAAACATGAGGCCGAGAGAGCGAGCGCTAGTCGAGAGGCTGAGAGAGATCGTTGAATTTGTGCATGAGCTGGGTCTAGACGTGGCGATAATACAAAATGGAGACTCTACAGGAAGGGAAGATGCAAAGCGCATTAGAGAGCTTACAGGTGCGTTTTATTGTGGAAGTTTTATTACGCATATTCTTATACATCGTTCAGGCGCAGACTCAGTCATGATTGCAACTGCGGCCGAGTCAAATCCATCGTGTTTCTCCGCGACACCCCTTCAAGATGTAGAGTCAACACTTATGCCTTCATATTTGCGCCTCTGCAAATACTTGGATAACCACTGGTCTTCTACAAAATTTTGTGTCACTCAATTCAAGGGTAAACGCTCAGAGCTGTCAAAGACGGATGCACACGAGCTGAAGTCGAGGATAGCGAAAGCCAAGGGATATGAAGACCTCGAGGATATCGTTGGGAGCTGGACGGGCGAGGAAGAATTCAAGGAAATCATGAGGGTTGTGGAGGCACGTCCACTGCGAACATCTGCAGAGGCAGAACAGGGAGAGGCAGCGGAGGAAAATATACCCCCACCGTGCGTAACACCTCCCGAACGCCCCAACCCCGAGCCGCCATCGTCTGGAGCACCGAAAATGGGTCTTAGAATGCCTCTGCCTGCAATCATAACAGGCAGTGACGCAGTCTCACCTACACCCACTCCTGGTGGTATGTGGTAAGGGTTGCTTTCATGTTGTGACATTCAACTATCTGATATTTTATAAGAATATAATTCATTGGCGTTTTGAAGCAGGCATCAGATGTAATGTACTGTAAAATGAGACCCGGTCGATATAATATATATTTTAGGGGTTAAGATATATTTGTTGGGTGCACGCTCCTCCACCCATCCAGAGTTATTCCCGAATCACATTGCATACCCGTCCGATTCCCCGCACTTCTATAAGCATTTCGGCGAGGGTTTTATCATCTGCGGCGAGCAGCTTTTCTGTTGAAAGCCTCTGCAAATCGCGCAGCAAGGTCTTTTACTGACGAGAAATTACAACTTAGACTTGCTCGATAGTTATTTCCAGCGAGATGGACGATGACACTGACCATACTCGGCTTTGCGTGTACTGAGACCAGCAGACTTGAGTGTTACGATATCAACTTGATAAGGGGCAGGGAAAAAAGATGTTGGAGATTTGGATGCACTTCAGAACAAAACCATCAACACCATGCGAGGACTGATGCGAGAAGGCGTAGAATGGCAAAGCATGCCCCTGACATATAATTCTGACTCACGAATAATCCGCTGGCTTTTCAGGTAAGGAGGAATCATACAACCGAACAAACCTATGATTGATTGATCGGGCTGCCCAACCATGAAATTTACTGGCCACTGCAAAATTGATGTTCAGTCTAACGTCCTCACTTGTGCAGGAGATAATTCTCACAGAATCGACTGTACCAGCGCCCTACGAGATACGTCAGCATTCCATTTCACGCAGTCAAAATACTGCGCTCACCGGAATGGATGTACCTGTTCAAGGAACTCAAAAGGCTTACATTTGAGCTTTGCGAATATATCTTCAAAGCGGTGATCGGCGCGAATGAGATGCACTTTAGCCTCCTCAAACAAGAATGTCAACACTGCAGGAACAAGGGTTTCCTCCTCTGGCACATTCTGCAAGGGCGGTGGGGGCAGTGATGTGGTTCGTCACTTGACCTTATTCACAAGCTTCGTGTATTCCGAGCAACACTACGGCACGAGGAATTGCAGAATGCAAAGCAGGCTACATTAGACAGATTCTGGAATTCCAAGTAGTAATACACAATGACCATTGACGATGTACTCGCCGAATACTTTTGCTACATTGACACCCCCAATATTGGTTGATCCCTCCGTGGGAATTATTTGATAATGTATATATCTCATATTGTATAGCGAATAGGCAGCTCCCGTCACTATACAGTACTATGAGATAGTGTACTGTAAGTACTGACTGCCGATCAACTTGCGATCGACGCAATCTTATCTTATCGTTCTTGGTTAGCGAAGTTGTGTTTTCTTGTTGTGAACGGTCGTTTTCGGGAGTATCGTAAACTATCGCGTGGTTCTATCGATTAATGCTGGGTGCGATCCGTCTATCAAGATCTTTCGTTCTCCGTCGAGGCTGCTGTAGGACAAACACTCTTCGTCTCCCCCAATACCCCGCTTTTGCACTCGACGTCAGAACAAAACGAGAAATGTCTACAATCACATCCGTTTCGACGTCGAACGCGCCGTCAGCTATCGGGCCCTATTCCCAAGCCATCAAGGCTGGCGGATTCGTGTTTGTTTCGGGTTGCATCCCCCTCGTACCTTCCACGATGCTCATCGTTGAAGGCGGTATCGAGGAGCAGACCAAGCAGGCCCTCACAAATCTTAAGGCTGTTCTTGAAGCCAGCTCCAGTTCAGTCGGCAAGGTCGTCAAGACTACGGTACGTGGACAGTCACATCTCCGAATCGAACTTATCTGACGCATCCGATGCGTGTATGATGATGCATTACATAGGTATTCCTGAAAAACATGGAGGACTTTGCCACTGTCAACAAGATTTACGAGGAGTTCTTCAGCGGCTCGGAACACAAGCCAGCACGCTCAGCTGTCGAAGTTGCTCGACTTCCCAAGGACGTTTTGTTCGAGATCGAGTGCATAGCAGGTCAGTCTGCGAAATGAGTTGAATGAGAATACGCCATTGAGTCATAGATTTGTAGTATCAGTGGCGTGATTCGCGGCTCGCGGACAACGAGGAGTACATATATCGATGCGTAGAAAGGAAGCTGGGATCATTATCGTCGGACGCACATGCAACAAAACCACTGCCACAATACATAGCTGCTCCGCATCTTTTGTTTTGAAAACCCAACTCATTTATCAAGTGTTCTCTTGGCCGCGCCTTCCGTAGACAGTATTCACAGTATTCTAGCTATAAATTGCTCGGTATCCTATGAACGTCTTCAAGTCCGCTATTTCAGATGAAACTGTAAGAGTTCGTTCTCCCCTGGGGTATACTCCTGGGGCAGCGGAGTTTTAGAAGCAAGCATCATGAGGTGGATGATATTGGTGGGGTCAAAGTTCTCCGAGTCTGCAAAGCACGTTGCAGGGTCGGTCCATCGCCTTATCTATGCTCTCGCTAAAGTCGAGAGACACATCTCCAGGCTTTTTCGGCTCTGCCGCAGGTTTGTAGACCGCAGCAGCGCAGGTGAGAATCACCACGACCGCCAGAGGCACAAGGAGGAAAAGGTACGTCGTCCGTTTGTATTCGTATCCCATTGACTGTACGTGAACTATTCCAGTGTACTGCATCATGGTGGTGTTGCTCATCTGCTGGAGATTAAGTTGCCAGGACTGATAATCAAACATGTAGTCGACTGTTGAACGACAAAAGTGGAAACTTGCCGTTCCAAGTAATTCGATGGCCCCTCTCAGGTAGTTTTCCTACTTCGTGTCAGCGATGACAGTTCCTACACCGATGTATGCCAAAACACTTACCAACGTGAAGTTCAATAAAGCACTGTCCGGTATAGGAAAACCGTCATAAGCATAAGTGGCCATTTGAATACCAGCTGCCATGGAATTTCCAGAAATACTCTGCGTATCAAACGTCATCAACCAGATGAGGTCTGAAATTTGGTCTATAAAGACGGCTTGTTGGCCTTCTGGGTCCAACGGCTCATAATTCGTGGTTTCGTTGATGTTCACGGTAGTCCCATCAAAGTCGATCTTAACGGATGTAATACGAGGAGAAACTTCACAAATCGTGGGTGTGATGAAGGAGTACGAAGGGTCAAAGCCTTGCATAAGAACAACTACTCAAATTCCATGATCAGATTTTCGATCACATGTTTCAAATGAAATGACGATTACTCACGGAAAGACTGGTTTGTCGCCTTCTCGAAGTCCTGGTATTTGCAGATTGAGCCAATTAAGACACCGTCGCCCAGAGCCGAATCATTCAGATCAACCATTGCCAGGATATCGATGGTGTCTGCTGGAGAATTGACAACAAATTCCACTCGTGGTGAGTCCACTCACAAGCAACTGAATCGCTTGAACAATTTGTGATCGTCAACCATCTCTGTATAGCATAGTCCACTGTGACGACCCCATTGGGCCCAGCGATCGACGTTCCCAATGATGCACTGCCATATAAACCCACAGATGGATACACATCGGTTGCATTGATGAATGACTGCTGTCGACAATGGACTTCCGCACTAAGGCCTTGTTGGAACGTTGTATAGCTTTGAGTCCATTCTGCATATTCGGATGGGATGCTTAAACCGGCATATTTGCGTTATTGACGAGTAATTCATGAACACACCCCCTAAGCCTCGTGTCACACAGTGGCCATACGCATACAAGATGATCACCTACCTGTTGAACCATTATACAATGCATCCGGCAAGGGGATGTAGTACGGTGAGCCAAACTTAGTCACGACTGCCGCAGTTCCGGCTTGAGTATACTGAGACACCTTCTGAAGACCGTAACCCTGCAGGCCTGCCAGTACAAATGTTGTTTAATTTTATTGTGATTGCTGAGTGGAGAGAGATATCACCTCTTGTTGCGTTCATGTAGGTAACAAGTGGTGAACTCTCGCTAGGATATGGAGCAACATACCCATTCCAACTAGCTTGAAGTTGTGCGGCAGCAGCGGAGTAGTCCATTTGTGTACCCGTGAAATCAAACTGGAGATCCACAGGCGTCGGGGTCAAAAAACTAACCCAACTACCAGGATTGCAGATTAGTAATGAGAAGTATACGAAAAACTATCATGAATTACCTTGGCGTGAGCGGTCCGCATAATATGGCGTACATCAATGTATATTTCAGCCACCTCCAGTACAGCCTGTCGCTGGGTCCGATATTCTCCCCATTGCTCATGCATGCTAGGGATTTTATTAGGGCCCAGAAGATCTTGAGCCCACGTACACCGAGGAGTGTTTGTCTTGTCATTAAGGAAAGACTTCCTCGCAAAGTTTGCAATGACAGGGGTCGAGACATTCGTGCTATCAGTGCTTTTTGAAGTACACGACTGAGAAGACTGAAACAATGTATGAATATTTCTGAAACTTGGATTATGATGAAAGGAAAACGTACGCTGTGTTCAGGAAAGACATAACTGTCGCAACAAGTGTTACCACGTAGTACGCTATGCGTGGGTTATTTATTGCAGCTTCTGCAACACCACTGGGCAGGCTGATGGGGCCCCTGGTGCGAACATAGATCGCAAACCACAAAGCAATGATGAAGATAGCAACTTGAATGAAGACATGACATGCCAGCAGGCCGTCGCAAAGATTGCGAATTGCGCAGTAACGTCCCTTGGAGTCGGGGCATTTCTCGGAGTCAAAATGTTTCTCGGAGTCGAGGCGCCTCCATGCGCCTCTGCGTGTACGAGAGAAAGAGAAGGGATTCTGCCATGCAGCCATTGGTGATGACTCGTCGTAGTGGAATGAGCCAAGTTGAATGCGATTGTGGCAGCAGGCTCAGAACAAAGTTTAAATATGTATAGTGTGCCATGGCGTCCTATCCTGTCCACCATCTGTATCCGATTTAAATAGATTCGGAAAGATCCAGCTGAAATGCATCTGTAATACACAGGGCATCTAGCGTGAAGCTGAAATTGCGTGCTTAATGGCGTTGTGTACCAATGGGCATCTGATGTGCGCTGCCTCAGTGGAAAACAGAGAATCAAGACATTCACTGTCTTCCTGTGGAACTGTGAGCTGTCTGTGGCGGCTGCTGTATCACTCACGTAACCCTGGTTTGCAGACGCCCTCAGGGGTTGCTCCAAACTCAAATTGTTTGTAGTTATGTTCGGATGTGTGAAACGGGGTGGGGTGGATATAAGCCAGAAACGTGAGGGGATTATCGGAGAGAAGTAAAGCCTGCAACATTCCGCTTTGATGTCTACATTTGGAGACATGTTGCAACTTGTGGCGTCACTAGTTGAGAAACCACCAGACTTTCGGAATGATGGATGAGTGGCTCCATGATGGGCGCTGTGTACGAGGCTCGATGGAAGGCAATCGGGATCAATCGCCAAGTCTTATACTCCCTTGCCGGTGTCCATGCTGAAGCCCGCTGGGGTAAGGCGTAGGCGATCACTATATTGGATGACTTTCCGTATAGTAGGCTCTGATTAGAATATCATATCATAAATTTGACCGTATTAGGCAGGTGTGCCGCGATGCCGCTGTTCATTAATCATTTCCAGTCAATTTGCAAACATTGTGTAGGTGGCCTTTCTGCATGTACAGTGCACGTGAACCCGGCTCAAGCGCTCCGGAGAAGGATTGTGTGAGAAGGATGCTGAAGCTGTCTGAATTGTACAACGTGTGCAGGTGCTAATAGTAAGTATGTGTCCATGTGTGCTAAGACCCTGAAACCCCTGATGGCACACTAGCTGTGCCCCCTCCCGGCGCAACAGCATCTAGCTACAATGTTATAAATTACTCGGTATCTATAACTCGACTAATCCAATGCAAATTGAAAGAGTTCATTCTGCCCTGCTTCATTTTCCAGACGAGCCCTCGAAGCAAGCATCATGAGGTGGATGATATTGATGGGGTCAAAGTCCTCTGAGTCTGCGAAGCTACTGCGCGGTGCATGGTTGAGCGGGCCGTACATGTTGTCCTGTATGCTCCCGACTTCGACGAGAGACACATATCCAGGCTTTTTCGGTTTTGCTGCGGGCGTGTAGACCGCAGCAGCGCAGGTGAGAAATACCACCATAGCCAGAGGCACAAGGAGCAAAAGAAATGTTAACCGTTGGTATTCATATCCCAATGACTTCACATGCACTATTCCGGTGTACTGCGTCATAGAGGTGTTGTTCATGTGCTGGAGATCCATTCGCCAGAACTGGATAATCAAGAGCGTATAGTCAACTATTAAATGAAAACGGTGGTAACTTACCGTGCCTAGGAATTCGATAGCCCCTCTCAGGTAGTTTTCCTACTTCGTGTTAGCGATGACAGTTCTTACTCCGGTGTATACCTGAACACTCACCAACACGAAGTTCAACAAAACACTGTCCAACGTGAGAGAACCGTCATGGGCATAACCGACCATTTGAATACCAGCTGCCATGGAATTTCCAGCAAGACTTTGCGTAACAAACATCATCTCCCAGATGAGGTCTGAGATCTGGTCTATATAGGCGGCTTGTTGACCTTCTGGGTCCAACGACTCAGAATTCGTGGTATTGTGGATGTTCACGGTAGTCCCGTCAAAGTCGACCTCAACGGATGTAATACGAGGAGAAACTTCACAAATCGTGGGTGTGATGAAGGAGTACGAAGGGTCAAAGCCTTGCATAAGAACAACTGCTCAATTTCATGATCAAAACTTTTTATCACCTGGTTCATAATAACGATTAACTTACGGAAAGATTGGTTGGTCGCCTTTTCGAAGTCCTGGTATTTGCAGACCGAGCCTATTAAAACACCGTCGCCCAGAGACGAACCATTTGGATCAACCATTTCCAGGATATCGCTAGTGTCTGCTGGAGAGTTGGAATGAATTACCCTCGCAGTAAGTCCACTCACAAGCTACCGAATCACTTGAACAATTCGTAATCATTAACCATCTCTTTATACTATAGTCCGCTGGGACGACCCCATTGGGCCCAGCAATTGATGTTCCCGATGATGCACTGTCATATAAACTCACAGATGGATACACACCAACCGCATTGATGAATGACTGCTGTCGACATCGGACTTCCGCACTAAAGCCCTGCTGGACCGTCGTATAGCGTGGAGTCCATCCTGTATATTCGGACGGGATGCTTGGACGGGCATCTTGCCCCGTCATTAAGGCATTTGTGAATATACCCCCTAAAACTCTTGTCACATAGTGGCCTTAGGCATACATGATGATGACCATACCTGTTGAACCATTATACAATGCACCGTAAAAGGGGATGTAGTACGGTGAACCCAGTTCATTCGCGGCTGCCGCATTTCCGGCTTGGGTAAACAGGGTCGCATCCCTAAGACCGTAACCTTGCATGCCTACCGGTGTAAATGCCATTAAGATTTTGTGACTGTTGAGTGAAGAGATATATCACCTCTCGTTGCGTTCATGTAAGTAACAAGGGGGGAAGTATCACTAGGATACGGAGCAACGTATCCGTTCCACCTAGCTTGGAGTTGTGCGGGGGCGGCGACGTAATCGACCTCTGGACCCCCAAATTTAAACTGGAGTTCCACAGGTGTTGGGGTCAAAAAACTAGTCCAACTACCAAGATTGCGCATTAGTAATGAAAAGGATACGAAGACCCATTATAAATTACCTCGACGTGAGCGGTCCGCATAACATGGCGTACATCAATGTATATTTCAGCCATCTCCAGTACAGCCTGTCGCTGGGTCCGATATTCTCCCCATGGCTCATGCATGCCAGCGATTTTATCCAGGCCCAGGCGATCTTGAGCCCTCGTACACCGAGGAGTGTTTGTCCTGTTACTAATGAAAAACCTCCTCGCAAAGCTTGCAATGACAGGGGCTGGGTCATTCGTGCTGTTAGTGCTATTTGAAGTACACTACTGAGAAGGCTGCGGCAATGCATGAATTCTTGTGAAATTTAAATCATGACGAAAGGAAACGCACACCATGTTCAGGAAAGAAATAACTGTCGCAATAAGTGTTACCCCATAACTCGTGATGCGTGGGTATTTCATTGCCACGTCTGCAACACCACTGGGCAGGGTAATAGGGCCTCTGGTACGAACAAGTATCGCAAACCACGAAGCAGCGGCGAAGATAGCAAGTTGAAGGAAGACATAAAATGCCAGAGTGCCATTACGGAAAAGATTCAGAATTGCAAAGTGGTGATTCCCGAAGTCTAGGGGCTTCTCGCGCCTCCATTCGCCTCTGTGCATATGAGGATTCTGCCATGCAGACATTGGAGATGAGTCGTCGTAGTGGAAAGAGCGCAAGTTGAATGGGATCCCAGGCAGGTCAGGTGGCAGCAGGTTCAAAACAAAGCTTAAATCTGCATAGTGTGCCAAGTTGCTCAGCCGCATTCTGTCCTGTCACATGCATCTATGCATGAACGGAAAGATCCAGCTGAACAGCGTGCCGCATTTGTAAGTGATACACAAGAGATATGACGTGAAACCTCGCCTGAAATCGCGTGCTTAGTGCGGGAGCCCAGGGGAGCCCAGCAAGGGCATGTTCTTGGCGTGTGCGGCGATGGACATTTGATGTGCGCTACCTCAGCGGAATGTATTTCAAGTTTATACACGTATAAATCAAGGCACTCACTATCTTCCAGTGGAATTGTGAACTGCCTGTCGCCGCGGCTGTATCACTAACGTAACCTTCACCGGTTTGCAGATGCCCTTGGGGGTTGCTCCAAATACAAATTGTTAGTAGTAGTGTTCGAATGTGTGTTCTTCGAGCATTTATTGCAGCACAGCAAGAGACAGGATGGGGTAGACGCGAGCCAGTAAAGAAAGAAAAAGTGGAGAAAAGTAAATCTCCAAAATTCCGCTATCATGCTGTACGATTAGCTTGCAGGTGAGGAACGTGTCGTAACCTAATGTCCCCGGTCCAGAAGCCACCAAACTCTTCGAATGATGGATGAGCGGCTACATGATAGGTGCTGTGTATAAGGGTCCTCGGACCCTGAGGGAAGGTAATCAGGGTCAATTGCCAAGTCTCTCTTGGAGCTGCATCACGTAAATCCTCCCTTGTCGGGGTCCATATTGAAGCCCACTGAGACATCTGAAGGGGTAAGGGGTAGGCGATCACTATATTGCCACTCGACTTGGGTCGTGCGCTTTGATTTAGCCCCAGTGCTAACCAGAGTCAGAGCGCTGGAGGGTGCAATCACATACCTCGGTACTTGTCATTGTCAGGCGGTGGAATGTATACCACAAGTCCTTGGTGAGTTCGGCCAATATAATTGAACCTCGAAGAAGAGAGACAAAACCAACAATGTAAAATATCCGGTCAAAACATCCCCTCCCTTTGCGGAATAGCAACTGGAGGTCTATTAGTGCTCCCAGGTCGATTTGACGAGCGTGGCGGAGGGGCTGGACTATCCCGCGAAGATCTTGGCGGACGATCGGAGTCATGTAATTGTATGACTGGACGCACAGGCATCGGAGAGCGTGTGGTAGAGCGGGCGGGCGAGATAGGCACCGAGGGAATCGAAAGCATGGGAGCTGAGGAAGACACAAAGGATGATGTAGATTGGGGTGTCTGCGAGCGTGAGAAGGAGGGCGCATGGAAGGTAGCAGAAACAACGCAGGTATCACTGGTCTGGGGATTTTGAACAAGGAGCTCGTCGAGGAGAAAGCGGAAGTCGAGTCCGAATTCTTGTAGGAGCTAACAGGAGTGAGAAGCCGAGACAAGGAAACTAGTGAGAATAAATGATTGGCGAAGAGAGATCGTGGACGAACCTTGCGACTCTGACTGTGCGAGATTTTGAGTGCTTCTTTGACAGTCTGCGGTTCAGCATCGGAACTATAGACTTGCTTCCTGAACCTTTCGGCATACAATTCGATCTGTTTTTTGGCCCAGTCGATGAAGGCTTGACACCTATAAGTCAATAGGATCTCATGCAGAAGGCAAGACGGCACTAACTGCTGGTCATCTCGTGCTCTACAAAACCCGCGAGGAACCAATCCGCTGTATGCTTGATCCCTGTAAACATTACCACCGCTAAATCGTGCACATACATCCCGACATGACCTTCAAATTTGATGGCCCTGACATATCGGTTCATTGCTTCCGCTCGTGCATATAAAAACGTCGACCTCGCTGCTGGACCTTGTCCAAGCTTCAACAAGTACCCGATGAGGCTTACTGCAGTATTCTTGCGGTTCCCAGGTGCACTGAGTGCATCGAGTAATGCTGAGATGAGACCCGCCGTGAGAGGAGTAAGCTTGGCGCTCAATAACGGCATGGAAGATACTTTAACTCGACCTTCCTCCACTAGCTCAACGGCCCGTTCCCAGGATCGCAGAGCAATGGCGACTGTGAGATCGTCAGAAAAATCACTGATAAAACGTGCATCGCGCTCGGTCTTGTCCCGTGCGCTAGTGTCCCCTTCAACGCCTGCCTTACGAGCAAGCTCAGCCATCCAGTCAGGAAGGGACGGCATCGCATCAGGATGCAATGTCATGGAGGAACGCTAGATAAGAATAACATGTGAGATGAACGAAATATGAAGCGATTAAGGTATAAAGGCTGACATCTGCACCAGTCCACATGCTCTTGCGTCGCTCATGCTCGCCTTCACGCTCCCTGCGTTTGCGGATTGCGAGTTCTTCGGCGACTTGGCGGAATTGTCCCAGAAGATTCTTCTTATCAGAAGCTGCCTCCGTTCTGTAAACGTATGTCTCCTTTTGATAACGAATTTTAAAGACATTCGTCATAGCTGCCAGGTTGATCAGACAATCGTACGCATTCAACAATACGATCCACTTACTTGCTGTATCCTTCGTATCTAACACCAGCATCTCATTCAAAGGCCAACATCTCTCTGCCACCAGCCGTCCCCCTTCTCCATTGTTCCTCCTTCTCCTCTTCGCAACGAGCACAGAATCATCTAGCACAACGAACTTGACAGTGTTATTAACCTTGTAGGTTGCCGCATTGAGAGCAAATATCCCGTCCATGTCGTAAACCACATGTCTACCTGGGGTTGTTGGAGCAAATTTGGTGGAGCCCTCGATTTGCGTGTGTAGTGTCTGCATCTGATTTGCGTAGAGCACGCGAAGGTCCGCAATCGACGAACGGACGTTGCGCCGCCGCTCTGCAGCAGAGGCAGATTCGTCGATGTGTAAAAGGCTCGGCATCGACTTCCATTCAGAAAGACTTTCCTTGAGTTCGAGAACTTCGTTCTCAAGGACAGAAATTTCTTTAGAGATCAGGACGAATTCAGCATAACTGTATTGAGGTTAGCAGGGTCAACGGGGTAGAATATTAAGAGATACTTTTTAAACACATTCCGCTGTAGTTCAACAGCGGTATCATCCTTAGACGATCTGAGTGAGGACTGGAGAGACCTGAGCTCCGCTTCGGTTGAGTTAGCCAATTTGGCCTTCAAGTCTGTATGACGTGTCGAACGCGTCAGAACACCCAGACTGCACATGCACGGTACCCACAAGAGTCGGGATCGAAATCTTCCTTGTCCAGTAACCTCTGATCGATAGCCTTCTGGTCTTCTCTGATACTGGCACTTTCCAAGACAATCTCATCTGGGTCTCTCGCAGTGCCTGGTCGCAGCCCGATGGGAACGCTTGGCACGTCCGGAACAGAAGCTTCAGTGGGGGCAGATATCTCTGCATAGCGCAGGGACATGCGCTTCTTTATCTTGTCATCGACGGTAGACTTGCGGACATTCTTATTGATGGGTTTCTTCTCGAGTTTAGAGGCTTGGCGTTTGACGACGGCGCGCGTGTCAGAGGGCCTTCGTGTGCGCAAAGACTGCATGATGAATAAAAACCCTCAATAAAAGTCGTATACTGTTTGAGCTGGTCGCCGAGAACGACCGCAGCTGTCGAAGAGCAGAGCTGACACCGCATTGGACATCATGTGAGCCGGCACAGTAGCACCGCCGGTAATAGTTCATTTCCTCAACCTCTTTATCCACCGCAAAGCCTTGCAGCTGCCTTGAGGCCACTCCTTACTGGCGATCGACTTCGTCGACGTCAGCGACTACATTGACGACGATCTAGTTAATAATTAGCTCGACACCGACTTCAACGACGACCGTGTGCAGTGTTATTGGCCACTGTCAGCCACACTGTACGTCAATCCGTGTCTTCACCTTGTACCATAATTAACTAGTGTGTTACTAGTACAACGAAATAACTTCTTTTCACCCAGTGATAGTGGGTCCTAAAAGCTTCACAGGACAGCCCAAACATCATTCCTGCCAATTAAACAGTTCGATCTATCAGCTCATCTCTTGGCATCCTGCTAAGTGATGTACGCCCACGCCCAGTCGCGACCCAACTCGTTCTATGCTGTGGATGATGGCGCAGTCCAACCAGATTATCCCCCAGAGCCAACCCGCCGTCCTCGCCAGTCCCGTTCACAAGGCCCCCAAAATCAATACCAGTCCCCACAACAGCCCATAGATCCAGATTATGACCCCGACGATGACCAACCCTTGGGACTCGCCGGTCAACCATTAGATGCTGCGGATGAGTTTTATGGAGCCCATCAGAATGGCAGCACCCCCTTTCCACCCCAACAGTCTCATTCTCAATCACCATTGTCCCAGGGTCCCCTTCTAGATCACTCTCACCTCCGCCCGGGAAACCAAGCCTCCCTCCTTTCTTATGAGCGTACCCTCGAGTTATATCGCGCAAATGCAAAGAAAACACAGGATCCAGACATCCAGTTCGAGTTTGCAGTATTCATGATCGACGCCTCTAAATCTTTTCCCATCCCCTCCCCCACCCCCGGCAATGTCATGGAGATCGAAAAGGCAATTGAGAAGCGTGACAATCTCGTGCATGAAGCCACTGGTCTACTCAAACGTCTTGCCGACCGGGGACACCCAGCATCGCAATACTTCCTTGCAGACTGCTACGCCAATGGTCTAGGCACTTACAAGAGCAGGCAAGACTTCGACCGGGCGTACCCACTATTTGTGCTCGCAGCAAAGCACGGGCATCCAGATGCTGCATACCGTGCAGGAACTTGCTGCGAGAATGGATGGGGCTGCAGGCGCGAATCTGCCAAAGCTCTCCAATTCTTCCGTAAAGCTGGCGCAGCGCTCCACCCCGGTGCCATGTACCGGCTCGGTATAGCTGAACTTAATGGCGAGCTCGGACTCTCAAAACGGCCGCGCGAGGGCGTCAAATGGCTGAAACGCTCCGCGGAGCACGCCACGGCTGAGTTCCCGCATGCCCTTCATGAACTTGCCCTACTGCACGAACGGGGTATAGACAACGTCGTATTTGTTGACGTGGAGTATACCGTGGAACTACTCGCCCAGGCGGCCGAGCTTGGGTATGCACCCAGTGCTTACCGGTTGGGGGAATGCTATGAGTATGGGAAATTGGGTTGTCCCCAGGATCCCGCCTTGTCAATTCATTATTATGTGAGTCCACCTACCGAATTGCGGGCCGAAGCTAATCATATCTGTGCAGAACATTGCAGCGCAGCAGAGTCATCGTGACGCATGCTTCGCGCTCACGGCCTGGTACCTAGTCGGCTCACCCGGTGTACTGCCTCAGTCTGATACTGAAGCATATCTCTGGGCACGCAAAGCAGCTGATGCTGGGCTTGCAAAGGCGATGTACGCTGTCGGGTACTTCCTGGAGGTAGGAATTGGTACGGCACCAGACGCGCAAGAGTGAGTAGTTTTGTCTCGGTCCCAAAGTTGATTGCTGATGTACATGCGCAGTGCGATGACGTATTTCAAGAAAGCGGCAGAACTGGGTGATAAACGCGCGCAACAACGGCTCAAGGGCCCACCCATCGGACAACAAGGCGGGGCCATGCGAGACGTATCTGATGCCAAGAACGCAGCCGCCAACAAGGACTGCATAATCATGTAGACTCGCCTTATCCACTTACAGCCTGTTTATGTCGCGGGGAATCTGCTTAATTGTCGATGTGTACACAGACGATGGACTCGGATTATACTGGACTGTTCGTTACATTTCATATTGCCCCATTTTCTACGTTCATCTCATCTACTACGCCATTTACCCTACTTTCATTAACCATGGCACATCCCTGCGTTCATTTCGTCTGTGGGATCTCCCATTTTCCTGACTTGCATACATAGATACCCGTATGGTAGCGAATGAAATCTGAAAGGTGGTAATACTTACTACCTTGGATAGACCCCTTGGACCGAGTCACCCCAAAGTATTGTCACAAACCACCACCTTCAAACAAGCTGGATCCCAACGTAGATTTCTACCACCTCCTTGGCATAACATACGATGCCCCGCTCAGCACAATAAAAGCAGCGTACCACAAAGCTCTTCTTGCCTCGCATCCAGACAAACGATCATCTTCGTCCGCTGCACCACGCGTAGATGTCGACATCGCACTCCTCAAAGAAGCGTATACAACCTTGTCAAACGTATCGTCCCGTATAGCCTATGATAGTATCCTTCGAAACGCTCGAGTAAAGATATCCACTGGACCGCGTCCTGCGCAGGTCATCTCGCTAGAAGATTTTGAGGAGGCAGAGGAGGGTGTTTGGACACATGCTTGTAGATGTGGTGGGGCATATAAGATCGCTGAGGAAGACATGGATGCAGGAAGACATCTGGTCGGTTGTGAGAGTTGTTCTGAGGTTGTATGGATAGGATATGAGCTCATTGACGACGAGCATCACGATGCGGGTGGTAATTGATCATGAAGAAGAGTCATTGCCTTGACATGAATATTATACAGGTTGAGTTTGTGCTGGTATGGACATCTTACAATGATACTCGCTAATACTTAAGTTGTTTTTCCAATAGTTCGCCAATATCGTTACACGAGTTCAGTCAGCCTCTATCATGATGGCATCCTCATGCTCTTTCAACCACTTCTTCATCAACACTTTCCTTAACTCGCGACCGATCGCCATTGAGACTGGCCATGGCACGGCATTCCCAATCTGCCTATGCATCTATGTCCTTCGATCAGTGTGCAGTGGGGAGGTTGGCATTTTAGTACACACCGTCATGACACGATCATTCTCCGCATAGAACACAAACTTGTCGGGAAAGCCTTGCGAGCGAGCAAGTTCGCGCACCGTAAAAGTGCGTCTGCACTGCACGATTTGTAGTCGTTGGTTAGCTGCGCTTTAGTGGAATCAATGACGCACATAAGGATTAAGCACACGCGATTGCTTTGCGCTTGGGTCGACGTTGGTAACGGTAGCTTGAAAGTAACTGTCCTTATCAACTCGTCCGTAAAGACCTATCATACACCATAAGATATGCATACCCCTTTTTCACGAATAGCGTACCTGCTCTGAAACCTGCGCGTGCAACGGCCGAGGCTGGGTTTGCGAAGTACCACTCCCAGAGGTCAGGTCGAAGGTCTGATATTCTCGTCAACGTTGTGAAATCCTACAAAGACGACACATACTCCTGTAGTCTGCACCCGCCTTCAGCGGTATATTTACAACTCTGCGCAGGTTTAAAAAAAATCTCCTCAATGAAGATGTCACCGACCTTTCGACCTTAATGTCCTCGTAGGTTCGCGTATAGTGTTGCAGATCTTTCGAAGGTTCTTCACGACACCACGTTTGGAACGCCGTCGTTGGGTCATGCTCATACTGTACACCCTCTCCGGAGTATCCGCACCAGGGGCGATCTTTCTTGCATGCCTCAAGGGGGATCGTCCGAGCGCGCTCCCGTTCCTCTCGGCGTATTTTTGGATCCGTGGATGGCCTTGGGTTTACCCTGTAACCAATAAAGAGTGAGCGTAGCACGGTATGGGTAATGAGACTGTACCAGTCGAATCGAGGAAGGTCGCTGATGGCTTCATCAATAGAGACGAATTTGTGCGGTGCGTAACCCTCCTGTGTCCAGATTGGTGTGATATGGTGTCCTACTGGCAATTTGATTTCTAGAGCGTCCACCACAGGGAAGGCGTGCGTAGGTTGCGGGAGTTGAGGAAGCGGATAACCGTACTTTGCCGCGACCATGAAAAACCGCACACGGATTTGAGGTGTGCCATAGTGCCCAGCTTGTAGGATTGCGAAGCGTAGTTGGTACCTGATTAGTATGATACTCAGACAGTATTTTCTAATTAGGTATGCGAAACGACGCTCACTTCATGTCAGTCATTGCCCGGATCAAGAATTTCAAACCGCCCATGAAAATACCTTCTCGCACTCTATGCTTCCCGGCTTGTCGTGCCTTCAGACTGAACGACAAGAACCCACGCACGTTCTCAAAGAAGCAGTATTTCGGCTGCATGAAGTCAACCCACGACAAGACGGTAAGGATAAGGTTGCTCTTGCGGTCGTTTGCTTTGACAAACATATTCAGACGCGAATGGGGCTGGCTAAGATACATTGTCAGTTTGATCAGCAAGAGTGTAAAAACACGCTATGACCAACCAAGGAAACCCGGCAATGATACAATCGATCTCCTCTGGTTTTGGAGGGGCGGGGATGTATGGATCCTCTCCGATATCAGGTTCTATTTTCTTCAATCGTGTAATTTCGAGATTGGCACGTGCTTTAATCGCTTCTTGGAGAACTAGGTTGCTGCATTGATTATACACCACCGTATGAGGAGAGTTGGCTCTGTTGATCCCTTGTTAGTATCGCTAAAAAGAAGGAGAAAAATGTGCACTTCAAAGTCTTTGCGGCGCTCGGGGAAATTTCGACTGCATGGGTGACTTCGATGCAACCGGATTCTTCCAGCCCCAATCCGAACGCTCCGGCTCCGGCGAACGGGTCAAATGCACGAAGAGGTTTTTGCTTCTTCAAAAATTCCCGGCTCTGATTCCATTCAGCCAAGTTCTCCGCAGTGCAGTGTTTGCACACTAGGAGATCTTGAGGTGCAAGTGTGTGTTTGTGATCCCAGGAGGTCACATTGAGGCTCGGGAAGGAGTAGCAAGCATAAAAGTGATAGGGCGACATTTCGAGCCATTCTTTGAGCTCTGGCACAGCCGCTCGCACGTAGACATGACACAGTCCAATAAGCCTCGAAATGGGGTAGGTCTTCTCATCTTGCGTGACAAAGAGATGACGCTAAGGAAGCTGGGTCAAATTGAGGTTCGCGCATGAGTTCTTTATCCTCACCTCATCTATAGGCTCTTCCGCGGGTCGGAGGAGGCCCAACCTGTCAATCCTTGCAAAGAGTTTTACTCGAACCGACACAGAGTCCTTATCGCCTGACTGCAGAAAGTGGATACGGGTAATTTGACCAATGTGACATGGTCCCTCCTCAGCCCTGATCATAACAGAATCATGAACATGATATTTGACGCCCTTCCATGCAACGCCACGGTGGATCTTCTGAGGGACGAGTTCTTCCTCTTTCTCCTCGACCATCAAGCACACAGGGCAGCGGTCGTGTGGGTGCTCGCCCTGGCGGCGCTGCAGTCGTTCTTGCGGTATTTCAGTGAATGAAGCATCAAGACTGTTATATATGAACCTGCAGGCGGAAATATCAGCGGGGTTCTCAGAGGTCGCAGGAATGCAGGACTTGTAAAAAAAGTCGTGAGGCTTAACGACAGGCATTTCTTTTGAGGGATCAACGAACTGAACTGAAACTTTCCCGACAATCAGGTTGAATTCGACAGTGCTGCATATGTTGGTCAGAAATAATTCTTGAGGGTGTCCAAGCTGCTCCATGGCTGTCTTCGTGCTGTGCTCAAACCATTCGACATGAACATTTTCATACTCCTCATTGATGTATACAATCTTCCCAAACCTGAAGAAGGGAAGTTGGTGAGTGAAACATATGAGCGCGAAGAGAATTACCAAAAGTAGTCTGCCAGGGTTGCAGTGTCAGGTATGTCTGCTGGATCCGGCAACTCGGGAGGCGGCATCCATTCATTGCCATGTCCGATGACAACAACAATGGTATCTCCAATCTGCGAAGAACATGCAGCTAGACACGAGAAGAATGAATGATACATACTGCATAATCGTTGCCGTCTATCGTGATGTATTTGAGCCAACGTGAACGTGGTCGAAGGCGTTGTTCCGGACGGAATCGAATTTCCCTCCGTGTAGATACTCGCTGCACAAATGTTTTTACCCTCAACAAAAGGTCATCATACGGAATCCTGGGATCACGAGGAGGGGTTGCACCGACAACCACTAGCCGTTCTTTGAACCACCCTGGTCGCTAACTTAGCAATTCGCGGCGTTACATGTGTTGCATTCTGGTTTTCTGGAAGAAGAACAGCCAGATCCTTGCTTCCCCTACTGTGGATCACTGTTACTGGAGGAACACGTGGCCGAGCACGTGGAGCAATGAACTTCGGTATCGAGGGCGCATGCTCTGTCAAAAGGCGTCGGATAATTTTCGTCGCGGACATCTGTTGAGCATTTTCTAGACCTTCGAGCGCATATCTCAGGGCAGTCACGGTAGTCTAAGATTTGTTGCAGTGAAGTTCGGCAGCAATCAAAAGAATCTCACTCTATCCCAAAGATCTCCCTCGTCGGGTGCAGCACCGACAATGAGGGTGTTTGAAAGTTTTTTCACAAAGTCGTGGTATTCGCATTCCGGTTCCCGTATGGCTGACGACACAATCATTTGAATAATGCGGTGTGGTAGGACGAATGCTCTGAACTCGCGTTCGTATCTCTTAGATGGAGCCCCCAAAAGATACCGAGCGTGATCAGTTTCGATGTACATTGGACTGCGCTCGGAAGCCAGTAGAACGTTGAGTGCCATTGGAAAAAAAAAATTGTCACCTACTCTTTATCGTTAGTGTAGTCGATAGAATAGCCAAGGACATTTGTGATGCGGATGTACTGAGGCTCGTCAGTCTTCAAGATCGTCTTCCTGGCCCTCATCTTCGTCGTTCTCTAGCATTGAAGCAACGATACCTGCACCTTCAAGTATATAATCATCGTTATCGTGCCGTTCATCGAGGTAGTCAGCAAGGGAGATCATGACTAGGTCACGAGTAGGGTCGAAAAACGCGAAGTGATCCAGGGTCCGGGTGGGTTTCTGCCCATCATTTCGCGCATCTAAATCCTCACCAATAACAATAAGGTCTTCATTCTCCAGTATCTCGTTAGGCTTCGGTTGATAATATTTCGCTAGGATGGTGTACTGTGAATCGATCAGAAATCTACGGACAAAGATGCCAACGTACGTGCTCGAGGACGTTCATCCGTCTTCCGACGTTTTGGACGCTGCTAGAGAAAGAGGATGTACTGTCAGATATGTACTGTCGTAATCTCAAAGGACGTACTGCACGGTCGTGATCCGCGTCATCGCGGTAACGCCGGCGATTGTTCTGCCCAGAGTCTGTACCACTGGCAGATTCATCTTGCGTGTCTTCCCCCGGAAACGAAACCTCGAACGCGGTCGGTCTACGACGAGGTGGCATCCTTATTATGCTTTCTTGAGCCGTGCAGGGTTCTGCTAAGCAGCGTGGCGCTGAACTTGAAGGGAAGTGAGTCCTAATTGGTATCACTACTATAGTACTAACTCCTATGTTATGTCTTTCCTTTCCAAGCTTCAAGGCCCAACGTTGAACTACTGGTTATATCATGATATCTGAACTAACTCATGCATTACGCCCGCGGGCGTTTACCCCCTTGATCTCATACGCTCGTCCGCGTTCTGTCTCACGTGGCTCCCATCTCAGTGCAGCCCAGAAGAAAATATGCAATCCTGAATTTCTGAACCAACTCCTTGGAGGCGGACATCACATAGGTACGTCGCTGTTTCTGCGCGGTCTATAGTTTCCAAGTTACTAATGACACTCAGATATTAACCTCGGCTGATATAATATATCTCCCTCCGCGGTTCGTGCCGTCACCAGGACTCTCGGTATTGATGACAGCGAGTTCAAAGACCCTTACATCTACTTTCCGATCAATGGATGGCTCGCTGATAATAATCCGGATGTTTTGTGTGGGTCCCTCACCTGGTGTTCAGACTGCCACAGCACCTCGTATTCTATTTTTTTTACCCAATTTCGTGACGATCAAGAGTGGCCAGAAGAAGGTGAAGAGACCTACGGGTCAAGGCCTAGCTACAGGAGAACGGCGCCACTGACGTGGAATGGATGTCCTTATACGACGACTATGGATACACTTGCTTCGGGACGCGACCTCTCAAGCTGTCAAAGGAGAAAGCGTTTAGATTGATTGACCTCCAAGAGAATGAGATATCTGAGCTCGAGTCTACTGGCAAACAGTGTAAGTCTAGCGGGACGGACCAGGAAGATAAAGTAGCCTAGCGACCTACGGAATGGTAGTATAACACGTCATATGTATGGAAATGTAAGTTGATGTTATCTGGTACCGCACAACGATGGACGTAGACACGCCGCGCAGGACTCTGAGACAACTATGACTTGTTAGATAAACCCGTGTCAAAGACGTGTCTGTTTGGGGTTGACTGGCTCATCCAAGTATCATATAGGCTTGAAGTAAACACATCGGCGCTCAGTTAAGGACGGTAATCCCCACATCGAACAAGCAGGCGTCGCGTTCTATTCCGCAGAGGTGGAGGCGTTCTGTGCTCGTCATAATCGCTGGTGTACTTCAAGGGCAAGCTTGAGTTGGGACTTTCTGGGAGGTACTGATCACCACGAGTTGAACCTTGCGAGACTGGCACGTGCTGGTTCCTGGAAGATGTCACCCACGTGGTTTTGGACAGGTCGTGGGCTTCAATTCAAGCAGTACTACTAGTGCGAGACGCTGAGACACTTCAGTGATCTCGTTGAACACGCACCAAGAGATTAGAACAAGTCTTCGAGGATGTCCCACCCCCCATCATAGAAGAATGAGAGGAACATGCACCGTACAAATCATTGTTGCAATAGTACTCGACAATACAAATGACATGGATCTACAACAGTTCTACTCGTTTGGATTGCGAGTAGTTCTACCCCCACATGCATCGGAGAGATATTGGTACATACAACCTTACTTGCTTATTATGCAGAGTTGGAAACATTACAAGTGATGGGTTCCGGAAGAGATGGTAGTAGTGAATTATTTGCGCAACCAGTGTCCGCGCTCAAAAAACATGCACTCCTGTTATGCAGTAGTAAAAGAAAAGAACTTGCGTATATGGATCACGTCACGACAGATATCCAGATGAAAACGAGATGGGACTACACGAAGATTCATTCACGTTGCTGGTGTAGTTCCTGCTGGTGCGTCTGGCCCTGCTAGTGCACCTTCGGGTACACCGTTCGCTGATGTAGACGTGTCCCCGACCTGATGGAAATCTGTAAACGCACCAAAGAGATCGTGAGCGTCGTGCCAGCCGATTGTGGGAAACCTAACCTAGAATCTCGCTATACATCATGACCTTCCACGTGTCAACAGGCAGGTCAGCATCGTTGAAGCTCCAGTCAAACTTCTCAGAAGCCACCGGCTCGTCGGTCGGATCATGATATGGTGCCACATATTCATGAACAAGTGACTCGGTCGCATCTATCCGTTTCCGAGGGTCGAAGACGAGCATCTTTTCCAGAAGATCCAAAGCTATCGGATTCGTGGAGCATCAGTACAACCGCGCCACTAAAACCCGGGAAGATGGTGCCTTACCATCTGCATCGGTAGTTCGGAGCTTTTGGCTAAAAGGCACGCGCTCGCGTTTGGGCAGACTTTGCACAAAACGGAGAGTCTGCAGCGATCGATTAACGTGGGAATGGGCTGATATCTCAGAAGTACTACCCACGTTTTCGCTTGCGATAGTTTCAATGACATCATCGGGAGGGGTGCCCAATAGTTCAGTGATTATGGAAAACTGATTGACATCTTTGAACGAAGGCAGTGTCAGAAGGCGAGACTGGAGGCGCGTAGGTACTCACGATCTTTCCCGGGGAACAACGGTTTCCCTTCGAGCATCTCTGCGAATATGCAGCCTGTACTCCAGATGTCTACCGCAACATCGTACTTCTGCCAGGTCAACATAATTTCGGGGGCACGGTAATATCGCGTCGAGACATAGCCGGTCATTTGAGGGTCCTGGATCCGTGCTAATCCGAAATCGCAGATCTATGAGAAGCAGATGACATCATGTCGTATCCCGTGTTGATGAGACCGACGAACCTTCAAGTCACAGTTCTCGTTGACAAGGATGTTACTAGGTTTCTGTACACCTGTCTTGTAAGATGGACTCGAACAGAAAAAGAACAAAACACGCACGAGGTCGCGATGCACGACACCCGCGGAGTGGACATATTTTAGTCCACGCTAGATCAGATCAGACGGAAGAAGGAAAATAATTGTAATATTATCACATACCAGAATCTGATACAGGAAGTATTGAACGAACTGCTTCTCCAGGGGGCGCGACGTCAGTAGTCGATGGAGGTCCGTGCCGAGCAGTTCGGTAACAAAATACCTGTCATGGTCAAGTACTTCAAGGGGTATGGGGCGCAGGGTAGGGTAGGGACATACAAATCTTCAAGTGGTGAGATGAACACATCACTAAGGCTGATAATCTACACGTGTATATGTGTGATCAATAAATTCGGCGTGGCGTGTTTGAGACGTACGTTCTCGTGTTGTATGTGCTTGAGGAGCTTGAGCTCACGGTATGTTCGCTTGCTCAATACTGGGGTACTGAAGGGTTTCATAATCTTCTTGATTGCAACAGAAGTCCCAGTGAGTTGATCCTTGGAAGAGCTGCGCCACCCATGAGCGTCATATGTCGGTCTTGGGCTTGCACATACCAGACAAGGCCAAATGCCCCTACAGACATCTCAGTTAGTCTGGGCATCGATTAGGTTGAGATAATAGTTCAGACTCACCCATTCCAACAGGCTGTAGATCGACATAGCGGGTAGTTACCTATGAAATCAGCATATCGTGAACCAATCATATCATGTTCAAGGACATATGCAGGCAACACACCTCGAAAGATGTGCCAAATATGCTGAGCTTGACAAAAGACATGACACTCTTGGACCCGGAGAGTTGAAAGGGATAGAGAGGGATTCGGCGACCAGAAGAAAGACTGGTAAAGTGCGCTTGTTGACTCAATGATGGCGAGGAGGGAAAGATGTAGATAGTGCTGACCACCGAATCCAAATCTAACTTTAAGAATTGGAAACCTGAATTCATCTGCCTACTGTGCCAGGGGTCCCGTGACGCCCTAGGCTTGCCCTAGGCCTCTAGTACTACTAGTTCAAATTCACTGCTAAAGTACTGCGGAGATCGACCTCCTCTTCTGATCTTAGAATTATTTCCTTAGCGATTGCGTGTCAGAAAGAAGGCTGAGAAGAGATTTAACGATGAAAATATTGTGAATGCAGCTGCTGAGTGTCAGTGACTGGGGGCTTACATCAATGCAGGCAACGATCTGTGCTTGAGATCGATCCGCTGAAGCAAACACGAGGTGCAAAACGGAAGAAATTTGGTTAGTGATAATTGTTGCCAGAAATAAGTGACGCGGTTACGAAACGGCGTCCGTCTGCGCTTGTCTGACATTTCTCAGGCCCAGACCGAATTTGCCCGGCTCACGGTCATCTAACTGACTCTCCATCCACCAAAATGTCCTTCATTCGAGCAGCGACGATCGCCCGTTCTGTGGTGAGTACCTATGAAACTATGTCAGTCTTACTCTCAATGTGTATAGGCAACGAACAGCTGCAGACGTTACTCGGTCGAAGCTGGTGCGAAGAAATCATCTAACCTCGGACTTTACCTGGGCGGCGCTGGTCTCGTTGGTCTTGGGACGTATGTGTATATGGGTTTCGGTACTGCGCAGGCGGGAATTGCCAAGAAGGACCTGAAGAGCCCTCTTGACCCGTCAAAATACATCGACCTCAAGCTTAAGAGGGTAGAGCCTTACAATCACAACACCGCTAAGTGAGCGGCGTTAAGCTATGTTCCATGTACAACCCGCGACTCATCTCTGTCCCTCAGGTTTGTGCTTGAGCTCGGAAAGGGCGAGGCTTCGCTTCTTCCGGTTGCTTCCTGTGTTTATATTGAGACTCCGGACTTTAAGGATGCCAAGGGCGAGCCTATGCATCGCCCGTATACCCCCATTTCAGCGTCTGACCTTGAAGGAGAGCTGGTTTTTATCATCAAAAAATACGAGACAGGCAATGTCTCCAAGCACATTCACTCTCTCAAGGCTGGGGACACTCTAAAAATCAAAGGTCCTCTCGCAAAATGGTCTTGGAAGAGTGAATATGGGTTTTCGCTGTTTCAGAATGCTTGGATTCTGATCCTCTTTTAGTGAATGAGCTGGAAGAAGTTGGCCTCATTGGTGGTGGAAGTGGAATGTAAGGATGCTGGTCTTATACTTACGTCACGCTGAGCTCAAGTGTGCGGTCACAGCGCTCCACTCTACCAGGTCCTGCAACATGCTCTTGCAGACAAGTCGAACAAGACCAAGTTCAAGCTTCTGTACGCCAATGTTACTGAGCAAGATATCCTACTTCGCGAGGAGTTCGACGCCATGAAGAAAAAATACCCCGATACTTTTGATGTCGTATATGTTCTTGACAAGGGCGATGCTAACTGGAAGGGTTCCACTGGATACATTGGCGCTGACCTCATTAAGCAGCACATTGCACCGCCATCACTGGGCGAGAAAGTGAAGGTCTTCATCTGCGGTATGAACAACACAGTTGGAATGCGTCAACAGCTAAATACCCTCATAGGTCCGCCTGGACAGGTTGTCTCGATTGCAGGCAAGAAGAATGGTATGAAGCAGGGTGAACTAAAGGGTGTTCTTAAGGAGTTGGGTTACACCGAAGACCAGGTAAGTGACCATGGTACCCAACAAGCTATCATGTCATTGAAGGTATCTCTTTTTTAGGTGTATAAATTCTGAGCAGAAGATATTATCAAGTAGATGCTGTATAGAAGTCCTAGAGCGATATATGTCCCATTCTTGCAATTGGATAAGAGCCCAGAGGTATCGAGACCTTAATTTCAATCACACCACGTTCCGAATTTATCTGCGATGTCAAATGGTAAAGCCGTTTGCTGGATACCATTGGAAGAGGGCCCACCATTGCGGAAACGCCGTCCAACCCACCGCGAACCTCAAGCTCTGGCTGTATGGTTACTCCCACTCCATACAGCAAAATACCGACACAACGCTGTAGTAAGCGTATTGATATTGGCCGGGTTTTCGAAAACCATCACCATCAACTGCAAGTCTCGCTCACGTGTCTTCTCATTGGCGGCACGGATTCATCATAGCACGTTCGTCTGCGGCGTTCCATATACACGGCCGTGATCAGCGGACACACCTTGATAGTGCGTGCCATCAGTATGAAAGGGAATGAGTATGTAAGGCGCATATCTTTACACTCATAGCGCTCCAATCAGCCCCTGTGTCACCGAGTAATATCAGTGGTTTCCTTTGTCTTGTATCTCTGCATATCTGCGGTACAAAGGGACGAACCTTGTCGTATTACATAAGCATCTGCCCAAGTGCCATATGATACGCGTAGGGTTCAACGCCGTCTACCTGATTTCATCTCCGTCTTCAAGATCGTAGTAATTGGGCGTCTGGATTTTCATGATTCAGATCTGAGCGACTAGTACTTGCTAGTCTTGATCAGCCCGCACAACGATAAAGCTATCTCATCGTATTATTTGTGCTGCGCGGCTACTCCTGTACGAATCGAATCTCGACTTTACAACCATACTACTCGGCGCGTTGCAGCATGGACAACACCAGCAGCAGCGGCAGCAGTAATAACAACAAGTCCGTGCGCCGCCAACCGACTCCTCCGGATACAGAAGTTCCAAAAGCTCCGGGCACAGTTACTCCAGACAGTTTTTACGCGTCGGCTTCAAAATCGAGTTTAGGGCCCCCACCATTGCCATTGCGCCCAAAGAGCAATGCAGGGTCTGCCCACACAAAGGTCAGCATCGAACCCCCGCCAACCTATGACACTGTATTTCGCGAGCCCCAGCTTGTCTCAGAGGACACAATCGGTAACGATCAGGTCCCTGCGCTCATCCCAGCCGATGACCATCACAATTGGTCGGCTGTCCAGCCCAAATGGGCCGAAGATGACTGGACCAAAAATGAGGCTTGGGGTGAACCGATGCCGTGGGATAGTTCATGGGCCGGTGGTACGACAAACAAGGTCATGGATCTTGATGCGCGGGACCAGGAGGAGGAGACGAACTGGTGGGATGCGGAGCTGCGGGAAACTAAAGCCCGTCCAGGGCGGGGAATGCTACCGCCTTCCGTCGCTGAATTGTTGCACAACCCTGAACATTCGTTGTTCTCGGTGAGCGTAACCGCACCTGACATGAGGCCGTCTAGCGATGTATCGCCTTTCACTCTTCCGAGCCACGACGAAATCCTTCGCGCTGTTCCTCACGCCAATACATACTACTGTAGACGACACCATGGTTGGGTGTTCCTCCAATGGAAAACATCCACTATTTTCCCCCCCTTTGCAAAATCATTCGACTCCAAACAGCATCCATCCCTCCCTGACCAAGATCGTCGTAAACGTTCTGTCTCTTGCACTGAGGACTCTTTTGAAAAATCCAAGAAAACCCATCATTTCCACTTCTACCCAAAGGCCGTCGATTCGAGCCAGCTCAATCCACCATTCCATCGTGCCCCCTGGGAAGTCTCTTCACAGAGGAAGCAGAAGCGCCGGAAAATCACTTCTCTCAATCTCGATGACATCTCGATCAAAGACTCAGATGTCATGATGAATGATGACCCGCCTGAGGGACATGTAGAGGGCGAACTGCTTGATCTTTATGTCTGCTGCCAGTGCTCCGTCTATTGCATCGCTTCAGAAACTATGCCCGGTGTTATCCCTTTTAGATATGTGGAGGATTTTACGAAGTATAGATATGAACATCCTGCCATCGGGAGGCAGCCCGACGAGTCTGTCGTCAGTGGGTGGGAGACACTAAACACGTACGCCCATCAATTGACTCTGTGACGGTATCTCATCTCCGCACAGAATTGTCGAAAACAAGTTATGGAAAGGCAAGAACGGTCAGCTTCCCATTTCCGGGAAGACGTTCCAGAACAAGATCGGTTGGTCCCCGACTACGTCAGGAGCTTTCATTCTGTTGCTATTCAATGCAGCTCATGAATGATTCATTTGCAGGGAATTTATCTTCAAACAACTTGGGTTCGACCTTGTTACACGCACCGAGGCTCCAGGGACCCCTGAGGAGAGGACAGGGGATTTTCTGACACCTCCAAATTCTGAACCCAACTGTCCGGAAGGCCAGGAGGTACGTATGAAGCTCCTGCGCTTCTGGGTTGAGACGAACGCGTATCTCGTAGACTACCAACGTCGCTTCGGTAAGAAATAGCTTTGGTTCTCTGTGCCACTTACTCATGAAGCGCAGCAACCGCGCTCAAGAACTATACACCACACCCTTTGTATGTCAAAATCGACAGTGCTCGAGAGATGTACCAGCAAGCGATCGGTGCACACCCTGATCAGAGTAAGACTAAGTTTTGTTGTGTCGGAAGACAGAACTGAGCTATTTGTGCAGTCCCGAGATCGTCTTCGTCATATCCATTAGGTTCATTGGCGGAGTATATACCTCTAATGCAGACGTGGAAGGTATTAGGAATAACCCCTACAACATGCTCTCCGGGTAAGCAGTCAAACAAGCTGCCGCTTAGATCTGTTCGGTGTTAACGGCGCTTAGAAATTCTCATCTTCGCCTATATGGCGCAATGCCGGTGTGACCCTGCCAACACAATACTCTACTTTACCCACTTCTACGCAGTTGTCGCCGCAATCCAATCCCTCGGTGGCGTCCCGCCTCAAGAACTACAGACTCTCGTTTTCGAAGAGCGATCTCGTGGGCGGTTCACAGAGGAGGACCTGCAAAATGCAGCCGCGGTTCTCGGATTTGGCAAGGACGGCGCGCTACGCTTGGATCTTGAAGATGACATTGAAGACGATTTCCTTGCGGAGGCGTGGCGGACAGCCGTCAAAAACGCCTGGCGTGATGCGAAGGACTGTACACAACTCCAACGCGACGCGAACGAGGCGTTCAGGGTCATCGCCCAGTCGAGGGGTAGTAAGAGACTGATGAAGCTGTGGTCCGAGTCGTCGAAGAACCAGATGGACCCTTCACGGGCCTATTCGGTATTAGAGGTTTCCGCGGATGTGGATGATGAGCTTGTGTTGACGGTGTTTATGATGCGGGTATGTGGTGTTGCGTAGCCTCATTTGCACTTCTGACGATCGTCAATAGGTTGAGGAGCAGCCCCATCAATCTGACAAATGGCGTGAAGCTTTGAGGACCATTGCAGAAGTGAGGGACAGCAGTCGGCTGCGCCATTTCTTGGAAGAAGGCAAAGATCGTAAGTACCTGCGCAGATTTGTTCTCAATACGCTATTGAATGAAGGCACGTTAGCTGGAGATATCGTAGCGCCAACGCGCGCTGATCTTCCAAGAGGTCTCAATCAACTTGGAAACACCTGCTATTTGAACTCACTGCTTCAATATTTCTACACCATCAAGGAGCTTCGTGAGGCTGTCGCTAGCATGACCAACGTTGACGTGAAGGCTCTTGAAGACGAGAAGTACTCAGAGGATGACCTTAAGCGGCATCGCGTTGGTGGACGGTTGATTACGCGACGCGAGATCCTGCGATCGAAAAAGTGTACGTTTGACATCCATCTTTCATATGTCAAGCTAATATTACTGTAAACTAGTCGTCAGCCAGTTGGCGGATTTATTTTGGCAACTCCAGTATTGTGAGAACCAAGCTGTCACACCGACTATCGATCTTGCCAAGCTAGCGCTCGTAACTTCAAGAGACGAAGAGGAGGAGGAAGCCGACAGGGGCGGTACTGACTCCTCGAATGACACGGATGCGACGCTTGTGGAGGACGGGCCTGTACGATCATCGCATGACTCAAATAGTTCAATTCTCGGGAAACGGCCGCGTGACGAACAACGCATGGACATAGACGTTGATACACCCACGTCTCCTATCACGGAAGAGAAGAATGGATATGTCATGGTGTCCAGGGAATCACCATCTCGTAGATCCAAGTCCCCTCGCCTGAACGGGGAAAGCTCATCAAGCACGATGCCGTTGTCATCCCAAATTTCCGAAGTGGAGATGGTGACCCTTGAGAACTCGCAAGTTGAGGAGCAGAAGAAGCCTCCTCCTTTACCTATGCGCAAGCCTACCCAGTCAGACCCTGTTATGATGTTTGGTAAGGTACACTTTACTCCGAGCGAGGCCATGTCTAAATACTTGGTTTAGGGAAGCAGCATGATGTCTCTGAATGTATGGACAATTGCATGTTCCAGATTGAGATCGCTCTTCTGAAGTTCGACGGGCTGGGCGACTCGGACAATCAGAGTAGCGTTGTGAAGAGGCGAGTCCTTTGGTTTCTATCATACGCCTATATGAACTGTGATTACCAGGCTCTTCTACGGGAAATTACGACAAAGACTTACCCAAGTCCCCGCCCAGCGGCGTCCCCGATCTTCAACACACGAGAAAGAAGACCTCTTCTCGCATCTTCCTGTAAATGTGGCCGATAACGGGTTTGATATCTACGATGGCTTAAGTGGTTACTTTGACGATGTCGTTGATTACGAAGGCGAGAAAGCAAGAATGGAGGTGACGCTGGTTGATCTACCGCCATTATTGCAGATTCAACTTCAGGTGAGGGCCTACCCAGATAGCTCTGCAATATATCTGAACCGGTCGATAGCGGGTGCAATTCAACAGAGAGACCCTTCAACCATACAAATCACAAGCATACGTCAAGTTTGGCGAGACGATATATATGGACCGATTCCTTGATACCGCAGATCCAGGGAAGAAAGCTAGGTCAAAGGAGATACAAGCGGAATTGAACACGCGACGGGAACGTCTGCGCTTGCTGACGCAGGATAAGGTGAGACTTCTATGTGTAGTTCTTGTTCATTGACTGCATCGAGTACCTCAGCATGCACCTTTCCCTGCTTCGCTCAAAAACACACTTGATTTTTTGTCCAAGCAAGAAACGCTTGTTTTCTCAGAGGTCGATGACGAGCTCGTCGCGAACCTCACTGGCGAACCAGAGCTCATCGAGGCTGAGATCGTTGAACTCAAGGACACAATATCGAAGCTAAAGGAGGACCTGGAGAATGTTTGGAAAGACGATACCTCAGTTGCATATGAGCTGACCTCAGTCTTCATACATCGTGGCTCGTCACCATCATTTGGACACTACTTCTTTTATTCCCGACATTTACCGGAGCAACCTGATAACTGGTTCAAGTACAATGACCATCAGGTTACAGAGGTGTCAAAAAACGAGGTTTTGGCTGACACTACAGGGTCTACTGCGAATCCGTACTTGGTGAGTACGCTCACGATGCCATTCCTGATGTGGTTGACCGACTTGCCCCCTAGCTTGTTTTCGCAAAGAAGGACCGGGATATTGTCCGTACTGTAAATCGTTTTGATCCTATGAGTTTTGAAGATATCGATACATGATCTGTAATGCTGATATCCTATGATTCCTTTCATGCACTAACTGTATTATCCCATCTTTGGAGTATGAGCGCATTCATTCGGGGAAGGCATATATATTGTGCATTACCATATCCTTAAGAACATAACATCATATTGACTTGTAGGCAGGTGCAGAGTATGGCACAGCATTAACAGCTTGCTTCAATGTCAGCACGATGTGAACGACTGCGGCAAGTAATGGAGATCAAGAACACTTCAAGAACGGACACTTGATCAATAAAATGGCTTCACCACTCACTGCAGAGACTACCTTGCTAGGGAGAGAGAGCAGGCCCACTAGGATTGCTCTCCGCTGATGCCACAGCGACTCGTTCTGCCTCTACTGATATCGTCTTCTCATTCTCCATGATTTTTGCCTCATCATCGGCCTCGAGGGACGTCAAAAGATCATCCAAGGTTCCCAATATGTCGTCCAATCTCCCTTCAATGCCCTGTGCCATACCATCAGCACTCTCCAGACGCGCCAAAATTTCTATCAAGTCTTCTGTTTCATTACTACCGTCCAATGAGCCGTTTATCACAAGATTGCTCAAATGAGCGATATCTGCTTCAAGACTGCTGTCTAGTTTGCTGTTTGAAGGACCGTTGGTTTCAGTGTCGGTAGTGTTGTTGTTAGACATGATCTTTGCAATCACCAGCGCCATGACAGAATAAGACTAATAAGGAGCGGCATCTCGGCACCAGCTTTCGTACCAACCTCGATGAGCTCACAGGTGCACAGTGTTCAGTCGCTGCTCAAATCCTTCCCCAAGCGTCCGTTCGACCAGAAAGTATTGCATGAACTAGTGGGAAAAGAGGTCCGGAAGTTCCAAGGCAAGTCCTCTGCAGACAACGTCAAAAGTCAATGGGAGTTTCTCCTCAAGAATGAGGTGTTCACCTTGGCGGTACGTGCTCGCTTTCTTGAACTCAGCCAGTCGTGATCAATGCTTGCGACAGGCAAATGAGGGTAGCGCATTGAAATGCGACAGCACCTCGTACTATGACGGTCTTCGCGACAGACTCGACTTGGTACTGACATTCACCGAACACGGTCCGTGGTCTCTCAGTGTAGTTTGTATACGAAGTGCTCACTTCCTAACAGACGTATGCGAGGCAACTTTTCCATTTACTGTCCTTCAGGACCTTCTCGAAACACAGACTATCACGTCTTGCTCGCAGATATTCTCTTGGATTGAGTCAAGCGCTGCTCGACTCACCAAGGAAATGGTTCCCCAGAAAGGCAAGGCGCTCATACTACTGCGCACCCTCAATGATCTCTTGCGTCGGCTTTCAAAAATGGGCTCTACGACGATATTTTGTGGTCGTATATTGACCTTCCTGAGCGGCGTTTTCCCTCTGGGCGAAAGAAGTGGTGTCAATTTGCGAGGAGAATACGGGCCTATGTGGGAAGGTGTCAAGGACATGGAGAAAAGGGACGAGGATGTTACAATAGACTCCGCTAAGGGCCCTGAGGACAGCCAAAAAATGGAGGTGGACGGGGGAAGGAAAGAATCTGTAGAAAACAAAGACAAGGACGGTAGGTCAGAACTCTATCGTCATGTTCTGCAGCTCACGTCGTTCCTAGGTTTCTACACTACATTCTGGTCCCTGCAACTACCTTTCTCCCGACCTCCATTATTTGCTATTTCCAATACATTCACAGAATTCAAGGATGCCGTAGATAAGGTGCTACCCGTCATCAAAGAGGCGACCACGAAGGAGCGCGCCATGATGGGCAATAGAGGCGCCAGCGGTACAAGTAACCTAAAACGAAAACGGGAACCAGAGTTGGGTGAAGCAAGTAATAATAGCGAATATTTCTTCGCAAAGTTCTTGACAAGTCCCGACCTTCTTAACCTAGAGGTATATCTCCGCCCTTTTAACATGCAGACTACTGAGGTTTTGTAGATTGCAGATACCCATTTTCGTCGACAAGTCTTGTTTCAACTCCTCATCCTCCTTCACCATCTCTTATCATTCACCAAAGCTGCAAAAGCTGTGTGGTCTACACCCAGGAACAGATCTCTCCAAATGGACTTTACGCTTGAACCTGTGGATGCGCAGTGGGTCCATGACACCATCGTAAAGGCCTCTGCGGAGTTGCGATCTACTGCTCCAAACGGTCCTACATTCGCCGATACTGTCAATGTCATTCTTGACAGGGAAAAGAACTGGGTGAGGTGGAAGAATGACCTTTGCGCACCTTTTGATAGGGAACCATGGTCAGCTGAAGTGGGTGGCAGAAAGGTGGGGATGGAGGATGCGACGAGGGAAGCTCGCTTGAAGAGAAAGGAGGATCCTGAACCGTGGAAGTGGAACCTGGGGTCTGATTCGCTGACTGAGATATGGGAGATGGGGTACAGGGATTTGTCTGACTTGCAGAATCCCTTCCAGTTGAGACCTATTTTTCTATTTGACGACCTCGTGCTGACTGACCGGCCAGACCGGGTGACGTTAAGGATTTCGTGAAGAAGGTCAAGCAAGAAGATGCTCGTATCGAATTGCGCAGAAAGCAGCTCACGAAGAATGCCGAACGCCTGGCTCAAGCGCGAGCCAAGGCAGCAGCTGCCGCCGCTTCGCAAGAGTCCACTGCACCGCAGGAGACGCCGGCTCCCGCACTACCTCCAGCTGAACCGACCAAAGTAGAGCCACCACCAGCGTTGTTTTCTGCTTTGTTATCAACACCCAGTGCCGCCAGCTCGCCCTTGCATCCATCCCTTCCACCAAAACCTGGTTCATCTCCAATGAAATCATTCGCAGAAATTGGTACATCAAGTCCTGCTCGTCCTCCCACTACTCTCGCACCACCATCCTCAACAATAGTAGCACCCACGCCAACTCCAACTCCAGTTGTATCTGCCCCAGAAGCATCCCCAGCTGCTGTTCCATCGCCCGCTCCTTCTCTTACTGACGATCAGATAGCTCGATATGAAGAAAACCGACAACGCTGGTCATGGCTTGCACTGCGCACGGCACGAGATCAATATCTACAACATTTCGGCAAGATCGGTACGGGAGACGTTGTATTACTTGCCAACGAGATTGAATTGGAAAAGGAACGGGATAAGAATCAAAAGACGCAGAAGGCCGAGGAGATGGTACCTACTCTGTCCACGCAAGGAAACGAGGACCGCAGAGCCGCCAGGGCAGGCGATGCCACGGGGTCTGCAGGAGTTCCGCTGGATGCTGAAGGAGATGTAAAGATGGAAGATCGGTAGTACGGAAGACAATTCGAAATTCAGCTTCGTAGTACAAATTGGGAGGAAGCACGCTGGTCGATTGTGCTATATATTGATCCCCAAGAGCTCTCTCAATACCTACTATTTTTTTCTATGTCGTACTTAGCCCATGATGTACTCGGAAGAGCGCAGTTGCTTGCCGAGACACTGCTAGGCAGCCTCGTGATGGCGTGTCCGCCAGACTTCGGGATGAAATCACAAGTCGGTTCCCAACATTTCGTAAATTTTGCTTTCATCAACTTTCGACGATGTCCACATCCACCGGTTTGCGAGTGCGTACCCCAAATGCATGTCTCGTACTTTGGATGCTCATATTTTGTCGTTATAGCGTGTCCTGGTGACTGGTGGAGCTGGCTACATCGGTAATTACCTCGGAGGACCTGTTCAGCTCGCATTTTGACCGAAATTTATCCAGGCTCGCATGTAATCTACGCTCTACAGCAGACAAGAAGATACAAAGTTATCTCCGTCGACAACCACCACAACTCATTCCCTGCGTCGCTCACTCGTGTGGCCCAAATTGCACGAGACGCACTTCCCGAAAACCCGTCGGAGGCAGACAAGGAGAGCGCAGAAATTGATGCATTTGAGTGCAACTTGACCAGCCCGGAGCAAATAAAAGGCATCTTTGAACGCTATGGAAAGGGTGGAATATGGGGTGTCGTTCACATTGCAGTCAGCACTTATTTTCTTCATGTGGTTTGGTTGGACTGTTCCGAATAATCTTTTTCAGGCGTACAAAGCAGTCGGCGAGTCTGTTGAGATTCCCTTGACATACTACACGAACAACGTTGCTGCTACCGTATCATTGCTTCAGACTATGTCTGACTTTGATTGCACTCGCATTGTCTATTCATCGTCGGCCACCGTCTACGGGACACCCCCTGTGATACCAATTCCCGAAACGACACGTCTGAAAGCAGACAGCCCTTACGGCAAGACGAAGGTCATGTCAGAGATGGTTATCGATGATTTGTGCCACGGTAAGCGTCCCTTTCTGTACCTGAAACCTCACCAACACTCCTTCAGCTGAACCGAACAGATGGCGTGCCATCTCGCTTCGCTACTTCAAGTGGGTTTTCTTCCTGTTATAGATATGTACCGACACTGACTTGTATACAGTCCTGCGGGCGCGCATCCCTCAGGGCTGATAGGTGAGGACCCCCGAGGTCGCCCAGGGAATCTTTTGCCTTTGCTAGCGCATATGGCCATTGGCCGCGTGAATGATGCTACTCTGAAAGTGTTTGGAAATGACTACCCCACTCCGTGAGTCTGTTCAATGCCTCCGGCTGCTGTTCAGGGTTTATGTGTGATTGTAGGGATGGTACCTGCGTCCGAGACTACCTCCACGTACTTGATTTAGCCTCCGGACACTTGCTCGCACTTGACGCTCTTGCGCCTGAATCCACTACCTTTGATAATTGCCCCGACGATGCTCGTTACAAAGCATATAATCTCGGAAAAGGAAAGGGTATGAGCGTCCTCCAGATTGTTGAGGCAATGCGCAAGGCTACAGGATTCGATTTCAAATATGAGATCATTGGGAGACGGCAAGTTTCTTACTCGCCTGTAACAATCATCCCTTGTTCACCAGTTCTTAACCTAGCCGTGGCGACGTTCCTGATCTTACTGCGGATCCTGCGCTAGCTGAAAGGGAGCTGGGCTTCAAGGCGCCGCAGCCTCTCGAGGTTATGTGCCGAGATTTATGGAACTGGCAGACGATGAACCCTCAAGGATATACCCAACAGTAATTTAGTGGAAGTAGAGTCTATCTACACACTTCTAATCTCGGACATGTAGAAGATACCTGCGGCTCTAGCTTACCTGACAATGATATGTAGACGAATGCGGCCCCCCTTAGCAGACATTATCACCTCCTTCTGTTGCATGGGATTTTGAAGTGCTGAACATCATTCAGCTCGGAGAGCCTGGTTCGTTCCTTCACCATCCTTTCCCTACATATCACCGCTTCATCCACATCCATAACTCCGTCCACTTCATCGAGCACTTTATCAACGAGTTCCACAGGAAATATTCCGCGAGTCCTCTTCTCTACACCTAACCTCGTCCACGCTTTCTGTTGTGGTGGGACTCTCTGCGTGGACGCCAGCGGAGCGATGCTTGGATCAACCAAGTACAGCCCGATGATGCGCTGATGTCCCTCCTTTGACGGATCGACCAATGAGAATGGTGTGAAGCGATATTGATAAATATTAGGAAATGCGATGCACAGTCCCTGGCGAATTGGGACGGAGCCAATGTGCTGGTGACAGGGGTCTCCTGTCTGCATACCCCAAGTCTTGAGGGTTATGTCCTGGTGGCCTTTGTTGGGAAATCCAGGCGGTGTCTTAACAGCCATGCGAAATTCGATCGAGTTACCCGTGATGTTGTCCTAAAAACGGTTGAGCGTTTTTGATGACTAGGCGAGAGGTGTCATACACTTGACGAATTATGAAGGACACAAGCAACGATATTCTCGTTCGTCATGCCCTCTACACGCCATTGAAAGCCCTGAAAGGCAGGGCCGCCTGGTTTCTACATCAACTCTATTTTAGGGAATCATAGTCTTGCGAGAAGGAATCCTTACGATGCAAATCTCGTACACGTCAAATATGACCTGAAGTGTTTTCCCCCTGAGTTGTACAGCATTCCGGCGTTCTTCGAGCCCGCCCGGGTAACCAGTGGTGGGGACATCAGGCTCCATTGACCGGCGCATGATCCACTGCCGCTTCTTGCTCTCGTACGCAGACCAATCCGCGAAGTCGCGCGAAAAATCTGGGGCCTCGGGCTCGTCCCACTCTGCCGACGAAGATGGTCCCTGGATTCGCTCTTTAATTGGATTGTCCGCCTTTAAGTCTGTCAGGACGTGCTCGAACATGGGAATGCACTTGGAGATCAACTCCTCGAAGTGGCGATAGAGCGCGTAATAGCAAGGGTGGAGGTTATTTATGTACGAGAGAGCCTTCGCTGTGCCGCCCTCAGAGATAAGGAAGTCGCAGGGTAAAGATGCGAACTCTTGCGAGAGGAAATCTGTGGTAGTCACGTCTGTAACGCTGGGTACTGGCTCAGGGCGAAGAAATTCTTCCCTAGCTGGGTCGTAAGCGAGCGTCCGACCGTAGATGAGAGGGTACAGGTAAGGATCTATGATGTGGCGAGTTAGCTCGTCTCCCTCGCGATATGCCAGTTTGTCTGGAAGTGTTTCCAGGAAACGAGAGAGTTGACGATCGAGGCTTGCGCGCATCGAGTCGTCAAAAATTGCTTCAGACTCCCAGATACGTTCAAAGCAAGAAACCTGACTGTTGGCATGTTAGAATGCATGCGATTGATATTCAAATAATAAGACCTGCCAATTATCCTCGACGTCGCGGAGCTTTGCATAGCCCTGCAACTCCTCCAGAACATATTCAACCTACCCCCCAGACGAGATTACATGATTACATTTCTTCGCAAAATTCAAGCGAGTCTACCGACCTGTCGAGGAGTTAACCAGACTCTGAGGTCGTTACTTGATACGCGCACAGCCGTAGGTTCGGCGAGAGCTTCCGCAGCCCACTGGGCACGGGTTTCTGGACAGTTAAATAAAGTCCACCAGCCCTCCCGACGGCGTAGACATCTAGAAAGTTCGGACATAGCCAAGTCTATTACCTGTGCGTGACTGAGGATTTAATATATTTGAACAAGTTAAATGCACTCACCGTTCTGGCAGGGTCGCCGACTCCTCCCTGAACCCGTGCGCCATTGACAAAGGGGTGAAGGAAAGGCTCACAATCATTCTTTAGCTCTTCGGTCATTCGAGAATTGTAGCCGGGATAGACCAAGCCTACAACTCCCACCGTGCCTCCCCACTCACATACTAGTACTCTCCCAGACTTCCTGAATCCTTGAAGCCTATATGTGATTGTCCCAAAACAGTGCGTTACGTAATGTCGATTGGGGTCGATGGGGTGCTTATGTAGTTCGATTGTCGCAACGAACAACGAGCATAACGCAAACTACGTCCTCCTCATACTAGATAATTCTCGCGATGGTAAGCCATCACGTTCAACTACATTGATTTTGTCTCACCTTGTTCCCCACCAGTCGTCTAGCTGGGAAATCCGGATGTCCAACTCCAAGGGCATCCCATACTACTTCAACGCTAGCACCAAGCAATCAAGCTGGGACGCCCCCTCAGAGTTATCGGATGAGGAGATCAAATCTCTTCCCGGCGCAAACTACTTGAGTGGCGGCAGCAGCGGAGGTGCTGGGACAATCACGGCGAGTCATTTGTTGGTGAAGCACAAGGACAGTCGGCGGCCGTCGAGTTGGAAGGAGGTGTGCATGCATGTGCCTTTCCAGAAAGGGATACGTATTGACTTTGTATGCTCCTAGACGAATATTACGCGCTCTAAGGAAGAGGCTATTGAAATTCTCCGAGGATATCAGGCACAAGTTGGTAACTCGCGCGAAAAGTTTGAAGAGCTGGCGAGTCAACATTCCGACTGTTCATCGCATTCCCAGAAGGGAAACCTCGGTCCCTTTTCGAAAGGTCAGATGCAGAAGCCGTTTGAAGATGCTGCGTTTGCTCTGCAGGTCGGAGAGTTCAGCGACATCATCAGCACAGACAGCGGTGTGCACATCATTTTCAGAACAGCATAGTGCAATTGATGATGAGCAGGGGAAGTTCATGCAAAGAATGTGTTTGTACGTCCATTGGATTGTAGCATTAAGAACATAATATCGCGTTGGATGTATGCGGCTCTGTCGTCGACTCTGATTCTTGAAACTTCAGGCCCAGGCTGAGGTGAAAGGGATTCAATACATGATTTCTCGCATGCCGCTGCAGGCTATATACAAGTTAGCCAGCACATCAGCTCACTACCGCAAAAATTTCAGGAAGATATGGCCTCAATTTCAATTTATAAACCTCCATGAGATTCAGAAGGTTGTCAATGGCGCTGCACCATTGGTGATGCGTGGTATAGAGTCGTCCGGTGGCACTTCGTTATCGTACGTGGCAGTCAGACCTACAGTTATGATGTCATATGGTGTGATCGTCCCGTTCCTCCTTCCCTCCGCGGCTTAGCAGTAGATCTCCCGCTATCGCCATCATACGGTGCTCGTATCACAGTGATATGATCCAGGCGGCCTAGGTTAGGCTTCCATAGAAGAAGGAAGACTCTTGTTCCTCCTTTATTATGAGCGCTGGACGACTCAGGCTTTTTTCGCCATCCCACCAACGAACTTTGGCCACATTTGGCTGTCTTACTACACCTTCAATTTTCACATCTCCTAACATACACAACTTATACCCGAATTTCCTGCCAATCGAAAATTGCAGGGTTTTGCTAGCAGGCGTGACGAAGCGTGGCGACGACACGAGGACCAGGACCATAAACAACCAAATAAATGCCGGGCTTGCCAGGACTTGCCACGTTGCAGACCTTTTGGATTCCGATCATACTTCTCTTTGCGCCTCTTGCCTCTTTCCTTCTATCGCACTGGCAGAGTCCAAAATCAGTAGGTATGTTCTATTCCTTGTTGCTTTAGTGCATTTTTGGAAGGCAATTGGAGCTAGACTTCATTAGCCTGACCAAGTGAACTTGGTGCCCTTGGTTGTTCGAATTAATATCTGAACTATCTTCGAGGATTAGGTGGTCGATCGGACAAGGAAGAAGCCGACTCCCGTGCCCCGGATTACTCGAACTTTGATACTACAAATATACGTGTAACGAAGATCCTCATCCATCCCATCAAGGTATGCGATGACATTGGTTCCCGTTGTGTCGGTAATGTCGATTTTGTAGAGCTGTAAGGGCACGTCTGTCTCAGAGGCAAAGTATACCCTCGAAGGATTAGAAGTCAGTGCATCGAACGCTTTTCTGATAATCATCATTGACTGTGCAGTAGAATGATCGGAGATGGTGTATAATAAGGGCAGATAATAATGCAGTCGTGACTGCGCGAGATGTGGACAAGGTACGCTCTATGCCACTAGTAACACCGCGGTCCAATAGAGTAACTGAAACGATGTTGCATAGATGGTTCTTATAATCCCTCGTATCATTCCGGAGTCCCCATCCCAAGAGGGCGGCTGGCTCGAGGTATCTTTCCCAAAGGAGTCGGGCTGTGAGCCTTTCTCCGTACCATTAAACCCCACTGAGGCAACAGTCCAGAATTGGCAGAAGTGAGTGAAGCTGTGTATCAATACGGCCCGATGTTTTTTGTATTTAACTATTTGTTTTCTAGCCTCGATAATATATCATTGTGGGGTAAGGATGATGTCGAAGGATACGTATGCGAGACCAACATAGGAAGGTCACCCTCGGAGATACTTTCACAATATATGGGGCTACCAGTTCACCTGGCTATGAAGGGCCCTCGGCTGCGGATCTGTCCGCCCACTCAACGGTTTCCCAACCTAGCTGCACCCTCATATTTTCAGGATGGGTATCCTATAATGCTGCTCTCTGAAGAAAGCGTTGCGGCCGTGCAGGAGCAGATCAGAGGAATGGTGGGCGTCCAAGGCGTGGAAGAGAAGTGGTCCAATGAGACTTTGCAGGTAGAAAGGTAAACCCATCTTCATTCGGTCCGAACGTAGGGGCTCGTGCGATTTCGGATCATTGATTGCCTGTCGTGCTTAACTAATGTACGCTTGCAGGTTCCGCCCCAATATAGTAGTCCAAGGAGCCGGCGCACCGTTCTTCGAGGATATACTCACTGAGTTCACCGTCGATTCTCATCGCGAGAGCGTAGACGAGGCATCGCCAATCATTCACCTTGTTTCTAAATGTACTCGTTGTATGGTGCGAATTTCTGGCTGATTTCTTGTTAAAGATAGGAGCTGACCATTTATGTGTTGACTTTCACAGCTACCCAACGTACATCCTGAGACTGGTGTGCTTGACAAGGCGGTGCCATTGAAGGTATTGATGAAGCATCGAAGAGGCCTAGATCCTGCACGGCCCAGTCTATCATGTATGGGGTGCAATGGGATTCTCACCGCAGATGGCGTGGTGAAGGTCGGCGATTGGATCCACGTTCGTAAGATAGGATTCGTATGACTTGAGTTGTCTTGGAAGGTGTTGTCGTGCTTCATATTTATCTGTATCTACGTAGCGCAGACTCATCGACTCCAACGCCAAAGGGGGATTTATTTGAATTTTGGTGAGCGATATGAAATGCCTGCGGTCATGGACAATTACTTCTGCCACAATCTAACGGATACTCTTGGCAGTATTGACACGGTGAGCGTAGCTCCGCATGTTGCATGAGTGTTTACCTATTCGACTCAAAGTGTTGTCAAATCAAAGGGTCTGATGAGCAGGCGTGAGATTGTGGGAGCATTCCAAGATGGGAGCTGATTAGGGGACAACATGCAAGACAGCGCCAAACTGCACGAAGCTCTGAAATGAAATTGTGTCACGCCAATGGTAGGCTGGTTCGTCGTGGCTATTGTGATCAGTGCTACGAGTTTCAGGCAGAAGATTAATTCCATTTACATGGAGGCAAATTGAAGAAAGCCCGGCAAGGCACGGAAGCATGGACATGTCACGGAATTGGGCACGAGAACCAGGGCAAGAAGTAGGGGTAAAATTTACTTTTTATGGAAATGAAGGCAAGGTGTAAGGTCTCGTTCCCCGTCGGCATGCCACGCTTGTATTACCACTAGATAACACGAAATTTGTGCGTGACATACACGATTGGAGGATTTGAATGAGCGCTGGTTGTAATCTACAGTGCATTGCATGTGAGCTGCGCCTCTACAGTGCCTTGCTCCGCCACGCGAGAAAATTACCTTTTTAGGGAACCGGACCAAGGGGGCCGGCGGCGACAGTTGAGGTAGACAGAAACCCATGCCACTGTAACCGGTTTGATGTTATTCATAACGAGATTTCCTTGTCGTAGTAATCTTCCTCCAATTCCGAGTTGGAACCGCCATCATCATACCTTCCTCCACAGAGCTCGTTACCCGAGCTCTGAACTATGGCTATAGGGAAGTGGAACCCTTTTGGTCAACCTGTAGTACAAACTACTACCAGCGACAATCCTGTTCCGCAACCGTTGCCAATATTTCCTCGTGCGGACGGAAAGCAGTTTGGTCTAGAGAATGTGTGTTTTATTGCTGCTCTCTTTCTCCTAGTAATATTCAACATCACCATTATTCTTACAGTTCGGCAACACCTGGTACGATTCACTCACTTCGTTTCCCACACTGCCCCGACCGCTCGCTGACGACCCAAAAGTTACGCCAATTCTGTGCTACAAGCCTTGTATTTTTGCAGTCCCTTTCGAGATCTCGTCATTCAGCATGCAGATCCGTACGCCGCCGCTCTCCAAGCAGCCCTGTCCTCGCAGTTCACCCCCACCCCTACCGTCCCCACCGCCGTCCCCGCTTCCCCAACCGTTGCTGCCCGTCGGAAGCAACAGCAACCAGAGCGCAAGTCTGTACAAGATGCTGCCCAACCAAATGGTGTTGTGAACCCTCCAACGCCCCCGATTCCCTCATCCCCACGGACGTTAATTTCTGCACTTCGCTCGCTGTACATTCACATCTCCCAGAACCCAGCTGACAAAGGCACCGTTGCGCCACGAGCATTCATAGATAAACTCAAAGAATTAAATGAGGCCTTTAGAAACACCATGCACCAGGATGCTCACGAATTTTTAAATTACCTCCTCAACAGAATCGTCGAGGAAATCGAAGAAGAAAAGAAGCACCCGCAGATACCTATCGACGATTGTATGTGGAAACTTCAGCACACTCGTTGTTTCTAGTACCCATTTTTTTTCTATTTTCAGCGGCTCATTCAGTCAAATCATCATCCACTGTGTCACAACCGTTGGCTATGACAGCAAGCACGTCGAGCTCGGGCAGTCCGTCAACGGGAACTACATTCATACACCAGATATTCGAAGGTATACTGACTAGCGAAACTCGATGTCTGACATGCGAGAATGTATGTTGTCCATTGTTCTTACCGCCGAGCTTACTCATCGCACCCAGGTATCCTCACGTGATGAATCGTTTTTGGATCTATCCATAGATATTGAACAGAACTCGAGCGTCACAGCATGTCTTCGACAATTCAGCGCCAGTGAAATGCTCTGCCAGAGAAATAAGTTTTTCTGTGACGGATGCTGCGACCTCCAGGAAGCGGAAAAGAGGTATTTAATATCTGCCTGTCCAGATTCGATGCTAAGGCCACGTCAGGATGAAGATTAAGCGACTACCCAATGTTCTCGCTCTACATCTCAAGCGTTTCAAATATCAAGAAGATGTACAAAAGTACATCAAGCTGGCTTACCGCGTTGCCTTTCCATTCGAGCTCCGCTTATTCAACACCATTGATGATGCTGAGAACCCTGATCGACTGTATGAACTCTTCGCCATAGTAGTTCACATTGGAAGGTACGTCCCTTGTTGCATGCGACGCTCGCTATCTGTAATCACTGCTGAAACGCTTATCTTCCATCCTTCCTCTATGGTAACTATAGCGGGCCAAACCATGGTCATTATGTCAGCATCATTAAGACGATGGGTACCTGGCTCGTATTTGACGATGAAACGGTGGACTCGATCAAAGAATCCGACATACCCAAGTACTTCGGCGAATCTAATGCCGGTTCCGCCTATGTGCTATACTACCAAGCTGTGGATCTAGACCTCGTCGCCCTTGATCTGCGTCCGCCAACCCCACACGCTGCTGAGCAGCATCCACATCAACGACTCCCTACAGATTCTCCTGTGTCGGTCTCACAACCTATACCATTCCCGCCCGGGTTGTCTGCAGAGCCGGCAGCGAGCGGTGAGACTGAACCTCTGCTGCCCCCACCGTCCTTACCCACGGCGATTCCTGTTCCACCTGCTGAGAAGTCACCGCGTAAAATTCCGCCGGAGTTTATGAATCCTACTCCTCCCTCACCCCTGCACCATCCTGCAACAGTCGGTCCTAGCTCGTCGTCAAAGCAGTCATCACCGGCTCGTCACGGCATACTCAGACATGTCCCCTCACTGAGGGTCGGTGCAGACAAGCGTGATATGGCTGCAAAATCCATTACCCCCTTCCCCAAGCACGAGTCTCCAGATCCACTACCACCCATCCCTGCTAGTCCAAATGGCAAGGAAAAGGAAACAGAGAAGAAGAGCACTTATTGGTTCCGAAGGAAAAGTCTAAAATCGGGAGCGAAATCTCGTCCAACTTTGGAAATCGCGACAACATTACCCCCTGACGTTGTCTTGGATGTGGGAGCGTCACCGACGAGGTTCCACACCACCGGATTGACGTCGAAGCACTCCAAGGATGACGGTTCTCGACATCCTTCGGAGCCGGCGGTTCTCGATCGTCCTGTAGCGCCCTTCATGGTCAAGCGCCGCCCTGCGTCTGCTTCCGGCTTTACTTCATCATCAAAGAGTCCGGGTAGTCGACGAGATACTTCGCCTTCCATCTCAGCCACTACATCATATTCTTCACATACCACAAGCACCTCAGCATCGTCGTCTCCTCCTGACCATCATTCACATACCATTCGCCCCTTGCCAACAATACCTGCATCCCCACAAAGCTCGCGGATGACACCATTCCCACTCCCGCCTCCAGCTTATCCTCGAGGCCATTCATCTGAGCAACCGCGACCTCACCGACGGCCAACAGTATCACCCCGTGACTTCGAGCCCCCGACATCACCTAAATCCCCAGCTCGGCCAACGACTGCAGGTGCTTCGCTTGGTTTACGCTCATCTGTAGCTCTATCTCGGGATCGTAATCTTCCTCCATTGCCAGGTGCAGTGGTGGATGATCCACCCAATGGGACGCATAGTACCTCCCCCATGACACCGCCTGGTCCAGACAAGGGCAAGACACAGGCGAAAATTAAATCACACGAGGAAGGCGCGGGCTTGTCTGGACGGCCAAAGTCAGCGCATGCGTCTACCAGCCTAGGGCTAGGGGCGGTTTTACAATCTAGTACTTCCGCCAATGCTAGCGTTGCGAAACGGGCGAGTCGGAAGCTGAGCTTCTCTGCATTCCCGTTTACCCGCAAGGACAAGCAGCGAGATAAGGGGAAAGAGCAGGAATAAGTGCCCAGGCCTGGTGACCCACCCACTCCCCGTCCCTCGCTCGTCCAGAGCCAGACGCACGTTGGACTTGTATTCCATGGTAAAGATGCGTTTATCTGCATCTTCCTTAATGATCTTTGTTCCCATTTTCTTGCTTTCGCAGTTGCCTCGTGGAAGGTTTGAGTCATCTATTTTAATTACAATCGCATACGCTGTTTTATTCGCGCATCATACCATGGTCGCTCGTTTATCTCTATATCGCTGCGTTCAGCTGCCTGTATCAATTCCATGTTGTATGTTACAATGACCAGAGACAAACGACAGTGAAGTCATCGCGGACTAAGGTATCCTAATATACAATCGGTCAAGTAATTAGTTCGTCGGGTCCTTTATTATCATACGGGTGCCCAAAACGTCTCCAAGAGAGCATACGCTATCATCTAGTATAATTCACAGATCGAGCATGCGTTCATCCTCCAGAGGGATGGGATAACGCTGCCCATCCCTCGCTACAACATAAATTTGAGTATATGGCCAATCGAGCATAGCCACTTCAACTCACCTTCCAATGGGGTTTGTGCCATATCAAGCACAAACAACATGGTATCGTGTGGCTTGGAATAAAAGATACGTCCAGTGCTCTCGTCCCAGGCTATCGCCGTCACACCATCGCGAATATGACGCAGAATATGGGAAGGCAGGTCAAACTGTCCCAAGATATTCTCGCGGTGCTTGGGAACGTTTCGGAGGACATTCTGCAGCGTCTCGCGCCGCATAATGCTATATGCATCGTCACCTCGTCTCGATAGAAGATGACCGGAGAAATTGCGGACCGAAAGAGTGTCCGAGCGATTTTCGCGAGGAATGGAGTAGAATAAAGAGCGCAGAGACCCTGGCATGACGAATGTTCTGCATGTTGTTCGGGAGTCGTTGTTTTTGAAGGTTAGGCGATGCGTCATGTTGGACTTCAGATTCGCGATAGCGTAATGCGGCTTCCCTGTAGATTTAAACGCCTCGGGAGCGTTCTCTCGTGGGGTTGGCGAGATAGACATGTGACATATACGACCCCCGCTTTCATTCCTGTAGAAAATATTGATGGGAGGCGGCAAGAAATTAGTGTCGCCACCATGGTCCTTGGGCACATGTGGGTCACTTATTTGGAAGTCTTCAATGTCTTTCCCGTAAAAGGAGGCAAGTGAAAGCGGGTTGAACTCTCCAGCTTCTATATCCCCAGGTTCAGGCGCAGGAAACATGGCGACGGTGAACATGACATCAGGAATGATAGGTGGACCGCCGGGGGAGGGATTGGCTGGTGCCAACTGCGGACGGTTCGTAGAACGAACGACGAGAATCTGCCCCTGCAAAGGTAATAGCCGGAGGTTACAGATAGGTTGCTCCTTCGAGAAGTTAAGAACAGCCTTCGCGGTAAGAAAAAGGACTATACCTGTTGTGAAAGCGTGGCTTCACGCGCGCATTTAAAAGCAGATATGTGGCCACCAGAAGTCAGTTCTTTCATCACAATTGTTTCGGGCATCTTGGCAACAACCATGTTCGGAACGCCATCGACTTCACCAAGGTCCACGTTTCGAAGCTCCGAATCGCTGCGAAGGTGACCGAGAAGGCGAAATGGCGGGGGTTGTGTTGCGGCGAAGTCGAAGAACTCCTGAGAACCAGGCACGAGAACAGGGTTTCCTAACGCATCTAGTGCGTCCAGAGAAATTTGCAAACACGTCGCGACATACTTCAACGGCATAGGAGCATCGATTTGACACCTCGGGTTGTTAAAGTACGCATTATATGTGGAGGGATCGATACTTGGTCGGCGGTCAGTATTGGAAGGTACACTCCGCGACACAATCAGGTCTCACCTGTTAGCAGTTTTATGACTTTTCAGCGTCTTGCGGCGGATATAGCCGATAAGTATGCTCGGTGTGCCTTCCACGTTCATGTACTTGGCACATATGTGATATGCTTTCCCTTTCACGGGTGTTTCTGCCAGAGGAACGATCCCGGAGATACGGTGATCAAGAACATATACAACCAAGCTGTAGTGAGTTTTGGCAAGATTGCATGCGGAAGCAACAAGGTATTTTCCTCCTGGAAGTACGACCATTGATAGTATATGCCTGTGTGCCTGCACAGAAAGGACAGAGACGGCAAGCGGATTTGGCAGAATCCAGTTCTTGTGAACTGTAATGGCGCGGATGACTAGTCGTTCAGCTTCAAACGAGGTCAAAAAATGAGGTGAATATCGCAGAGAAGGCGGTAACGCAGGTCCATTGGGTCCGATCCTTTTCAGAAATCGCTTCCATATTATACCATGATGCGTGAGGTTGTAAAACAGTTTGTTTACCTGTAAAAAGAAGCTTAGTGGCAGCAAGCAGATGCAAAGTAAATGGTACCATTCGTAAGCATAGAATATCCTCCACCATCAGATAGTCGAAGATATGATCGACCAATATGTCGTCAGAAAGCATATTCAAACTTGGAAAACCACTCCAATCTTGGTGGACTCGCGCACCCCAAGTTCCTGTACTGATTCGTTCACTTGCTGCCAGAGTAAGAGCAAGAGAATGCTGGAGAGATGAGGCGAGAAATCAGAGAGAATGGGCCGTACATGGTTGGGAAAAGAAACAGAGAACGTCATGACTCGGTGGAGTGATATTTCAGTCAACTGGTCTTGTTTTCATTTTCGCGACGCTTACAGCGGAGAAGTGGACCGTTGTAAAAAAAAAATACAACCATGGCGACGGTCTAAGTAATTGAAAATACAAGGACTAGAGTGCAGCAGAAAGTGTAGACAAGGTGAGGAGGTCCTCGATGTCACGTGACTCGGCCTGTATCAAATTACAACTACAACACCTTCCTAAAACGATTTGTTTCCGCATTGACACGTGACCCGCAGACGCCCAAGTTCCTCGAGAAACTTGCGAGAAGACGGTCGTAAGTGTGGCAGACTAGGTATGCATGCGTACTGTCAGCGCACAAGATGCGCAGAGTGACGTATACTGTTGTTTTTCCTGCAATTTGAATATCATTTGAACTATGCCTCAGGCCTTATTGTCGGCGAACTTAAAGATCTCTGGTGATGGCATGATTGGCATCTGAGCAGTGGCGCTATAAATGTTGGGAAAATAGCGGGCGGGGATTTCGTCAGTTTATTAGATTTACCGCAAATCCTGCAATGGTTTATTGCTATCGCCTAAACCAGCGGGTTTTCGTGTGTGGGCAATATCATATCTGTTGAGCAAAATCTACTCCTTCAATACTTATACATCATAATGATACAAGCAGGCTACACTGCGATAACTGTCTTGATACACGTAAAATATACCGTCAATCGCTGACTTTGACTACGAGTTTCCCTGTAGTTTTTCCACCGGTCAGGTCGATCTGCGCCTGTTGTACCCCCTCTGCAGTAAATGGATATTCCTTGAAAACCTGTGTCTTTAAGGTGCCGTTAGCGAGAAGGGAGAACAGCGTATTTCCGTAGTAGAGCACTTCTGCTAGGGTAACTATGTAGTTGGCCATGCTGTAATACCTGAGCGTGAGCATACTATAGATCGATTGATGCAAAATCGTTGGGCGCACCTAGGCCGAAGAAGTTTCAAATTCTTTTGCGCGAGCTTTATGGGTGGGAATGGTGGAACGGCTCCCGAAGCATTACCCACTGAAACAAGGGTGCCTTTCCGCCTGACCATTAGAAAGTCGGACTCGAACCTGCATCAAAGCTCAATTCCAGTTGAAAATAATATAAAACAGCGATCTTTACGTGTCTTTACCCACACCATCAAAGATTGCATGGACGCCCTCCCCATTTGTAAGTTCCAGTACACGAGAAACCGTGTCCTCACTCTTATACAAGATAACGTGGTCCGCCCCGTTAGCCTTCGCAAGGGCAGCCTTTTCTGGTGTTGAGGTCGTTCCTATGACGGTCGCTCCTCGCGACTTAGCGAGCTGCGTCATGAGTAGTCCAAGACCACCTGCCACGGTGTGAATGAGGATGATGTCATCCTTCTGTACGTTGTATGCTTCTTCCATGAAGGAAATAGCCGTCAATCCTTGCTCGAGGGCTGAGACGGCCGTCAATGTTGATACCGACTCGGGGATCACGTATACCGTTTCCCAAGGTACAGAAATATATTCTGCATGCGTGCTCAGATGATCCTGTATACCGGTGAGTCACTACATGGAAGTGTATCGACTGAACACCATACAACTGCGACCCGGGAACCTTCTTTGTACCCACGTTTCTTGTAGTCCGGGTTGTTCAAGACGAACTCGTCCGTAGGCAGTCCAACAACTATGCCGCCGGTTTCCCTCCCAATCACGAATGGGAATTCAGAGGGTGAATATACCCCTTCTCTGTCACACACTTGAGCACGTTCCTCGGGACACTTGAGACGTTTGGACACTTGCCTGTAATAGGTGTCGATGAAATTGACACCAAGATATTGGACCTACTCGCAGCACGGATTGAGTAAACATTAACAGTCGCAGAGTCTTGGTAACGATTGCACCTTTACGACCAAATGATTGGGGGCTACTTTTGGGAAAGGGATTTCGCGTTTCTCAATGACCTCGGGTCCACCCGTCTTTGAGATCGCGATGGCTTGGACTGTTGACGGATAGGACATCCTAAAGTTGCAGTTGAGAACTGGCGAGCGAGAGTGGAGAGTCGGTGAGTGACAATTATCATGCACTTGGGAGGATGTGATACAAAATCCAGTTCCTCTGGGTACTAGATAAGGGTTGTCGGTGCTGATGGATCATGTGCATGAACCTAGATTCCTAAGTAAGTAGTGCGATGTGTACTTCCAAGGAACTGCCACGTACTCAGAGTGACATATTCAAGGCTATGTGCTGTACGAGAGCATGATCAAGCAGCACTTCTGATTTCAAACGCTTGATTTAGGAGTTCGTCGATGCAGATAGACTTTCCTAGGACTAGAGTGCAGCAGAAAGTGCAGACATGAGGAGGTTATACAAACTATGTACAACACTTTCCTAGTCTCCGCAGTGTCCGCACTGACACAGTCGTCGCGACACTTGAACATTGAATATTGAATACTGACCGTCGGTGTCAGCGCACAACTTGCGCAAACTACAATTTTGCGTGTCATTTGAACCAGGCCTCCGGCCTCATTGTTTGAACTCAAAGGCCTCTGGTGATGGATCTGGGTAGTGCGTGCTATAAATGTTGGGTAAATAAAGCAGGCGGCAATTTCGTGAATTTTCGTCGGGCTTATCAGATTTTGCAAACTCTGCAATGTGTTGTTTATTGCTATCGCCGAAAACAGCGGGTCTTCGTGCGTGGGCAATACATATCTGTCACTGGAACAAAATACACTCCTTCAATACACCATAATGATACAAGTGGGTTTAAGTACTGGGGTAGCTTCGGTCTTGGTGACGTAAACATTCCGTCAATCACTGACTTTAACCACAAGTTTTCCTGTAGTTTTTCCACTGGTCAGGTCGATTTGCGCCTGTTTTACCCCCTCCGCAGTGAATGGATATTCCTTGAAGACCTGTGTCTTTAAGATGCCGTTGGCGAGAAGGGAGAACAAGGCATTTCCGTAGTAGAGTACTTCTGCTGGGGTAAATGTGTAGTTGTTCATGCTATAATACCTGAGCATGAGCACATAAATTGACTGATGCAAAGTTATTGGACGCACGTAGGCCGAAGAAGCTTCAAGTTCTTTTGAACGAGCTTTATGGGAGGGAATGGTGGAACGGCTCCCGACGCATTACCCACTGAAACAAGGGTGCCCTTCCGCCTGATCATTAAAAAGTCGGACTCAAACCTACATCAAAGTTCGATTCAAGTTAGAAAAAAAAAAGAGAAAGCCGTAGGTTCGACCCTTACGTGTCTTTACCCACACCATCGAAGATGGCATGGACGCCCTCCCCATTTGTAAGTTCCAGTACACGGGCAACGGTATCCTCGCTCTTATACAAGATCACATAGTCCGCCCCGTTAGCCTTCGCAAGGGCAGCCTTTTCTGGTGTTGAGGTCGTTCCTATGACGGTCGCTCCTCGTGACTTAGCGAGCTGCGTCATGAGTAGTCCGAGACCACCTGCCACGGTGTGAATGAGGATGATGTCACCCTTCTGTACGTTGTATGCTTCTTCCATGAAGGAAATAGCCGTCAATCCTTGGACCAGGGCTGAGACGGCCGTCAATGTTGATACCGACTCGGGGATCACGTATACCGTTTTCCAAGGCACAGAAATATATTCCGCATGCGTGCTCAGATAATCCTGTATACCGGTGAGTAACTACATGGAAGTGTATTGACTGGACACCATACAACTGCGACCCGGGAACCTTCTTTGTACCCACGTTTCTTGTAGTCCGGGTCGTTCAAGACGGACTCATCCGTAGGCAGTCCGACAACGACGCCGCCGGTTTCCTTCCCAATCACGAATGGGAATTCAGAGGGTGAATATACCCCTTCTCTGTCACACACTTGAGCACGTTCCTCGGGACACTTGAGACGTTTGGGCACTTGCCTGTAATAGGTGTCGATGAAATTGACACCAAGATATTGGACCTACTCGCAACACAGATTAATCATTAAACGTTAACAGTCGCAGAGTCTTGGTAACGATTGTACCTTTACGACCAAATGACTGGGAGCTACTTTTGGGAATGGGATTTCGCGTTTCTCAATGACCTCGGGTCCACCCGTCTTTGAGATCGTGATAGCTTGGATAGCTGACGGATAGGACATCCTGGAAGTTGCAGTAGAAAACTGGCGGGCGAGAGTGGAGAGTCGGCGAGTGAGACTTATCATGCAATTGGGAGGATAGCTTGGGAGGATGCGATGTACTGTAGATAAGAGTTAGTCAGCGTCTTGCAATGCATCTTGGTCATGAGATGAATGTGAAGACAATAATACTTCACGCGGAACACCGTGGCCATGCGGTCAACAAATTTGAGTCAAAAACAAGTCAGAAAGATTGAAGCAAGCCGATATACGTATTTACATTACATAAATACAGTTGTAGACTATTATGTACGACGTAACTGATGGATCATATGCATGATGTTAAGTAAGTAGTGCGATGTGCACTTGCAAGGAACTGCCGTGTAGTGGCAGACGTCATATTCAAGGTTATATACTGTACGAGAGCAAAATCAGGTAGCACTTCTAACTTCAAACGCTTGGTTTAGGATTTCGTAGATGAGATGGATTTGTTCATTCCTCTGGACCATCCCAGGTCTTTGCTCTCGTAAGCTGTCGATCTCTTGTGCTATAAGGTCTTCCTGAACCTCCTTTGGTAGGGGACCCAGCGGAGAGATAGGCAAAGAGGACACAGGAGGAGGAGGTGCGAGGGTATTGAAGGGCGGATTGACACTCAGAAGATGGTATGCGCGTAGCAATGATGACATCGCGATGAATGATCCCGTCCGCCCGATGCCGGCAGAGCAGTTGACCATGATAGGAGGATCTGGATCTGGGTTTGTGGATGGAGGAAGTGAAGAGGTATCCTTGTTAACACGATCCACAAGACGAACGAAAGCAAGAAGGCTAGCTCGATCCTCATCCTCAGGAACCCCATGGTCTGGCCATGCAGCATACAGCAGATGTGTAAACACCACAGCATCCTGTGGATTTGTCGAAGTGACAGGAACGATGGAAACCTTGCTCTGCACACAGCAGGCTTCATCAATTCGCTTGCTCTCTAGTAGCGTCACCTGCAGCACAGGCGCATCGCTTGTAGGATCCGGGTTCGACAGCATTGATTGGCCAGGGGTGGAGGGAAAGTAGGTATGAGCTTTCTGTCGTCCTCTCTCCATATTTAGGGTGAGCTGAACGATAGTCCGCACGCGACTGGGAGAATGCATACGGGGAGAATTGAGAGATGCTGGAGGAGCAGAAATTGGTTGTAAGATGGCACTGAGGAATACATGCGACGTGCGCAGAAGGGGTGCCTGGGTAGCAATCCATAACTTCCCGCCATACAACTCTCGCACCCAGCTTGCATTGAAATACCTTCCCTTGCTACCCTCGGCTCCGATGCTGCAGTGACTGCCTTTCAGATCGCCCACTACAACGCGTGTCCGATCATATGGTTCAATGTTGGAGTACCGATTGGCGACTCTATTGTCTGGATGACGACCTATTACGATAGAGTAGTGTGTGATGGGGTCGATCTTTCCAAGCGCGGAGGTCAATGCGTGCTGCCCGCGCGCAAGAAGTGACGTAGAAGGTGGTTCTGTGAGAGATTGAGTTCGCATGTGATCGCGAGCATATTCACGATTAGACAACGCGGAGCAAACAGTTTCGGATATAAACTGTGAATCATTTTCTAATGCTCTAAAAAGCCAAGAGGGTATCGATGTCGATGTCGCAGCCATTGAAAAGATGGAAGGCGCTGAAGGGTGAGTCGACTGATATTATAGATATTTGATATCTTCCTGTGCGTGAGAAAAACTTGCTAGTTCTATCGGCTTAGGATGGGTCGGAGTCCTACAGCACGCTCATGAAGAGCAACGATGGATAACAGTACTAGTTATGTATCGTTGATATCAACTAATCCACAGGATGTCAAGTCAGTGATTATTTCGCGGGGGAAAAATTTGGTCCTCACAATTTGGCTACCAGAGTCGGTTCCACGTTGGAGAAATCCACGGGGAAGAAACACCTCACGGACAATAACCCAGAAACGTGCTGGACATCACGACAGGTACAACGATGTTTCCTCGTTCTGGGACCTCATTGACCTCGGATATTGGTAGGGTCCTGGGCAATATATCCATCTAACGTTCGAAAAGCCAGCGATACCCAAGCGCGTCACCATCATCTTCCAGGGCGGATTTGTCGGAACTAAATGTAGAATCGATGTCTCCGCGGCATCAGATAGGCCCGAATGGCAGACATGGACATATATCCATCCCGAGGATGTGAACAGACGGCAAATTTTCGAGTTGATAACCCATGGAGACAGATTACAAGGGAAGGGGATTCAAAGCATGAAGCTCGTCTTCGAGGAGAGTTCAGATTTCTATGGTAGAATCACAATATATGAGCTAAAAATTGAAGGCCTCTTACTCTGAATTAAAAGCTCACTGGAGTCAATGCGGCTCTTGAAGCTTGAATGGTCTTCTGTGTGTCAGGAAAAAAATGTGACTTGCGTTCAAAGTCCCAGTGCATGTGAACAAGAGCATCCGAGGGATGTAAAACCTGACGGAGGTCAACAAACTCAAACACTTTTCCTCCTTCCTCCATTCGATGATGACTGTCCAATACTCATATTCAAAAATATTGTCTACACCTACCGTCACCTATACCTGAAATCATATGCAGGTTCATACGAGTTTGCCTCCAGAGGGTGAGGCAGCCTGCCATACGCAACGGGCGGCGCGCCCCGTATCTCATCAAATTTGACATGTACACCACGCGCCGCAAAGTGGAGGAGAAGAATAGATCATGGTGATATATAATATCCGGTCTTGACCCATGGTTGGAAATTGGTACGAACCTTTGAACCGCATACATCGTGATTCCACGCTCCATTGACCTCTATATGCTATCCCGACGTGGTGATATGCCTTGATTTGTTTCCCCCGTTCGCTCCTTAATTCCGTCTCCATGTTGAACCACGAACGATCGTGGGTGTAAATATTGCCTCCTCCACGTTTGGCCGTACTTTGCAAGATACCAATGTGCTCGATTGACTCCATTAGAAGTATTTACATAAAGCCCCGCAAGATTTTAGAACAGATTCTTCAAGGTGCAGATGCAGACGCAAGCACAAATCATGTGCACTTCCAGTAAGACACAGCGGCACTACACGCTATTTCAATGCGAGTACTGCCAGCGGACGTTTGAGACTTTTGAGTCATTCAAACAATAGCATCGGATCATGGATGCAATAGCTTTAAGTGACCTGTCGGAGCTCAAACAGTTTTATCCCTCCTCCATGCTCTCCAGGAAGATAATCGTAATTAACATTATAGCACGCAGCACCCGTTCGATGACGACCTTCTAATAAGTATCAAAATTCTACGCCGCCGTCACCACACCCGAACTATCTAACAGACAGCTTGTCATACGCGCCTGGCGGCGTGCCCTTTTGATATGGATATTTCATGTGCGCTACGCACCAGAAGGCAGACGGACGCGGAGGGGAAGAATAGGAATGCCAGAAGTATATCATAGCCGGTCCTTACCGATGGTTGGAATATTGGTACGAGACTTCGAAGGTCGAACTGCACACATTTTCTGGATTTCGTATCCCATCGGTTTCAATTTTGTTCTGACGTGGTGATATTATTCTCTGTTCGCTTCCTTATTCCGTCTCACCACGAACGTGGGCGGAAATTCTCGTCGATGTTTGGCCGCACATCGAAAAATACCAATGCACTCGATGCGGATATCAAACATGGCTCCGTGTGCTCAAAGTTCATTTGCTCACTAACCCATGTCCTGTGTATGCTGTCGCTCCAGACCTCTGGGCTCAGGCCGCGTCAGGGTGTGCGGATGCCCTTCTGTACCTTGTTACGAGCAGTGCAATACAATGCCCAAGACCACTATAAAGAGGTTCTTCAACGCTGTCCGGAGTTGATAATGTCGATAAGCGATCTTTTGCTCTAAGTTTCCCTTACCGTTGACTATATCTTCCGTTCTTCCGGACCAGAAAAATTATCCCTCGCAATTGGTATCCTCTTGCCACTCTTCGTGACCGCATATACGGGCACTAAAAATGAGATCAGGTGTAAGCTCCTAGTAGGGTGGCAAAGGCATACATTTCCATAAATCGACTATGTTTGGAAGATGGCGAACCCCTTTAATTTGTGCGGTTGGAAACAGGAAAGTAATGGTCTCTTCTGTGTCGTCGTTGGATGAGTCGAGTTCCATGATAGGATGCTACAGCGTATCAAGCACGAAGCCAGAAAAAATAATTTAAATGCTCAAGGTGATATCACGTTTGTACATCCAAATCTCTCAGTTGCTTTGCCTGGACTTGAACCGTCCACTGCACTTCGTGTAAGTGTCTTTGTTTTAAAGTTGTAGACCAATTTACCAAGTAGGCTGTTCCTCAAAGCACCTCTCAAAGCACCTCAATAAATTACGGAGATCTAATAGATCTCGTCGCTCATGAAGGGGATTACGATTATTCAAACCCTCGCTGAGCCAGACAATATACTCTGGAGTTCCCCATCGGACAATTGTTAGCCCCTGATGGGGCACAAAATCCACAGTGGGCTTCTCGTCTTTGTATCGCGAACGGTGGACGCACAACACAACGGGTCGAGCAAAAGACCACCGTCCGTTTTGGTGAATAATGGTGGTCCACAGTAAATCTTCCATGAAAGGAATGTCCACTCAGTACAAGCAGCGCGGGGGTACTTTCAAAGCGGTCGTCGACCCACATATAAATATGCTCTGGTGGCCTTGATCCTCTCTCTCATACCCACTAGCCTCCACCTCTATCTGCCACTGCGAACGCGTCCGCACTTCAACTATCGAGTGAATACCTGCTGGATCAGGTACGTCTATCCTCATCTTCAACACCTACGTTTCCTAACTATACCTACATTTTACCTCTAGAATGGACCACGCACACACCCCTTCGCATCCTTCCTCATCGCACGCTGCTCACAGTGCTGCCCTGCCCCAAGGAAACACTAACGAACTTAATCCGAATCCTGGAATGTATATGGGTATGCCCTGGTCCCAGCCGGCATATGCTCCTCAGCACTACCTTCCCTATCCGTCTCAACACTACCTTCCGCCACCCGGCAATGCCACAGCGCAAGGGAACGACCCCTACAGCTTTCCGCCTAACATGGTGCCTGCCGCTGCTCCCCCATATGCCCCAGTCGCGTCGTCCTCGGGCGTGGGTGCTGGGAATGCGCCTTCGCTCCCTTCACAAACTTATCCTTATTCTCCCCAGCTAGTCGACATCGAGCGTTCCACATCCATTCAGTCTTTTGTTAATGGAGCGTTACATCCGGCAGTTTCGCTGCCCCAAGAACATGCCACCGCGCCTGTTCAGTACTATCAACCTCCATTGCCCTCAGGAGGCTTTGCCGGGGTTCCGCCCGCTTACCAGGTCCAGGCGTTTCACCAGCAAAACATGCCTCCGCCCATATCCCAACAGCCCTACCTCGCGCAGCCTAACGGTGCCGAACTCACAATGACCTCTGCTTCCTACTCTCTGCCTCAAGCACCTGCATCTTCGGTGTCGGCCGGTCAAAAGCGTGTCGCGGAAGATCTTGGGGACGACAAAGCAAGCAAGAAAAGCAAGCTTCCAAAAAAGATATCGAATGACCCGGAATTTGTGAGTTTCCTTTGCATCATGTAAGGTAGAATTCTTAGTTTTGGGACAGGTGCAACTGCCAGACGAGAATGGTCGCCGGGTCATCAAATGCTTGAGGTGTGATGAAAAAATGAATTCTACGAGCTATGGCAAGCACATCCAGACGTTAAAACATCGAGGCCTCACAGAAGGAGAATTTATCTGCGGTTGTGGCCACCCGTGCGTATTTCCACTCTCAAACAAGCGCGTTTTATAATAGTTGTGATCAGGTATAGCAGGATAGATGCTCTGGAGAGGCACTGGAAAGATTCTCCCTGTGGCAAGAAACGCAAGATGTGCAAACGGCCATCCTCCTCAATCCCTAGTCAAGGCTCGACGAGTTCCGCTTCTGCTTCGCCTGCGGCATTCCCCACCGCTCCTTTCACCTTCCATGCTCCTGCAGCCGACGTGTCAATGTCCAGTGGCTCGATGACGTCCAACGTCGCAGAGTACGTGCACATCTCGCCCCAGGTTACGAAATCGCAGGAAACGACCACTCCCGCGGATCCCTTACTGTCCGCCCCTGTTGAAAGCGTAGACCCTGTTGTGACAGCCCTGTTCACGGGGTGGGCATTGACGGAGCTAGAGAATGTGCAATTACCGCCTCAAGCAAATGAGGTTCCGTCGTCGCAGGAAATGGACGTTCTTACGGACCCCCTCTGGGCAGGCGCGTCCCCTGATCAGGTGGCCGAATTCATGCAGTACTATGACGCTCTTATATCCCAAGAACTCCTTCAGAATTAGCATCTTTCTCCTTCTGCCCCCCGTCAACGACGGGATATGGCGTTCGTTCATATTTCACTTGCGATATTAATTATCTGCTTTATGTTTTGATGTATGCTGGGCACTCATCGATGTATAGTGATACTATTTCGCTTTTCCACGAACTACACACGTTCACTTTGTACTCTATGGCATAGCGCATTCCCCCACACATTCACTTTGTATTATATGGCATAGCGCACTACTCTTCGTTCTTTATTAGTCAGTTATTGGCAATATACACATTCATTATGGCTGGAATACCGCTTGGGGAAGGACGCAAGTACTGGTACTAACGAGATTGAATGGTTTGTGATACTACCTCCCAGTCCGTTGGGCAAGACACAGTTGACTTGAAGCTTCAATAATAACTATCATACTAATAGTTTCATTGTCGTACTAATAATTCCGATCAGAAATATTTCTGTGGTTCGCACAAAGATTCAATTCCAAATGCAGATGCGAGCGCAAATCATTAATAGACACGAGGCTCAACCAAATTAACATAGCGGCACTACAACAACACGAGGTAAACTATTTCGACACGGAGCGGACCCACAATGCGCTCAACGTGACGAAGTCTCTTCAGCGGAGGCCAGCTATGTAGCAGTATGGAAGGCGTTCTAATGCCTGTGGTGGGTGTTCCTGCGGGTCCTCGTGCCCATGGTTGCCGCGGGCGTGCCAGATGCGACGAGAAGCGGAACGGAGATGGGTAGGGATGGGATGGGCAACGATACTGGGAGAGAATGAATCTTGCTAGCAATGGCGCTTGTCACCGTAGAAGCAACCGCAAGGGGGGAAACGGAGCCTGTCACCATAGCAAGAGCAGGCTTGCCTGAGGCGCTGGTAGATGAGGCACGTACTGAGCCTGAAGAGTTGGCAGATGGAGTACCCGCGGAGCCTGAAGACGATGGTGCAGATGCTGGAGGTGTCTGGCGACGGTGATTGTGGTGCCCACGACCCGGGTGCACATCAGCCTGCTGATGAGCAGCCAATGCAGAGGCGGCGGCGGTTGACGCCTGAGAAGGGGAGGCTGACGCATTAGAAGGAGGGGATGACGCCTTAGAGGGGGAGGCAGTCTGAACAGTCAACGAGGAGGAGTAAGACGTGTCGCCGCCGACTACATCTACTGCGCCCCGTGGAAGGCCCGCCGTAAGGGTTGACAGGGGGATGGGCAAGTCAGCGGTCGGCGGGGTGATGGGAAGGCTAATAGGTAATGAGATGGGGAGGCTAATAGGTAATGAGATGGGAAGGCTAATAGGCAAGCTAGGGGGCAAGGCAGCGGCCGCATGGATAATGGTCTGTGCTTCTTGCGCTGATGCAACTGGTAGATTGAGTGAGCCAAGAATGGACTGCAGGATACCAAGCAGAGAAGAGAGGAGGTCGACGCCACGCCCATGCACCTCCGCTACATGCGTAGAAAAAAAAAGTTAGTGAAAATTCGTAGATGATGTGCAGGAGGGAGCTGACCATGACGCGGTGGGGCATTTGGATTGGAGACACTGACGGGTAAGCCATGGACGCTCCCGGAAAGCAGCAGAGCAAATGTGAATACGACAAAGGTGATAGAGAGGGATAGAAATCGCATTGTAAGGATATATAGAAAGGGTCGTGAATGTCGTTAAATGGAGTGTTAGAGTGAATATGTGATAGATAAAAAGCGGGAAGAGATGTGGGTGAGGATCCTAAAGGTAAGGACGGGTTTTTATACTTTTCAGAATGGCGGCTGACAGAGATATGCGCGGTGACGGTGAAACCTGTTGACGATGACGTCCATGTAGTGATTGCAAACCAAACTCCGGGCTAGAACCCGAATCGTGACCACAGGTGAGCTGTCGGCAGGCGTAGCATGTCTCAGACGAGAACCTGTGGTTGTTCTTCTGCGTTTGCCAACGCGTTGGATTGTGAATAGGTCTGTCGCAGCACGGCTGAGGCACCCGTCGACATCATGAGGAGGCACGAACGGGTGAAACATATGACCCGTGGGTCGTTATATAATTCCGTCCAAGACAAGTCCAAGACCTGCAAAGAGAGTTATTCACGGTCCTACAGAGTTTATGTTATTTTCTCCAAATGCTCTCAGTCTCCTCGAGCTTGCAGTATCAGTTATTTGGATAAAGAACTAAGTAGGATTGACCACATGGATGATGACAGGAAACGCCATCCTAGGCCTGCGAAGCAGAGCTGATCACGAGCAAATTGACGGTCCAGCACTGAATTACCTAAGCGTTGCCAAAAGCGGAGGAGTCGCGTCTGCGACGAGCTGTGGACGGAAAATTCTGGGGACGGTCGGCGTAGGTAGAGCGGTCGAAAATGTAGTTTCGCTGAGCTTCCGAAGCGTCTCCTGCGGTGCGATCGCGCAGCAGAGAGCTTGCACGACGTTTCGCCACCGTGCGGAGTCCTGGTAAGCGTTGCCGAGCGGGATTCGAAACGTGGTGATCCCACGCGCACAAAGCGTGCGGTTCTCCGCGAAATTCTGACAGCTGCAGCTTCGGGTCGAGAAATTGACGGTCCCAACTCCGCTCGGGTTCCCAATGCCAGCAGCCACAAATTCGCGGCAACCGTCCTGGCAGCATGCTCGCCTCGCCGGCACTTGCCATACATTCTCAGGCATTTTCTCGTGCTCATCCTGACCTCCGGGACACATTTTATTGAGTCTAGATACTTCATGAATATATCTTTTCGCCCATCTCAGGACTGTACATCCAGGACTGCAAACCCCACCAAAAGGACCGTCAATTTTTCAGACTATTGCAATTGAGGACTCAGAACTTCAGAAGTGCCAGCGGCCAAGTACTAGGTTGATCAAACCATGGTGCATGCATACATGATGCAAGATAAGTCTGAGCAGCCGCATCTCCTCATTTCCTTCGGCTTCTTGGAATTCCAATGGCCGGATGATTAGCGCCTAGCCAACGTGTTGGTCAGGCCTGTGGTCTGAATCAAGGGTATTCATCCGTTCAATCCCTTCTCACAAGTACTACTCAAGCCTTGCACCCCACTTCGCTCACACTAATACAAATACGATTTGACTCCTCGTAATGAGTGAAGAATATAGGTCAGAACCTCAAGAAGCCTCCAGATCCCGCGAAGCAACCGCTGGTAAAAGCTCAGTGCGTAGCCTCGTGTAATCATCTGGTCGGATGAGCCCTCATGAACATCTGCCTCTGATGCGTTCTTCATCCAGAGCAAACGCCGTGGCAGAGCCCGTCAGGCCCTGGAGAACGGCCTGGGGAAATTGTCGGACAGGATTTCTGTAGGTCGCCGTGAATGCTTTGCTGGAATAAGTTCTGATCCTGTGCAGAATACCTTCAACCGTTCCCGCAGCCGCCTCTCTGTTTCCCAGAACGTCGATCATGAAGGTCCTTCATCGGATCACAATGTCAGGGTGAGTGCTCAAACCATTGTTACAGTCTCTCGCTTATCTGAGGTACCTACCCTAAGGATCCGTTACTTCTGCATCCTTCTGACAACACCCATCCCACCACGTCTGAGAATCCCAGTGTCCGCATTGATCAAGTACCGTCCGCAGAACCTGCTTCGCAGGTACCTTCGTCCAACGATCTTGGACAATCAATTCCTGTGGTCGCACAGGTTCAGGCTACCGCTCCTGCCGTGCAGGAAGGTGCTGGTCCCAAATCGGTTGATGATGAACTTAGGGATGCCCGCGATGCTGCGGAAGGCATGAAACTACTCGGGGAACGTGCCACTTCTGCGGTGTCCACCGCCAACAATGCCCCAGCAGGTCTCGCTGCCGCAGACGATTTTCAGACAACATATCTCCAACCCCTCAGGATTTTCGACACTGTTATCGGGAAAATTGCGGATGTAAGAGCGATTTCTGATGATTAAAACGGAACTAATCCTGTTGCGCAGGTACATCCATATGCTAAGATGGCTCTTTGTGCGCTATCTTCTGCGTCCAAAGTACGTGTTTTCGCCCTGATTTTTATCTCCTACTCAACAGCTATCGATTATGTACAGATTATTCTCGCTCAAGCAGATCGCGACCAATCGGTACTTCGTCTTCTCACGAAACTAGATGAAGTGTACGGCTTCATGACTCAAGAGGACACTCTTGGGCAGATTTCATCCATGCACACTATCGTCGGACGGATCGCTCAGCAGACTCAGGAGTGCGCGCGTTTCATCAGGGATTACTCTGAGACAAAGAGCTATTGTGAGTAGTCGACCTATTGCACTTCGCACGTTGTGAATCTTATACCATTACCATAGGGAAGAGACTCGGGAAAAACATCGTCTCTGAAACGGATGATATGATTACTCGGTACAGCGCCGCTTTAGATGAGCTTATGCAACAATTTCGGGACCAAACCCTTCGGGACGTAGCCATCTTCGTTCAATGCACGGGTAAGAATTCGGACGTGCTTCCGACTCTGCATTCACTCACACGCCTTCAGGTGAAACAGTGGATCTCGGCGATATGGCTTACGCAAAGGGTGCAGGACTAGATACTAGGAAACAATGCCTACCAGGGACGCGCACGGAGATTCTCTCCCAGATTACGGAATGGATCAACAGCAGTGGAGATGCTGCCCAGCGTGTACTGTGGTTATCTGGCCCTGCAGGCACGGGCAAATCAGCCATCGCGCACACAATCGCTAATTGGTTCAATGAGACGGGAGGGCTCGGTTCATGTTTCTGCTTCGACCGGCACCTCGAAGCCGATGATCGTCACCAAAAAGTTTTTTCTACCATCGCTCGCGACCTCGCTGACCGTGATCCGGCGATGAAACGAGCATTGGCGGATGCAGTCAAAAATGCCACTTCACTCAAGAATACGACGGATATCATTCAGCAGTGGCGCAAGCTTCTCATGGAACCGCTCAAGAAGTTCTCTGGGTCGAGTGTGGGACCAGTCTTGATTGTGATTGAAGCACTGGACGAGAGCGGCAGAGTGGAGACGCGGCGCGACCTTCTCCACATACTTGCTGGTAAACTTGAGCAGCAGGGTCTTCCCCAAATCACCGAACTTCCATCCAACTTCCGGATTCTCGTCACCTCTCGCCCGCTCCGCGATATTGATGAGGAGTTTCATGGTGCCGAGCATATTCGACGGTTGTCCATGGACGACATTTCACCTGATACCGCGAAACGTGATATCCGCGCTTTTGTATCTAACGAGCTGAAAGGGCACTCGGTATTTGGGGACATAGAGTTTACAATCCTCGCTGCGAAAGCCGAGGGACTTTTCGAATGGGCGCGTCTAGCCTGCGAATATATCAAGAAAGTCCTTCCCACCGTAAACCCAATGTCTCGTTTCAATACCGTCGTCAACAGCGGTGCTGGGAAGCGGAAAAACTTGTTGTATAACATGTATCGGCTCATTTTGAGAGACATCATGAGCAGGGATCAATACGACGATGACCAGGAGTACGAAGAAGCATTAACAGGGTTTCATTCCGTGATGGGACAAATACTCAGCACGGCTGAGCCCCTCCCCTTCAATTCCCTCAATATCATGCGGGGCTTTTTTCCGGACGAAAGCAAGCACTACAACGTGGACATAGTACAACATATGGGGTCCCTCCTCAGCGGCACCACCACCAACTCATGCATCCCCATCCGGCCTCTTCATGCGTCCTTCCACGATTTCCTGACAGACAAATCAGCCAGCGGAGACTTTTTTGTCGAGGTGTCGAAGGTGCATCAACGCGACCTTGCATTTGCGTCACTTCGAGTGATGGAACATGACCTTCGTTTCAACATCTGTGATTTAACATCCTCATACCTCCCTAATTCCGAAGACACTGAGCTGCGAGAACGAATCGCAACATGCATTCCCCCACATCTATCCTATTCCTGTCGCTTTTGGGCTACGCACGTACGAGCAACGGACTTCGACGCGGAGCTCGCAATGGAAATAAGATCGTTCTTTGACAACGAGCGGCTACTGTTCTGGATCGAAGTCCTTGGCCTCCTCAAAGCCCTCAGCGGCGCGGTTGCTGCGCGTCCACTCATTGCCCAATGGCTAAATGTGAGCACATGGTTACTGGGCCGTGCCATGTAAAGTGCTGACGCACAACCACAGGGTCACTCTGGTTATAAAGATGTCTTGTCGAGTGCATTGGATTTGCAGAGATTTGTCCAAATGTTTGGCGGCATGATCTTGCACAGCACGCCGCATCTGTATGTTTCAGCGCTGCCATTCTCGCCCGTCAATTCCACCATAGCTACGAAATGTACCGCAAGATTTCCGAGCAGTCTTCGTCTGACATCTGGACGTGACTTGAACTGGACAGCTGTTCAAACTGTGATCAGAGGGCATACCGGTGGCGTGACTTCAGTGTCATTCTCGCCGGATGGGACTCGCATTGTGTCTGGTTCTTGGAACACCACTGTCTGGCTGTGGGATGCAGCAACAGGGCAGCCATTGGGTCAGCCCTTGCAGGGCCACACTTCTCCGGTTTTGTCAGTCTCGTTCTCACCGGATGGGACTCGCATTGTGTCTGGTTCTTCGGACACCACTGTCCGGCTGTGGGATGCAGCAACAGGGCAGCCATTGGGTCAGCCCTTGCAGGGCCACACTTCTCCGGTTGAGTCAGTCTCGTTCTCGCCGGATGGGACTCGCATTGTGTCTGGTTCTTCGGACACCACTGTCCGGCTGTGGGATGCAGCAACAGGGCAGCCATTGGGTCAGCCCTTGCAGGGCCACACTTCTCCGGTTTCGTCAGTCTCGTTCTCGCCGGATGGGACTCGCATTGTGTCTGGTTCTTCGGACACCACTGTCCGGCTGTGGGATGCAGCAACAGGGCAGCCATTGGGTCAGCCCTTGCAGGGCCACACTTCTCCGGTTTCGTCAGTCTCGTTCTCGCCGGATGGGACTCGCATTGTGTCTGGTTCTTCGGACACCACTGTCCGGCTGTGGGATGCAGCAACAGGGCAGCCATTGGGTCAGCCTTTGCAGGGCCACACTTCTCCGGTTTCGTCAGTCTCGTTCTCGCCGGATGGGACTCGCATTGTGTCTGGTTCTTGGGACACCACTGTCCGGCTGTGGGTTACAGCAACAGGGCTGCCATTGGGTCAGCCCTTGCAGGGCCACACTTCTTGGGTTTCGTCAGTCTCGTTCTCGCCGGATGGGACTCGCATTGTGTCTGGTTCAGAGGACACTACTGTCCGGCTGTGGGATGCAGCAACAGGGCAGCCATTGGGTCAGCCCTTGCAGGGCCACACTTCTCCGGTTGAGTCAGTCTCGTTCTCGCCGGATGGGACTCGCATTGTGTCTGGTTCTTCGGACACTACTGTCCGGCTGTGGGATGCAGCAACAGGGCAGCCATTGGGTCAGCCTTTGCAGGGCCACACTTCTCCGGTTTCGTCAGTCTCGTTCTCGCCGGATGGGACTCGCATTGTGTCTGGTTCTTGGGACACCACTGTCTGGCTGTGGGATGCAGCAACAGGGCAGCCATTGGGTCAGCCCTTGCAGAGCCACACTTCTCCGGTTGAGTCAGTCTCGTTCTCGCCGGATGGGACTCGCATTGTGTCTGGTTCTTCGGACACTACTGTCCGGCTGTGGGATGCAGCAACAGGGCAGCCATTGGGTCAGCCCTTGCAGGGCCACACTTCTACGGTTTGGTCAGTCTCGTTCTCGCCGGATGGGACTCGCATTGTGTCTGGTTCTTGGGACACCACTGTCCAGCTGTGGGATGCAGCAACAGGGCAGCCATTGGGTCAGCCTTTGCAGGGCCACACTTCTTCGGTTTGGTCAGTCTCGTTCTCGCCGGATGGGACTCGCATTGTGTCTGGTTCTTCGGACACCACTGTCCGGCTGTGGGATGCAGCAACAGGGCAGCCATTGGGTCAGCCCTTGCAGGGCCACACTTCTCCGGTTTCGTCAGTCTCGTTCTCGCCGGATGGGACTCGCATTGTGTCTGGTTCTTCGGACACCACTGTCCGGCTGTGGGATGCAGCAACAGGGCAGCCATTGGGTCAGCCCTTGCAGGGCCACACTTCTCCGGTTTTTTCAGTCTCGTTCTCGCCGGATGGGACTCGCATTGTGTCTGGTTCTTCGGACACCACTGTCCGGCTGTGGGATGCAGCAACAGGGCAGCCATTGGGTCAGCCCTTGCAGGGCCACACTTCTATGGTTTTGTCAGTCTCGTTCTCGCCGGATGGGACTCGCATTGTGTCTGGTTCTTTGGACACCACTGTGCGGCTGTGGGATGCAGCAACAGGGCAGCCATTGGGCGAGCCTTTGTGGGGGCACACTGATACAGTTTCATCAGTCTCATTTTCGCCAGATGGCACTCATGTTGTGTCTGGTTCACTTGATGGCACTCTCCGGGTCTGGTATCCAGAAAACCTACCTGTATTGCACCACTCATCACAGCCATGTGCTGGGGGGGATTCCTCTGCATTATCCCTAGATCAAAGTTGCATCATACCACCTACAGTTGACACTACCACCACATCAACCAGCGGTTGCAATCACTCAATTTGCTTCTCATCAAACTTGAACCATGCGCTACACACCCCTGCTGACCTACTTGACGGCACCTCGTATCATGAATCCCAGACAATCCCTTTCCTGCTGCGAGCTGATGGATGGACAGTAGGACCAAACCATCGGCTCCTCTTCTGGACGCCACCCACTTCGCGACCACATGTCGCCTATAATATTTCCGCTGCCTTGGTGATACCCAGAGGACATGCCTATGTCGAACTTGATTTGAGTCGCATGGCACATGGGAGGCACTGGTCGAATTGCCGAGATGCGTGAGTTCTTTAACCTTTGCCATCCATCACAGTCACTCAAATCAATACTTCTAGCAGCTGATGATAGTGTTACCGCAGCGGGATCGAATATACAGTTTGATTCTATATCCAGGATCTTAACATTAGTTACAGTGTATAATACCTCACTCGTCTCTGTCCTCGATCAAAGTCTTCTTACTTCACCCACCCACTGGCAGTAGTCTCATCACCCTCCATTTTTCGTTATTGTAGTGCTGGCTATCTCATATTTGGGTAATATGATACAATGAGTGAGTAAGTGATGCGCGAGCTCTAGCAAGATCCATCTGGCATCAACTACAACGGCCAATGAATCACCCCGCATCAGATTTCACCACACAACTCAAGGTCACCTCGCCCTCCCCATCCACCGCACACCGATATACCGCATCATCAATCTCCTGCTTCACCATTCGATGAGGTTTATCTGCGCGTTTGAATATATCTGCTTGTCCGTTAGCACAAGACTACTTGGGAAGAGGGGGGAAACGGACCCGAGGAATTGTTCGCCGACCCAGAGGCGGGGTGTGGCGTTACCTATGGGGTTGGGGTTAACGTCTCCATAGCATGCGTAGGTGCCGTATGTAAATACTGCGTTCCCACTTACGCGAGGAGTAATGCGTGGAGATGGTTCTCGCCTGTTGGTGTACTTAGGGCTGATTTGACGTGAGATCTGACGGGGAAAGGGTTGAGTGCGGTTTCGCATTTTTATGTATATGAACAAACGAAGAAAAGAAAAAAGAGAGGGAACTCACTTAGCTCCAACAATTTCCCCTCTCGCACCACCTACAGCCGCCTGCAGCATATTCCCAACCGCTTCTAGCGTCCCTCCCATCCCACAACACCGCTGGATCGCGAAACGAGTCAGCGCGTATGTCTCGCTGTCCACTCGTGTCTTCGTTCACACTAAGTTTTAAGGTCTTCTGCGCCCCCTTGAGTGTGGGCACGAATTTCAGTCCGTAACAATGCCTCCCCAGCACACGCAGCAGCCCCAGCATTGCGTTCATCATTCACTGCCCTAGCGGCACGATAATACGCTTGTCGGCTGTCTCCAAGTACATGTGTGAGGGGCGTGGAGAGTGATGCGGGTGCTGTAGGTGTGGGTGAGTGAGTTAGGGAGAGGAAGGTGGTTAGGCGGATTTCTATGGAGGTAATTTCGGAGCGTTGGGGTGGGATGAAAGATGAGAAGTGGCATTGGAATTGGAGGGAGACTTACGGCGACGAGTTCGCATAGGGGATCGGCTTACTGTGCGTTGTTTGATTTCGTCTGTCTGCGAGGGAAGCCCAGAGGGGTACTAAGCTGAATTGGTGTTAGCGTCGCTGCAGAGGTTGTGAATGACACGAAAAAAAGAAGGGAGGAAAGGGCAGTACTCACGTTAAATACCCTCTCTTGCCCCCGTTGACGATGCTAATTCCTGCTTCAGCCCAGAGCCTTCTCTTGGGATTTGTGCCAGCGGGGTCCCGTTTCGCAGTGGCACCGACAAGGAATGTGAGCGGGAGATGTATGAGTGGATTGTGTGGACAGTTAGGGGAGGTGGGAGAGGGATCTGGACGAGTAGGATTATTAGCATGGGGTTAGGACCTAAGACGAGAGAAAGCGTACAAGAACAATATAATCCTTGAAACTCTGAAGTGCTCCGCTATTGACAATGGCATAGAGTGCGACGAGTCTTTTCTTGCCGGAGAGAGTAAAAAAGGTGTTGGAGAGGAGAGTGTGAATAGTAATAGAAGCATGAGCAGGGTCTGATTGCGTGCTTTCCTCCTGTTTGGGTTCCGAATTCGAGTTGGAGCTGAGGTAATGTGCACTCGGGAATATTCACGGGAGAGAGCATTGAAATCGCGAGCTGTGATGGAGTTCCAACGCGGAATTGCGTCGTTGACTGATTTAGCGTCCCCAAGCCCACTCCGTTGGTGGTTTTGACATGCGAGGGTTATTAGAGTGTCTATGGCAGTGAGGGTTGCTTGGAGGGCGGGGGCACATATGGGAGGTGCAAGACTGAAATTAGCACCAGGAGGAGACGAGGGAGGCAGGGTAATCACATCCAGGTGATTAACGCTAAGTGTGTGACGTATATGGTACCTGACGCGATGATGCATCTGAGGATAGAACTGCGAATTTCGAGGAAGTGGGTGAGGAAGGGAAAGTGATACATAGTAAAGCAGTTTTTGAACCAGGAGAAGGCCCTTGCTGAGCACTTTCTCGACCTTGTGTATAACACTTCTTAGCATACCCGACTCGTAAAAAAAAAAAGATGTAATGCACCTCAGCATAAATACCTACAGTCCAGTCACCACCTCCCTCCTCCGAGTCAGCGCAAAAGCCATTTTCCATAACCCTCATTCCGACTTCGGCCAAACTCGTCCATGATCAACATCCCAGATCAAGGGCGAGCGCAGGCAGAGCTAAGCATTGTATTAATGCGCGCAGAGAGACCAAAAATAAAAGTCAATGTCCGGATGAGTTGAGTTGGGGGATGGGCCGGAAGCCCAGGAGCTTAGGGAGGCTTACTAGGGAGACTGTAAGTGAAGACGTTAGGTTAGGTTTGATGTGACGTGTATTATGTTACGTGAAATGTGACATGTCGCGCTTAGTAATGGAGCGATCAATGCCGAAGGTCTGCCTAGGGAAGACTAGCTAGAGTTTCTCCAGTTTCCGCGGGCCAGGCGGCGATGAACTCTCCGTTCTAATCACCGCTTACTATGACAGAATTGCCCATCTCGTGATACTGCCAACAAAGACCCTATCGCATTCTCCTTCAACTCTACACCTGTCCTCAAGTCCCAAAGTCCCTTGTTCCACGAGCCGTCACCATTCGTCGTCCATCGAGTAAAATTGCTAGAGCGCCTACGCCGTTTATGGTATGATCTTTACGAAGAAGTAATGTGCTTGGAAGGAGCTGCGGAGGTTGACGTTGATGGTGCTAAGCGCGGTCGAGGTGAACTTGGGCGGAGGGATTGCTAGTGTCTTCATTTACTTAAAGCTGTAGAAGTGCGTCTGCTGTGCGATATCAGCCTGTTTCACTGTATTAACTTGCCTCGCGTTTCCATAGTCGCCCAGGGCATAGGGGCTTGCCTTCATTAAGGCTGCAGTTGGCAAGAATACTCCCCGCGGCCGTTATTGTACCTGCGTGTCTTCTTCGACGGTATCACACGAATATTCTCTACACATCGATCTGACGTGGATCTCCACACCTTCCGAAATTCACCCCCTCGCATCCAATTGTGATTGTACAATTGGCACCTCGCAGCTCTCGAATCTGGCTCATAGTGCTGACGGCCTATCAGATTCAGTATCTTTCATGGGTTATTTTCTTACTGTCGTCATCGATAAGCTACTCCTTTGTGGATCGGTGAGTGTTGTTTTTTATGTGTCGTGTCTTATAGGTTCTTATCGTCTCCCAGGCTTAGCTGCACCCTCCAGAAGCAACATACGGAAGTCATGATCCTGTCTACTGACGTTCCAAAAGACACTCTCGCTCAGATAGAGGCGGTTCATAGCAAGATCGCGTCGATACCCACCTACCTTCGACAGAAGTGGAACTCGGGCCTGTCCCTGGTTCTATGGCTTCTTTTGCGGTTGTAATCGACTGAGTTACATATTGGGTACCAAGCCCTTTTTCCTTCAGAAGGTTGATACTGCCGTGTCTCGCCTGCACAGAAAGTATCGACCGTGAAGCTGGTGAGTGACAAGTGTGGTGTAGCTGCCTTATTCATTGCTCTGACCTCGACGTGCCAAGGTCAAAGATGGTCGCAAGGCGCTGTCGTTGTCTACCATATACCATAGCCTCTAGACGACACCCAGAATCATTATCAGCGACTATATTTGATGCAAACGCGTCTTCAAGACATCTCGAGAACAGGCTGTATCAGGGGCACTCAATTCCTCGAGTGACGAGTGTCAAAGGAGTCAATACCTATACATTCGACAATATCGAGTCAACTTCCACTGTGGTTAGTATCCTAGTTGAAGACTTGCAAATACTGCTGAGGAAAGCTGTGGACAGGCTGAGTCTAAATGTCTGATGATCAGATGAGGTCACGACGTCGACTTCGCCTACACGAAGAAAGGTTGCATTGTTGGCTGCTAGAGATACTGTTGTTGGAAGGTTCATCATTGGCAGGATGATTACTTTTGGAATGTTCGAATGTTGGGATAAACACATTACTGCCACGTACAGCAAGTCGAGTAAGTAACTGACGAGGACAACTTCATAGGATACACTGATACTGAAACCCACAATCCTCCCCCATCTACAGTGCAATATATTCCACCACATGACACTTCCCGAAGACATTACTGACTCCACAAGCGCTGATTTTTTCTTGATTCGACACCTCTGTCTTGAATGACGGGGGCTACATTCCACTATCGCTTGGAGGGGAGTGACGATACTTCTAGTCCTGTCCTAGTCTTCATCAACGACACATTCGTCAACCTTCACATTTGGGATCCAACCGTGAGTGTGCTAAAACAGTAATATCCAAGGTACCGCATCCTCCGCTACGGCAAGTCAACCATTGCATGCTGCTCCCCACGTTGTGAACTCGCGCCTAATCATTAGATATCCGAGGCTATTCTTCCAACTCCCTTGGAAATACGACGAAGATAACGCTCGAACAGCTCTCCCCCGACCTTGGCGCCCTCCTTGTGCATCTAGACATCCTGTACATACACTCCTTCATAGGCCTTGGCCTAGGGGCTCACATCGCCTTCCACCTCACTGCGCACAATCCTGCAATCGCCTCGTCTTTCGTGGGCATCGGCTTCGAGTATGAATGGTCGTAGCGCATCTACCTCAACCACAACACGGAGAAGCGCGTCGGATTGGTGGCCGACAAAGCCGTTGGGCGGTGGTTCACAGCTGATGCACGCAACGGGCCGGAATGGCTGCGCGTGAGGGAGATGATTGCGCAGGGGAGCGCAGAGGGGAGGTGGCGTGTGCTGTGATCGAGAGTGTGGGGTATGGTGATAGTGGGTATGGTGCGAAGCGCATCCTCAACATGCTAGACATACCTACTCTCTTTGTTTGCGGGGCTGATGACTCCGTCTTGCCGGAAGAGATGGAGGGGTATCCTGCGTTGATGAAGGAGGGCCTGGGCCAATTTGTTGAGACGAGGAGGGCGAGTAGGCTGGTTTGCTGCGAGCGTCCGGAGGAGTTTGTGGCGATTTTGCATAGTTGGTGCAGAGGAGTTTTGGGTTATCCCTTACCATAGACTCGGAGCCCCTCGCAATGTAAGTACTATCGTTGAACTGGCGTGTAGAGGCTTTCGGAAGAAATACCATCACATGAGGCGTTGGACAAGCAGTGCTTTGGTAACCTAGAGAAAGCGGATGCCCCAGATGGGGCAGGCGCAATCAATTGATGTCACTGAAGTATTTCTCTTTGGAAGAAAAAGCTGTTGTGTTACGAGAATATGTGGGCAGAGAGACTAGTAGAATCCAGATGACGTGATCTGCGAGATGCGGTTAAATAAGACCTTCCAGGTCGGGAAGGTCAGCCCGGGAATTGATGTTGAACTCCCAAAACAAACTGGTCATGTAGTTATCAATTGAACTTCACGATTAGTAGTGTGCCCTTTTCTTTGTAATAGTCTGCTCACCATGTCCGTCAAACCGATCACGTCTCACAGCCAGTTCATATCCCTCGTAGGCGCTTCACAGCCCATGGCGTGGCACGGGAATCACATTTGACCCCACAGATGATGGAAGAGGGAAAGACTGTCATCGTAGACTTCGTCTCTGAAAGATGTCCTCAGTGCAAAGCCATCGCTCCTACCTTTCACGAGCTCGCAAGCAAGTTCTCATCGGACAAGGTCGAGTTTTACATCATCGATGCTGAAAAACTCGACGACGTCAGCTTTGAAGTTGGTGGGATAACGAGCGTAAATATTTAGTCACTGAACACACTGATGCTGACCATGTGTACTGACCGCCTTTCTGTTCTGCTTAGTATCCTACATTTATCGCATTCAAGGACGGTAACAAGATGGAGGAATCCACGTTCGGTGCTGTTCGCGAGAGGCTGCAGGTGCGTTTGTGGTCTCAGCATACGAATGGAAACTCATTTTGCCCACCGCGTCCCAGAAATTCGTGGAGAAACACTGTTTACCTTAAGTTAACTTCATAGAGCAACAACTATGCTTTTCATTGGTGGGATATCCTGCTCGGAACCCAGCCTCGGGTACAGGCCCGTATTATGATTATAATATGTCTTATCTTCAGCGTCTACGACTTGTGCGACTGATACGGAGTTTGTCGATGTTCTTTTAATCTGCCCCCAGGTACCAAAGACCGATTCTACAGAAGGTACTTCAAAAAAATAATACTTGGAATTTGGTATTTGTGGGCAAGCGCGCATCACTAAAACGTTTTCTGCGAGGCCTATGTATTAGATCCGGGCAAGCAGTACGTATATTTGCCATAAGTATAGGTAAGAAACGAGATCAGATTCACAGTTCCGAACATTAATGCAAGTCTAACTTCGCAAGCTTCTACTACTAGACACTTTATAGGTCGATCACGGCGCTTATCTCTCTTGTACTAACGTTATAGTAATTCTCCAGTTGGCTTTGACTTGTCAAAAGCGGACCCGAAACTCGGAACGAAGGAAAGGCGGAGACTTTCAATGGAAAGCATGAGTCAAACTGGGCTTAGCTGACGCTTGGGTTTGGGGAGCGAACTGTCATTACGCAACAAATCAAACAATGATGGTGATTCAGTCGGGATGGGCCCTGCTCCCCGTCGGCCTATAAGTATCGCAGAACTATTTGACACTCAACCTTCCCCTTTTCATGTGCAATATCTATGATGTCTACCCTTAACCGAACCTTCACCTCGTATTTTTCAACCAAGAGTCAGGCAGTGAGCATTCTGATGTGGAATATGGATGTCATAGAGCACTTACATCTCATTACTCGTACTAGAATGGTTTGGCACGTCCAACTTTCGAAGTCGCTCCTTCTTCAAGCAACTCGGGAACAACGAATGTCTTGGCACATATAAAAGACCTCGTAAGTTGACAATTCAAATCATCACCTACCGTCGACTCAGCGAGTTATCTAGATCAACCGCTCGGCGGAAGACATTAATGGGTCAGCCCTTGTTCGTCTGCCTGCCTACCTCCTGCGGATAGTATTTGACGCTTATTTGCAGTCCTCCGCCCTCGACGCCATCATTCATGCAGGTGCAGTTGATGACCGCAAGATGCTTGTGAGTTCCTAATTGAGCAGAAGCGTCGAGCTTTATAACGATTGATTTGCATCATAAGCTGGAACACACACTTTCATTCATGGCCAATCACCCTTCAAGGAAGATGGCAGCCAAAGCGCGGATTTTCGTCATTAAGACCCGTAAGTATCATATCACTTAGCAGCCACGCAGTTTGATTATAAAAGTCCCGAACGCTGCCGTAGTGTATAACGATCTCGCGCACCCGCCTGCCACATACATTGGACCAGAGTATCAGTTCCGCGCTGCTGATGGTTCGAACAACAACCCTTGCGTCCCCGGCATCGGCAAGGCTGGTACACCTTACGCACGATCCGTGCAACAGTCAAACCCCTTACCACGAAATCAAATGCCCGACGCCGGTCTGGTGTTTGACACTCTCCTCCGCAGAAAGAAGGTAAGCGTGCAACAACGTCTGCTGCTTCACTCTCTTACGCAACATAACTACTAGTTTGTCAAACATCCTGCGGGCCTGTCCGCACTGATGTTCGCCTTTGCAGCACTCGTCATTCACAATATATTCCGCACAGATCACACTCCTGGCAGGGGTCACGTCAACATGACTTCGGGTTACCTTGACCTCGCACCCTTGTATGGAAACAACCAAGAAATGCAAGACAAGGTTGGTGCTTCCATGTCAACCTTGAATGTCAAACATCTTATAGTGTTATGACACAGGTTAGGATCAAGCAAGGACGCGGGTTGCTTCACCCTGATGTGTTCGCTGAGGACCGTCTCCTTCTCCTCCCTCCCGCAGTTTGCGTTCTGTTGGTGTTGTTCAACAGGAACCACAACGTATGTCCCTTTAAATTATTATTTCCGCAGATAGTAATTCAAGTCGACTTACAATCAAAGTACATTGCCCGCCGGTTGCTCGAGATCAACGAACGAGCCACCTGGAAGGATCCTGCCCAGCACAACCTCAGCCAACCTCAGCTCGCGAAGCAAGATGACGAAATCTTCCAGATCGCACGCCTGTGCAACTGTGGATGGTTCACATCCGTTATTTTATCTGACTACCTATCGTGCATTTTGGGCCTCGTGCGAAAAGGTTCAAACTGGACTTTGGAGCCGTTCGATGAAATGCGAAACGCTGATCACCAGATCTTCGAGCGTGGCCGTGGCAATGCTTCCAGCGCAGAATTCAACTGCTTGTACAGATGGCACGCGACGACCTCCGTTGAGGATGAAGAGTGGATTACTCGCCAGTTCCAGCAGCTTTTACCTACGAAGAAGCCTGAGGACATCACCTTGGGGGATTTCTACCAAGTGGTGGCGCAGCTCGAGAAGAACAAGACTGATCTTCAGCACTGGACGTTTGGAAGGCGAGTAACGCAAAGCCCACTGTTGGTGCTGATCTCAATTCCTTACTACAGCTTCCAGCGTCAGACGGAGGGTTCCAGCGCGGGTGCATTCAAGGATTCCGACCTTGCGAATTGCCTTATGAACGCGTCCGTAACCATCACATCATGTATTAGGTTTAAACTGACCCATTCTCTCAGGACCTCCCACCACGCTGCTGCCTTCGGTGCTCGCAGCACACCCTCAGTCATGCGGCTCCATGAGATCATGGGTATCGAGGCCAACCGATTATGGGGTATGTGCTCGCTCAATGACTTCAGAAAGTTCATCGGCTTGAAGAGTGAGTCGACAACCCCAACATCTCTCTTGGATACTTAGAGTCGTGCAGCATATGCAAGTTTCTTGGAATGGAACCCCGACCCTGAAGTTGCTGAAGCCGCCGAAAAGCTTTATGGTCACATCAACAACTTGGAGTTATACGTCGGGCTCCAGGCTGAAGAAACCAAGCCTGTGATGGAGGGCTCTGGACTCTGCCCAGGTAACACATCATCGTTCAGACGCTACTCGTGAAGACTTACATTTTTGCCAGGTTACACCATTTCTCGTTCCATTCTGTCAGATGCCATCGCCCTGACTCGCGGTGACCGGTTCTACACGCAGGACTTCACGCCTTACAACATGACCGCCTGGGGCTTCGCTGATTGCATGCGTGACCCTGACGGATATGGGTTCGGTTCTACCCTTGGTCGTCTCTTTCTCCGCACGCTGCCCAACGATTACACTGAAGACAGCATTTACACATGGTTTCCTCTCATGCACCCAGAGCCTATGGAGGGTTACTTGAAGAAGCTTGGCAAGGTCGGCGGATACTCTGTTGCACGGCCAAAGCCTCGTGGGCCTTTCACCACTGTGAAAAATTACGCGGAAGGTTAGCCATGTGCTTCGCAGCACTGACAAATTCGTACCCGAGTACGTTGACCGCGCAGCAGAAGTCATCGAGGGCAAAGGGTACGCTGGACACGTTCTCGCTTTCATTGGTGCTAACGTGTCAAGTAGCTTCTTTTCGGCATCTGAAAATGGTGTTAAAGAGCAGAAGCAGTTCATCAGCGCACTCGCTCCCTCTCCAGAAGCCGTCTCTAAGATCGGCACTTACTTCTACACCAAGACCCAGGAGCTAATCGAGCAACATTCGTTGACTTTGATCGGCAAGAAGACTCGTGCAGTAAACATTGTCCGCGACGTGCTGAAGTTTGTTCCATTGCACTGGGCTGCTACAGAAGTTGTGCGTCTAGACCGGACGATCGCAGAATATCGACTCATTGTGATCACAGGCTGGCATTCCTCTCAAGACAAAGAAACATCCTCATGGTGTCTTCACTGAGTCTGAGTTGTTTGACAAGCTTTCTGAGATTTACCAGTCAGTCTAAGACGTGCCTTCCTCCGTAATTATCGTTAATGGCTGCAAAGATTTGTTTTCCTCGAGGTTGAGGCAGCGAAGTACATGCCCTTGAAGCAGAAGGTGAAGGACCACGTGCAAGAACTGACACATCTGATCAAGAGCGCTCTTGGTGGTGCTGGAAGTAGAGTGCCTTTTGCTGAATTATTTGGCACATTGTCTGGCCGCTTCAGCGGCAGAGGCAAGAACCATAACGAGATTGTTAAACGCCTGTTCGAACTTGGTTATTCCAAAGAACACGTAGTAAACTCTATCCTTGCGTTGTTGGTCGGCGCCACTGTCGAGATGTCTCTTGGTATGTTCTTCCGTTTCTTTTTATGAAACGAATCTCAGCGTGCCAGTGTCATAGCTTTGACAAACGTCGTGAATCAGCTCCTTGATTCCGAGAAGGATTCCAATGTTACCATGCAGGCAGCTAATAGGATGGATACAAACGACCTTTCTAGTTTGACTACCTATATCAATGAGGCCCTCAGTGCGTTCCATTCTAGTTGATCTGCCCCTTTTGACATCGGACTCAGGAATCGACCCACCTTTCGCTGGTGTCTACCGTGTCGCGAAGGAGGATGAAACTATAGTCTCTTTGACTTTCAAGCGAGGCGAACGCCTCTTCTTGGATGTTGCCACGGCAAATATGGATGTGAGTCACAATTATGCAAGCGGACCTGTGCATCTCTGATGTGAAATTCAGAATGATGTATTTCCTAACCCAACAATCGTGGACACTACTCGTACTCCTCGTGAGCGCTCTCTTTGTGGCAACAGCTGCTTCAAGGTTCTAGGGGAGGATCTTGCTTCGAAAGTGATTGCTGAGGTTGTCCGCGGCGTTCTTTCATTCGACAATGTTCGTCGCGGCCCTGGCCAATCGGGGAATCTTCCACGCTTCAAGGATCATGCACTCCCTGTGCTGCGCTATGCATACCTTGACGAGAAGATGTTGCCCAGTGCGTGGCCGACATCGATGGTCATCAATTATGATGCACCCGCATAATCAAAATGGAGCGGTTGTGCCGATTTGTCACCTTGGATGTGCGTCGTAACTTGATACCCCAAAATGTTGTCGCATCCGAGTCATGTTCTCCTTGCTTGTGTATATTCCCTATTGCATTACATCGATGACCCTGACAGTTGCTAAAATTTTGACATGTCACGATGGTGAGCTACCTCGGTGCTAATCCGGCTTATGTAATCCCTCGTAGTCAAACCATGTAGAAGGGAAACAGTTGTTCCTTCCTTATTATGATTCGGGCTCAACCCCAGCTGCCTCCATACAATATAGTATCCGAAAATTCGAGAGCAGAAACGGAATTCCTCTTCAACCTCTCTTCACAAGTCGAACTTTGTTTGTTTCCGAGGGCTGACAAGTTAACGACACTTCCAGCAAGCAATTGAGGTAAGGTTACTCCTCTGCTACTCGTTGCCATTGGTTCTTTCCGTTCTATCGGGCACGCTGAGTATAATAAGATTGGCCAATCAGATCTGACTATCCAACGGTCTTAGGAACCTCAAATTTGATTCATGATTCCGCATCGAGCTCGAAGCCGACTCGGAATCGTTGAGTTCAGCCTGTAGGCATCCATGTATAAAAGCAGGTTACCTTTAAAACTGTGTTAAGGATGACCTTATCATGCTTTTGTGTCAGGCGGCGGCAGAAGAGTTGGCGAAAAAGGGATCCGACTCGGAGGACACCAGGAATCTCCGTCAATCCAACGATAAATTCCAGGCTAGAATCCAGGCAATGCTTTAAGCCAGGGAAAGGGTGAACTCGGAGCAAGCTGCTGTCGTCGCCGCTGTTGTTGAAAAGGCGAAGAGTAAAATAGCTGCAGGCAGTACTTCTGCAACCACCGAGGAACTCTCGAAAAAGCATGCTCAAGAACTCGAGGCTCTGCGAGCTCAGCTGACTTCCCAGTACGAGACGGCCCTCAAGGCAGCAGTCCACGCTGCCACTGCGGCTGCCAAAGTGGAGTCTGCTACTTCTTCTTCTGACGAGTCAATGAAAGCTGCCATCGCTGCTTATGACGCAGAGCTCCAAGCTCGACATCGCGCGGAATTGGATGCGGCGACCTTGGGAGGTGGATTAGAACAATCGACGAAGGTTAAGATCAAAGATAGTCAGCTTATTCGCTCTCAAGCCAGGCTCAAGGACCTGGAAGCGCAAGCGTTGGAGTGGGGAAAGACTGGTTTGATACCCGAGGCTTCGCCACCGCAAACACCCACAGCGTCGACCTCCAAGGCACCAGCAGCCCCAGCTACTCTACTTCACAACCAGCTACGGCCCCCACTTCGATCAGCAACTGCACCAAGTGCAACGCCTGTGAGGCCTGTCGCCTCAGCCCTAGTAGGTCAACCTGCAGCTGCTAGTGGAGAAAAACTGCCCACCAGCGGTACGGTGTCACTTGGCGTCCCTAGAAATCTATCGCATCTGAAGGAATTGAAAAATGGGGGATCTCTGACGCGTTTCATTCATGCCTTGACAGTACCTGCATAGAACAATCCCCCCGGGCATTTTATATCGTATCGTATGGTCATATGCTGACTTACAACAGAAAAAGCGAATTACCAGACCATACCTTCCCCATCCTACTTACATTGCTAGTGTACTAAAATGTACTACCGTAGAACCAGGTCGAAGATGCGCAGAGAAGTCAGATATTAACTCTTGATCGTGGTTGCATGACATTCGTAGACATTCGGACACAAAAACTAATAATACATGATGCGAGAGTACCAAGTGATCACAACCGAATGCCAATGTTGACATGAACGGCTTTGACGTTCGTGTAGCTAACGGGTATCGTTAGTGCTGGTGTCATCTGAAGGACACGAGCTTACTTTTCCAAAGCATACTCGCTCAGTTCACGACCAATTCCCGACTGCTTGAAGCCTCCAAATGGCATCGATATTTCAGTCTGGTTGGCGCAGTTTATCTGCCAGGCGTTGTTTTACTACAAGCGTGCAAGATCAATGACGAAACAACATACCCATGCAGTACCGGCTTCGAGAGCGTGCGCAACGCGGATTGCTCTGTCGATGTCCTTGGTAAATACCGACGCAGCAAGTCCGTATGATGTATCATTAGCCTGTTCGACTACCTCTAGGAATGGTGTAAGAGTTATGGTGATCAAGTAATAAGAACAATCTTACCATCCTCCGTCTTGAACGTCATGACGCATGCGACAGGGCCAAATATCTCTTCTCTGACGATTTTCATGTTGGGCTGGCAATCCGTGAAAATAGTTGGCTCGATGAAGTAGCCCTCTTCGCCTAACTGCTTGCCACCAAGGTGCACTGTAGCACCTTCATTCTTGCCGGAGTCGATGTACCCCATGATGCGCTTTACGGGCGTCAAAGTATGTTATATAAGAAGATAGATGTAACGAACCTCGAATTGAGTCTTGGACACCTGTGGGCCTTGGTACGTGTCGGGCGCAAAGGGATCGCCAACCTTGATCGCGCGGGCCTGCTCTGTGAATTGCTCCAAGAACTTGTCGTATATGCTTTCTTGAACAAAGATACGGGAGCCCGCAGAACAATTCTGGCCGTGGTTAAAGCTACAACCAGGATGAGTGCTTAGCATAGTAATGCGAAGGGGGAAGCTTACTAGATACCGTGAATGGCCCACTTGACTGCCTGCTCCAGGTCGGCGTCATCGAAAATGACGTTCGGGCTCTTTCCGCCGAGTTCGAGAGTGACAGGTTTCAAGTTGCTCTTCGCAGCAGCTTCCATGATTTTCCGACCCGTCAGAGTGCTACCAGTGAATGCGACTTTCTCGATAAGAGGATGCTCGGAGATTGCCTGTCCTGCCGTTGGGCCATATCCGTTCACGATGTTGATGACGCCTGGAGGGAAGCCCGCTTCCTCGATCAGAGTACAGAAGAGAAGAGCAGAAAGCGGGGTGAGTTCAGAAGGCTTCAGGACAATGGTGTTGCCAGTGGCCAGCGCAGGAGCGATTTTGAGAGAAAGAGAGAACACTAGCAAAGGTAAGCTATACGTCCCGCATGCTGGTAGGATCCACTCACTCGGAACATTCCATGGAATAATTTGACCCTGGGTATGACGTGAGATATGCTAATTCGGAGAGCGTGCAGAGGAGAATACTGACCACGACACCGATGGGTTCATGTCTGGTATAAGCTAGTTTGTTCTCGTTGGTCTGAGGGTGGAATAAGTTGACTCATCTGAAAGGAAAGAAAGAAAACCGAACCTCGATGGTCTTCCCGTTGATTTTGTCAGCCCAGCCAGCATAGTATTGCATGACGGAAATCGCTCCTTTGTTGTCTCGACCTGTATGCGGTATTGTAAGCCTTCCCTGAAGTAATTCTCAGTTGACTCAAGAGTAGCGGTGACACAACATCCCGCACCATTAGCAAGGGCATCGAGAGCAGCAAACTCCGCAATATGTTGCTCCATCAAGACTGCGAGCTTCGACATAAGCTTTCCACGCTCGGCTCCAGGAACTTTAAGGCCCCATGAAGTCTTGTAGGCTTTCTTGGCTGCCTTCGCGGCAATGTCTATATCGACTTTCGTCCCGGCTGCGATGGAAGTAACCACTTTGCCCGTTGCTGCAAGAATACCTTATAGTTATGAGACATTTACGAAGGAAGAATTCGTACCGGGATTGACAACACTGTATGAATGAGACCAACGTTCAAGTGTACGATGAAAGCACTCACTCGATTGTGCCACCCTCAACAGGGTCCACGAACTCTCCATTTATGTAGAGACCCAGAGGGATCGTGACAGTCCCCTTGAATGCAAGGGTGTCAAAAGTCTTGGTGAATGTGGATGGCATTGCGAGTGAGCTGCGAGGAAGTGGAAACGATAACGGTCGACTTGAGCATGGTCTGGCTAAGTTACTTATATATAGCCTCAGGAGTGATCACGCTGGATAGAGGCACATGAACAAGAAATGACAGTCTAAGACAGTTCTCCTGAGAATAAGGGACTCCGTAACATACATACCTTCCTTTGCCAGTCACGGGTGTTCCGATAATCATATTCACTGTTATCGATGTTGATAGACCTTCGAGCTAAACGCGACGGTGCAGGAGACTCCATCGCCGATGAATATCGATGAATGCTGACTCATGGGCCCTGGACCATTAATATGGTCGTGTATGATGAAGAACGCCGTATGAATGACTGCGTGTACAAGTAATAGTTCCAAGTTAACGTTGCAACATCGTCGACGTCAGTGGCTGTGGTCACGAGTGAATATATTATCGTTAGCAATTTCTTGTCAGCATCAAGATATCTCATCGGATCTCAAACAACTTTGAACACGAGTGACAAGCCTATACAGGTAGGGTTCAAGCTTCTCCATGCCTCGAGGCTTGAGAAGGACGAGGTGTAGTTGAAGGGATATCTAACGCAGAAGGAAGTGACTGAGTTATTACCGTTTCTAGCACTAAACTGAATACTTTCTAAGTGCTATTAACTACTTCGCGATACCGTTCAATTGCAATTCATTCATAGAGATGTTCGATACATAAAGCGGCGCCCGTTCAAAGATTGTATTGTACTGCGCATACAGAATTCACCGCTAAGGCCATCCGACGTTTTGCAAAACGCGCAAGATAGACCTAGGGTAGTCAGTGATGCACGTTTCCGTAGCGAGTTTGGCATTTCATCCTTGACTCGAGAGACGCCTGACGAATTCTACCAATGCTCTGTAAGACGATATTAGATGAACGTATCTCATAAAACCTGTGTAAAACGACTAACCGAACGGGACGCCCAGTCATTCCTTTCTCTTGGTATGGTGTTGGGCGCGTGAGCTTCGAGGAAGTAATCAGCGATCAGAACTGGTAATGAAGAGAGAGATAATGAAGTAACAACGCCAATCGTCTAGATCGCACTTGGGCACATGGCATACGTTCTCTGCTTGAATTTATAAACCACGAAACTTACCTCCATAGTCCCAGCAATATCAAGGTGAGCCCATTGGACAGAGGGTTCCTGCCCATCCGTTCCCTCAATGCCATCGACGAACGCCTTGAGGAATAGCGCAGCTGTGCATGAACCGGCTGGTTTTCCGCCAGTCTAAAAAAAGTAAAGAAGTCAATTTCAAGCAGCGCTGATATGAAATTAGGCAACCGACATTGCACAAGTCAGCGTTTGAAGAGTAAATTTGTGGGCCGTAGTCTTCGTCGAGGGGCATGCGCCAGAAGCGATCGTACTCGCTCTCTCCGGCAGCACTCAGTCGGTTCCAAAGGGTATCGGATGTCTGAGGGAACAGTTTGCTTAACGAGGTGTCAGCTTCGGCACATGAAATGACATACCGTGAAGACTCCAGAGTATACATGTCCCAATGCGATATCCATAGCCCTATCATCACATAAATTCAAGCTGAGAGTGTGAAAAATTGTTACACACCCGGTGAGAGTAGCAACGTCGATGACGGTATGCGGCTTGAATTCGGTCGATGCATAATACAATGCGTCTACAAGAAGGTGTCAGAATTCCTCGGGACACCAGTGAACAGTAAGGGTACTCACCAGCCAGAACCAGACGCCCTTCAGCATCCGTGTTGTCGACTTCAATGGATTTGCCATTCATAGCGTAGATTCTGATGGATGGTAAGTCCACGAGATAACAAATATAGTGTGCCAGAACTTACATATCACCTGGCTTGGTAGCTTTCGGACCGGGTAAGTTCTCACAAAGCGGAGTGACGGCAACAACATTGATCCTGCAATTTGAATAAATAAGAGGGATTGTAGATCGAAAACAACAACGTACGGGAGCTGGAGCTGAGCGATGGCGAATAGAGATGACACAACTGTAGCTGCCCCACCTGCGATTCAAAGTTAGCGTAGCCACTTTTAAACACATTCAGCGGATAGTACCCATGTCACCGCGCATCAGCTTCATGCCCTGCGTTCATTTAGATATGGAAAAACACCTTCGAGCTGGAGAACGATAGACTTACTGCTGAGGGTTTCAAGCTGATTCCTCCGCTGTCAAAAGTGATGCCCTTGCCCACGAAAGCCAAAGGTTGTGCATTCTTTGCAGGGGCACCCTTATAGTGACTTTGGGAACATTAAATTGTCAATTATGAATACGGAAAAAAGTGGCCAAGTGTCCTTACATCTCGAGGAACTTGGCTGGCTGATCAGTCCCTTGAGTTACAGAGAGGAAGGTGCGCTAAACGAAACCGTATCAACATCGAGCATAATTTAAGCATAAAAATTGTACCATGCCCTTTTCAGCCGCCCAAGCTGTCGAGGAATTAGTACACACATTGAAAGAACTTCAGATAAAATTTCTGACCTTCGTCGCGAACAATAATCTCCACATTGGGAATCCCGCTGAATTCTGCTTGAACACGTTCGCAGAAGGCCTTGTAACATAGTGGTATCAGTTTAATCACTTGCAGAGCTTGAATACGAACGTACAGTGGGAGTCATCATGTTCGCCGGCAGTTCCATTAGCTATGCAGATTGATTATATTCTCTGACACGGATCAGAAAGCCAGTAAACTCACCGTTCTTGCAAGATTTTGCGCATTCGCATAAATTACACCACGATCCCAGTCAGGAGAGCTGATATTGGTTGAGATGTTAAGCTTCTTCGGCACACCCGCCGTGCCCCGTGGGTCAAACGCCGATGGAGGTGATGTTTTGAGCGTGAAGTTATATAACGCCAAGTGAGCAGCGACGGCTTGGGGCAGTACTTAGGACAATGCAAGCTCTGAATCATACTAGACCTTACCAGCTGCATGAGGATCTGTCGATGCATCGATAACAGCCTCAGAAACACCATCTCCAAGTCCCTTGACGCTCTTCACACCACTGCCGACGGCTTGGCGGACGATTTCTCGTCTCGCATCACCAGTTTTGGCATCAAATCCCTCGCCAAGAGACACAAGTGCAGTTACATCGAGCGCCGGAGTTCCGTAGAAGAGGTGGGACGTGCCGACCTTCGCAGGTTTCTGCGCCTGTGGAAGTGAAGACCACAATGTTGCTGGGTTGACACCTGGAGCTGCATTTCCTGCAGGAGATTTGGGGTCGACGGGCACGATATATGCTGTTGACGACATGGTTCGCAGCAGGATTGATGATCGATGAACTGCTCTTCTGGTGAGCATGTGCAGTGCCATCTGTTCTAAACTTGTTCGTCGGAGTCCGGAAGACCAAGTTAGAGGCAATCCAAACACACGTGGACGCCCGGGCGGGCCGATGTACAATAGCGCCCCCAATGTCCACAGCGTGCACCGCGCTTTACCCACTTCATTATGCCCACAAGTGGCATCGTTGGCGGTGGACCAAACGCTGAAAATCCCTATATAAGCACTGGCTGAAACTCATGTTATTTTCCATTCTCACCCAGACTTTTGACTTCAATGTGCCCTGCTACCGAACCTCGATCTTGTACTGGAGGTGCCAGCGATGGCGAACCTACTTCAACAGCTGCCAACAACTCTACAGTGACCGACAGTGGTCTGCGTACGAGGTCTACTCTCAGACGTATTCCAACAATTGCGAATCTAGCAAACCTTTTTGCATCAAGCAAGAATCAAGCCATTTTGGAGAGCCCGCCGACTCTCGACAGGGAGTCGTCATCTGCGTCGGTCGACACAATCCGTCCTCTTCGATCTGTTCATCGACTTTTGGGCACGTCTGAGACAGGATGTCCGGTCCCTTCTTCTCAGCACGCAGCCAAGAGCCCCACACCGTCTCCAAGTCCGACCAAGTCGCCTTCAAGGAAATCTGGAGCTCGTCGACTGCAACGATCCGCCACTTTAAGATTGCAGGGCAGTACGGAAACGGACATTACAAGCATTACTTCTCGCATTATCCAGCGCCTCGCTGGCGTTCCCTCCAATTCCGACGATTCTGGAGACCTACAGCCCGCCTCACAGTCTACGACCAGCGATACGTTCGGGAAGTATGCCTTAGAAGATCTTAACATGGAAGTCCGCTGCTACGATCGCCACGTCACGACCTGGGATGACCCTGACCAGTGAGTTAACCGTAGATATTAGTTGTACTTGTGCTCAGTGCTTTCCAAACGCGTAGCGCGTTCTTCATCTTCCCAGCGCAACTGCTGATTACATGCACCTCTACATGTGATTTCGATCCCCTGGTTGGTCCGCAAGTCACCGTTGCCGATCTCGTCTGCACTACAGTGGCAATTAATGGCCCAAACAAGTCCCATCGCCAAATTTCGTTGAAGACGTTTTACGACGGCGCCACGATACGCTACGTCAAGGATACGCCCACACCCGATGTGTCTCGAGGGATTCATATTGAGCGTGGCCCATGGTGTTCTACCATGGACGGGGACGGCAATTTCGGGTGGTACATGTGCTTCTGGATTCCAATCCCATTCGCCCTCTTTCAGCGAGCAGAGACAAGAGCTTTCAAGATAGATGCCAGGGTACATGTCAACGGAGATGAGGGTAAAGAAGGGCATTTAATAGCTTCGAGTGAATTCACATTGTCGAGGTTGCTGAGAGGTCTAGCGATGTAAATAAAGAACCGCATGAATATCACATATTGGCGCCTATATTTCATACTGCAACGCTTGTAGTTGGGTACAATAAAACTACCGAGCTGCCAGCGGCCCGACCTTGACCCGGGCTGCCTTTTCGTTTCCTCCTTCAACTTCATTCAGTCGTTAACGCATTCAAACTCCACATACAAACCATCATGATCTGGAAATTCGAGAACTGGCAAAGTTGGTGTTGCGTGGCATGAAACCTTATATTCCCACAGAACACCACAAATTGTTTGCGATGACTCATCGCAGCGTCTGGTCAGCTTCAACTTGAATTCTGGTGTGGCGTTCGTGCCTGTCCTTTGCTCAGAAACCTCCTAGGACCTCCCAACGGTCGACAAATTACCAGCACGAGCACGCGGGCGTGACCAGGCAATACCGTAATGCCATGTCATGATCTTCAATCCCGGGCGATAATGACCGACGCTCGCATTTATAACATCTCATTCTGCACCAGAGTGTGTGTCAGATACCTCTAATTGAGGATGATGATGGCGACTATTCTACGCTCATTCTCTGCTCCTCTCGCGTATGCCGCCGTCGCGTCCGCATGGTCAACGTTCGTTGTCCCACACACCGAAGGTGCAGACGACACGCCTGCTCTGATGGCCGCCGTGTCGAACTACGCGTCTGACGCGTCAATCGTATTCGGATCTAACACGATTTACAACGTATGGTCTCCGATCACGTTTCCGCCTCTCAAAAATGTTGAGGTGGTAATTAGCGGGAATTTATCATATTCGACGAGCATCGAGACCGTGCAAGGGCACGTTGCTGCTGCTGTGAGTGCCGATCAGTTGCTTTACATGCATGCAGAATCTGATACGAAGGCTTCCAGAACTACCCTGGGGCATGGTACGGGTACCTAAGATGTTGAAACGTCCCTAACATTTCCATCAGGATCTCGTTCACTGGGGGTAATAATGTTACGCTCCGCGGCAATACTGACCCTGACTGGGGTTGGGTTGATGGACATGGTCAACAGGTAAGAGTCCTATATTCTGGTTCATTCTGGCTATGCTAAAATGAATTATTCAGTGGTGGGATATCATGCAACAGACGAACCGGCCTCACGGTTGGCTGTTTGGAGACGTTACAAATGGTGTCATCAGAGATATGAAAATTTACAAGGTCTGGGTGCTGTACTTTTTTAAGAGCTTCTAGACTGAATTTCAATCGTCTTCTGCAGCCTGTCGCATGGAATTTTAACCTTAAAGGATCCACAAATGTGCACATTTTCAACAACACTATCCTGGCCGGTTCTGACAAAGCCGTGAGTTTTATCAATGCGTCGATAATGTAATACCCTTGATTTACGCTGGTGAATAGTCGTTTCCATTCAACACGTGCGCTACTGAGCTTTGTATTTGCATGAGTTTGACCAAACCATCTGCAGTGACGGGTTTTCAACTGCAGGCACCAATGTGCTTTTCGAACACAACTACGTTGTCAACGGAGATGACTGCTTGGCTGTTGCCAATGGCGCGAAGAACATTACATGGAGGTCCGTCGGCTTCCACCAACGCAATGATTAGGCTAACGCTATGTCTGGTTATAGAGATAGCTATTGCGAGGGTTCGCATGGTCTGTCAGTTGGTTCGCTCGGCGCGGGTGGTCAAGTCTCATCTGTAGAGAACGTACTATTCGAGAACACAATCATGGCGAGTTTTCTTGTCAATGAGATTTCCTTGTCTGACATCGTCCTTTGTCATTTAGAACCGCACTCTTTATGCTGCTCGTTTCAAGAGCTGGACCGGCGGAAAAGGTGCCGCCATCAAGTTTGTCTTTTTGACATTTTCGATGGATCACGCACTGATGATATGTTGTCTTAGTGTAACATGGAAAAATATTACGTTCATCGATGTGATGTTCCCTATTTACGTGACCCAAAAGCATGTCTTTGCCTTCTTCCTGTTTGCTCCTTGCCTGACGTGGTTACGCTCCTTAAAGCTACTGGGACCAAAGTGTAAGCTCACTGTCGCATGTGTGAACTATGTCATACCCCTCCTGACTGAACGTGTACTAGTCCGGCACGCGTCCGAAATCCTCGTCCGTCAGCGAGACTCACATTGAAAACTTCCTGTTCGAAAATTTTGTTGGCGTAATTAACAAGTGTGTTACACCTTTCTTGTATTATCTCTTCACCTAATAGGCTTCCTAGTGCGCCCGGATATGTGGAAGGCTCATGCGTGACCGACCCTTGCTGGTAATTACCTTGTTTCTTTCCGAAGCATTAACTGAGACATCGCCAGGTACTACGTGCCTGGCGCAACTGGCAAGGAAGTCGTCATTTTCGACTTGTATACCGACACCGGTTCGTCTCCAAGTCTTATCGCATTGGAAACTTCCCCTTGACATACGTTTTCATAGCGACTAACATCGTCACGAAGAACCTTGTTGCGCGCACACTTACTGGTGCCCCTGTTGCCGCGATGTGCAATTCCTCCACGGTACGTGCTGCCTTGGAGTAAACAATTAAACGAGTATACTGACGACTGATACAGATCTCAAGTGATGTTGGATTTGAGTGCCGGGATGGTCCATATGTCCCCACACGAGCAGGCTTGTAACATGTTGTGTACACGAGTTTTCTTGTATGGATACAATCGGAAAGACCCCATTGTTTGTCTCACTTAGCGATCAACACATCAGTGCCGTACGTACGTACTTGACATCAGTGACTGTAAAGCTGGATAGACTTAACGACTCAAGCAATCCCACTCGCAACTTTCAAGTGCACGAATTTTCCGGTCACCAATGCTGACCAAGCTGTTGATTCAGCACCTTTCACCGAAACACGAGCGCTCGATGTGGTAGAAGCACATGCATTACACATCGCTTTACAATTTTATCTACCGAAACTTTGAGACGCAGCCCGTTGGGTCCAATATATAAGATCAAAAACGAGGGGGACGGTGGCTGATAAGGGTCGAGGGCGTTCAATCATACACACTACGCGCAAGGGACTTATCATATAGGAAACACAGACAGACAACAAAGCGAAGAGGAAGAGACATATGGTGGTGGAACAGTCAGGTGGCAATTTAAGACCTCTCGCCTCTCAGACGGCGGGCAAGGGCAAGGTCTTTGGGTTGGATAGTCACACCTGGTAAATCAGATTGAGTCAGCATTGTGGAGCGCGAGAGCGAGGTCAGATGACTCACGCTTGGCGTGGATGGCAGCCAAGTTGGTGTCCTCAAAGAGTGATACGAGGTAGGCCTCAGCGGCCTCCTGGAGAGCCATAACAGCGGAGGATTGGAAGCGCAGGTCAGTCTAGTGAAAAATTGTCGTGTTAGCAACCTCTATTTCTATCCAACTGTGTTGGGGGGCATACCTTGAAGTCCTGCGCGATTTCACGAACGAGCCTCTGGAAGGGGAGCTTCCTGATCAAAAGTTCGGTAGACTTTTGGTACCTCCTGATCTCACGGAGGGCGACAGTACCAGGGCGGAAACGATGAGGCTTCTTAACACCGCCGGTGGCGGCCTGCAGCAGAGCAACGCGAAAACACGGTAAATTGAGCATGAGACACGAGATCATGAAAGACAAAGACATACGGCGGCGGCGGTCTTCCTAGCGGCCTTGGTTGCGAGTTGCTTACGGGGAGCCTTGCCTAGAAGACAGGAATGGTGTTACAACGGGAGTGAAAACGAGAGCCGATAAGGTCGCACCTCCAGTGGACTTGCGAGCGGTTTGCTGGACAAAGGGTGAGTATCATGTATTGTGAATCAGCGTTCTACAAACGCACCTTGGTACGGGCCATTACGCGTATTTACTACACAGGAGAATGAAGTGTTTGTTGATGTCGAAATGACGGTGATGGAAGTTGCGGACGAAGACGACCAAAGGGGAGGCGTTTGTTGAATGGCGTCTGCGTTATTCCCACGCCTCTCAGCTTTTCAAATTCCGCCGGGAACTAATTGTGTGCACTGACCGCCAACTGACCGCATCGAATTTTACAGTATTACTGGTGCCCACATACTTGAAACCCTTCGAACTTTTGCTGCATCCGCAGTAATTATAAACTTTGCCTATCAGGACGCAGTGCTTTGCGCCCTAGTCACCAAGGTCAAGTCCCTCAAAGATTATCTTTTGATCAACTTGGTCGTTCCGTGATCCATAAGGAATGCGTCGTTTCACAATCACAAGTACGTGGCGCGTATACCTATTAATCGGCTATTAATTGGCAGAATGATCTCCATCCCCTATACTAAGTAAGTGGAATATAAGCACTCCAGTTTTCTGATGGGCTTCGCAGAAGTAAGATCAAGATTCGGAATAACAGCATCAAAGAAAGTCCCAATATCCCTTGAACCTTGTTCATAGCCGGAAAGACGGACTTCTTGACCAGCCAGCTGGTCAGCTCATTGTGTCTTTTGCGCCAGAGTGCGAACGACCTGACAAATCACACGAGGCAGGCGATATTTTCTTGCATTCCGTCGGTCAGTGGCAGGTATTGACGGCAACCTTGCGTTTCAGGTTAGCGATCGAGGATGCCCTCCGACCAGTCCCACCCACGAGTGGATTGGATTTTTCTCTTCCTCTGCCTCGCTGTTGCTCATGTCCAGATTATTGTTGATCTTCCAAGATTCAAATAGCAAATTTCACTCCGATGTTACGGCCCGATTTTTTCCATAGCTATGCAAGAATCTGCAAGAATCCTGATCCTGTTCTTCCCTGTCTTCCGTCGAACCCGAAGCCGTAACCGTATGTAGCCGAGTAAGCATGCTGTGTATTTTTCGCGCGCACGTCAAACAGCAAATGTTGTCGCATTACCGCAAGATAAAAATCGTCTTGAATATACTTTCGTCCGACCATTACTCACTGATCTCCAGGGATGATTGTACCTAGGGAGAAATGTGAATCCAGAGACTGGATAAAGGAGACAGACTCGCACTCCATGTTACGGTACGGCTGCGATTAACGCACATAATGATCTGGTGTTATAAAGTTCACACCATCTGCTTATGTACAGTGACATGTATCCACTACATGGTTATAAAATTGAGGGTATCGATTCCAGTGTGTAAAAGGCCCAAAGTATATATATGGTCAAAATCCTCCTAAACAGTCATCAAAATCCAGAGAAGGCGCTGCGAAAGCCGCATGGCTATTCTGATGACTCGTCCCCTTTCTACGCGAACTTCTTTTCCTCCCTTGCTTGTCATTCGCCTGTGAAGGGTGCTGTAAGAATGAAAATGGGGTATCAATCTCATCTTGTATACGTCGTGTGAAGGGTATCATTGAGTCTGGAGATGTGTAAGGGACGGGTATCCGGGGTATCATAGTGTCGGTGTGGTGTTATCACCGAGTTCTCATATTCATCAGATACTGACGAGATGTCAGGGGTAAGCAGAGGAGAGCGCGAAATGTAGATGGATGTGACCTGATGGCTCCGGGGCACAGGCCTCGTAGGCTCGAGGGTGGAAATAGCTTCCCTTTATCTCGGCCGTTGGATATGGTTGATTGTCATCGCTGCAGACAAATTCCCTCTCATGGCGCCCAGGCAGCGCACATTGATTGGGAGGGACTTTGACAGGTGACCTGTCATACGTAGCAGAGGAATGGGCAGCATACGTAGAAGTGAGAGTTGGTGTTGGCGGGAAGTGAACATGGCGCGGCGGCGTTGGAACCGTCGAACATGCAGAAAACGGAAAAGCTTCCCGTCTTTGTGGACATTGTTTGAGGATCGGTCTCGGTGACATGTAACCCAAGGTGATGTGGGGAATTGGGTAGATGGGATGGCCTTCACGAAGAACCCAGAGCCTCAGAACAACAGAACACGGATATGAAAGGATGGTTTGTGGGAGCACAAAAGCAGCGAAATATATATTGTAGAGCTCAGGCTCGGGTGGAACGTGTTCCCGGGTCACATTCCGGGGAAAACAGCAACAAGATCAAGATCAACTCCGACTGGTGGAGCTGGCTTGCGAAGCAGTCCATCCTGAGCTTGTGACCAAAAATGGCCTCTTCGGAAAGCATCTTTTGTGGGGAAACTTTAGATGTTTTACATTAAAACAACGCTTGGAAGTCCTGCCAGTTAATTCCTACGGGCACATTGTAAGGAACCATTATTGGCAACAAATCCTAACCTGGGATGTGCGATGTGGGTACTGAATTACCCGCAGTCGTGATAGACGCCATGCTTGTCCAAATGGCAGAAAAGACTCACCTTGAGAAACGCCGAGGAATGCCAGTCTATCCCAGATCAGCTGTTGCATCAGCCTAGTCTAAATCAATGATCATTTCTCATGATCATACCTAGAATATGATAAACGCGTCGTTACTGATCTCGTTGATCCGCTGGGATTGTTGGCAGCCGACCGGCGACCGGCGACTTGGCACGACGGTCTTGTTTACTGATCAGTGACTGTTATTGTGTACTGATATCCTGTTCAGCCTAAAGTTTTCAGATCAGTGGATCAACCATCTCAATCGTCGGAGAGCCGGTACGAATGTGTTTGGTATAATATGCTAGTCAGATATAGCTAAGATCAGGAAGGGTGAAGAGCGTGTTGTTTCTACATATGTATGTGCTAAAACCTAAAGATTCGATTTATACTACCATGTCAAAGTATGTGCGGAAAGGACCAGAGATACACACCAATGGGCATGCACGAGGCCGACCGTGACTGACGCCGCCTCGCGCTAATGCTCAAGTTGACCAAGGATTGGCCAGATAATTGGGACTCTTCTTCGGGTCCCCAACAGGAATGCTCCACGGATCTCGCCCCATACCCTGCGAAGTTATCGTCCCATCTGTTCCGCCAAACGACAGCGACGCTGAGGGATCAGACGCTGGAGAGAATGTACTGTGTAGGTCATTTGTCGAACTACTCGACTTTCCAAACGAGACTGCATTAGCTACAAAGGGATTTCCAAATGGAGAAGTTCTCTTCTCCAGCAGTGGAGGAGACCATATCGATGTCTCACTTCCACCGAAGGATATCTGAGGAATGGAGGTGGGCGGAGAGGTGGCTGAAGAAGGATAAATTAGGTCATCTGCGGAGCCAAGACCATTAGCCAATGGGGGCATGTCCTGGCCGTTGTCGACGTCATCGCCAACATCAGGCACATTGTGGAGTGACAGCGAGGTGGCGAGCGTAGCGCTCAACTCGGTGTTTGTGTCAATGTCAGTCACAGATAATTCTATAGGGTTGGCAACGTGTGTAATTGAACGTGTGTAGGCTGGTGGGGCAGATTCTGATTGTGATGCAACTGGAGATGAATGGATTCGGGAAGGCTGCAGTTCCTCGGGAGTTTTCTCCGATTGTCTTATCATATCTTCGATGGCCTTCAGATCGAATCCTGCATGAACGGGGATGTCAGTTGAAGAACTCGATGATTGGCCATCGGAAGTTTGTATTGAATGAGGGTTGGTATACTGGGGTGGGGGTGTTCCCGTTGACTCGCGAATAGGTAGATCATCATCAGTCGATTTCCCTAGTGAAGAGGGTTTCCGCCTTGATGACGCGAAAGAAGCTGTCGAAGGGGGCCTCGATACTGGGGTTGGCGACACTGATGGTTTCTTCTTCCTAGAAAACCACTTCTTCTTCTGTGTATCGTCTCCTTCCCTCACAACAACCCTCTCCTCGTTGAATTCGGGTTCCTATGAATAGCAATTAGTAAGGGAAATAGCCGGTCTGATAAAATGAGATACGTACAACGGGTTCATCGAAGTAATCGGATGAAACGGGGAAGCCAAGCTGGTCTAATATAAGTGGCATGAACGCGCGATAGCTCATATGTCCCCTGATCTTATCAGTAACGTCGACGTTCTCCAACCCCGGCACATTCTCAATTGGCCGCAAGCCCGCAACCGTATTCAGGCCACCACTGGTTGCACGGAAGAGGTAGTTCAGAACCCAGTCATTTCTCGCGAATGCGTTTACAAAACGGCCTGAAACGACGCTGCGTGCGTCGCACCATGTGCTCGTCGATGCTGTTAATGTTGCACCAAGAAGGAAAACGTCTTGTACGATGCCAAAAGCTTTTGCCTTGGCAAGATCGAGGAGGGCATAGAAGATGACACGTGCGCCGAGAGAGAAACCGATGAGTGTGATCGGTCGAACGCCGAGGTGACGCTGAATAAGGAGCTGTGCAAGAACACTACCAGCTGCTCGTGCACGGTCGAGCGCGTTACTCCAAGGGTTATCAATCAGGTAACCAAGCTTTGTGAGAACTGGTAGTACAGTGAGCTAATCTCTTTACGAAATGCAAATCAACATCACGCCTACTGATTGGCCACTGGAGTCCGCTCATCAGCGCAGTCATCACCGTATGCTGGAGTACAGTCTGGACTGTTTGTGACAGAATCTCCCCGGTAAGAATCTTCAGCGCACTACCGGTTTCCTGAATCATCTCAGGCTCCCAAAGTATACTGAACACATCGCCGACGATGGGATCCAAAACACTGAAAGGTAGCCGGACATCATCAAGCTTGCCATTCATGAATCTACACCACAAGTTTGAAATGATCTATACACCTGTTGATGGTGGACGCACCCAGGAACGGTAATAATGCAGCTGACACGCTTGTTGTTATGCAGCGGTAGCACATCGAATGTTCGTACTTGCTGCGTACGCCGGGCCATTCCACGGGCAGCGATCCCGGAGCCAGTCAGAACTCCTCCAGTTGTGATCACGGCAGCCCCACTAGCCCCAGCAAGGAATCCTGTTGTCCCAGATATACCGATAGCAGTAAACGCTGCGCCCAGACCAGCACCGATGACAGGAGCGAGGAGACCCGCAGAGAGGCCAATAACCAGACCGCCACCTGAATTCAGATGCAAGCGATAAATTAGCACATCTTGCGCATCTTGATCAGAATAAAGGATATTACCAAGCGTAGCCAAACCCATCATCATATACCGCTTTTTTCGCGCAGCTTTTGACGACCCGTCAATAATTTCCTGATTCTCCATCTTCTCGACGCCTTCTTGGATCTCAAGTGCTTCTGTCACGCGTGCCTCGAACTTGACTACATCCAACCAGCCAAGTCCAAGCTTGAGAGCCACGCTCTCCAATAAAACACGTGATCTTGCGTCGTAGACACTGTCTGCGATGAGTATAAGGAACAGGTCGCACAGAACGGTCCATCGGATATCAAGTGTAACGTCTTTTTCGACAGATGAAAGCGTCGTGGTGACTCCCATCGATGCAGAATCGACAGAGGTACCCTCAAGAACTTTGGCCGTGGTCTGAAAGGTCTTCTGAGTCGCCGAGGAGGGTGATGTCGGTGTCTGAGGAGGACTGTGATGGTTTAATACCAGACTGGAAGGTCGAAGTTTACTGCCTTTGGAGTTCCTCCGGCTTGTCGTATCTTTCTTCACCTCCTGAGCTTCGGCCTGCCGCTGTGCTTCAGCTGGGTCGTATTCGGGGTTGGCAACGGTATGGGTGGTCATTAGTGATGGTACAAGATCTATTGCCTGCACACCATGCACCGCTAGGCTGTCTATCATCTTCTGTTCTGATACAGTGTTTGAGCATATGTTATCCCGCTTGCTCGACTGATAAGATGCGCGAGTTTACCTGCAGTTTCAAGCTCCATGTGGTAATAGAGCCGGCCCATTATCTTCATCGCCCACAACTCCATATGTTGGGCGGATGCTTTGAGCTCCTTTCTCTTAGTCGTCTTGATCTTCTCCACCATTTCTTTCGCCGTGAGGGCGCAGACACCGACGTAAGCAATGCGCTGTGCTTCGGTCAACATATTCTTGGTCGCTTGCATCTGGCTGAGCGGGGTCATAGCCTTGTCCTCATCAAACAGGTATCGCGTGCGCAAGTGAACCTCATCCGCCTCATCCTCTTCGTTGACCCGCAGTCTGGTATACTCGTTCTCATTCTGTTCTGCCTTGGAGCGCCATTCAACGCCCTCCTCGTCAAAATCGATGAGATTGCCAGTTGCATTGCCAGCTGTCGATGAAGATTGCGACGGTTTCTTTGATGAGGGCATGTAGTGGTATTTCTTTTGATCTTCTTCGTCAAGACCGCCTCCGAAGTCATCCTCTTTGATAACTGGCATCTCCTGCCATCCTTCTTCGTCGTCATCGTCAAAGGAAAAAGGATTCGTCGGGCGAGTGGCTTCCACTGGCATGTCGGAAGGATGTGGAGTTTGGGAAGGATCAGATCAAAGACATCAAGCTAGGGAATCAAGGGGAAGTGATAGCAGACTCCCTCCTATGACAATATTCCGATTCGTCGCTCTCCAAAGCATACAGCCTTGCACAACTTCCCACGCTTCTTGCACACAACCTGTGCACTAGGTATTACTGTGGAATGAGCCAGACGCCGCTCATTCTATACGAGAGCCTGAGATGGGTACAATTCTAACATTTGAGTCTTTAGTGTTAGCTACGAGTCGCAGCGCTGTACATAATATTTATACATATAATGAGACAAGGAACTCGAGTCACCCAGCCGTCACTACTTCAAAGTTCGGCGTCTGGCAAGGTGAGCATCTGTTGAAGACAAACTGGTGATCTAATGTCCGCACATCAAGTACGTAGGCATCGCACATGCACGACGCAGGCAGGTAATTACAGCAGTGTACAACATACTTTTTCTGACACATGCTTACTATCAAGATCCTCCTTGCTTTGCTCGTGCCTCTTCTCTCTTGGCTGCACGCTCCTTCATCTCCTCATGCTTGAGGGCTGCCTTGACTTGTCGCTGCCTCTTGCGTCGACCGTTCCCTCGTTTAGGTCCATTGATAACAACAGGGTCTGCCATACGCTGCTTCTTCTTTGCGAGCTGTTCGGCGCGTTGCTTTTCACGTTTTTTATCACGCTTACGGAGGGTGGTCATGGATGCTTTGAGCAGGGCACCGTATGCAGAGTGGAATTTATCGAGGTCTGTTGATATGATCTATAAGGTGGGGTACCATGAGCATGGTGGGGCCTTGTAAAAGATCTGTTATGTACCTTGGTGGAGAATTTCGTCTTCTTGCCATCAGTGACACGAACGATACATGGATACACTCTGCCCCCATCGCTCCCATCTTCCACTTTCATTACGGTGTCATCACCATCGTGAGTTACTACGTACGACCAGAAAGTAAGTCGAGATAACTAAGCGGTAGATCGAGACATACATCGCTTATGAGTGAGCCATATCGTGCCCTTGTCTTTCGTTGATTCGAAGAGGGCGCCCAGCTGCCGCAAAAACTGAACACTGCTTTGAACGATCACATCAATGACTGTAATAAGGTGGATGGACGCACTGTGTTATTATCGACGAGCTGCATGGGCCTGATGCAGCGTAAGCGTCGAAAACATGTATCAAGTCACTCCGCAAAGAACATATGGGGGGTCACAATGTCCAAACAAGATACACTCAGAGGGGTTTCAACTCATCCAACCGCCTCGTTGCTTCAAAGTTCACGTACACTAAGACTCTATTCTCGAATATATTTCGTTCTTGATATCTTTCTGCAAAGAACGTTTTCACGGAGGTCTGCTTCAATGGAAGTGTACTGTCCTGCTCATGCCTTCAGAACACTAGACATCATCCGCTTGGAGCTTCAAGCTCTTCTACCTCGTAGATTTCGGGAACCAAATGCCTTGCAAGGAAGCTGGTGCGAAGTGGGGATTGTCTAGTTTGATGAGTTCGAATAGTCCTCGAGCTCGAGTGTGTAACTTTGTCGGTGAGAAGCTTCTCAAGCATCATCATGTGAATGAAGCGTGTCTGATGTTCTGCTTGCGCAGGAAATTATGTCTGGGATCGTGCCTAGGCTACCAAATTTCAAGAGTGATGCCGGGAAGGTGCACAAGCACACTGGAATCAGTCGGTCCGACTTCCCCGGGACTTTGTTTTCGATGTGGCCGCTTCAGGTATTTTAGTCTTCTCCTTTTTCCACAGGAAGCCGGCCTAGGCCCGATGCCATGGACGCCAACCTGATGAGGCTGAACGGAAAACATCGATTACCTGTAAACATCAATGCGTATAGAACGCTTCCTCGCAGGTCTTCTTCTGCGAGTTCGTCTTTTTTTTTCTCCTGCTCTACATGCGACTCACTCGGACTCAGCGCTAAGCTCCTTTGTGACGGGCGTATGAAGCAACTAGTCCGACAATCTAGAGATATATCTTCTTTTCTGGTTACATGTTAGAGTGTTTCAGGTTGCATGCTATCTGGTAAAAAGTTCTGCTCGCGCTGTCTCCCTGCTCGCATGCTACCTACATCGGTTTGTTCGTGACCGAGTATAGCATAAGAAGGAACTTCCTTCGTCTATGGTCTGTCAAGGGGTACCACCGTGGTATAACTGTACACTGCTTGCATGCATTAACAATCTGTGTAACTGCACGTTCAATAATTGCGACTTGCGATGACATGTCTGCATGTCTGGCCAAGTACTCAAGCTCAAGATCGACCGGCCGATGGGCCGATTCCCGCTCTATCCTGATTTGACACGTCTCTCATGTCTTAGGCTATCACGCAATTGTCACTTCATTATCGAGAATTGAGAATGATCACTGATATTATTTCCTATTCACACCATGAACAGATCATTTTGAGAGTCATCCAAGGACCCTGCTTTTGCCTATAATTTACACCATGACCTCGAGTGCGTCGAGCCCGTATCCTGCGCCAGTCGGTGGAGCGTCCCTCTTTCTGACATTCAAAGGACCCAGAAGTACCATCCTTATTATTGGCGGTGATGCTCTGGCTGCCTCTAGGGCATTTGCGGCGCTTGAGGCAGGCATACAAGTCATCATACTCACCAGAGGATCAGTATGCGACGAGCTGAAATGGAGAGCAAACCAACGGCAAATACAACTCGTAGACTGGGACACGCTCCCCTCTACGTCTACTTCTCCACTCGTCTCTACTCCGGACACGAAGACAGACGCCGAGTCCCTCTCTGCATTCCTCACTGAAAATCCATCTATATCTATCATCTGCATCACCATACACACGGCGGACATACCCGCACTCGCACGCATATGTCATGCACATAACATCCCCGTCAACGTCACCGACCATCCTGCACTATGCGACTTCTCTTTTGCAGCCACACACCGTTTTGCTGACCCGTCTACAGGCGGAAAGAGCGCACTACAAGTGGGCGTGACGACTAATGGCGAGGGGTGCCGGCTAGCGGGCCGTGTGAGGCGAGAGATTGTCAGCGTGCTACCTAAAGAAGTCGCTGGAGCCGTAAGGCAGGTGGGAAAGCTTCGATATTTGGCCAAGAATACGGTCGATCAAATAGAACGTGACGGAGAGGGTGAGGAAGGTGAGGACAGTGGTGTCACCACCCCCAACAGGCCTGTACCTGGCTGGAAAAGCAGTGTGGTCGAAAGCAAAGAAGAGTCTTCCTACCGCCGCATGAAATGGGTCGCCCAGGTTAGCGAGTACTGGCCCATCGCACGGCTCGCATCCATGTCAGAGAACGAGATGGAGCTCATATTAACTGGCGACACTGCCCAAACGATTTCATCATACTCCACTCAAGCCGGAATCGAGAGCTCACTACATAATTTGACGCTTTCCCCGCCCCCAAAGAAAGGCCGCATTCTTCTTGTTGGCTCTGGTCCAGGACATCCCTCCCTTCTCACCATTGCAACTCACAATGCGCTTACGAAGTATGCAGACCTTGTTCTCTCAGACAAGCTCGTCCCCGCTGCCGTACTTGCGCTCATACCTGAAAGAGTCGAGGTGCGCATTGCACGCAAGTTCCCCGGCAATGCCGAGGGTGCGCAATTAGAGATGATGGACGCAGCAGTCGAAGCTGCTCGACGTGGCCTCACCGTTGTCAGAGTACGTCCAAGCCTAAATCAGTTTTTCTCCACTGAAAAATTATTTCGTCACATAGCTGAAACAAGGAGACCCAGTCGTCTACGGCCGCGCAGGGGAGGAAGTACTCTTCTTCCGAGCACGCGGGTTCGAGCCGCTCGTTGTCCCGGGCGTCTCATCTGCACTCGCAGCACCTATTTTTGCAGGGATCCCGGTAACGCAGCGCGGCGTCGCGGAAAGTGTCATTGTGTGTACCGGCGTTGGGCGACAGGGCAAGGAGGTTAAGCTTCCAGGTTACGAGCGCGCGAGGACCGTTCTTATCCTCATGGGCGTCGCCCGTATAGCGCAGGTTGTGGGCGCTATGATGTGTAGCGATAATGGCAGCGGGGAAGGCCTGCAGAGTGTTGAAGGGAGAAGAGAGGGGCGTTCCTACCCGCGGAACACGCCTATTGCTATCATTGAACGCGGCTCGATGCCTGATCAACGGGTAGTTGCGAGTACGCTTGGAGATATATGTGAAGCACTGGATAGTGCGGGAGAGCAAAGACCTCCGGGAATGATGGTTGTTGGGTGGGCTGTTTTAGCACTGCAAGGCACAGGGGACACGAGCGTGTTGGACGAGGGGGAAGAGGGAGATGAAAAGAGGGTAAGAAGGTGGTTAGGTGGAGATAGGTGGGTTGTACGAGAAGGAATCGATCAGGGCTGGGCGGAGGTGTAGCTGAGGTCAGGGATTGATGATTTCAATGCTAAGATTTAATCTTCGTCGACCTACAGAGATTTTGCATACGTAGCGGGTTATTGGTATTTATACGGTATACCAACAATTCTAAGCAGATAGCGGCGTCGTTCCTCCACATCAGCCTGATTTCATTAACATTAATTGCTCAAACTGCCGCGCTAGTCATGTGATGTGACACACGCGAATAGTCACACAACGCATCACATCACGCGTAGCATCTTTCTTCTGATCAACCAAGTAGCATTATAAGCTTAAGATCTTTCTGAATAATGCCTCCCCGCAGGTCATCTCGCTCTGCGCGACCGTCTGCTGAACCGGAGGCATCAAACTCTGCGAAACGCAAACGAACCGATGCAGATGAGGTAGAGGAGAAAGAGAACGCTACTAGGACACGCAGAACATCAACAAGAGGTAGCGTGGGCCCTGCTTCGAAAACGTCCGCAGCACCATCTTCGAAAACGTCAGCAAGAACATCTACACGTACGTCATCAAGACCCAGTCGCTCACTGGAAGAGGTGGCGGAGACAGAGGAAGACGAGGAGAAGCCTGCGAAGAAGAAGTCGAGAAAGTCTGTTGAGGGTGATGACGACGACGAAGATGAAATCGTGGAGTTGCCGAAACCGAGGAAAGGCCGGGTCAAGAAGGTCGTGCAGGAGGAGGACGACGACGACGACGAGGTACGGGAAGTGAAACCCACTCGGCGGTCATCCGCGAAGCCCCGGCCAACTCGATCGCGCAAGACCGTCGCAGTAGAAGATTCAGATGAAGAAGAAATGAAAGAACCTATTGCCATCTCGGACGAGGACGAAGAGGAGATTCAAGAAGTCAAGCCCGCCAAAGCCAAGCGCGGTAGAACATCTCGCAAAGTGCCTGAAGACGACGACGACGTTCAAGAAATCAAACCTGCGCAGAAGGCTAAGGGAAGGAAACCTCGCAAGGCAACAAATAACGTCGAAGACGATGACGAAGAGCAAGACACCAAACCCGCAAAGCCCAAACCGGCTCCTCGATCCCGCAAACCTGTTAAACTTGAGTCGGACAACGACGAACACAACCCTATCACTATCTCCAGTGACGATTCTGACGCTACACCCGCTCCCAGAAGCCCTAAAGTGTCTTCTGGAAAGCAGAAGGCAGTTCTTCCCTCTGGTGCCGAAGTTACGCCTAGGCCACGCAAATCCATCCCTGCCACACCCCCCAAGCATCCCTCACCCATTGCTGAAGAAGAGGCAGATGACCTCGATGGGTTTCAAGAGGAGTTTATGCAGACACCTCGGCGTATACCGCGTCAGTCACATCAGTCGCAGATGACGCCTAAACGCCCTGCCCCACCGGAGGAGGAGGAAGAGGAAGAAAAGTCTCTCCTCGAGCCCCGCGTGAAACCCTTGTCGGTGATGCGGCCTCCGCCCACTGAAGACCCCTCCTCAGGTCCTAAGCCGCGTCTTGTGATACACAAGATGGTGCTCGTTAACTTCAAGAGTTACGCAGGGAGACAGGAGATCGGGCCATTCCACAAGGTAGGTCCTTATTATATTTTACTTGTAGTCGACGTGTACCATGGTTAACTCTGGTGATGGGCAGTCTTTTTCGTCAATCGTGGGCCCAAATGGTTCCGGTAAATCTAACACGATCGACGCGCTCCTCTTTGTATTTGGTTACCGTGCATCAAAAATGCGTCAGGGAAAGCTCTCTGAGCTCATCCACAACTCTGCACGGTACCCCGACTTGGATGAGTGCAGCGTGGAAGTTCATTTCCGCGAGATCATAGACCTCGTATGTTCCTTCACCCGTAAAATTGGACTAAACTAAGTCCTTCCCCCAGCCCGGACCTGATGCATATAATGTCGTCCCGAACTCTGCACTCATCGTCGCTCGCACAGCGACCAAATCCAACACTTCTCGGTACACGCTCAATTCACGGTCTTCCACCTACACCGAGGTCCAAACACTCCTCCAAGGGCGCGGAATTGACCTCACGCACAAGCGTTTCCTCATCCTGCAGGGTGAAGTCGAGTCGATCGCACAGATGAAGCCCAAGGGCACTTCGGAGCACGACGACGGGCTGCTCGAATACCTCGAAGACATTATCGGCACTGCTGCGCTCAAAACGCCGATCGAGGCTGCGCTTGCTGATGTAGAGCGGCTGGGAGAAGAGAGAGCCGAGAAGGTGGCCAGGTTGAGGATCGTGGAGAAGGAGAAGGCGAAGTTAGACGAGGAGAGAAAGGAGGCACTAGCGTGGCTGAAGCTTGCGAACGAGCATGTGCGGGCTCTCAGCCGACTGTGGCAGTATTATCTGTGGAAGTGTTTGGAGAACGACGAGCAATTTGCAACGCAGATTGTGGGTGTTTGATTTTTTTCCCCTCTTGGTTGCCGCGCTGATGTTGGGGCAGGAACATTTGGAGAAGGAGCTTACGGATGAGAGGGAAAGGAACAAGGATGATATCACGCATCTAGAGATGCTCGAGAAGCACTACAAGGAGCGCGAGAAGGCTTACGAGGTATGTTTGCGCGTTCTTTCCTTCCTGCGCAGACGCTGATGTATCAGTACAGGAAGTAAAAGCAGCAGCCGAGGAAGCAACGAAGGACAATGCCGCGCGCGAAAAGCAGTCTGTGAGTCTTGAGGAGCGCCGGAAGCATGCGAGCATGAAGGCCAAAAAGCTGAAGAAGGCATTGGCGGACGTGAGTTTTCTCTAGTTGTTGTTCGAGCTTCCTTTTTTCTTTTCTTTTTCTTCTTGACCCAACCCTCTATTTTATTTCTCTCCCTACACCGTGTTTTTCCATCGGTGTTCTGGCCTGGCTGCATGTATCTAACACATTGTTCACACAGGATGAACAATCGAAGAAACAAGCCGAGAACGCGCTTCAGGACTCCGACGCTAAGATCAAGACGAAGAAGCGTGAGATTGCAGAGCACGAGGCGAACCTCGAGAAGGAAGAGAAGGTGCTCGAAGGGATTCGGGATAGCTTGAAGGGTTCGTGATTCCGTGCGTCTCATCGCGCTTGACACCCCTCTTATTATTGATTGTCAGACAAAACGCAAGTCTTCCACGACCAGATCGAGGCGAAACAGAAAGAGCTACAGCCATGGACTGCCAAGATCAATGTCAAGCAGGCTGCGATCGACGTAGCAACATCTGAACGGGACGCGCTCGCGCAGAAAGCCACGGGGCTCAAAGACGCCGTTGCACAAGCGGAGGGACAGCTGGCTGACCTGCAGGTAGAGCAGGAGGGCAAGGTATGCTTCCAGGTGTGTATATGCCGGAATGATGATGCTGATGGATCGCTCAGCTGAACGAGTTGGGTCACTTGAGGACGAAAAAGGCAGAAATGCAGAAGAAGATGGAGACCTGCAAGGAAAAGTTCCACGTATGTCTCTAGGCATGCGAGGTGTGATGGATGCTGATTCGTTCTATTCAGGGTGCTCAGGCTGGCGTCCAGGAGCTTCGGGCCAAGGCTGGCTCTCTGCGGCAAAGGGTAGACGAGGCTAAAGCATCTCAAGCAGCTAGCACATCGCAAAACAGAGTCTTGGACAGCCTGACGAAACTCAAGCAGACTGGTCGTATCGATGGGTTCCATGTATGCTCTCGTTCTCTTGTGCAGCCTTCAATCACTGACATTACCTTGTAGGGCCGTCTTGGCAGCCTAGGCACGATCCCAGACAAGTACGATGTTGCGGTCTCCACCGCTTGCGGCGCCCTCAACAACATGGTCGTTGACACTGTCGCCCAGGGTCAAGCTTGCATCGAATTCCTGCGCAAGCAAAACATTGGGCGCGCGTCGTTCATGGTACTGGAGAAGCTCCCCACCGATAAACTCAACGAGCGCGTAGTGACACCCGAGGGTGTCCCGCGGCTATTCGATCTCATCAAGCCGAAGGATCCCCGCTTCGCGTCTGCCTTCTACAAAGGTGTTGGGAACACCCTTGTTGCTGAAAATTTGGACCAAGCGAACAGGATTGCATTTGGAGGCTCGAGGCGCTGGCGCGTTGTCACGCTTGCAGGACAGCTGATTGATTCATCAGGAACGATGTCGGGTGGTGGTAATCACGTCTCGCGGGGTGGCATGAGCTCGAAGCTCCAGGCGGAGGCAGTGAGCCCGCAAGTTCTGAGGAACTATGAGCAGGAGAGCGAGCGAGTGGCACATAATCTCGAGGCGGCACAGCAGGAGTTTCGTGAAATTGAGGCAGAAGTCGAAAGGCTCACTCAAGCAGGCCCAGAAATAGAACTCGCCATCGAAAAGCTCGCTATGGACGTCAACAATGGGAAGAAGCGGCTGACTGATGCTGAGAGGCGTGTGCAGGATCTCAAGTACGTGCATTCCGTTTGCTTTACGCAGAATCACATGCTGAATAGGTCATAGAGCACAGAGCAAGCCCAACGCTAGGGATCTCGCTCGAATCAACACTCTAGATGCCGATATCGCATCGGCAACAGAAGAGCTTGAAGATCTGCAGACCAAAACTGGCACTATCGAGGCCGCAATCAAAGGTCTCGAAAAGAAGATTCTCGAAATCGGTGGCTCCAGACTGTTAAAGCAGAGGTCCACCGTTGACGGTATTCGCTTGCTGCACCAGCTAGCTAACGAGGAGGTCACCAAGGCTGAGGTTATGAAGGCTACTGCGGAGAAGAACATTGTCAAGTATACATCTGGTGTTGAGACTAACCGTGCAGCGCTGGAGGAAATTGAGAAAGAGCTTGAGGAGCTGAAGGATCAGCTGGCGGAGGTCGCACAGTACTTGGAAGATCTCAAGGAGAAGGTGGAGGCCGCGCAGGCTGCTCAGGAGAGCTCGAAAGATGATCTCGATCAGCTCAAGCAGCAACTCCAGGAAAAACGCGAGGAGATTGATGAGTTCAGAAAAAAAGAAGTTGGTTCTTCGCTGTACACTGGGTGCTCACGAGCTCACAAGTTCTATAGCTTGAGATTACCCAGAAGCTTGCCGACAAGAAGAAAGAGTCTGCTGAAAATGAGCGTGTACTTGATCACTGGCGGACGGAACACGACCAGCTTAAGCTTCATGAAATTGAGTGAGCCTTTGTCTATCGATTGTTTCTACATTCGTATGCTTACAGCCACCCACAGTGATGATGACGACGATGAAGAGGAAGGAGCTAACCAGGTTGCTGAAGCTTCAGGTAGCGGTGAAGGGGCGGTGAAACAGGAACATACAGATTCTGCTCCGAAGAAGGCTCGTCAACAAACGTCATCGAGCGAGCTATACATATACAGCGCCGAAGAACTTGCACGCTTCAAGAAGAGAGAGATGGTTGCAGATTCTGAGTATCTTGATGGTATATTCTGACGCATTTGCCACGAGTGACTGCTACTAACTGGTCGTCTTAGAGAAACTTAAGAACGCTAATCCAAACCTCAACGTTCTTAAGGAGTACAAGAAGCGAGAGGAGGAATTCATGAAACGTGCCAAAGACCTAGAGGAGACAACTACAGCACGCGACGCGCAGAAGCAGCTCTACGACGGTCTCCGGAAACAACGGTTGGACGAATTCATGGCAGGTTTCAGCACGATCTCATTGAAGCTCAAGGAAATGTATCAGGTACGTACTGGCGTCTTCGATTAATCAGATTTTTACATTTTCCGTTAGATGATCACTCTTGGGGGCAATGCAGAGCTTGAGCTTGTCGACAGTATGGATCCCTTTTCAGAGGGCATCATTTTCAGCGTCATGCCTCCGAAGAAGAGTTGGAAGAATATTTCGAATCTGTCCGGGGGCGAGAAGGTACATCCTGCTTTGAAGATCGGAGAACACAAATTAATCATCCTACAGACCCTTAGTTCACTTGCCCTCGTTTTCGCTCTGCATGTGTTCAAGGTAAATCTCATGTTAACCGTGAGCAATTCGGTGGACTGAACTTATCCTAGCCCACGCCACTTTATTTCATGGATGAAATAGACGCCGCCCTAGACTTCCGGAATGTCTCGATTGTGGCAAATTATATCAAGGATCGCACTAAGAATGCGCAGTTCATTATCATTTCTCTGAGGTGATGATCCTTTCTCTCCCGAAAACGACCTTCGCTAACATGAATTTGCAGGAATGACATGTTTGAGCTCAGCCACCGTCTCATTGGCATTTACAAGACTGCAAACGCAACACAGAGTTAGTATGATAACTATTTCATTCGACGTGTTTCTCATTTGTTCTCGCATAGGTATATCCATCGATAACCACGTTCTCGCTCCTCGAACCATCAAGGCTGTGCCAGCAGCAGCTTGAAAGACTTGCATTGTAATGGTTGAGTTCGTGCTTTCTACATGCTATGTGAATTATATGCATTGTGTATCAAATGATGACATCGTATCTCTCGCTCTACTCATCCCTTCGAATCGCGCCACTGAGGATGAACATCTGAAAGCCATTCTCCCAGAGCCTTTCCGCCCCAGCTAAGACTCATTGAAGCCTCACCTAGGGCACTGGAAGTAGGGAAGTCATCTGGTAGAAGTAACGGTGGTTCGGAGGTGAACCAGGGGTGAGTCAATGCCCCGGAAGGGCGGAGACGCCGAGATGGTTCGTATACAAGGAACCGGTGGACTAGATCAACAAAAGTTGGTGACATCGTCTCTGGGGGCATGTGTGTCTTCGTGTCGACCTCATGCTGCTGTGCTGATGAAGGAAAATTGGGTAGGATAGAGAGAAGATCAACAGGCTGCACATCCACAAAGGACAGCTTGTCTGCGTCCGGCAAGCTCAAGAAGGACTTGTTGGAGTCAGAGGATGATCGTAGTAACAACTCAATCACACTCACCGGCCAATTTGTCTCATTGGGTGAGCCTCGTGTCTTGAAAATGCTCCAAGCTAAACCAATCTCTCCACGTGCGGAATCGAATAGTGAATCCCTAGCCCACCTGTTCGAGGGGTCTCCGATGCGAAGTCCCTTTGGTATAATGAATGGCTGGGCTGGCTTCGCCGGGCTTTCGTCGTCTGACTCAGACTGCTCATCCCCCTCAAAGTCGAATTGCTCGTCGTCAAGCGGGTTAAAAAGACGAACAGAAGTGAAAAATTCCGCAAAGGTTGTTCCGAGGCTCCAAGAGTCTACCGCGAATGCATCATAATTCCTGGGCCCAAACAGCAGCTCGGGCGCGCGGTATGGTCTACTTCTTAGTGAGCGTCCGATTCATGCTTGGTCAAGCAGGGGCATACCCTGTAGAGACTTCAAAGTACATCTTCTCCGGGGTTTCAACCCATAGATCGTTTTTCTTTGCAGAAGAATCTTCCCCTTCCTTCCAGGATATGCCAAAGTCAATGAGCTGAACACGGCCAGATAAAGTAAGAAGTATGTTGCTTGGTTTGATATCCCGATGTGCAATCCTGACAGTGTCGTGAAGGAATGTCACACTGTTTAGGATTTGAAACATCAATGATTTCGCAAGAAGAACGAAGCGCTGCTCGCGTGGACTCGGATTTGACGGATCTGCGGCCATAATTGAAACAAGTGGATGAGGGGAAAAGTCATTTGAAGATAACAATCCGATCAAAGAAAAAGGTATATATGGCATCCAAAAGCTCATAGTCTGGAGGCCTGAATCGATACTATGGCCTAGGATAGAAACCACCTATGATAAAAAGTAAGACCTGCCATACCATTCGGCGCAAGACTCACATTTGGATGACATGCCAAGGCGATTAGCCTCGCCTCTTTGACTGATGTCGTGTGGTTCTTTGGCATATTTACGGTGGATGGTAGATGTCTTTATCGCAATCCACTGAGTCTGCCCTTCGTGCTTGAGCAGACTCTTGGAGACAATAGAAACTGGACCTTCAGCGACTGTTTCGCGAGAACCACTGGGAGGCTGTCAGGACATTGTTAATCACAAGTTATCTCACAGAAATGGACGCATGCCGACCATGAAGCTTGGAAGGAAAGGACGTCAGCGAAGAGCTTTTTGTGTCAGTAAATAGACCTCCAGCTTCAGTCATGCAAGAATCATGGCATCAAAGAGGAGGGTTATTTTTAGCACATCATGATTGTACCATATCGCACAGCCACACTACATACTCCTTAGTTGCCGTTGACCAACTGTCGACTCCGATTTGCAGTGTATTATCTTCTGACAGCGTTTGCTTTATCCAGGATGGCGTTAGACGAAGAAACATGTAAAACCTATCAGTGCGTCGGAAACCGCTCCCAATGCACTTACCCTCAGATCCCTATCACAGACAGACTCCTGCTCGTCAATGCCTTGACAGAGGGCGCTTTGGAAGAGATGATGGAAGACCCTGAATATTTCGACAGTAACACTGAGGAATTCCTTGGAGACCTTAACTGCACGGACGCGTAAGCCGCTCGTATACAGAGTGACGTTGGCTGACACATTATCTGCACGTTAGGTTGGGAAATACTGGTAAGTTGTATCCAAAGGCTGCTCCACTACTACTCACATTCGCGAGGCATCGGGAAGCTCTTCACCTTGCGTTCGTGTCGCAAGTTCTAATACTGTTGATGCGCTTCCTCATATCCATCCCATGATCCTTAGCGTACGTCAAGGGCATGCGGCTGATGTAGCGGCTCTCTGCGGTGGGGCTGTCGACCTTGACATCCACAACAAGAATGGAGATGCACCACTTTATATCGCTTTGAAGGAGATTGACGATGCTGAGGCACGTTTTGAGATCGTCAAGGAACTACTAAGTTGCGGTGCGGAGTGTAAACAGTGCGTTCCTCGCATCTTAGTCAGACAAAGTGCTGAGTGCCCTCAGAGCGATGCCGGGCGGGCTCACACCATTGGAATACGCAGAAAGCCGATTTCCTTTAGAAAAGGAATTACACGAGACTATCGCAAATCCTCCACGCGATGACGAGGAGGATGAATTACAACCAGAACAAATGAGAAAGCAAATGTATGATAGCAGCGACTTTGCGGACGGTAAGATATTGGTACATCCCCTTCTGCTAGCCACCTTCACGCATTACCCCCAGATGACGAAGATGAAGGCCAAGAATCAAGCCCGGAGACTGAATAGAAGATATACTAATATTATTCTCATTTCTTGAATATCATAGAGGAATGGGGCAGAGAGTCATTCCATTCCAATTTTCCTTTGGAGAAGTGGTTGTTCGCCAGTAGCGAGCGAATTGTTTTACGAGGCAGATGTAGAATATTTGAGCAACTTGACAATTCGGCATTCTTACATTGCAACCACGACGAAGGGCGAGAAGTGCGTCTCCACCAGGCTGCCGTCTTCATCAGTTCTTGCAAGTCGTGAACGTCATGTCTGCGGTGAGATACCTGGCAGTGCCTCAGCGTCGTTGCTCCAAGCTACGGCTGCCGGAGGGTACTATTACTGAAAGGGGGTGGTCCAATAGAGACACCGCAGGCACTCCATGTATGATTGTCTACATAACTCCCGGCCCCATAATGTCGATCCATAAATGAGCAACCAATCGACACCTTGCGGAGGAGTCCTGCAGCACGAGCATGTAATGCACGGGGGTTGGTGAGGTTGGTGCGAAACACACAAGTAATGATCTCCCTTGACACACCCTAACCTCAGCAGTATGGTTGTTGCACTGGGCTCGGACTTAGCAGATGAGAGACCTCGCTATAGATTCAACTGTTTCGTAAAATTTGCAATGTTCTGCAAAAGGAGTCAAAGAAAGGACGGAAACAAATGCAATCCGAACACACAATTCCGAAGTACATGAGCAACCTCTGGGGCTATGCTGGGCCGGGGGATCATCTATGCTTATTGCGATTAGTGAAGCATGGAACGTCGTAGAGATTTCAGAGGTTGCGAATTTGTGCATAAGATGAAAGGGAATATAAAGTTGAGGGAACGTTAGCCATATGAGGAATACGATAAGAAAAACGTGTACCACCATGCCAACGGCGGCGGAAAAAACATCAGCAGGGGGTCGCCGTCAACAATGAGCCGCCGAATGAACTCAGCAGCGTATAAAGCAAAGCTTTGCGCTGCCCGATCAGCGGATATGCTTCGCTAATAACCCCATAGGCCTAAACATCAGGTTTCGCACCAGCGGATGCTAAACAGAGATTTGAAAACCATATGGTGTTTGAGTGTAGATCGGCCATCATCTGACGAGTATAAGGTCTTTGAGGGGCTGTGACTTGTCAGGACCCATGATGATGTGCGATTATTAACGTGCGCAGTCCTTCCGAGACACAAGGCAAAGGTATTGATTTCTTGGCGTGCGAGCTGAGATGTCTGCGGTTGGAGAATAGTACTCTCCATGGAGTCTGAGCGCAGCTCTACCGTTAGTTCGTCACCTTGGCAGGTGTATTAATACACCCCGGCTATTGTAGAAGGGTGTGGATGCATCCTTACAGGTATTCATTGCCTATTGCTTTTGTTATCAATACGCAAAAGTTGTCGTAGACATGCACCAACCCATGATTGCTTATATCGAGAACTAGCTCTGTTTGGGAAATTTCGCCGGACACAGCTGTTAGTCTCCTGTAGTCAAACCTTGAAAGTAAGGAATACTCATAATTGTTCCTGGCAGCACAGTACTACCCACCAGCCATCGAAGAGTCTACAGGCCAGTGTCTGAGTGTGAGCTTGAATCGTACCGCACACCTTCTTGCTACGGCCGGGAGTACTTGAGACCTGACGCGGAGTCGCGAACCTCCCCAAGTACATACGACCCTACCACCAGTGCCGTAGCAGGGATAGACGATCGAATGCCAGCCGCTGGTAACCCGACCATCCTTCTTTGCTAGGTAGAAGTACCATGAAATTCAGCAGCCGCACCAGTCCCTCGGGAACTAACGCCATGATGATGTGCCACAGTCTACAGTTGGCTGCAAGCTGGCTACTCAAACTGTAATTCCCACGGTGGCCGCACCACAGGGTTCCGTCGCCACAGGCTCACTAACGTTAAAGAGTCTAGACTTGGCCTTGTGTACGACCATCACCACTGATTCCAGCAATCGATACTTGGACCTAGATCTTTCGCCACACTTCTGTTTGCTTGTGGAGCTAGACAAATAACAGGGTCCTCGGCGACACCTTGTTCGGCCATGAAGATTCTTAAGAATCCGGCTGCTGAATTCTCGGCCATGATAGTATTACTTCCGTAGGCGAGCCTCAGTGTCGACGTGGCGACCTATAACGATCCGTTGCTGTTTTAATAGCCTCTAGCATGTATCGACCGTTTCCGGGCATAGTTGGGCGTTGTGGACTCCAAATAGCTAGATAGGCGCGCCTCTCCTTGGTACCTTACTAACGTTCTAAGCACTTCAGGAGAAACTCGGCATCTGGTCTGTCGATACGAAGATAGCTGACACATATGTACCAATTAGTGACATTGGGAGGTGTATGTTTTTTTTCGCCCCCCCCCCCCCCAAGTTTTACCTCGGAGAGCAGTTTGCTACGATAGCTCGTAAGTACGTACAATGGACGTTCCGTATGTACCCTTATGACTACTCTCCAAATCCCTGGTGCGCCCGATCTATGTCCCTATTTCTCCTGTCTTTGACCTTTTCAGTCAGATCCCGTAATCTGCATGTTGAGAAGGTACTACAGAGTCTATCAAACCCGCTGGTTCCGACGTGATCGTCTAATATGTCACTCATTCCCGAGTGCCAAGCACCGAGTCGCGGCTGACCCAGCTGTCTAATTATTCTAGTTGAACAAAGTTCCATGCACAATGGTCTTGTTCAATATCAACATTGTAGATTGTATACAAATATATCGTGCGTTTCGCATAAACGTTCACCTCGCTAATCTACCATTCGAACGTGTCTACTATATTTTAGTGGCCGTTTTTTACCCACCGAGTTGTGGTTACAAGTTAATTCTATTATAGCAGGTTGCGGCACCGAAACCACAATAATACACCCACAGAATTCAATCAGCGATCAAGTCTTCTGGAGACGCGGCGGCCGCTCAAGAGCCCATGGTCCTATAAGATCCGCTTCCTCAAGAATGGATGTATATGGTATGCAAAATGGAAGAGAACAAATACAATTAGATCGACGGGATTTTTATTCGACTTTGTGTTCGCCGCTCATTCTAGATGTTCATACCTTGGCAACATGCCACCCCGGTTGAAGGTTGTAACGAGAATGACGATATTGCTTGTGCCCACCTGATGGGCTCGCCGCCATTGTCGGGACTTTGTCACGATATTGTCTTTTGTTCCACCAGAGGGCAGTGAAGGGCAGTGTTGGCTGCGGACAGTGTTTTCGTTTCGGGCGTATAGTCCGATGTAATAGAGAATTGGAATAGAACTGCATTCTACGCTTCTATAGCTAGGCCTCTTCTCGGTGACACGTCCCGACTCCACTTCGGGCACTTTGTGAAAAGTGATGTGACCGAGTCGATAGAACCAACACACGTAGACTCCTCATCGACAATGGTATGTCGTGTCCAAGATGTAGTCTGCCAGATAATCAAGCGGGTGACGTTGGGGAGGGATATCAGTACCACGATTAGCTATGGATGATATGCCTATTCCTGACTCTTATAAGGTTTTCAACGCTATGATACGAAGATATGAGAACTTCAGGCCAAGTAGCGTGAACCGCCGATCCGGAGCTCACTATGCATAACCTCTAGAATTACGAATATTTGATAACAACAATGCTATCGTCTTCATAGCCGCTATCCAGCACGTACAATACAACGATAATGATAGTGGAGCGGTATCTAGGCGCCCGTACATTAAAAAAAATAACATATAGACTCGATGAGGAAGTATATAATTAAAAGGCTGGCATTCAAATATGGTGACGCGCGAAGTGATCATAAAACGGGCTGCGGCGTCAATGACCAGATTCCGATATCCTAGGTACCGTTTTGCTTCGAATGATGTATGAAAAGGAATCATCGAAAGAAGGTGTAAGATATCGGCAACGTGTGGCAGCACCTAAGAACAAGTTTGAGCAACGTGCCTACTGCAACGTGCATAACAGTTTAGTGAGATCTCGCTGACAATTGTTATAGTGGACTTGATCAGTGAGTGTACGATTAAAGCTAAGAGCTTGTAGCAGCTAGCTGGATATCGAAATCCGATGAGAGTTGGTACAGCCTGCTAGCCGATCAGCAACATAGAAGGATGTGCAGTTCAACTGCTTGATCAATGACCGTTGATATGGTCTTCCGTCAGGATAAACACAGTCGAGAGATAAGTGTTCGAAGGACGAGATGATCGGCTTTAAAGATTGTTGCGACGAGCGACACAAAGCTACTCCCACGTTGGGATACATAAAGCGTTCACATAGCGCGGCCCCTCGCAATCTTCCATGCCCGTATTATGTTTGCTTATCGCCAATAATAAGTACGCTTCTTCGGACAGGTTTTTAGGTTCGCGGGATGGTGTGAACGTTTCGGTTGCGAGCACTTGGACGTAAATGGTTGTACACCGATCGGTGTAGATGTGGGCTTAGCCATAAAGCAAGAGTAACTAAGTGGGCGACGTGAGACTCGCTCGCTTCATTTTGACGAACGGTATGAGTAGGTGCAGATAAGTTAAGATGACGGCGGGAGAGATCGGGTGTAGGGAGGGAAAGGAGAAATCCGGGGAAGTCGATAAGTTGCGAAAATCGGAAGCGGCTCATTGGAGGACAAGCAACTCTGAGATAGATTTTCGGGGGATGTAGAAGCACATAGGCGGTGATACAGGAGAAACACGGACGTAGAAGACGTTGTAGCACATATCCGTCACTTAACTATGGCAGACATCCTATGGGGAGGCTGACGAGGGTGTAAGGAAGGAAAGCGATACTTTAAAAAAAGTGCACCACAATGACGTTATGTAGGAAGCGAGAAAATGACGCACTATGAATATTTCGAAGAAAAATCAGACGCGTTCCCATGAAAGTGCGGATCTGAATTGCCTATGATACTGCAAAGGCGTGATCGATAGCACATAGTGCGAGGCTTTGAGCCGATAAGTCAACTGTAGCTAGCTTTTCGCCATACTAGTAGTAGTGAGCATCAACTCAGACTACCGTTGATCCATCCGACATATGATCTTAGTGAGACCGTTATTCTTACTGGAACATGTTGTAGGATGGCGTGTCCGTGGGACACGTCGTCGGGAGTTATAGTTGACGACGACAGGAAGGCGTAGAACATTACTTGCATGGGGGAATGGTTGTTTCGATAAGCTGCCGGGATCAGAAGTCAAATTCTTCGCGAAAATTACGCGCTGTAGGTGGAGTCACCACGAAACACGATGATGGGCTAGAATGCTAATATAGTATTTTTGATAAAGCGCTGCAAGTCTAGAAATGCTAAGATAAGGAACGTGAGATCTGGATTATTCGATCGGGAATATGTGGAGTGTAACCGTTTCACTAAAATAGGATGCCGAACCCGATCAGATCTCGGAGGGAATCACTTTTGAGATCAAGTACTCCAACGTCCGTGAAAATAAACAGTCTCTCGTTTCAATAGGTCTCATTCCTACACCCATCTTCCTCTCCTCACCTCGAGGATTAGTACACATTTTAAAGAGGTATTTAACAGCTGTTCACAATTTTTATGTGCTTCTGACGTCACTCTAGATGACCTTTACAGCGTATGATGCCCACCGCTCTCGCTCAGCAGTCCCAACCTTCTCAAACGAACGCGGCCCAGGCGCATTCGTTTCATTAGGTTCCCTCCCCAGACGAAAATCTCATTCTCCCACATTTCCCCAGAATCGCAAGTCACCCGTCTTCCATATTCATGGCGATGATGACCACGATGACTGTTGCTTGTCGTCGTCAGATTCCCTCGACGAGCAGACTACTACCCAGCTTGGAGACCCCCAACTCCCAATGAAAAATTTACAGGAAGCTTTCCAATCACCCGCGGCTGTACCCTTTCCCCGCCGCTCTCCCTCCCCTCCTTCTCCCCTCCTTGGTCCCTCTTCACCGTTGGTTACCTCTCCTCAACCACAAATGTCCCATGTATCATCCCCAGCGAGAATTCTGCCTAATGGGAAGCCACTCAAGTCCTCACTTAAATCATCAACCTCCAATCTCTCCATCCCTGCACTTGAACCCCAACGCCCTAATAATCATCTTCACTTGCGTTCCCGTTCAGAACCATCCACCCCTACTGCGCATACTCCTAAAAATGTCCACTTTCCCGATACAGACATTGGCCTGGCCTCTGTCCGCCTTTTCAGCCGCTCTGCCCGTCCAACGGCTGTCAGCACGCCCGATATTCCTAATGGTGATGAAACGGAGACGGAAGGCGAGGATCAACCTTCGAATGGATTTCCCTTCCCAAAATTTCCTTCTCCAACCCCGAATTTCGAAATTGACACCGCTAATTCATCGGTGGTGCCCGTTTCTAATTCTCTTCCTCATTCGAATATCCTACTTGAGTCCCTCACTTTCTCGCACGCTTCGTCACAAGGCGTCAGCCCACATTTGAGCGGTACCCTTCTCGTGCGCAACCTGGCGTTCGAGAAACATGTCGCTGTGAGGTTTACCCTCGATGATTGGCAAACCGTCAGCGAAGTGAGAGCGCAATATGTTGTTTCCATTCCATCACTCCCATCCGCATTTATATCGTCTTCCTCATCGAAAACAACAGTTGGCGACCTCGTTGGTCTAGCGGCAGACCACCGCGGGTGGGACCGCTTTTCTTTCATCATTCGCTTGGAGGACTATACACACAGCTTGGGCTCACGAGTATTGTGGCTCGCTGCACGTTATAGGGTCCATTCAACGTGTCCTGGTTTGTCGACGGAAATCTCAGGTCCCGGTGGTGAATGGTGGGATAACAACAACGGTGGAAACTACCGCGTTGCTTTCCGCGTCGCGCCACTGCGACTGACATCTAACAGGATTCGAAGAGAGACAGCACCTGGTGAGCATTTTTATTTTTCAGATTTTTTTAGGACGGTCGGTTAATGGCGAAATTTTGTAGAACCCTCAAGGGTGACACTACCCATGTCCCGCGAACATACTCCCGGCCAATTAGTTCCACCTTTGAGTTCAAATTCGTCTCCCGCATTCGGAAAAAAGATGTCATTCTCACCGACGAGAGATGGAAAGGAGAAATTTTCATTACCACTGAGGTCAGGGAAGCTCCGTCTCCCCAACTATGCTGCACCTCCGGTAGTCTCCCCTGTTTCCCCCACTTCCTCTGCACCTTCGGTGTCTGCGCAGCGCTCAGATGCTTCGCGCTCACCCTCCCCGCCGGTCCAACGTCCAACGCCCCAAGTGTCTGTCCCACAATCGCGTGACTATGACTCCCCTTCACCTGCTTCTTCCACGCTCTCCACGCCCTCTACTTCACCCAACATAGTCCCACGCGTCATGATAGGTGGGCATCCCGCAAACTGTCCACGTCCTGAGCAGACACACATCGATGATTGGGAGTGGATGTCGCCGCCGACACAAGCTGTCATGACGAAGCGACCGGCTGCGCGTAGGACTGTTACAGATGGGCCAACTGGACCTATCCGATCTGGTGTGCCCGCAATACCTCCTCGAGCGCATTCGTCTTCAGGACCGCCGGGTAGCGATGGCCTATCTGGCGATTCGCTGTATAATGCATTTGTGACGCGGTGGTGCTTTGCCCAAGAGCCGTCCAGCGCGGGTCCATATCATGGGCCACTCACAGGCGACGAGGGTATTTTGGCATGAGGGTTTTTTGAATTGGGTTTCATTTTTGGAGAGCATCCACTTGTACGATCTTGACGACCTCGATATCATGACCGCGACACACGTTCAACGGTGGCGCAAGCCATGCACTCACTCTATGTCAGCACAAACAAACTGCTGTACCTGTTCGTGCACCCCATCTCCTCTTCGATTCTTCGATTCGTGATTCTTCTTTCCCTCTATGTATATAATACTGATGTCTTCATGATTTTCCTCAGCCTGTACTAACACTCCATCATCACTCATGTTACTGACATTATCTCGTCTTACTGAACACACGGCCTCCTGGACAATATTTCCCCTGCCTTGTCGGATTCTACTTCCCCTTGTAAACATACCACACTATATTAAAAGCGCTCGACGCATCGCATTGACATATCGCACTCATGACGTTTCTGTACGCCTACGACGTATATTTAATGTATACATATGCTTACCTACCGTAGGGATTTTTGGGAACTCTGGAATATCTATTTGATCACGATCTTCGAAAGTACTTGATTGATGAGCCTTCTGGGTTTGTCTTCGAACGTTCCGAGGCCCTCAGGCTCTCAGAGCATTTTCAAATAATACAGCATTCGTCGGTGCACGATGTCAGCCTATGTCAGCTAGTGCGACCTTCAGTCCGATGTCGTGATATCCTTATCATCATCATCTTATCATCATTTAATCTAGTGGCGAGCATCTCCGCGTTAACAACCCGACCTCCACGCAATGACGCCATCGCTCATAGCCGTTCGTCTAGGCTCACTCAAGATGTCCAAAGCTCGTGAGAAATATCATACTCTTATTGTCAGCAGGGATCCGCGACATCTTGTCCTCACAGCAACACGTCAAGGTAGCGGGCTTAGAGACGCTCGGGTCAACCGAGGCCAACCCGCACCTTTCGTTTATATCCGCTGCCCCGCCCAAAAGTGAATCAGTGACGTCCATACACATATGCGTCGCTTGTAAATCTCCTTTATCCATCAGTGTGTCGATGCCGTAATATCCGTCAACCTCAGACCCAGGACGAGTCCTGGCGAGTCGCCCAGCTTATGAGCGCTATCCTTCATTTGCCGAGGCTCTGGTCCATCAATGCCTTTGTTCGCACGCAGGAACCAACATGTTCCAGCCAATACTTTCATCGATAGACCAGATTTCATTTTGTTCCCTTTACCACTCCTATTTACTTATGGAGCTCGACAAGCACAAGGGTCTTGCGTATTACGATAGTTCGAGTGTCGTAATACCCCCAGAATGGTAAGGGAGTAGGCACCCGATTCCTGTCCTCAGACGTCAAACAGCGATGCAGGTCACTGTAATTAATGACTGCTGGTATGTAATAACTAACATTTTGTAGTATTCGACAGTCGTGAGCTGTCAGACACTGCCATGAGACTCAAATCAATCGCTCAGTCACTCTGTGTCAAAGTCTTCATCCCTGTCATTCTCGGGGTATGCCGATGCCCGAGCTTCTCTTTTGTCTGCCAAGCTCCACAAGTAAATAGGAGTGGTAAAGGGAACAAAATGAAGTCTGGTCTATCGATATGAAAGGATATCATCTTCGCAGAAACACGCTGTGGCGTGTTTAGAGACCGTGCGCGGTCGGTTCATCCCACAACTGTGTTTCGGAGCTTCTTTATGTAACATCCGTCCCGCACGCAACCATCCTGGTCCACCCTCACGGACAAATTTCTTGTTTCTGGATGCCTGGTCACCTTTCCGAACAAACTGGCCCCGGAGGGGCCGAGGCCTGGTTTTTCAGGGACAAAAACGACCGAATTTTTACCCTCCTGTCCAGACATAAATCCTCGAATTTCGGATGACCGAGATCAGGCCTTCCTACCTATATTTGGGGGTCTCGCTTGAACAATGAAAAGAGAGAATTAATTATTTGATCCCTTCCCCAGTTAACGTTGTTCGTCAGGGACATATGCATAATGATCGGCATGGTGATAAGCAATGTATATTGCCTCTGCAATGATACTTGGTTTCGATGATCAACGTCACGCCAATTGGCTCAGACATAGAGTGATGTTCATTCACAATGCAATTTACAAACCCCAAGGCTGTCCCGAGAAACTTCTTCGTTTTTGTACCAGGTCAACGCCGCCGCGTGCATCGGAGGGTACCTGATAATGTATTCGTCTTCAAGTGCGTTCTGACCCACGTCCACGTTTGCTTGTATTCGTCTTAAGTGCATTCTAACCCACGTTCAGGTTTATACTTTGCTGGCATCTTGTAAATCATTCTCCCCCAAGCACGTCTCGTGAAATCCTCTTAATAACCGTCTGTCTGGTCCGCTTTTGAACTTGCCGCATTATTACCTCTTAATCTTAATCAAATCACTGTTTGCAAAGACCGACATTGATGAGAGAAGTAACATGATTTCATACTTTCTGCTGCTATCATGGGGTATCCCAGCCCAGTCCCAACTCACGCCGTTGACACTTACCCATCGAGTACCTGCCAGGATCCGGAGGATATAAAACCAAAACATGTCTCAGCATTCGTTTGATATCACGGCGCAAGTCTGACACGAGCTTCGTCCTGCTGACCAGTGATCGCAGCCTTCATGTGCGACTCAAGTTTCACATATAACATCTTAATATATACCCTCTATAACACCTGATCGACAATCATGACTATTTGGATCGACATGGCAGCATCGTGCCGCATCATGACAGTCCCCGAAGAAAGTTAAAGGCACTGATAGGCTTCGGCCGCGCCCAGCTGGACATGACGAACTATTCTGGCGCCGAGGGCTAGTTCAGGAGGTTCTCGATCGACGTATGACAGTTGCGCGAGACGGAAAGTATATACCCATAGTATGGCGGGGTATTTTTAAATTCCGAATTGACTTTGGTTCTTCGAAGATAAGTATGGCAGATAGTCCTCGACAATGCGTGCGTGGTGCTGGGATCCACCACCTTCCACCACCTGCCACGGATGCTGTTGTCTCGAGTTGGCTGCCATACAGTCGTGCGTCAGCATCCGACCCCAGGTATTGGTTCACAAGCGTACGGCTGTAGCAAAATGGAATCCATGTTTCATTGTGGGTTGATAGGTGCGATAACGGCAACCCAGATGCTATCCGTCCTTGAACAGCACAAGTTACTGGAGCTCCATGCGATTAATGATTCAAATATGTTGTTCTTTCACAATCTCCGCCGCCGTTAATAACCAACCGATAAGCATTGCCAGCTCGTATCTTTGACTCCGTACTGATGCTAGAACGCTGGATTTGCGACTGGCAGGTTGTCTAACTTCAAGAGTGCGAGGGTAAGCTGCGGGAGTAAGCCTCGACTGTAAAGACAGCGCATTGATATCAAAATGAATCAACCCGCCGTCGGCGGAGTACCCGTAACATAACCGCGATGGAGCGTACACAAATACACGTTATCGAGGGCTCCCCGTATCATAGGGAAACGATATCTGGCATCAGGTCTATGGCCCTAAAGGACAACAAATCGATGTCTTTTTAGCAAAAAAAAGAAGGATCAATCTTTATGCGGAGAGCGACAATCTTTGCCGTCTCACTGAAGTAGCGCTACGAATCCAATCCTACCGAAACAACTGCAGCAGCTGGAAGATAGAAGATTATGATGCGGGGGCCGCTGGAGTGCTGCAAAGGCTAGGAAACGGATTAGCCACCATTGGTGCACTGGAACGGCATACGTCGTGCACTATTGGCAAGCAAACGCTAGTGTTTGCCGCAAGTTAATTCCCTTTGAAGGGAAGTGCGCTTTACTCTCAGATTCCACTACCAGGCAGCGCGGGAGCCAGTCAACCTGAAGAAGACGACCACAATTAAGCATACATTGCATCGTGGTTGCAGCTTTCACTCACTGGCTATCGTGTTTCGTCTCTGACCTTTTCCGGGACTATACACGATGAATGACCCCGTCAACGCATGTGTAAGTTGGTCTGACTGCCGCACGCGCATAACCGTTACACCAAAGGTAGAATACTGAAAGCTTAGCTTTCAGTATCAGCGACAGTATATACTGAGTATGGGAACTCAGGTAAGCCAGCGTGCTTACAGCATGCAGGGAATAGCTCGCTCATTGAATCACAGGGATACCCCAATCTGCCCCTTTGGGCTAGGTCAGTTGGCTCATTACCCATATTCACAACCAGCACATGTCCTCGGAATCCTGGCATTCAACAACTTTCAGAGAATATACGACTGCACGCTTTCGTGCGTGAATTGGTCCACCTAGTTCCTTGATAATTTTTAGCTCTGCGCCTTAGTTGCGCCAGTTTAGGGTACGGCGCCTGCATAGTGACGAAAGTAGGATTAAGCGCACGTAAACAGTATGTTCGTTCAGACGAGAAGATGTTGTTCAGAAGAAAGTTTATTGACCTCAGAAGGTCAATATAACAGTGAGTAGAACGAGTGCTCAGTATAGGTCACAACAGGGTGTAAATCCGCGCGCTGTGGATTAAGGAAGACAATAAGTGACGATAATAGGCGAGGCACTGCAATCTACTGTGTACACATAGTTTATTAGCTCCAGTATAAATACACGAGCAAGGTCGACTCACATAGAACACGCTGCCCTGGCGGACCTTATGAGATGTAAAGTTCTTCTTTTGTGTCTATGCCTATAGACCGATAGAAAGGCGATGGTCAGTAGACAAGTAACATGTATCCGAACAACACGAGTGCCCACCAAGTTCCTCTCTAACGGGCTTCAACTCGTCCAAGTAAGCCTGGTACTGCTGCTTATTCTCAACCTTTTCCCTGATGCCCTCGAAGACACGGACAGCGGTGGCATAGTCGTTTACACGGCGTGCTGCGTGCAGGGCAGCCTCAACAACACCAGGTGAAGGCACGAGGTCGTGTGCAAAGCAGTTATTGAGGCCACGTTGTACCTCAAAGAGGTCCTGTGCGCCTTGAAAGAAAGCAACATAGCGCTCAGAAAACTGCTCAAATGTTTCTTGACTGTGCGAGTCCGATGATGAAAAGCGGTGTGGTGTGGTGAAGGCGGGGGTCGCAGCGCGACGAAGGACGACACTGGGCCGTGCGCGAAGAACGGAAGAAAGCATACGCTGGCTCATGATGGTCAAGAAGGAGCACGACAAACGAGCGACAGCGGCGGTAGAGAAAAGTCTTAGACGCGGAAATAAACGTAAGTAAATCGTTTTCAACGTCGTTGGGAATGATCCGGAAACTTCCGACGTGAAATGGTACGTCCACACAAGCAATCCACATAACTAAGCATTCCAAGCTCGTCTACGTACTATGTAAATAGTCGACGTCACTTCGTGCACACGCTGGACTGGTTATTCGTACTTGGTCCCAACAGCAATATTGATTTGTATGACACCCTTTCCATACTCATCAGCCTGCTTATTGGGTTGATGAGAACGGAAAGGTCGGCAAGCTCTACTTGTCGTTGACTCGTCCCGGGTCAAACACGGGCTAACAAGCACTGCTGGGTGAATGCTTGTCTCAGTAGCATGGAAAAACAGTCGAATCAGCCCAACATACGGACTATGATCAAAGTGCCTTTGTGTGTCGGCAATCTCCGGCATAATCTCTGTACTGTTTTCATTTGTTTGGTTCAACTGTACAGTTGGTTCAGCCACACTTGGTCGCTGTTCAGAACAACCTGTAAGGCTTAGCAGCATCCTCAAAATGTCGACCGACCTCCAGTGGCTCCTTATCCGCGTTAGTTGCACCGAGTCTTAGTACTCTATTGTGTGGATACTGAAAAAAAAATTGCTTCATATCTACAGAAATACAACTCCTTCCTTGTGAAGAAGGTCCCTGAAGGTCCCATCTTCTCCAAGGAGCCCGTATGTCGTGTGTTCGAACTTATGCGCAAGTGCTAAGCGTACATTGTATCAGGGTAACCTCCTGAATCTGCACTCCCACAAATACTCGGGCCTTGCCAACACCAAGGTACGTAGCCTTACTATAATCAACTGACCTCCGTTAAGCGTGATATCAATAGACTATCGACATTCAGAACTCTGAGACTGGCCTGCAGATCACCACCCAGAAGTCGAAGGCATCACCACACGCTGTTCGTCCCGCACGGACAACCGCAACCGTCCGAAACCGGTCAGGAGGCCGTCGCTCATTGGGAGTCGTTGCTTCCGTGGCGAAGAAGGGATACCGCCCAGACCTGAGAGCTGTGAGTGTTGATGGTTTGCTCCCGAACTAGATGGAACCGGATTCCCCGACGACACAAAAAGCACTCTCGTTAGAACCCGCTGGAAACCACCGCAAGGTGTATGAAAGTTGGGCGTGGACATGTTTGCGATATCAATCCAGTCCTGTTTGGGATATTCGTCATAACTCGTATTTACCACTGCGATTTTTTTGCCACAGTGGGCGGATACTGACGATCACATCTGTTACAACGTTTCTGTTGTATGGTTGGTTGAAGAATCTGTGCTAACACTTGTTTCTTCGTTTTCTAGGCTGCTCTTGGCCGCACCTCTGCACTGCTCGCCGCACAAAAGGAGAAGAAAGCTTCACCAGCGAAGAAAGTTCGGGGGAAGAAGGCAGCAGTATCCACTGCATGATTGATTTATTTGTATCTCTAGTGCCCCCATTGCTATGTTCGTCTATGCGAAATAAGCACCCATGCTGCACGATTCTTAGTTGTCTGCAAGAATGATAGCGCATTTCAACGAGTATGACACCTATACAAATACACTGGTTGTACAGCAACACGTTGTGATGGTACATGATGTGAAATTTCCTCCTTCGATGAATCCAGCATTCTCAAAACATCGCCTTTCCTCAAATGCCAAAGGATTTGCCCGCCGGTTGAGCGATCCTGCCTGAAGCACCATAACCGCTTTTACCACCAACATTGTCTTTGGTGGGCCTGCTAGCCTCAGCCTTGCGATAAGCGCTCTCTTGAAGCCTGTTGTCATCGTGGCTGCCATGTCCATGATGTTTCTTCTTCTTTGGAAGCTCTTCTTCATTGTGCGGGGGGTCATGTGCTTCCTCATCGCCATGACCTGCAGGCCGCGGGTAATCAGTGTTTTCGGTTTGATTTGCGCCTACATTCGGAAGAGCTCCCCTGCATATTGGATCGGTTTCACAGATCAATGATCGTTGAGCAGCACTTACGAGTTGGCACGAGGCCGAGGCCGCGAGGTAACTGAGAGTCGACGACCTCCCACCATGACTGCAAAGGACCCATCAGTAAGATCTGAGCCCTGACTATGTTGGCACTCTTCGACATACTTGCAGGGGGATGCTGCGCAACTACTGCGTCGGACATGATTGAGATTGAGATAGTGATGGTTAATGTGTACGAGTTCACGTGGACTAGTGGTGTGATCTGAGCGTGACCTGGTGACCTCACCTAATAGGCCGTTCTAGATCTGGCTTGGACAACATATAGAATGAATATAGGATGGGAATTGCAGCCTTTTGGCCAAGATACTCGTACAAGTCGAGTCCGTATGTTATGAGCCACCACGCATCAAGGATTCTGCAGCTTCCTGCCATCGCACGACGTCACTTGGAGCGCGTCAAAGGGTTGTTTTTGCATGTGTCCATAGCATGGGGACGACATAAATGTGAAGATGACATAGGAATCGTGATGAACGCGCAGAAAATTTACTCTTCCTCCTCCTCGTCGCCACCCTCCTCCCGCTTTGCGGCAGCGGCAGCACGCTTGCGCTTGACACGACCAGGGCGTCCGCCTCCGTATGGCGATGTAAGAGCGAAGTCGATGTGCTTCTGGGAGTCGAGACGGACAACAAACGATGGGATGTTGACAATTTGCTTGCCAACACTACGTAATGTTCAGAATCAAAGCGATAGAAAGTAAAGCGTACACATACCGAATGTGACGTTGTCTGATCAAAACACGGGCGTGATGAATACTCTTTGCAAGGTTGGTCTTGAAGACCTGCGTTTGGAGACGACGTTCCAAGAAGTCCTTCCACCTTCAATGCCAACACGTAATCCAGACGCATGCGTGTCTCGTCCAACACACCAATCCGCACGAGTCGACGAATGAGGGCGTTACCCTCGAAGAGACGCTTGGGATCTTTGTCATCAAGCTTGAGCAGCTCACGGGCTGCACGACGGATTTTGGAAAGGATGAGACCGATACGCCAGATCTCACGTTTGTTTCGTAGACCGTACTCGCCAGCAAGCTGTAAGATACAAAACATGCGAATTTGCATCTAGGATTCGAGGCAGATCATACCTTCAACTCAGCATCGAGACGAGCTGAACCGAACGGGCGACGAGGGACTTTGTATCTGTAGGATTAATGCGATACGAACAGGCCATAAATCAGCAAGCTGAAAGCCTTCCACTGTAAATGGATCTTGAAGAATGAGACGCTCACGTCTTGCTGTGATTCCGCGGGGCCCTAGGAAGCTTTTTAGCATTCTACTCAACACGTCTAAAGACATCCCTACCTAGGCATTTTTCTTGAGGGATGGCCTTGACGGTGTGCACGAAATGTTGGTGGCCTAATTGGGACGAAAGGTTCGCATACGCCACAACTGTAAAGTACCAGACAAGCCACCCGGAGATATCCGGTCCAACAAGCTTTCACATACTCAATACTGACACCGCCGCCGACGACATTGTACGTCTCCCAAATTCCTGTCCAGCCTGCTGCTGACCTTCTACTCAAGAACTCAAGATGCCTCACTCATTCGGTTACCGTGCGCGTACGCGCGATATGTTCAAGCGGGGCTTCAAGGGTCTGTTCTCATGATCTTGTGGCAATACTCGATGACTGACATTGCGTGCAGACCACGGCCCCGTCAAGTTGTCGACATTCCTCATTAACTACCGCATTGGTGATTTCGTCGACATCAAGGCCAACGCCGCCCAACAAAAGGGCATGCCTCACAAATACTACCACGGGTGCGTTACTTTGAAGTTGTAATTGCGATCGATCATTTAAAGATCCTCCAGACGGACTGGCATTGTCTACAATGTCACTCCCCACGCCGTCGGTGTCATTGTCTACAAGGTTGTTGGCAACCGCTACATCGAGAAGCGGGTGAACCTCCGTGTTGAACACGTGAAGCACTCGAAATGCCGGCAGGAATTCTTGGACAGGGTGAAGCGGAACCATGATGCACATGCCGCAGCAAAAGCCAAGGGTGGTGAGTGGGCGTGACTTCTTATGTATCCGATGCACCTTATAACCTGCCTTTCAGAGCGTATCTCGCTGAAGCGTGTCCACGCTCTCCCTCGGGAGGCACGCACCGTCTCGATCGCCCAAAACACGCCGCAAACGATGACGCCCGTCCGTTACGAGACTACCATTTAAATGGGATGTATTCGTTTTGCTACTCATATGAGGTTTCCACTATGCATCGTATACTACTGTCATGCTCCCATGCAATCATGACTTGAACGCAACTTCACGGATGACTATTACCGCATCATCCCTCTGACACTTGAGTGAATGCTGCACGAGGTGGCCCTAGTTTTGTTGTCGATCACACAGTACCCGGTCAAGTTGCAGTACGCCACGAGGTCAACACGGTCTGTTCAGAATCATTACCCGAACTTAAGTATTTTGTAATGAAGTCCTATAAATACGAAAGAAGGCCGTAGATACCTATCACTAAACTCGGCTGAACACCCATACATGAACACGGATTCCATGGTAGTTTTGCCCAGACAGAATGCTAATAGTGTTCTACCATGACCCTTGCGAGATTGTGGTACGTATGGCCGGTGCTGTTTTTCGAGCCCCCCGACAGGATCCAGGGGCAGGCGGTGGACCAAGGATAGGCGAAGACGTGCGCCGATCCCCAATTGTAATACCAGCATGCTCGAGATACGAACCATCATCAGACGAGTGGTCCCACGTTGGTGTCTTCCATATGTGTACCGTACCGTCATGGCTGCCCGTTGCTAACATGAAGGGGTCGTCAGTGGAATGATTCCATGCAGCGCATGTCAAGTCCCCGCCGAACGCCTGAGGTCTGATGTAGTGGAGCAAAGTTGCAGTATCGCGATCCCAGATATGGATATCGCCCGCTGAGACCAGGGATTCAGGATGTGACTATTGAGACAAAGAAAACATCTAGCAAGAAACGAACCTTTGCCCGCACATAACACTAGCTGGTCGTCCACACCGCCGAAGTAGCTCGGGCCCACGAAATCCACATCCGCTGTAGGCAGATACGTGTGACGGAGAGTCAACCTAGCAATTTGTGCAAAGGGGTTTTCGCGATCTTTAGTATCCCGTACTAACTCCATCTTCCATAGCTGCGGAGGTGTCTGCGAATACCAAACAGGGTAAACAGATGATCCTGCTAAGAATGGATGCTAATACCTTATGCTCGAATGAAATCAACACATTTCCACCACTTTTGGACATCGTGATGTCACGCACGTCGTTGACGACGGGTGTCTGGCTTTTGACGATGAATTCCATGAGTGAAAAGCTTCGGAGACATTGAAGAAAGCGACCCACTTTTCAAATGTTCTGCTCTCTATGTTGAAAACTGTAATAGGTGGAGTCAAACAGACCGCCCGCGGACACGCACACCACTCACCTATTATACGCTTCTCAACCCTAGTAGTGCGGCTCGGATGCATCCCGTTAGGTGCCGCAAGTAGTGGTCCCACACCCAGCAACCGCTGGCCATCTGGAGTCACGGCCACATTATGCAACTTGATACGACCAAAGTGGTAGGAATCAAGAACCTTGGAAGGATGTTCAGTCGAGATTCCTTCGGCAGAGTGATCTAATTACCCTTCCTCGAATGTCCTGACGATAGAGTTCATGAGTAATCAGTAGACACCAACGATAACAGTTGCGCCAACCAGTTTGAAAACCTCGCTTCCTTCGACAGATAAGAATTGGGCTGTCGTAGGAAAGCATCAGCAACGTAAAATCAGACAGAAAGGATAAATCGAATCACTCTCATTCGCAGGCAGCCATGCAACGGATGCCACAGAGTGCGGCCGTTCGATGGTTTTCCTACAGAGCCCATCCTTTGTCCAAATCTTAATTCCGCGGGGTAATCTCGTCAAGAGAAGGGTATCAGATGCGGACCTGTCCGATCACGTTTGATGGTTCAGCAATAGAGCAGCACTTGGTGCGCTACATACCATGCAACCTGACCGATGAATCCTCGCACGTGTACCAGAATAGCATGGATCGTAAAATCCTCCTAGAGGGGAGTCGTGTAAACAACGAGTGTAGAAGTGCGGCAATTTATATGCTTACCCCGACACGAAAGATGACAGAAGATCGATCCCAACTTCGTGTTTCATCTCAGCCCAAGAAGCTCCGATGAAATGAACCTGCCACAACGCACCTTGACGTAGCGAGATACTTGCCACTCGGGGAGAACTGTAAATGCCGGACAAGGGCAGTGTGTACGGAGAGGTCCTGCACAGGGTCTAGGGTTTTAAGCTTCGGGATCAAGGTGTCTGGCGGTCCTCGAATGGCGCTTATATCATCCATGGACGAGCCTCGAGTGGGAGTCATCCCCGCGGTAGAATTCCAGTCGAATGATGGAATTCGTTGCGGTCTCCCCGCTTGCTGCTGTTGCACCATGATGACAGAGCGCACAGCCCCTTGAAAGCGCTGACGGACAACGGCTCGGCGAGACGTCTCGCACTCCTCACCAGCATGCCCTTCCGTAGAATTGGGACGCTCAGTGAAATCCCCGCACGCAGAAATAGACATATCGCGGTGGTGAGAAAGATCAACCATCGACGGGCCCTCCTGCTTAGTGGGAAGAGTATGGTCCCTATGTCTGATCCGAGTAATCATGTCTGTGAACACTCGTCTCAACAGGACGCTGATGGTCACGACACAGCAGTGAATGGCCTCCTGCACTGCCACGACCAGAGAAAGGCGGAATATGCGGTGGGTTGCTTCATTGATCGCATCATCCAGCCAAACGTGACCGTGGTAGTGAACAAATATCCAGCGCTCAGAAGCGAACCAGGCCGACACGACAGCCAGGCCGAGAGAAGTGACTGCCTGCAATTTTGGGGTAAGAACGCATTTCAAAATCGGCTGGAAATATCCGTAGACTTGCCGAGAAAACAGTGGCAATCGTGGACGTGACAAATCCCTGTGTAGTAGTTACGTCTTGGAATTCCTTCCAATATAATAAGAACCATACCTGTTCTGTGGCATATGTGAACAGCATTAAGCCCACGGAAAAGCATGCCACAGCCATCACGAGGAACACTAAAGGCGATCGTTTGATCCATATCACTACCCACCAAGGTACCCTATGCAATGGAGAGCGACTGTTGACTGTTATGTGACCCGAATGCAAGCAGGACGCAAATAGACTCACTACATGGCTTGCTTCCAGGTGAGACCAAGGAGGCTGTTCACTGCGGCTGCTATACTGAAAACCAATGAGGAGAACCAGAACGCATTGACAGATTTCTCCAGCACGCTGTCCGTCAGCTGGTATGAGCATTGTAGGGTCGTCGCCGTCACAACTGAGAAGAACGTCGCGACTGTCGATAAGTTTAGCAGGTTTGCCGATGAGTGCTGCTGGGCGAATCTAATCGTCGGAACACCTGGAAGAGCATGTAAACACGAAAAACACGAAGGGGAGAATAGTTGTATACCAATTTCGATAAACATGGACAGATTGACTGTGATGTTGTCAATGTGCTCCCCAATCTCCAAGGTCAAATCATGGATATAACGCTGCACTGCTGGATACCGAAATTGACCTAAAACTAGTCCGCACGGTTCTCGAGTGTAGATCAGCCAGAGACACACTACCTTTGTACTCCTGAAGACACGAAGACCAATACTAGACAACTTGGTCAACAGAGAGGACGGCTCATCTAGCCGGAGATGTACCTTCAGATCGAATTCGAAAGCACGTATTGACGTGTTGACCGCCTCGTCTGTAAATTCCGGGAACTCGTTCAGGCAGGTTAGGAAAGTTACAACGTCTTCTGCGAAACCAGCAAATTGGTCGGGGATACTTTCAGGATCAGGGTGGGCCTTGGGCGAAGGTTGATGATCGGTGCACCGTCGCTCCATCCAAGCATGAACAACCAGCGCCTCTCGAGGTTGACGCGAAATTTTCCGAGGAAATAAAGTAGCTGCGTTCTCCCGAAATAGAAATAACAGTTTCGCGAGGCGCTCTCGTAGTCGAAGAGCGGAGGATAAAATTCCAACGGAACTGCCAAGTTGACGAGCAGCATTAGCAAAATTCCGCAGCTATATGGAAGATGAGTATCAAAACAAACAAGAAAGTGTACCTAATCCTATTCCTACCTCTTTGTCGAGATTATCAATTCGCCTGTAAAGATTGTTCAGTGCAAAAAGACGAAAGTACGAAGGCGTTTCTCACCTCTCAAATCTATTGAATGCTTCTGATCCTGCGATTTGCAGTTTTTCATCCACGGTAGCTGAACAACATATGAGGCCACCATTGTGTGCTGTGCTGGCCAATACTCACGTTCGTCATCTTCAAAGGTGGGAGGAAGGTTGGCATCTAAAAGTGTACAATCAGCGATGTGTAATGGCCAGCGGGTGTAATTGACCATTGAATGGAGAAGACTCATTGCTAAGCTCGTTCAAAACATCCAAAAGACTGATAATAGTCCGCTTCCGTCTCGAGTCGACATAGGCTTCACCTCGAGGGTAGGGGTTAGATACACTTGAGCCCGCATCATGGAAAGAATGAGCTGTATGAGCTGCTCCAGTGCGCTGAATCCGAGTTAGAATGACCAAGATATGGAAGACATACCATGAAACATAGTGAGCTAGTAATACGGTATGGGTAGAAGAATTGGAGAATTCGATGCCGAGGATGAAGAAGAAGCGACTTAAAATAAGGTCCTCGAAGTACACTCCATATGGCAGAACAGCACCGCTCGTAAAAGTCGTGATGAAAATATGCATTCGCTCAGCCTATCTCCGAGAGCGAGGAATGGCTCAAGACAACAGCGTGTTATCGCTAGAGTCATTGGACTCGCGCAAGAATACGAGGTAGCGGTGACCCTGACGTGTCGATCTCTGCGTCAATGCTGATAGGGAGTAAATCAGTGGATATATGGTGAATCATACTCAAAATACATCAATATGAAACGGGAAGGACGGCAAAATTTCTAGCGAGACCACTTATGGGCAGGTTTCAAGGCCAAGAGGCGAAAAAGTGGTATGCACAGGTAATGATGCCGATCAGAGGTGTGGAAGCAACGTTTTCGGGAGCGAAGTGAATTAGGTGAACGAGTGCCAGACTGCCAGTGAAATTTTAGACGTTTACATCACAGAGTGGCAGACGAGTAAACCGTTCAGGTTACGTGACTACACGGCGAGTCATTACCGTAAGCGCTTGATCCTTTTGTGCATGCTTGCATTGGTGGGCTTCAGGAAAAGTACTGGATGAGTACAGCGCAGATCAGCGGATACTAAGTATCATTTTCCCGGGGCCCCGCTAGAACGTTAACCGGAACCCCGCACAGGTCAGCGCTCCGAATTGCCGATCGGTGTCCTGCGCATGCATGTGTTTGACCGAATTTCAATCAGACGCGGACATGAGTCTAGGATCCTGCTTCGATATCGATCGCAGAAGGCTATGTTGTACACAATCGACCCTTCGTGCCAGGTGGACAGAAGAACCGGTGACCAAGACTAGTGAAGTTTTGAATTCCCACGAGTTCAGGTTAGGGCCTAGGCTGGTTAGCGCTTAGCTTCAATACCAACGATGTATACCTTTCTTATCCCTTTCTTATTGAAATAATCATTCTTGTGTACTATGCATTGCTGATCCGATAATCTGTCAACTCGATACTGTTCCAAGTGACAAGCGCCCATATGTTTTTGTCACACTTCAAAGATCCATCATCTACTTTGAGAATCTAGATTCTGCCGCACAGGAAGATATAGGTTAGTACACAGTCGCCTCGCGATTGAGACGAGGATCCTTGGAGGATCCCTATTTACGGTCATGGCTCATTTGAGCATGATGATGGTGATTTGACCGCGGATATGGGGAGGCTCCTTTTTCAGTGTTTGCGATCAGTTTCCTTGTTAAGACTTCATAATAACCACGACGACTTTGGGCGCGCCCACTAGGCCTTGCGTGTCTCAAGCCAAGAGCCTCACCGTAGTGATCGAATGAGCGAGTCCTCGAGTGAGTGTTCGTGTCATCGTTGTACAATACTGCGATATTATAATAATATGTACATAACACATTTGTTACAGGTTACAAAATGATTTCGGGATGTGGCATTCCTCAGCTATGCGCGTGTAAGTATCGACGCTTCCTTAGTCATATTTTGTTTGTTCAACTTACCCTGGGCCCCTCTCTTAAGCCGCCGAAACTTCCGTTCTATAGGTGTGTCTTGTGTTCAACGTTGGAACGGAAGTTACTTGCTCAGGGTACTTATTCCTTTGATATGCCAGTAATAAGTTTGCTGTGCTTGAAAGTGAGTCATATCATCTTATGCTACTAAGTATCTAAGTCTCAGAGGCGTTCGCGGAGCGTTCTGATTGGTGGAGAGAACTTTGCTGTAGACAGCAACGGCACGTCATACCCTCAGGCTTGAGCTATTCCACGACGAATGCTGAAAGATTGTTCAATGAGTGGCTGATTTGTAGATGGCAATGGTTCGTCTCTGAGTCTTTCTTATGTTTCAAATTGCTCTTGCCAATGGAAAGTTTGCAGCTCTGGGCCTCAGGTATTCTGTTATTCATCGCTTTAAGGGTCAAGCAAAGGTACTTTATTAACACTGTTATTGCGTATCCATTCTAAGATTCATGTGGTCACTCTCTTTAAACTGCTGTGGACACAGCCACGAATGTTACAACCCCAAGGTGACCGCTCCGAAAGCGATGCTGAATGCTGGCCCTGTATAGGTACACAACTCAGAATTCACGGGCGCCGAGCCACCTTGAAGCGCCCAGGGTGATTTGGGTTTATTAGACTGTAAGCACGTGTTACAAGCCAACGTGTCACAATCAACTAAAGGTACAGAGTGCCGTATCAATGTGACAGGGCAGTAGCTATTAGTATACGCGGCATCTACAGCATCGCGCCCGAGGATAGTATAAGTATGCCAGAATCGAGGTCAGATAAAAGTACACATCAAGCTTCTAGTTCGACACTTCCCTTGCTATGCGAACCATGATCATGCAACAACTGTATTTGTTGACTCGTGTGCGACGATACCCAATCACTCATACCCGAAAATTGCCTCTGAACCTCATCAGGATTCCTCTGCGCAAGTTTGACGTTCAATTGCACTCAACACATTCGCGGCAGGCGCCACCGGCAGACGACAGTTCTTCCTTCCCACCAGGCGGAAATGATACTTGGAGCAAAGTAGATCCTTCTCCAGTCATTGACATTGCGCTGAAGACCCTGGTAGGGCTGGGCATCAGTAAGTACACTCTCAGCCGATTCGTACACCAACTCAACTTCTTCCAGTTCTAATTGGGGGTAATTTATATGTGTCCTGGTACAAAAATAATGTCCTTTCAAAGGTGAGCATACATGATCAACTGCACGGGTCAACGTATCTAAATGGGGTATTTTCACAAGATTGAAGCAGCATTCAACGAAACGTGGGATGACACATACCTAGTGGGATTAATCAAGCAGGAGCTATCGCGCTTTGACCTCCTAACGCCCGACCTAGAGCATGCTGGTTTGCAAGGCTTGGCGGGGAAGCTATTTGAAGTATGGCCACGGCGGCAGGACCAGGACTTCATCGATTCCATTGTGAAGGGAGAGAGGGCAGGTTCATACTACCTTCTCGTCGGACCGAAGGTCAGATACTGCGTGGATTGTCTTGTGCGCTAGCGCAGGCCTGATGGTAGTTTTTGTGTTGCAGGGGGCCGGGAAATCTGGAATGGTATTCGAGGCAATGCTGAACGTTCGCAAAGAAGGGTTGGTGTTTCTTGAGGCCCATCCCGACCTTGAGGTGTTTCGTTTGCGGCTAGGAAGTGCTTTAAACTATGAATTCAGCGAGGATCTGCAAGCGGGACTGTTCCAGCGGCCGGACCCTCGATCTGGTATGAAATCATGTATTGAAATCATCGGCGTTGAAACTAATGCTTATTTGCAGGTGGTCCTGCAATGGATATTGAACGTGGTGCGTTTCAAAGAAAGCTACGAGTCTAAATTTGGATTCAACCAGGCATTGCAGCGCTAGATAAGTTACATGATGTTGCAATGCGGACGGGACGCTGTCGTCCGCTCGTTCTCGTCATCACCAAGATTCAGAACTTCTATAACAACGAGCCAGGGCCGAAATGTTCTTTTACAGATCCAACAGCACGCTGAACGCTGGGCCCTAAAAGGTAGCGTGTTCGTGCCACATACCTCACCAGTCTAATTCTTTTCTACCCAGGCATCGTCACCGTGGTATTCACCACGTGAGTTACGCTGCCTTCCCTTGTGCAACAGCATCTTATGAGCATTTTAGGGATGATATATGGCCGTATACGTTGTTGCGTAAGTTACAAGAGAAATAAGTCACAATCCCATCACTGACCTTTTGCCAGGCAAAGGAGCAACTTTGATGGAAGCGAGTCCTGCGGATGCGTAGTAACATGCTCATGCTAACTCGTAAATACTTAGGTGCGCTCCGTCCAAGATCTGGACTGGGAAATGTCAAAGCGCACTCTATTGCGCAGGCAGCCAGGACGCCGGAAATGTAGATAGCGTTGTGCAAGTTGTAGGGGGACGTCTATCGTACCTCAACAAGGTGTCCAGGGCCGAAGAGATGCTGCAAGCTGCAGATGAGCTCCTGCGCTTGGAGAAGGCGTGGCTTGAGAGCTGCCTCGGGCTCATACCAGATTGTGACATTGATCAGGGTGTTGTCAATCAGGTATGTTTGGTGATCGTGATGGTTGCAGAACTGTTAAAATAAGGTTTTACAGCAAAAATGGAGCTTACAATGCTGGACTTTACTTCGAGAGTTTGTGCGGCTATACAGAGCCAACCAGGAGGAATCGGGGGACCGTTGGGACCCTTCAAAGCTCCCTGTTATCCCATCGGTACGGTGTTCTGTTTATCTTATTTCCAAACTTGATGCGATTCTACATGTTTGCAGTGGCGATGTCAGCAGATCATGACACGACACGATTATTTGGATGGTGAGATCATCTCCCTTTCAACTAACTTACTCAGTCCTGAGCCTCGTGAATTAGAGCTTGACAGATTGGACGTGGTCTACATTGATGTGAGTGCCGTAGATATCTCTTGTGACGGACTTTTCTGACGTGTTCCCTCTCAGATGAATTCAAACGTCCAGCCGGACTCAATGTTAGTCCTCCGCGCCGCTTTGGACATTATCGAGAAGGAAGGCTTCGATGAGCTTCTAGAAGATGTCCGCTGCAGAATAAAGGAAATAGAGAACCTGCGGCGATGAATGATTGCCGCGGAACATTTTTTTTTTGCGCCATAATAAGTATTGCTTCATTGTTATAATACTATTATTATTGACTTATAATACTTACTACTAATTCGTTCTTAGAAAACACATTTCCCGTGGACAGGAGTCACAGGACTGCCGATTTTTCCTACTTTCTTGTGGAGTCTGGACAGAATCAAAGATAGCAAGGTGAGGCAAGTCCGGTGATTTGTTGTTTACTTCCTGCGGTTATCTACTATTTGCTTGTCCGGAGTCGGTGGAGCTCTTCGCTGCACCTTTGAGAGCTTTTCTCTCGAGCTTTGTGATTTCATTTCCTCCTTCTCTGATTGGAGAAGCTCCGCTGAGCTATTCCCATATTGGCGTTCGCTTCCTTGCTTCTGGGCATTCCTCGAGACACACTAAGCCCATCGTGGGGTATCGTGGGGTAGGTACTCGTCACCGCCTAGCTGCTTCTCCAAATTATGTAAGTTAAGTAGATTACAATCTTCACTCACGCGCTCCTTTACCTCCTGGGGTTAAGGCCAGACAGCAAGAGGGAAGGTGAGCCGGTGGGGCTATTTGTTTTCTCCAAGACGCTTGATGTCTAAACAATATGGGCTTATCTCTGCTTTAAATTTGCGTGCCTTTTGATCGGTGACGTTTAGTGACTGCACGGATCCGTGGAGTCCTTTCAAGGTTAAAAATATCTGCCATTATTGACGAGACTTGACATCGCAAAAGCCTACGCTCATAACTTGTTCCGCCCGGATCAGACTTCTAGTACTTCCGCTTCAAAACCTTAACATTCTATCTTCAGGGTACCAGGTATGAATCTTCTGAGTTCGTTTCGCCAGCACTCACTTGCTAATCCAGGCTCAGTGTTATCTCTTGTACTCAAACGATCTCCTGGAGCTCACATGCTACCGATCATAACCATGGTTTTGAAGTGCCATGTCTTTATGAGTTTTGATGGTAAAAAATTAGCACGCACAGATTAAGGATGAAATTTCCAAATGTAGATGCGCATAAAAGTGCCAGTGAATGAGCAATGAATGAGCGCTAATATATGATCGATACTACTCCAACTACTAGTAAGTACTACTAGTACCGCTGTCTGACTTTTTTCTTGAACATACGTCGGAATGGCACCAACACATTTCTTATATGAACGGTTCCTTATCTTTGCTGCGGTATTCCTTCCCGCCCCTTCCTTCATTCCCTTCACAGTATGGTTAGCCTGCCGGAAACATATGGTGCTGTTCTTCTTGGAGGATTTATCGCTTCTATGTACGTAACGCTCAGCACATCTCGACCTACGGATTCTAACCGGGGTATGTGCAAATGTTCGGCCACGCTAACAGATTATCTGGAATCATAACGGCACAAACATTTACTTACGTCAAGCGATACCCTTCTGATACACGCGCCACAAAAGCAATTGTGAGAATAACCCCCGAATCTGCTCTATAGTATGAGTGCTGGCCGTTTATATTCCCGTACGGAATAGGTTTTTCTGACGTGGTTCGTTTCATCGCATGTTTGCCCCCCAAAAAATGTTCTTTATAACATCTTATCCAGGGCATTGGACACCATACATACGGGACTCGTGTGCACGGCATCATGGATTTATATGGTACAGTGGTTCGGTGACGAAGACAAGATAGATAACATACCTGGGTACGTGTTCGTTAGCTTACTGACTCGTTTCACGCCTGATTTTCTGCTGGTCATGTAGTCCATTGGCGGTATCTGTTGCGCTGACGGTGAGTTAAATATTTCGTCGAGCGTTATTATAATCTGACGGAATTAGGCCTTCCTTACTTTGATTGTGCACTGGTGCGCTACTGTTGTCCTGTACATATTTCGTGTGCTAACATCGTTTCAGTTTCTTTGCACATCGAATTCACAAGCGTAAGCCGCACCTCAAAACCACGGGACCTTATCACTTACTTAATGAGCTTCAGTAACCCACAACGATTGGCGAATCAGTGTTCCTATTGTAAACTTCACTCTTCGATGCTCAGAATGACATGGCTGATTATATCGCAGGTTGTATTTGCTTTCTTGCGATTGAGTAAGTTAAACTGAGGCTTTTGTGTTCTCTTGCTCACCGAAATACATTATCAAGTTGCTGCTATTAGTGAGTGCCAATTGAGAACCCGAGTTGAATGTTTAACATCTCTGCGTCCTAGTTTCCACCGTTGAGATGTGAGTTTTTTCGCCGTCCTGCGTAACCCTAGAGACGAGACCAAGAAATATTCAGGATCGAACTGAAAACCCTGTCGGCATTCAGACGCGATGTCGGTGTAAGTTCTCCTCTTTCGTATCCTAAACCTTTCAATAATATTTGTATTCTCCCTACTAGTGGGTGTTTACCGCGGGTCTCTCATTATCATGTGTGGTGGACGTCCTCGTCGCTGTGGTTTTATGTGTTACGCTGCGCACTAGTCGTAGCGCGTATTCGAAGTGAGCCGCATGTTATCAGGCCGCCTGGACGCAAAGCTCATGTGAATCGGCAGTATGGATCGTATCATTAACTCCATCATCTTGTATACATTAGAGAACAATTCGCTAACAAGGTGTGTGACTCTCAATCTGTGCATGGTTGTCCGTTCTCATGTATTAATATTCGTAGTGCCGCCACTATTATCTCGATGATATGTGTAAGTGGAGTCATCAATTGAGATGTGCCCCTTCTCCGGTTTGACAATGAACGATGGCAGTGGGTGACTATGCCCAACCTCGTTTTCCTGGGCGTCCATTTTGTGCTCAGCAAGCGTGGGTGTATTAAGGTCCATCTATTTTCTTTTGCTGACGAACTTTATCAAAAATTAGTTTACGCCAACTCTTTGCTAGCAACGTGAGCAGCACGGCCCAGTGACTATTAAATGGAATTTGACTATGTTCTAGCTTGAATTCCCGTAAACAACTTCAAGAAGAACGCTCACGTGGAGTCCTTTCGAACGAGCTTCCTGTCGCTTTCCCGGTCGGTACCAGCCCAAGTACTCTGTGTGTTTCTTTCTTACTGTAGGATGACTGTACGCTAACACCACTGTGACAGAAACGCTTAGACCCCGGAAATAAGGTGATGTTTCAGGGTTGTCGTGAACTTTAGGTGGAACTGACCTTATATCCAGTTGGAAGTTAATGTGGAACGGACCATCGAGTACGAAGCAGTCGACGGCTTTGCTAAACGAAGTCCACACATCCCTTCGAGTCCACCCGCGACAGTTGATCCGGACAATATTACATGCACCGCAGTTTAGTAGGCACCTCACTATCGCTTCCTTTTCGTGAGTGCTGCACCGATCTTTGTATGTCGAATTTTTCTTTACTTCTGGGGTTCAATCTTTCATCGCGAATCGCGATGTGTCCGTCCACATGACAAACAAGTCCCCCATGTACACGTCTTCTGTGTTTTTGCGTGTCTCAATAGTTCTTTTGACTTTATCTTCGTAATAGGCTATTGTCTCCTATCAGGTCTTTCGACTAAAGACTGAGGGTTCCCGAACACTTACCATACATCTATATCACATATACCAATTGCGGAGTTCTTTCTTAGGTGTGTAGTACAACGCTTGCAATCGTCCGTATTGAAAGACTTCCTCTGGAGTTTCCGGTTTCTAGTCCAAGCCCTCCCATCACGCGTAGATTATGGTAATAGCACACAACTTGCTGATCAACAAGAATGCTTGTCAATTGACCCCAGACCTTACATACTGGAGCGGACATTCGCAATAATTGACATCCTACGTAGCAACTGAAATGACATATACATGCAGGGCAAGTGCCTCGTGTCCCAGCAAACGCTTAAAAGTCCTCGACCTGGAGTGGCGTTCTCAAATTCGATATGTGCAGAAAAGGTGCTGACGAGCAGGAGAGTAGTGATCACATTGCGTTTGGAGAAATTGCAGTCTGCACAGGTTTGCACCCCCACAAGCCGTCGTTAGGTTGCCAAGTAATTGCATAATGGAAAATTCGTCGAACTCCGGGGCCGAGTTTACCGGGAAAAAAACCTGTTCCCCACCATAATAATCTACGTTAACTCATCAAAGAAGAGTACTCTATTTGGAATAGTCTAAGGAACGGAGTCGATGGGCACCAAAAAACTGGTGTAATTTCCAGAGTGCTGGCTTCGGCGCTGAGGGGTGCGAGCCTGTACTCAAGGGGAGCTTGAACATATCTAGAATCTAAGACTTGAAGCTGAGCTTGAAGTGTGGAAGGCCATAGCACATCATTTTTGATGCCGACATCTTAATTGTGCATTATGTAATGGGCGCCTATTACTTTCGAGACTTCTCTTATCCGATCATCATTCATCCCCTGGATTACTGAAGACTGGTACTTCCTGCTTCGCTGAAACACGGCATTTACGGTTGATTTGTCTACAAAAGGATATAAGTCAGAATCCAGGTTGCCTGCTATGCCGTTGAAGTTCCCCTTGGAATACTGGACCTCATGTCAACTTAGACCTTCTTAAACCGGCATTGTTCGCCTGTGGTCAACTCGTCTGTTGTTGTTTTTCTCCCTCTTAAATTCTGTGTGGCCTTTCATCGTTTCGGTATTTCACTTCTTCTTTCTGCTACACACAGATTTCCTGTCCAACATGGTTAGCGTGCCTGCAACGTACGGCGCCATCCTTCTGGGTGGTTTTTTGGCCGCTGCGTAAGTCGGTACCACATCCTTTTTACCACTAGTCCTGATCCATCTCGCCGCACTCCAGACTTTCAGGGATCGTTACAGTTCAATCATTCATTTACATCAAGCTATACCCCACAGATCTAGCCTGGAGGAAGGCCATGGTAAGTGACAGTGTAATCATTTGGTGCTTCGAAGTTCGCTGAACACCTTACCTGGTGTTCTTCGCGAAGGTTGCCGTAATATGGTCCGTACTGACACTTAACGTGGCTCACAAGTATTGACCCCGTGTTCAGGATCTTGGACGGTATTCATACCGCACTGGTTTGTGCTTCGATATGGATTTATCTAATAAAGAACTTCGGCGATACCTCGAAGATAAATGATATACCAGAGTACGTTCTCCTTTGCGATAATGGTCTGTTCTCTGTTTGACCACCGTCGTGTACTAGGACCGTGGCGGTGCGTAAACTTCATCGAAGGCTACACAGGCTCTTATTTTAATATTATGTTAGATGACGATAGCACTAACTGTGAGTGAAGCCATTCTCAAATCTGATCTTTCTCACTGATTTCGTAGGCGAATCTTGACGTTCATCGTTCACTGGTAAGTCTTTCTGGCGATACGTGACTTGAAATCTGAGGCCAACCCATGCAGCTTTTTCGCCCATCGCATACATAAATGTAAGGTTTCCGATTAATCATCATATCAAGCACATATCACGTTCCGTTGCAGTGAGCCGTGGCGATTGGCGTATCACTGCCCCTCTTGTAAGTCCCGCCCGGTAGGATTGGATGACAGGCTGAACGTCATTCACCCTAGTTGGTCTTGGCATTTTTGCGATTATGTGAGTTGTCCCGCTCTTCCCCACACCTCTATGGATTAAGAGATGTTTCTTAGGTTCTGCCTGTGGTATGTCAGTGTTCCTGGTCATGATACAATGTGCTGATCCCTCGATGCTACCATAGTAACAACGGCCGAAATGTAAGTGCGTATCGTGTAGTGTTATACAACCATCATAATTGTGCATAGGATTCATCTCAACACGTTCTCGGAGTTCAAGCGGGAGTTCCGAGTAAGTGCCGCACTTTGTGTCACTGCGCGATGTGACGTTTTTGGGCATGTAGTGGGTTTTCACACTGGGCCTTGCACTGTCATCTCTTGTCGACATTCTCATCGCGATATTCCTTTGTTACTCGCTGCGAACTACCCGCAAAGCTTCGTCGAGGTGAGTTTGGCGCTCTATGCACATACATGAGGGCTTAAACGAACAGCATGGACTATGTTATAAATTCCGTCATCTTGTATACGTTCGAGAATAATTCTCTCACCAGGTAATGTCGGAGCTTGGTCAAATCGAAGTGTCAGTTCCTCACTATCTACCAGCGCCGCAACTGTCGTTTCCATGATTTGCGTGAGCTGAATAGTTCATGTCGAGTTGTATCCCTCACCCATACTCACTTCACAGTGGCTTGTAATGCCCAGTAACCTCATTTTCATGGGGCTGCATTTTGTTATTAGTAAACGTACGTTGTTCTCCAGCTATCTTAATGAAGATCATGATTATTGATTCACGTCTTGACCTATAGTGTATGCGAACTCCCTCTTAGCCACGTACGTATACTATAATCCTTCAATGTATCCATATCTGACATCCTCTGATCAGATTGAACGCTCGGAAGCAACTCCGGCAAGAGCGAGCACAGAGAGGCTTGTCAGGAGAACTTCCTTTGGCATTCCCGGGATTGACAGACCGCTTCCGGTCAAACCGGCGTGACTCTGTGCGTAGCCAGCAAATAAATGATTAATCTGACGGCTCATTTTTCATTACTGCAGTCGCGGATGGAACCCATTGGGACCAAGGTCTGACTTTGCGCCTTGGCCATAAAATTTATCTGACTTTCTACTTCAGCTGGAAATCAACGTCGAAAAAACCGTGGAGTATGAGGTGGATGCAGACACCTTGAATCGTCACTCTCCAGCATTGTCCTCTCCGAACCTATCCTGCCATCCATCTCAAGCGGTCTCACAGATGGTCTAGTTTGTAACCTATGAAACCTTCTTTATCTTATTTACAGTGTCGTTAATCTTCGTCGATGTTTGCCCATCTCTGGCTGTCAATCCTTTCCATACCTCTCGTTACCGAAAAGCTGTACTATCTTCATCGCTGTGTAGTGATCTCACATCTAATTATTTCCGCGTTGTGCAATGTCTAAGGGTTGTTCGGCGACGACCATCAATAAAAAATTACTCAGGCTCACTAAATTTAGTATGTGCCGTGTTTTCCGGCAAGCCGGTTGCTTGCGTGTCCCCTGTCGAGGCTGTATAAGGCCTGTCCCACAACTTTTTTGTGAACCGCCAACATGTCTTCACCCATTATTTTGCCCCCCGGGTACGTCGCTCAACGTTCAGCTAAAGTGGTCTCTTACGCTAAATATGTCCAGTTTCGCGTATGTAGCAGCTGGACTCGTATCCACCGCTTGGGTTCTTGGCTGGCAGGCTCTGGTCGTGGGCCGTCACAGGACAAAGTCCGGAATCAAGTACCCTCAGCGTGCGTGCTGTTGCTGCTACTAAATGACGTCGGAATGCTCAATAAGGGTGTTTTGCGTAGTATATGCCGAGAAAGCAGAGGCCGATGCTTCTAAAGCAGCATTGCTCTTCAACTGCGCCCAGCGTAAATCGTCGCATAATATATAGTCCCGTTCATACTCACGATGATTCTTAGGTGCCCACCAAAACACAATCGAGCACATGCCTCTTATCATTGTGACGTGAGCATTTATGCTGAACTCCTGTGTGGCTCCTCTCATTTGACTCTGGGTTAGCACTTTGGTGACTGCATTGAAGCATCCCGTCCTTGCTGGGTATGCATGTGGTTTTTGGGCACTGTCCCGTGTTCTGTACACCTTGGGGTACACCACTGGAGATCCAGTCAAGGTATGTAGTACTGCCTTCATTTAGACCTGCTCATGACGTTCGTATAGCGTAACACACGCGGTGGCATACTGGGTGAACTTTCTGTTTTTGGTATGTGCATCCCATCATCTTCAGTGTCACTGAGTGTTGATGTAGTGACGCCGTTAGGACTTCTCTTTGGTTCCACCTACACGGCGTATGAACTCTTATGCTCATCTACTTGATGTGTCTGCTCTTGCCAGGGCGTTCTATACATCTGACGTGACAAGTAGTGACCGGGAAAATATCCTTGATGTCTAATTTTTAATACGTGACATGGAGAGAATATAGTCAGACAATTTCCACCAAAGAGGGTCAGGCCATCTGAGGGACGGCCTAGTTTACGTTCACATTTGAAACTTTCTTCAGCCATAAGCGTGCGCTCTCATTGGTGGAGAGGTACTTGGGCGACACTAGGCGCTCGGCTACATACAGGCTTCTGTTGAGAACAAGTTCAAAACTTGTTTTCACCGGTTCGACTTTTTTTAGATGCGTGGAGCATACTTGGGGTAATCAAATACGATTTGGAAATAGGACCAAGATAAGATTACTATCAGCAATAACCGAGATCCACAACCCTTTTAGACAGCTTCCACGACCTAGGCAACTGCGAATCGTTCGTTTCATGGGTTTGTTTCTACACTGACTTAGTTTAGACTCTGCAGCCCGCCTGCAGGGATGAACACCAACTTCCCCACTGTGACTATCGATGTCGTGCGTACCCGCTCGTCCTCTGTTGACTCAAACCTCTGATGCGAAGCTAGCCCAGATTCTCGACAGACACAGCGCCAAAGAAGTTCTCAACGCAATTCTTCACTCAATATTATTTCATAGGACTGTTCGGGACTGTGAAGCCGCAGACATTCGAGGTGCTCGACGTCACAATGGTGAGCTTTATCGGCGTAATTCTGTTTGACTAGGAAGTACCTAAGCTGTCATTGCAGCCAGGTGTTACAGATCCTGAGATGGAGCAACTTGTGACTGAGAAAGTGGATATCTTTTGGAAGGGCATCGAAAGTGGAGCGAATAAGCGTGGTCAGGTATGTTGCTGTACATCTATACCGTTCGTTCCCTACTCATCTCTTCCTTCCTTCAGATAATCGTGACATTTTCGGAGAAAAAGGCAAAGAAGTCCTGGTTTCAGGTATATGTCGGGGAGGAAGAAGTGCCATGGGAACAATGGTGCGTCCTTTGATCATTTTGGCCACGGCGAGGCTGAGATGGTACGACAGGATTGTAAATGCCGAGATGCGACAACCCAAGTCAGATCGAGGTGAGGATTTTTCCATCTGATGCCATTTTGTCATAACATTTCGCGATTACAGACCGGCAGGAATTCAATGCAAATCTTGCGTCGACGCTTTTAAAGGCTTTGAACGTGATGCTAACACATACCTCGTCGGAGCACGGGCGCACGGCAGTTCCTCTCATCACGAATGCAACAGGGATATCTCCGTTTCCAATCAGGATCGCTGTTAAAGTTGGCGGGGTTGAGCTTGGCTAGTATGTGCAGCTTCGATATTGTGTGGAAGGATGTTTGCGGATGCGATGACGTGCTGGTTTGTCTTGATGATAAGCACAAGGTGTACGTATACAACTTGATAACTTTTTTTGTTCGATTTCCTTTGTGCTACTTATCTCTGACGTACAATTATTGCGAAAGAAGACAGTGTATCGTCGATTGAGCCGACCTGGGCCCTCTGTTCATCGCCACAACGTGTATCAGAAGTTGAGCTGCATTAGGTTCTTCCACTATGTACAATGACTGGGTGCGGAACGGGAGGACGCCTAGCGCTCGATTCAGTTCTCCAACACTTGGCATTTACCAGGCAATGTGCTCAATATTCAGATCTGATGCCAAGTAACTTATTTTCTCCGAGCTGATCTATTAACTTACAGGGCCGGGAAATAAACACTCCTACCGTGGCAAAACTAGGCAGTGAACCGATCGAACCACTCCTTGATTCCCCTGGCGCTCTCTTCCTTTGCCCAGCCTGCATGAAATATTCGATGATTTGTCGACATTTACGACAGTAGATTATACCACTTACGCTCTGTCTCAATATTCGTTCCGCCTCGTACGGCAAATCTGTGCTTAACACCTGAGAACGCCTGGAAGTAGTACGTGCACTTGCGGCTGACCATGATATCCTCTGCCCGTCGATACGAGGCATGTGGGAATGCGAAGTCATTCTCTGCGAGATTCCGTCTTAATAACCCGCATTTTTATGAAGGAATTTTACCTGGGCAGGAGAGCAGGAGAGGTCCCTGTCATAATGTTTGGCAGCAGAATGACATGTTAAGGATGAGAACGTACGCTCAAGTTTCTCGAAGAATCTTTTGTTGAGGCATGCAGGGTGGCGAGTGCTCCTACGGTTCTCGTGGGTGGGCATTCTTCTTTGAGAGGCGGTTGAGTAATTTACCAGCAACTACAGACCTCGCAGAACACAGGTCCATGATGACTGGGGCTCCGAAGCAGTACCCTTACCGCAGCGGTTTAGTGTCTTTTTGCGTTACTTGTATTGTGATCTACCCACAGCGCAGTACTTGGTTTTTTCAGTCCCCATATCATGAGTATATCTCGACGAGCGCCGGAACAAGTCACTTACCGTATTTTGCTTTCACAGCGTCTAGCCAGGCGGGGAACGCGTCAATGGCTGGTTTACGCGCTTCCTGAACCTAAACCTGGCGATCAGGGTCAGGTGAGTGGTTTGGCACAGAGTCACCAAAGAAGTAATAGGGTCCAAGGACGAGATAGCCTGATTTCATCTACGTCACTTTCGTCTCTCACGCAAACAAACGGCGATGTACCGCAAGACGCGAAATAGGAAGCAACTGATTTTTCACAAAAAGCGGCCCATAAAAGTCCGCCAGGAAGAGTATCATTTTATTTGTCGCAGCAGGAGGATCGGAGATATATGTTTGAATGCCGCCCAGAGCCTCGATGTGATCAACGGGCATTCCGGTGTGTCTCATACAGGACCAGAAGCAGCTACCAGTGGCAGAGGCGAGTGTGGAGAGCATTGTCGAGATCGTGCGCAGAGGGAATAGCCCAGTCGTTGTAAATTCGAGATCGTCCTGCTCCTGATTTTAGAGTCACGTGATGTCATGATCCAAAAATGTTGTCAAAGTCCAGTTGCATCCTTGCCCACTGCGCCGATTCCCCAATAACTTCTTGCGTCCGCCTCCTCTCGCGCGCTCTGCGCGAGCGCAGTTTCCCAAAGGCAAACGCCATAATGACGGTTCAAACCACCTCCGATCGACCCAGCAAACTCGCTGGGTACGACTTCTACCGCCAGATCCTCGGCAGCCCAAAGCTCATCGTCGCGCCGATGGTCGATCAAAGCGAATTGGTGAGTACAGATCGCTTCACTTGTTCATCGTTTTTGACTTGGATGTTCATTTGATTCAGGCATGGAGAATCCTATCTCGCCGATACGGTGCCCAGGTATGCCTCCAACCCTTTACACTTTTTGTCCCATGCCACACTAATTCTAACTCAACCTCCTCAGCTTTGTTACACACCCATGATAAACGCCAAGATGTTCTCCCCCCCATCCGCAAACTCATACCGCGCCCAAGCATTCAACACCTCCCTCCAGGAAGAAGGCTCAACCACGCACGACCGCCCTCTCATCGTCCAATTCTGCGCTAACAACCCCTCGCAACTCTTAACGAGCGCACTTGCCGTCCAAGACCACTGCGATGCCATTGATATAAATCTTGGGTGTCCCCAGGATATCGCAAGGAAGGGACACTATGGGAGCTTTTTGATGGATGAGTGGGAGCTTGTTTATGAATTGAGTGCGTTTTTCTTTTTGTTGGTGTTGTTTTCGTGAGAGTGCTAATTTTTAAGGTATTCGTTTGAACAGTCAATATCCTTCACTTAAACCTCTCCATCCCCGTCACAGCCAAATTCCGAATATTCCCCTCTATAGAAAAAACAGTCGCATACGCAAAGATGCTCGAAAGCGCAGGAGCCCAAATTCTCACTTGTCACGGCCGCCTACGCACACAACGCGGGCAAAACACAGGGCTTGCAGACTGGGCCCACATCAAAGCCGTAAAAGAGGCTGTTGGGGTGCCTGTATTCGCCAATGGTAATATTTTGTTTTATGAGGACGTGTTGAGGTGCATGGAGGAGACTGGTGTGGATGGGGTGATGAGCGCTGAGGGGCAGTTGTATAATCCTGCCTTGTTTGCTCCTGCTCCGTGTCAGGATCCTGGATCGACGTTGAAAGGCGCACACCCACCCCACGCGGAGCTTGCGCTTGAGTATCTGGATATCGTCAAGAGCCTCAAGACGCCAACAGCGACGAGTGCGGTGAAAGGTCACCTTTTCAAGATCATGCGACCCGCTTTGAGCAGGGAGATCGATCTGAGGGAGCGATTGGGTCGGATCAGAGGGTCGAATGTCGTTGAGGAGTATATTGAGGTTGCGAAGGAGATGAAGGAGAGGATGGAGAGGGATGTTGCGGAGGCGATGGAGGGGGGGAAGACGATTGATGATTTGATCACGATAGAGCCTACGACGGGGATCAGGGTGCTGCCGCATTGGCTCTCCCAGCCGTATTTCAGACCGCTCAAGTCGCCGACAGATGATTTGAAACGAGGATCGTCGCCGATACCGATATCTCACGAAGACGTGAAGCGGCCGAAGCTCTCTGTGGAATCTGCTGGTGGCGAGATAGGTGTCCCTCTGTGATTCCCGTTTACCGTTCCTTCATAGAATCTATTTTGACCCATACAATACACCACATAGTATAGATAGATCGCTGAATTTATTACGGCGTACACAATACAGTTGTCAATGTCTAGAACATTACATGGAAAGGAGAAAGATCAATGTCGCTTGTCCATCCACCACATCCAAGGCTCGTTCTCTTACAGTCCTCCTCCAGTTAATATGTATTCGATCGCCGAATGCACATTACCACCGGTTGCGAGCAGCGCCCGAATATTCTGTGCCGCATTTGTGAAACCCATATCTTGTAGTTGCTGTTCTCCCAAAGATCCAACGACAGCACGAGCAACAAAAGCCTATTAGATCACCCGCCATAGGCAGCATACAAGACGTACCTGCAACTGCACCTGGAAACGTTCTTCAGGTGACTGCTGAACGGGTGCAGCAGGAGGCGCGCCGAAGCCTCCAAATCCGCCCATCCCACCACCGCCACCGCCACCAAAAGCGGTTTGCATCTGTGCGAGGGCTGCAGGGTCGAACATGCCGAATGGGTTAGCAACTCCACCTACACCTGTCCCCGCGCCTGCTGGTGGGACGGGAGGGAAAAGGGCTGCGAAAGGATTTGAGGCTGGTTGACCGCCTGCAGGGGAGATAGGGGAGGGGCTGACAGATGATGCGGGTGCTGTAGATGGTGCGCCTGGTGCTGGGAATGCGGAGCTGCCTCCCGCGCCGGGGAAGCCGAATCCTCCACCGAATGGACTAGCGCCTGCGCCTGCACCTCCGCCTGCACCCTGGAACGCTGAGGCCATCTGTAACATCGAGCGGAGGGATTCGGGATTTGATCTGGGGCGGATCAGTACGTACCTCTAGGAGGAGTTGTAGACAAGACGACATACATCATCTCCCTGAATCTCTCACTCTGGAATACTTCGCGGACCTGAGGTGCAATAGCAGCGAGCTGAGGATTGCTGGCGATGATTTGGTCGAGGACTTGGGGGTTGCTCATGACGCTACTCATCTGCTGGAGGAATTGAGGGCTCTGCATCATTGTTTGCATCATGTTAGGATCGTTCGGGTTCAGACCCAGTTCTGCGAAGGGGTTGAAACCAGCGAGGGCACCATAGCCGAGGTGAGAGTTGAGTTGTGTCAATGGGTCATGTGGGTTCTGGCCGGCTTGCATTGTGGGGAGAGCGGAGACTGGGACAGAGGATGATTGGGAGGCAGATACGTTTGAGCGAGCGACGCCTTTGACCATGTGAATGGTGTGAGATGTTTGGATTTTGTATGTTGAGAGAACATCGTCATCCTGTGTACGAGAGGATCAGTGTTCATTTGACTCGGGTGTAAGTATATGGTGTGATATTTACCTTCAATACTCGCCCTTGTAGATTTAATACATTTAAATAAAATATAACCCATTGAATTGGATGGTACGTACCAGAGTATATGAGCCTCTGCCGATCAGCCTCTACATTAGACTTTTCTGCGATGGCACGTTTGAGCTCGAGTACGGTCTTGTCATTATTGATTGTGATCTGTAACTTGAGCTCGCTCGGCCCTGGTTCTGTTCAATATGATAGGCAATTAGGTTGTGTAATTGTCGTACCCTTGACATTTATCTGAATTTCTTGTGGTGTCGAGTCCATGATGGAGGAGGATAAGCGTGGTGTGGCACCAACATCATTACTCGGATGTCCTTATCTGTCTATTGGCTATTGGCCCGGGAAGACTCCAGAACACTCGAGCCCTTGTCGGCGACTCTTTCTCATTGAAAACATCCTGATCTTCTTCAAGAAATCATTCCATCTTTCTCGTATATAAAATAAATCCGCGGTTAGAGTTTGTATCATAAGCTTCATGACGAGGACGTCTGAGTCCTGACTACTAGGTCGTCCGTGCTTTCGGACGATGACACCTTGATGCAGGATCATGATGCCGATGGGCGTCGCAATGTACGGCGCACAAGTCAATAACTTCCTGGCACAGATGTATAAATGGTTTACATGCATGTCTCCACTCAAGTTGTGATATCATTCTTCATCTTCCTATCCCCGACACTAACATGGCTTCTCAGCACAGTGAGCACTGTTTCACCGCTGCTGCACAATCCGGCACCCCAGTTGGCCGTCAAGAAGAGATCGCCAGCGTACAGACTTATGTATCTGAGCCTAAAAATCCCTCAGAGTCCAAGGCCGTCATCCTTTACTTTTCTGATGTCTTCGGTCCTTTCATCATCCACAATCAGCTCACTATGGACTATTACGCATCTCATGGTATGCCGTTGTGGAAACGTCGTATGTCTTCTTGTTTTGATCTATCTACAGGGTTCACGGTACTCGGCCTCGACTACTTCTTTGGCGAACCTATGCAGGACTGCATGAATAAACCAGACTTCGACAGGGCGGCATGGATGGAAAAAGCATATAGTAACGCCAAGACGCATACCCGCCCATGGGTCGACGCCGTCGTGAAGAAATATGGTAACGTAACCTCTTTACAATCTCACCAATTACCCATTGACTCCCGAAGGCTCAGACAAGAAATACTGTGCTGTTGGTACGTGTGTTCATACTTTTCTTGGCGTTATCCCATGCTTCTTCTTTCTAGGCTTTTGCTTTGGCGGTCCGCCCGTATTCAACCTCGCCAAGGAGGATGGGTTAATTGTATGCGGTACGCATCTTCTCGCTTCATGTCATATCGTGTCCATAATATCACATAGGTGCAATCGCTCACCCTGCCGCTCCCTCCGAGGAGCTAACAGAGATCGACGAATGCACAGGTCAGTCTTCTCTCTCTTCCAAAATCCACATCTGACGCATCCAATCGACTAGTTCCGATTCTCTTTTCCTGCGCCGAAACCGACCGCACGTTCCCTAGAGAGACACGTCGTAAAGTCGAAGACAGGCTCGTCGAGCAAAAGAAGACATACTACTTCCAGATCTTCAGCGGTGTAAATCACGGATTTGCTGTTAGGTGTGATCCGAACGTGGAGAACGAGCGTGAGTTGTGTTTGTGTTTTACCGGCGTTTGCCCTTTTTGCGCTGCCTTTTCGTTCTCTCTCTTGTTCCAACACCGTCCTGTTGCTATCCGTTGGTTTTTGCTTTGGTTTCGGCCCTTTGGCGGTGTTCTCCTCCACCCTTATCCATGATCTGATTGTTAACTCGATCCTTCAGGATGGGCGAAGGAAGAGTGTCAGCGCGGCATGGTCGCGTGGTTCAAGCGTTTCACAGCCTAAATGGACAACTCATCCATTGAAAGGGCTGGAGAAGGTGCAAAGGGCATTCTGCGCAAGGATTATCGCTCATTTCCGAGTCGTCACTGTGACTTGAGGGAAGCTAAAGAGAAGATTACTGTGTTTATCGGTGTTGTGTAAGATACAAATCATGCCTGAGTCCCACTGAATTATGCATGACTGTTCCAGAAATTGATATCTAACATATGTAAGGACAAACCGTTTGATCCCGCGGAACCAATTCGCGTGACTATCCTGTCTGTGCTCCACCTGAGCTCCACGTTATAAAACTTTATGTGCGGCTCATTAATTCACTGATCCGGGCTACTCCTCCTTTTACAATTGCACGCCACCGAGCTCCACATGCGATCGCACGTTTATCTCCTAACTGTATGCCTCTGCTTTTACCACCATGACCTCTGCATTTAAATATATGATCTACTATTTTTTTGTTCGAAATCTCGGAGGCTGCCTACCTGTGCTAGCGACAGAAAGTGCAAGCGATAGTGTCCGCAGGATTTCTGGCCTGGCACTCTGCACGCTCTCAGACGATACCACGTCGTGGACTACTCGATCAACCATTAACCGCCGCTGATTTTCTCAAGAGTTGTAATGACGGTGCGTCTGGGAGTGGGGAGGAGATCCTTTGGCGGGCGTGAGTTTGCTTTGTTGTCTGGTGATTTTTGCTTGAATAATTTGATCAACAGGACGCCGAGGAAGTCTTCCGTTTCTAGGCCGGCTCTTTAGCATGACATGTTGACCGTTTAAACGTTTATTAGTACCGACGGTGGCGTGGCGTGTCTATTCTAATACTTACTTGATACTCTGAGTCTGACTAGTGAACAACTTGGGCGCAGTTCGGTCACTGTGCCTCTCAGCATCAACATATTTTTCAATGATTTTCATTGGAATCGCGATTTACTCAGTGGCATCCGCAGCGACTTCAGAACCTATGATATTAGGTAATCAGACAAAATACATCATCTGCACAAACTCGATGACTACCCCTCAGGTGTCATTGCAGCAGATCCAGCAGCCTGAGATATCTTGATAGAGGGGATAGTAGGTTGGATCGCATTGAAGGTCATCGGAGTAGCAAAAATCCACACAGGATTCACTAATAGCCTTCACCCCGGCGGAGGCAGCGGCAAGGATAGCGAGGTAGGTGAACTGAATCTTCATGGTACCTAGTATATGCGTCAGTGATGACCCTCGATGCCAGGAAACTACTACCCACGATCAAATTTTGTGATTGTGTGGTGTACGCGATGGTGTTATGGCACGTCCAGGAAGAGCTAAATTTAAAATGGATGTAATGGTCAAGTTGCGCAAGTCTTTAGGTCTCAGGATTACTCACTGCAACGAGTCGATTGTCTCTGAGGATTATGGGACTCGACCACATTCAATTTATATGATGACGGATTACGAGGCGCCAGCACTATGAAATGATGCAGATTTAAAAGACTGCTCGGCTCCAAAATATGGGCACCCTGTGACAGTGCCATCATGACCAAAAACCTTTTCAAGGTGAGGATCAATGACGTGGCGCATGGCGCCAGCGCTATGAAACAATGCAGATGGGTTAAATTAATGACAGGGATCAGATATGGCATTACCGAGAGCAGGGTGGATCACGCTGGGATGACTGATGTTCCGTATTAACAAGACATTCCGAGAAAGGGGTTCTCGATGTAGTTGCTGGTGCACCCGAGTCCTTTGAATGAATAAGGTTCAGATGGGAATGGTAAGATTCGGAGGGAGGATGCCCGACTTGAGCAGCGAAACGATCCAAACTATTGAAGCGAACATATCCGAAAATAATACATTACTAATTGCCATTAGAACTCTCCACAACATTCTGGATTATTGAGAGGCATCAGTACAGCCTGCGCACACTGTTTTGCGTCCCTAGGCGGGCTCGGAAGACTTACCGCCAGTAAAAGACTCTACAAGGCCCAAGTGTGTGAGTGGAATAAACTCGGCGGAGGGGACAAAGAGAGACGTACTAGTGCGGTATGTTCGACTCATACCACTACCTACTGATACGTCGTACTGCCAGGACTACTAGTAAAGATTGTAGTCTCTCGTTTCAATAAGAAAGACAAATATTCCTTCTTTCAACGATCCTGCCACTACTCACACTATCAGCATGCGACGAACGGTGCAAGAACCAAAGGAGAAGTACCATTGCATACTGAGTGGGGGTACATCAGAAAATCACTTTGCCTCTGTGGGCTCTGTACAGCTCTGTACAGAAGGGACTAAGCTGTGGCCAGCCATTTTTTGGTGGTGGGAAAAAAGTGTTTTGCTGATGTATATTTTAATTGCACCTAGGGTGCAGCATAATTTTTAATTCGACGACTTCCCTGAGCCTCTCAGACTGTGCAGCCGCAACGCACACCCCAAGGGCCAAGCTCGATATCAAAATGGTCTTCTTCTCAGCCTCTCCTTGCCGTCAAGCAGATTCGTGCGCCCGGCGCGGGTGGCCTTAAGCTTGTGGACATCCCAAAGATTCGAACTGAATGCGAAGGTCCCGGTCCCGGTCTAAAAGCAATTATTAATGAACACGGAACTCTATTGCCAGCGGGCGCCAATTACCGAGCAGTTCATGCCCTTGACAACATACCCTCCAGCCTTGGCACTTGTGCGAGGTGTGCGATGTATGTTTGGTGTTTGGTGGTCGTGGCGAGGCGAACTTTCAACTGGCAGAACCTCAGCAATGGACGCCCGGACTGTAAGTAAATTGAACATCTGCGCTTTGCCTCACCAATGAACCATCTCCACCAATCGGATAGGCATTAGGGTTCAAACGTTCAAGCCGTAACCCATCAAGCTTCTTTATTTCAGCGACTGAAGCGCTCTTAAGCGAGAACTGTTTTTTTTTTTTGCAAATCAGGCTGAACCCTTTTTCCCCTAATGGTTCGGTTCTGACATACTTAAATGCTGTTATGTTACGTCGCTTTGACCTTACCTTTGGTAACTCTCTGGGTCAGTTTCTCAATTCTCTTCTTCCCGCTTCTCGTTGTCCTCTACGTCTTTGTCTAGTTTTTATTCGTGCTACTTCATTTGTGATTTCAAGATGTTTGCTAGACTCGCGTAAGTCCCTTGCTCATTGTCGCGAACGGGTTTCTGACGTATTTTAAACCACCCCCTTAGTACCCTTGCTACACTCGCTCTCCCTCTCGTGTCTGCTACATTGACGCTCAACACACCGACGGATGCAAAGTCTGGTGGCACGTTGACTGTGACCTAGACGTCAAGTGACACCGACACAGACCCTGCCAGGTTCAACATGGAAATGGTCAACGGAAACTACAACAGCCAGTCCGACCTCGCAAACAACGTTCAGACCTCGGAGGGCATCATCACAGTTACGCTGCCCGTGATGCCTGCTGGGTGAGCCCGCGGCATCTGAATGAATTGGAATGGTTGACTCGCTGTGCGCAGTGACGGCTACACTATTGACGCCGTCGACACCGGCAACATCAACAGTGTGTATGCAACCACTGGTGACTTGAAGGTTGCGGCACGGGGTTTTCGGCAAATTTTCGGTGTTGTGTAAGATATAAATCATGCCTATGTTGCATTGAAGTCTATTCTAGAAATCGATGCGGAGATTGTACTATTGTAGTCTTTCCAGCCAGTCCTTTCAACAATCCTGCTGGCTACTCGCAATATCTGCATGCGACGAGCGGTGCAAGGATCAAATTGCATACTATCGCGCGGCATGAAGTGTGAATGAAAAGTATTTTATTGCTCGAGATCGCTTTCCAGTTCTTCAAGTTCAACTCCTGCAAGATTCTCTGCAATACGTTTAAACAATTCATTGCGTCCTTTTGGATCAACAACACGGGATCCATCCTGGCTTGCCGTGTTGATAATAGAAGGAACGACTGTCTTCCTTCTATATGACTAGGGGAGACTGGGACTAAGCAACCTAACAGAGAAAGTAAGAGGACACTCAAGTACTCACAGTGGCTAGGGGCGCGGGAATTCATTTAGTCCTTCCTTCAGGGTCCGAGGAACGGAACTCACCCCATTAAACACAAATTATTTTTTTCCATTAAACCTGGATCCATCAGTGTCGGGGAAGACCAGCTGCTTAATGCGCTGTTACCCACCGTAACACATCCCTGGACCCTACATAAAAGGTTCTTACCATGTGCATACTTCGCCGAGCCTTGACAATTTGCATCCGTACGTGCCGGTGTCACTGGTTACAGCCTGTAGGTACAGGTACGCGTCAAACTCCTGATTAACCACGGATAAGGTCCTGCCATAGCAAATCTTTATGAGTGATCGAATCAGTTAGCAACGCAATGTTGGTCTTTGGAGTCTTCACTTGAATCTTGATGGGTGGTAAGTACATTGTGTGTTGATTGTGCGTCAGTATTTGATATCACTTTGTGGCCTATCGTCTCTAAAGCCAATTCCTTCAGTACGCGTATGCATGTGCGCACGCTATTGTCGGAGACGGTTAACAATGAATCATTACGGTACATTCCAACGAGTCACGTTTCGCTACTGATCGCCGTATGTGAAAGGCGTGTGCTACCAGCAACGGAGAAGCCTTCATCCATAACATAACAGAATAACGACAATGTACTCCCCTGGTTGCATATGACTATATAGTACTGTAAAATCATCGCATTGCAGTCAGAATTGGCTCTGTCAACAATGTCTTCAGCCCCAGGCCTCCAAATCCCACAACCTGCCATCGGGAACACGTTCGGAGCACTTTTCATTGGGGCTACGGTTGCAGCGCTGTGAGTAAACTAATTGGTTCACTATACAGTCGGGACTGAGCGTTGATTATGGACGGAACAGTCCTTTGGGGAATAAGCAATGTTCAAGCTTTCGTCTACTTTCAGACGCATAGAAGCACAGGAGTGACATTTTATAAGTTGGTTGTACGTCTAGCTTCCTTCAGAATTTCCAGTTCGGTTTTTGACGCTACATCAGGTCATCTGGCTTTGGTAGGTATCCCTTCGGGTTGCAATTATCGAGCGCGTCGAGATTATGAACGATTAGGATACTTGACGCTCTACACCTGGCCTTCATCGTCCATTGCCTCTATTATTATTTAGTGAATGGCCACATAAACATCGGTGCATTCACAGAAATTGTATGGAGTTTCAAAGTGAGTTCCTACTTTGGCCCTCTGTGCACCATCTACTATGATACTGATGGGGTCGTGCAGCTTCAGGTAGTAATCGATGTACGTTATATTTCCTAAGCTCTGTAATCCGCCTCAACATCCACCCCACAGGCTCTCATCGTTGATTGGGTACATATGTAAGTTCGATTTGCACAGTGTTATGTGAAATAATTCAAGTGATGTTTTCTTTGTCCATAGTCTGTATGTTTATCGCCTATGGATAGGTATCTGTTCTCCAATCAATTGGTTTGCTACGACTAATGTGATGGACCTAGTCAGCAAGGGCCGATCAAGAACTCTTCCAATAACAGCGGTGAGTTTGCAATCAATATCCACGTACTATGGCCTTTCATTCCGCCGATCCACTATTAGAGCATACTCGTGGTCCTAAGTATAGGTGAGACTGTCACCTGGAAATACTCTTCACACGATCTTGAGAATTCCTTCAGGTGCTGGCATCGGTGAGAGTCTTAGAGTATTCTTGTTGTTGGCTGATCATCTTAATCCATTTCGACTCAATCACAGCACTTCTTTGGGTATTGTGAGTGAACTAGTCACTCCCTCAGTCACGAAGTATTGATTGCGAGTAGACATCGATGCCATATGTTCACGGACCTATTCAAAACCGAGTGGGCGGCATACATTGCTTTGGGCATGATTACTGTTGTCGATATCTTTGTCGCATCATCGCTATGCTATCTCCTCGCTACGTCCCGCACTGGGTTCTCTAGGTAAGGAGCGACCCGTTCGCTGGTGGGATCAGATATATTAATGTGGTATATTTAGCATGGATTCCTTCATAAAAACGCTCATAGCTTACACCATTAACACCGGCTGTGTGACGGGGTATTCCGTCCTTCCAGATTACCCTATACTTTGACTGATATTTCAAGCAGTATATGTTCAGTGGCAATTATAATTACAGTAAGATTCCAATGGCTGAACTGTCCGTCTCGTTTCTGATTATTATCTGCAGTGCGCAGTGATGCCACACAATTTCATCTTTCTCGCTGTCGAATTTTTACTAGCTAAATGTATGACCAACGCATTCTCTGAGGATCGTGCTGACTAGTGGTACCCTTTCAAGTATATGTCAACTCATTCCTCGCACTCCTGAACGCGCGACACTACTTGCAGGCCAATGTGGATACCATCGATTCTTCCGACCTCCGTTCCCATTTTCGCCAACGCCTCTACCGGACTGGAACCACACATCGAGTATCGCAAGGCGAGGAACTCCAAGCATCCCGGAAGAACCCGTGGAAACATGGCGGAGATGAAGAGTCCAGTCGATCTGTGCAAGCTGACATGGTTTGTAGTTGCATTATTATTGAATGTCATGGAAGAGAACTAATTGACATCTTCAGCCTCAGCGTCCGGCGATTGCGGTGACGGTGGAGATAACTTCTTTCTCCGAGTCGTCACCTTGAGGGATCGTGAGGCATGTATTATTATCTGTCTGTTTCCTCACAAGATAGAAATATTATCATAGACTACAAAGCTACACAATGTGGGGAACGAAAGGAACCTATTCCACTACTTCTCCACTGTGCCCGCCGACACTAGACGCAAGGGGCCGACTTCAATATTGATCAATATCGATGACGAGATCGGACCTCAGCCACATCGTCCTACCTTTGTGCATTCTGATGTGCTAAGTGGTTATTACCTATCTTCATGACTGTCAAACGGTGACCAGTAAATAGGCCCTTGACACACCTTCAACACCGAAACGACTGAGCGCCAAGCAAATTTGTGTATCAGACCTCTAGAACCGCATCACAAGGTAAGGTATATACCTAGTCAGATCCTCATATCCTCGCGCTCCGAGGGAGCCACTGTCTGAAAGCTTCTGAAATAAGTGGGAGGATAGTTGTACAGAAGCATACTAAGCCAGATGCCTATACTGATAGATGTATCGCTACTTCTGAGCTATCTCTGTCAGCCCAGAAGTCATTCTGACCTGAATATAGTGTGCAGAGGCTGCACAAGATCTTGCTGCGAGTTTCATCGCCCGTTTCAGTTGTCCCTCCACAGACAGTCGAGAGATACTGAGTGTGTTTATTGGCTGCGATTCGGATAAATACCATGCAGAAGGCAATCGAGATGATCGGGGAGAGCTAGTTGAGCGAAACTCAGTAATTTTCGATAACATGTCTTAATTCCGGGATCACCTGGCCTGCCATAATATACATTCCACTGTTGCCGCGGGCGTAACATATTACGAATGAGCAGAGCGCTGCTGAGCACCTAATAACGGTATCCACAAGCACGCGCAATATAGGCCTTTTACCCTTCATGACGCGAATTGCAGAGTCATGGCGTTCCATCATTCAGATACGGTATGCCAGTAACCCTGGTCATATTCAGGTTAGTGTGGGAGCTTGACACTGCACCACAATATGCATGGTAGGATGATAACCAAGACAGTATAAGCCACGAGGGTTTCAAGCTGGCAGATAAAAAAGCATGAACCTACCACCTCGCCGTCGCCAAGCAGAGTTTGGAAGACAATTATCGCATTCTTGATCAAAAATGTTTTTAGGGCAAAGTCCGGGAAGAACGCCACTGGACCGCCTAGGAACGACTATCGTCCTTCGATTGGTCTGGCTAGGGGAGACTAGGACCCCCTGGGGTTGAACGTGTCGCGATCCTTCACCAGTCCATCTTCAACGTGAATCATGCCTACCACCATGCGCTTGGGAGACTTCAGCAGATGACACGTATACAAGCAGCGAGAAGCTAACCACAGTACTCAGTACGAACAGCAGGGTAGCAACCGCGGCGATAGGACGATTGATGTCCCGCATGCGACGTTGTGGGTGAATGTCCAGATGGTACCCATGAACATGAGGAATGAAAAGCCTGTAAAGTTGCAGTGTAAACCCTACTAGTAGCTTGATCGCCATGGGATAGACCAACCGATTGCGACACCTACCGTACAAAATGCCTTCCAGAACTATTGACATCAAGTTAGCCGCATAAAGCGGCATGCCTCTTGAAGTTAACTTGAAAGCCATCGGAAATGATTATGCCTGCCAATGGGTGATGTACGATGGTGTGGATAGCCTCGTTCATCGTTATATAGCTCAGGTTGACTCTACGTAGTGCTGTTGGTCTTCAATGGATTGACTCTGAAACGTCGGAACCCTACTGCAGTCTGCCAGATTATGTCAAAGTCTTGTTTTGTTTATTGATTGCTTACATCTTTCATCGCCCGGGCATAGCGCAGCAATTTGGCGAATACTTGAAATAGGAGTAATTTGGGAGTAACGGCATTCTGTGACGTTATCTTCCTCTATGTACGTAAGTGGTGACTGTCCTAAACAAAGTTAGTTTTGTTCTTGAAACATGATGCCAGGTGTCATGCATTCATGAGCGCTGATGGCTCCATCTCGTTCTCGGAGAAAAGATGGCACCTTCTGATATGAAAATCAGAAGTTGCATACCACTATGGATACCTGCGATTCGAATTTCGCGTCTTGGTCCCGCTACCCGTCTATTATAATTGACGTATTCACGACGGCGAGGATCATATACGAGCAAGCAGATGATTCAGACTTTACAAGTCTCGAGTATCTTCGTTCGTCTTATGGTACCAGGGAAGTACTAGATGTCAGCTCACCTGGTCGCTGCATAGTACTGTACCGCGCGGTGCAGTATTATGTAGTGACCAGATGAGTTGGAATACTAACCCTTTTCCAGCTGCATGCTTACATGCAGACTTCCTATTGTTGAGTTGCCGGGTGACCTCATTCTACAGATAAAGAAGACCCCACTGATGATTGATTCGCCGCTTTCCGCCTCAGCTCTAATATCTATGTCGTCTACACTAGCAGGCCCCTTGACAGACCATTGTTTCACTTCAGTCGCACACAGCGGTACACCCAAGGGCAAAAGTATCACTATTGCTGGCGTACCCACATACTTATCTGCTCCGCAAGCTCCCACTGCGTCCGGTGTGGAGACCGTCATCCTGTACTTTTCAGATGTCTTCGGGCCATTTTATATCAATGCCCAGTTGGTTCAAGACTATTACGCTTCTCAAGGTACGTCTCTGTGCACATGCGTGTTTGTGTGCGTGTTCACCAGGCAACCAGGTTTCACCGTGGTTGGGATCGATTACTTTTTCGGCGATCCCGTGCACCTGCATCTCGATAAGCCTGGATTTGATCGTCAGACGTGGAGAGCAAAGTCTGTTGAGCAGGCAAGGACTAGCGTCCCGAAATGGTTAGATGGTGTCAAGGAAATGTTTGGTACGATCTTCTTCAGCAAACGTGATAAACCGAAATTATATGCGGCGCTTTGAAGGCACAAATGTGAAGTACTGTGCTGTCGGTGAGTAGGTTGGATCCTCCGAGACTGCTGCTTTCATGCTGGATCAAGGTTTCTGTTTTGGCGCGCCCTATGTCTTTCATGTTGCGGGTACTGATATGGTATCGTGCGGTATGTGACATATTTCTACTTTTGCGAAGTCTGCAGGTGAACGCATCTACTAGCCGCTGTGGCCCATCCTACGAACCTGACTGAGGAACTTTTGAGAGCCAGCAAAGGCAGGTCCTGTGAAATATTTCTCAACACCAATACTGAACAAATCATACCATCAGTGCCTCTTCTGTTCTCTTGTGCAGGTAGAGACATGTCTTTCCGATCCTCCTAAGTACGCTTTACTCATACCAGCCCCCAGAAACGGACTCTGCATTCCCAGTGCCGTTTCGACGACGCGTTGAAGACATTCTTGTGGAGAATAAAGCGACGTACTATTTCCAGATATTCAGCGGCGTGCCGCATGGCTTCGGGACGAGGGGAAATCCGGAAGTTGAGAGTGAAAGTCAGTGCTTATTTTCACTGATTTGAATTTTCACATAACCTTGCTTCTGATATATGATAGGGTGGGCGAAGGAAGAGTGCCAGCGTGCGATGGTGGCATGGTTCAGGCGGTTCGCGAATAGCAAGTTATAGATTCCATTTTTTTGCATCAGAACGAGTCGTAGGATAACTCATTATGGTTTTATCACCTTTATTGCCTATCATCTAATGTAGCGTAATATCGTGTTTCTGTGGAAGTACCTGCACATCAGAGTCAGATATATAAAATCCTTCGCGCCCTTCCCGGACAAAATACATTTTAAGTCCTAATTGTGGCGAGCAAACACTAGAATATAAGGATTAAAGTGGTTAACATGAGCATCCGGGCTGCCATACTACCTCTGATGGTTGTCACTTCCTCCGCATTGCGTTGGTACTCAAGACCCTTGGCTCATTGAATTCATAGCGATACATCCCTTGGGAATTGAGTTAAGCATATAATATATGCGCGCTTATTGCATGTACCCCATCCTGAAACCCATTCGATTTCGCGACTCCAGCTTCGAACAGATTGTGTGTCTATTCAAACAGGTATCATGAGACCAGTCAGCATGCATTGTGTTGCTGATCATCAGCTCTATTCATCGATCACCTGCTGGGTGCGAGATGACATCTGAAGGTATACCCTATCAGTGATCAGTGTGTCAGATGATCTCGTCATTTAATCAGTCTGATGATTAATGGTGAACTGGATTACTTAGGCGTTAATTTGTGGCGCTGCAAAAACAGGCACGCGACCCCACCGTTGGAGACATGATGCCCCGCAACAAAATATCCATCATCCCTCGAGAAGACATTGAGGCGTTCATCACGGAGATGTGAAATACCACCACCCGTGTCGCGAGTTATATGGGTTATGAAGGTCGTCAAGCACACAGTCTTCTGGATCTTGTGTCAGAAGTTGCGTCCAGACCTACACTGCAGCTCGATCTTCCCCGGCCTTATGCGAGACTGTCGTAATGCAATAACCGTAAAGACACTCAGTACATCTGCACACCAGGAAGATGCCTGATCACAGAAAATTGCTGCGTTTGATTATACACCATTTTTGCCAATTGGATCCAGACTTTGCGCGGAAGGCTTTTCCTGAAATTGAAGGGCGTAGCGCGGGGATTCCCCTCAGAGAGCCTTCCAGAGTCTTCTGAAGGGCTTTAAGTGCTGATAGATTCCATTATTAAGTGAGATGGTGATAGATCTTGCTCACCTCGCAGGCAAATATTTTAGCGTTCTGTGAACTCTGTAACTGAGGGCGCAACCAGCTAAATTTACCCGACGGTGACCTGCATTTCTGGAGGCCGGATGATTGATAGATGCGCCCTCAGACGTCACTGATAACCTATCGTCCCGAACAGCTATATACAATTTGCAAGCCAGATACATATTAAAGGCTGAGTGGAATGGAATATCATCTCTACGCACGATGTCTTCCACCCTCGCCTCTACCCCTGGTAGCTGCTGCTTCACCGGTGTCAAACACACAGGCACCCCCGCCGGCCGCATCGAAGACCTCGGTGGGTTGCAAACATACATCTCCGAACCTCCTACCTCGGGAACAACGCAGAAAGTGATACTCTTCCTCGCTGATGTCTGGGGACCGCTTTTCTTGAACAACCAGTTGATTCAAGATTATTTCGCATCTTGCGGTGCGTCCCGTTTAAATCGTGGAGCGAAAGTAGGACGAATGGAACGATTTAGGCTATATCGTCCTTGGGCCTGATTACTTCTTTGGAAATGCCATACCAAACCACCCGCCTGATTACGACCGCAAGGCGTGGATTGAGAGTGCATGGAAACCAGCAATGGATGCATTCCCCGCTTGGCTAAAGGCTGTGAAAGCGAAATATGGTATGTCCTTGTTATAGCGTCTCAAACTCGTCGAGATATGCTGGTGATATAGGGAGGGATACTAAGTATTGCGCTGTCGGTACGTCAATATACAAGCCGTGCCAAAGAAGAAAACACTAAACCTCGGACCTTTGTGCAGGGTACTGCTTCGGAGCACCCTTCGTCATGAACTTGTGTGCTGACGGATCTGTGGTTGCTGGTAAGTGATTTGACCGCCTCTCAAAGCTTGAAGGGTACCCACGCGAGGACTGCAGGAGGTCTGGCTCATCCCGCATCCCTCAAGGAAAGTCACTTTGAGAACCTTAACGGTGAGTTCTCGTGTTCATCATCTACTGCCAATCACTAATCACCGACCATTACAGGACCTCTCGTTCTCTCCTGCGCAGGTAAAAATTCCTTCATAAACATGCGAACGATCGCAATTAATGATTTCCAATCCTGTTATCATGTAGAGGAAGACATGACCTTCTCCCGCGCCTCGCGTCGACGCGCAGAAGACATCATGGTCGCCCGCAAATGCACCTATTATTTCCAGGTGTTTTCAGGCGTCCAGCATGGGTTTGCTGTCAGAGGCGATCCGGACGTTCCGACGGAGCGTGAGTGGCCCTGTCAAATATCGACGTTGACAACATACTAATCGTTTGATGCAGGCTGGGCGAAGGAGGAGAGCGCTAGGGGAATCGTGGGGTGGTTTGATCGCTTTACGGTCTAGGCTCGCTATGACAGGAGTTGTTCGGTGCTAGCGTTGATCAATGAAGCAGATTGTTGAGTTTTCACTATAGTCGGTCGGGTGCTGTTCTGTAGTACGAGATTAGTAAACACCTAGATACAAAGTGGGAGTAATCGGAATCCTACGGTAAAATCAGTAACCTGTGTATCTATGAAGGAACTGTGGGAAGACGATGACGAGTCCTGTAGCAGAAATATCCGAAATACTATCTAAGGATGGACGAGCGTAATTGTGGGCTATGTCCAAGCTATGTCCATGAAGTTTTACACAAGTGTATGTATCGCCTTTCCATGATTTGCATGATACCAATAATGTGGTGCGGATGTGGAAAATAGTAGATTGACTTCAACAGGTTGCGAAGGTGATGGCTCTGGTCGACATGATGCCGCGTGAATCATCGACGAGGAAAGGCTGAGACCTAGGAGCAAGGGCCTGTGCTTGGATTGTCAAACCAAATGAACGCTGAAGAAGGTAAGATGACCCACCTTCTGATGATAATCTGATGATCATTACAATCAGAAGTTGCATACTATGGATACACACGATTCGTATCTTGGTTTCGCCACACATAGTATAATTGACGTGTTGACGACGGCGGGGATCATATATGAGTAAGTAGTAAACAATCCAGACTTTATAAGTCTCGACTATCTTCGTTCATGACTCTTAGATTTATGGACCTAGTGCCACAGGAAAGTAGTCAGTACACCTGGTCGTTACATAGTACTATACCGCGCGGTGCAGTATTATGTAGTGACCAAATGAGTGGCAATAACTAGGAATAACTCTTTTCCAGCATCTCGTTCGTTCCTGCTTATATGGACTTCCACGAAGATATTATTGGGTCACCGGGTGACATCTACATATAAAGGAAACTCCACTGATGACTGATTCGCCGCTTTCCGCTTCCGCCCTCACCGATATCCATGTCGTCTACACTCGCAGGCCCCTTGACAGACCATTGTTTCACTTCAGTCGCACACAGCGGTACACCCAAGGGCAAAAGTATCACCATTGCTGGCGTACCCACATACCTATCTGCTCCGCAAGCTCCCACTGCGTCCGGTGTGGAGACCGTCATCCTATACTTTTCAGATGTCTTCGGGCCATTTTATATCAATGCTCAATTGGTTCAAGACTATTACGCTTCTCAGGGTACGTCTCTGTGCATATGCGTGTTTGTGTGCGTGCTCACCAGGAAAGCAGGTTTCACCGTGGTTGGGATCGATTACTTTTTCGGCGATCCCGTGCACCTGCATCTCGACAAGCCTGGATTTGATCGTCCGACATGGAGAGCAAAGTCTGTTGAGCAGGCAAAGACTAGCGTCCCGAAATGGTTAGATGGTGTCAAGGAAATGTTTGGTACGATTTTTTTCACCAAACGTGACAAACCGAAATTATATGCGGCGCTTTGAAGGAACGAACGTGAAGTACTGCGCTGTCGGTGAGTAGGTTGGATCCTCCGAGACTGCTGCTTTCATGCTGGATCAAGGTTTCTGCTTTGGCGCGCCCTATGTCTTTCAGGTTGCGGGTACTGATATGGTATCGTGCGGTACGTGGCATACCTCTCTGCATCCATGGAGTCTGGGTGTGAACGCATCTACTAGCCGCTGTGGCCCATCCTACGAACCTGACTGAGGAGCTTTTGAGAGCCAGCAAAGGCGGGTCCTATGAAATATTTCTCAATACCAGCACTGAGCGAACTACACCTTTAGTGCCTCTGTTATTCTCTTGTGCAGGTACAGACATGTCTTCCGATGCTCTTAAGCATAATTTGCTCATAGCCTCTAGAAATGGACTCTGCGTTCCCAGCGCCGTTCCGACGACGCGTTGAAGATATCCTTGTGGAGAATAAAGCGACGTACTATTTCCAGATATTCAGCGGCGTACCGCATGGCTTCGGGACGAGAGGGAATCCGGAAGTTGAGAGTGAAAGTCAGTGCTTGTCGATTTGTTGACTGATTTGAATTCTCACATGACATTGTTTCTGATATCCAATAGGGTGGGCGAAGGAAGAGTGCCAGCGTGCGATGGTGGGATGGTTCAAGCGGTTTGCGAATAGCAGCTTCTAGATTCCATTATTAAGTGAAATGGCGGTAGATCACGCTCACCTTGTAAGCAAATAGACTGCGGTGTACATACTATTTTGGGCCTCGGCAGTTACTGTGAATTCTCTAAGGGTACAACCAGCTTATCGCACCCCACACACATCTACTCGGTGGTCACCTGGCACCTGGATTTTTCACGCGGATGTCTTTCTGGAGGTCGGATGATTAATCGATGTCGTCAGATGGGCCTCAGCCGATGACCTATCATCCCGAAGAGGTCGCACGCCAGGTACATATTAAAGGCGGGTGCGATGGAATACCATCTCTACGCACGATGTCCCCCACACTCGCCTCTGCCCCTGGTAGCTGCTGCTTCACCGGTGTCAAACACACAGGCACCCCCGTCGGCCGCATCGAAGACCTCGGTGGGTTGCAAACATACATCTCCGAACCTCCTACTTCGGAAACAGCTCCGAAAGTGATACTCTTCCTCGCTGATGTTTGGGGACCGCTTTTCTTGAACAACCAGTTGATTCAAGATTATTTCGCGTCTTGCGGTGCGTCCCGTTTAAATCATGGAACGAAAGTAGGACGAATGGAACGATTTAGGCTATATCGTCCTCGGGCCTGATTACTTCTTTGGAAATGCCATACCAAACCACCCGCCTAATTACGATCGCCAGGCGTGGATTGAGAGTGCGCGGAAACCCGCGATGGACGTGTTCCCCGACTGGCTAGAAGCTGTGAAAGCGAAATATGGTACGTCCTCGTTATAGCGTCTCAAAGTCATCGAGATACCCATGACATATAGGGAGGGATACTAAGTATTGCGCTGTCGGTACGTCAACATACAAGCCGCGCTAAAGACGAAAACGACTAAACCTCGGGCCTTTGGGTAGGGTACTGCTTCGGAGCACCATTCGTCATGAACTTGTGTGCAGACGGATCTGTAGTTGCCGGTAAGTGATTCGGATGCCTCTCAAAGAAGAATACCCACGCGAGGGCTGCAGGAGCTCTGGCTCACCCTGCATTCCTCGAGGAAAGCCACTTTGAGAAACTTAGCGGTGAGTTCTCGTGCTCGATACTACTGCCGATCACCAACCACCAACCATCGCAGGACCTCTCATTCTCTCCTGCGCAGGTAACAGTTTCTCCACAAATATGCGAGCGAAGGTATTAGATTTCTAAATCTATTCTCATATGTAGAGGAAGACCATACCTTCCCCCACGCCTCTCGTAGACGCGCAGAAGACATCATGGTCGCCCGCAAATGCACGTATTATTTCCAGGTGTTTTCGGGCGTCAAGCATGGGTTTGCTGTTAGAGGCGATCCGGACGTTCAGACGGAGCGTAAGTGGCCTTATCAAATACCGGTATCGACAAGATACTCATTGTTCGATGCAGGCTGGGCGAAGGAGGAGAGCGCTAGGGGGATCGTGGGGTGGTTTGATCGCTTCACGGTCTAGGTTCGAGCGGTTGCTCGGTGCTAGCGCTGATCGATGAAGCAGATTTTTGAGTTTGTACTACCTTTGTATGATACCAAGACTGTGGTACGGGTGTGGAAAATAGTAGGAAACAAAGATTGACTTCGACAGGTTGTGAAGGCAATGGCTCCGGTCGAATGCCGCGTGAATCGTTAACGAGGAAAGGCCGAGACCTAGCTGGAGCTGAGCAAGGAGTGCTGGGTGTATCAGACTGAACGAACGTCGTCTGTGTTGTGCGTGTGGATAGGACAGAGGGGAGCTCTGGACCACTTGTTGCTTGGAATTGAAATTTAGAGGAGGGTCCTGTCGCAGATGAAGAATCAGTTACAAATTTACAGCCGCGAATAGATAGCTAAGTGCAAATATTGAGACGCTCACCAGGGTCCTGGCGCTAAAATTGGAGGGAAGGGGTCAGGGCAGCATATTCTGCTTGCTGCTCATCTGTCCGCTTGGCTCCACCGCCGACAACAAGGCTCTCCAGGGGACACTTTGACCGCGTGAGGAACGCCTTGAACTCCTCATGGAGCGACATTGGGCCTGGAAGAACATCAAGTACGCGCAAATCGGGGAGTATGAGAGCATCGAACAGGTCACATAATCGTGTTTCCATATGCCCATTCACAATCTAAGCGTAAGGATTGAAGTCCAATGTGTGTGCATAGCTCCAAGGTCTGGAAGCTGGCGGATGATATCCGGATCGCTAACGAGGATGAGACCTAGCCGGAGCAAGTGGAAAATTGTGTTTGGTTGAGATTTGTCGGTTGCGACACTTTTCAGGTGACCCAAACAGGATTGGAAGAGAATAAGTGGTGAAGGTTGAACAACGGCCCTATTACCCTGAGATTGCGCAGAGTGGATAGCAGTTGCGAGATAGAGTGTGCGACGGCTGGCATAGGATCCGCTAGCGTATGATCACCTGCTTCAGGATAAGGAGTGTACACAGATATGGTCAGCTCCTCAAGTGCTCGGAAGTCTGCGAACACAAGTTCAGGTGTCCGGGTGCGGTAAATAACACATCCACCACACAAGAACAGAGAGACGAAACTTGATTGATATAAGGCCGCAGAAGGCTTGGTAACTTAGCACATTCACTTGCGTAGTAGCACTGGAGTGCCAAAGAGAACGGACGTCCTTTGGAACGCTTGAGCCACGAGGCATGGCAGAAAGCTTCCCGCTGCCAGTCTCCGCCGTTGACTTCTACAAAGAGCCTGCACCGTAAACTGGGTGTGTCACAGCAACCTCCGTTCATGGTCGGCATATTCTGGTCAACAGTATGAAAGCTATTTGGGGGCGATGGGTTATACAACGGCAGGAGGCAGTAGTAAATTTTTTGGGATAAAACTTCAGTTGACAAGCGCCAGAGAGCCGATCCGAGTCTCTTCTGCAAATAAATGTACTGGATGATCTTTTCTTTCTGCTCGACGAGTTTCCGGTGATGATTTTTGATACTATCCATGACTAATTTCAGGCCTGAGATCTCGGGCGAAACTGCATCCAACTACTGCTGGCGTTCGGTGATGATGGCACTGATGATCTGGTCTTTGAGCTCGATGATGGGGAAGTAGTTGGTACTGGAAAATGTGGCTCGGCAGTATGGGGTTTCTCCTAGTTAAACTTAAGCTAATTTGCACTACATTAGTGAGCCTAGGGCTAATTTGTGCTATGCTAGTAAGCTTAGGTCAAACTAGCACTAATTATTCTAATTTTTTCTAAGTTCAACACGGGAAGGTTTTCCTGATGTTGAGCACATTGTGGGTCCGCTCCGTGTCGAAATAGTTTACCTCGCGTTGTTGTAGTGCCGCTATGTTATTTTGGTTGAGCCTCGTGTCTATTAATGATTTGCGCTCGCATCTGCATTTGGAATTGAATCTTTGTGCGAACCACAGAAATATTTCTGATCGGAATTATTAGTACCACAATTGAATTATTAGTATGATAATCATTATTGAAGCTTCAAGTCAACTATGTCTTGCCCAACGGACTGGGAGGTAGTATCACAAACCATTCAACCTCGCTAGTACCAGTACTTGCGTCCTTCCCCAAGCGGTATTCCAGCCATAATGAATGTGTATATTGCCAATAACTGACTATAATAAAGAACGAAGAGTAGTGCGCTATGCCATATAATACAAAGTGAATGTGTGGGGGAATGTGCTATGCCATAGAGTACAAAGTGAACGTGTGTAGTTCGTAGAAAAGTGAGATAGTATCACTATACATCGATGAATGCCCAGCATACATCAAAACATAAAGCAGATAATTAATATCGCAAGTGAAATATGAACGAACGCCATATCCCGTCGTTGACGGGGGGCAGAAGGAGAAAGATGCTAATTCTGAGGAAGTTCTTGGGATATAAGAGCGTTATAGTACTGCATGAATTCGGCCACCTGATCAGGGGACCCGCCTGCCCAGAGGGGGTCCGTAAGAACGTCCATTTCCTGCGACGACGGAACCTCATTTGCTTGAGGCGGTAATTGCACATTCTCTAGCTCCGTCAATGCCCACCCCGTGAACAGGGCTGTCACAACAGGGTCTACGCTTTCAACAGGGGCGGACAGTAAGTGATCCGCGGGAGTGGTCGTTTCCTGCGATTGCGTAACCTGGGGCGAGATGTGCACGTACTCTGCGACGTTGGATGTCATCAAGCCACTGGACATTGACACGTCGGCTGCAGGAGCGTGGAAGGTGAAAGGGGCGGTGGGGAACTGCCGCAGGCGAAGCAGAAGCGGAACTCGTCGAGCCTTGACTAGGGATTGAGGAGGATGGCCGTTTGCACATCTTGCGTTTCTTGCCACAGGGAGAATCTTTCCAGTGCCTCTCCAGAGCATCTATCCTGCTATACCTGATCACAACTATTATAAAACGCGCTTGTTTGAGAGTGGAGATACGCACGGGTGGCCACAACCGCAGATAAATTCTCCTTCTGTGAGGCCTCGATGTTTTAACGTCTGGATGTGCTTGCCATAGCTCGTAGAATTCATTTTTTCATCACACCTCAAGCATTTGATGACCCGGCGACCATTCTCGTCTGGCAGTTGCACCTGTCCCAAAACTAAGAATTCTACCTTACATGATGCAAAGGAAACTCACAAATTCCGGGTCCTTCGATATCTTTTTTGGAAGCTTGCTTTTCTTGCTTGCTTTGTCGTCCCCAAGATCTTCCGCGACACGCTTTTGACCGGCCGAGACATTGTCGGGTTGCGGAAGGTAGTGTTGAGACGGATAGGGAAGGATAGTGCTGAGGAGCATATGCCGGCTGGGACCAGGGCATACCCATATACATTCCAGGATTCGGATTAAGTTCGTTGGTGTTTCCTTGGGGCAGGGCAGCACTGTGAGCAGCGTGCGATGAGGAAGGATGCGAAGGGGTGTATGCGTGGTCCATTCTAGAGGTAAAATGTAGATATAGTTAGGAAACGTAGGTGTTGAAGATGAGGATAGACGTACCTGATCCAGCAGGTGTTCACTCGATAGTTGAAGTGCGGACGCGTTCGCAGTGGCAGATAGAGGTGGAGGCTAGTGGGTATGAGAGAGAGGATCAAGGCCACCAGAGCATATTTATATGTGGGTCGACGACCGCTTTGAAAGTACCCCCGCGCTGCTTGTACTGAGGGAACCTTCCTTTCATGGAAGATTTACTGTGGACCACCATTATTCACCAAAACGGACGGTGGTCTTTTGCTCGACCCGTTGTGTTGTGCGTCCACCGTTCGCGATACAAAGACGAGAAGCGCCCTGTGGATTTTGTGCCCCAGCAGGGGCTAACAATTGTCCGATGGGGAACTCCACAGTATATTGTCTGGCTCAGCGAGGGTTTGAATAATCGTAATCCCCTTCATGAGCGACGAGATCTATTAGATCTCCGTAATTCATTCGAGGTGCTTTGAGAGGTGCTTTGAGGAACAGCCTGCTTGGTAAATTGGTCTACAACCTTAAAACAAAGACACTTACGCGAAGTGCAGTGGACGGTTCAAGTCCAGGCAAAGCAATCGAGAGATTCGGATGTACAACCGTGATATCACCTTGAGCATTTACACTTTTTTTTTGGCTTCGTGCTTGATATGCTGTAGCATCCTATCATGGAACTCGACTCATCCAACGACGACACAGAAGAGACCATTACTTTCCTGTTTCCGACCGCACAAATTAAAGGATTCGCCATCTTCCAAACATAGTCGATTTATGGAAATGTATGCCTTTGCCACCCTACTAGGAGCTTACACATGATCTCATTTTTAGTGCCCGTATATGCGGTCACGAAGAGTGGCAAGAGGATACCAATTGCGAGGGATAATTTTTCTGACCCGGAAGAACGGAAGATATAGTCAACGGTAAGGGAAACTTAAAGCAAAAGATCGCTTATCGACATCATCAACTCCAGGCAGCGTTGAAGAACCCCTTTATAGTGGTCTTGGGCATTGTATTGCACTGCTCGTAACAAGGTACAGAAAGGGCGTCCGCATACCCTGGCGCGGCCTGAGCCCAGAGGTCTGGATCGGATGGAGCGACAGCATACACAGGACATGGGTTAGCGGGCAAATGAACTCTGAGCACACGGAGCCATGTTTGATATCCGCATCGAGTCCTTTGATATTTGTCGACGTGCGGCCAAATATCGACGAGTATTTCCGCCCACGTTCGTGGTGAGACGGGGAGACGGAATAAGGAAGCGAACAGAGAAGAAGAATATCACCACATCAGAACAAAATTGAAACCGATGGGATACGAAATCCAGAAAATGTGTGCAGTTCGACCTTCGAAGTCTCATCAATATTCCAACCATCGGCAAAGACCGGCTATATGATATACTTCTGGCATTCCTATTCTTCCCCTCCGCGTCTGTCCGCCTTGTGGTGCGTGGTGCACATGAAATATCCATATCAAAAGGGTACGCCGCCCGGCGCGTATGACAGGCTGTCTGTTAGATAGTTCGGGTGCGGTGACGGCGGTGTAGAATTTCGATACTTATTAGAAGGTCATCATCGAACGGGTGCTGCGTGCTATGATGTTAATTACGATTATCTTCTTTGAGAGAGGATGGAGGAGGGATAAAACTGTTTGAGCTCCGACAGGTCACTTAAAGCTATTGCATCCATGATCCGATGCTCTTGTTTGAACGACACATCACTTCCTCGCTCGACAAAGCCGCACTCGTCAACACCAACGAAAAAACAATATTAAAAAAAATAGCCCTCTAGCATCCTTATCGAGCCTCTATCCACTAGTTAGTCTCTCTTTCTTCTTTCGAGCCCCCGACTGTAACTGCCCTAAACATGAGACCACCCACCTAAGCGTAGATTGATTCAGTGACACAAAGCTAAAAAATGAATGTGTGATTTTGCTGATGTGGAGTAACCTGAGTGTTTTCTGGACCCCCGACTTCCAGACTTTTACCCTGTCATTCGACCAAAAGCATTCTTCTCTCTGTGTCGTTGCCTTCGAGCTTCGCACGCTAAATAGCCAACGCCACACAAAGCCTTTGCCAAACAACCGTCGCTGCCAGCGACGTTTACAAGGCTCGTTGCTCAGACTCGCTGGTATCTCACTCTTGCTTTCACTGGGAATGAAATACTGATCATAGTGATGATAATCGGTTCAGGGTTCAGAACGGTTTCGCTGCCTCTGCAAACCCTACAGAGCCGCGGCTTAGGCTTTGGCTTTGGCTTTCCAGAATTCCAAGCCGGGCCGTGCACATCACTAGGTATATGATCTCTTCGACAATTTCCTGATCCCAATTCGCAGAAACGTCCTCTAATCATAGAATACAAGAGCTCTCAACTCGATCGACTCCCGAAGCGGTGTTCCCGCCGGAGTGTTCGGGTCCTGGAACCCAGTGTGAGGGGCAAGTCTGGCGACACTGCCGTCTTGCACTGAGTCAAAGCTGAGACCCTTAGTACGATCAAAGCGCCACCAAGCCAATTCACTAACCATTTGATAAGAACAAACTCTTCAGGGATCATTGCTGTCATGTATTTCCACCGGTGGTTTGGGTTGTACTTGATCCCAAACGTCTCACCCTCGCGATCAGGGTATATGAGAGCGACAGGCAGCAAGTCATTCTTGACATCGACACTCCGGAAATCGCATAGTGCAAGCGGCCAGTCTACAGCTGCGTGCGATATGGGACGCCAAAGATTGATGATTTGGAAGCGTTTGCGAAGGAGGGAAGGAGCTTCTGTTGGTGGGAGATGCCTGTGAACACGAGCAATGGAGGACTTCGTCGTTTGGTCTACATGGACTATGGCCACAGGTTGACGCCTATGTGGGCTATCAGCTGGCTCGCCTGGGCGACGGCGACGAATAGCTGCAAGATCAATTAAGCACCAAGGAATCGTTTCAAATAGTTGGTCGACGTACTATGATCGAAGATGACAATGTTGCTTGCTCCCGTAACTCTCTTGATGAGGTCGATGCTCTCAGGATAGTATTCGCGCTCAATCTCGCTATCATTCAAGAAGCTGGTGTGCTTCGCCGCTTCCCGCCCATACTGAAATCCGGCATTGTCAAGCTTGTAAAGTCCCTCCTTTCCGCGCACGTCCTCAATGTGCATGTCATGCTGGTCCTCGACCCAGTTGCGGATCAGTTTCCCCGTGACGCTATCTGCGTTGATGTTATGGTAAATGCGAGAGCCGTCAGATGGAGGGAGGTAGTAGTTGAGGGTGCTGGTGGTGTCAGAAGCCATGGCTAGTTCGTTGGCACTGGAATGTGTATAGTGGAATGGGAGGGCCCTTCAAGGAGTCACGAGTTATATAGGTTTCCAAGGCCGAGGAAGCCGCTTGGGTTACATACCAGTTCTCCTAGCTAACTATGTAGCACCCGAATTACATTTGCACTGTAGGTGCATGTCACAATCGAACCGCGCATTAGCTAACAGCATAAACATTAAACAATGTGACTTCTCAGCGTGCTAATGAAGAGAAGGAAGATATCAACATTAACTCTCCCACAATTGAGAGCAACGGCTCAACATTGTTCATTTGAACTTTGCTCAGCAATGTGTCCGTCTGAAAGTCGGATGACTATGCCGTGCGTCCGGCGCTATCTTTCAATAACATTTTTGCTCAGTGTTCCGCCATGGTTAGTGATGTTGAATCTCTAGCTGTCCTAAATCAGAACTAGTGATGTTCCGGCCTGGCTTGGGCTCAAAGCCCCGGATTAGGCTCGGCCTGGAGGGGCTTAGGCTCGCCAGAATTCAAGCCTGAGCCGTGAGCCCAAGCCGGCCCAAAGCCGGGGCTTGGGCCCAAGCAAGCCACGCCCCCCGCGCTGAATTTTCTGCGATGGCGATGTGAACAAGTGAGCATGCAGATACAAGCAATTACATACATACATACATAGACATATAAAATGCACCTATATGTCGGGAACAATGCAGGCACGCACAAATGAGCGGCGGTGTGCGGAAACAAGTACAGACAAACGTGCAGAGGCAAGTACAAACAAGTAGTACGGACAAGCAGCGACAGTTGCAGACAAACGCAAATACCATATGCACGGAGATTACATCAGTAAAATTACGAAGTCCTTTTTTTTTTTTTTAGCTTGGAGCCGCTTAATTAGCCTTGAACTTTGAAGTGAAATTCAAAAGTCGATATTTCATCAAGACACGGCAAGTGTCCCAAGACAGTAAAGAGGCTTAAGGAGGAAAATCGGATTCAAGTCATTAAAAGTGCTACCAATATGTGCTTTACAGTGAGACTCAAAGACAATGATCATGATGCGATTTCAAACGCATGATGGTCGATTTGTTCCATCACTGTCATTCTTACTCTCTGGCCATGGGCTACGAGCCACTCGGTCCTGTCTAGTGGAACCAAGAGCGAATTATATCTATATATCCTCTGCAATTCTGATCGCCATGAGATATCGGAAAATACACCTTCAAGGTTGACCTAACATTTTGTATAGCGAATACGTGCATGGGCATTGGGGGAGGCAATCACAGGATGTAATCTGCTTGGTACAAACTCTGATCTATTTGCTACAGAATCCCACTTCAAGTTAAGTAAATTGTACCCTGCAGAGATTTTAGCGAATTCTATAACACGATCGTCTCTATGGTAGGTTTTGCGAAAATCATCGCAGAGTGCGTTGGGGTAATCCGCTGATTCCTGATACGTCAGAAGTATAATCGCATCTACAGCTGTGCCATCCTACTATATGTCCATAGAGATTTCCCGGTGAAGCTACCGACGCCATCATACATCCCCGGGCATATGGTTTTCTTGCTGGATGCTGTAACTATCATTCCATCAGCGCTAGAAAGCATTCTATACGGTATGTATACAACGAATTCGCCCCATGCCCATCAAGTTAATGTTCTTCAGGCTTTCCAGTCCTCATACCATCTGGATATTCAGCATCGGAAATTCATCCGGAACGTCCGTAGGTGAATATAGAAATGTGTTCATATGGAGCCACAGGTGGCTTCTCGCCGCTTGCAAACACTGGGCGGTGGTAGGTTCGATTTTTATCTGCCAGCTTCCAAGCTTCTTAGCTTATCGAAACCCACTAGATCTATCAATGTCACGTCGTTTGGCAATCTGTTGGGGTCATCATCCTACCAAGCATGATGTGGTGCTGTGGTCACACTTGTCTTCAGGGACTTGCGTGCTCTGACATTTCCTCCAAGCGTTCGGTATTTGTACGTACGGTTTGCAATTATCCATCAGTACCACATAGTGCCAACTGTGTACCACTTTCACCAACGAGACTAGACGTTGGTTGCGACGTCAATGTTCCTTGCCTGACACTTGCAACTATTGTTCGGTTCAAGTGAGCACGCTTCTTATCTGCGTAAGACGCTTCATACATACCGTAGGGCCATCCTGGATATATGCAGGACTACCTACTGGTATATCGCATATGGATGATCGAAAGTGTCTCTGCAGTTTGGGCTACGAAGAAAATGTTCATGTTTCAAGAACACATCTTGTCTGGCGAATGCGTGTATGGGGAGGCAGTCACAGGATGTTGTCCGCTTGATAAACGCCGATTCATCTTTCTGAAACTGCACTGCGGAGGTATCCCAAAGTCTTGTGAAAATCTCCGCAGGGTGCATTGCAGGAATTCGCCGATTTCTGATACATGGTAAGTATGGATTGCATCTAGCAGCTGTGTGTTTACTTCCTATATGACAATATATAGATGGAGCTGGCGAAGCTACTAACGCCATCATACACCCCGTTGCTGCGGTAGCTTCTCGCCGTTGTATCCGATTTGCACACGTTATTCTTGACCCATTCGCAACGCCAGAAATGTATGGCGGATCTATTTCTGGACTCTGGAGGTCAGACGATCAATGCCCTCAGACGTCATCGATTATAACAAAGGTCGCACGCCAGCTACATATTAAAGGGTAGGTACGACTAAATTATCATCCCCTCGCACGATCACGAAGATGTCTCCCACACTCGCCTCTGCCCCTGGTAGCTGCTGTTTCGGTGGTGTCAAACACGCAGGCACCCCCGTCGGCCGGATCGAGGACCTCGGCGGGCTGCAAACATACATATCCGAACCTCCTACTTTCAAGTTAGCCACAACACAGAAAGTGATACTCTACCTTGCAGACGTCTGGGGACCGCTTTACTTGAACAACCAGTTGATTCAAGATTATTTCGCGTCCTGTGGTGCGTCCCATTTTGTCTGATCGTAAATCGTGGAACGGAAGTGAGATGAATGGAGCGATTTAGGCTATATCGTCCTTGGGCCTGATTACTTCTTTGGCAATGCCATATCGAACCACCCGCCGGGCTTTGATCGCCCGACGTGGATTGTGAATGCACGGAAAGCAGCCTTCGATGCATTTCCCGCTTGGCTAGACGCTGTGAAAGCGAAATATGGTACGTCCTTGCTCGAGCGTCTCAAAATCGTCGAGATATACCCATGTTATGTAGGGAGTGATACTAAGTACTGCACTGTCGGTACGTCAATATACAAGCGACGTCAAAAGAAAACTAACCCCGGGTCTTCGTCAGGGTACTGCTTCGGAGCACCGTTTGTCATGGACTTGTGCTCTAACGGGTCTGTAGTTGCTGGTAAGTGGTTTGACCGCCTCTCAAAGAATGGTATCCACGCGATGGCTGTATATAGGGGCTCTCGCTCACCCCGCATTCCTTGAGGAAAGACACTTTGAGAAACTTGCCGGTACGTTTTCTACTGCTCACCAACTCTATCATTCTGCTGTTAAACATTAACACTACAGGACCTCTTATTCTCTCCTGCGCAGGTAAACAACAATTCCTTCCTTCAGATGCTTGTGGTCGCACTTGATCTCATTCTCATATGTAGAGGAGGACCATACCTTCCCCCACGCCTCTCGTAGACGCGCAGAAGACATCATGGTCGCTCGCAAATGCACGTATTATTTCCAGGTGTTTTCGGGCGTCAAGCATGGGTTTGCTGTTAAAGGTGATCCAGACGTTGAGATGGAGCGTGAGTGGCCCTATCTAATTCCTTAAATATCGATGTCGACAGGGTACTAATTGTTTGATGCAGGGTGGGCGAAGGAGGAGAGCGCTAGGGGAATTGTTGGGTGGTTCGATCGCTTTACGGTCTAGGTTTGCTATGACGAGACTCTGCGGTTCTTCGGTGTTGATCGATGAAGCAGAATTTGGCTGAATTGTTGTGATTGTACATGTAATATTGAAATGAAGTGCGCCTCCAGACCATCAAGCAATGTCTTTAGTTTTCCAGGTGAACTGGTAGTGTCCCCTAGACAGACCATCGACGAATCAGGAGCCCGAAATTGTAGTTTTCGGGGGCGTTTTCAACCAGCTATGATCGTCGACGCGCTCGAGTATGCCTAGGGGACCATACACAGCCATGCACTCAGTGTCTCTCGGCCCTTTCCATAGCCTATTAGTCAGCACGTAGATTGAACATTGCGACGATTACGTGTTGCTTGCAACATCCATTCTTGCTCGCTACGTCTGATTCTGGGCTACAAGCCACTCAACCATGTCTAGTTTGACAAAGAGCGAATCGTAGGTATGATCTGTTGTAGAGCAAACCAAAAGTTGCAGATGCATACCTAAGCATCATGCATGGAATGGAGGCAGGATGTTATCTGCTGATCTATCTTTCTGGAATTGCAGCCTGCGCAGGTGTTCCGAGGCCCAAAATCTTGCGAAAATCTCCACAGGGTGCATTGCAAACGATTCGCCGGCTTCTGATATATGATAAGTATGGACCACATCTACAGCTGAGCTATGCTACTTACTATATGAAATATATGTTAATGGACTCGGAGCTGGCGAAGCTATTGGCGCATCATACATCCCCAGACTAAATCATTTTCCCGACTCTGAGTCAACACGAGGAATCTATTATCATATCACTGGTGCTCGAACGCACTATACAGTGAATCACGACAAGCTCGCTCGTCCCATGCCCTACCCACCAACCTAGTGTTCTTCACCTTTTCCAGTCCTCGTGTTGGTATAGTAGGAACTATCTGGATATTCATCCCAAATATTATGTGCCGAATGTTCGTACGGAGCCGCATAGCTTCTCGCAGCTTGTATCCGATGTCGCACCCAAGAACATGGTCGTTCGTATCGAAAATGGACTTTGAAGTTTGGTGACACGCTCCCAGGCTCTCTTCGCAGACGTTTCCGGCCAAGAATGCGATAATAACTGCTTGGCGATGGAGTGGTTGTGGGTTAGATTTTTATCTGCCAACTCGATCTCTTAGCTTATCGAAACCCACTAGATCTATCGATGGCAATCTGTCTGGGTTCTCATCCTAATGCATGATGTAGGTGCGGTAGGTCGCGATCATGCTTAGAAGTTGCGTGCTCTGACGTTTTATCGAAGCGTTTGATATTTGTTTATATGTTCTACCGTTATCCGCCAGTGCCGACCATTTCCAATAGCAGAAATGTCTTCACGGACTAGATTGGACAGCGACGTTCCTTTCCTTGATACTTGTTTAGTTTGGTAAGTGCGCTTCTGATCTGCCCCGTACCAACCTGAATATATGTAGGTTTATCTATTGCCAACATGTCGCATGAAAAATGTTTATGCAAATCGCGCTGGCGAAGCTACTGACGCTATCATACATCCCCAGACCAAATCATTTCCCGCGGCCTCCCACTCCGAGTCAACAAGAAGCCTGCCGCATGCCATTATTTCATCGGTGCTCGAAAGCATTCTATACGGTATATCTCACAACGAGTTCGCCCGTCCCATGCCTTACCCACCTCTTCAGCCTTTCCAGTCCTGATATTTATACATATCCTGATATTTGTATGTGTCTTGATACTTCAACGTATCCAGGTATTTATACATAGGGTACCATCTCGATATTCTCTTACGGGAATTGGAATTCGCGCATGCGGAACGTTTGTAGGTCCGTGAATACAGATATGTTCGTCAGGATCCGCGGGCAGCTTCTCCGATCTTGCAGCTGGCATCTGATGTCGTCTCCCAAGTGCATTAATAACAACAACAACAGCCGTAAGCATCCGAGTCGTTCGTCAAAGATACCCACAATACAAATGTTTTCCGAAAAATGTGTGGTCAAGAATGCGATATCGACCCTCGCAACTTGAAACTGCGCTTGGCGAAGGGGTGGTAAATTTGATTGTTATCTGCCAGCTAGACTTCTTAGCTTTATGCTTATCGAAACCTTTGAAATGCACTAGATTTATCAATGTCAAGTCATTTAGCAATCTGATCTGTCGGGGTGATCATCCTAACTTACCATGCATGGTACCGGTGTGGTTCGGTAGTTCAATGCTGAAGCGTTTGGTTTGCCGGTTCTTCACCGAGAAGACCAGATATGCATTTGGTCAACGTTCCTTGCCTGACACTTGCAACTATTGTTCAGGTAAGCACGCTTCTGCCCATACCAACTTGAGTACGTGCTTCTACCTACTGGAACATCGCACCTGGAACATACAATGCAAAGAAAAGCGGGCGTTTGTGGGGATTTGGTCAACGCTCATTATCGATCAGTGTCGAGGGACTCATTACCAGTGAAAAGTATAACCGGATGACTTCATTCGAATAACTTCGCTCATCGGGCGATACGAGAATAGTTGTTGATTGATTGTGTATGTAAAGACTGGAAGCTGCACGTACGCGTACGAAGCATAGCAAGAATGAATGAGAACGAGACTGTAGTATGTAAGTACGTCGGCACCAGGCGGCGGCACGATTAGAGCCATCGGGGTAAGTAGGAAAGCGAGAGCGTGGAGTGGTAGGCATATGCTAGCAAATCAACGAAAATAGTTGGTTGGATTGGGGAGAAGAAAGAGAAAAACAGTCAGTCCGTCCGTCAGTCCGTCGTCCCTCACCCAGACTCCCTCGGTGACGAATCGTGCGAAGAGTCAGCGTTCATAGTCAGCTTGGACCGCGCCAAGATGTCAGCTGCGAGTTCGGAGCCGTATTGTTCTGCCAATTGACTACCACGCACATCAACACCAAATAAAACATAAATACAGAGAGAGAAACGCACTTGGCATAATTATCCATAATAACAGCCATACTCTCCGTACTCAACCTATAAGCCTTTGGCATCATGCCTTTTCCAAAGCGATAAGTCACGTGGTTAGAACACAAGAGACCTGTGAGCATGATTACGAGTTGGAGGGGGACGAGGGCGAAAGCGATGGTGTACCAGATTGTCAAGGCGTGTTTCTCAAAGTTGACATATGCTTCTTTGCACCCCGGGAGGACGGAGCGGGCGTAGCATGTTTGAGAAATTGTAGCTTCGACGAATGGGGAGTAATACCCGCAGCAATGGAGTTTGTTCTGGATGCGCAGACGGCCTTCTGCGCCGAGGACACGAGACCATTGAGCGTTGAGTTTGCCTTCGAGGTTAAAGGTGCGTTGTTTGTAGGTGATGTATCCTGGTGTTACGAGGAGTGCGAAGCAGAGCCAGAGAGCGAATGTGTAGAGAGCAAGGAAGGAGCGGTTGTTAAGGAGGATACCTGCCCATCCGATGATGCTTGTGACTGCTGCGAGGGCTGAGGCAGCTGTGCTGAATATGAGTTCCGTGCGGTTTCCTACGCGGATGATATCAGCGTGTTCGAATACATCGAACCAGGTTAGGAGACAGAATATGAGGCCTGTTAGGGCGTATGCGCTTAACTGCGGGTGTGTTATTATTAGAACTGGGATATGAAAATGAGATTTACGCAGAGATTGGTGATTAGGAGAGCCCATTTGAATCTGTTCCAATGCATGCGGGGACGGGTGTGACCGCCTTCTTTGCCACCGAACCAACGACCGGTGACGCCGTCGTAGTCTTCGTCGCCTTCTGCGGGCATACGGGATTCACCGCTCTTGAAGGCCTCCCTACCGCCGCCTCTCTTTGGCATGGCGAGATGGTCAACATTTTCTTTTCTGGGTTTGCGTTTGCGTGGGGTAGGAGAGAGCAAGCCAGAAGAGAACTTGGAAGGGAGGTAGTTGACGCTGAGGGAGAGTGTGGGGGTGTCTGCGCGAGGAGATGGGGGGGCTGAAGGGGGCTCGTCTAAGGCGAACTTTGGTGGGGATGGGGGTTCGAGGGGAAGCTGCATTTTTGCAAGGATGGGCCTGGTGGAAGGTGCGAGTGAGTAGGCTGATTGTGCGTGAGATGTGAGTGAGGATGGACGACGGACGTGGTCGTGGCTGGGGAAGCGATTAGTTATATTAGGATTGTATTCTATGTAGTAGGAGGAAGAAAGAAAGATGGGAAGAAGATGAAAACACGACTTACCCACTAGTATAATAGTCCGACATCGCCAAGCGTCTTAGTAGTTAGTACTCGGTTAAAAGTCACAGTTAGGTTAACACGTTGTTTCCTTTTCGTGAGGATGACCCTGCAGCTGGATTTACGTACGTACTTCCAACGCACGCAGAGCAACCATTGAATTACACCTTACAATATCATCCTCGAACTGACAATCAGCCTCATCCGAACAAGACACAACATTCACAAACAAATCATTTATGCGCGACACGTCACATTTCATTAAACGCGTGACAGGCGCGTCACTCTCCTCTACCATGTACGACACTCGCCCCACAAAACGTCAGCGTACACTATCAGTCTCGCCCTCGCCCGCCCCACTAAGATCATCTTCACTTACACCGCTTCTAGAGTCTCCAAAACGGACCCCAGAACTCCGCCAGCTTCCTCCAGCAATCCTACTCCTCGCGCTTCCAGGGCTTCTGGCACATCCCCCGACGCATCCTGACTTTGGTTTTTCGCTATTTCTTTCTCTACGCGCACTAAGGCAATGCTTAGCTCTTCCTGCGCTCGCACCTGATCTGGAATGTCGAGCATGGACAAGTTTGGCCGAAGTCGGAATGAGAGTCATGGAGAGTGGCTTTTGCGCCGAGGATAGCGGATGTGACTGGGCAGTAGGTATTTATTCCGAGGTGCGCTAGATTGCTTTTTTGTGGCTTGTGCTGCTAATGAGTTTTGTGCAAAGGTCGAGAAAGCACTCAGTAAGAGCCTTCTCATTGCCCAAAAAGTGCGTCTCTCTTTATTTCTGACATAATACTTGACCCTATAATCGCTATTCAGCACCCTTCACTTCGTCCGCTTCGCCACCATCTTACTCTGTTGCATGCACACTTTGCATTCACCTTCCCGTCCTCGTCAACATCCCCGAAGTTCGCACGTGCAATCCTCAGACGCCTCGTCGCGTCATTCGTACTCTCAGATCCCCCAGGCACCGTATATGCTGCACACTTGGCCTTAATTACACAAATGACCACTCCACTTCCCTCGTCTACCCCTGGTGCCAATCTCAGTCCTGCACCACCCCTAGGTGCCCCCGCCCTCCAAGCAACACTTACCGCCATAGACACTCTAATAACCCTCGCACGCAAGAACCACCACCCCCGAATCACTGCACTCGCTCACGTTATTAAGTTGCGCGTTCTACTTCGTGCAGGTGCATGGACGCAAGTCGGGGCTGCTCTGGATACCGCAGAGGCCGTACTTGGCCTGACGTTTGACAAGGACAGGAAGGAAAATAACGAGAAGATGGACGGGAATACCACAGATGCAAAACCAGTCAATGATGCAATTCCGCGTTGGAATTCCATAACGGCTCACGACGTCAACGCTCTCTCCCGCGAATATTCACAAGTGCACATCACCTCCAACGGGTCTAATGTAGAACCCACCCAGGAGGAGGAAAGCACGCAATCAGACCCCGCTCATTCTTCTCTCGTCATTCATACCCTCCTCTTCGGCACCATTTTCTTCACTTTCTCAGGTAATATTCGCGCAGCTGAGCAGAGACTCGTCGCACTTCATGCCATCGTCGATAGCGGAGCACTCGATGGATTCAAGGATGGCATTGTCCAGGTACGCTTTCCGTTTTTCCCTCCTACTCCCCCTCTCGTCTTTTTTGTGTCCCATTTATGACTTTTGAGAGTAAGACTTTATGCAAGAGCATACAATCTAGTCTTGTGATCATTTGTTCCGCTACTCCTTGTCTTTGGTCCTCACCCCGTGCTAATCATTCTACTCCACCAGATCCCTCTTCCACCGCACCCCCCTCTGGCCGTTCACACCACCCACCCACTCATACTTCTCCCGCTCACATTCCTCGTAAGCGCCACCGCGAAACGGGACCCAGTGGGCAGAAGCCCAAAGAGAAGACTATGGGCTGAAGCGGGAATTAACATCGTCAACGGAGCAGGCGATGACATTGAACGTACGTTTTGTTGTCTGTTTCCAACATCTTTTGCGTGACATTGCATTTATGCCGATGCTAACATATATCTCCAGTACCCCTCTGGGCTTCACTCGCAGACAGAGACGAAATTATACAGCGCACTGTAAGACTCAGAGCCGATCTCCTATGCGAACTCGTCGCCGTAAGTATCAACTTCTCCCTTCAATTCCTTCATATCTTATTCTTCGTATCTCGTATCTAATCTCCCATCAACAGATCTCGATCCAACGCTCCGAATTCGACGCGGCAGAAACGCACCTAAACGCGCTCCTCTCACTAACCCACACGCACGACCTCTTCCACAACTACAGCGCACGCATAACTCTCCACGCTGCACACCTTGCGCATGCACTTGGAGATAGCGAACGTGCGAGCGTGTGTTATCGCGTCGCTAGAGCCGTGGATGACGAACTTAATGCTGGGGTTGGGTATGTTGGTGCTGCTGCGTGTGCTGGGGAGGCATTGTTACGCATTGGAATGTGTGCCCAGGAACAGACTCAGGTGCAGGGTGGGAGCGCAGATTCGAACATTGTCACTCTAAACCAAGACGCAAACGGCGAAAAGATTGACTGGTTGGACGAGGAGACTCACGCACTAGCTAAGTCTGCCATCCAGCGATGTCATGGGATGGGAGGGACACTCGAAGCAGTTGGAAAAGTGGTACAGGCAGCTGTTGCGGGTGCGAGGGGGGAGATCGTCGGTGCCAAGTACGTTTCCTCTCTTTCTTTTTGCTTCCTTTCGCAACTTAAAAAATGTACCGAGCTCATACTCACGAACCTTTCTCTCACCTACAGATCTCACCTAAAATCAGCCCTTTCTCTCTCGACCTTGGCAGGTGAGAACCATCTCCGCGCCCTCCTCCTTGCACAAGTAGGAGCGCAGTATTTACACACGGCGCCTGCGCACGCTATGGAGACTTTGGCTGTTTGTGAGACGCTTGGTGCTGGGATGGGTGCAGGTGTGAAGGTGAAGGATGGAGTTACAAGTAAAGGAAAGGAGAAGGAGACGGGCAAGCACGACGCAATAGGAAACGCCCCTCTCCGTCTCTGGGTCGGCGAACGATTCCTTGGTTCGTTCTTTTCCCCTCTTCCCCTTTCCAATAGTCTTATGCTGACGAACGCTGCAGAGATATTCAAACGCGCGGATAAACCGCACCGAGTGGCGAAGCAGGAGACTTATAATGTGATATATCGTGATGCGGTGGAGGGGATGGTTGGGAGGGCTAGGTGGCCCGCTACCTGTGGGGGGGAATCTGATCAGGGGAACTTTGTCGAGGGGGAAGACATCAACATGCAGAACGCAGATCCGGATCCGGATGTTGAGATGTAGGTGTCTGCACCTCTTTGTCGTTCGTTTGAGGTGATGGGTAATCTATCGGACACTGTAGTTGATGGACTGACTGGACTGACCTTGCTAAAACCTAGAAACACTTATTGATACTCTCACGCGCACTTGCGCACTTAAAGCGTTCGTACTTACGCACTCATTGTAGCATACCACCGAATATTAGATAGCCAGCGCTAGAATAACGAAGAATGGCCTGATGAAGTGAGGCTCCGAGATACTTTAATCCAGGACAGAGTTGGATGTTAGTATCCTGGAAAACGACTATCTCGGCGTCAAAGATTTACCATCCTGGCTAATGGCATATGGACGTTGAGTTGTGTCAAGGGTGACCAGCGAGTCTCTGATAGAGTACTGGATTCAGTCCCATCAGCCGAATATTAACCAACGCTAGAACAACATCGAAGAAGAGACTACTGCTCGTGGACATGTGGTATTGAAGGGATTCTGATTAGAGGTATCGGAGAGGATAGGACTTTGATCAAAGGCAGGAATCAGCTGCGTGATACGTGCATGAAATGTAGCGATAGAGAGTCCCGTCCGACGAGAACGAGACGGACTGCACTTCATCTGTATGCCCATTGATCACGCTCTGAACCCCCGTCCAGTTCACATGACGTCCAGATGCTAGGCGAAGAGAATTCCGAAAATGTGTGGCAAATCTTGTGGCTATCGTGGAATTGATGGGCGCGTGCTGAGCATTTGTCCCATCACGGAACGAAACACTACTAACGCCTCTTCGTAGTCGTCGTCATCCTGATACTGATACTTGTCGATGATTTCTCTCAAATGAGCCGATACATATTCAACAGCAAGTTTTTCCGCTTCCCAGCACCGCTGTTTACGACAGCATTGAAGCGAGATATTTGGTTAATGTTTGGGAGGTTTCTCTTGATGTATTCGCAGGCAAGACGTGCCCACTTGAAAAGTCCCTCAGCTTTCGCAGCGAGGATTGCAAACTCTCTATCCCCCAAAACTGAACGCCCTTTCAGTTCGTAAGATACAAAAGTGCGGATCTTACGCTCCGCGACTTCTTGTGGTATTTCGTCCATGGACAACTATCAAACATGTGGAGCACCGTGAAACTCCTGATCAATATCGTGAAGGGGGCGAGAGCTAACAAGAATCCGGAAGTTGGATGAGAGTTCGGTGATTTGGGGAAAACCATGCTGCTCAAGTTTACCAGCAAGGATGCGCAGAAGGTTACGCCGCGTCTAAGGTTTCCCGCTCTCGTCCAGCGCTTCAATGACAATCAAGACAGGTCCCACACTTGACCCCGAGTGCGTTCCTAGTGGCTCCATGAGCAAAAAGATTGAGAATGTGCGAATCACAAAAGCTCACGACTCATAGAAGCTCTTGATCTTGGAGTAATCCCTGATGAAACGGGCACACTCCACAGTTTGCTGAACGATCTGTCCAATAATATCGCGCATAGATTCAATCTGGTCTAGATTGACGTCTTGTTTCATAAAGCGATAAACGTGTTTCAACTTGTCGAAAAGATCCTTCAGCGCTTGGTAACGGTATGCTCACCTTCAGCCACCGGGCAATCAGCGGAAGCGCTGCAACTGCGCCGCTGAGTCTATTGAGAAGGCCGAGGGCTTCGACCCAGAAGAGCAGACGGTCGTGGCCGAATAATGATCTGATTTCATCTGCGAGCTTCTCGTCGAAGGCTGTGGCTCGGACGTGCGTAGCCCAAAATTGACACGAATAAGACAGATGCGGGGGGATGCACGTCGCAATTCGGTCTCGCAGCCCGGTGTCTTCGGAATTGGGGAAGTATGAAGACTTCAAATCACAGATGTTGAAGCGAAGGTCATGTTCCAGCACTCAAAGTGACGCAAAAGCAAGGTCACGTTGAGGTACCTTTGATATCTCGATGGCAAAATCGCCGCTGGATGATTCATCTCTCAGGAATTCGCGGAAAGGTGCATGAAGGGGTCGGATGGGGGTATGTGAGTTGGTGGTGCCGCTGAGGAGGGATCCCATGCGATTTATCACAACCTCTACTTCGTAATATTGGTCGTAGTCCTCCGGAAAATGCCGCCGCATAGCATTCAGTGAAGCTAACGGGAGAGCTTCGGCTGTGCCAAGTATTTGTCCCATCACGGAACGAAACCTCGCCACTGCTATCGGATTCCTGAGTTTTGTAGACTCATCCATTGGCATGATTTCTTCCAAAATGAGCCGATATATATCATATAACAAGTTCTTCCGCTCCCCTGGATTGCGGTTCATGATAGTATTGAAACAATCCCTTGGGAATAATCCGGCATCGGGTTCCTTGACGTATGCGCATGCAAGACGCACCCACTCGAACAGTACTTTGGCCTTCGTAGCGAGCATTGCAAAGTCTCCATTCTGAAAATCCGACAACCCCTCCAGCTCGTCAGATACATAGGCGCAGATGTCGCGCTCCGCGACTTCTGGTGGAATATCGTCCATGGACAACCGTAGAATATGCTGAGCACCTTCAAACCCTTTGTTGATATCGTCAAGCGGACGAGAGGTGACGAGAATCCGGAAGTTGGCTGGGAGTTCGGTGATTTGAGGAAGACCTCGCTGCTGAAGTTTCCCAGCGAGTATGCGCAAAAGGTTACGCCGTGTCCCGGGTCCGCCACTCTCGTCCAGAGCTTCGATTACAATCAAGACAGGTCCCACACTCGACCCAGAGTGCTTCCGTAGTGGTTCCATGAGCAGTTTCTCCCACTGCTGGAGGATATCCTTCGTGTTCTTCAGTGAGGTGGCATTTTGAATCGCATTCGCCAATGCTCGTTTCATCTCGGGCTCGCGATTGTAGAGAAAACTTTCTCGTGACGTTTGTCAGCTTCGGGGTGCTTGTCGAAGCAGAAACATGAACCGAGCCCTCCCATGTCGTTATACCACTTTGCAATCGTGTGAGCGATGGCCGATTTGCCTGTGCCTGCAGTTCCAGACAACCACAGCACACGCTGAGCATCACCTCCAATGTTGTGGATCCAGTCAGTGATCTGGGAGAGAATCTCTGTACGCGTCCCTGGTAGACATTGTTTTGTGGTATCTAGTCCCGCACTCGCCACATAAGACATATCGCTGAGATCCACTGTCTCGCCCAGATTGACTAGCGTTTCACTCAAAGTAACAAGAGTTTTATCTGAAGGGCTATGAATGGACGCAAAGTGAGAAGCACGTCCAAATCCTTACCCGTACGTTGGACGGAGATGGCTACGTCCCGAAGAGCTCGATCCCGAAATTGTTTCATCAGCTCGTCCAAAGCGTTGTTGTACCGCGTAACCATATCATCCGTTTCCGAGACAACGTTTTTCGCGAGTCTCATCCCTATGATACAGTACGACGATTGAGAATGGGTGAAGAACGATAACTCAACGACTCACAATAGCTCGTGATCTTGGTGTAATCCCTGATGAAACGGGCACACTCAAGAGTCTGTTGAACGATATCGTGCATCGATTCAATCTTGCCAAGAGCGTCGTCGTGTGTCATGAAATGGTAAACTTCATCCAATTTCTTGAGAAGCCGATGTGCCGATTGGTCGCGCTCTGCTTGGGCGAGAATAATCTACATGGAATCATAAATTCCGAACAGGAGACAGAACTCAGGGCGAAACCGAACGTAGTTTTGATGTAGCAGACAGCACACCCAGTGCCATCTTTGCGTATGGATGCACCTATGCAGCTTGATTAGTTCGCTTCTGATGAACAAGAGCGGTCCATACATTCCCGATCTTCTCGATGGCCGTGTCGAAAATTTTGAGTGGTTGGAATGCGTGGTCTGGAAACTGTCTGCGGCATCGAGATCCGCCGGACCACTTTCGGCTGCGGATGCCGCAGATGTGGCATGTTTCCCGAGTGAATTCATGCCTTCCACACCCTCATGGGCATCCCGAAGTGCAGCGTCAGCTGATTTGGGACCAGTACCTTCCTGCACGGCAGAAGGGACAGCCTGAACCTGTGCGACCACCAAATTTAGACAAGAAAAGTATATTATTGGACGCAAGTACCTTTGAAGCAGGTTCTCCGGATAGGCCTTGATTTGCGCAGGCACTGGGATTTTCAGACGTGATGGGATGCTTATTATCAGATGGATGCAGATGCGAAGGATCCTTGGCATACTGAGTCAGATAAGTCAGAGACTACTACAACATCTTGAGCACTTACTCCGATATTCTGATCTGATGGGGCGCCTTCATGGTCAACGTTCAGGGTAACAGCCTCAGGAACGCGACTGCGGGAACGCTCGAAGGTTTTCTGCACGACATCAGACTTATTCCAGGAAGGTTCACGTCAACATACATAAATATTTTTAGTCACGCTCTTCGTAAATTTCCCCAGGGCCAGACAGACTCGGCCACGGGGTCGGCTCTGGATGAAGAATGCGTCAGAGGCAACAATGATTTTCATGAGCGTTGATCCAAAGCAATCTCATGAGGCCATGCACCGATCTTTCACCAGCGGCTCCTTCGCTGGGTCTGGGGCCCCTCGGTAAGGATCTACGCTATGATCTCTGCTCATTACAAGTGGTCGAAGATTGAATCAGTGTGAGGGAAGTGAGGTGCAAGACTTGAAGTACTGTGGGAAGGGACTGTGCCTCTCAGCATCGAATACCCTTGACCACAACTTCGAGGCATGACCAACACGTTGGCTTCTGAGGTGCTAATCATATCGACCAGTTGGAATTCCGGGAAGCCGCGGCCCACGGCAAGAACACTCGAGAATATCACATAAAGTAAAATGGGTTGAAGCAGGGTATCACTTGAGAGCTCGGGTTCGAATCCGAAATGAATTGATCATGATTTCCCCGGCATGCGGTACTGTCTAGCTCAGATTGGATAGTCGTGTGATAGCATGTGGAAGAAGGTCGATCTCATGATTCCTCTTGTGCCGTTTGCTATGGGCGAACCGATCAGTGCGAACCTTGAAGGTTAAGCACTGCTCCCTGAAGCTTGAAGCGTCGACGTCGGTCCTTGAGAGTCATTGAAAGTGGTGGGGTAACGTGTCGCATAATGCATTGGGGATAAGTATCAGCTTTGAAAGCGAAAACAGATACATACAGGAAAGTCAGAATGACTGTGCTCAACCAGCCTAACATACACGTACGGGTTCGAGCATGAACGGTGAGGCACCCGGAATTCTACCACGCATACTGCAACTTCCGATGTTATCCATCACAATATTCATGTGATTCTATCCTCAAGTTCATCTTTCCCCTTCACAGTACATATATGTTTCTCTCCAGGAGCAAGTCATATCGCAAAACCCTGAAGAATCCATTCACAAGCTCCCGGCTCATGCTCATTGATCTATGACCATTTAGTCCTCAGCGGGCATTTATTTTTCGATGCCAGAGATCACTATGCAAGATCAAACTGTTGAATGACGCATGGGCTTGTGATGTAGTTCCAACATTATCATCCCAGTCGCCATCCATCGGAACTAGCTATCACCCTTGTGATACAAGTAATGCGAAGCTGAGTTGTGGATGGTACTGGCGTTGCAGCAAATATTAAGCATCTCCCCCTCAGCTGATGTCCAGTCGCGTCAAGAAAAGGAAAAGGTGTATCGGCTGGGAGGTACTATGTAGACTCTTGGTGTGATTGTGTTTTCATATCGCTCATGCATTCGCGTGTTTTTCTTTAATTATAGAGAAGCTTGAGCACCCTGTTGCGGTGCGATGTCAGGGTACCACTCGCAGGTCGGGTGTAGGTGATACCACTAATATCAATGGTGTTAATTAACTTTCCAAGATCAAACCGTTGAATGAGGAATGGGGATGGTGTGGAGACGCCCGTCACATGATCTAGTACCAACGCAGAAAACCCCTAACTTAGTTCAACGATTTATCAGTACCAGCGTTGCAACAAACATTCACCCCTCTCGAAAAGTGCAAGCTCCACTACACAGTATCAGTCACTACAACAATTCCACAACCGTAACTCCATGTCCAATGCTCTATCGTTCTATATCGACGGCTTGCTATCTTTCTGAGCTAACATTCCCACCCATCAAAAAAACATCAATCTACATCAACCCAAACGCAATGAAAAACACTCACACATTGTAATCCGATCACCCAACGACAAAGCAATACCCTGCGTTTTACTCCGAATACGAACGTGGCCTACAATCCCAGCGTCCGTTTTCTCGATACTGAGATTGGCTAGAGCATCTTCGCCTGTCCCCATGAAAAAAATGAGACATGTTGACACCAAGATACACAGGAAGAAACGCACCGAATAGACTGCGAGCATACATATTCGCAGATAAGAAATCGCAATCACCCGACATGGCTCCTTCGGGTGTGAGACAAGACATGTTGGTTGATTTCATGACGTGCTTTAGGTAGTCGCGAGGGTCGCTACGCATGCATTAGCAAGAAAGTCGATATGACAGCTAGAAGACATACGACATATTCGTCGACACGTTTACCCTGTTCTCCCACTCAAACTCTGTCCACATGCTTCGGAACTTGAGAGGAGTCAGTGAATATCTAGATGCGCAGCGGGAAGCAAAATAAAGACGTACCTGTGTTTCACTACAGTACGCAGGCTTGATATAATCCATGATATCGATATGAATATCGTTCAAGATAACACAACATTCAGCGAGGGCAGGGCCTTCCCATAAGATACTACCAAATATGACGCCCGTCTCTGTTGACGAAACCTACGACAATCATCAACATGCGAGTAGGAGAGAATTTTGTGTCGCTACCTTGATTGTAGCTTTGATACTCTGGAAACCGTGAGGCGCTATAGTATATACAGCAGGTCGTTCGACCAGCTTGAGGTCTCCGAGCGTTGCAAAGTCAAGACAGAGATTCTGCAGCGTATTAGCCGTCTGGTTGACCAGAAGCACATCTAGATACCGTCGATCACGTGTCATTGATAAAATAGCGCATACAAGAGAGCGACGCACCAAGTAAAATGTCGAATCCGTGCATCTTGACGTATGCTTCCGCATATATGGGGTCCGAGAAACCTACAAGTCATGAGCACTGGAGGTCGAGATGCCCATAGCACGAGAAAACGTACCTGTGAGCTGGGATATACGACTGAGATTGGATATAAAGTCTTCCCGGACTTCAGCAGCTCCCGTTGCCTTGCCCAAGTCCTCAACGTACTACAGAAAAAACATGAGCAACGCTGAAACAACCAATAAAACAAAGCTCACATCAATAGGATCATCCGCCGATTTTTTCGAGAATTGCCGGAAAGTAAGCAAGTCGTCCACTTGCACGACACTTTCCTGTGTGCTTTCGGACTCTTTCTTCTCCGCTGCCTTTTTCTGTCCGATCCATCAATAAGATCAATCGACTTAAGTAGACAAAGTACGCACCTCTTGAGCAACAAGCATCTTGGAGTATGCCGCTTTCGTGTCCTTTAAGAAAATGTCGTGGACGATGGGTTTGTCTTGGAGCTCGCTGAGGGTTTGTATGCAGTTCAGGATACGCTCGTTGGAATCCTCGTCGATTGGTACCGTAACGAACTTGGACTGGCCAACTCGGATAATGGACGTCATAATCAACATGGACTGAGTGCGTGTCAGTGAATACTACAGAAACAGAAACGAGTCAGTAGTGCGCACCTCAGCGCGGATAGCATTGGCCTTTGGACGATCGTCGGCAATGTCCTCGAACCGCAGCACAAGCTTCGTCAACGTCGAAGCGAGCACCGCACCCGTGAAGAAGTCGCCTCCCAATAAGAGTGCTGAAACCACATCATTACGACCTTCAAACGCAATGGACGCGCACGCCACACACCTCGTAATGGCGGCTTGGACGCAGCCTTGACAGCTTCCAATCTCGCCGAACCTGCGCTCGTGTACGCCGTCTCCGTGGCATACGTCCCATCAGCAAGCACCTTTGGCCTTCCACTCCCCTCGACCTTTTTATCCTCCGTTTTGTCCTCCTCTCCACCAGCGTCATCCAGTAACCGCTGCTCGCTCGCAAGAATCGGGATCTCGCCAAGCACTTTGCGAATCTCCTGGAATGTGAACTCGATGTCCGACAGGCCTTCGACGTACTCGCCGATGATCCAGAGGACGCCGCGGAAGGTCTTACCAGATTTGATCTCTGTGAGTGTTTGGGTAAGCTTCTCGCATATGGACGGTCGGAGGTGTGGGAATTTCTCGACCACTTCGCTGTGAGTGCGTTAGTTAAACAAGATGCGGGGAACGAGGAAGGGAGAAGAACAAACCGAACAAAAGCGACGACGTCTAACGCAGATGGGTTATTCGAGTCTCCAAGGAATTCCATGAGTGCATGGACAACGCTTGCAGCCACTTCTGAAAATTTGACCGCTAAGACGTGGATAGATTGGATGAGGAGTTGCCTGTACTCTGGGGCCTGTCACAGGGTGAGTCCACGATAATAAAGGGGACTGCAAAACCGACCTTTTCAAACTCTCGCTCTTGTGTTTGTTGCAGCTGCTTCTTGAGGAAGAGTACGACTTCCTCGACGTTTCGACTCGAAGTCATGCTGAGCACGATGCTCGTGGCTTTCCTTCGGACCTCCATGTCAGCGCTGATATGATAGGATCAATAATTGTTACAAAAAGTAATAGATCATTGTTCAAACCTCGACAGGACCTGTAAGATGTCCATGATCAATCCATCCAGGATATGCCCGTGCTTTGAGCGCAGCGTGTCCAGGCGATCGAGGACGATCAGCTTGACGTTATTGTCGGATTCTTTGATGACCAGATTAACGAAACACGAAGCGGCCGCTAAAAAGGAAGCTGAGCAGATGTGCGCGCGATACATAATCCTAAACGCACCCTTCACAGCAGCGGGGTTCTGCGTGAGTGTGGTCAGCGTTGTGGCAGCTTCATATTTCACTGCGTGGGATGATGAGTTCAATAATTCAAACATGCATCTGATATAGCGCGGCTGTAAGGTAAGAGGAGTGAGGGGGTAGCAAGACAAATAACCCAGAGCACTCACCCGATGCGTTGTATCATTCTTACAGTCCAACCTGATAACCTCTATGATACTCATCTGCAGCAGCTCATCCAGGCTCGTCAGTTGATCATATACGCTAATCAACCATTCCACAGCCTTAGGCATCGCACATTGTGCGAGAAACACAAACGCGTTACGTTTGCACGTCGCGTCAGACTCTGCGGCGATGAATGTCTGCATGAGTTCAGGGGCATCTGGAATGAGGTGTTCGTATTCGCGGTAGATGGTGTACACAGCGAATACGGCGTTCTTGCGTACGTAGGAATGACGGTGCTCGAGACAGCTGCGGCAGGTAGGAATGAGGGGTTCCAAAAGTTCGGCGTCTTTTGATATTTTTTGCAGGAAACGGAGGGTAGCGCCGCGGATATATTCGTTGGGGTGTTGCTGTAAGAATATGAAGAACAGTACGTCAGAGTGCGGGAGTTGGTCTTACCAGGTCGTTTCGGATGGCGTTTCTGGGGGAAGGTGAGTTATGCGCGGGATGAGAAGAATGAAGACACGTACACAACGAGAATCATTTCTTGCTTGAGTTTGCCGTTCTCATCGTACTTGGGACAGACCTCCCAGTAGAAGTGAAGTAGCTTTTTGAGCTGCTTGTTTCTAGAGGGCATGATATATTGTATAATCGGCATCAAGAGCGTAGGCTAGACCACCATGATCGTATCAGCATCGTGTGCGCTACAGATGCGAACATACCTGAGGGTTCCCATTAATTGTAGACACGATGATCCTGCGCAACGTGTCCAGTCGTTCTTCATCAGAACCTTTCTCCAGAGATGCCCTGAGCTCCTGTGTGGATGGGCTCTCTGTAGTATCTTCGAACACGACTGTGTAGCATGGTGCTTCTGCTGCCATGATGACCTGGGCGACGCGACTGACAGTGAGCTCGATCGTTACTTGGATGCGTACAATATTGATGTTAGGCGACACTGTATAAGGGTGTGGGAAGTACCTTCCAAATGTGTATTGTATGTCTGTTCCCGGTTTCGTCCTCACAACGTTCACTCCGTCTTCCAGTTTGTTGCAACAGCCTTACCAGTACCAGTGAGTTCAAGACAGATACGAGCCCTACTTGAATTAACCTTGTGCTAGATTACACTCATGGCATTCCTCGGTCTTCGCAAGTGGTCCACTCCTGCATGTTCCATTTCTCGTGCTACAAGTCCTCTTCGGCTGACTATTACTAGGTGTTGAGGCCCATGGCACCCTTCCTTGCAGCAAGCGCTGTCACTTTCTACCTCGTCTCAAAGATGCAGGAGATGGGTGTTCGTTGTACGTCTTACGCTTTTCTACTTTGACCTAGCCTGAAAGGGTGTTATAGCGGAGACATACGCCAAGGATCCCAAAAACCCGTACGGTGCTCAAATTGCAAAGGAGGCACATCATTAGAAGGCGTGTTGGCTCGCTACTGGGTATTAGGCGCGTTATATCATTGAGCTAACAGCTCATCTGACCATTTCTTGCAGGCCCTTTTCGCACACTTAGAACCACATATCCTTAATATTGGAAAATGGCTGGCACAAAACACGATGTTGTTGCGGTGAACTGAATGGATTTCCCACGTGAATATCATGCATGACCTACAATGCTCCCTAAGAGAGGCTATCGACGTTTCATCTCGGGACGATGGGCATCGTTCTTTTTACGTTTTTTATGTTTCTGCTGATTGATTTCCGCCAGCATGACTCACGGAGTATGTGTGCTGAGTTTGCACGCTGCGGTGCTCATGAACCGGCTGATGAAACACACATCGATGCAACGTTCTCAGTCAATTCGTGTGTCTCGAATACCAGCCACCTTTACGCCGTTAATAGATAGCAGTTCAGTTGGAGTTTTCTTGACAAGTCAATTTCATCATGCTTCCTTTCCTACTAAATTGTCGCATGATAGACTCTGTATAGACAGGCTGTATCGGACATCAGAATGATCCGTCAGGCCGGTCGTTGTCATTTGAGGAACCAGGGACGGAACTTGTCGGAGGCACAAGGCTGCACACGGTGCATGACAGCACATGCTGTGCTCTTCCGGCGCTTATGGATCTATCGACAGATCTGTTATCAAAGGAATGATGCGCTGTTGAAAAACCATTAATAACCGCACCCATATGGCTTGACCTTTTCTCCCTCCATATCCTGCCCGGTGACCACCATGTCTACTCCTCCGGACTACTACCAAGAGGATAAGGAGAAAGCCCTCGGGTCGGTTGAAGATGAAGTCGTGGACGCCGAGGCAGCACCAGAACGTGTGATCCCAAGTCGTTTCGGTACACTCGGTCCAGTTCTCTCGAAACTCTTTGCTAGCGGTGTCGAGGCCCGTGGAGTAGAGCGCGTGCCAGAAGACCAGAGAGAATCGAAGAATGCATGGAACAAGTGCGTACCGTGTTGTATTCCCTTCGTATGCATGTCCTGAGCACCCTGTAGCCTTCTCATGTGGTGGTCAGTTTGGTTCAACCCTAACTCTTATTTTCGGGTTCCCTTGACCTTTGTGTAGGTCCGTTAACGCGGTGTTGACGACCATTCCTATCGGCGTTCTCGCACAGTCTGCTTTCACTCTGAGTTTTGGGTACGTCATCCAGAAAATATCGCTCCACATCCACTTATCCCTCCAAGTAACGCTGTAGCAACTATCCTCTGCTTCGGAGCTCTCGGAGGCGTCGCAACAGCGTTCATCGCCACCCTCGGCCCCATAACGGGCCTCCGCACAATGATCATCACCCGTTTCAGCTCAGGGTACTTCGGCGGAACCATCTATTCGATCCTCAACATCCTCACCCAGTGCGGGGACTCTCCTTCATCCTCACGTTATCTCGCTGATCACGTTTAGGCTCGGCTTTTCCACAACAGCAGTCATCCTCGGAGGTCAAACGCTCGCCAACATCAACCCTGGCACCCTTCCTCTCGTCGTTGGCATCATTATCATCGGCGTGTGCTGCCTCATTCCGTGCTTTATCGGATATGATATGGTACACGTTTACGAGCGCTATGCATGGATCGTCACCAGTGTCATCATGCTCTTCCTCTGGGGTCTTGGCGGTAAAGCCGGATACGACATTAACGCGCAAAAACCGTTCGAGGATACAGGACGCGCTCTCTCGGCTGATATTCTCAGCTTTGGAGGAATCGTATTCGGCTCGTTCTCAGGGGTGCGTCCGATCATCGTTTCTCTCATATTACATCCAATTCTAAGTAATTCATATACCTCTATCAGTGGGCTCCGGTTGCAGCTGATTATAATTGCCGACTACCGGCTGATACACCGCCCATGCGCGTATTCCTGCTCACGTTTCTTGGCCTCTTCATCCCGATCTGCTTCGTCGAGATCCTTGGCGCAGCTCTCATGACAATCACCGATCCTGCGTATATCGCAGCCTACGCAGACGGCTCTACAGGTGGTCTCATCGCACAAGTTCTTTCACCATGGGGCCACTTTGGCCAATTCATTCTTGTACTACTCGCACTTTCCGTCATGTACGTACGAGTGAATTCCTTCATGTATGTACTCACCCAAGAACAGTGCAAACAACATCCCTAACACCTATTCCACCGGTCTATCCATCCAAGCCCTGGGACGCCCATTCGCCATGGTTCCGCGCTTCTTCTGGGTTTTCCTCGCTTTTGTCATATATACCGTAGCAGGTGTTGCTGGGCGCGAGCATTTCAGCGCCATCCTTTCCAATTTCCTTAGTATTCTGAGTTACTGGACTGCGTTCTTTATCGTTATCGTTGCCGAGGAACACTTTATCTTCAGGCGGAAAAACGGGCCGCTTGGAGGGTATAACTTGGATGATTATGATACACCGTCGAAGTGAGTTCTGCTAGTTTCTTGGTGGTAGAGGGGGTCGTTTGTTGACCTTGCTGCTTTTTTTTCAAGGTTGCCGCTGGGCGTAGCTGGTATACTTGCATGGTGCTTTGGTGTCACAGGTGCTGTCGTCGGGATGTCAGAGGTGCGTCAAAACCTAACTTCGTGTCGTACGCTGACATCAATTTGTTCGGACTTCAGGTATGGTATACTGGTCCGCTTGGGAAGATGGCAGGAGCGACGTACGGTGCTGATCTCGGGTTCGAGGTGTGTTTGATTCTTTGATTCTTTGCGTTGGACAAGTGCTTACCAGATTCATGTATAGCTCGCAGCTGCTTTCTCGGCTGTTACTTACCCTCCGTTGCGTGCGCTTGAGATTAAGCTTACTGGACGATGATATCTGGTGTGTTGATGTGGTGTGGTGCTGGAGTGTCTGTGCGGTTTATGTGTATCCTATTATGCATTATGGGGATGGACCAGTAATTTACTTGTCTGTGTGGAACATTGACCGCTGTAGTAAGTGCTTGACCTTGTTCACGGATGGTTGGCATGATGATAGGCCGATGCTGCGCAGCGCAGTGTCGGATCTGATTGATTATCAGTAGCACGTACGCGTTTCAAGGGCATTCGGCGCGAGTTGCCACATAGGCTGGATGAATTGATGATTTCCCACAGTGTTCAGAACGTCGTCCTCAATCTGTGTTCTTACCTGCCAACGTCAAACGTCAGTGTTTTTCAGGTCCGCGTGTCGGAGCGCCCAGTGAGTAGTGTGGTTCTGGATGTGCTGCGGGAAGTCAGCCACTTAAAAGGCCGTCCCTCGTCTGGTGGCAGGCCCATCCCCATACTCAACGTCTCCTCATCACTACACCTACCAAGCATCATGGAAAATTCCAAAGTCCTCGTCATCGGTGGTTCACGAAATATAGGTTATTATTCTGCCGTCCGGCTCCTAGGTAACAATTAACCCCTTTCCCCTGACGCCCACACATTCTAACATCTAGTGCTAACAGCTCTCGGCGCTACTGTGACGTTTCTCCTGCGCTCACCAGGAGTGTTCGACCAGGACGAAACGATCCAGGACTACGTCAAGAAAGGCAAAGCCCGTCTTGTTCAAGGCGATGCCCTCGTGAAGAGTGATGTCCGCCAGGCATGGTCTGAGGCTCAGGGAAATGACTCAGAGCCCAGACCAGTCGACTTTCTCATCTTCACAGTCGGTGCGTTTCCAGTTCACAAAACCCAAGTCAATATTAATCATGATTTCACTCACTCATGCATACAGGCGGAACGCCCCACTTCTCACTGGCAAAAGGTTTCACAATCAACCCCCCAAACCTCGTCACCCAATCCCTGCTCAACGTCCTCGAAACTCTTCCATCTCCACACCCAAAGATTATAACGATCTCAAGTGCAGGCCTCACGCGCGCGTCACATAAATCCCTCCCCCTCCCACTCAAACCGCTCTATAACTATCTCCTAACCGTGCCGCATAGAGATAAATGCGGTGCGGAGGAAGTTGTTGCCTATGGCACGGGATGGGAATGGGATGCGAGAGATAGCCCGGGCGAAGAGATTATGGGTGCTGATTGGATAAATCGGGTTCCGAGTCCTGGGGAACTGAAGAGTATCGTTGTCGTTCGGCCTGCGTTGTTAACTGATGGGGAATGCCGTGCGGAGGTGAACGGGAAGGGAAGCTTGGCGTTTAGGGCGAAAGAAGGAGATGTAGACTGTGGTTGGACGGTGTCGAGGAGGGATGTGGCGTATTTTGTTGTGGAGGGTGTGGTTAAACATTGGGAGGAGTGGGAGGGGAGACGTGTGAGTATTGCATATTGATGATGTTTTTGAGGATTTTTTTCGTTGCGTTCCCGATATCCAGGTAGGTATATAATATTGATGTACTGCAGGGGAGGCAGTATTGGATCATGAAGAATCAGAAGTGGCGGTGACCCCTACTCAAAAGCGACATTAGCAACAATTGCAGATTCTGATGAGTTTTCAAGGCTCAAGCTCTCCAACGCGTGCAGTCCATTCATCTTGTCGTTGTTGTCCTCTTCCTGAGAGCGCAGACGTAGCACTAAGCACTTACTGCGACGACCTCCTGCGCGTTTTCGTAAAATGGCGACATTCGACGACTCATAAATGGTGGGCAGATTCGAAATCTACGCAACCGAACTGACACTTGGAAAGGCGAGGCGCTCCCTATACGAGAGAATAACAATCCAGCCCTGGGGAAGTATAGGTGTTGTAGAGAGGCAGGGTGAGGGTGTGAGCACGGCGTACGCATCAACATGCAGCGCAGTCTGGCAGCGCGACGATTCGATAAACTTTGACGTACATAGATCTATATGTAGAGCGAAACATCATCAAAGTGACATGGGTGACTTGGATACGGGCGGAGAAGTGGGAGTCATGAGCGTAGGACGTTTGTCCCTTCTAACGATAAATTTTGAAATTTTTTCATGTGAGATATGTCGGGAGCTATCGTATTAGAAGGAACGACCGTTCGGACTATGGAGGACTCAGAACTTCAGAAGTGCCAGCGGCCAAGTACCCAGTAGGTTGATCAAACCATGGTGCATGCACGCATGATGCAAGATAAGTCTGAGCAGCCGCATCTCCTCATTTCCTTCGGCTTCCCGCATTTGCCGGATGATTAGCGCCTACTCAACGTGTGGGTAATGCCTGCGGTCTGAATCAATGGTATTCATCCGTTCAATCCCTTCTCAGAAGGACTCAAGCCTTGCACTTCACTTCGCTCACACTGTATGATACAAATACGATTTGACTACTCGCAATGAGCGAAGAACATAGGTCAGATCCTCCAGAAGCCTCCAAATCCAGCGAAGCAACCGCTGGTAAAAGCTCAGTGCGTGCCCTCGTGTAATCATCTGGTCGGATGAGCACTCATGAACATCTGCCTCTGACGTGTTCTTCATCCAGAGCAAACGCCGTGGCAGAGCCCGTCAGGCCCTGTGGAAATTATCGGACAGGATTTCTGTAGGTCGCAGTGAATGCTGAGCTTTGCTGGAACAAGTTCTGATGCTGTGCAGAATACCTTGAACCGTTCCCGCAGCCGCCTTTCTGTTTCCCAGAACGTCGGTCGTGAAGGTCCTTCATCGGATTACAATGTCAGGGTGAGTGCTGAATACATTGTTACAGTCTCTCACTTATCTGAGGTACCTACGCTAAGGATCCGTTACTTCTTCCTTCTGACAATACCCATCCCACCACGTCTGACAATCCCAGTGTCAGCGTTGATCAAATACCGTCCGCAGAACCTGCTTTGCAGGTGCTTTCGTCCAATGATCTTAGACAATCAATTCCGGTGGTCGCGCAGGTTCAGGCTACCGCTCCTGTCGTGCAGGAAGGTGCTGGTCCCAAATCGGTTGATGATGAACTTAGGGATGCCCGCGATGCTGCGGAAGGCATGAAACTACTCGGGGAGCGTGCGACTTCTGCGGTGTCCACCGCCAACAATGCCCCAGCAGGTCTCGCTGCTGCAGACGATTTTCAGACGACATATCTACAACCCCTCAGGATTTTCGACACTGTTATCGGGAAAATTGCGGATGTAAGAGCCATTTCTGATGATCAAAACGGAACTAATCCTGTTGCATAGGTACATCCATATGCTAAGATGGCTCTTTGTGCGCTATCTTCTGCGTCCAAAGTACGTGTTTTCGCCCTGATTTTTATCTCCTACTCAACAGCTATCGATTATGTACAGATTATTCTCGCTCAAGCAGATCGCGACCAATCGGTACTTCGTCTTCTCAAGAAACTGGATGAAGTGTACGGCTTCATGACTCAAGAGGACACTCTTGGGCAGATTTCATCCATGCACAGTATCGTCGGCCGGATCGCTCAGCAGACTCAGGAGTGCGCGCGTTTCATCAGGGATTACTCCGAGACAAAGAGCTATTGTGAGTAGTCAGCCTCTGTGCTTCGCACGTTGTGAATCTTATACCATTGTCATAGGGAAGAGACTCGGGAAAAACATCGTCTCTGAAACGGAAGATATGATTACTCGGTACAGCGCCGCTTTAGATGAGCTTATGCAACAGTTTCGGGACCAAAGCCTTCGGGACGTAGCCATCTTTGTTCAATGCACGGGTAATAATTCAGACGTGCTTTCGAGTCTGCATTCACTCACACGCCTTCAGGTGAAACACTGGATCTCGGCGATATGGCTTATGCAAAGGGTGCAGGACTAGATACTAGAAAACAATGCCTACCAGGGACGCGCACGGAGATTCTCTCCCAGATTACGGAGTGGATCAAGAACAGTGGAGATGCTGCTCAGCGTGTACTGTGGCTATCCGGCCCTGCAGGCACGGGCAAATCAGCCATCGCGCACACGATCGCCAATTGGTTCAATGAGACGGGAGGGCTCGGTTCATGTTTCTGCTTCGACCGGCACCTCGAAGCCGACAATCGTCACCAAAAAGTTTTCTCCACCATCGCCCGCGACCTCGCTGACCGTGATCCGGCGATGAAACGAGCATTGGCGGATGCAGTCAAAAATGCCACTTCACTGAAGAATACGCCGGATGTCATTCAGCAGTGGCGCAAGCTTCTCATGGAACCGCTCAAGAAGTTCTCTGGGTCGAGTTTGGGACCAGTCTTGATTGTGATTGAAGCACTGGATGAGAGCGGCAGAGTGGAGACGCGGCGCGACCTTCTCCGCATACTTGCTGGTAAACTTGAGCAGCAGGGTCTTCCCCAAATCACCGAACTTCCATCCAACTTCCGGATTCTCGTGACCTCTCGCCCGCTCCGCGATATTGATGAGGAGTTTCATGGTGCCGAGCATATTCGACGGTTGTCCATGGACGACATTTCACCTGATACGGCGGATCGTGATATCCGCGCTTTTGTATCCAACGAGCTGAAAGGGCACTCGGTTTTTGGGGACAGAGAGTTTGCAATCCTCGCTGCGAAAGCCGAGGGACTTTTCGAATGGGCGCGTCTAGCCTGCGAATATATCAAGAAAGTCCTTCTCGGCGTAAACCCAATGTCTCGTTTCAATGACGTCGTAAACAGCGGTGCTGGAAAGCGGAAAAACTTGTTGTATAACATGTATCGGCTCATTTTGAGAGACATCATGAACAGGGATCAATACGACGATGACGAGGAGTATAAAAAAGCATTAGCAGAGTTTCGTTCCGTGATGGGACAAATACTCAGCACGGCTGAGCCCCTGCCCTTCAATTCCCTGAATATCATGCGGGGCTTTTTTCCGAACGAAAGCAAGCACTACAACGTCAACATAGTACAACATATGGGATCCCTCCTCAGCGGCACCACCACCAACTCATGCACCCCCATCCGGCCTCTTCATGCGTCCTTCCACGATTTCCTGACAGACAAATCAGCCAGCGGAGACTTTTTTGTCGAGATGTCGAAGGTGCATGAACGCGACCTTGCGTTTGCGTCACTTCGAGTGATGGAACATGAGCTTCGTTTCAACATCTGTGATTTAACATCCTCATACCTCCCTAATTCCGAAGACTCTGGGCTGCGAGACCGAATTGCAACATGCATCACCCCACACCTGTCCTATTCCTGTCGCTTTTGGGCTACACACTTACGAGCGACGGACTTCGATACGGAGCTCGCAAAGGAAATAAGATCATTCTTTGACAACGAGCGGCTACTGTTCTGGATCGAAGTCCTTGGCCTCCTGAAAGCCCTCAGCGGTGCAGTTGCTGCGCGTCCACTCGTTGCCCAATGGCTAAATGTGAGCACATGGTTACTGGGCCGTGCCATGTAAAGTGCTGACACACAACCACAGGGTCACTCTGGATATAAAGATGTCTTGTCGAGTGCATTGGATGTGCAGAGATTTGTCCAAGTCTTTGCCGGCATGATCTTGCACAGCACGTCACATCTGTATGTTTCAGCGCTGCCATTCTCGCCCATCAATTCCACCATAGCTACGAAATGTACCGCAAGGTTTCCGAGCAGTCTTCTTTTGACATCTGGACGTGACTTGAACTGGACAGCTGTTCAAACCGTGATCAGAGGCCATACCAGTGGCGTGAATTCAGCGTCATTCTCGCCAGATGGGACTCGCATTGTGTCTGGTTCGGATGATACCACTGTCCGGCTGTGGGATGCAGCAACAGGGCAGCCATTGGGTCAGCCCTTGCAGGGCCACACTTCTGCGGTTTCATCAGTCTCGTTCTCGCCGGATGGGACTCACATTGTGTCTGGTTCTTGGGACACCACTGTGCGGCTGTGGGATGCAGCAACAGGGCAGCCATTGGGTCAGCCCTTGCAGGGCCACACTTCTCCGGTTTTGTCAGTCTCGTTCTCGCCGGATGGGACTCGCATTGTGTCTGGTTCTTGGGACACCACTGTGTGGCTGTGGGATGCAGCAACAGGGCAGCCATTGGGTCAGCCCTTGCAGGGCCACACTTCTCCGGTTTTGTCAGTCTCGTTCTCGCCGGATGGGACTCGCATTGTGTCTGGTTCTTGGGACACCACTGTGTGGCTGTGGGATGCAGCAACAGGGCAGCCATTGGGTCAGCCCTTGCAGGGCCACACTTCTCCGGTTTTGTCAGTCTCGTTCTCGCCGGATGGGACTCGCATTGTGTCTGGTTCTGCGGACACCACTGTGCGGCTGTGGGATACAGCAACAGGGCAGCCATTGGGTCAGCCCTTGCAGGGCCACACTTCTCGGGTTTGGTCAGTCTCATTCTCGCCGGATGGGACTCACATTGTGTCTGGTTCTTGGGACACCACTGTGCGGCTGTGGGATGCAGCAACAGGGCAGCCATTGGGTCAGCCCTTGCAGGGCCACACTTCTCGGGTTTTGTCAGTCTCGTTCTCGCCGGATGGGACTTGCATTGTGTCTGGTTCTTGGGACACCACTGTGTGGCTGTGGGATGCAGCAACAGGGCAGCCATTGGGTCAGCCCTTACAGGGCCACACTTCTCCGGTTTTGTCAGTCTCGTTCTCGCCAGATGGGACTCGCATTGTGTCTGGTTCGGATGACACCACTGTGTGGCTGTGGGATGCAGCAACAGGGCAGCCATTGGGTCGGCCCTTGCAGGGCCACACTTCTCCGGTTTTGTCAGTCTCGTTCTCGCCGGATGGGACTCGCATTGTGTCTGGTTCTGCGGACACCACTGTGTGGCTGTGGGATACAGCAACAGGGCAGCCATTGGGTCAGCCCTTGCAGGGCCACACTTCTCCGGTTTGGTCAGTGTCATTTTCGCCAGATGGGACTCGCATTGTGTCTGGTTCTTTGGACAGCACCATCCGGCTGTGGGATGCAGCAACAGGGCAGCCATTGGGTCAGCCCTTGCAGGGCCACACTTCTCCGGTTTTGTCAGTCTCGTTCTCGCCGGATGGGACTCGCATTGTGTCTGGTTCTGCGGACACCACTGTCCGGCTGTGGGATGCAGCAACAGGGCAGCCATTGGGTCAGCCCTTGCAGGGCCACACTTCTCCGGTTTGGTCAGTCTCATTCTCGCCAGATGGGACTCGCATTGTGTCTGGTTCTTCGGACACCACTGTCCGGCTGTGGGATGCAGCAACAGGGCAGCCATTGGGTCAGCCCTTGCACGGCCACACTTCTCTAGTTTCATCAGTCTCATTCTCGCCGGATGGGACTCACATTGTGTCTTGCTCGCAGGACACCACTGTCCGGCTGTGGGATGCAGCAACAGGGCAGCCATTGGGGGGGCCTTTGTGGGGGCACACTGATATAGTTTCATCAGTCTCATTTTCGCCGGATGGCACTCATGTTGTGTCTGGTTCATCCGATGGCACTCTCCGGGTCTGGTATCTAGAAAACCTACCCTTATTACACCACTCATCACAGCCATGTGCCGGGGGGGATTCCTCTGCATTATCCCTAGATCAAAGTTGCATCATACCACCTGCAGTTGACACTACCACCACATCAACCCGCGGTTGCAATCACTCAATTTGCTTCTCATCAAACTTGGACCATGCACTACACACCCCTGCTGACCTACTTGACGGCACCTCCTATCATGAATCCCAGTCAATCCCTTTTGTGCTGCAAGATGATGGATGGACAGTAGGACCAAACAATCGGCTCCTCTTCTGGACCCCACCCACTTCGCGACCACATGTCGCCTATAATATTTCCGCTGCCTTGGTGATTCCCAGAGGACATGCCTATGTCGAGCTTGATTTGAGTCGCATGGCACATGGGAAGCACTGGTCTAATTGCCGCGATGCGTGAGTTCTTAACCTTTACCATCCATCATAGTCACTCAAATTAATACTTCTAGGCCCCCTTGATGATAGTGTTACCGCAGCGGGATCGAGTATACAGTTTGATTACTACTTGAGAAGAGGGGTGAAATGGGCCGAGGAATCGTTCGTCGACCCAGAGGTGGCGTGTGGCATTACATATAGAGTCTCCATAGAATGCGCAGGTGCCGTATGTAAATACTGCGCTCCCATTTGCGCGAGGAGTAATGCGCCGCGCCTGCTTGTGTACTTAGTGCTGATTCGACGTAAAATCTAGCAGGGCAAGGGTTGAGTTCGGTTTCGCATTTCCAACCGCTTCCAGCGTCCCTCCCATCTTATGACGCCGCTGGATCGCGAAACGAGCCAGCGCGTATGTCTTAATGTCTTGCTAGTCTGCTTTTCACCGCTTGCGTCTTCATCAACACTGAGTTTCAAAGTCTTCTGCGCCCCCTTGAGCGTGAGCATAAATCCCACCCGTAACCTCCTCAATACACGCAGCAGTCCCAGCATTGCATTGATCATTCACTGTCCTAGCAAAACGATAATACACCCTGCTTGTTGGCTATTGCGAGGGGCATGGAGAGTGATGCGTGCGCTATAGCTGTAGAAGAGGTCGTGTGAACTAGGGAGAGGAGAGTGGAGTGGGTTTCTCTGGAGTTGACTTCGGAAGCGTTCAATAGAGATCTGTGGTATCACGAGAGATGAGAAGTGGCATTTGAAATTGGAGGGAGACTTACGGTGACGAGTTCGCATAGGAGATCGGCTGTGAGTCTTACTGTGCGTTTCGTATGTCTGCGAGGGAAGTCCAGAGGGGTGCGCTGAGGTAGATTGGCGTTAGGTATTGGCATGAAGATCATGAACGGCACTGACGAAAGAAGTTGGGAAGGAGGACGATACTTACGTTCGATGTTCCTCTCCTGCTCCTGTTGAATAGTTGCAATCCCCGCTTCGGTCCATAGTCTTCTCTTGGGTTTTGTGCCAGCGAGGTTCCGCTTCGTAGTGGCGCCGACGAGCAACGTGAGTGGGAGATGTATGAGTGGGTGGATTGTGTGGACAGTTAGGAGAGGTAGGAGAGGGATCTGGACGAGTAGGATTGTTAGCATGGGGTTGGGACCAAAGATTAGGGAAAGCGTACGTGAATGATACCATCCTTGAAATTCTCTAGTGCTCCGCTATTGACGATGGCATAGAGTGCGACGAATCTTTGCTTGCCGGAGAGAGTAAAAAAATGGTGCTGGAGAGGAGGGTGTGAAAAGTAGAGCGTGAACAGGGTCTGATCGCGTGTTTTCCTCCTGTTCAGGTTCTGAATTCGAGGTGGAGCTGAGATAATGTGCGTTTGTGAATATTCACGGGAGAGAGCATTGAAGACGCGAGCTGTGATGGAGCTCCAACGCGGAATTTCGTCGAGCGTCCCCAAGCTCACACCACTGGTAGTTTTTACGTGGGAGGGTTATGAGAGTGTCTATAGCAGTGAGGGTTGCTTGGAGGGGAGGGGCACATATAGGAGGTGCAACACTGAGATTAGCACCAGGAGGAGACGAGGGAGACGGAGTAGTCACATCTATGCGATTAACCCTAAGTGTGTGGCGTATATGGTGCCTGGGGGATCTGAGGGAACGAATAGAACGTGCAAATTTCAAGAATGTAGATGATAAAGGGTTAGCACGGTGTTGGAGTGATGAGAAGGCCCTTGCTGAGCACTTTCTCGACCTTGTGTATAACATTTCTTAGCATACCCGACTTGTAAAAAAGGATGTGACGCACCTCAGCATAAATACCTACAGCCCAGTCAAAACCTCCCTCCTCCAAGTCAGCGCAAAACCCAATTTCCATAACCCTGGTCCCTCATTCCATCGTTGTAAACGTGATATCAACGGTACCTGATTACAATCGATTTAGGAAATTTGCAACATGTACCATGTCACGCTTAGTTAGTATCTATGATTCCAACTTCTATCTGATTCCTCTGCGATCCATGGCCAGGAAATCCAAAACTACTGATTTCGCTCAAGAAGCGCGCAACCCACGCGCTGGACCGATCCTTGAGTGAGATATGAATTCATTGCTGATTGTTAGTGAGAGAAGGAACGTCTAAGGTCACTAGAGATCCCCCAGTTTCCGCGGGCCAGGCGGCGATGAGCTCTAGTGCTCTCCATTTTAATCATGACAGAATTCAAGCCCGGAAATCTCTCACACTCAATACGTTATTGACTAGGATTTGTGACGCCTCATGGCACAAACATCATGATGGTATATCAGTTGAAAGGATTGCGGTTCGATCAGAACAACTGTTTTCTTTGGTCACCATCTATTGATCGTTCACCTCACAAATTGACAGGGCATACAGTCATTCCTTCCCGCGTCGGTCTCATTTAGCCTGCCTCACTCCGTTCAATCGGCATTGGTTGCTCTCTTGATTTTTCGCACAATGTTAGTATGCAACTCACCCGTCTTCAGCATTGCCGATACGACTGTCCGGTTGTGGTTGCTCTGAGTCGCATAGCACATGGACACCAGCGGCGACATTGTCGAGATAAGTGAGTTCCTAGCCTTTTTCATACTGTCTCTCGCAGTTGACACAATCAACGCCTTCCAGTCCTATTCAAGATCGTTCACACCCTTCCCCGCCAGGTCGTGATCTCTGAGCTGGGTCACTGCCTAGTTGGCCACAATCTGTATTTGGAAACAAATCGAGAGAGCGTGGCGAGTCTGCGAATTGGTTGCGTTAGTTGCTAGAGTGATGACCTCCTCGTCAGGCATTGGTATTGCCTCCTAATGAAATTCAAGTTGTTCACCAGATGACGTAGACCAATGTCAGGCTGAAGGGAGTTGATGCTGTGATACTGATCGACCTTACGAGTCCTTGCTTATTTACAGCGTCGAGATCAGCATTAGTCTCATCTCAATAAACGACTCTATGCAGGTACCTATCCTTCGAAAACCTTCGAGGACGTTCCAGCATATGAAAGAGTATGGCAGGAAACAAGTGCTTACTTGAAAGTGAGTAGATAGTGGGTTCGCTTTGTCGTTGAGACCTAAGATGTTCTTAAAAAATGCATGATCGTTCTCCACCTCTGCCAGCGCGTCATCGACACTCTCGTTATCCTCCAACGCTCCCGTCGTTGCTGCATTCCTCTCTACTTTCATGGAAGTTGCCGATGCCTCCACAATCAACCGGTATACTTCCAATGTTCCTTTCACAGGACCCTTTTGTCCCCTTCCACTTCAGCAGTTTTCTAACATATCCAAGAGTCTGGTCCGAGCAGCAGGACAATTTGTACAGAAGTAAGCATATTATTGATCAACTCCACAACAAACTGCATATTGTACGAATCAACTACTGTACCAACGCGAAAGTAGAGACACGACTCACTGTCGCAACATGTTCCGTCTTCCAAGCTCATCGAAAGATGATCACTGGCAGATCTTGCCGACAGGGTCGTGATACTATTGGTACAAGGCGCAAAGGGTGAGTCATGAGGTTGAATCCCGGATGCGATACGAACAACTCATACTTACAATTGGTAAACAAGTAAGACCTTGGCAGCATGGATCGCTGAACCTGCCCTCGGTCCCGCAAGACTCTTCTCTAGCCAGGCATGAAGCACTGACAGACATAGATGTTGTCAAAGAAGCAACAACAGCGAGGAGGAATGAGAAACGCATGACTTATGCTAAGTGATATGGAATGCGTCAACGAGGATAATAGCACTGATAATGACAGTAGCAAGACGGCTTGCTTTTATACCCCAGATTTTTTTTCGCGAAGTACTCGGCAGTTCTATCAGCATGTTTGAGCCTGGCAGATTTCAGGCAGAGGGTACAGGCAGAACCTGTGACAGGGTCGGCGGATGAACAATCTGACTGACTAGCTCTGATGCTATAGTACTTATTTGTGTTTCCCGCAGAAGCTAGTGAGAACTCCGAGCGGCGCAGTTACACCTGCCACTGGCTACGCTCTTGATGTTTTTCGACCCATTCCGAAACTTGAGAGAGGGCCGAGCTCTGCCGGCAGGAACCTTGTTCACCAGTCTTAGTATAAAATAGTAATCGCTAAACGACTCATAAATTCCAATATCTGGAGCAGGCAGGATCCCTTGAGCTTTGTTCTTGTAGGTCGCACATGATATCTACAAGACAAGCCTACAATAACAGAAGCTCAACGGACGAAAGACTAGTAGTCGACGTATTGAACAAACAGTGTAACCTTCTCATGTGGTGGTCAGTTTGGTTCAACCCAACCCCTATTTTCGAGTTCCCTTGACCTTTGTGCAGGTCCGCCAACGCGGTGTTGATGACCATTCCTATTGGTGTTCTCGCACAGTCCGTTTTCACTCGTGTACTTCCAATGTTCCTTTCACAGGACCCTTCGGACACCTTCCACTTCAGGTTGTCGAGCCGACACATCGTTGTTTATCCCTGATAAAATCAATCCCACGAGGAAATAATTGTTGTCATCCTAGTCTGAAATCGGGAGGCGATCATAGACCACGGCCGTCAAAGTGTTTCGATTAGTTGTTTGCCCTTGGGCAGTGGGTGCCTGGTGAAGGTAAGTGGAAGTAGAAGTAGAAGTGATATATCTGTCCTGCTGCCAGAAGGAGGGTTCGATGCGATTTGACAATTCATAGTGGTCTCGATAACGTTAAAGGTTGCAAGGCGATAGAATAAGGGGAGAAAATTCCTTTCAGAAATTCAATGCTGTGCCCTTGCTGCGGCAAACGCCGCGTACTATGCAAGCGCTGAAGGATCGTCGAGCTCTCTTATTTGTATTCATCTTGCATTCAAGTGATACCGTTGCTATCACTCCGTTTTGTGAAAAATAACCCGATCCACCAAGCCAGGCGATGTCTTAGTTCTGGCAGGCAACATTTCTTATCTCGTGTACTGACCATGAACGGGCAGATCCGTCGCGGTAGACTACCGATACTGAAAGTCGCTTGATTTTCCGGTGTTTACCTTTTGGATTCATCCTGGGCAATATTTCTCGAAGATAGTTCAAGCTGCACACAGATATTGAGGTTGACGCAATGCTGCGGGAAAGAGCCAGTACGATCGCTTCTGCATGCCCCTCGACGGTGCCATTTTTCGAGGTGTTCGTAGATGGAAAATGATAAGCAGGAACCCGCAGTTCGCATTGACATTTCTGGGGCTATGGAGGTAAGGTTTCCTCGCATATGCAGACTGTATGCCGTGCATCTGAGTATGATCTGAACGATGTGTTGGCGTAGTGTGCAGGGGAACTTTTTCTCTATATCTCATCATCAACTCCAATCACTGATTACTTCATCGTAGCTCACGCGTCTGACACCATACTACGAGACTGGAACACCCTGTTCGATGGTCACACTAGGGCAGCGGCTAGCCTACGTCCCTCGATTGTGCACACTTTGCGCACCGAGATAAGATGGTAATGACGGTAAAGTCATTCTGTGCAAACCAATATCATATCAATATTTGATCGCACAATTTGTTGGAAAAAATATCTTTTGGGTTGTCGTTTTACACGACTACGCGTGAATAATTCATTGGCCGATGGCGAAAAATCATATATGCATAGTCCTTTCAAAATTGCGTTTTTGATGTTTGAGGTGCAAGATGCGACTACCGCATAACTTCCTTCAATGAAACCAGCCCCAGGCCAGATGTCGATCTCACGGGTAAGGGTCTGAGAGATTCGAACGAAAGAAACACACGAGAAGTATTGGATGTCGACACAAGCATGTTCGCCCCGAACCCATGACCAGCTAACCTCACAACAGCAGGAACAGCGATTGTCATTATGGCTAACTTCATCAGAATAAATTCGATGTCAATTCCCTCGTAAAACAAGATCCGTGACGCTGACAGACCCGCACAGGAAGAGCATCGGACAACGTGTTAATAGGGCCTCCTATAGTTTCTATCTAGAACATGGACAAGCAGGAGATGATCGATTTCAAAAGGCTGGTGCGATATGTGAATTGAAGGCGTCGACTGGAGATATTAAGAAATTCACACAGCCAATTCTTCATCGATCATCAGTCCTGCTGCGAACGGTATGGTCAAAAGCCTATGTCGTCCCCGTTGACCACAGTATCTTGCAAGAAACGGAATTTACACAGAAACCTTGAGGTCTTCACTTCCCAAGGAGCGAAAACCGTAAAGTTAGGCACATCTCATCTCATCTACATATGAGACTGTGATGCTTTGTGCGTCTCGGTGAAGGGTTGGACTCCAAAACTGGTGGTCCAAGTTAGGAAGTCGTTCGCAAAGCTTAGCATCACAGCGGAGGCTGTAGACGTTACATTAGCAGCGCTTGAACGAGCACCTTATCGCATTGTGGCGAAATGCAGTACGAGCTACCAGAGAGATCAAGGTGGGACTAGGGAGCGTGAGCAGGTAGGAAGGTGGGTCGTAAAGTTGGTCTGACGGAGTAAGCAGAGGTTAAGACATGTCATCGCTGCAACGACATTTGCATGCGTTCATGAATCTTTCCCGACTGTGATTGTTTCTAGCCTGAGGAAACAGCCCTTCCGAAGCACACCAATAACGAATCCTCGAGAATGAATCCGCCTTGTAGTTGCGCAACAAATGACATCAGGATCGGTCCAGGGGAAATAAGAGCTTGGGTGGATAATGCATGTAGAGCCTGCATGTAGAGCCTGCATGGAGACTGAGCCGAGTCCTTCTGAGCGGACGTTTTCTGGCACGGAGGTGAAACTACAGTCCTTTGTGAATCTTCTGGAGATGCGCCATCGAGCATACAGACACTGTGTGTACCTTAAATCTTGTGCAGTCGCTACCACGCCTTGTTTAGTGAACCTTGCCTTGTGAGATCGAGGCTGACGAATGTGCGCCGAATGTTGCGAAGAGGTGGAATACACCGTCTGCGACTGGCAAATCTTAGAGAGGACTGCTGCTAAGCTTCCTTTTCAGTGAACCTCACCTTGTGAGGTTGAAGATGACGAATCCACTTCCCGAAATACTGCTGAGATCCAGTGTTTTACCTGAAGAGATATAAGTGGGAGTAAAGTCAGAAGCACGTTTGTATCCTTACCGAGTACATTGGACGAGGACAGGTACGTCCCGAACAGCTTGGTACTGAGATTAATAAACCTATGCTGTACCGTTAGCAACCCCGACAACGTGAGACCACTCGAAAGAGTTTAAATACCTTCATCTGCATCAACGTGTACCCTAGCAGTTACCTTGGAAATCCCCGTCTATGCTCGTGGAAAGAGGGCGAACGGGATTGGAATAGCACCATCCAAGAACACCATAAAACCTTCCTAATATGAATTCATCGAAATAAATCGGGCATAGGCAAATCATTCGCGTGGCGTGTTGTTGCCACTGTACTGCAGACGAGATCGCTGACAATAACATACATAGCAACCAGGGGATCGAAATCACATGTGGGGGATACATGCAATCAGGTGTTGCGCTGGGAAGAGGAAGAATGCCACCAAGCACAGACACAAACAACATTCAGAGTTAACTCACTGGTCAGGCTCATCGTATGTCGTGACGTGATATTCGTAGGGACAGACTTGCATATTGAGATCTTGCGAGACATACTTTTAGAATGTACTTATCACTGACCGTAATCTGTGAAACAGGTCCTAATTCTCCAACATCGTGACTCATCAGAATGACGAGACGCTGGATGATAGTGCTCCTGATGTCCATTCTGTGCTGCTCCACTTAGGACACGCTGGATGTTGTCGTCTGCGAGCTGTTGATTTCCTTGAAGATGTTGTCTGCGAGGAATCGTACACCCTGTCTCAGATGTACTAGATGTCGACGGACGGTTCGGAGATGATGTACTGTGTCAATTGACACAGACAACGACATATGTGCGGTTCCACCTTCTTCGGATTCAATGGTAGGGGTCGTAGAGTGACAGGGCAAGGGCAGGAGCAGATTGCCGATCGGACGCTGGCCGCATGATAGTCCGTAATCGAGAAGAGTAGGAAGAGCTTTCGACAAACTCGGAGCTGCGAGAATACAGGAAGAAATCGTCAAGGGTCAAATGTTACAAGTATTACTGAATACTGGCAAATAATAAGACGACGGTATGAAAATTGGGTCACTGCAGACTTCTAGCATCAACGGGGTTGTGAGCTTGTGCAGGAAGGGATGTGCCAGATGAATTGTGAGCTTTTATCGGATATGAAGGTTATGGGGAGGAAATCGAGGTTAGAATTGGAACTTCTGATCCGTGTGGCGTTGGGATGGTCAGCGTAACCCAATGCGATTCAAGACTTCAAGTAGTACTTAAGAGTCTCAGTATATACTATACTATACGTAGTAAGTGATACTTTAGAGCAGAGCAGCGTGACATGTTTGTCACACGTTTAATGAAATGTGACATCATTAAGATGAAGTTGCGTACATGATCGCAAGTCGTTTTGGTCAGTACACTCGGCGGGTCCGCTTCTTTCAAAACTATTTTCTAGTGCTGTCGAAGCCTGTGGAACAGAATGTCTGCAATAAAACCAGGGGGAGTCCAAAAATTCATGGAACAAGTGCGTATCCTTCTTATGTTGCTCTCATATCCCTTCCTGAATTCAGTGTAACCTTCTCATGCAGTGGTCAATGTGATTCGACCCAACCCTTATTTTCGAGTTTCCTTGACCTTTGTGCAAGTTCATAAACGCGGTGTTGACGACCATTCCTATCGGTGTTCTTGCACAGTCCGCTTTCACTCTGAGGTTTGGGTGCGTCAATCAGAAAACATCGCTCCACATCCACTTATCCCCCAAGTAACACTGTAGCAACTATCCTCCGCTTCAGAGCTCTCGGCAGCGTCGCAACAGCGTTCATCGCCACCCTCGGTCCCATAACTGGTCTCCGCACAATGATCATTGCCCATTTCAGCTCAGGGTACTTCGGCGGAACCATCTACTCGATCCTCAATATCTTCATCCAGTGCGGGGATTCTCCTCCACACTCACATTAATCGCTGATTGTGTCTAGGCTTAGCTTTTCCACAACAGCAGTTATCCTCGGAGGTCAAACGCTCGCCAACATTAACCCTGGCACCCTTTCCCTTATCGTTGGCATCATTATCATCGGCGTGTGCTGCCTCATTCCGTGCTTTATCGGATATGATATGGTACACGTTTACGAGCGCTATGCATGGATCGTCACCAGTGTCATCATGCTCTTCCTCTGGGGCCTTGGAGGTAAAGCCGGATACGACATTAACACGCAAAAACTGTTCGAGGATACAGGACGTGCTCTCTCGGCTGATATTCTCAGCTTTGGAGGAATCGTGTTCGGCTCGTTCTCAGGGGTGCGTCCGATCATCGTTTCTCTTATATCACATCCAATTCTAAGTAATTTGTATACCTCTATCAGTGGGCTCCAGTCGCAGCAGATTATAATTGCCGACTACCAGCTGATACGCCACCCATGCGCGTATTCCTGCTCACATTTCTCAGCGTCTTCATCCCCCTCTGCTTCGTCGAGATCCTCGGCGCAGCTCTCATGACAATCACCGATCCTGCGTACATCGCAGCCTACGCAGACGGCTCCACAGGTGGTGTTATCGCACAAGTCCTTTCACCATGGGGCCACTTTGGCCAATTCATTCTTGTACTACTCGCACTTTCCATCATGTACGTACGACTCTACGAGTGAATTCCTTCATGTATGTACTCACCCAAGAACAGCGTAAACAACATCCCTAACACCTATTCCACCGGTCTATCCATCCAAGCCCTCGGACGCCCATTCGCCATGGTCCCGCGCTTCTTCTGTGTTTTCCTCGCTTCTGTCATATACACAGTAGCAGGTGTTGCTGGGCGCGAGCATTTCAGCGCCATCCTTTCCAATTTCCTTAGTATTCTGAGTTACTGGACTGCGTTCTTCATCGTGATTGTTGCAGAGGAACACTTTATCTTCAGGCAGAAAAATGGGCCGCTTGGAGGGTATAACTTGGACGATTATGATACACTGTCAAAGTGAGTTCTGCTAGTTTTTTTTGGGGGGTGGAGGGAGTTGTTTGTTGACCTTGCTGTTTTTTTTTAAAGGTTGCCGCTCGGCTTAGCTGGTATACTTGCATGATGATTTGGTGTTACAGGTGCTGTCGTCGGGATGTCAGAGGTGCGTCAAAGCCTAACTTCGTGTCGTACGCTGACATCAACTTGTTCGGACTTCAGGTATGGTACACTGGTCCGCTTGAGAAGATGGCAGGAGCGACGTACGGTGCTGATCTCGGGTTCGAGGTGTGTTTGATTCTTTGATTCTTTGCATTGGACAAGTGCTTACCAGATTTGTGTATAGCTCGCAGCTGCGTTCTCGGGTGTTACTTACCCTCCGTTGCGTGCGCTTGAGATTAAGCTTACTAGACGATGATATCTGGTGTGTTGATGTGGTGTGGTGCTGGAGTGTCTGTGCGGTTTATGTGTACCCTATTATGCATTAGAGGGATGGGCTAGTTCTTTGTAGAACATTGACCGCTGTAGTAAGTGCTTGACCTTATTCACGGATGGTTGGCGTGATGATGGGCCAATGCTGCGCAGCGCAGTGTTGGATCTGATCGATTATCAGTAGCACGTACGCGTTTCAAGGGCATTCGGCGTGAGTTGCCACATAGGCTGAATGAATCGATGATTTCCCAGTGTTCAGAACGTCGTCCTCAATCTGTGTTCTTACCTGCCAACGCTACAGTCAAACGTCAGTGTTTTTCAGGTCCGCGTGTCGGAGCGCCCAGTGAGTAGTGGTTCTGGATGTGCTGCGGGAAGTCAACCACTTAAAAGGGCGTGCCTCGTCTGGTGACCAGCCCGTCCCAATACTCAATGTCTCCTCATCCTACCAAGCATCATGGAAAATTCCAAAGTTCTTGTCATCGGTGGTTCACGAAATATAGGCTATTATTCTGCCGTCCGGCTCCTAGGTGACAATTAACCCCTTTTCCCTGACGCCCACACATTCTAACACCTAATGCTAACAGCTCTCGGCGCTACTGTGACATTCCTCCTGCGCTCACCAGGAGTGTTTAACTAGAACGAAACGATCCAGAACTACGTCAAGAAAGGCAAAGCACGTCTTGTTCAAGGCGATGCCCTCGTGAAGAGCGATGTCCGCCAGGCATGGTCTGAGGCTCAGGGAAGCGACTCAGAGCCCACACAAGTCGACTTTCTCATCTTCACAGTCAGTGCGTTTCCAGTTCACAAAACCCAAGTCAATATTAATCATAATTTCACTCACTCATGCATACAGGCGGAACGCCCCACTTCTCACTGGCAAAATGCTTCACAATCAACCCCCCAAACCTCGTCACCCAATCTCTGCTCAACGTCCTCGAAACTCTTCCATCTCCACAGCCAAAGATTATAACGATCTCGAGTGCAGGCCTCATGCGCGCGTCACATAAATCCGTCCCCCTCCCACTCAAACCGCTCTATAACTATCTCCTAACCCTGCCGCATAGAGACAAATGCGGTGCGGAGGAAGTTGTTGCCTATAGCACGGGATAGGAGTGGGATGCGAGAGATAGCCCAGGCGAAGAGATTATCGGTGCTGATTGGATAAATTGGGTTCCAAGTCCTGGGGAACTGGAGAGTATCGTCGTCGTTCGCCCTGCTTTGTTAACTGATGGGGAATGCCGTGCGGAAGTGAAGGGGAAGGGAAGCTTGGCGTTTAGGGCGAAAGAAGGATATGTGGAGTGTGGTTGGACGGTGTCGAGGAGGGATATGGCGTATTTTGTTGTGGAGGGTGTGGTTAAACATTGGGAGGAGTGGGAGGGGAGACGTGTGAGTATTGCATATTGATGATATTTTTGAGGATTTTTTTTCGTGGCGTTCCCGATATCCAGTACGTATATAATATTGATGTACTGCAGGGGAGGCAGTGTTGGATCGTGAAGAATCAGAAGTGGCAGTGACCCCTACTCAAAAGCAACATTAGTGGCAGATTCTGATGAGTTTCCAAAGCTCAAGCTCTCCGAGGCGTGCAGTCCGTTCCTCCTGTCGTTGTTGTCCTCTTCCTGAGAGCGCAGACGTAGCACTAAGCGCTTACTGTGACGATCTCCTGCGCGTGTCCGTAAAACGGCGACATTCGACACCTTATAAATGGTGGGCAGATTTGAAATCTACGCAACCGAACTGACACTTGGCAAGGCGAGGCGCTCCCTATACGAGAGAATAATAATCCAGTGTTCAATTGCCGGTCTCGCGTGCACAGGGGCAGGATATTGGAATGCGTACGTACGGATGCCCTGGAGAAGTATATAGGTGTTATAGAGAAAGGCAGGACGAGGATGTGAGCACGCATGTACAACTTGCAGTCACACCAACATGCAACGCAGTCTGGCAACGCGACGATTCGATAATTTTTGAAGTACATAGATCTATATGTGGAGCGAAAAATCATCAAGGTGGCATACGTGACTTGGATACGTGTGGATAAGTTGAGAGTGGGAGTCATGAACGTAGGACGTTTGCTGTAACGACTGCGCTTAACCGCACGTACTACCACGTCCCTTGGATTTGTTTGTCTTTCTTTTGACCTTTAACTTTACCCCTCGAATATGCGCTTACTATCATTCCTGGGAATCTGCAACTGGCATGTAATATGCAAAATGTTCAAAACACTTCAATGCGCTGCTTGGATCACCTCAAAAAAATTCAGATGCATGTAGGCTACTTAGAGATGATGTACTGTCCAAGTAGAATAAAAATTTCTTGAGTGTTGCAGCTGCGAGAGACGGAATAGTGGTGATTTGCAACCTTGTATAATTATAAATGATCCAGATCCCATAGATCCTTGAGAGATATTCAAAAAGTTACACCCAGAGCATATCAAACACCTTGTCAGGGTGTCAGAACACAATTTCGATAGAGGTCATTCTCTTGTTTTAAGATGCTATAGACAGAGGATTGACGACATGTATGAAAGTGTGACAGCAGATAGGAGAGTGTGTAAGAAATTCAATCTCCTCTACGGCACACTCGGCTTGACACACGGCATCCAGTCGCATCACGTCGCATCTCATTCTCGCATCCTTACAGCGAATTTTACAGCACTTCAACGACCACCCGGAACTCAAGAAAAATCAACGCTATGAGGGTTTATTCAATCCCCCCGTTCTCGCAGGCACCGTCTCGAAAATGACAATAATGTTGCTCCTGAATTCCCGCAAGATATAATTCCCCCAAATTCAATTCACCAACCATCCAGGTATCCACCACAGCCGCCTGTCACTCACTCCTCAATGTCAGGCATGGATCTGCCCTCACCTGGCTATGCACCTCCATATTATCCAATGCACCATTCTGTACCTCGGTCTCCACCTGTTCTTCACCCTCCCTTTACACCGGTTGGTAGACCTCTCGCTAGTATGTCTCAGGATTTTCGAGTTGGTGGTGGAGTGCAGATGTATGACATCGGGGGCTCTGGTGATGCAGGCCGTCAGCTGTACGAGTCTGGACTCCATCAGTACCATTATAATCACGATAATTAGTATATGAACCATGATCCCCAATAGTATTCATTTTCAAAGTTTCGAGATTCGACGCGCGACATCGAGATTCGGAGGACATCTCGATCCCAGAATATCCGGGACATCCGGGACATCCAACCCATCCGTCCCACTTGCTTGCATAACGCAAATCTCACGGTCACGACATACCACGTGACCCACAGCCATGATGCAAATGGGTCGTGTGTGTTGGCTGACATGGTGACCATGGCTGCTACCCAGCCAGCACTTGCAGTACTGCAAACACTACAGGCTGAACTCTCCCCTGGCTCGCCATTGACATTTAGTAGCCTTTTCAGGTTCATGACCCTGGCATCTACACTTAGGAACGACATCTTACTCGTCCAAGCTGCATCACACCCCTCCAATACTGCTCCCGACTTTATCTCTCCTGCCATCAATTTGTTCTTGGCAGCCTGTTGTGATCTTGGCGAAAGTGATGTAGATGTGTACTGGAAGGTTCTCAAGGATGTCGTGTGGCATAGCAATGGAGATATATTTGGTATCGAGGACATGTTCCCCTTGTTTGCGAATCATGGGCGACAATATGGAATCAGTGCGTATTATCATTTTGTACAGGGATAACTACTGAGAGCATCGATAGCACCATGAGCACTTTATCCTCCTCACCAGACGTGCCTGACCGAAGGCTGTCCCGCTCATGCAAAGGCTTCTGTTCTCAAGAAAGCCGAGCAACGACAGATCGTTCTATATACATTGGACGGTGGCCCGATTGCTACATACTCTATCCACCTCTATTGTGCAGGTATGTTCTACTATCTAGTGTGTGATCATTGCCCTCATATTGAGGCGCTTGTGACAGAGTGCAACACCAATTACCACCATGGATATAGTGTCAATTACAAGACTCGTACATTCTACCCTGGCATTCCTGACGTCATACAAGTCGGTGGACACCAGTTCGTGGAAACTAGGGTTGTGCGCATGTGGCGCACACTGATGCTTGTCTCGTGGTGAGTACACAACATCCAGCTGACTATTTTTTTTCTGATGGAAGCCTTCACAGGACATCAATGTCCAATTGCGCACAACTATATAATGTAGCGCTGAAGCAGAATGTGAAACCTCCTCCCGACTTTCCGTGGAACTTCGAACTTACAGGAGATCACGTTTGGCACGGTTTTGTGCAGCTCGCTCTCATGGAAGACTGCATTGAGCGTCACACCATATTGTCTGTTCCTCAAGACGGTGACCAGAAAGCACATTTTATGGATGCCATCAGTGAGCGCAACAACCGCATCCGAACCTATGGTCAAGAAGAACTTCGCCACTACTGTAATAAATGCACTCGCTTTCGTAGGGATGACTCAGGCACGCTCACTTCAAAATACTCAGTCGTCGTTACTGATGGTGTTACCGTTGGGCACCCATGCTGTGCCATCCACAACTGCCATGCACCTCTCAACAACAATTGCGATCACTTTTGCCCCGCTCACACTGCCACACACGCGCACAAATGTGCAATTATTGCTTGCTCCAATGACGCTCTTGCCAAGAGCAAGGTGTGTCATCTGGCAGAGCATAAAGCTGTGGAGCGCACATATCAACTGCGCGGACAAAGTCGTTTCCAGCTGCAGCAACGTCTCCAGCGCTCCCAGCTTGCACATCCCACCAACTCTACACCACAAGATGTCCCATTGGATGACCTTGTTGACGATGCTCCTCTGGAGGAAGACTACACGCTGAACATCGACACTGACGGGCATGTAGAAGCCACCGTAGCTCCAAACTCAGGGACAACTACTAGCGCTGACGACAAGTCGTCCTCTCCCAGCACAGGCAGGAAACTTTGCGCATGATTTGGATGCCGATGTACTCACAATGAGCAACTTGTAGTCGCTCCGTGTGGGATGATCTTGGCGAGGGAAACTTTCTATGGGGCAGAGGGTGTCGGCAGTGTCATTGTTCATGGACAACTGCCCATGTCGAGTTTCTGTTGCTAACTGCACTCTGTAGGAAATGATCAAGCGCGTATTCCGTTCTGTCGACATTTTTCATTTCAACTGCAAGCACGCAGTCACAGATCGATGGTGTCAAGAAAATTGCAACCCTGCTGCATTTGAGGGTCTTCTTGGCGACGACAGTGTTGGCTGGTACTTCAATTTGTCTATCGCGGAGCAGACGAATGTATGGTTCAGTGGTTATCACGCTATCTGTCGTGAGATGATTGTTCATAGATACAGGTTTTTTCTTGACGAGATGGTCATGCAGAAAAATAGGCTTACAAAGGCAAAGTTGGAGAAGGAGGGCAGGCGCCCTGGTAATTGGCCATTAGCTTAGCATATAGTTGCGCTACATAGAGTTGCACTAGGATGTTTGTCTTCATAGAGTTGTGCTAGGATGTCTTGCATGGCTGTCTATATTGTCTTCATAGAGTTGCGCTAGGATGTCTTGCGCTAGGATGTCTTGCATGGCCGTCCATATCGCTAGGATGTTTGTCTTCATAGAGTTGCGCTAGGATGTCTTGCATGGCCGTCTATAGTCTTCATAGAGTTGCGCTAGGATGTCTTGCATGGCTGTCCATATTGTCTTCATAGAGTTGCACTAGGATGTCTCAGCCGTCCATATTGTGATGGCACAAGTGATAATTTACTACATGTACAAAGAGAAATACAATAATCTATACAAGTAAAAGAGACACAACAAAGGAATGCACGAAGAGAATGTAAGATCACCCACGCACGAGGTGTTTCTTTGTGGCCCTTTCTGCAGCATCTTTAGCAGGGTGTGCTGCCATGAACTGAGACCACAAGCCATCAGGTGTCCGCCCCGCCTCAATAAATGCAACCCTTGCTGAAGGTCCTGCATGTTTCCAGCGCAAGCGATGATCGCTGATAGTCTGTGCACGATAACGGACCCCAGCCCCAAACACACTAGCAAAGGCCTCCTTCACACTTTGGCCAGATTGCCTTGCATTGTCCATGGCGACAAAGCCTGTGTTGATGTCAACGGCATAGTACCCTCGTGGCCAAGCTAGTGTGGCAGCAACTTCGACCTCGATCAGATGGTCATGTGATAGTCCCGGAGAACTCGAAGAACTCATCTCCCCATCCATTGTAGAGTAGTTGCTGCTGGCACCAAGAGATAGCTCGTGTGTGATGCGAAGGGGGCAACGCACTTGAGTAGCGGCGAGCGACTCTTGTTTGATGTGGCGGTGGCGTGGGATCTTGTCATCGGTGGTGTCTAGACTAGACGAAGACGAAATGCTGATGATGGATGGCTCCCGCTTGATGGGGGGATGGACGCTAGTAGTAGCAGGCTCTTGCTTGACATGACGTCGGGGGGTCTCATCATCAGTCATGTCTAGACCAGACGAAAGGCTGATGATGGATGGCTGCCGCTCGATGCGAGAGTGGGATCTGCGAGCAACTGAGGTTGCAGTGTGGACACAGCGGCGTTGATGCTGGGGGGGACTACTTGAAGGGGACGCAAGCTTTCGCTTGTGCACGACAGCAGGGCGGCGACCGCTACCACTCTCTGAGCTGCTGCTGGTGGGTTGAAGATGGTTGTAGTTTGTAGCATGGCGGATGTATGCTCTCTCGCCTTTGAGGTTGTTGCGGATGTGAGGTAATGCGGGTGGCTGTTGATCGATATAGTATTTATCAAAGTCGTGTGCAACCTTCACATCAAGATTCTTGAGGTAGATGTGAACACCTGGAATGGTGAGAACATGGCCGGCAGAGATTTTACTCCAGTGCTGATGCATTGAGTTGAAGTAGTGGCAGCCATTGTCAACGGAGAGGCCAAGGTTCCGAAGCCATTCGTCAGTTACCCTAACACGTGGTAGGACAAAGCCGCTCTGGAACTTGCAAATTGTCGGTGTCTCGTCAGCCTGACAGATGCATAAGCGTAAACTTGTCACCACAGTAAAACATGTACTGCAGCCCAACCAAACACCATAACCGTATTCTGGGCAGTGACAGCAAGTTCGTGGTCAAGGATTTCAACTTGGTGTTTGCGAAGGTGTTCCTCTTCTTGCATGGCATATGCGTTGGTGAAAACAGGCGGTAATTGCAAAGGATATCTTGGATTAGTGTAGAAATTGTCTTCCTGCACCGGGGCACGTTGTTTTCCCTTGCTCTTACTGGCAGCGGGAATGGAGGCAAGTGTAGTGGATGTGGAGTTGGATGGCGCAGATGGGAAAGACGAGGAGGATGCATGAGATGATGACGACGCACTGGGGCCCGGGAGTGAAGCTTGAATTAAGACCGGATCAATTACAGGCAAAGGAGGCCGTGGAGGTGCAAGTGTAGCTTGCACAGGTCCGCTAACAGCATGACCCTTGGCATCACATCCCCCGATGGCCCAACAGTGTTTTCGGCACATTGCGCTGGTACATAGAGGATGTACACGTGTTGACACACACTGAGACTCAGCGCAAGTCCCAGGCACTGGTAGTACAGGTAACGGAGGTGGCGGCATTACTGGCGGTACCAACGGGTTTGGGGATGATGATGGACTGCGAGAACCCCACCGGAAGTGTGAGCACTTGATGCCATCAGGTCCAACGAATGGACACTGGGGAGTGTAAGCACTGGCGGTCAATGGTCATCGATAACTACACCTACTAATACCATCCAGCGGCCTTGGTTTCCTTTCGCATGGGATGTAACGGTTTTCCACTGGAGTTCACCGTGACCAACTGAGCAAAACGGCGTGTAGTCTGGCTTAATAAAAGGCGTGTTTGGTGGTATGTCTGACATGGTGAGACCTGGACATTGTGAGGTAATAATTAAAAGGTACAAAATAGTAGGCTGCAGAATTAATCGTTCAGCCGCCGTGATGAACGACTCAATAAAATGTCTTACCTGTGGTAGTAACGTGAACGACATACCTTACGTCAGGCAGATGGATGTTGCGGGGTAAGAGGGAAGAAGGTTCGAGGCACTGGGGTTCGATATTATGTACTACGTTTGTGTGTGCATTGTTTACGCTCTGTTTGCATTTTGTTTGGTTGGTCGGACGGGTCGGATGGGCCGGATGTTCGGATGTCCCGGATGTTCCAGGATCGAAATATTCTGGAGATTCGACAGAGCTCAGAGTCTTCGGAGAGTGAAGTTTGACGTTGCCGCTACTGTGCCGATGTGTGACACGACGTGACCATGTTTTGCAGAATACCAGTCAGACCCTGAATTTTCTCGGCCTTCATCCGACACTCCACCACAAAATCCTTAAAATCAGCAAAAATCAGTTTCATATAGAGCAGCTACGAATCTACATCTGTGCAAATCCGTAGAAGAAAATATGATGTGGTTGAGGAATTACAAAAGATTTATTGAAAATATTGCAGAACCCCAGGAGTGATAGTATATTCGATATCTGTCTGTCGTTGTGATACTGATATATATCTCTTATTTATTCAATATGAGTAACTTAGCTACTCCCTATCTCATTAGATTACTCCCTGTTTATCCCGAGTCTCATATAGCCCTAGCCGCACTTACTTATATACGAGTCGGAGTACCAGAGTTACCTTAGTGTTTTCTGGACCCCCGAATCCCAGACTTTTACCCTGTCATTCGACCGAAAGCATTCTTCTCTCTGTGTCGTTGCCTTCGAGCTTCGCACGCTAAATAGCCAACGCCACATTTGCCCTTCCAGAATTCGAAAGAGATGTGTGAGATATGTATGTCGGGAGCTATCGTATTAGAAGGAACGACCGTTCGGACTATGGAGTACTCAGAACTTCAAAGGTGCCAGTGGCCAAGTACTAGGTTGATCAAACCATGGTGCATGCATGATGCAAGATAAGTCTGAGCAGCCGCATCTCCTCACTTCCTTCGGCTTCCCGGAATTCCAATGACCGGATGATTAGCGCCTAGTCAACGTGTTGGTCATGCCTCTGGTCTAAATCAAGGGTGTTGGGGCCGGCCTGCCTTCATCCGTTCGATCCCTTCTCACAAGTACTACTCAAGCCTTGCACCCCACTTCGCTTACACTGATACAAATTCGATTTGACTACTCGTAATGAGCGAAGAACATAGGTCAGAACCTCAAGAAGCCTCCAGATCCAGCGAAGCAACCGCTGGTAAAAGCTCGGTGCGTGGCCTCGTGAGATCACTTTAGATGAGCGCTCATGAACATCATTGCTACCTCTGACGCGTTCTTCATCCAGAGCAAACGCCGTGGCAGAGCCCGCCAGGCCCTGGGGAAATTTACGGACAGGATTTCTGTAGGTCACCGTGAATGCTTTACTGGAATAAGTTCTGATGCTGTGCAGAATACCTTCAACCGTTCCCGCAGTCGCCTTTCTGTTTCCCAGCACGTCGATCGTGAAGGTCCTTCATCGGATCACAATGTCAGGGTGAGTACTGAATACATTGTTACAGTCTCTCACTTATCTGAGGTACCTACGCTAAGGATCCGTTACTTCTGCATCCTTCTGACAACACCCATCCCACCATGTCTGACAATCCCAGTGTTAGCGCTGATCAAGTACCGTCCGCAGAACCTGCTTCGCAGGTACTTTCGTCCAATGATGTTGGACAATCAATTCCGGTGGTTGCACAGGTTCAGGCTACCACTCCTGCCGTGCAGGAAGGCGCTGGTCCCAAATCGGTTGACGATGAACTTAGGGATTCCCGCGATGCTGCGGAAGGCATGAAACTGCTCGGGGAACGTGCGACTTCTGCGGTGTCCACCGCCAACAATGCCCCAGCAGGTCTCGCTGCCGCAGACGATTTTCAGACGACATATCTACAACCCCTCAGGATTTTCGACACTGTTATCGGGAAAATTGCGGATGTAAGAGCCATTTCTGATGATCAAAACGGAACTAATCCTGTTGCATAGGTACATCCATATGCTAAGATGGCTCTTTGTGCGCTATCTTCTGCGTCCAAAGTACGTGTTTTCGCCCTGATGTTTATCTCCTACTCAACAGCTATCGATTATGTACAGATCATTCTCGCTCAAGCAGATCGCGACCAATCGGTACTTCGTCTTCTCAAGAAACTGGATGAAGTGTACGGCTTCATGACTCAAGAGGACACTCTTGGCCAGATTTCATCCATGCACAGTATTGTCGGCCGGATCGCTCAGCAGACTCAGGAGTGCGCGCGTTTCATCAGGGATTACTCTGAGACAAAGAGCTATTGTGAGTAGTCAGCCTCTGTACTTCGCACGTTGTGAATCTTATACCATTACCATAGGGAAGAGACTGGGGGAAAACATCGTCTCTGAAACGGAAGATATGATTACTCGGTACAGCGCCGCTTTAGATGAGCTTATGCAACAGTTTCGGGACCAAACCCTTCGGGACGTAGCCATCTTCGTTCAATGCACGGGTAATAATTCGGTCGTGCTTCCGACTCTGCATTCACTCACACGCCTTCAGGTGAAACACTGGATCTCGGCGATATGGCTTATGCAAAGGGTGCAGGACTAGATACTAGGAAACAATGCCTACCAGGGACGCGCACGGAGATTCTCTCCCAGATTACGGAGTGGATCAACAGCAGTGGAGATGCAGCTCAGCGTGTACTGTGGCTATCTGGCCCTGCAGGCACAGGCAAATCAGCCATTGCGCACACGATCGCTAATTGGTTCAATGAGACGGGAGGGCTCGGTTCATGTTTCTGCTTCGACCGGCACCTCGAAGCCGACAATCGTCATCAAAAAGTTTTCTCCACCATCGCTCGCGACCTCGCTGACCGTGATTCGGCGATGAAACGAGCATTAGCGGATGCAGTCAAAAATGCCACTTCACTCAAGAATACGATGGATGTCATTCAGCAGTGGCGCAAGCTTCTCATGGAACCGCTCAAGAAGTTCTCTGGGTCGAGTTTGGGACCAGTCTTGATTGTGATTGAAGCACTGGATGAGAGCGGCAGAGTGGAGACGCGGCGCGACCTTCTCCGCATACTTGCTGGTAAACTTGAGCAGCAGGGTCTTCCCCAAATCACCGAACTTCCATCCAACTTCCGGATTCTCGTCACCTCTCGCCCGCTTCGCGATATTGATGAGGAGTTTCATGGTGCCGAGCATATTCGACGGTTGTCCATGGACGACATTTCACCTGATACCGCGGATCGTGATATCCGCGCTTTTGTATCCAACGAGCTGAAAGGGCACTCGGTTTTTGGGGACAGAGAGTTTGCAATCCTCGCTACGAAAGCCGAGGGACTTTTCGAATGGGCGCGTCTAGCCTGCGAATTCATCAAGAAAGTACTTCTCGGCGTAAACCCAATGTCTCGTTTCAATGACGTCGTAAACAGCGGTGCTGGGAAGCGGAAAAACTTGTTGTATAACATGTATCGGCTCATTTTGAGAGACATCATGAACAGGGATCAATACGACGATGACGAGGAGTATGAAAAGGCATTAGCAGAGTTTCGTTCCGTGATGGGACAAATACTCAGCACGGCTGAGCCCCTGCCCTTCAATTCCCTCAATATCATGCGGGGCTTTTTTCCGAACGAAAGCAAGCACTACAACGTCAACATAGTACAACATATGGGATCCCTCCTCAGCGGCACCACCACCAACTCATGCACCCCCATCCGGCCTCTTCATGCATCCTTCCACGATTTCCTGACAGACAAATCAGCCAGCGGAGACTTCTTTGTTGAGGTGTCGAAGGTGCATGAACGCGACCTTGCGTTTGCGTCACTTCGAGTGATGGAACATGAGCTTCGTTTCAACATCTGTGATTTAACGTCCTCATACCTCCCTAATTCCGAAGACTCTGGGCTGCGAGACCGAATTGCAACATGCATCACCCCACACCTGTCCTATTCCTGTCGCTTTTGGGCTACGCACTTACGAGCGACGGACTTCGACACGGAGCTCGCAAAGGAAATAAGATCATTCTTTGACAATGAGCGGCTACTGTTCTGGATCGAAGTCCTTGGCCTCCTGAAAGCCCTCAGCGGCGCGGTTGCTGCGCGTCCACTCGTTGCCCAATGGCTAAATGTGAGCACATGGTTACTGGGCCGTGCCATGTAAAGTGCTGACGCACAACCACAGGGTCACTCTGGATATAAAGATGTCTTGTCGAGTGCATTGGATTTGCAGAGATTTGTCCAAATATTTGGCGGCATGATCTTGCACAGCACGCCGCATCTGTATGTTTCAGCGCTGCCATTCTCGCCCGTCAATTCCACCATAGCTACGAAATGTACCACAAGATTTTCGAGAAGTCTTCGTCTGACATCTGGACGTGACTCGAACTGGACAGCTGTTCAAACCGTGATCAAAGGGCATACCAGTAGCGTGAATTCAGCGTCGTTCTCGCCAGATGGGACTCGCATTGTGTCTGGTTCGGATGATACCACTGTCCGGCTGTGGGATGCAGCAACAGGGCAGCCATTGGGTCAGCCCTTGCAGGGCCACACTTCTCCGGTTTCATCAGTCGCGTTCTCGCCGGATGGGGCTCGCATTGTGTCTGGTTCGGAGGACACCACTGTGCGGCTGTGGGATGCAGCAACAGGGCAGCCATTGGGTCAGCCCTTGCAGGGCCACACTTCTCCGGTTTGGTCAGTCTCGTTCTCACCGGATGGGACTCGCATTGTGTCTGGGTTCACACGACACCACTGTGCGGCTGTGGGATGCAGCAACAGGGCAGCCATTGGGTCAGCCCTTGCAGGGCCACACTTCTCCGGTTTGGTCAGTCTCGTTCTCGCCGGATAGGACTCGCATTGTGTCTGGTTCTTCGGACACCACTGTGCGGCTGTGGATGCAGCAACAGGGCAGCCATTGGGTCAGCCCTTGCAGGGCCACACTTCTCCGATTTTTTCAGTCTCGTTCTCGCCAGATGGGACTCGCATTGTGTCTGGTTCGGAGGACACCACTGTGCGGCTGTGGGATGCAGCAACAGGGCAGCCATTGGGTCAGCCCTTGCAGGGCCACACTTCTCCGGTTTGGTCAGTCTCATTCTCGCCGGATGGGACTCGCATTGTGTCTGGTTCACACGACACCACTGTGTGGCTGTGGGATGCAGCAACAGGGCAGCCATTGGGTCAGCCCTTGCAGGGCCACACTTGTGTGGTTTTGTCAGTCTCGTTCTCGCCGGATGGGACTCGCATTGTGTCTGGTTCACACGACACCACTGTGCGGCTGTGGGATGCAGCAACAGGGCAGCCATTGGGTCAGCCCTTGCAGGGCCACACTTGTATGGTTTTGTCAGTCTCGTTCTCGCCAGATGGGACTCGCATTGTGTCTGGTTCTTCGGACACCACTGTGCGGCTGTGGGATGCAGCAACAGGGCAGCCATTGGGTCAGCCCTTGCGGGGCCACACTTCTCCGGTTTTGTCAGTCTCATTCTCGCCGGATGGGACTCGCATTGTGTCTGGTTCGGAGGACACCACTGTCCGGCTGTGGGATGCAGCAACAGGGCAACCATTGGGTCAGCCCTTGCAGGGCCACACTTGTATGGTTTTGTCAGTCTCGTTCTCGCCGGATGGGACTCACATTGTGTCTGGTTCGGAGGACACCACTGTGCGGCTGTGGGATGCAGCAACAGGGCAGCCATTGGGTCAGCCCTTGCAGGGCCACACTTCTCCGGTTTGGTCAGTCTCGTTCTCGCCAGATGGGACTCGCATTGTGTCTGGTTTAGAGGACACCACTGTCCGGCTGTGGGATGCAGCAACAGGGCAGCCATTGGGTCAGCCCTTGCAGGGTCACACTTCTCCGGTGAAGTCAGTCTCGTTCTCGCCGGATGGGACTCGCATTGTGTCTGGTTCTTGGGACACCACTGTGCGGCTGTGGGATGCAGCAACAGGGCAGCCATTGGGTCAGCCCTTGCAGGGCCACACTTCTCCGGTTTCATCAGTCTCGTTCTCGCCGGATGGGACTCACATTGTGTCTGGTTCTTCGGACACCACTGTGCGGCTGTGGGATGCAGCAACAGGGCAGCCATTGGGCAAGCCTTTGTGGGGGCACACTCATATGGTTTCATCAGTCTCATTTTCGCCACATGGCACTCATGTTGTGTCTGGTTCATATGATGGTACTCTCCGGGTCTGGTATCCAGAAAACCTACCTTTATTGCACCACTCATCACAGCCATGTGCTGGGGGGGATTCCTCTGCATTATCCCTAGATCAAAGTTGCATCATACCACCTACAGTTGACACTACCACCACATCAACCAGCGGTTACAATCACTCGATTTGCTTCTCATCAAACTTGAACCATGCGCTACACACCCCTGCTGACCTACTTGACGGCACCTCCTATCATGAATCCCAGTCAATCCCTTTCGTGCTGCAAGATGATGGATGGACAGTAGGACCAAACCATCGGCTTCTCTTCTGGACCCCACCCACTTCGCGACCACATGTCGCCTTTAATATTTCCGCTGCCTTGGTGATTCCCAGAGGACATGCCTATGTCGAGCTTGATTTGAGTCGCATGGCACATGGGAAGCACTGGTCGAATTGCCGCGATGCGTGAGTTCTTAACCTTTGCCATCCATCATAGTTAATCAAATCAATACTTCTAGCCCCCCTTGATCATAGTGTTACCACTGCGGGATCGAGTATACAGTTTGATTACTACTTGGGAAGAGGGGGGAAACGGGCCGAGGAATCGTTCGTCGACCCAGAGGTGGCGTATGGCGTTACATATAGAGTCTCCATAGAATGCGCAGGTGCCGTATGTAAATACTGCGCTCCCATTTGCGCGAGGAGTAATGCGCCGCGCCTGCTTGTGTACTTAGTGCTGATTCGACGTAAAATCTCGCAGGGAAAGGGTTGAGTTCCGTTTCGCATTCCCAACCGCTTCCAGCGTCCCTCCCATCCCATGACACCGCTCGATCGCGAAACAAGCCAGCGTGTATGTCTTGCTGTTAAACCAGTCTCCTTTTTCACCGCTCGCGTCTTCATCAACATTGAGTTTTAAGGTCTTCTGCGCCCCCTTGAGCGTGGGCATAAATCCCAATCCGTAACCTCGTCAGTACACGCAGCAGCCCCAGCATTGCATTCGTCATTCACTGTCCTAGCGAAAGGATAATACACCCTGCTTGTTGGCTATCTCCAAGCGCATATGCGAGGGGCATGGAAAGTGATGCGTGCGCTATAGCTGTAGAAGAGGTCGTGTGAACTAGGGAGAGGAGAGTGGAGAGGTGGGTTTCTCTGGAGTTGACTTCGGAGCGTTCAATGGAGATCTGTGGTATCACGAGAGATGAGCAGTGGCATTTGAAATTGGAGGGAGACTTACGGTGACGATTTCGCATAGGAGATTGGCTGTGAGTCTTACTGTGCGTTGTTTGATTTCGTCTGTCTACAAGTGAAGTCCAGAGGGGTGCGCTGAGGTAGATTGGCGTTAGGTATTGGCATAAAGATGATGAACGGCACGACGAAAGAAGTTGGGAAGGAGGACGATACTTGCGTTCGATGTCTACTCCTGCTCTGTTAATAATGCAATCCCCGCTTCGGTCCATAGTCTTCTCTTGGGTTTTGTGCCAGCGAGGTTCCGTTTCGTAGTGGCGCCGACGAGCAACGTGAGCGGGGAATATATGAGTGGGTAGATTGTGTGAAGAGTTAGGGAAGGTGGCAGAGGGATCTGGACGAGTAGGATGATTAGCATGGAGCTGTGACCAAAGACAAGGAAAAGCGTACATGAATAATATCATCCTTGAAACTCTCCAGTGCTCCGCTATTGACAATGGCATAGAGTGCGACGAATCTTTGCTTGCCGGAGAGAGTGAAACGGATGGGGCTGGAGAGGAGGGTGTGAAAAGTAGAGCGTGGGCAGGGTCTGATTGCGTGCTTTCCTCCTGTTTGGGTTCCGAATTCGAGGTGGAGCTGAGGTGATGTGCACTTGTGAATATTCGCGGGAGAGAGCATTGAAGTCGCGAGCTGTGATGGAGTTCCAACGCGGAATTTCGTCGGGTGTCCCCAAGCTCACACCATTAGTAGTTTTTACATGGGAGAGTTATGAGAGTGTCTATAGCAGTGAGGGTTGCTTGGAGGGCGGGGGCACATATAGGAGGTGCAACACTGAGATTAGCACCAGGAAGAGACGAGGGAGGCGGATTAGTCACATCTGGGTGATTAACCCTAAGTGTGTGGCGTATATGGTGCCTGGGGGATCTGAGGGAACGAAAGACGCGATGGTGCATCTGAGGATAGAACGTGCGAATTTCGAGAACGTAGATGATAAAGGGTTAGCGCGGTTTTGGAGCGATGAAAAGGCCCTTGCCGAGTACTTCCTCGACCTTGTGTATGACACTTCTTAGCATACACGACTCGTAAAAAAGGATGTGACGCACCTCAGCATAAATACCTACAGCCCAGTCAAAACCTCCCTCCTCCGAGTCAGCGCAAAACCTAATTTCCGTAACCCTCATTCTGACTTCGGCCAAACTCGTCCATGCTCGACATTCCAGATCAAGGGTGAGCGGAGAGCGCCACAGAACAGAACTAAGCAGTGTATTAATGCGCACAGGGAGAGAAAAGAAAAGTCGAAATCCGGATGAGTTGGGGGATGGGCCAGAAGCCCAGGAAGGGTCAGTAGTAGGATCGCTGGAGGTAGAAGGCGGAGTGCAAGCGTCTGGAAGCTTAGGGAGACTCTGGAGGTGGTGTAAGTGAAGACTGTTAGACGTGACGTGTATTATGTCACGTGAAATGTGACATGTCGCGCTTAGTATCTATGATTCCAACTTCCATCTGCGATCCAGGATATCCAAAACTACTGATTTCGCTCGAGAAGCGCGCAACCCACGCGCTGGACCGATCCTTGAGTGAGATGTGAATTCTTTGCTGATCGTTAGTGAGAGAATCTCTTGATAGAAGGTCGTCTAACGAGCTATGTACCTAATAAACAAGTACACTAGGAACTCGTCAGTTCTGTTCTAATTGATATGTTGAGACTATTAACCATCTCAGTCTCTTGATAGAAGCTGAGATGCGCTCGTGCTACTGCTGGCGTTCTTATAGTAAGCTATGTAGAAACGAAAAATATATCAAGGAAATAAGTAACATATTGCAGGACGCGAGCCGACGTCAACACGTCGCTCGTCAATGCTTGGACTCGGACTACCTGTCACTCTCTCACCTCAAACCATCTCGGATCGTTCGGTCTTCTTCGTCCCTGATCGCTCGGATCGTTCGGAGTCCAACAGCTGCGACATATTTATGGAGGTTGATGGTTCTAAGTACAGTCGAGGTGAACTTGGGCGAAGGGATTGCTGGTGTCCTCACCTACTTGAAGCTGCAGAGGTGCGTCTACTGTGCGATGTCAGCTTGTTTCACTGTATTGACTCACTGTATTAACTTGCCTCGCGTTTCCATAGTCGCCCAGGACATGAGGGTTTGCCTTCATTAAGGCTACAGTTGGCAAGAATACTCCCCGCGGCTGTCATTGTACCTGCGTGTCTTCTTCGACGGTAGCACACGAGTATCCTCTACACATCGGTCCTACGTGGATCTCCGCACCTTCCAAAATTCACCCCTTCGCATTCAATTGTAATTTTAAAGTCAGCACCCCTCAGCTCTCGAATCTGGCTCATAGTGCTGACGGCCCATCAGATTCAGTATCTTTTATGGGTTATTTTCTTACTGTCGCCATCAATCAGCTGCTCCTTCGTGGATTGGTGAGTGTTGTTTTTCATGTGTCGTGTCTTACAGGTTCTTATCGTCTCCCAGGTTTAGCTGCAGCCTCCAGAAGCGACATACGGAAGTCATGATCCTGTCTACTGACGTTCCCAAAGACACCCGCACTCAGGTAGAGGCGGGTCATAGCAATATCGCGTCGATACTGGCCCGGCAGAATAGTCAACTTGAACTTGTTCGAGTGTCTTCGACACTAGCCTCTCCTTCCTTCTGAATTATCTTCATGGTTCAAGGACATGTAGTACGTACACACGTACTTCGATATCGGCTGAATAAGTACACCGATTTTCTCAAGTTGTGCATTCATTCAAAAAAGTACGCAAGCCGAGTAACATGCAAGTGTCTTCTATCAATGTCACGGAATTCATGAGTTTTCTAACATATCAAAGAGTCTGGTCGAGGCAGCAGGACAATTTGTACAGAAGTAAGCATATTATCGATCGACTTCACAACAAGCTGCATATTGTGCGATCAACCACTATACCAACGAGAAAGCAGAGACACGACTCACTGTCGCAACATGTTCCGTCTTCCAAGCTCATCAGAAGATGATCACTGGCAGATCGTGCCAATAGCGTCGGGATACTATTGGTACAAGGCACAAAAGGTGAGTCATGAGGTTGAATCCCGGATGCGATGCGAACAACTCATACTTACAACTGGTAAACAAGTAAGACCTCGGCAGCATGGATCACTGAACCTGAGGTCGGTCCCGCAATGCTGTTCTCTAGCCAGGCATGAGGCTCTGACAGACATAGATGTTGTCAAAGAAGCAACAACGGCGAGGAGGAATGAGAAACGCATGACTTATGCTAAGTAATATGGGATGCGTCAACGGGGATAATAGCACTGATAATGACAGTAGCAAGACGGCTTGCTTTTATACCCCAGATTTTTTTTGTGAAGTACTCGGCAGTTCTATCAGCATGTTTGAGCCTGGCAGATTTCAGGCAGAGGGTACAGGCAGAACCTGTGACAGGGTCGGCGGATGAACAATCTGACTGACTAGCTCTGATGCCATAGTACTTATTTGTGTTCCCCGCGGAAGCTAGTGAGAACTCCGAGCGGCGCAGTTACACCTGCCACTGGCTGCGCTCTTGATGTTTTTCGACCCATTCCGAAACTTGAGAGAGGGTCGAGCTCCGCCGGCAGGAACCTTGTTCACCAGTCTTAGTATAAAATAGTAATCGCTGAACGACTCGGAAATTCCAACATCTGGAGCAGGCAGGATCCCTTAAGCTTTTTTCTTGTAGGTCACACATGATATCTAAAAGACAAGCCTACAATAATAGAAGCTCAAGGGACGAAAGACTATAGTAGTCGACGTATTGAACAAACACACCTGTTCTGACTACCCAATACGATTGGTCTTGATGAGGCTGCGAGGACCACTTACGAAACGCACTTGCGCGGAAGGCAATTCAGGCAATGAACTGTTAGATCTACTTCCGACATTTTCGTCACCTCCCGGAATCCCCGTGTGCGCAAACCTCGCGCAGGAACCTAGCCACCCTGGGGGGACGGCATGCAGGGGTGCGTTTTCACGAGTAACGGATGTAACAATCGTAGCAACCCGAGCCCTTCGTGAACTGCCGGACCGAAATGCACAAACATCTTCCCGAACATCAAAAATCGCCGTCTCGTACAGCAAATAGCGGGGCCGGATAATTAAATGTGTTGGACTGCAACTTGTACCATTTTTCAGCTTGTCGACCACGTAGATGCTACTAAAGAGCAGAAGAGATCTCACCTCAACCAGAGGCACAAATAAAGCTTCCCCCCTGCTGTATTCAGAGGCACTGGTTGCTTGAGATACCGGCTTATGTTCGTTTTTTTCTGCGAGCGCTAAGCGGGCTAGCCTCCCGTAAACAAATCAAATACGAGGGAGATACTCGTTCATTCGAGCGAGCGTCAGACGATTCGAAGGTGATCAATGATGGAACAAGTCAAATTTGAGACCTGGGCATGTAAATAACTTTCGTACCATCCCATCCCCAGAGATATTGATCCCATATCACATCATACAATGTGTTTCTCTTTCGTCCTCGCCGACGTTGCCGCTTTGACTGTATCTATGCCAGTCAATGCGGCATGTGTCAAGGGGTGCTGCACCCTTGACTGCCAATTGTCTGGAAAAAATTGCAGTCGAGATCAATCTTTAGAAGTGAGTATGAGTAATCTGCATTGCATCCAGAATTTTTGACTCACCGGCCTGGTAGGTTCCATTCATAAATGGTTGTCGATATCGATAAGTCAAGCGTGAGTGGCGAGTCGCATAAGTGAGTCATGTTTCTGCTTTCGAATCGGTGCAGTGTGGTTGATGCACCATACACTAAGTCGTCCGTTGCTGAGTTGATCAAAGTGCTCGCTTCCGGGCAACGTTTGAGCAATTGAGACCTTGGAATAGAGGAACATTCAATATGTTATTGACCTGAAAAATACATCTGACTGAAGTACTTACTATGTATTGGTCTTGTTGTGAGCTTAAACATCAAAAGCCTCATGGGTTGACATAACATGCAATCACTCGTAGAACGGTGACATTCCTGCTCGAACAGTACTACGAGCTCTCGAAGTTACAAGCAGTTCACAGTGGCGGTTCGATTAGATTCGAGTCACAGACCCCGAGACAGGAATGTTCGTGACCATCACATTACCGCTAGTGCCGGTGCAGAAAACGTTTAGCGTTTATGTGCCAGAGGGAAAGAAGACCCTCACTCGCAGCCAGTTGCTGCTAACGAAGTTCTACACACCAGTGTAATACATTCACAAGGACACACAAATAATCGAAAACTCACTCCTTGAATGTATATGTTGCACTATCCAGGCCTGGGACATGGCAAAAATCACATTTGTGTACGAAGTTCACGAGAGCCTTGTGCTTGCTTACACGGAGTTATGGATGTCGGAGTGTCAAAATCAGGTCTGCACCGCCACAATTATGCCTTTGGGTGATAAACAAGATAATGATGCCAGTACGTTCGAAATTAATCGGCTTAGAGTGCACATAATCCATCAGACAACAAGCTTGATTCACCACGCGCAAGTTACTTATGGAATACATAGAACAAAAACGAAAGCAAAACGCAACGCAAAGATGGTCGGTCCATGTTCAGAGCGGGTACATTTAGTATCTCCTGTCGTAGTCGCGACCACCACGATCATAGTCACGACCGCCGCCTCCGCCTCCGCCGCCACTGTATCCTCGGTCATAGTCACGGTAGCCGCCACGATCGCCACCACGATCGTAGTCCCTACCACCTCCTCGGTGATCATCAGGACGACCTCCTCCACGACGGCGGTCATCGTAGTCCCGGGAATAACGGCTGTCGTAAGGACGCGGATCGTATGGGCGCTCATCTATTCGAGAGCTGAGCAATTGCGAAAGGAGACTCTGCAAACACTTACTGTCATGGCGTTTAGGGGGACCGTAATACCTTCCGGGTGTCGGAGTACGTGCACGTCCTCGACGGGCCTAAAACACCGAATCCATAAACGTTGGCAGAATCCAAAAGAGTGCAGCATACCCTTTCTACGGTGCAAGTCTTCCCCATGAGGTCAGTCGCATTGAGCGCGGTGATGGCAGCATCCGCCTCCTCAGAAGTCTCCATGGTGACAAATCCGAACCCACGAGACTCGCGGGTATGCGGGTCATACATGACCGAGGCCTTCTTGACCTATTTCAATTGGGTTCAGCGCCTATATTCCACAAGATATCCAGCACAACGCGCACACGGCCAATTTTAGCGAATGCTTGCTCAAGGTCACGGGTATCAACACGGTGACTCAAGTTCGAAACGTGAAGATTGTTTCCAGGGTTGTGACCACCGCCCCCACCGTCGCCACCTCGACTACTAACATGATTAGCATGAAGAATGACAACAAAACACCAAGCCCACTCACCCTCTATCGTCTCGTACCGGACTCCTGCTGCGGCTAGAGCGCCTAGGAGGCTCGCCCCCACGGTCCCTACCGGGCGAGCGAGCACTCCCATTCCAGTTTTGCTCCTCCCTACCAGCAGGTCCACCATTCATATTCGACTCGTGCGTGGGAATGCTAATCCCAGAAGGTGCAATATCTTGTGATTGCCAGGCTGAATAGGCGGAAAGGATGAAAACAAGATCAATGTCGATTCATGGCGGTGGGTAGAATGGTGGAGGAGGAATGGGCGATTATACTGTGTCGCGCGCGTGCGTCATAGAGCACGCGAACGAACTATTGAGGGCGCACATGCATGAGAACTCGAGAAGACTCGAGTTGCGCATCAGTTTTTTTAGACAGGTGGTTATCGGCCTTGAGCCGATATTTGGTGGTGAAGTGCCATCCGACTTCAAGAATGGAATGAGACTGGTGAGAAAAATAGTGCTGGTATGTACGAGGCGGTTGTGCCGGAACAGAAGAAAATATTGAATGCAGAACTGGCTGTTGTCGTCGGGGCTGATGCTGAAAACGTACCGTCATCCATTGTTGCTGTCCTTGTCGATGTTGTCGGCGGTGGTAGTTGAGAGAAGAAAGCAGGAAAAGTTGAGACCTCATTACAAAGTATTCACAGGACAAACACGGGTACACAATGTCACGCCACTTGTGTCTATGTCCTAGAGTATCGATAATCTATGCATTACAGGGTATGATGAAATGTTCTTCCTAGATAAGTCGACCGCTCGACCAGCCTTGATATGTCGCACTTTGCTTGATCCAATTGACAAGTTCGTCTCGCCGCACCTTCATACCCTGATCTGCCGACTGGACCTTTGTCTTCTTCCCATCTACGAACTCCCACTTCTGTTCTTTAACGGTCACCAAACCTTCCTTGAGTTCATCGCCGCCCAAAATAACAGCAAAAGGAACTTCATCCTTTTCTCCAGCCATGAACTGCGCAGTGAGCTTTGGCTTCTTCTTTGCGAGGAAGTCGGTCTAAAAGGACATGTTAACACATGAGTTAGATAATGACCGCCTGACTGACCTTTATGCCCGCTTCTCTAAGCTCTTGCACGAGCGTGATTCGCTCTTCCAGTAAGCCATCACCAGCAGCCATCACATACACCATCGTCTCCTTACTCCGCATCCCCTTCTCCACCCATTTTGGCCACACAATCGCAAAGATCCGGTCAAGACCAATGCTCACTCCAATGCATGGGAGCCCTGGCGCCTTCTTCCCCTCACCAGCAGCCGCGGCAGTGAACATACCGACCAAGTTATCGTATCGACCACCAGCAGCGATAGACCCGACACCAACCTGCGATTCATCTAGTTCATCCTCTTCGCCGTCATCAGCTTTGGCTTTTTTGGATGGCTTCGTTTTTGAGGGAGCAGGGGCAGCGGTGTCGTTTGCATTTGCGGCAAATCCTGGTGGTGCTGATGCTTCGACGGTCGCTTCGTAGATAATACCAGTATAATAGTCTAGACCACGAGCGAGAGACATGTCGAATGAGATCTATACCTCTGTTAATATCATATTCTGATTCACTGATGGCGAGCTTACTTTGTCGAGCACTTTATAAGCTCGCAGGAGAGTAAAGAGAATGTCCATGTCTGCAATGCCCTGCTTCGCGCTCGGGTTTGCCATCAGACTTGCATCTACTTTCAGAAGGTCGAGCAACGACGGGCCACCTGTAAGACGAAAGTGATCAGATATTCGAATTCCGCATAAATTCGAGGTTGCCTACCTTTGTGCTTGACATACTCCCCGATCTTATCAGCAACATCTGGAGAAAGTCCCTTCTCTTCTGTCATTTCTTTCTTTACTTCTAGCCAGGGAAGCTACACACAGTGAGAAAACACCATCGCGGATGCATGTTCGTTATCAACTAACCTTGTCCAACTTGTCCACAGCCGAGGATATCGTTCGAATCTTGTCCTGTGGCACACCGCAAACCTCGAATATCCCATCAAGGATTTTACGGTGGTTTAGCTGAGTTGAAAGCCGTCAGGACAAATCCAGAACTTTTTTGATTAACTTCACCTTGATCGTAAATTCTCCAACCTCCAATCTCGTCAAGATAGTGCATAGAAGACTGATAATCTCAGCATCTGGGATCATTGGGTCCCAGACACCTGTGATGTCCAAATCCTGCGGCGAGTTAGATAAGGCACTAACGGCACGAGCAAGAAAATATATACCGCTTGCGAGAACTCGCGCATTCGGCCTTTGGACACAACAGGGTTGTCTCTCCGATAGACCTTGCCGACTTGCCAAATCTTCCCTTGAATCGTAGCCCCAGCCATAGCTAGATACCGTGCCAGGGGAACGGTATGATCGTAGCGAAGCGCAAGCTGTTCACCACCCTGATCCATCAAGTCAAAAATGAGTTTCTGGTCCTCGCCGTACTTTCCAGCAAGCACATCCTTGCGCTCGAACACAGGCGTGTCGAGAGCGCTCCCGCCGTAGGACGTGAACGCATCCTTTACGATACGCTCGACATGTTCCCGGCAGAACATCTCCGCTGAGCCATAATCCCGCGTGCCCTAAGCAGCCTACTTGAGTACCCCTCAGAGGTGTATGATCGTGGTGCACATTCGGACACACCTTTGCGGTTTTGAGGAGTAGCCGTTCCTTCTTCTTCCCGGCATCCTTGCTCCCGCCTGCATTGGAAATCGCAGCCATTGTTTTCTTCAGTTCACCCAGTCTCTTCTTGGCAGCGTCTATACTGGACGCCTCGGCATTTTGTAGTCGGAGATCGTTCAGTGCAATTGTTGCTTGTGCAATTTCAGCAGTGAGTGAATCTGCAGTTTCGGTGGCCATTGTACGTGTCCCGATAGTTTTTGGTATCAGAGTACGAATGTTAGGGATCAATCGATAGGATCTACAAAAAGCGCGACTAGACAACATCCAAAAGTGATAAAAATATGATCAGAGGAGTGACGTGACTCGAACAGGACCCCAGAACCCCGTTCAGGCAGGTTGTGTCGGGGGTACATCAAACACCTTACGGCTTCAATCCCAGGCTTCAGCTTGTTCGACTTCTCTAACACGAGAGCCTGGTGTTTGACGCTTGTATACTTGACCGCCAAACACCAGGTAAACTTGCACTCAGGGCATCTCATAACACTCTTATACTTTTCTGCATCTTCTACCTCGTTCAGAATGTCCAAGATGCACCTGGGCTTATCGGGCACTCTATGTGCACGCGAAGAGGGTCGGACCCCTTAGCGTGCGTATACAGTACTTGGTCAGCCCCCGTATCATGGTAATAGTACTAATTTCTCCTGAACTGATTGTGGCATGGGTCATGCGATCGTCGTTTTGCAACACAGTTTGAAGAGCATTTCAGGATTCGTCCCAAGAGCAGTCTGACAGTGGGTCTTGCTCCCTGACCCTCCGGATATGTTCGTTGGGCAATTAAGCATGTACTTCCTTGGATGATGTACATGCAGAGAAGAATCAAGGTGACCTCGACGCTCAATGTGTTCCCGATTGTCATCCAGGAATGATCAAGTGGGATCAGAGACGTGACTCGATCAGGGCCTCCGATCCCCGTTCAGGTGGCTTTCAGGGTATTTACGTCAGGAAACTTGGTGGCAGTACCCAGAAATCAGTTCCCTTGCAGTACTAGTCCACCATGCCATGCACGAGAGCCTGGTGTTCGATAGCAAGAAGGTGCCCTGTACATGCACAGTGCGTGAAGCCACATATCGTTGTCCACAACCAGGTTATATGTCCAAGTTCTAACGGTTGACATACTATCTCGTTATTCTTCACAAGCTTAAGGTTCGGAACCACTACTGGTTTACGGGAATCCTTGAAAACCGATTGCGCCGCGTGGTTCACGCAAGCGTCGAGGATGCGATCTACATCGCATCCTTGAATCTTTCTTCTCCCGCTGTCCTACCTACACCCTCTTATTTGTTTGTAAGTCATCTTGCAGTTGTTTTTGTGCCCATGTCCACAGACTTATTTTGAAACAGAGATGAAGATAGCTATTCGCTACGATTGATAATATGCGCGTCTCTCGCCTTTATTTTAGAAGAGCCACGACAATGTTATTAACTCCGTCTCCACGCCGCGAACACCAGGCAAACTTGCGCTAAGCGGCGCATTGCAAGCTCCGGCGTGACTCCTGCTGGCGAAATACTTATACTAATACTGCAGTAAGTTCCAATGAGCACGACGTCTTCTCCCTGGCCGAGGCATTCAATAATGTTCTTGCTTTTCTGCACTCTCTACCTCTTTCGAATTATTCAAGCCACACCCATTAATATAATCGATGCAACTACCACCGCTGATAGTCCTGGAATCACAATCGCAGTCGCTCGCGAACAGAGAACCCTGTGGAGCATCGTCTCTGGTTGTCTTCTGATGATTTTCGCATGCGTATACAGTGCCATCCATCCCAATCTTCCGAGTCCTAGGGACAGCCCCATTCGTATTTTAGGGCGACGATTTGGCATCATGGTAACGGGGCTAATCTTTCCTGAACTGATCGTTGGATGGGCTATGCGCCAGTTGCTCTGCGCTCGTCACATTACAAGACAGTTCAAGAAGCATTTCAGTGTTTATTCCCAAGAGCGATCTAAAAGTGAGTCGTGCTCTCTAATACTCAGGTCATGTTGGTCGGACAACTCATTATGTACTTCTTTAGACGAAGAATGTACCGACGCACCCGCAGAGGAAAATGAAGGTGAACTCGATCGTCTTGCATCCTTAGTATGCTCCCTGATTGCTTGTCTATGTCTCAAGATCACGAAAGCACCTGGTCGCTTATAACGTATCCTGAAGGTGAACCAACTTGTCTAGTTATTTCTTCGGCGGAGTTCATAACACTCCACTTTAGAATATGGGAGAACTTATATGCCTGCGAAGACAAACAAAAGGTGGCTCGAGCCTTATGTTTCAGATCAATCTGAAGGCAAGTCTAGCTCGTGCTCTCTCGAACCATTCCTGAAATTTCGCTCATGTGTATCCTTAGATTATGCATGGACTCAGACTCACAGCTTCTTTGTTCTAATGGGTGGTTTTATGCTCTATGTGAACGGAGAACCCTACCACACACTATCACCCTGATCAACTTCTCGAGCTGCTACGTGAAGGACACATCGATGTCCCTGTCCTAACGGCAAAGCAGATTAAGGACAAGAGCAAAGGGAATCTGATCTCAAAAGGATTGGCCATCCTTCAGGTGGCCTGGTTTGTTCTGCAACTCATTTCCCGCGTCATTTTTCACCTCGAAATTACCCAGCTTGAAGTGGGGACACTCGCTTTTGCAGTTTTCACTTTCATCATCTATGCTGTGTGGTGGAATAAACCACTCGATGTACAATGTCCTCATCCAGTTCATTGGAAGTCGGACAGGTCAAGGCTGAAGGACTACTTTTACTGAGTACGTTAGCGCCTTTTGAAAATTTGACCACTGCTGAATATGTGCGCCTTAGAGGCCCTGAAATGGACAACTTCAAAGTGTTTGGGGAGATCGCCGTTGCGGTCTTTAGCGCTCTTTCCCAACTCGCATTCAACGGGCCCCTTTCCACTTCAAAGCTACGAGTTCCAACATTTGATAGCAGCGCTGACCCAGAAGTCCGGGACGCCATAGTGGCTGGGTTCGCTTCACTGCTTATGGCAAGCATCTTTGGCGGTGTCCATTGTTTTGCTTGGTTTTTTGCCTTCCAGACACATCAAGAACAGATCTTATGGCGCGCGAGTGCCGTTGCTATAACTTGCATGCCCTGGCTTTTTTGCTTTGTGTTCTTGCTTGGTTTAGATGTTTGGCCAGTAGGTATAATTGCAGTTGCTTGGAGCACTGACGTTTCTATTTGTAATACTTACCCTGCTGTATGGATCAGCACGCGCCATCCTATTGACACTCATGGTCACCAATTTGCGCAATCTTTCTCCTAGCGCATACGAGGCAGTGTCGTGGACTAATTTTATACTGCACTTGTAGTTCTTGCTTATGATGCACTTTTCCTTCATCATATTAAGGCGATGGCAGTCTATATCGAAAGAGTTGATCATCGTGGCCTGGTTTGTTCTGCAGCTCATTTCCTGTGCCATTTATCACCTCGAAGTTGACCGCGTCAAAGCTGGAGGACTAATTTATGAGTATATCGCGCCTTCAATCAATTCTACCGCCGCTGACTACCCGTCGTTGCAGTTTTTAACCTACTATCTCCCGTGCGACGGGGCCCTTTCCTCTTCAAAGCTGCGAGTTCCAACGTTTGATAGCAGCGCCGACTCAGAAGTCTGGGAAGTCGCAGCAGCTGTGTTTTCTGGAGTGTTTATGGCAACCATCTTTGGTGGCATTCATTGTATCGCTCGGTTCTTTGCCTTCCGCACGAATAGATCTTATGGCGTGTGAGTGCCAACACTATAACTCGCTGCCTTGACTTTGTTGCCTTGAATTGTCAATATCGGCTGTTTACTTATTGAAATCAAAAAGACCTTGTCAAATTCATAGCTTCGCACAGAAGACCGTTGGTCAGTACATAGGTGCCGCGACTTCGAAAAGAGTCGCTCGATGGAAGAAATGAAATGGTACCTGGAATGGGAAGGACGTTACTGGAGTCTTCTTGCTTCTTTTCTTCTTTGGCCTCCCTTGGGTCCGACTTTTCTGCTAACCAAAGTTGTGGTTGCTAAGATAAGTCTACGATAAAGACCAGGAGGTCATCAATGCATCATACTGAAAGTTGACCTTCTCTCACGTTCCCCCGAACTTCACCATAGATCTCGCACACGGAGCTTTGGTCGTGGCTCTCCTTGCCATAATCGGTGTGATGACAGGTTTTGCCAAGAATAAAGCGCGGGGACGCCTCCCTTTACCTCCTGGTCCAAAGCCCCTGCCCATCCTTGGCAACCTGCATCGACTTTCCTTGGATCACATACGAAGAATGGAGTGATACCTATAGTCTACCTTCCCCCTTCTGTGAAATCTCCGATGTCTGATAGAGTTCTAGGCGACATTGCGTACTCTCGTATCCTCAATCAGGATGTTATCATCTTGAACTCTGAGAAGGTAGCGCGAGTACTGCTTGAGCAGCGCTCAAGCAACTATTCTGACATGCCCCGCTTTGCTACATTGGAATTTCAAGTAACATGATCCGTGATTTGAGACCTACTCATACTGCTGCTCTTCAAGGTTTGGTATTTCATTTAGGACAATCATGCGAAGCTATAGTGATATTTGGCGCATGCACAGGTGAGTATGGATTGTACGCTCCTTAGCGTTGCTTATATAGCACATCTTTTAGACGAATATTCCATCAAGCCTTTCGCCCTGAAGCCGCTGTTATCTACAGACCTATGCAGCTTCACAAAGCGCACCAGCTCTTAGTCGATCTTCTCCATGACCTGGCTAATTATGAACCGCATCTTGGAACGCAATCAGCGTCCATTATGTCTGCTATCTATGGCTACGACACGAAGCCCAGTGATGCTCTCGTCTCCATTATTCAGGGAACAATGGATAGAATTCTTCATGCCGAGACCCCGCACAAAGCGGCTATCATCGACGCCTATCCTGCCTGTAGGTTGTATTTGCAGTTTCGAGATTACCTTGATAGAATGCAAAAGTAATGACCTTAATCCCTGCCTGGTTCCACGGAGCATCATCCAAGCGCCATACTTTGGAACTGAAGAATGTGCTTAACGATACGGTTGAGAAACCATTCGAATATGCTTGTCTTTGTACAGACAATGGTTCTCAATCCAAAAGTTCAGAAACGTGCTCAAGCCGAAATTGATCGTGTCGTAGGATCTGACAGACTCCCCGACTTTGGTGATCGCCCTTCTATGCCATAGATTGAAGCTGTTCTGCGAGAAACGCATGTGCCATCCTCTTGATACTTATCGCCCAACTCATTTCGGCTCTAAGGTAATCACCGGACTTTCGACGCAAATAGTTGCCGGCGAGAATGAGTGAGAATTTGAAAATCCGACGAAATTCAGTTATAAAGCGAAACGTGTAACTCGTATCTCCCGATAATCTACAGTCGGTTACTTGTTCGAGACTTAGAGAAACGGGCGCCGCAGATTATATGATAATACGAACAGATCAAAGCGTAGACATGAAATTCGTGAGATGCACTGTACGTCCCAATTCTTCACCACTCGCATCAAAGTCGTTTGACGTACCCATCCTGCTGGATATCCCGTGTCTCCCTCCACACACCCTCCGCATCCTTCTTACGCACAGTAAAACAAGCGATACCTAGAAATTCCGTGATATCCCTGATGACTAATGCACAGAAGCGTGCATAAGTGATGAATGAGACCGCGAGTGTCAGGTAGATGAACACTGCCGTTCGCTTAGGTGTGGATTGTATTAGTGACGGCCTATCATCGAGTCAGCCTCATCAACGTTGGTGAACTAAACCTATGCTCACTTGTCAAACAAGAAGGGGATTTGGGCATCGATCACCCCGACAACACTCCATATCCACATACTGTGCCACAGGGGAAAGGGTGCACTTGTAACATGGCTTAAAATCATCCTTCCTACTTGATGAGCAAATTGTAAACCCCATGCACAGAGAAACGGTAGGAAGAGTGGTGAGTGAATGATGGCAGAGTCATGGTAAGAGGGGCTGAGCAACCAAAGAATCTGGAGGGCCGCTGAAACGACAAAGGGCAAGAGATAGATGAGAGGCTTGAGACTCGACTTTCCGGCAGCTTTGGTAGCTCGGATGACGTTGCGGTAGCTGAGAAGGCGTTAATAGGTATACGGCAATGGTCACTGGCGCATTCACCTTGAGATAATATTGAAAGCCAGAGCGAAACCAGCAAAGACCATGAAAGACTCATTAAGACCAAGGTTAGGAACGTGCTGAACAACTTGGGGTATTCTATCAAGATGAGTGAAAGTCAGGAATTTCTTGTCCCAGAATGTAGGACCTGTGATGCGAGTGAGATTGACGGTCTTGTCTAAGACTACTCTCTTACCAAAAATTCCCGATACAACATAGATGATAACGATCATTAAGATACCTTCTACTGGACCTGAGAAAGGACCGAGGTACAATACTCCTGGATTACAAGTCGATAGATGAACATGACTTGCACATGATACTAGACGCACCAGTGTGGTATTCTTCCCATGTGGTCAAGTAGAAGTTGGCAAGAGTAGCTATTTGCGATGCAACAGTCCACCATGAGCGGCCAAGGTTGAGCGCACGAGATGCAAGAATGACCTCGAGCTGGAACAAAAAAAAGTTGAAAGGATGAGATGAGAAACAGGACTCGACCCAGGCAACATACAGTGGTGTTGAGCGCATCGCAACCTGCGAAACAAAGTTAAATGTCGGTACGTGCCAGAAAACGCGCACTCAGACCATGATCAAACATTTCTCCCAAAGGACCAGCCATCCCCGTTCTCCTTGCCTGCTTCCTGCACTTAGATAAGCATCGATGTGGACTGGATGCGAAGGCATCCACTCACCCATCTACTGCATCGAAACTCTGGTACATGAACAACCCGATCGCCCATCTAATTTTCGAGGGTCAGCATCACACGAGCATGATTCGAAAGAAACAATGTGCACGTGAAGTAGATCCACTGAGGAGGCCCGGTTGCCCCATCCTTCTCTGTCAAGTAAAGAGGGTCGTAATATAGCAGTGTGAAGACATTAAATGCGACGATGCATAGACCAAGCAAGGTTATCTGGGCGAGCTTGACTTCTCAGCTCTTGACGATAATCATATCAAAACATACGGTATTTGGAGCAACGGTCAGTGGCCAGAGCTTGATGAACCAATTCCAATACGGCGTAAGGAGATAACGAGAAACCAAAGATCTTATTCTCAGAGCTCAGTATCCCAACGAAAGAGAGCTTGGAACAGTACCCACTCATCTACACCTTTGTAGGAATATTTTTTGAGATTTTTGAGTGCTGATTGTGAGAGGTAACCCATGGGAGATCCGTAACACTTTCCGCTGAATGGGGTGGAGTTTGTAAGTAAAGTTGGAAACCAATTGGAAACAATCAAACGCGTAGAACAGACATGAGCGAAGCAGAAACTATCTCAGGATTCTCAGCATATCTACTCCAAAATTTTGACCTGAACCTGCTTGCACGTGCGTCGACACGTGATAATTATCACGTTAACTCGCACAGCCACTTCATCTCGACCAGCCTTATTGACGAAACGCGAGCGGGAACTTTGGAAGGGCCATCAGAACCTGAAAACTCCGAACGTTTTCCCCATGTGCTATTAATTAGGAGGCCCACGAGGAGGTTGACCAGGCCTCGATTCATTGTATCTACTATTAAAGAGCGCACATCCTGAAACTGAACCTTGGTGTTTTTGCCATGGACTGGGCAGTGATTTCTTTGTGCCGACATGATGCAAGCCCCCCAAGTTGAATCACTCAGGCAGAGAGGGCGGCTGCTACTTCGACGTTACCGAGAAATGATAAAATACATGTAAATGTTTTTAGATATCTTTCCAACGGCATGATGCTCGAACCCGATGTCCGCATTGTTTTCAATAATCTCCAACTGAGGTGAGCCTGCAGAGATTTCCTTGTGTTCATCAATGCTTCAGCAATTAAAGAAAGAGACACAATCAAGCAGGCGGCGGGGCGTGGGGATGCCCTCGCGTCGCACGAGCTCCTCAGTGACCAGGTGACAGGGATAGGCATGCTATGCGTCCGCACAACGACGAGGGCGTCGGCTGCTTTTGATGCGCTAACTAACTGGGTTCAAGAGTTTTGCGATGGTGGCTTGCACGTTCATGGTTAGGCATGGGGAAGCCACCGGTTGCCTGCGTGTAAGTTTCATGCTGTTCTCTAGAGTATGAACACCACACTATGATACAAGGCTGCTAAGCGGGTTCTTTAATTGATATGCGAGGGGGGGGCGTACTGAACTCACCTTGATCTGATTCGAGGTCACTGCAGTAGGCCGCCCGGCCTGACTCCTGAGGCCTGAAGCTCCAAGGCCGTGAACGTTGATACACCATGCATCCTGTATCATATGAGCCAGGTCCAAGAAACTCCTGCTGCTTGAGATCATAAGCAACAAGAATTACTTGAGCCTGGAGTCCGTGTAAGGAGTCTCAAAGGAGATGTCGGCAAATATAAATCGGAGTCTTATTAGAATCCCGCGAATATTAGACGCTTGGACCTCGTCAACGATGCTGCACGAACTTCCTACTGAAATAGCGCTCTACATAGCATCTTATCTCCCACTACAATCTCTTCGTAGTGTCTTACTCGTGTCCAGTAAATGGCATAGTCTGATCGCAGATAATGTCCAGGCAGTTTACCGCAACGCAGCAATCTTACATTGCTTCATCCTCCCTGCCGATCTCCAGGCAGAATCCTTTGATCAGAAATCAAATTCGAAGAACAGAGATTGGACAAAATTCTGTTTGTGCTTCGTCTAGTGCAGCTGGCTCTGTTTGACCATCTCTACTAGGTCAAGGACGATTGCAGATCGAGAGGGGTTGGCGAGGCAAGGCTCCTTCCGTCGCGAAAGAGCTCAATGCCACCGGCAAATTCGTGCATCGAATGAAGGTTGACCAGAAGCAAAAGTTTGTGATAACTACCCGCCATACAAGAGGCCTCTCCGTGACCGATTACAGTACTGACCGCGTACTTTGGGAAACAGTAAGTCAACCAATATGTCCGTCCACCCCATCCTGAATTATAAATCAGAATCTTGTAGACGATTACGCTCACTGCGAATACGAACATGGCTACATTATCTTCAATCGTCATGACAACTGCAAGGAAGTATGGCGGTACGCCCATGACTTCCAAGACTCTGACATCCCAGAGGACTTCAAACCTGACGATCCTATGATCAATGCATCCCAGGATTCTGCTCGGCGTTTTGCCTCCTCAACAAATCGTGGCCATTTCAGACCATGGGCCCTTCTTCAGATGCCTGAGTTCACCCGTGCATTCCGCTTCTCGTATCCAACCCTCCTTTCGGCTGGCGCAATCAATGCTTATTTGTGGGATATCCCGACCTCCCGTCTTGTTGAAACGATCAGCAATATACAGGCGCCGAACCAAGACGGGATGCTAGGGCGCCTTAACTACGTCGAAGTCAACGACCACTACGCTTTCTTCTGTGGGTCCATTCAACTGCGCATCTTTGCGAGGGGTGGGGGGGCCTTGGTCTATCATCTAGCCATGAAAGATTTGCCAAGTACTAACTGGGACGTACTTCCGGATAGCAACGATGTCCCATGCACTTCTTCTCTCTACCAGCCTCAACGCCTTCATGAAACATTCCACGTCTCTGAAACATCTCAGAGCCACTTTGTCGCAGGTAAGTTTTATGTGTCGAATTACGTCATCTACTCACTATGTGCGCAGTCCACGTATCTTCCTCGGGCAAAGACTTGGCAGCCCTTACCGCATCAGGGATCTTCGTTTGGATCCCCGGCTTCGAACGACTCATCCATCGCGAGGCCACTCTCAACGATATAGCAACCCTCCTCAACTTTAATCCCTCCCCCGATAACCCCCGAGACATCTCCATCTATCTGGCCCTCGGAGAATCCAACGAAAAAGCTGCAATCGCAACCGTAAGTTCCCCTCTCACGCGCGGACTTCTCGTCGCTCAACCTATCGCAGCGCAAGGGTCTGTTTATCGTCTCCCTAGACTCCGAAATCAGCAAGTTGACTGCAGAGCCCCCACCCCGCCCTGGCGTATCTGTCTGCCGCGTCAAGAAATACGAACACAGCCGACACCTATCCTTCATATCATGTCTGCAAATGACGCAGACCGGCCTCTTTTTCAACTGGTTTCCCTCTTCCGAGCAAAACAGGCTCTCTCAGCCTGCACGGCGTCTCACGGTGCCTGGACATGCGCCTTTTCAGGCTATTCCGGCTCAATATTTGCCTGGGTTTGAGCCTACTGTGTCTAGTGATGATGATGAGCCAGGCGAAGAAGCAGCTCCTGATCCGCCCTCTCCCGTCAACACCGAGCAAGCTGGCCCGCCTTCACTGGTCGAAACGCATGAAGAGGATGAGGACCATGAGGACGATATAGCGGTTCTCGCAGTGGATGACGACGAAGCGGACGATTTCGACATGGACGAAGCAGAGGATGAGGTGATCGGTGATCTTCAGTTCGGTGGGGATGGTAAGTGCTTGTTATATCCAGAAGAGTTCTTGGTCTGATGATTTTTATGCAGGTTTTATGCAGGTCATCGTGAACGATTGGTTCCTTCCTATTAACTCGAGTATGGTGCATTGTATACATGTCTGACTTGTCGCCTTGTCAAAATCTCCTGGTGTATTTGTACAGAATGTAAGGTACATTTCATTTTTACTGCAGTTCAGAACTTGCATCATCTCCCGTTGTCATGCACGACGTCCCTCCTGTGTCAGTAAAAGTTCTTTTAAGCTACCAGAACGCGACCGTGGCTTTGACGTTGATATCTCTATATAAATTTACAGTTATAACACCCAGACTGATAAACGAGGTTCCTGCTAGTACAGCTCGACTCTTGACTCAATTCCCAATTTGGCATCGACTGAAAGTTGTGGCGCAGACGAGGCGCATTTGCAGGTCTGGCTACTAATCACTCTTTCACTTACGATTAATCGTCCACACAGAGCGCACGTAGAAGGCAGACGCGATTGTGCAAATGCAATGGATTTTGCGACAAATCAACGTCACAGACGGTATTTATTTGAGCCTGATGACATTCAAACCGCTATTGGAGGTATCGACTTAACAAGAAAAATTACTCCAGTTTGAACCCAGGACTTTTTCGACAACAGTTCTTTTGTTTGGCTGAGCGGGTTTCAGCTGATTATAATACAGTTCTCGGTCGAGGTCTCTGACAATAGCGTAAAATTACAGAGTCACGCCTGTCATCCCAGCAGCTACCGATACATCGTATAACATTCATGAAGCGAAAGACATAGTATGTACAAAGAGCTATTAAAGTCGTGAATCATCCCAGAATCACTACGCACATCGGACCGACCGAAGGTGACCATCTGATACTATCAAAACAATTTTCGTGAAAGCATAATACGGAGTCCAGGCTGATTACACATAGGAAGATGGCATGTCCGCAGACTCCTTGTATGTCGATGATCGGTCCTGACTCCCAATCCCGTACACCGAGGAACTGTCACTTTGCGTAAATTTGGATACGTGAACCTGCAAAGGCTTCATAGCCAAGCTTCCTCGTTGTGTCTCACTAGCTGTCCCTCCACGGGCACTCGGGAGCTGACTGCTGAACTTTCTACCGAGTGCGATTCGAATAATCACCATGTAGAAGGTAATCGAGATGATCTGCGTGACCTAGTTGTTCGAAAGTCAGTATTTTTTTGATAGGCGTTGTTGGCGGAATCACCATGTCTACCACAACATACGCTCCATTGCTCGAACAAAGGGAACTGATTATTGTGAAGAGGAGCGCTATGGAGTACAAAAGAGCAGCATCCATAATTACGCGCAATATACTCGTCGTCGTGACCTTCATAGTACGACTGGCAGAGACATTGCGCTCGATTTTCCAGATGCGATACGCCAGTAATCCTGGAAAAATTCAAGTTGGCATGAAGCTTGATACGGTGCTCAGGCAGAATTGTGCTTGCCTGAACTCAACAAATTTGTTGCGAGTGTCAGGGCACAGAACACCCCGATGCACTCACTAGTCGCTTGGGTGAAGATGTTATCGATGTTTTTGTCTGCTTCCGCATAGCTATAGACCGCAAATGCGCCAGTGACTTCAAGGCGACATCAGAGTATGTATTTCCCGATTGATTGGAACCTAACCTGCGACACCGCACCACAGTATGCTCGGTAGGATGATAACCCAGACGGTTCGCCAGACGACGTAACAACGATAAATCTTTTGCCAGGAAAAGCCTTTCTATATCAATTTCAGGCAAATAAAACATTGAACCTACCACTACTATATCGCCAAGCAGAGTTTGCAAAACGTATAACAAATTCTTGACCACAAACGTTGGTTGGGATTCGTCTGTGAAGAACGCCGCTGGCCCGCCTGGGTAGGTATCGCGATATTTCACCAGTCCTTCTTCGGTCCGAACAATCTCTACGATCATGTGCTTGGAGAAATTCAGATGATATCAGATGTAAGGGGCGAGATGCTAACCGCGGTGCTCAGCATCAATAGCAGGACGGCCACAACAGTGACTAGCCTATTGACCTCCTGCATGCGACGTTGGTAGGTCAGCGCCCAGATAGTACCTATGAACATCAGGACCGAAAAGCCTGAAGATCCCTAGTTTGGTGGATATGGGGCGGAAGAACTCGTTGAGATGCTCACCGTATAAGATGCTCTCCAGCACTATTGAAACCATTGCAGCGGCATCTGGTGATAAGCCTCCTGCAGGGGTCATGGCGGGAATGATACCTGGGGAATCGGGGATTGCTACAAGGGCGTCTCACCTTCGCCAGCTCCATGTATATTAGTTCTAATAAAACTTTGACTATCACGCGGATGAACTCAAAGACCCCAGATCAGTATCGCCTCAGCGCTTCATCTCCTCATTTGCGGAAACGGCGAAGCTGTAATTTGCACGTGTTGTTGTACAACCCCGATTTGAAGATGAGTCACTACCCAGTATGCTTGGATCCTCTTGGACCCAACAAAATAGTTGCTTGCTGGCAGGAGGAAAGCCACACTGAATTTCAGTGTGAGTACTCTCCCGATTTTCGAAGTGATCATTAGACACTAGACCTAACAAGGAGTATACATGTATATGACAAAAAACTGCGCACTGAGGTTCAGAATACCGCTTGGTATACATATATGTAGCTGGCAGACACGCCGCCGTCCACTATCGGATCCATGAAACATGAAGGCGTTTGAATTATACTGCCATTCATGGCATAGTAAGGGTTATATTTAACTTAATAACTCCGCGACTGGGCCCACTTGCACCGTTTCCTGTAGGTCTTTCCGCCTTAAGCTTCTGCTATTTCATGATCAGCGGTCACCTCGTCATCTCAGCTCAGATAGCCTTAAGTACACCCGCCTATGTGCACACTGTGATGTCGTTAACGACGATACCACTACGGATTACGGATTACTCCCGTCGCGCTTCGTCGTCATACACGTCGTCGAGCTCTGGTCTGCCCTCCGCAAGCCTCCACTTATTTCTCCAGGAGATGTCATCATATAGAAGCAGGACAGTCGGTCAACTTGTTTAGTTCCCGGTCCTCACTCGCATCGGACTTTCCGGGGATGTTAGGTCTAACACTCAAGTAGGCCCCGGCCGGCCCGCCTCCACTGGTCGAAACTCACGAAGAGGGTATGAGGTATTTTATTCTATACTATGTAAGGGCAGGCTCGGTGGCGATTGATCTAATACAGTGCGCGTGCATGCGTGCTAATTCCTATGTCGCGAATCCTTGCACGTTTCCTGTTTGCTCCTACTGGCCGTTTTTCTCTTTGCCCCCACAAGACGTTCTTCCCACGGCATCATGGACGTTCTAAATGCCAGTAGGTATTAATTTGACAAGAAAATTACAGAACTTGCATCCCGGCAGCCCTCTCCTAGTTGGTTTTCGTGCCTGACGCCTCTATTAAGCATTTGAATATTGTTATACAAATGCATAGCTGACAGGCAGTGTGACAGGAGCACAGCTACCATGGGAATGCGCATATGAGTACCTGGCCGATTCGAACGCATTTCGCCAAGGCGAATGCACTGGGGACTAGAGCGAGTTCTGACAGGCGCAGGTCAAGGTGTCAGGGCTACGATTTAAGTCATGATGGAGGCGACAAGGTGTACAGGACTGATGAGGCAGACATTCTGGAGACGGTTGTCTACGGAATGGTTTGTAACTTTGATGCCTCAAATGAAGCGTCGCTTCCGAGTTGCCCAGCTATCGAACCACAATGTCGATGAACTTATCATTGATTACTGCCAGTGCTTTGGGCGGCGCTACCGCGTTTATTGGCCCTCATTATTACGAGATGCAGAGTACTTTACTCTGGTGTTCTACCGCACCGTCCTGGACCAAAGCCTCTCTGTTATTGGCAACGCCGAGCATGTAAGTATCGCTGAACCCTGGTTGACATATACAGCATGGAAGAAGATATACGGTGGGTCTACATATTCTAGTGGCCAAAGACCTGACCCAACATCTTACAGGCGACCTCATCTGTGTTCGATTGATTGGACTGGAGTTTATTGTCATCAACTCAGATAAAACTGCATACACAATATTGGATTAACGGTTTGTTTTTTACTCAGACAGACCTGTCTTTCCGACGAACAAATTGTATGGTCCTTTTTAATGCAAGCTGTAGCTTATGTCTTGTCACAGCTATGGCGTCGAGTGGAACACGGTCAGTGTTGCGCTATGGATCAGAACTAAGATCCCATAGGGAGGTGTTTCACTTCGCCAGCGTGAAATTTACTTGCGCAGATCTCGAACCCTTCCTGCTAGCTTCCTGAATGACCCTCAAGGTTTCGAGGCACACTGTACAGAGGTTAGTGGTCATGATGATAGCATCTTATCAGTCGGTTAATACTTGAGCAGCTTTGTCGCAGCAATCGTCATGGAGATTACATATGGATATGAAATGCAGTCAGAGAATGATCCGTATGTCTCTGCTATCGCGGAATTACTCGCAATCCTTGAATGGGGACATTCTCTTGAGAGAGCAGCGATTCTCTTGGTATTTCCTTTTCGTATGTTGACGTCGATTCCATCAAGCGCAGCCGAAGCAGTTTCTAGAGTTGCATATATCCCTACATGGTTTCCGGGTGCGCACTTCACGCGTGATGCGTTGTATCCAAGACAGTTGGCCCAAAGGGTGCTTAATGAGCCTTTCAACTTTACGAAATCAGAAATCGTGACTAATCTCACAAGTCGGAATGTTGCAGCTGTTTAGGCAGCCAGAACTGCTTCGCAATCTTTGGTGTTTGATTGCTTGACGCAGATGGACGAAGAAAATCATGAAAATCGGGAGTCCGTGATTAAGGCGGCCGCGGCGACGGTCTTCATGGGTGAGGGCATCGGACTCTTCCTTCCATTGGGTTCAAATATTTTACTTGTCGTTCATACAGCTGGATTCGAAACGGTACGATACACCTGATTTACCTGCTTTGTTAGATTCTAAGAAATATATAAAATCTAGAGCTCTTCGATGTTGCACGCATTGATTCTCGCCATGACTCTCTACCCAAACGTTCAGGCCAAAGCACAGGTCGGAATTGACACCATCGTAGGTTCGACACTTCGAAGATAGGCCTTCGTTTCCCTACGTCGAAGCTATCCTCAGAGAAATGTTAAGATGGAACCCTGTCTTACCGCTAGGTATGCATCATCACACCAACAGTTGTTTTATTTGGTCATTCAGCGGTCCCGCATACTACGTCAAGCGAGGATGTATTTGAAGGCTACTTGATGCCAAAGGGTTCAATTGTGCTTACAATTCGGTTACATTCAGCAACGGATCTCACTGGCTCCAGCAGGGGCATGTGTGATCCTCAATGTCTGGTACATGATAATTTCCCTTTTTCTTTCTGAATTTGACCGTGCCTACTTACACTGGCAGGGCGATGAGCCGAGATGAGGAAAAGTATCCAGATCCAGACGAATTCAGACCTGAGAGGCATTTTGCTCCAGACGGGTCACTGCTTTCTGATTTAATCATGAATAACCCTCTGTTCGGCTTAGGCCGACGAATTTGTGAGACATCTTTCAATAAAAGACAAGGAATAAAATTGTTGACTTAAAACAGATCCAGGACGGTTTGCTGCAGAATCGATGGCGTGGGCTGCCATTGTTTCTATCCTTGCAACAATTGGTACGGAGAAGGCGAGAGGCGTCGACGGCCGTGAGATTGATGTGAAGAAACAGTTTACAACTGGGATGTCGATGTTCGTCAATGGTGGCATTTCCGGTTTGCTCATTCATATTTTAGACATCCTGCCCCTTTCCGCTGTGCATTTGTATGTCGTTCTGCAGAAAAGGAGAATATGGTCAGAGAAGGCACCTGAGCAAACCCTGACTGGATGAAAGTTCACGGATGAATGGAACCCCACCGTACATCTAAACATGATACCTTACAAAGATAGGTGCAGTCGTACCCCAAAAGAAGCCTGAAGCATTAATCATGCAAATGGTTGATGAATGAGACGAGTACGGTTTCATCCCCAAGATGGTGAAATTGATACATATTACATATCACAACTCTGGATGCTGCACAATTTCTCAGATGTATCAGGAAAATGCTTCATCTATTATGTCTTTCTTGGACAAACTGAACATGTCGCTCGCAGAGGATCCTCGACAGCAATGAATTGATAGGATTCATCACAACCTGCATAAGGCACCAAAGCCAGTACACTTAGAGACAACAAGAAAACACAGCGAGTCCTCTATGTCCAATGAAGTAAAGTACACAGTATGGATATAATGAGTTATTCAAGTTCTCGTGTTAGCCATTTATCTCCCGCACCGACAGAAGGTTGTCGCATGGTACAAACAACTCCCGCGAGAAACATATGTTACACGTCGCAAAATCCTCCTTGCGAAGACTCCTCCTTGTGCGTCAGTGGTTGGTGCTGATTCTCAGTTCCGTCCACTGAGGCATCGTAAATCTGCGTAAATCGGGATATATGAACCTGCAAAGGCTTCATAGGATATTGCGGCAAGGTTCTTCGTTCCGTCTCACTTGCCATCCGTCCACGGACAGTCACGAGCTGACTTTGAGCATTTTTACCGATTGCTATCCGAATAATCACCATGTAGAAGGCAATCGAGATGATCGGCGTGAGCTAGTTGATCGAAGGTCAGTATTTTTTGATAGCATGTGTTATCGATGGAATTACCATGTCTATCACAATGAACGCTCCATTGTTCGAGCAGAGGGAACCGATTAGGACGGAGAGGAGCGCTATGGAGTATAAAATAGCGGCATCCATGATTACGCGCAATATACTCGTCGTCGTGGCCTTTGTAGCGCGAGTGGTAGAGACATTGCGTTCGATTTTCCAGATGCGATATGCTAGTAATCCTAGACAAATTCAAATTGGCATGAGGCTATGGCAGGACACTCGGGCAGAAATGTGCCTACCCGAACTCAACAAATTAGTTATAAGTGTCAGGGCATAAAACGCCTCGATCCACTGTCTAGTCGCTTCGGTGAAGATATTTCCATTAATTAAGGTGGTGGTTGCTTGTGAAAAAACGTAGACCGAATAAGCACCAGTGACTTCGAGACGATATCAGAGCACGTGATCGCCTAGATGATTGCAACCTGACCTGCGACACTACACCACAGTATGCTCGGTAGGACGATAACCGAGACAGTTTGCCAAACAACGTAGCAACGATAAATCTGTCGCCAAAAAGACATTTCCATAGTAATGTCAAGCTGGCAGATAAAAGGTTGAACCTACCGCCACCACATCGCCAAGCAGAGTTTGCAGAGTGTATATCAAATTCTTGATCACAAAAGTTTGTTGGGAAAGGTCTCCGAAGAACGCTACTGGCCCCCCTGGGAATGTGTCGCGATACCTCACCAGTCCGTCATCGATCCGAATAATGTTTACGACCATGTGCTTGGAGAAAATCAGCAGCTGTCATCGGGCGTAAAAGGTGATAAGCTAACTGCGGTGCTCAGTACCAACAGCAAGACAGCCACGACAGTGACTGGGCGATTGACGTCCCGCATGCGATGTTTGTAGGTCAGCGACCAGATTGTGCCCATAAACATGAGGACTGAAAAACCTGAAGAACCCTAGCTTGGCGGTTATGGGACGGATGAACTCGTTGAGACACTCACCGTATAAAATGCCTTCCAACACTGTTGACATTATGGCAGCGGTATCCAGCGGGATACCTCCTGCAAAAGCCATGGCGGAATGATTCTTGGAGGTGTACAAGGGTGTCGTACCTTTGCTAGTTCCATGGATTATCGTGGTTTTAATACTGAACTTTAACTATCGCGATGATGAAGACCCTGGATCAGCATCAGCATCTATCAGTCGTATTTTTATTCGGCGCTTTAGCTCCTCACTTATCAATTGCGGAAGGGTGAGGCTATTCCTCCTGGCATAGGTTCATGGACCTAACGAAATTGTTGCTTATTACAGGACGTAAGCCACGTACCTGATATTTCGGTGGAGCGCACTGAATTCAACCTTTCAAGAATGTGTTGTATGACAGTGCTCCGAGCAGTACTGGTTTGGGATTAGTAGCTGGCGAACACCTTGTCGGCACCATCGGATCTATGCGCTCTTGAACCATGAATGCATGACACATGATGCTAACTGAATCGATTCGGCCCAGAATTTCATTGACGTAAATATCAGAAGTCTTGTCCTCACTCCACGGCAATATTTAATCCGGGCTATGATTAATGAACAAGTGTGAACCAAATGGCAAGCGTTCAATGAGACCTTATTGACACCTTTCAGCTGGACCGAACAGACGGTGTCACACTGCCATCTCGCATCGCTACTTCAAGGGAATTTTTTCCTAGCATAGAGATATATTGACACTGACTTGTATACAGCCCTACGGGCGCGCATCTATGTCGCGATTGGCCGCGAAAACGCTATGAAAGTGTTCGGAAACGACAACCCCACCCCGTGAGTTAGTTCAACGACTCGAGCTGATGTTGGTGTTCATGTAGGATTGTAGGGTTGGTACCTGCTTAATGAATTATGACATCCACGTACTCGATTCGGCGGACACTTACTCGCTCTTGATGCTCTAGGGCCTGAATCTACTCTCTTCGATGTCTGCCTAGATGATGCATGTCACAAGGCCGTAAGCGGGAACAGGAACCATAGAAACACTACATTAACGAGGAACAATCAGATTCGACGCACATTCTCAGCCTGGGCCCTAAACCTCTGCAAATTTCTGTCGAAGCTCATCGGCCTGCGACTTCAACTGCAGAATACCATAGTGCCTGACTTGAACGGTACATCCCCTCCAATAACCACTTCTCTTGGACCACCACCTCTACACGCATCAATGCATCTTGAGCACGCTGCTGTTCATGCTGAAGCTGAGATTGAAGAACCCTCCTTAAGTGGGACTGAGTGCCTGTGACAGTGGATCTGAGACCTAGCTGGCATAAAATATGGACTGGCATACCTGTCTCAAATGCTTCTAGGCGACGGATCGAACTCCGTAGATTATTGTTTCATTTCGAACAGAAGCGACTGTCCTCTGCAGGGACGTCATTTGAGACCGCAACTTCTCAGCTTGCTGCCAAGAAAGAACCAATGAGGTAGGAGATGGTTTAGTCGATGGGGCATCGGAAGCCATGGACTGCAGGACGTCTGCTCTAGACCCGATCCGGTTCACGTCAGAATCCGTCGGTGTGAGCTGAGGAATAATAAAATTAGTGTCAGCGCGATCATTAGATGGGTCGGAGATGGTAGACATGCTGGTCACCAACATCATTCCTGGTGTCCTCCGTGGAGGGTGCAGTCTCCTGGAGAGCACAAGGGAATGAATTTGACGAAAGTCATCTCCTACTGCCGCTTCCGATTGAGCTACAGAGAAATGTAAGCCCATTGTGAAATAAGTGAACTTAATTCCGAGGATGCAAACCAAGGCCTTTGCCCGAGCAGCCATCGCAGCGCTTTGTATACTAAGGCTGAATCAATTGTCACTGGTAGTCGCCAACCTCGAGTAAGGATAAGCAAGGAAGGAAGAGTAATTCAGCGAAGTGCAACAATAAGAAGCATTTGGACTATTGGGCCTCATGTTGCAGTTAGTATTCTATCACACAGCGTTAGTGAATAACGCTTGATAGTAAGCGCTCACTGCTTTGCCATGCCTGCAGCACAAGCAGCGATAAAGGAATATATATACCTTCCAATCCTCCATCGAGCTCCCGTGCACAGGGAAGCGAGTATATGTTGTATGCACCACCGACAATGACCCCTACAATGGCGACTGCCCCCAAGCTGTCCGAGAAAAAATTGCGTCGGAGCGTCGGATGCAGCTTCTGCGTGGATTTGAGGACGAGGATGAGCTAAAAAAAAAAAAAGGAGCGAGAAGCGAAGAAGAAAGCTAAGAAATTGTGGGTTTCTTGCGCTCATCTATTGATTCGTACTCGAAGTCAAACGACAATTCATACAGACATCAAAAGCAAGCCCAGGAAGAAGAGCATGCCGCCAAAGATGCTGACAAGGCTGTAGAGGGGGTCGCTTTGAAGGCTAAACAGGCAGCTCAAGAGGACACGCAGCGGAAGAAACGCGAAGAAGAGCATGCTCGTCGTGAAGCTGCCCGGAAAGCAGCAGCAGAAGAGGAACGGTGTGAGGAGTAGGGGAACGTAAACGCAAGGAAAATCAAGAGAAAGTAAAAGCAGGAGCACCGAGAGTGGGAAGAAAAGGAGCAAGGCCAAGGAAGATAGGAATACTGAGGCGGCTGTTGAAAATGCTGCTCACGACGCCGCTCGATAGGCTCTGGGTAGCGGACTCCGGATTCTCAATGGGTACGCCACGGCAGTCGCCCACGTCCATCCCTAACGACAATGTGATCTCTTCCTTGCGCGCGAGATGCCTAGGCCTGGACCAGTACTTGGTGATCACCAGAGGATGGTACCACTGGGAGAAGTCTCACGTGACAATCACTCATGACCGCGACGCGACGTTTGCGGATGTTTGGTTTTCTCTTCTCTTCTTAGAAGCCTTACTTAGCCAGGTTGTTTTTGCACTCAATCAAGTCTAGCATTATCCTGTCTACAAAAAAATTAGGCCAACTCGAAGCAGCTAGCCTTGTTGCGGTGTACCAGCCCCCGATGCCCAAGTATCACCAGAAGTTAGCGGCTGCTCGTGCCAGAGCAGCACGATGGCCAGCTCCAACTGCTAAACATCACAGCAATTCCAATATCACCCACAAACAACCCCCTTCGTCGGAGCAAGTAGTGGAACCCACCGAAATACTTGGCGCCGAATCTAGTCCAATAGAGCGCAAGGCAAAGGAGGATGGGGATGCTGAGGCAGTCCAGCAGCGGCAGCGAGCTGGCAAGCACAGCCGTCCGCCAATTTCTCGTCCCTCAGGCTCTACGCAGCGCACTCGGAGAAACAAAGGGATTCTCAATAAGCACAACTCTGTCACACCTACCCCGTCTGGAAGTACGCCACGGCAGTCGCTGCAGCGTCCTTTGTTGTCTGTTTCTCAACATGCAACTCATGTTGTACCTTCCATGCAAAATAATTTTCCTCCGCACACCACACCTCATTGTCCTATTGCTCCTGGCATGATGCTTCTACCTCTCGGCTCGTCGTCCCCTTGGGTATCCTTTGCACCACATCAATCATCCTGACTTATCGCTTCCAATGTCGCTTCCTCCACTCAGCTTACCCCCGCAATACCTACTCTAGATTTAACTGAGTTCATTACCCGATGCAACCAGGACCCCATTTCCGCTGGTTCATACGGAAACATTTACAGATGTATATACCACAGACCAGAAGGCGATGTGGAAGTTCATGCAGATATTGCAGTTCTTCCATGTTGACTGATTTATCACCCACCCGCAGTCGCCGTCAAAGCAATTCGATCGCACCTTGTCCGTGCTGATGTAATGTTACATGGCATGGAGCAGACGGTTTTATTTAGCTTTCTTAGGTCCTCCAGAGAGAACTAGGTGTTTGGAAGAGGCTGCTACATTCTAATATTTTGAAGGTTCATGGGTACTACTTCGGACTTTGGCCCCTCTACCGTGGATAGCCGATGACACTCTGACATCGTTTCTCAACCAGAACGACGAGAGCCTCACTGCGTGATCGTCTACTTCTGATGAGAACTTCAAGTACGTTCCAAGTTTGCGCACGCGAACTAACCGTTTCGTGTCCAAGCTCCGTGACATCGCTGCTGGCCTCAACTACCATGAGTGAATAATGCCTGTACTCAGGAAGTTATATAATTTCTAGTCCAGTTCATACGTTTAGCTTGACTGAAGATGGACATACGGACTTGTCTCCGATTATTCACGGAGACCTCACTGGTGTAGGATCCCTCATGTGTCCCTCCCTCGTACTAACGATCAACCACAAGATCAAATTTCTCATCGACAGTGATAGAAAGGCACATCTTGCGGATTTTGGTCTTTGCAGGAACTTTAAAAAAGTTGACCAGAACGATGTACCTCGCGAAGATGTCGTCCGGGAGCAATCAGGACAGCTCCTGAACTTCTCTCTGGAGAAGAAGCATCACCTCCAACCGCTCAAAGCAACATCTACTCCTTTGGTAGTATCATACTTTCAGGTCAGTTGTTTCCTTGTATCAATTCTAACTACTGATTCGTCCTGCAGGTTTTGACAGGAAGCATCCCTTGGCATCGCCTGACAAATGACACCGCAATCTTGCTGAAAGTGATTGAGGGGAGAATACCAGACGACGATGGTGTCGCCGAGCAGCACAGGAAATTTATGACCTGCTGCTGGTCTATAATACCCATTGATCTTCCTTCTGCCCAGGAAGCACTTCAGTTTGTTGATAGCAAATTGGCACTTTTTCGCAGTGGATGGCAGGTGACAGCGGAAGTGGCAAAGCCTTTGTCACAACCAAACATTTATCTCTCGTTTCTTGTCCAAATGCATCCGTCTAAGCTCGTAAGACGTTCTTGTGTATTATTATTTCAAATAGATGTAGTAGTTTTGAAGATTTGCACTAGGAAATGCGTGGTTTTGGGAGGATGCACGAAATGTGGTGTGCACGAGCATGTGGTAACCAATAGTATAGCTACCAGCGTGTTTCTGCCTTGTGACATACAGACATGTCTCATAGACGGGCTGGTCACCAGTCTACCTACGGGTAGCAAGAACAATAGAAACGCAACATTAATATTGCCATACACCATGCAGAGTATTAAACAAATAGAGCAGAGGTTAGTCATAATAAGTCGTCAAAATGCAGAAATCCAGATCCTTCAAAACCCGAGCTGCTCCACAAAGCTCTGCCACGCCACATCCAGCACGGGCGCCTCCTGTATCCCATTCGGCGCTCCATACGGCTGCGCCGGATGAAACGTATTCAGCACCTGCGGCTGACCAGTGTAAACCTCCGCCCCGTACACACTCGACCCGTTGAACTGCACATCACTCATCGCCTGGAAGAAAGACTCTGACGAGTCAACAGACCCGCTCGCAGTGAACGGGGATTGGTCGAATTTGTCGAAGACGCGCATGTCCTGCATGATGCGCGGGTGGATGTCAAACGCAGCACTTTGCCCGTCCCATGTGTGTTGGCTGCCCGGCTGGGACGAGCCGCATGACTCGGCTTCTGACGGTGATGAGTGGACAGACGGAGAGGAAGCGGTGGATGGAAGGGAAGGGGAGCTCGCTTGCGATATCAGATGGGTTTTGCCGCCGCCGAGACGATTGAGCTCGGCGCGAGATAAGCTCGACTGATCGTCATAATGTGGGTGATCAACAGCGTCGTGGCCTTTCTTCCAGACTTTTGTGATTGAGTCCTAGACGCAGAATGAGCGGTCTGCATAGAATATAAGGAGAGATGCTTACGAGGAGCACAGCAGCAGGCTTTGAGGTTGGTGCTGACTTCTGGAACACTTCGTAGACGACATCCAGCTCGCGTAATGAAGAAGACGCTATGTTTGAGTGAGGCGCACGGTTGACGAGCATGCACATGACGATCTATGATATTCATTATAAAGCAGTTCAATTTCAAACAGAACGAGGCTACTCACTGCAGCAGACAAAGCATGTGACCAGAAAAGACTCAATCGCTCAATTGCGTTCGGAATCCTCCTGACCGCATGCGAGTGACTTTCTATCACTCGCCACGCAGATCGATACATCGCCATGACTGAGGGACCGTACTTATGTTTTAGCAGGTCATTCGGTTGGTCCTCCAAAGCTTGTGTAAAGTATCGTCGATGGATATTCAATAACGCTAAACACGCCGCAAATAAGTGAACGGATCAGAATAGATGCAATGTGTGCGCCCACTAGTTTCCTTATTCGTGAGAAGAAAATGCCTTTGGACGAGCACGAGGATAGCGCTTTCTGTGAGAGTTTCGTTTCCATCACAGCGGGGCTGGAGATGAGGCGGGATAGGGAAATCGCGGATTTTGCGATCGAGTTCGAGGATGGTACTGTAGGTGGGTGTTTTGGCTCCAAACGCATTGACCATGACGTGATGCAGAAGCCGCGAAAATTGCCATGACCACATGTGCCCTAAAAAGATATGTAAGGATAGTGAAGTACGATAACGAGGAACACATGCCGCTCATCTCCTTTTGACCTTTGTCGTTGACCACTGCGAAGTCATCGTTGGGGTACGGAGTGTCGATCCAGTCGGGAGAGACGTTCGGTGGGCGACCGGCATAGAAGCTCTGGAATACACAACATTGAGTAAGAAGTCATGACGCTGATTTGGAAGGCGTACGATCCATGTGTCCATCATAAACATCTGCCAAAAGGCAGAACTGCGTTTTTGAACAACAACGTCGCTGAGCTTCCATCTGGCACTAGAGAGATCTTGAGGATGTCATTAATGTCAGATAAGCCAAGCAGGTAGCACGAAAAACATACGGACGCCGATCTAGGAAAATGAATAAGAGAATTGTAATATATGCAATAGATAACGAACCCTGTAGCCGAGCTTTACAGCCAAGCCCATGAACACGTATGACTTGCTCGAATCCATCTCTAGGTCACTCAATTCAAGATACTGCACGATATGCAGCTGATGCAGGATGTCAGCATCTGCACACTCATTTCTGACCTGCGGAAGAAACATACCAGTGAGATGAGAGTATGGACACTCGTTTCCGTGCAGGGGGAAGTAAAGTGCGCTGCCACTTGCGATAAAATATGATACTCCTGTGCCTCCACGGCATAAGATGGCTTGTCAAAGTCAAAGAGGGTGGCAAGGGCGAATATGCTGAACATGAGCGAGAGGTCATGAGCACCAGGTATAGCCTCGTAACAACTGTTGGGCCGACTTGCTCAAGAGCACGACGAGGAAGAGGCAGAATAAACCTACTTTGCACGATAAACACTTCCAAGGACATTATCGAAAAGATCTGATCGTGTCAGAGGATTCCAACTGAAGCAAGTGGTCAGACATCTTTCTGCTAAGGGTTCATGGACGTACAAGACTTTACCCCATTCAAGGTAGATCTCGCTAAGACGGACCGCCTCTGATAATGGAGGCAGATAAGAATAAACAGGTTTCCAAAGGCCATTATCAAACGGAATACTATCAGAACCGGGCAACCAAGCATCAAGTATCTGTTTTGGAAGTCGCGGAAATGTTTCAGAGAATGGAGGCTTTGGTTGATGTTTCAGAGGTGGCTAAAGAAACCGTCACGCATTTATCGAAAAGTAGACAGTTACAGTCAACTCTACCTGAATGAGATACTACCAGGAGGCTCAGTACTTCATTCCTTAATTCTGTATCCAGGACTTACTTCTGAACGAGCAGTTCCGCTCATGAAAATAGTTTCTCCGCGAGTGCCAATTGTGAGCGTGCCTGTGTAAAATTAGCTCCGAGCATCAACTTCGAACTTGAAAGAGCGTCACCAAAAGCATCGATGACAGAATCAGGATCTGCCGTGTTCAAAGGTGGAGGGTGCTGTTCTGGAGAGTTACTGCTTGAGTTGCATTCTGGACTATCATGGGAAATGACTGTGATAGAGTCTGACAGCAGTGGGTGCGGTAGATCAGACGCTTCAGAGTGCATTTGGCGGAGTGCTTCCTCTAGTTCACGCATCCGCGCTGACATGACTTCAATCTTGTTGTGCAATTCCTCTGTGTTTGCGAGAACAAGGCTGTGCAAAGTCTCAATACTATAATGGTGAGAGGGGAAACAGAAGAACCGCATACCGATTGCCCTTCCCCGCTGTCAACGATCCTGAATACGTTTCTTAGAGGCAGCATCTCATAAGTCATGGAACGAGCAAACCACTGGGACATATTGCGGCGCAACCACGTTTTACGCAGGTCTCGCATGGAACCTATACAACAAGCGACTTAGGAAGTCAGTGAATCGTAAAGGCGATAACTGCAGACCTTGCGATCGCAGCGAAGTTTGAGTCTGATCCGAAGTGTTGGATTGAAAATCTCTTCGTCAACATGTTCAAGTCTAAATTGAGCGAGAAGACACTTGCCTTCTACATTCAGCACAAGACGTAGGTACTCTGCCAGGTTTTTTTCTCTCCTTCTGCTCGCCGTTCTTCAACTCTGTTGTTCTGGTCATCGAATGCGACCTAGCACGCAAAAGAGCACTACAAATAGGAGTGTGCGTCTGCTATGAAAATGAAAATGACTAAGCTCAACTTGAACATAGCCTACGCTAGCCACAATCATCGCAGCCGTTCTCCTTGGCACCCGGGACTTTCCTTTCGTTTTCTTACGTGCATCTCCAAGTACTAGCCAGACTTATAGAAGAAAAGAAGGCAGTCGTTCCCTATCACCCATGGAACAAAGTGGTTGAACAGGCCCAAACTTTCACAAAATCTGATCATGGATGTAAGTACTTTGTCTCGGCATATTACCATGAAAGCTAAGCTGAGGCAAGCTTTTTCGCCAGAGCACCTGGGTGGAACCTTGCAACACTGAACGAGTTGGACCGTCATGTATAGGCATTGAAATAATTGCGAGTCTCTTACCCCTTCCTTCCATTGTGCACAGATAGGCTATGCCGCAATCTTATCACTCTGGCCATTCGCGATGACCGGCAGACAGGTGTGGCCCTTCCGACCACGTCCATATCACAAGTGCGGACATCCGACCCTCGAGCTCCCAAAAATCAGTGGTTCTGGATACAATTCTCAGGCCTAGACATCGTCCAATTTTTCGCTCGGCGCTGGCTCCGCGCCCATGCTTTCGTTCTCAGTTGCACGTCCTGGTTTTCCAATTGCTCACACAGATTTTAATCTTGGGAGGTTATAGTACATGGAGCAAAATTCATTGCGCTCACATTTAAATCATCAGCCCTTGATTCACGTACTGCTGATATGAGGTCGTCTATTGTCCTCAGGCGCACCGCCTGCTCCTGCGCTAGAAGCCAGGGTTCCACTTGGGCATGTGTCCATGGAAGTCAGCTCAATATGATTGTCGTCAAAGGCGCCCCGGGGTCACCTGATCGGATTAGGCGGAACACACCACCCTGTGAAATATTTCGTAGCAATCTTTGTGCCCTTAACTAGAATGGGAATACGGCGCATGAGCTAACCATTTCGATGAAGATTCTGCGGGGCTGTTATGAGATATTATGGTCCTCAGGGTAATATGTATGACTATCTTAAATGCATGTTGGAGGCCTTGCCGCCGCTTGATATGGATGCAAACAGCATGAAACAAGTATTCACCCTCTTCTGTGGACCGCGTACTTATCGCTCCAAGCTGGATCCGGGTTGCAATTACCGTCAAGATTTGATACGGCTGTCAGGGAACCGACTTCGAACCTTTCTGGGTAATTATACGGAAAAGCGCATGAGGGCTTGAGGCAGGGTATTCAGTGGCGATGGAATTTGCAACTCGCAGAGCATATTATGGGACGCCACGTCGTAGTGAACGTCAATCGTGGACATCGGTGCACAAAGTACACGTTTCTCAAGGGCCTGGCACATTCAATTCAATTGATCTTCTTTAGCCGTCAAGGACCGTCCGACGAACCTGTTCAATCCAGCTTCTATGCTAAGTAAAAGCTCTCCTATTTTGACCATGCTTCCTAGGCCTAATGTGACGTGGAATATAACAGGCCACCAGTACCATGGACGTGACGTCTGTTGGGGTTCAACGTCATGCAACTTGAGTACTTACATAAAGCCTGCATGGACTGAGTACTGCCGCCGTTCCATGAACCGAATTTACCGAGGATTGCACTGCATCGATCGAGCAGGCGCAATTTCACCTTCTCGGATATGCGGCAAAGTCCAGCGGGGAACAGTAAGTACTTAATAGTCTCCAGCTCGGGAGTCGGCTTTCTCTATGACCCAGCCAATATTGGAAGAAGTTTCTTTCTAAGGGAAAGGTTGAGGAAGTTAATTCGGTCAATGGGAGTAAGCGTAAACCGACTAAGAACCGCGCACGTGTCTTGTTCGATTTAGCTAAATTTAATTAGCCGCTGGAACCCAATATACTTACAGGCTGCAGCCCTATGACATCTATCTGACTGCTGGCAGTGGTAACTTCCTTCAGGACTGAAGTATGTACCTCCGCCGCGCCGACAAATACAGCGATCCCAAACCCGGCCCTTGTTCGGAACCGGCATCATTGAGGAAGCGCAAGAGACACCCTGGCTTAACTTTGGTCGCTATTCGGCTCGGGAGACAGGCGTCAACATATACCTGGGCATCGTGGAATGATCCACGGAGGCTTTTCATACCCAGGAATATATATGCACTTTGATATGCACCCTGCCGGTTCTTAAAAAGCCGCCAGAACCTCAGGCAAGGTATCTTGACAGACTTTGTTCCTCCCCTTCAATCATGGAATCGTCAAAATCGCGACCAACTCCATTGGTGCTCAATGACTATCCTGAAGTTCCCAACGTCCCTTCTTCTCCTACTTCCAGTGGGCAGGGCTTATCGCACCCGTTCGATGCCATTATACCTCCTGCACATACCCATAGGACGCTCGTGCTGTGCTTGTAGGTCTTTTTCAGTAAAGCAATTTATTCCTGACTGACTATGATGTTGAGTGATGGAACCGGTGACCAAGTGAGCGCACTTTGTTCTCTAATAGCGCTCAATAGCTGATCTATTTTGGTGTGAACAGTTTGATTCCGATGTATGTTTTGTCCTTTTCATCTGAGAATTGTGAAAGATCTCACTGGTCAATTAGAATTCCAACATCGTCCAGCTTTTCAGCATGCTAGTCAAGGACGATCCCTCTCAGCAAATGGTGTATTATCAGGTACTGTGAAACATTTCGGGGGCCTGGGCTTGGCTTACATACGGCACGCCTCGTTGTCCACTTTCTCGCTCGTGATATGCCTAGGCTGGCATAGGAACATACTCTATCCCAGAAATGGCCACACCCATGATGGCGAAGCTCTCCAAGACTGTTGACATGATGATTGGGAATCATCTCAACGCCCATGTGATGGGTCAGGCAATCCTACCCTGCTTCTATCTCCAATTACTAATTTCAAACAGGAGGATACGAGTTTCTCATGCAGAATTGTAAGTCGGCAGCGCGCTCCGCGGGTGATGCGACTAATTTTGCCTTTTGCAGATGACGCTGGTGATAAGATTTGCATCTTCGGCTTTTCACGAGGCGCCTACACAGCGCGCGCGCTTGCTGGAATGTAAGTTTTCCCGGATCCTTCTCGGTCATAGTCCCAACATATTATACTTGCAGGATTCATAAAATCGGCCTTTTGCCTCGCTGCAACCATCAGCAGGTTCCTTTTGCATACAACATGTACAGCCGTGACGATGATGAAGGATGGAAACAAAGTACCGCATTCAAGAAGGCCTTCTCTATCAACGTGGATATTGAATTTGTTGGTGTTTGGTAGGTTCTCTGCGTTGTTCGGTGATGACCTAAACTTCATTTCTGAATAGGGATACCGTTGATTCGGTAGGAATCATTCCTAGACGATTGCCCTTTACACGGGCGAACGACAATATCAGGTACTTCCGTCACGCAATGTCTCTTGACGAACACCGGGCGTATGTGTCCCAAATTCCTCTTTAGTGACTCGTTGCCTGACTTGCAATGCTCAGGCGCTTCAAGCCAAGTCGTTGGGCGCGCCTGACGGAGGAGGACAAGAAGAAGTATGGCGTCAAACGTCACGAAATGCCTCGCAGCTTCCGGAGGCATCCGCCCTCACAGCAGAATGGCAACGGCAATCACAGCAGCCCAGACAGTCAAGAAACCAAGGGGTCGCATCACCATCACCACTCCGACTGTCTGCCTGAACTACAGCGTCAATACACAACTTCCTTCGCTGAGACGAACGTCGAAGAGGTTTGGTTCGCTGGGTGTCATTGCGGTAAGAACCTCAAGTTCGGCAAAAGTTCAATACTAATCACGCAGCAGACGTCGGCGGAGGTTCTGTCCCGAACGGTACCCGCAATAGTCTAGCCCGCATACCACTTCGCTGGATGATTCGAGAGATATTCAAGCTTGAGGTCGGCATTCTCTTCCACCAGAACATGTTCAGACAAATTGGCATGGATTCTGCAACGCTCTACCCACATGTACTTGAGCGGCCTCCTGCAGTATTTCAAGTTCCGAAACCCCCATCTCCTCCTGGCACGCCGGATTCGACAGTAAAGGCCCTTATGATTGCTGCGCCCAAAATCGTCACCGATGATCCCACAGTCGTCGCCTATAGTGATGATGGCACTTTCCTGAACGAGGAACTCGAGGACCTGGCTGACGCCGTGACCGAAGATTATGACCAGCTCCGCATCGCACGTTACTGGTGGATTCTAGAGGTCATTCCGCAGATGCTTCGCTACCAGGATGACGATGATGACTCTTGGGTCGACAAGTACACGTACGTCACCTCATACTCACCATTTACTGTCATGCTCACCTTGAAGAAGGGTTAATATGGGACAGGGCCGGCACGTTGCGCGCCAACACAAGGACGGCGTCAAAGTCCATAGGTCTGTCAAAATTCGTATGGAGGCAGATAACCTCAAATATGGGAAGTACTGGCCCAGGGCGAAACTGAGGGTGGAGCCTCAATGGATTGACTGAGCTGTTCCCGTGTAATTCGCACGTTTCTATGTTATGATCTGCGATTTTGTGATATTTTACACATGTACGTAGTACTTGCTTTATTGTAGTTGTAGTAAACGACCATTTTTCTTGCTGCACGTTCTTGGGTTATGTCTGACAACTTGAATGTTGAGCTCATGGTGGCTGTCTTACACGACTTGAACATGAACTCCATCGATGCTTAAGGTGAGTGGAAATACTTACTCTGGAATTCTATGTATGGGACTGACTTCCTTCCTCGGCGGACCGTCTAGGGGAGACTAACTCAAGCCTGTCATCTGCCTCCCTTTGCCTCCATGTGCTGCATTGTCAGGAAGCGGTGCTGCAGTGAACAGCAAGAGCATGGTTTGATTGCCGGCTAATTTCGGTGAGAGTCCTTTTGACAAAGATAGCGCAGAATAGCGCTCCCAGGCTTCAACAAAACTTTCTTTCCGATGGGAATGTGAACTTGTAAGTTAGTGACATGTCTCCGAATGATTGACATCGACCTGGTTAACCACCACCTTACTTATGAACCAGTACCACCTGTGCTCCGTGGAAGGACGTCCAAACTCACTGGTAGTAGACATCCAACAACATCTCGTGAGCCGTGATGCGGGCCAGTTTGACGGATCGTCTACCACCACCTCTCCAGATGCTACTAAAGACGTATATGCGTTTCTGGAACTTTTCACGCATCGTTTCCCCGAGTACTCGAAGCATCGCAGGAGAGAGCTACGGAGGTCGTTATCTTCCTCACATAGCGACAGAAATCTACCAGCAAAACAAATAACTCGCGAAATGCCCATCTTCCGAGCTTGTTCCAATTCGTCTCGCCTCGGTGATGATTGGCAACGGTCTGGTTGATCCTCTGACTCGGATGCCTTTTGTTGTGGAAGATGCATGTGAAGGTCCATATGCAATTTACGATGATCCCTTCGGACCGGAATGTAGGGCGCTGCGTGCTGTTGCTCCGGTATGTTGGAGGATGATAGAAGGTTGCTATAAATTCGAGTCGCCCTTGACATGCTCGCCAACGGCATAAGGCTGCTCATATACGCTGGTAATACTGGTACGTGATGAGGTCGTGATACGGTTCGAGCAATTAATCGCGTTGTCGTAGATCTCACGTGCAACTTCATGGCTAGTGGTGATGCTGGTGGACGATATAGTATGCTGACTCGATTTTGCAGGGTAAGACGCAGTTCATCTCCGATCTCGACAGCATGTTCCACGACCAATTTCTCGCTGCTCCAATGATCCCTTGGTTGCTCAATGGTAGCTCTGTCGGCGAGATTCGCGGTGCGGGGGGTAGAAGTTCGACTGCGGGTAATGTGACTCTTACTGTTATCTTCGAGGTAGGGTGTGTTTCTAGTCACACTCTTTTGATCGATATACTCAACTGTTTCAGGCACATGTCACCGTATGACCAGCCTGCAGCAACATTGGTGCGTTTCTCGAGCTCTAAGGGTTACTTATTCGACCCATTTGACTAGAACATGATGATGAAGTGGATCGACAATGTCCCTATCGCTCGAGGATGATGTTCCCCTTGTTACAAAACCTGGTTTGCGTCACGGCGCCTCTTGGGCCACCCACAGTCCAATTTTCTCAATGTCATATCACTTCCTTGCTCACACATCACCGTGGTGAACTGTTTCCTGCATCCACCAGCCATCAATTATGATAGGATCTCTCTCAATCACCGCTTTGTCCCAGCTCTACTCTGTCTGTCCTACCCTTTCGGCTATGGGAGAATTATAAATCTCTCCCCTTGTGCAAGAAGGGAGTCTACGAGTGACGAGAGAATAACCAAAGTTGAGTCGGTCAAGTTACTGAAGTACGATTATTGGGATATGAATGGGACCATCTTAGGTTCGGCAACGCTCAGTTCCTCTTCGTTCGAGGGTGCGCAAATTTTCAAACCAGTTCCAAACCAGTACTGGACGAAAGCTTCTATAAGCCAGCATCTTCTATCTCGCCGTCGTTCCACCCAACTTCAAGCCTCAGTCATTAGATCATGAATCACGCAAAGAATAAATCGGATATGGTGTAATGGTTAACATTGCCGCCTCTCATATATGGGACTCGTAACGTGTTCGCGGCAGCTCGGGGTTCGATTCCCCGTATCCGAATGTTTTTGCTTAGCACGACTCCTCATTTGACCTGCCACGTCTGATAGAAACTGAAAGATGGCATAACGAAGCTTGACGGCATAGCAGCGATAAGATGACCTCGTCCTGTAAGTCTAATTCGGGCGTCGAGTTGATTAACCATGCGAACTTACGGTTGTCTATCCCTTGTCCTTAAGTGCTAAGCGCTACAATCTTCTACTCATGGCTGGTCGTTGCACCTTACTGCACGCCTCGCGATCGCGCTAAACCAAGTGACATAAGAGTACAAGCGTGCTAGATGGGTAACAGTGGAAAAAACGGAGCAACAACAAAGACAGCATCTATCGATAATCAGCAAATAGCACTTGGCATTGTACAAGCACATCGATTCACATCCAAGTATGACCTCGCCATAACTTGGATTTCTTATTCTCCCCCGCCAGCGAGTTCGAGAATCAACCGACATGCAACATCCATAAATACAAAAGGCGAAACCACCTCGTCTTCCTTGAGCGCGACATGGTCTTTGTCCTTGATGGATCGTCCATCTGAACTCGAGTCAGGAAGATAAGCATCTGGGTCAGCCATGTCGAATTTTCCAGCACCGGGTTCAGCGGAGGCCTTGTAGGTCTTTTTGTGGTGGAAGTCGACGAGGTAATTTATCGAGTCCACCATGTAGAGCTGGAGATTCATGAGGACCTGATAATGCGTCAGCTGCATCCCAAGTTGTAGCAAGAAATAAAAGTGTACGCACCACAACGTCCTGCACTCTGGCCCGGGTCTCTACAAAGTAGACACTTGCAGCCGCGCGCAAATCCACCGATTGACTACCGTCCATCTCCCTTGCACGCTCGATCCTTGCGCCGCCGTCCACGCTGCTCCTTTGTCGGAACTTAACACCCAAGCCGCCCAAGTTCCTCTTCTCCTTCCACTCCATTCCGAGTGTCTTCAGCGTTCGATAGATCTCCAACATGACTTCCATCGGCGGACTTCGGCTGCGAATCCCAAAGTGCCACTTCGTCCGGTGTTGCTTCTTCTCCTTGACAGGCCATGCGCGCTTGGCATTTGCATATGATGCGAGATGGTGCTGCTCCGGTAGCTGGTCGGGGAGCGGTAGCGAAGAGTTGAGCACAGCAAAGTTGTTTGGGCCGCGTTCGCCATATTCACTGTCTATCGGAGGCGTGGAGAAATCGAGTCCGTCATCGATGTCGTCGTCGTCTTCGTCGTCGTATTCAGCGTTAAATTCGGCTTCAAATGGATTGTCTTCGAGGTCGCCCGCGGGTGAGAGAGCGTTGGGTGAGAGATTGTTCCGGGGCTAGACAGGTATCAGTATAGGCGCGAAACTGTGAGGGTTAGCACTCACATCCATCGCTGCGAGCCGAGCATCACGTTCTTGCTCCTCGAACTCTGCCACTTGGAAGGTGATCAGTTAACTAGTGCTGTAAAAATTAGCGACACAGATAAGGTAGATACCTACAGTCACGACCAGCACGGCGTTTGTCTCGTAGGAGCATGTATGCAACCTTGACCGCATTCCCTTGAACGCCGTCATCCCGTCTTAAACACTCCCAAATATCCTCCTTGTCCACGCCTTCCATGCGAGTCGACAGTTCGTCGATTACATCCTCCTCAATGCGTCCAAGGCCGTCAATAATTTCAAAATCGAGTACCTTGGGCTGGGTGACAAGAGCCGATAGCGTACCAAGCACAGGACCAGGAGGTGGAGGGAGAGGAGTGAGGTAGCGGGGAAGATCAGCCCTGAAGAATGGGTGCTGCGTTATTTCAGGGATGGTTATACGTTTGACAGGATCAACAGCGAGCATGGAGTTAATCAGGCCGCGGGCGTCCGGACTAAGGTTGGACGGCATATGGTAAGACCCCTCTGTAAAATATCAGTACGTATATGTTCCGGTAGAAGCAAACAAGGGACAAAGACGTACGGCTAATTTTGTTGAATAGGTTTTGAACATCTTCGTCCTCGAAAGGTAACCTTCCACACAGCATGACATAGAGGATTACTCCACAGCTCCAAACGTCGATCTCTGGGCCGGTGTAAAGTCCGCCTCGAATTACTTCTGGTGCCGCATAATTAGGACTGCCACAACTGGTCTTGAGGAAATCCCCATCCTTGATCTCGTTGGAAAGACCAAAGTCGGCGATTTTGACATTGAGATCGTCATCAAGAAGTACATTCTCTGGCTTGAGATCTCGGTGGACGATTTTGAGCTCGTGGCTGTACTCTATTCCTGAGATGAGCTGCTGAAAGAATCTCCTAGCTCGGGGCTCCGGCATCCGTCCATGGGCTACGATATAGTTAAAGAGCTCGCCACCGGCGTACTCAAGGACGATGATAATATCTGTAGGGGTCGAGATCACTTCATAGCTAAACAAAAATCATAAGATGGAATAGCGAAAATGGTTTAAAAGACATACAGCTTGATGATATGGGGGTGCCGCAGTGTTCGCATGTACTCTACCTCCCTCTGGACACGAGTCTTGGTCTTGGTCATATGGATGACTGCCTTCGAGATATACTTCATGGCAACTTTCTGACCTGTTATTGTGTGAGTGGCCACTACAGAACATCCGTTAGTTTATCCAACACAAAGATCGAACAAATTTGTAAGATGTACTTTTGACCTTGCCAAACGTCCCTTCCGCTATATCCTGTATGACTGTGTATTCACCCAGCTTTGAAGCTGGGTATATTGTTGTGTCGCTCATGACGGAGAGCCGTCGGTAGATGAAGCAGTCGTCGCCGTCGTTGCGATCGTCGAGCTTGTTGTGCTGTGCGTCTGAATAGCGGGAAAATTGGGATTTGCTCCTGGGATTGATGCTGTTACGTACTGATTTTGGGGTCTTACTTGCTTATGTATCGTTTGATGTGACACCCAGATTGACTCCATCATGACTTTTGCTTGGCAAATAACTATAACTTCAAACAAAGTTCAAAGCTGTGGATTTTGCCGATTTTGGTGTATATTCAATTGGGCGTGGATTTTCTTTGAGGCCTCAAGCATCGAATTCTGATCTGAATTTCTATACAATTTCGACTTCAATGACGATCGCACCCTCGCGTCGGAGTTTCAATATAGTGTAGGCATTAACTTGAATGCCTGCTATTAGTGGAAAGGATGGCATAATTGATCTGCGAGCCCATTCACCATCGATCTTATCTTCAACCTCTTCTCGCGATCCACCTTTATCCGACTTTGTAGTACAGAATTCTCTTTGACACGGTTCAAGTCCAGGGACTGTGAAATCTAACTGTACGAGAATGCATCCGGCGTGGGCAAGGCTTAGGCCTTTTTTGCAAGCCTTTGCGCATTGTCTTGCCGACTGATACCTCATGCGATAAAGGGGCTATTTGACCATCGTTCATGGACGCGGGTTGGGGACCTCAAGAAAGATAAATCGTAGCGAATTTACACCAGGCTTGTGACAGGCGGGTACAGCTGGAAGGACTACTACGCGGTAAATAACAAAGGAACGATCTCGTCTGCCTACGGGAGACTACGAGTGCGACGTATTTGCAGAATGCACATTTAAATATGATTTATCAATAGTCAAAGTTGAAATTCCCTTCCGGTCGAGCCGAGCATGGGACGTGGCAAGAGAATATTGCTCCAGAGTATGTTGTCACCCGCAGTGCAGAAAGCAGGCGTATTATTATCCAAACTGCTCGTCATCAGCAGCTTTCCGAATCAGCTGAAGGTATATCCGATCGGATGGGTCAACTACCATTCGTGCTTCTCTTCTAATCCGGAGATGAGGGTAGCCCATTCGAAGTTCATGCGACTCACATGGTCCATGTGTCCATGAAATGAGCTCAGATCTGCAAAGCTATCAGTGACCATCGAGCTGCAAGAGAACTGGAAGAGAGGCATTTGGGTAGTATTTGGTAAGACTTCTGAATTATTTTCACCGCGAGACAATCAAAGTCACTAGCACACAACCGGAGAACACGTTTGTGAAGGATTACACCGGCCTTCCGACGGCTCTTGTGACAGCAGTACTCGCTCACTCGCACTCGAGGTGGCAATAGCTGGGTGTTGCAATATTGCAACGCATTGCAACTAGCAACTGGACACAGATAAGGATCAAAACTTATAATCGTCTCTCCTTTGATCTCACACATAACATCGCGGAACCCTGTTACCTTTGTCAAGTTGTTCACAAAATATGTATATGGAGGGGCAGTGCGGTACGACGGCGCAGCAGTTTTTTTTTGCAGTGACTCCATCTATGGAAGCCATTGGAGAATGCGACGGATAAAGATAAAGCGGAAACCTTTATCTTCGCCATCTATCTTTGTTATCGTGGAACAGTGCATTGTGCCGTGAATGGATGGCATGTGAACCACATAGACGCACCGTCAGAGTTGAAAAGGACACTAGTCTCGGCGCCTCGTTTCAACATCAACTCCTACCGAGGGGGCCGCCCAAGAAGCTGAAGATTGATATATACACATGGCCTCCTAGTTATTTAGTCCACACCGCCGTCGATTAGAGCCTTCCCTTAAGAGATCCCACGGCTTTAGTACGCCATGTCAATGCGGGAATACAGTGCAGGAACCCTGAAAAATACCTATCGCAGCGCCTAGGTCAGATATTATTGCTTCTGGCGTGTTATAGCAGTTAGGTTAGACAGAATGCGTAACCGTCTTCCCAGATTCAGTGGCCAAAAGAGCAAATCAAATCTCTTTGGTCGGCCAGGAGACAACGTGGCGCGACCGAACTCGCTCCGAGATAAGTAGATAGGGTGATCGAGGAGAACTTTGTGAGGACCCTACCTGTGTGTATAACGTTGCAGATATTTAGGCTGACCCGGTGAGAAGGAACTGAACCGGCTGTGGGATAAAACGCCGCAATACAACCATAGCTGGAGCAGTCAAATTGTCGCGCACGTGCATAAACGAGAGACATGTAGAACTCTGAATTTAAAATGATCAGTCACCAATTTGACATACTATTTCTAGATTTTTCTTGAAGTCATGTGGCAAGAGAGTTTCAACTTGTGTTGTTCTCCCTCACGCTGATCGGGATCGCTCTTTCAAAATAAATTTTTTCTGTTTGAAGTTTTTGGAGCTCTATAGTAACAAAGTTCAGCGGGTTTAGGTGGCAGTCAGTGACTACCTACAAATGTCATCTAGCTCGACTGGATAGGTGAGTTTCTCATTTCTTGCTTGACAGGGATGCAAAGTCGGAGAATTGAACGCCACGGATGACACGTGGAAGGTTTCCCATGGGTCAGAAGTGATAACCAGCGCATACCTCCGAATAAATAGATCAATCCTGTTAGGTCGGGTTGGAGCTACCGCACGAAGTGAAGACAATGAAATGAAGTCACGAGTCTGTTTGAGCTTTAAAGGACTTATGCTCACTTGAAAACGCACACACCGTGTGCATATGATGAATATGTCCACCTTGTTTTTGTTGTCTGTCAGAGGATGAAAGCGGCTGTAGACAGTTAAGAGGAACATGTTCAGTGAGGTATCGATTCAATAAACATACAAGGGAAACATCCCAGGATCTGGGGGATTACGTCTCGTGCCGTGCTAACGACAATTGGAATCAGCAGCTAGTCAGCGCGACCCTGAAATGATGTTCAAAGAGGGCCGTCAGGCAAGGTCGTCTGAACTAGTAATTTCATATGAAGAGACTGGATGGTAAAAACATACAGATGGATATGTGTGAATAATGATGCTCCGAGTCCTGTGGTACAAATATGCAACAAAGAAGAAACAAGGAATCACGGAAAAACAGACACGCAGCGTAGATCATACAGCCACTTTTGTGGCCATCACCTCCTTCTTCAACGCATCGCACTTGATTTCTTGCGCTTCAGCATGCTCAATTGTCTTCGCGAGCTTCTCCTCCCTGTTCTGCATGCGCTGCTCCATACCGAGGACAAGAAGGCGAATCTGTTCCACCTGCGTTAACGTGGCTTCAACTGCCGCCTGAGAGACGGGCGCAGGTGTAGAATCAGGATTGCCCGACTGAGGTGTAGGCGTCCCTCGAGAAAAGACGGATCCCATGACAGCACGAGCTGCAAATGTTGATGAAGATGGCGCTATGTCGAGCGCAGTCTGAGGGAATATCAGATGTACACAATTTAGGATATTTAGCAGGAATGCATACCTGCCAATTCTCGCCCACGAGTTTGGCCAAGGCTTGCTCCAACATTTTCTCCCTCATCTTCACCCTATGGCAACGGACCGTCTGAAGTGAACCCTACGAAAACGCATGTGTACGCACCTGTCCAGTTCTGACATACATCTTTCATTCTCTCTCTGCGTTCCCTGCAGAATCAGATCCAGGTTCTTGTATTCCTTCTCCAGCTCCTGGATCCTTTCTATGGGTGGCCTCAGAGCAAGTTGTTGTTGTAGCGTCAATATTGTCGATTGAAGCTGCAATAAGCCCAAATCAGCCACTGCATATACCATCCTGCGATTGATTAAACCGACCTTATCATTTTCGCGATCTTTGTCTAGGAGTTGCCGTCGCAATACATCTTCGATAGCTTCGTCCCCCTCTCGAAGCATGCCGAGATCATCTGCAGCTAGTGCAAGAGTTGGTCTTACGTAGTTGCGCACGCTCATCGCACGCCGCATGTTCGCCATCTCACATACAGGTCGTCGTTGAAAAGACACCTTCCCCGAGAACGCGTGTTGACAACTACATGCACGTGACTGACGCGTTGCACCCAATTGTGCTTAGCATCAAGCACATCCGAGTCTATGGAATATCCCCTGGAATTTTCACAGAATCTACAACAGCTGGACTCTGGAGCGTAAGGAATACAAGAATGGACATCTCTGTTCTATATTCCAGTTATGCTCACTATCGAGCGTGTCTGGCCCGACGTAATCAAATACAAAACTGCTACAACGACAGTGAATGAACAACTATGCAGGAGGATTTGGATGCTGTATGATGAAACGATGAGGTAATTCCCTGCAACTAAGTCCTAGGAATTACGGTGGTGGTACAAACGAAGGCGAGAAAACTGGTTGCGAAGTTGATATCCGAACGATTCCGACGGGCGGGAACAGCTTGGAGAGACGCTTCTGTGGCAAAGAAACACCACACTTGGAGTCAGGGACGGCGGAAGCGCTTGCCGGACGCGGGGGTTTGGAGAGCCGCCTCGGCCTGGTGACGTGTTGACTACGGACGGAACTTGCCCCAGCGGTGAGAAGTGGCGCAGACATCCTACGAGTGACACGGGAACCTTGATTCCTACCAGCTGAATTTTCAACGCCCGCCATATCACTTTTCTTCCAAAGGGTCTTTGTTACAGCATGCCTCAGTCTTGACCAGATTCGTTCTAGTGGAGATAGATCAGGAGCGCCAGGTCTGGATGAATCATGACTCATGGATGGAGCTGGGGGATCGACGACTGGTGCCTTGATAGAGTTCGCCGTCGAAATCGCAGAAGTGCGGACAGGTGAGTTGGCGGTCCTAGCCGGATCCTTGTTTGAAATTTGCCCGTCCAACGCGTCCAGCTCAAGTCTTTCCGCTGCCTTTTCGGTCACGACTACAGACATATTTGACCTGGGTGCACACGAGTCGAACGTAATGATTGTATTGCCTTTGTGTGCGGGAAAATCCGGGAGATCGAGATCGTGGCTCACGTCACAATTCAGTGGTTCAGGGAAGGAATACATGTCAGCGAAGACCAGAGGGGAAACTGGAGATGACTGCGCCGTTGACGTCGAGTAATCAGCCAGCTTGGGAGATGATCGAGCAGGATAGATCCCTTGCTGTGCTGAGAAGAATGATGGCCTAAATATGGCGTATTACGACACTTACGATTAGTGGGGACAAGGATAAGTAACGGGAATCCATACTCTGGAGATGTGAGGTAGTGAGCGGTCTCGAAGGGAACATTAGTGGTGCTCGCTTTGGATACTTTTCCGGTGCTTGAGGAAGCAGAGGTAGCAAGCGGCCCAATAGGGCTATCGAACATTGTAGATAGAGAACTAGGGCTCGCGAAAGTCTCTCTGCCTTCGGTGATGGGGGAGAGATCCGTGTTCGAATGCTTGAATGTTGTCTCCTGCAGCTAAGATGGTCATGCATAGTTGTGGATCGGCACATCGTCATACCGGCTGGTCTGGACTTAAGAAAGTCTTTTGTGGTTGACTTGGTAATTTAAACGGAATATTGCCCGAAAACCGCTTATTGTTTGATGCTTGAGTTGTTTTCAGTACACAGAAGTCATGATCAGGGCTCTTGATAGGCATTCAATGTTCGCGCTTTGAATGCTGCTGAAGATCAACGCACCTTGGACGAGAATCGTTTCCTTGCGCGCCTGAGTCTATGTCGGGACGTACGTGTGGGACTTGTATCAGGTATCTATGCAGCACAGAGTTGTCGTCGATTTCCCACAACATATTATTATGGCTCACCGCATTATCCTTGAGTCAGAGCGTAGCGGACGACCATCAAAACACGGTCAGAGGCCAGGATATATGCGCACCTGAATGGACTTCAGACACATCTGAGAATACACAGTCGATCGGACGTGGCTCGAGAGCGGGGAACTATGATCAGCGAGAACATCACATCTGAAATCTTGTTCATCTCCGATATTTAAGGAAGAAAACTGTAATGGTTATGAATGACTTAGTTAAAAACGAGTCCGGTTAGGACATGGCTAGTTATTTGTTACCGTGAATGATGTCTCTTGAACGTGCGGCTGCGATTTTCTGGTCGGCGAGCTGGGTGATGTAGTCCAAAGGATGCCTGGAACACAAGAATTCGCTAGGCGTCAGTGGAAGTTGTAAGCCTTTCAGTTGATCGTCACCAGGTCTGTCTCGAGGAACCTTGAACAGTTGATCTGGAGGTGAAGGTGTTATCTCGAAGGACTGCGCCATGTTTAAGTCAGGTTCGGTTTCTACATGGAACATCAAAGCACCGACAGGCTTGGGCTTGATTATGAGCTTGAGGATCCGCCGCGTGTTGGCGAGACCCATCGTCAACTCTATTAGCAGGTATAATTCTGGGGGGGTGCAGGAGGAGGTGAACAATATTAATGTGGTTATTGTGTAGTTGCATGAACTTGTGCAGTGGCTGACACTGAAGCGCCGAGTCAGTCGCAGGTCAATTATTTGCACCCGCAAAGCTACAGGACCGACTATTTCCAGTCTACATACTTGTACAAGTTTCTACTATCTAGGCCAAGTTCTGAGTATGGTGTAGAAAGTCAAAACATAGGTAGAGGTGTGTAAAGCAGAACGCAGATTGAAAGTCAAAATATCAAGTCTAAGCGTACATGCTATAGGGAATATTGGTATTGTTAAATGTGCGTGTCAGAAGATAAACACAGATGCATGATCTATACAAGTGTCGTCTGACGACAGATGAGCAATGAATTCCCGCATAGTGCGTCTATGGGCTCTGCTTAGAGGAAGAGGGTGAAGCACCATACCACAGAGGCGAGAAGAGTAAGCGATACGGCGATATTTCTATTAGCAGAGCCAGAGCCAGTACTTCCGCTGGTCGAGCTTCCATTCCCAGTCGAGCACGCTTGCGAGCCAGTCACCTGCGCCGAGTTCGAATCGGAAGATCCGGTTGAAGAGCTCAAGCCACTAGCGAGCTGCGCAAACCCAACGGCGGCGGGGCTGGCACGGAAGACCGAGTACACATTCTTCAGGAAGGTGTCACCGACGATCCAAGCAGGAACATTATTAATGCCATTATCGAAGATACCGCCAACACACATTTCAGAAGAAGTGGCATTCACGTTGCCGAGCATTGTGGCATTGAGGCTGCCGAGATTCATGTCCAGGGGATTGATCGCCCAGTTGGTACCGCCGAAGGATATGGAAAATGTGACATCAGTGTCGCAAGCTATAAATAAATGAGTCTGTTGTTTATCCTGCAGTGCGCGAAGATACTGACGGAATGCATATAAACCTTGGTAATCTCCCGTAAGCTCCACAGAGCCAGGAACTTGAGCCCAAATACTTGCAGCAATGGGTGTAGGTGCACCGATGAGGGTAGTTCCTGTGTCGATGGCAGCAACACCACTGGATGCGTCGATGCTGATTGTCTTGCCTTGCACAGAGACCGCTGCATATTTGTGATCATTCAGTACGCTGATGATATGACAGAATGAGGGTGCTAACAGCTAACGGTGAGCAGCCAATACGATGGTGAACCAGTCAAGTTCAAGTATTCGATGGAGCCCTGGTACAAGCTCGAGTTTGTTCCTCCGAGAGTAAGCATACCGCCCGGGGCAGCACAAATCTCATTGGCTTGGTTGACATAGCGTTCAAGGTAGAAAGAGAACAAGGGTTCTGAGAGGTTGTTGGCATTATAGAGGGCTTCCCAAAAAGGGGTAGTCTGGAGGGTAGAAAGTGAGGCAAACCCGAGACCCATGATACCTGAGAGCCCATCATTTATCAAGCCAGAGGTAATGTTAGTAACAGCAACTATGATCAAAAATAAGTTTCATTCAACTTAAGTCACTGAGATAGACATACGGAATTCCTGGGACATTTCGAAGGACCCGAAAGCGACATTATCGTGAGCAACAGTACCGTGCACCGGTCCTGAGCCATAGGCTATCTCCAGGGGAGAGGAGGTAGCCTTGTATGTCGACGACGTTGAGGGGTCGAATTTGGGTATATCTGACCCGCAGGAGGTGCAGGAGGTTGTTGCAACCCAAAGGTCAGAAGAACCAGTATCAAGGACAAGATTGAAGTTCTTTAGGTCTTTACAGAACGAGTGTTTACGAATGTTGTTCCGTTTTAAACCTTGACCTTGTAACTTACGGAGTTCCAATGCTCACAACACCTGAGTAGCTGGAATCGTTTTCCTAAGTAACAAAATTATGGTCAATTAAGTGGAATACACAAAAGCTCGAGCCGCAAACCTCGTCCGTGATAGGAATTACAACAGTGCTGGCTCGCTTCAAATTCGTGCTCTTCACGTTCGCTGTCCTGATACCCATATTTTTTCCGCAATGCCTCGACGGCTTTTGGCAAGTTTGCAACTCGGTTGGAATGACTCCGTCGTACGATTGGAGCATGTATGACGCCTCCATCTGGTTGGCGAGCAGCAAGAGTGAATGGAAGGAGGGCGATGACTACAAGGGGGAGGGAAATCATTGGAGAATGGGCGACGAGGAAGACAGCGGAGAAGGGAAAGACTTAGAGAGGCAGTAGCAATACGTGGACTTATCCAAGTGGCTCGGTCCTGCCGGAAGTTCACCCATGGCCGACGCGCATACTTAGTTTTACCATCGAAACGAGTGACCTCGAAGTAACTGCGGTTCGAAGAATTGAGCTCGATCTTCTATTACTATTCGGGAAGGCGACGGCCCTATCGGGGTTCGAAATCTAATCTGCTACGTCCTTGCCCGTCACAAGCATGGCTTTGGACCACGCAAGCTATCTGTTCGTGTCTGTCGAATGATCTACACACGTCAGCGTGCCCCAAAAACTGTGAGATAACAGTTATCTTGTGTCCCACCACTCCATGCCCAGCAAGAGTTGAACGAGTCCAACATCAATGATCACGACCACGGCACAGATGGATAGTCCACAGGCCTAATTGATGTGGTGGGAGTATCTGAAAAATGATCGTCGACGAGATATACCTGGACAATGAACGTAAATTAGATTCCACAGAGAATAAGAAAGCTGAAATTACTCCTCTACATTCCTCTTCAGCTTCAGGAGTTGCAGTGCACCGTTGTCCGGTCAAGCGGCCGTAAAATAAAGATCATACAACGCATTGCAAACTCAACGATTAATCAATGTACTCTCGTGTAGGTATTGCCATGCACTTACAATAGACATTTCCTAAATCCAACAATTGTACTTGATCGTTAGTCAGAACGGCAAACAGACGAAAATCGGGGAATGAATGCAATCAACGCCGAAAAGGCTTCTCGCCGGTTATTCACCATCGCCCTAATACGGCGCGGTGTGGCCCTCGATGTTGCGTGTTTGCAGGAGGTGGGAGAACACCTACAACTAGGAGAGCAGTAGCGCACATGCGAACGATTGGAGTGACAGAAGGAAGGGGTGAAATTGGGAGCGGAGGCAAGATCGCGGATGTGGGATAGAACCGCTTTTCGGTTCTGGTTGATTCGTAAAAGGAAAAATATAGATGGTCGTCTGCTAGTGCAGTTGGACGGAGTTTGCTGATAACTCAGACGTAGGAATTGTGGTACAAGGGAGGTGTGCTAGTAACGGACTTGCTACCATCAAAGACTTTGGATGTGGTAGCAATTATAGAAGGTGGTTGCCCTCCAGCGCCATCACGATTAGATTGGGTGACGTTCTTTGAGGGAGGTTCACCAATAGGAGCCTGAACACGACACAGCGCTTTAACACAAAAAGGCAAGCGACGCCCGAACTCACTTGCTTTTGTATCTCGCAAGCGACACTTTCGAAACGTCGACCATTTCCGTGATTGTAGATGGAGGGAGACCTGGACGTAACTATGAAAATATCAGTCTATTCAGAGCAACTTAGTGGAATCAACCGAAAGTAACTAAATCAAGCGCTAAATTTCTGGTGAGCTCACGTTCAAATTTTTGCAAGATCAATAGTTCAATTTCTCCATCTCAAATAAACATAATTACAAAAATCTGTCTGTCCCAAAACTACGAGCTCGACGAAAGAAAAGCCGCCGACCTCAACTCTGCAGAGACGCACCTGACCCAGCCACCTGTTGGCCTGCTCAACTTCATAACGAAGCCTCGCAGCAAGCGGACTAGACCAACTTCATGTTCCACGAACGTAACAGGCCCCCACTGTGGAATACAAACGAGGGCCTTGACTTGTTTGTGGGTTGGATTCGAGACTGTTGAAATTGTTGAAAACGTCGTTCGCTCTGTGTATGATTGTGACATTAGCATATCATTGCCATATTCAGAGTGAAGAGTAGCTTGAAGCTACGACCGAGAGAGTGAATGCAGCGCCTAATTGACTTAGTTGCGGGAGCATTGACTGGTACGTTGAGGTCAGAGAGATGCACAGAATGAGAACGGGGAATTTGCGTGAAAAACCAAATTGACAGAGAACCTGTACAGTTGCTGATTAAGCTATCTCACGGCTACCCTCAAATCAAATTACCAATTCATTCACCGTCTTTGGCAAGTCCTGTAGTTCAAAGTAAAGTACTGCCACAGGACACTAAAAGTGACCTCCTTAGATGGCTGACGGAAATGAACCAACTCGATGTTTTTTGAAACGATTTTTATCGGCAAATGGGCGTTAAGTGGTTATCGATCACGTCGCATTGTCGACCCAATGATCGCCGCTTGGTCAACGTTAACTTAGTGCGTGCTTCTAAGTTCTAACCCAAGGTCTACGTCACCATCACCAATCCAGATCGCCGCCGTGAGCAGCATAAAATCCATATATCACAAGTACCTGTTACACAAGAGGTAGACCGTCACGTTTATAGATCCTGCCACCTTTCATGACAAACTGGATGCTTTCCGCGGATACCGCGCCTTCGAAATCTGCCGCAAAGTTTCCCGGTGTTGCAATCAAGTCGGCGATGAACCCTCTCCTCACGACCCCAAATGGGACCTCATTATCTCCAACTATCCTTGGGTCCTCCTTGAGATCGCCTACCTGGGCGAGTCGGGTCTCTCCTACCTTCCCTTCCCACGTCCTCGATCGTATACACTCCCAACCGCCCAACGTCGCCCATCTAAGCACTTTCTTCCAGTCAGCACCCAGACGCACCATGAGCGAGAGCTCCAACGCATTGCCACCGTGAGCGAAAACCCCAGTATCGCCCCCGCATGCAATATTGCCCACATCCAGTTCCAGGGCTGCCTTGAAAGTATTGACGGCGTGATCCCAGATCTCTCCTTGTCCCTGGGTCATGGTGTAATACGCCGCGAGGGTAGGTACATATTTGGTTTTAAGGCCTGCATATTCTTCAAGAAGCTCGACTGCAGTTGTGTCAGGAGCGGTCATATCGTATCCGTGCTCGATGGAGTCCACTCCAGAACTCAGCAGGTATGTGATGGTTTTCCTATTAGTTGCATGGGCGGCAACCTTAACCCCATACGAATGGGCAGTTGAGATCATTGCCCTCAGCTCATCATAATCGAACGTAGCCATGGACGCAGCCCCAACCCTACGCGACACCTCAGAAACCCGCGATCGAACACGGTAGTCTAGGACAGTGTCAGCGGAGATGACCGAGATCTAACCCAAACAAGGAGTTCATTTACCTGCATAGATCTGTGTAATGTTGTATTCATAACGGGAATCAGATATATATGAGCGCATTGTGGCAGTTATGATGAAAGAGTGAAGATCACCTTGATCCAATCAGCCCCTGCCCCAATTTGCCTTCTGATGGTCTTGACGCACTCTTGGCATCCATCCGCCACCTCCACACCGGTGACACCATCGATGCCTTCTTTGTTCACATAGAGGGAACTCTTTGGACCTGTCCGAGTCATGAGTGATATGTGCGACTAGGGAGAAGCTCATGCATAAAAAATACGCCAGCGAACATACGAACCATAACTTCCGGTGGGCGCAATCGCCCTTGTGGCACAAAAATACCTCGGGCCGGGTATGATGGCACCAGGCCCCGATAGACATTTGCGCAGCGCAATGTCAGCGTCCCCTGCACCCTCGGTACCTAGATCGCTAGGAACACAACGTTGACGTTGAACGGGGAACTACGCGAGATTAGGTGATAAACGAACCGCACAGCCGTAAAGCCTGCCATTAAAGTACTTTTGGCGTGTACGGTGGCTCTAATAGTACGCTCAACGATACTCTCTTTGGTAAGTTGATCATCCCATGAGGTCTCCGCGTACGGATGCAAGAAGACTGGCAGCAAGGTCGAAGCTTGAGATGAATTTCGGTCCCGGAAATGAGAGTGATACGCTCACAGTGAACGTGGGTATCAACGAAGCCTGGCAGAACCGTCAAGTGCCGAAGATCTATTACTTCACCATCAAAGGACGCAAAGTCATTGCCGTTGTTTGAGAATGGTGTAACCTCGAGTATCATTCCTGAGTCGTTACATATTGTTATGGCTTGGTTTTCAAGAAGTTCGAGCGTGTATGGGTCAAATAACTTCCCAGCGAGGACGACCTTGGTCGCCGCAGCAGGCTGGGCTTGGGCTTCTGGCGCGGGGACGCTTGCTTTGATCTGCATTTGGTTGAATAACGTTTAACCAGGGTTCGTTGGTGTTCTTGGTCGACTGGATAGTAGAGAGGAACGCGTGAAAGAGCCCCTGAGAACTGACCTGATGGAGTAAATAGGCGGAGATTGACCATCCCATCAACAAATGCCCCGGGCGCTGCCGCAACTGCCGCCGGTCATATTCTATCATGATTACCTTCTTTCAAGGTTTCGATGAAAGTGCGAGCCTCGCATTTCACTCCATCATGCCCAACCCTGTTCAACCTGCTTCTCGTTAGGGCCGGGAGTTACCGACGGAGACCTTGGCTTGTTGTTTGTCTCGAGCGTTGCGAAATGAACGGGAGAATGCTTCATGTATTTTATTATGAAATACTGGTGCCACGACGTGTGACGCGGAAAGTTACAGTACTAGGGGCCTGTTACAGTCGGTTCCTTTCGTTGCAAATGCTATTAGGTGACCTCCCCGAAATTTGCGGCTGGAGATTTGGTAGTGAGCACTGGGGTTCAGAGTCTCGACCCTCCCCGGGTGCTAGGAAACTTACTTAGCGAAGATCGCCTTTTTTGTGATACTCACCTGAGTCGCTTCAACCTCCAAAACAGATTGACAGAGTGGAGTAGTTTAGCGACGTGCCTCAGCGTGCTCTGAACGAAGTTGTTCGACGACCACTGAACTGTGACGACCCTGAGGAGGAGGGAGTGCCTTAGAGTTCGGTGGATATGACGCAAAGAACACCATTTTAGCGAAAGTCGACGTCGCCTCCAGACAGTGACATTGTCGGGACTCTCGGCTGCTCTCGGCCGCGGAGGTCTTGATAAAATATGAACGCGCGGATCAATAGAATGGTGCCTTCGAGAATATTTGAATCGGTTATTATGAACTTCGAAGGGCTCCTAGGAGTGGCGTTCTACATATTTGAGAGAAATTATCAGTACTTGGGCGGTGCAGTACTAGGTACGACACAAACGAGAACACCACTTTTTTTTTTTTTAGCGAAAGTCGACGTCGCCTCAAAACATGGGCGACATTGTCGGCAAATATCAGCTGCTGTCGCCCGCGGAGGTCTTGATAAACATATGAGGGCGGGGATGAATATTAATACTTGCCCCGCAATTGGTACACTCGAGAATATCTGAATCAGCAAAGGGCTGTCTGGAAGAGCTTTGTAGCGTTCTCCACCTCTGAGAACTCAAAGTGCGAAAACTGCACTCTGCAGCTAGTTCATTCTGCCATCAATTTGAAAAGAGAGCTGCGCAGTGCGTATCTGACAAATCAGTTATTCTACCTCCTCGGGTTTTCACTAGTCGCTGACATACTTATCTTATCTTTTGCACAAGTGGACGTCGCCTCTGACCATTGATCGGATGTCGGCTGCTGTCAGCCGCGGAGGTCTTGATCAACTTTGACGCGGTGACCAATACATACAAGCCCCGCGATTAGTCCGGCGTCCTCGAGAGTATTCGGAGCCGGTTATCATATCATATCAACGTCGCGACGAAGGACTGCCTGGGAGAGCGTTGTGGCGTTCTACCCCGTCCCACGCTTTTGAGATTTTGAAGTGCGGCCAACCGGATGGTTCTGAATGACGTCTTGAAAAAGACTCTAGAGCCGTGATAAGTAAATCGCTCTGCCTCCTCGGGCTTTCACTAGTCGGATATGCATACCCTTTGCGATGTAACGCAGGAATGTACGTAGAAGGGATCACAATCGAGGAGAAGCTTGAAGAGGACACGCGAGTGACGCAAAAGATAGGACGTAAAATGACACTCGTGACACCCCTCACGAGCAGAAGAAGAGGACGCGCGAGTACTATGTAGCAGGATTTCAAAGGACTCCAAGTCGGAAACGAAGAATCAGATACAACGTAAGTGACGCACTTGCCACATCCTGTTCTTTTGCGTGCGAGCTTCAGCCGCAGCCGCCTCCTCGGATTTTTACTAGTCGGGAATGTACGTACCTTTTGTGGCAGACCAGTGCTTGGAGGTTCTTGGCCAGTTCTAGGGGAAATGCAACGTTGAGATGGGATCACGATCGAGGAGAAGAGGAACCTGAAACGTTGTACGAGTAGGGCCTGAAACGTCGCGACTCGCTCGCGAGTAGGAGAACGCCGTCGCGTCCACGCAAAAGATACAACGTAAATGACGCAAAGGAGCTCGTCACAGATACCTCACATCTTCTGTGTGTGGCCACAGCGTACGTAGTACTTCGTACCATGCCAGAAGTCTAGAACGCTGCCGCCGCGGAAATTTGGGACATATACGTTACAACTCGCAATTGGTCGCAATGAACGAGCACTTTGCAATTGTCGGTTTACTTACTTCCTCTACTCCGAGTCTTGAACACGGCCCGATCAACGCAGGTCCCATATGTACTTCGCTTCCAGTTCGTTTCGACTTTCATATACGTGCACGGCGGGCGTCGCAATAGTATTACTCCGACTCCCGTCAGGACTCACGAACCACCGGCGGCCATTACAACAAAACGAAACGAAACGACACCATGGCTCACCAATGACCATGCCAAGTAGCGCCCACCCCCTGGATTCAGGAAGTAAAAGCACCTTCAAAGTCACCGTCACAACCCAAACCAACGTAAACTCAATCCTATTTTCTCCCAACTCGGAATCGCCTATTTCTCCGAGTCCCAACTTGGATCGCCAAAGTCCTGAGCTCCGTCCGATCGATCGAGTCTGATGATTGTCGACTTCCTAAGAAGTGGGCCCTGGAAGATAAGACGGAATAATGTTTGATGATGATGATATGATGATGATGACGACGACGCCGACTTGCGGGGTGAAACCAGTTGAATATAGGCTATGTAGGTTCTCATGGAGATAAGTGTTCACAGCGAGGAAGCCAAGGAACAGGTGGAGCAAGTGGAATAAATATAATATTCTCTGCGCATGTGCATGACTTCCTTGCTGATAAGACAAAAACAACAACACCAAGTTCCAACGCAACGCACAAATACAACGCAACCACAACGCGAAAGCCAAAAAGCGACTCGATGGGTGGTATACTATGCGAACAAAAGGTACTATGTGAACAAGGGTCTAAACTACGATTACTGTAACAACGACAACAACGACGACAACAACAACGTCAGAGAGTCCACAAACAAGATCTGGATGCGATGCAAACAAAAACCAAGAATGCAAGGGGTACCGGTAATTACGTGAATAACATGTGAGAGTTAGAGTGAGGGAGATCTGGTGATATGCATGCAAAGGAACGGAAAACCCAGTCAACCAACCAGTCGATCAGTCAACCAGTTAGTCAGTAGTGGTGAGTGATAATACGGGTGGGATGAGATGACGAAACAGATATGCGTGTATGTAATTGCGGTGGGAGAGAACGCAAGATGGATCTAACAAACTTCAAAGCGGTTGAATGATGTACAGGGCGATAGAGCGTGAGCGTGGAAACCGAAATCGAAAAAAATTATGGTTATGGTTCTGGGTACGCTTATGGGTATGTGTATGGGTGCGGTCATGATGTGATGTGATGAATGGACATCTTCCCGGCGTGTCATAGCGAATGAGCTTTCAAGCGTTAGAAGACCAGGGTCCGCGCAGGGTCATAATCATAGCCATTATGAGTACGACCACGGTCATGACAAAACTTCTTCCCGGCGAGTCATAGCGAATGAACTTTCAAGCGTCGGAAGACCTGGATCCGCGCCACCTATAGCCCGCCAGGTACCCACAAAGTTCCGCCCGCCGACGATGTAGCCGCTGAAGACCCAGATACCGAGGCCTTGGGCTATGAGATGGGGTTGGGCGGGGATACGGACTAGGGCGACGAGTCCGTCCCATTCGCGTACGCGCCCGTAGAATTTGTAGTGGTTCCATGCTTGGCCATGATTGAAGTCCGTCTGTAGTGATAGTGATATTTTAGGTAAGAATTAATGGGCAGGGAGAGGTGCTTACCTCGCCGATAAGTGCGATATCGAGAACGCCATTGCATTTACGTTGAACCCAATATTCGTCATCGTCTTCATCGTCGTCTTCAGCGACTGAAGCGCTGTCGGTGTCTTCGTCCATAGCCTCATCGTCTTTTTGACGAAAAACATTATCGATGATCGCGTCATAACGAGCAGCGGCATCTTCCAAAAATAGCCCATCATCCTCAACGACAGCCTCTTCCTGAGGGGACCGTTCCGCCAAAAACTGATCATCATGCTCCCGATAAATAATATCGCACGTCCCGCGGAATTGACATCCACGGCACGTAGCCTCGTCATGGGAATTTGAGAATCCTGGACGGTAGGCCTCGTATTTGTGCACGCGGCCGTGGTGCTGGAGCATGAGCTTGCCTTCTTGCTGTGTCCAATAATTAATTAAACTACATGTTCGTCGTTGCGGTGAAACTTACGATGTCTTCACGAATTTGTACGCCAGCTGGGATCCAGGCGTTTGAGATACCATCGTCGAAGCCGTCGTTGGCACCACCGGTTGGTACGGGGTCTTGTGGGTCGACGCAGTGGTATTCGCGGAGGCGCATGAAGAGGGGGGCAGCGTTGAGGAATAACTGCTGTTCTGTAAAGTCTTCGGGCATCTGGACGTTTTGGAGGATAGTTGCGAAGGCGTTATCGGTTGGTACCTGTTAAAATTTGAGATAAAATATCGGAGGAGAAAAGAGGTGAACGGACGAGTATACGGCCTTGCCAGAGTCCTGTTGCAGAGCCATATGTGTAATGAGTGTTCTTCAGGGAGGATTTTTCCATTGGGTAAATGCAATCTGTGAGACGGTACCAGTCGTCATCCTGGATCGAACTAGGAGATGCTTCAGCGGCGTCATCGGTGTCGTCCCAGGGAGTAGCAGGAACGTGGTTGACGACACGGTGATGATTGAGCTCGTGGACGTCTTCCTGAGTGGGACCGATTTGGTCACCAAAGCCGAGTTGAATGGCGTGTTGACGGGTTAGAGGGAGATGTATTGGGATGCCGATGGGTGTGACTTGACGGCGGGAGAAAAAGATGAGTTTAGCGGCGGTGGATGCGAGTGGGATACCGATTTCGAGGTCGAGGCGATCATAGAAGTGAGTCGTGTGAGCAGTGCCAGAGCGGTAGAGTGGGAAGGCGCCGTGAGCGGGGAGGACAGACTGACGCAAGTGACCGTCTGAATTGTTAGTGAGGGGCATGATGAAGTGGTTGTGAGGAGCACAAGCGGATGGGTACTAGAGAGGGGTTATGATTAAGGACGGTCGAGTATGATGGAATGGGGCTTACGCGAAAGGGTACGATGACGAAAGGAAGGACGAGCTTGATTAACTCATTGCGACGGGCAGGAGTCTCAGCCTTGAGACGTTCTGAGGTAGATTGTGTTGGAGGGAGTGTGTGTTGAGGAAGAAGAGTAAGACATACCTTCTGTACTCGTGAACCACAACAACCACAATGCGAGACAATTGATGGGAGATTCATCAGGCCAGCCGTTGGTGGATGTGTTGTTCTCGTAAAGGCGTTTGCGAACGAACTCGTCCACGAAATCTGGAAGACCCGCTGCTTCGAGGTGCTGGCGGTTCTTTCCGTCATTCTCAGACATGAGTGCGAAGCAAGCCCAAAATGCATCGAGGAGTCCTTTATCGTATATGTTGGCGCGTCTGATGCATTTTAGAGCTGAGCAATACCAGGCTAACTGGTGAGCGAGATGGCGTGAATGGTGTGTACGAGCTCCAAGTCTTCTAGCGGAAGCTGCCGAGTCGAATCTTGAACGAAAGATGCGAGAATATAGATGAGTATTTTTTTGAAAAGCTAGGATGTGATTTATGTGTCTGCAAGTTTGGAGGAGGGGTACGATGGCAGAAGTGGATGAAGTCGAGTCGAGTGAAATGAGCTCTAGAACTATATTCTCGAATATTTCAGCTGGAAGTTTGCATAGAGTAGAAGATTGAAACATGATGATGATGGTTGAAGAAGAAGGAAAAGAAAAAAAGAGGATATAAGTATGTATTAGAGAACACGGGGTAAACGTTTTGTTATGTGTGTGTCCCTTTGGAGGTATCTCCGTTGATACGGTATATTACGACGTTAACGAATCGAGTGAATCGGGCATGATTGTGGAATATATAAAAATACCGAGATGTATGTACATAATTTAAAGGTCCAATGGGCGCTATAACAATCAGTTCCCACCCACAATTGTACATATCAAACTCAAGTATCGTAGTAGCACAGGATGGTGTACTTACAACGCCGTTTACTATACTACAAAGTTTCTTTTATTCATTTTTTATTCGATAAATTCCCAATTTACGTCTATATACGCAGGTCATCGACATCTTATTCCCTCGGCAGTCTCTTATTCCCCTATACCAACCTCGATCTTGGAGCTTTTCTCCTCGATGGCCCTCACCTCCGTGCCTTGCAGGTTCGCTATATATCTCCGTAAAACCGTCTCACTGAACCGATAGTACGGCCCCGGCCCATTTGAGACACCGCGAACGCACGGCGATCACGATCGGTGGCTCCTCGGAACCTCCAATACAAGTAACACTGCCTGGTACTGCCCCCTTCCATTTTTACAACCTCTATATCGGCTCCTCTTCCCGTACTACTTCACTTTAATCCGCGTCCCATTGACCTTGAGAAGTCTTTCAATACACTTACCATTGATCTAGGTACCCGTCCAAAACTTCAAAACGTGTGTGTCCTTGCTTCGTCCGCGTCATTGCTGACTTGTCGATTTGGCAAGTCAAAACGTACCACGCACTTCATTTCCGCCCTTGCTGTATACAGACCCTTCAACTCCCTCCAACCAACGCACCAGTCCGATTATCACGAATCCAGTCCACATTTTACGCGATTTCTAGTCATCCGCCTCTTTGTTATTCCCCAACGCCAATCCAGCCAATCCAGCAACGATCACCCATCAGTCCTATTTATTCTTCCAACTCCCTAATCCTACTTAAAAAGGCAAGTCCGTTCACCCACATGACCCACGCGAGTTCACCTTTCTCGACCTTATCGCCGGCGGCCCGTTCACTCCATTCGCACTGCTACTTTTAGCCATCTCATTGTCGTCTTCTTGACGCCGTAAATCTCGCAGAACTCTCAATCACCTATTATTCGTACTTTGCCACATCATCGCAAGGTATAACCCTCTGGTGAATCCCTTGCTCCAGCCGTACGCAATTTAATCGACCCTACACAGATCATGCAATTAGAACTTTGTCCCCCGGCTACATGCGTGGCCATGCCAGCGTGGCTCGCCTGAAACGCTGTCCCTGTGACCTCCATATCGCCTACTCACTTTTCCCGGCTGGTTCGATGTTCTATCCAGTAACCTCTGGGGCGCAATCTCCAGATTTCAATGTCGTACGCTTCGGATCTTAAAGCACGAATCCTGCAGCATTGCCCCATGCCGTTTCGATCACGGTCATACGCTGAGCTCAAAGCTCACCTGCTCCACAAGATTTAGAGCTTTCGAATGTAAAGCTCAGCGCTGGGCACTTCATCGCGCTCGACAGTGCTGACGCGACCCTACATTCAACTCCGCTACTCTTCTGGTGCGTATTCCTTCATTAGCTCTCAGGCTTCCAAATCGGTGTTAGAGTTAAGTTAGGTTGTGGACGCCTGGACAGCCCCAGGCCCTCAGAGTATCCCGGGGATGCCATTTTGCATCGTTCATTGACGCGCAAGCGGGCCGGGGGATGTGGGTCCGTACCCTTCGCAGGTTCAGTACCTGATTCTAGCCTTGTCGTGCAGTGGGTGGATTGTGCATTATCCCAGGGTCTCCCACAGAATGCTTTTATCGCCTCGCCCATCCGTATCCTGCGGAGCTGGTAGCACCTCAAGTATTCGGTGATTGCACCATCGCCTCCCCCTCCCCCTCCCCATTCAAATCCTCCAACATCACAATCCTCCCTCATTGCAAAAACGATTCCAATCGCGCGCGTCTCCTCATTTTCATCTCCGTCACCCTGGCGCACCCCCTTACCAATCCCAATACCCAATCCCATCCGGCAGCGGATTGACGTACATACATCCAATAACCCATTTCCCAAAAGTTCCAAAGTACAGGGTAAACAGCGTCTACTTACGGTCTCCCGCAATCACCGTCCAGCCCGGCTTTCGCAGCCAGCGCGTGAGATACCCGTTTCCTGAAGGGGCGCAGTCTCTTGATTACCGTGTGAGAGGTTGATCGTTATCATAACTTCCGCACGCGATGTGGCGTCTCCAGGCTGTGGGGGATTCATTTGTGCCGACGGCTACAGAGGCGGGCACTAGAGTGAGGGAACTTTGGGTCAGGGGGTCAGCTCGGCAGGGCCGTTTGGTGGGACTTGAGCTTGGTGAGATTTGACTTGCTGGAGATATGAGGCTAATTTGTATAGGTGGCGTTGTGCCATTGGTGGTTGATGAGCGGCGTATGCTTGGTTTGCTCACGATGGTCCTTCCTTGTCCTTTTGGGCACGGGGGTTTGAAACCAGGAAGGATGCATTTCACGGGTATGTTCGTGTTCGACGTGGAGATTGGTGGGCTATGCCAATGTCAATGTCAGCTTGGAGCTTCTGCTGCGATGGGGTTATCTTGGTCCTTGGGTTCAAACTTCAAACGTTTCAGTTTTTTCCCAAATTCGTATTCGAGTGCAACGGGGATTGGTAGGCTATACATACCTTTTCCTTCTGCTACTTGATGGTGACTGACCGATCGATGGGTTTTCTTCGAGTTCTTGGTTCTTGGGTTCGCAGATACTTCGGATTTTGCCGGGTCCGAGTCATGAAACAGGGTTGGTGCCTTACATGAAGAATGAAGACCATCATGAGTCCGCAGCTGTCTGCACTGACGGCGTTCACGCTCTTAGTCCCTTTCTTCCCTGACTGTCCGCGATGGGGGTACCTGAGCTTTTGCTCGAGTCTCCCCATATGGAAATTGACGGGTTGTACGTCATAGCGACTGATCGGGTTCACGGCGCTTCGGTTCATCCCGAGTCGGTTGACGATGTTTCATGTTTCTTCCACTTTCTGTAGTGCGATGATACACTTAAACATCGTCTATCGATGGGACCAGAGGGCGGGTCACATCGCATCGAGCTACTTGCTGCCATCGTTTGTTGATCGATAGATCGATAGATGAGATTTTCTTCACGTTTGGAACTTGGTGGGCTACTCTTTTTTCTAGTCTGTAAACCAGTTGGTGACTGTTCGTGTGGTTCGCAGATGGCTTCATCCAATCCTTCCCGGAGTCGACAGACGAGGTGTCATTGTCGATTCGGGTAGCAAATGGCAATGCAAATGGATAGTAACGCTCCCGGAGTCGACAGACAATGTGTGACCCATTTTGCAAGTTGTATGCAATGCAATGGCGGATTATACATCGTCTGTCGATGGGACTGGGTTGTATGGACAACCGAGCTGCGTTGTTGATCGGTAGACGAGACTTTGTTCACGTGTGGAATCTGGTGGGCTACTTTTCCATTCTGCTTTGTAAACCCGTTGGTGACTGTTCGTGTGGTTCGCAGATAGTCCTTCCCAGAGTCGACAGACGGGGTGCAACCCGTTTTGCAAGTTGTATGCAATGCAAGGGCGGATTACACATCGTCTGTCAATGGCACTGGGCGGATATTTGAACTGCCTTGGCTTGATGGCACTACGCAAGGGAAGATCACACATCGTCTGTCGATGGCACTGGGCGCGTATTCTTGTATTGAACTGCCTGCTGCCATGTCTGGCTGGCTTGGTTCAGATCTTTATCTTACAACTTCATCTTCTCGTGCAGTTTGCATGGCTTACGGGATTCGTTCTACAGCACAGTTCTTTTCTCCGCGCATGGAGGTTTACGATCAATCGCCTGGTAAACTATATTCGTCCTTTCTGTTTTGCAAACCCGTTGATGACTAATCGGTTCGTAGATACGGCTTCAGTCCTTCTCAGAGTCGACAGACAAGGTTTAGAGATTCATGGTACAGCTCGATACCACGAGGCACTTAAACATCGTCTGTCGACGGGATCAGACTGCGCTGCACGTTGCCGTTGTCTATTTGACTTGATTCAGATAATGGCCAAGGACTTATCTTACGGCTTTTGTCTTCTCTTGTATTCAAACGCAGCCTTCATCACTGTTGTGATTCGTTCTACAGCACGGTTCTTTCCTACAGATGTGATTGTGGCTGCCTTGATCATCGATATGATTCGTTCCACAGCACGGTTCTTTACTGCAGATGTGACTGTTCCTGTAAACGCCCGTTGCCGAACGATTTGTACTTGTGCATATGGTACTTGTTGCATAGAAATCACAATATGTTCCCATCTGATCGTCTTTTTCAGGTCCCTTGATTCTTGTGCTTCCCTTGAGTTTGATTGTGATCTTGTGAATGATCGATCCGGTCAAGGGAGGTACTGTACTGGCTGTTTGAGGTTGAACTTTCCGTGACGATTTGGATGATGGATGAAGGTGGTCTAAGGGACCATGGAATGCTACAAAATCAATTGATGGTCGAACCTCCTGTGTCCATGATCTAACCCGGTTTCATTGGAGAATGCCTGTCAAAAGATGTGGCGGGATCGAAGCAGAAGAAGCTCCCAAAACGGGACAAATCACGTCCCAAAAAGGAATGTGACTGCTTTCCTTGACGTCGTCACAGAACGCGGGGTCGATGAACAGATAAAAAGTCGTCGTCTCCAGATTTCCCTCTTTCTTTGTGCCCACTATCATCTACCATCCTTCCCCCACCTACCGTCATGCAGAGCACCGATAATGTCCAGTCGTTCCTTCCCTTTGGTCATGAATATAGTCCACCCCGTTCCAGGACCACGGCTGCGTCCATCTGGGCTCCTCAGCCTCAGTTATTGGATTCGACGTGGCCAAAAGCTATAGACACCTTCTCTCGTGACGCTGAGAGGGATCTGCAGCACTCCGGTCGTGTTCCGAACGGCCGTGCTTTCTTTACCTCAGGTAACGGAGGTGAAGATGTCTTTGGCCCTGTCGGCCTTGTCGGTATGTCTCGCAAAAGAGACGTAGGTGCGATCGGCGACGGTAGGAAAAAACAAAGCCCCGATTTTGACGATAGTGTTGGTCGATTCTCGTCGAATTCAAGCGCATATATGCTGATTAAATCAACCCTTTAGCATGTCGAGCAGCTCTTACGCGCTCTTAATCTGAACTCTCCCGCTCTTTATACTCAGCAGCCTTCTCGTCCACAAAACCCTGACTCCCAGAATGCATCGACCGGCTCTCCGGATTTTTCTCCCAGCTCTACTGCATCTGCGCTCCTGACGCCTACAGATCTTTCTCCTGCGAAAACTTCTTTTGACTTGAAGATCAATCCACCTCATGAACTAGCTCCTTCGTACTCTACTGTATCTCCTTCTTCCCTTCTGTTTGACCATGGCTCGCCCTTGAGGGCGCACGATTTTATGTCTCATAATGTGCATCAGCGTTTTTCTAGCGTCTCTTCTTCAAACCTATTACCTCCTAATCCCTTGCCTTATTTCGAGCTGTCTTCCGAGAATTCTTCCCCAGTCCTTGGCTCCCAGCAGTTCTATGATAGCGCGTTCGCTCACCATAGCCATCCAGAACTATCAAGAGTTTCTTGGCGGCAACCCCAACAGCTGTCCGCCCCTCCCGAGTGGTTGAGGGTCGAGGAGAAGCTTGGCGGCGACTACCCCTCCGGTGTCGCGGTCGGGGAGGGTCCTCTCAGGACCTCGCCGTCTCAGCCGTCATTCCCACCTCGTCAAAATGGGGGTGGACACACTCATGAGGTACTACTTTCCTTTCAGCTTTCTCCTATCGTATATGCCCTTACGTTTCCTTCCCAGCCAATCAACTTCCTTTCGCTTCTCCATCCGTCATCGTCTCCCCCATACCACGTGTTTGTAGCGCGGATCATCAAGTCATCTGACCAGCAAGCTTCTATCTTTTTGCAACAGAAGCTCAAGGTCGCTGACCTTGAAGAACGTCACAAGATTGTCGATGCTATCTGCGCGCGGGGCTTTGAGATGATGTCTCACCGGTCAGTTCTCTGACCACAGACAAGGTCTAATTAAACTGATATTAATCTGCGCGGCTTTTAGTTTCGGCAATTGGGCTGTCCAAAGATGTCTTGAAGCGGCAGCGACCCCCGAGGAAAGGAGGAAGATAGTTCACTGTATGAGGTATGCTCTTAGCCTAGGTTGCCGTTAAGCAGGACCCCTAATTGTAAACAGGGGACGGGTCGTCGACCTTGCGACTAATTGTTACGGATGCCACGTCCTCCAAAAAGCACTTGATTGCGAGGAGGGTATTCGCCTCCTGATCGTTTCCGAGCTTCTCCTCGGGGATCCTGCATTGACTTTGGTGAACAAGCACGCATCCCACGTCTGGAGCAAGGTCAGCCCGTTATGACTCACCATGCCGTTAGGCCCTGACCAACATGTATACTTACAGATCATGGAGTTGACGTGGACGGCGCCCGCGCCGCCTATTTTCGCATTGTCAGGGTATTTTTTGCTGGAAGACTAATGCCGTCCTGACGATTATTATGTTCATGTAGCGTCAACAAGTCCCTTAAAGGGAAATGGGCGTCACTCGCTTGTCATGAAACGGGATCCCTTGTTGTCCAGGTGAGAAGGCCAGCTGCGCCGTATGTCATGTAGCTCATGTTTCACGCTCTACAGCACGCATTTGAGAACCTCGAAGAATCCGCCAAAGATGGCATCATCGATGAGCTGCTAAATCAAGGACCTACCGTATTCGGTGAGATTGCAAAGAACCAGTGGGGTTCGTACTGTATTCAACACAGTCAGTGCTTCTACTATTACGACCCTGTTCGTGACTTCTTACTGTTGCTTCTTTTTATATTAGTTCTAGAGCACGGGTCTCCGAAACACCGCCAGATGTGCCTGGACCATATCATGTCTGACCTCCTAGATTATGCCACGAACGAACAGGGGTACAAGTCTGTTACGAAGGCTCTCAAGGAAACAGGTTCCGAAACTCTGGACAGGATTGTCAAGCGGATGTGTGAACCCGCCAAGGGGTATGAACATTGTGATTGTCTTTTATATTTTATTACGATACTGATTCTATCGAAGGGGCCGTCGAGCGATGATTGTGGACTTGGCGTTGTCGGTCACTGGCAGTCAACTGATTGCTAGCACGTTGCCTCAGGTATGCCGTGCTGCCGTTAATGTATATTGTAAGCCTTATGTTTCTTTGTAGGCGGACAAGGATCAGCGGACGATGCTTTATGACTGCATTCGCGGCCATATCGTCACCCTGCGCGGCTGTAAGACAGGGTCCAAGGTCATCTGGCTCTTGTGAGTTTCATTTACGCGTTGCTTCTTTCCTTTTTGATTATTGATCATTCCGCAGCGATAGAATGGTTCGATCGTTCAGTTCTACACCGCTTTTCTTGGTTCTAACTCCCATTTAGCGTGCCTATTATGGCTATTGAGGATGCCTCATCCTCCGTTCTTTGTATTCCGATCTCTGTTATCCCTACGATATTCTCTCCCCATCTCGTCTGCATCCACGGCGTCTTCGACTTGGAAACGTCTCTTATAACATGAACAATACCTCAGTCAATACCTGGCTGGTCCATCTCCTCCATTAATCTCGGAAAAGTACCAGAAGAAGCTCATCTGTCTCGCATTCCAATAAACAAAAGCAGTTCTAATCGCATCAACCAATATCAACATCATCAGTCTCAGTCGCATTCGCAATCAATTTCGCAACCGTAAACGTATACGCATAACTTTATCCATCTCAGCTTCACTCGCACGAACAATCTTCGCACCCAACTCTCTCGATATTCGAATTTCGCGCCTGCTTATTTCCGTTCATATCCAAGTCCCCCGCTTCTTCTTTCCACCACATATACCGTGCACATCAACTTCCATGGTCAAGTCTTCTGTTCTGCCGCTCGCTGCTGCTCTCAGCATGGAACGGAGACGCGGATCATGTGCGCTAATTAACCAAATTTTCGTCTTTATGTCAAGCCAAGCTAGAATTCATCGCACGATCCATCGAACAGCAGCCAAGTTCTATTGTAACAACCTCTTTTCTTTACGTTTACCAATCCAAACGCATCACGATCGCATATGTAACTTTTCTACGCCCACCTTCGTTTGTAGCATCACATTGTCCGTTGTCGTTACTGTTGTCAACAATGTTATCAGTCGCTGTCCAGTTATTGGACTCTTTTGAACATGAAAGGGAGCAGTCCGATACATTCGCGAGACACAATTAAAGTCGTACATTACATCCCGGGCGACGATGGAAATTACAACTAGTTTGGAACGACGGTTCCATCTATCAGATACAGCACACCGTTCTGCGCCTGCGAGTATAAAGTCAACAAGGTCCAACACAGTGCACGAAAGAAACAGAACCAACCTCCCTCATCCCTATAATTCGCACTCCATCCTCCAAAGTCACCCGCATCCAGTCAGGCGAGTCAGGCTTTGATTTGGGAACAGGAGTGAACGTAACGAGTCTCCCGTCTTGGAGCGTTTCATACGAAACAGGCGCGTCAGACAACGAGATGCGATACTTGATGCACATCCATTAGGGAAGTTTTGGCAGACGACAACAAGTAACTCACAGGAATGATGTGAGCTGAAACCCATCGCTCGACATTTCTCTTAGACCTTTCGTCCAGCTCTTGTTCTGATATCTCAGGCTGAGGCTCCACCGTCTCCGGACCTTGGTGTCTACGCAGCCACCAATTCATTCACGTCCATACCATGATACACAACTTGTCAAACTCACGGTTTCCGCGCCAGCGCCATAACAGCCTTATTCGTCGGTACGAGCACCGTAAACCAGACAGAATCGGAAGGGAACCTGGACGACCACTCCGTCTCTCGTGCATACGAGTAATAAATACTCGCTGAGGTCTCGATAGTCAGTAAGTCTGCAAGCGTGGGCTGGGAGCTTGTGAATGGTGAGGAAATGGATTCTTCGGTATTCTGAGACATTGGGGGGATTATGATTTGCTCTTGGAGAGACGCAGATACGAAGGGAAAGATGAATGCGAGGAGGTATGATAGATGCATGGTGATGATGACTTTGGAGCTTCGAGCTGAGAGGAATCAAGGATATTCGGAAGCTGCCGTAAAACTCTCACAGGCGCGCTTAACGTTGATGACGATGTTGGATCGTACCTGCGAGTTGTGGTACGGTAGTAGGTGATTGCAGACGCCAGAATCTTTTAAAGTCTTGATAAGATCTAATCTATAGATAAGTGCGTCAAAGTCCGGTGGTCACGTCTCCAACAAATCGAAGCTAGCGCTAGCTCCCGCAAGTCCGGGAGGTTCGTACCTAGAGTAGGTCCCACCACCTTTACCATTCTTGCTTTATTGTTTATAAGTTTCATGTGGAACTGCAGGCTGCTTCCCCACCCGGTACTCCTTCTCCTGCGTGCTATTGAAAGGCAGCTAGTATACCGTTCTCTAGTCTCACCATCCGAATCAACATCAACGAAGAGCCTACCTACTCCAATTGCGTCACCACCCTCGGATACTGCCTTGACGGTAATGACCAGATATACTTTCCTGAACATGAAGCTCTGCCGCTGGACCAACGACGATAGGCTCGAAGATAGACATTGAGATGCGGGAGGTGGAGTTGTGGGAAAACGAGAGGTTAGCTTCAGGCCTTCCTCATCATCCTCGTTCGGCGCGCAGGATGGGGTCGATACTTTAGGAGCGGATTCGGATTCGTGCTTGTGTGATGGGGCTGGATCTGGAAGTGCACTACTGCTGCAGGAACTGAAACACAGATCAAAACACACCTAAGACCTACAGATTGCGCGTCGTGGACGAGCGCGAGGGACGGATGGAGCGGAGTGTACTAAGTGAGGTGCGTGTCCGACTGGTATTTGCGTGTTTCTCTTTGTATTATTTTTGTGTCTCGCGCACTCGTTTCATCCAACTCTTTTATGTCTCTCCACAATCTACGCTAGGACACATTTTGAACTCACTAATTAATTCACTACGCCCCCAGCAGCAGCCTCTCATTCTCACTCGCGCCAGGCTAGGCGTTTGTAGAGAAAAAAGGATGGAAGACGGAGCTGGGGTGCTGGGTTTATGCTGGTTCTGGTTCCGGAACTTGTGATCTGGTCTATGGTGCGGATGAGAGTGGGTTTCATACATTTCTATTTTATCATTTATTCCTTATAATTGGTGACGCGACCGAACAGACGGTTGGTTATACACTGATGATGGTTGGGCTGGTCAGCGCCGGATGCCTCTTGAAGCATGGAAAACATCGAGGATGACAAGGCCGAGGAGGTGAGTGCGGAGGGTGTATTTTGATCCGGCGTTGATTGAGAGTGCGTATTGAGTATACTTGATCGGGGATTTGCACGTCTATCATTGTACAACGCACTCTGTTCTAAGTGAGAATATCTCATACGTCTCATCCTAGGCTGGTCTTCCACTGATGCATGTTCTAAACCCGTATTTGATACACGAGATCATATCAGCCTGGGAGGCATGATATTGCCGATTTGAACATTTATCCTATGACCTTCAGGCTGGACCTCCCGGGCGTAAAATCAATGTCCAACTTCCACCTGCGAGTACTGACAGCGCCTTTCGGATCCATCCCAGAAAAACATACCGATAAAGTTGAGTCTGTAAGACTTGCACAAGACTCGTTCTCACTTTTCTATCAATATCCTAGACAGGAACGCATAGATTTATTCATCCAGAGTAAGATATTATATATATTATAGGCGCTCTCAATGTCTCTTAGTCACTTAAGCGCTTCTCCCTCGTGTTTTGTCTATTCGTACTTGTTCATCATTGCGATAGCTTGTATCACGAGTTCACAGTATGCAGTATAATGAACAGTCTTCGTTCAGGGCACCCACAACCTGGATTCATTAGACGTGGATAATAAAGCCCAAGTCTTCACACGGAAGATGGTGTAGCTGTACAGCGCAAATGAACGAGTACCTCCCAGTCGATGATCCTGAGCGTCACTTCTCGCTACCATCGCACTATAGTGATCCGTCGATAGCATTAGCTCGAAATCGTTGCTGAGGCGAGCAAGGAAAACGTTCGAGGTAAAATGTCCAAGTATCCTTGGCTTCGTTGGAGAAGTGGCTGAGTAATTGCGCCAACCTGGATTATATATGCACCGAAACATGATAGGAGATGTGAAGAGGATAGTGAGCATCGTAGTTTGTCAACACTAAACCAGCGTAAATACTGTGTCGCCACGTGAACCTATGAATGGATAATTAGCGGTGCGCCATGGAATCCATGTGCGAGACATGAGACTCGCCCACCTTGTAATATTTCCACCAGGACAGAGACCAGCAGACAATTTGATGAGCCCTGGGCAATGAGGGTCAAATTGATAACACCAGACGACCTGCCGTAACGAGCTATGGCTTATATTCTGCAAGGTCGATCCTCCAGGGAGCTTCAACTCCACAGGACCATAAGGCCGCTATATGGAGTTTGATGGCAGGGACACGCAAGTAGAACTGCGACACAGGACTTGTTGTCTGAGAAACATGGAAAGGTGAAGGGGCCACATATTTTCACTGGCGCTGTCATCGAATAGAAAGACAATTGGTTGCGGGAGGAGAGATGGAAGCGGTCAGCGGTAGAACACGGACGGGAAGATCATCAATGACGTTTGGATAGGTGAGTGCAGTCGTTATCGTGGTCACCCAGCCCTAGAAGCCAGTGGGTCTGGCGCTGCGATGGAACAATCATCATTCGAAAAGCAGGATGTGGAAAAATAGACAAGGGCCCAACAAAAATCTGTCTGCAAGGTATCTGAAGGTTTTTGCAAGGCCAGTCGTCTATCGCCGACCTTCGAATCCGCCCAGTAATTAAGTAGGAAGGATTAATCATTAATATTGGGATAAGCTTCGCGCCAAGAGGAATCAAGCGTATGTCACGTGGTCATGTGATGTGACAAGACGTGTAAATCCAGCGCGGATACTTAGTCCCTGGTCCCAACTTTCGTCTGCTCTCACAGCACCTCGAAGCTACCCAAGAGTTAGTGCTTCTACTTGCCTCTCTATTGCGAATATGTCTTCCCTTCTATCGAGATCGTTTGATGCCATGAAGGTAGATATCGCCTCCTATTATTCATTTTCTTCTAACGGCTTTAAGATTGCGACCCCACAGCAGACCAGAGTCCCTACGAAACGGCGACCCTTCAAACTCGTTCGTCCGAAAAGGCAGCCTCATGTTCGGATATGCAGTCTCTCCTGAATGGATATCCATCTACACTCTAGCAGGCAGAGATTGCTTCAAACCCAAGGGTGGCTCGGTGCCTCCGGAGTGGTTCGATCCGGCGGATTTTCATGAAGAACCCGAAGGCTGGGATATGGTTCACGTGCTTGCTGTATGTTCAGATCAAGACGACGCCTTTGAACGACGTCCTACGCAGGAAAAGTTGGACTTGATGACGAATTTGATCGGGCATGCACCGCAGTGATGGGTGAGCTGTGGGTGCGCGGATTGAGTGCCGTAGAGCAGCGACGGGTTGGAACTTGGAACGAGGCGCCTCATTCAGCTTCTTCACTTCTCCACCAAATATCCGCTCAAGGCCGACAGTGACCTAACAACGACTTATCAACTTGTGTAAACCAAGCTCTCGAATTCTCATACATAATCGCGTATGATGTGCGCCCGCAGCCTAGTATAACTCTACCGATGTTCTGCCCGCCACCATTAATCGACATTGCATCCAACCTGGCAATCGCAAGATATTGCACCTTCTGGGAATCGCATTTCCCCGCACGAGGCGGATCTGAATTGCTGGCCTGCTGGTAGGGAAGAGCAGAGCTGGAATGGCAGTGCTCGATGGCCTGTCAGGAGTTCGGTACGGGACGAGAGTGAGTAGTGCCAGTATTTTCGTGCCACTCGTTATGCTGTCAATGTTAGTAGTCGGGCTGCCAACAGTGATCACAATCTTCACGTTTCTAGCTCGAGTTACCGTGTCGATACACGTGATCTTGTGCACGCGTTTACTCAAATCGGTCGTGTACGTGTCCTCCTGAGGTTATTTGGGGGTCTACGTACTGAGTGAGGGTGAATAGGATGGCTTCGTTCATGTGCGACCCACATACCCGCTGTATCGTGGGTCCAGATTTGTCACTGGGAGTTTTTGCGGAGGCGGATGCTGCCATCACCGTGCTCAATGCGACTGAACTCATGGGGAAAACTCTTACCGTAGAAAGGGTATACCTTTGCCAACCTTTGTTGATTTAGTCTTTAGGCCCATCGTGGACGTGCGCGTACCCCGACACCCGGAAGGTCACTATTGCGGTCCTCCAAAACGCCATGACAGTAAGCTGTAATTCAGAGCTTCCTTGGCAGTAACCACACCAATGCCGATAGTTCGTTGCTTCCATATTCTGTTGCCCGTCACGACTCTCTCAATTTCGTCAACACGAGAAGAGAACTGCGTATGAGCTTTTCGCGCTGTTCGAAGCCCGACAAGGAGGTAAGGGCACCAACACCCATACCATGGGACAAGACGGCCATCGAATCTAAAACCACCTTTGAGGGCAAGTTTAGGGAGTGTTTTGTTTGTGACACACGACTAAGGATACGCGTTATTTCGCCAAACAAGGTACTGATCCACTTTGTACCCTCCATGTTAAGTAGCCTTTCGACCGCGAGCGAGTAAAAAGTTCATCGGTCACTAGAATGAGGTCATGTTGTTTACTGCGTAAACCTTTCGTCAGAACTTCACTCACTCATGGAAACGTATGCGAGTTGAACAAAGTCGGAAAGAAGTTGGACATACGTCTTGTACTCAATCAGCCTTTCAGTTCCACGGTGGAGGAGGCCGACATCCTAGGGTTCAAATCAGCAACCCGCTCAGGCACCCACACTGGGAATCAGCAGAATTTCCTCTTCGTTCAATTGTAATATCATAAGCAGCACAGTGAGCGCCAGGATGTTGAGCACTAAGAGTTCGACCAAGATTTGAATCCCCTGCCAATCTCATATGAAGACCCACCAAAAGTTCCTGATCGAGCCGGAGGAATGCTCATTAGTAAAGTACCGCAACTTCGCGTCAGCTCTTGCCATCCCGATCTCTTTCAAAATGTCCGCCGCGTTCATACCATGCTCATACAAATTGTTTCCTCCATTGGAACTGGGCCAATGGTCCGACCCAGTGCGCGACCTCTGGCTGACGATGGGTGAGTAATGAGGAAAATGAGCGCAAAATGGATAGCCTTGGCAACGCAAGCTGCCGCTGCAATAGTGTACTGGCTAGTGGCCATGGCCATCCAATGCTTTTCGTTGATGGGTCGAGTGCTTTGATGTACATTCTTTGGATGGGGTCTTACGAGCACCAGGACCAGGAACTGCAAACTTTATGTATTGGGCGCCTATGGAAGATCTAAATGCAGTGAGGAAGCACAACAAAGCACAAGCAGGCACAAGCATACACATCTCTCAAGCTTAGAGCCTGTGCAAGATACCGTCAAACCCTCCATTCAAGCCCAGCCTCCAGTACAATGTCGCTGCTCATTCCGGGTCGAAGGACCATACCTGGCATACCACCTCCGAATCGAAGTTTCAAAGATCATAAAGGCGCCATCTGGGCTGTAGCAGTTTTTCCCGATAAACGACGAATGGTAACGGGTTCGTGGGACAAGACGCTTCGTCTTTGGAACTTGGAGACAGGTGCAGTGTTGAAGAAGATGGAGGGGCATCGCGCCGACGTGAATACATTGGCGGTGTCACAAGATGGGCAAATGATAGTAAGCGGCGATGACGATGGAGAGCTTATCGCTTGGCATGGAGAAACTGGGGAATCTCTCATGACCCAACCCATCAAAGCCCACTCCAAGTGTATCTCAACCCTGGACTTCTTTCCCGATGGATCAGTGCTGACCACTGGTTCATGGGACGGTACGACGAGGCTGTGGAACACGAAAACATGGCAGCCTCAAGGAGACCCAATGAAATGTAGCGATCGTGTCCGCTGCGTTCGCTATTCGCCGTCTGGCAAATATCTTGCCATCGCAACAAATAGCAATATCGAAATCTTTGATCCAAGCACGGGGGAACGTGTCATCGAATTCAAGGGTCACATAGTGTGGAACTTCTCGCTCGCGTGGACGCCGGATGACACACGCCTTATCTCAGGGGGGGATGTAAAAGATCCCAGCATACGGGAGTGGAATACAGATACCTGGGAGCAAGTCGGTGATCCCTGGACGGGCCACACTAACTATATCTATTCCATCGCCATGCATCCTGCGGGTACCCACGTTGCTTCCGCATCTGCTGACAAGTATGTTCGCCTCTGGCGACTCTCAGATCAACAAAGCATCGCAATATTCCAGCACTCGGGCTGGGTGGGATGTGTTACTTTCTCCATGAACGGCAAGCACATTCTCAGTGGAGGCAGTAATAGCGTGATATCAGAGTGGGTAGTACCCAAAGACCCTGACCCAAAGGTAGTTTCCACTTTATTTCCCGCCCTTTCGCCATCTCATCTAGCCTCTTTTTTGACGCCAAGGCTCAAGGCTCTGGTTTAAAGGCATGTTTTCATTCTTATCTCTGACAACACAATTCGAACCTGCTTCGTCACAGGACGCCAACGCTACCGCCGAGGAGTCATTCAAAGAAGAAATCTCAAACTTGGACATTGCTGCCGATGCACAAATACAAAGTGAGCCTCAAGTAACACATGCATCAAGATGCTTAACTCTTTCCTCAGAGCTTCGCGAGGAGTATGTTGATCTCCCAAAAATAGAAGGTGACATTCGAAACATCATCAACGTTCAGCTCGGCACCGCCCCGCCTCATCTACTCAACACCACCATCGGGCTCTTATGTGCCCGAGAACGGCAGATACGCGTGTTCGAAGCCAGCACAGAGTACAAAGAGCTTCTGCAATGGATCATGAAGAATCTTGGCTCCAAAACGGAGTGCATCACAGAAGCAGTGGCGGAGTGCATCGCAGAAGCAGTGACGAAGTACTTTCGTTGCGTCATGCTATCACATAGGTGGCAAGCAACGGAGCCACGGATGAACGACATCCAAAAAAAGGTCGTGTACAAATTGAAGGCAGCCGGTGGTCTCGTGAAGTTGCAGTCATTCTGCCGAATTGCTCGTGATGAGGGGTATCGCTGGGCGTGGGTTGATACATGTTGCATTAACCAGGAGGATCACGCCGAGCTCCAAAAAGCACTCAACTCAATGTTTGCCTGGTATCACAACTCACCGCTCACGGTTGTTTACCTCGCGGATGTTCCGCCTTCATCCAACTCTGGTGCGCTGGCGAAGAGTGCTTGGAACACCCGAGGATGGACCGTCCCGGAATTCCTCGCTCCTAAAGTGATTCGCTTCTACCAACAGGATTGGTCTCTATACCTTGACGACAACTCCCCCAACCACAAAAAGTCTGTCAGGATTATGGAAGGAGTTGGAGTATGTGACGGGCATAGATGTACAGACTGTCATCCCCTTCCAACCAGGAATGAAGAACGCCCGAGAGAAGCTCCGATGGGCGTCTACCCGTGTCACCACGATGCCGGAAGACATCGCATATTCATTATTTGGTATCTTCGGTGTCCAACTTCCTATCATGTATGGCGAGAATAAGCAAAATGCGCTCGGGCGGCTCCTGCAAGAGATTGTGGCTCGGTCAGGCGACATTACTGCCTTGGACTGGGTCGGACAACCATCCCAGTTCAATAGCTGCCTCCCAGCCGACATTCGCTCATATTCACCATCGCCTTCCATCCCACGACCTCCGTCTGAAGATGAGATTCAGACAGCGGTTTCTTCCCTGAAAAATACCGAGGCTGTAATATCTGGCTTGGCAACTTTATGTCCAGCTGGAGAAGCTGAAAGCTCCTCGCTTCGCGAACTGCAGGACTCCGTCTGCCTTGCATCACATTCCCTATCACAGAACTCATACGGAGGGATGGTCCAGCCTATGAAACTCATTCCACCCATGATGTGAAGGCAGATGGGCTTCGTGACCTGCTGATCATCACCAAAGAGAAGCTGGTTCAATTCTCACGGACAAGGCCCACTCGACAAACGTTCTTACTTGCCCGTCCGTGGGATCGTCGTCTCCTCGGATCTGCCTGACTTTCCAGACAATGAGCCCGAAAATCCGTTAGACAATGAACCCAGCGCTTCTCCTATGGAACAGGACGATTCGGAATCTTATTCACGAGCGTTGCGATTGATCGTTCGCCTTGGAAAGCCGTTCAGCGCATTTTTGCTAGCGCGGCAGAGCTGGTGGAGAATACAAGAGGATCGCGTCGGATCGTGATATCACTGTACAACTCAAAGACGTGGGTTCTATTCAAAACATGATGGCACGGAATCGAGACCCTAGAAATATTGTAGTCATGTATCTTTTTCATCTTTGAGCAGTAGTTGGCGTACCTTGACGCTGTACTTATATCCATATGCAGATACAATCTCCTTTGAAATAGTTGGCAGCGACCAACTACTATTCATCACGCGCTAGGATATTAGTTGAGGGGTCGCACACTTCAATGTATTTCCAGAATACACGAAATTTAGATCCATCGAAAGGCAAGAATAACGTTGGTTTGAATGACACTGTCAACTTGATCACATAGCTTCGACTCATAAGATCATAGTAAGTATGTCCTATCGGCGCTCGCGAAGAGGCTCCTCACAGTCGAATTCCAGAGCGGCAGAGGTCAGAGTGTGCGGGTGAAAGCTATCAGGGAATTGAGAGATAGGTTGAAGCAGGTGGGGTTCTTGCGTCTGGTGCTGGGAGCCTAGATCCATAATGCATATCAAACGCGTTCTGAAGCATTGGGGGCCCGCATCCTCAGAATCAGACACGCGCTCGGTCAAATGATGCATTGCTTCGATATTCATCGATGTAGACGAATAATATCACAATATATTAAAGGAACCATGGTATACATCTAGGCGCTGTCTATCGATCAACCTCGCTAAATGGAAATGCGTTAGCATACTTCATGTAGATTGAAATATCAGCAACGCACCCAAACACAAGATCCTGTTCAAAAGCAGCGATAAGCAAAGGGAACAATAAAACCACAGGGTACATACCATAGTACCAATGATGGCCACAGCGTCAGCAAGCATGTGCTATAGAAGAGGAACAGTCAGCTCTTCAATGTTAGGACGGAGTGTCTCGATCTTACATCTAAAAGACGAGTCATATATCAGTAAATGGCTCGAACGAGGGGATAAACAACGTACGTCTCATCATAAAGTCTGAACCTGCAAGATGGGCAAAGCCGGGAGCACGGATTTTGCATCGGTATGGGCGATTTGTACCATCCCTATATATCATCCCGTCAATGATGGTATCAAAATCAGAAGTGTTCAAGTGTCACGTACGAGACGAGGTAGACGGCCATCTCTCCTTTAGGAGCTTCAATGGCGCTGTAAGTCTCACCTGGGGGCACTGAATAGCCTTCGCTAAAAAGCTAAAGGGACGAATTATGAGTGACATTGTAGATGCAGTTGAGTGGAGGAGAATACCTTGAAGTGATGAATGAGCGCCTCCATGCTTTCTTTCATCGAAGCACGAGGTGGCGGAACGAGCTTGTTGTCATCTACTTTAACGACGCCCGTCGGCATTTTGTTCAAACACTAAAGATGGGAATGGCTGAGTCAAAATGACATCCAGACAACCATTTAGCCAGACCACGAACCTGTTGGATGATGCGTAGGGACTCGCGGAACTCCTGAACTCTGCAAAGGTACCGGTCATAACAATCGCCATTCTTTCCAACTGGAACGTCGAATTCAACCTGCGGCGCATGTTAAGCAGACGTCTGTGTCAAATCACAAAACACATACCTCATCATATTTGTCATAAGGGTGAATTTTTCTTAAATCCCAGGGAATACCACTGCCTCGCAGCATGACACCCGTGAAGCTGTAATCCAGGGCTTCCTTGGCAGTCACCACACCAATGCCAACAGTTCGTTGCTTCCATATTCTGTTGCCTGTCACGACTTCCTCGATTTCGTCGACACGAGAAGAGAATTGTGTTGCCCATATGTGTATATCCTCCAACAGTCCATGCGGAATGTCAAACGCGACACCACCAGGACGGACGTAGGCAGCATGAAGCCGAGCACCGGAAACACGCTCGTAGAATTCCATGAGCTTTTCGCGCTCTTCGAAGCCCCACAAGAAAGGGGTGAGGGCACCAACGTCCATAGCATGAGACAAGACGGCCATCAAATCTAAAACAACCTTTGAGCGCAAATTCAAGGAGTGTTCTGTTTGTGACATACGACTAAGGATACGCGTGATTTCGCCAAACAAGGTACGGATCCACTTGGCACGTTCGGGAACCTCGATGTTAAGTAGCTTTTCGACCGCGAGCGAGTAGCAAAGTTCGTTGGTCACTAGAATGAAGTTAGTTTTCGGTGTGCAAACCTTTCGTCATAAACTCTGCTTACTCATGGAAACATAGTCGAGTCGATCGAAGTAGGGAAGAGCTTGGACGTATGTCTTATACTCAATCAGCTTCTCAGTTCCACGGTGGAGGAGGCCGACATGCTGGAGTAAAAATCAGCAACCCGTTGAAGCACCTGCACTGGACTGCATACGGGATCAGCGCGGAGAATTTCCTCCCCGTTCAATTCCAAAATCATTCGCAGCACACCGTGAGCAGCGGGATGTTGAGGACTAAGAGTTTAATCAAAACTTGCACGCACTGCGAACTTCACGAATGACACTTACCCGAAGTTCACTGATCGAGCGGGTTCGTTCGATTCAGTCAAGACAACATTCAGGTTTGAAACGCTCACCTGTAAAATGCCGCATCTTCGTGTCAGCTCTGGTTCCCGTCTCTTTCAAAATGTCTGCCGCGCTCAGCCCATGCAAGTCTTCCACAGTATGAGTCTCATACAAATTATTTCCTCCATTGGTCTGGCGACGAGCGACTGAGGAAGAAAATGAGCGCAAAATGGAGCGGCTCGGCAACGCAAGCTGCCGCCGCAGTAGTGTACTGGCCATGGCCGTCGTCGATGGGGACGAAGTAGATTGTGATGAGGTTCGTCAACGAAATGCGGCGTAAATCGGCTGGTGCGCTGAACAGAGAGTGTGACACCCCCTTACGAGGGGTCATGCATTAATATCCATCAATATTCACACGTCCCTAACACAGCGGCAATGGGCACTGCTCTAACGTTGAGCTAATCTTGCTGCTACACCATGCCTGTCGTCAATAGGCTGAGCCCACTTCTGTGGGCTACATTCCTTGGATTCGGTCTTCTAGCGCTTTCAGATGAAAAACCATGCACTTTGCATCATGAAGGCAAATACTACGACCTGAATCCCTTGAAAGCTAGGTATGTCCTCGCCTCTTCGTGTAGTCATGTTATTGTATGTGTCCTAGTTTGTTGACCATCGACTCTGGCAGTAAAGACTACGATTTTGAGACTTCCGGTGGACATCATTTCTACCTGAATGTTTGTCGACCCGTGTCCACTGAGCCCTGGAGCCCTGATGTTCCCGACAATGTTGATATCGCTGGTCTAGTACGGAAAGACCACCACGACTTTGCCATAGGGTCTGTGATGTTGTAATTTTGGTTCTACATCTGCAGCTGACCAAGACGAGGCACACAGGCTTGTGAATACGACCCTAGAGATGAGGGGCACGGGGCTAATGTTGCATCTATCCAATGGTTCACCTTGCCCTGGGAAAGACAATTTATATGGGAGCTCATCCGTCAGGTTTCTCTGTGACACATCGGTCTATGGAGCTGGTATGTTATATTCTCGAATGACGGACGGCGTGATCAATGTTTCGTGCAGGCAAACCAGTGGTAATCTCGCAGTTTCCGGAAGATGACGATCAAGCATGCCAATACACGGTCGAGTGGCGGACACATGTGCGGATTTATATATACCTCATTGTTTTTTTGACTGACAGCCCTTCACTGTGTAGTTTGCTTGTCCCACAGGCGAAAGGGGCATTTTCTCGGGGATAATTGTGTTCTTGGTGATAATGTACGTCATGTTGGCGACGATATTGATCGATAGGCTGAACACCCTCTTTTTCCAGCATGATGATTCTTCTCATGCTCTTCGTTGTGTCCAGCACACTGTATAACCGGTTTGTCCTGAGCAAACGTGGTTTTGATCAAGTGGCCCGGTTTTCCAAAGCTCACCTCCTTGAACTCGTGGACTTTTGCATGGAGCTCTTCCAGTCTGCAGTGGACATCGTTCGCTCGAGATGGGCAAGATCGACTAGGGACCTCAACACTGCATCCCACCACTGGTCATCGAGGGATGAGGAGCGGGCGATGATGGTCGCTGATCCACTTGAAGATGACCATGATCGTGAACTGCAAGATACTAATGCGTGGAGAGATAGTGCTGTGGATGGGCCGCAGGGTGCGGATGATTCGGGAACTATACCATCATGATTGGACATGTGTACCTTACACGCTGTATCTTTAGGACGGAACATATCGATGATTATGCAAAACATATATTCCCTATCAGCAGTGCTCCGGACCTTGTGCTTTCAGGCAATTCGTTAGAAGGACTATCAAGCGCGTTTAAGCGAAACCACAGTCCTGGTTTGCAATGCCCGGAAAAAGAGCCTCATAACCAGGTTATGTTGCTGTCCAGTGATGATTGGTATGTGCGGTCGACCCCCCAATAAACCTGTTGCTGCCAAAATCGTCAGCGCTCATTGAGAATCTCAATTATCCAGAAATTAATCGTGGTGACAAAGACGCCTCATAGATAAGTACCGGATCCATTGGGACACAGTTAGGCAAGTGAGGAATCTAACAAATTGCCCCTGATACCAGCCACCGCCACTAACAAGTGACTTACCCAATGTAGCCCGGCAGGATATGAGGAACTGATGCGTCTGATTTTGTGCGCGGATGAATCTGTCTGTGGTGGATCTGATAGGCTGTCTCTTTAAATAGTGATCCGACAATACGGCACCTACTTTGTATTTACAGAAGTCCAGCCGATGTGATCGCTTGCAAGTATAAGGAAAGTCTGAGTACGCACTCGAGGTAGAGTTTCGAGCTCCCAAGCTCTGGATGCCTGTCACTGAATACTACCTTCCAAAAGCAGTAACGCCTTCCTGAATGGGATCTGTCGGATCCAATTCACGTCTGCTCATCACCACCAGACAAAAATGTCTGCGAGGGTCAAATCATCCAGAACATCAAAGCCTGACTCGTCCAAACTCAGAAACTCGCTGAAAAAATCTAACGCCGCAGGATACGCTAAACGGCATTCCCAAAAATCATCCCAGAAGGGCAAGGCAACTGTATCATTTGACGATGTATACGAATATGCACCTTCAAAAGTTAGACGAGCAAAGATTGGCTTAGAACTTGATCGAGAAGAGGCTACTGACCGCCACAACTATGCATCGGACGATGATGTTGATCTTGGAGGTATGGGCCAGGAGGGGAGAGAAGGACTACGAGCGAGATTACTAGGAGAAAATGCAGATGATGAGCGAGTAGATAGTGGGGACGATGAGGAGATTGAGAGTGATGACGCGTTTGAGGAGAGCGACGAAGAAAAGTATGCTGGGTTTGATTTTTCCAGCAAGGTGTGTGATCTTCGTCTCCAGGAGTGTTCATCGCTCATCTATAGATAGCGCAGTAAAACTGCTGATCCTTCGTCGAAGAAAAATGCTCAGAAATTACCCAAAAGACTTCCTGAGGTTGATTTGAATGAAGACTCAGATGGTGCCGTCTCCGATGCTGATTCTGCGGACGAACTCGAAGATGAAGACGAAGAGATGGAAGATGGAGATGCCGAGAACTTCTTCGACGTCCTCCAAGTATTTGATGGAAAAGCAGATGAGAACGAGGTACTGGAAAAGCGGGCTACGGAGAAGATCAAAGCTCCCGTGTCGAATGTATCTGATGAGGCCAGTGAGTTGGAGGACGATGGGATGTCAGAAGATGAACAGGACGAGGAAGGAGACGCCATCTCCGCATCAGAAGATGAAGCCTCCCCCGAAGCTCTTGCAGAACTGGAAAGTTTCCTCTCGAAACTGGATCCAGCACAAGACAAAAAACGTAAATCAGACGATGCCTTGGCCACACAGTCGCTTCCAAAAAAACGTCGCTTGATAGAGGAGCGCACTGAGGCTGGGGCAGAGGGAGAGTTTGGCGTTTCTGCTGGGGGTGAGTTTCAATCCACATTCCTCTGAAACATCATGTTAAACACGGACGCATACAGGTTCTAGAGCACTTAAACTAGACGACCTCCTTGCTCCGCTCACGTCATCGAGCGCGCTCACTGCGCTCAAACAGTCTACAAAACCTCTTACGTCCACCTCAACCAAAACGAAAACTCTATCAGCGCCACTTCCTCAGCGAGCTCAAGAACGTCTCGATCGCGAAGCCGCTTATGAGCAGACTAAAGAGGAAGTGGATAAGTGGAGTGCCACGATGAAGCACATCAAGCAGGTACTAATTAATCTAGTCCATCGAATCTATTTGATTACTAACTCGCAACTGATTGTAGGCAGAGCATCTGAGCTTCCCATTGCAAGCACAGCCAGAAGGTCGTGTCTCCAACTTGGAGCTAGCAGCAAAATTCAAGGTTAGGCTCACTTGTAATCGTTGATTCACGTCATTGACTAGTACATCCTTATCAGCCTTCCAATGAACTTGAGTCGGCCGTGGACAATCTCCTGAAATCCGCTCAACTCCGTGATCAGGATATCGCCGGAACCGAAGCTCTAAAGATGGCACATCTCTCAGTTGAAGAGGTCGCGGCACGACGCGCAGAACTGCGCATGATGCGCGAACTTGCATTCCGCGCTGACAAGAAGGCGAAGCGGATAGCGAAAATCAAGAGCAAAGCGTATCGGCGCATTCGAAAGAAGCAGAGAGAGCGGCTGGATGGAGAAGAGGGAGACCAAGAGGATGATACCGAGGATGCAGGAGCGCGGTTAAAGGCTGAGGTGGAGAGAGCAAGGGAGAGAGCGACCTTGAGGCACAAGACCACTGGGAAGTGGGCCAAAGCTATGCAGGGACGCGAAGGGCTCGATGTGGATCAGCGGCAAGCCATTGGAGAGATGCTGGAGCGCGGGGAGAAGCTTCGCCGCCGCATACAAGGCGAGATGAGCGGCGATGAATCTGAGGAAAGCGAAAGCGATGATGAAGACCAAGACATAGACACCATCAAGAAAGGTGCATTCGAAGAGCTTGCTACGCTCAATGCATCCGAAGATGCTCCGTCTGATCTGAAAAGCAAGAGCGTCTTCAACATGAAGTTCATGCGCGATGCCGCCGCGAGGCAACTACGAGAAGCAGACGAAGCAGCTGATGACTTCTTGAAAGAGATGGGAGGGGCAGAGCAAGGAAGTGATGACGACGCTTCCGGTGACGGAACAGTGACAAAGGGCCCGTCAATCCAGCGTATCGGCGGGCGCATGACATATCGTCCTACCCATGCAGTCTCTACAAAACCAGTCGGTTCGCGCGCATCGGAGACTTCTAGCGTCACCCTTCAATCCGCTGACTTGGTACAGGACAGCCCTACACCTTCGAACGCTATTTCTAGCCCAAGACTCTCTTCCCCAGCGCCGGAAAGCAATCCTTGGCTCGTCGCATCATCATCTTCGGGCCTATCCCGAAAGAGAAGCGAAGTGCTTGTGCAAAAGGGTTCTGACGCCTTCGCGAAGTCCACCAACAAGGCTTAAGAAACGAGCTGCCAAAGGGGAGCAAGAGCAAGACCGTATTCGGGATGATGCAGTGCTGGAGATTGACGCCAGCAAGGTTCTCACTGTCCTTGAACCAGCCTCTACGCTGGCCGTCGCAAATTCCAAGCGTGAGCAAAAGGGAAAGGGAAAAGAGAAAACGAGGAATGACGGTGTCGCCGCGCAGCCATTACCTGCTGGTGCTGATGATTCTGACGGACATAGCGAGGTTGATGAGCAAGAGTGTGCTCTGGAGAGGAAGCGTCAGGGAGGAAAAGGCAAAGGAGTTGCAGCATTCAAGCAACGAGAATTGGTCTCCCTCGCTTTTGCTGGCGATAATGTCGTCCAGGTATGCAAGCTGTCTTTCAATTGGGTTCGCTTAGGTTACTGATGTGTCCTAGACGTTCGAGGACCTGAAGCAGAAAGAAATTGAAGCAGACGCGCCACAGGAAGTCGATACAACTCTCCCTGGTTGGGTAAGCTGAACCCGAGGTTTTTAACCACTGAGCTCAACACACATTACAGGGCTCTTGGGGAGGCACTGGTACCAAGAAACTTCCACCAAGACCCAATCTGATTAAAAAAATCGCTGGCGTGGACCCTTCGTCTCGAGCCGATTACAAAAAGGCGCATATCATTATCTCTGAGAGGCGGGATAAAAAAGCGGTCCAAGTACCTCGTCAAGGAGTTGCCGTACCCATATACCAGTCATGCCCAGTACGCCCGCAGCATGGACACACCCATAGGTGCAGAGTGGAATACTAGAGTAGGGTTCCAGAGAGGAACTCTGCCTCGTGTTGTGAAGAAGGCGAGTCGTCTTAACTTTCCTACACGCGTGTTGCTTATATGTGATGCTTTTAGATGGGTACTGTCATTGAACCTCTAGTAAAACCATCTTGACGGTGATTAGTCGTTGATGGGTGGATAGATCCACGCAGTTGCTTCGTTGACAAGGATATCGGAGCTCTCTCTTTCGGATAGTCAGCTTCTTAATAGGCATGTTACGCTAATGAAACAAGCAGAACATTGGAAAGTTGTCAAGTGGCCAAGAACAGGCTTCGCCATGCTAGAGGTCGGCGCAATGGCGACGTACGTGTCGAATGTCTGAGATCATATTCAATCGTTCAGCCTTGATCAGCGTCGTACATACCGAGCCACATACTCATGTCTTATTTATATCTTCATGGGCTCTGCAGTTGGCCGGGGATCCGACATTCTATCATGTGAACTAAGACAGCGTACTACAAAGTGGTTTCGAATTTACATCCTTGGCGTCAAGTTGGTTTTCCAAGTTCCACTCAATCGGTCACTGAACTCTCTTGCAACGGGAATTCCTTTCCTCGACTCGTGTTCAGTGGTTGATACAAGCTACCAGTTCGCCTGATAGAGATGGATGGGCTTTCAGAAACGGAGCCACTCCTGCGCTCAGCGCAGGTCCAGCGGAAGGTGAACCGACGAGATTTCAGGCGAAGGCTGTTCATCTGTGCAAAACGAGGCCGATGGTAGGCTCATTGTTCATATGGAATGAACATCATTTTGGCTCATATTCAAGTTTGTGATACAGAGGTGTTTGACAATGTGCCCTGATGCAAAGAAGCAGATCGGTAGGCATTGTCGTCGCTTTTGTCGCTGATGTATGAAGCTGACCCATCAGCCATGGTCGTGCTTCAGGACTTGCTAGTGCAGTGATGCTCATATTCAACAGGGTGATTGGAACTGGGTTCGTTATGATGATAAAATCACGCTTCATGAGGTAGGGCTAATATTCATTTCCAGGATTTTTGCATCACCCAGCATCATCTTGCGGTCTTCTGGGAGCGTAGGAATGACTTTCGTTATGTGGATACTTGGTGCACTCGTCGCAGCCGCAGGTACCGCTGTATATGTAGAATTCGGAACGGTAAGGAATTCGGGTTATCTGCTGTGAACTCTCCTCATTTCGCTGTGCTCCAGGGACTGCCAAGAAGTGGTGGGGAGAAGACCTACATGGAATATATCTATCGTCGACCGCGGTTCATGACTACTTGCTTCTACGCGATATATGGATTGCTCATAGTGAGTCCTGAGTTATCTTCGTCTCGCGAATTCCTCGATCATTGTCACCGTCCGTAAGGGTTGGTTATCAGCAAGTAGCGTTGTTTTCGGAGAATGTACTTTTCACTCCTTCCGTCGCCCAGATCACGCCTAACCAGACCCTCCTAGACACCTTGCATGCCTTCGCAATCCAGCCTGCTACCATTAATGTTCGAGTTGTCGCCTTGCTGTGCTCGACATTCTGTCTCGTCATCCACGGTGCATTCTTGAACTACGGGCTGAAGCTACAAAATGCACTGGGTTTCTTCAAGTTATTCGTGTTACTCGTCATCGTTGTTTCTGGGCTCTTCAGCCTCGCTGGTGTCCCTGGATTCGCCGTACGTGCTGAATACGAGATTCCACACAATTTCACGTGGTCGTCTTTCTGGGAGGGGACTGACACAGGTCTGAATGCATTCGTCACAGGAATGTATAATGTCATCTGGTGGGTTATGTCCTGGCTACGATCACTGCGGAGCAGGTGTTGACGTCTTCCCAGGTCTTACATTGGATATTCTAATGCCAATTATGCTTTGTCTGAAGTGCGAGATCCCATCCGCACCATCAAGCGCGCTGCACCCCTTGCTATGATCCTCGTCGCAGTCGCATATTTGTCCGTGAATGTTGCGTACTTTGCCGTTGTATCTAAGCAAGACATGTTGGGAGGTGGCACCATGGCAGCGTATGGTTTATTTATTACAAAAACTCACTTTCACGCTGAGAGGAAACCCCTTTCAGAGCACTATTCTTCAGGAACATCTTCGGTCCGGCTACAGAGCGGGTACGTAATGTTAATCATGGTTCAGCCGGTGTTCTTTTGTAATGCAAACCCAGATCCTGAGTGTTGTTATTGCACTGTCAACCCTGGGAAACATAATGAGCATCCTGTTCACCCAAGGCAGAGGTTATTCAACTTCTTCTGTACATAATCGCATATGCTAACTATTGCGCAGTTGTGCAAGAGCTAGGCCGAGAGGGTATTCTACCATTTTCGTCTTTCTTCGCCAGTAACAAGCCTTTCGATGCACCTCTCGCTGGGCTCTTCGCGCAGTGGCTCATTTCTATGATCGTCATGGCCGCCGCTCCTCCCGGAGACGCCTATCTCTTTATCGTAAACCGTATGTACCTCGAAAATGATCCAGTGCTCTATCTAACCAAGACTTAGTCTCATCGTACCCCTTGACGATGTTCAACTTGCTGATATCGGGTGGCCTCCTCCTTCTATACACCCCTGCATTCAAATCTTACGCTTGGCTCCCGCCATTCCGAGCGTGGAAGTCCATCGTCGTGTTCTTTTTCTTATCCAATGTCTTCCTTGCTATAGTGCCTATGATCCCACCGTCTCCAGGATCCGACATCTATGAACATCTCCCGTATTGGGTACGTCACCACTGTCCGTGTGCGAGCAAAGCATAATTGACATTTTGGCATACAGTCCCACGTCGTTATAGCATTATCAATCGGTTTACTTGGCATTATATACTGGTTTGTTTTCTTCGACTGGATACCCAGGAAGCGTGGATATCGTATCGTACAGGAGACTGTCTTACAGGATGATGGGGTCTCACGGAATGTCCTTCGGCGAATACCCAATGGATTAGGTGATGAAGGATCTGCGCGAATGTAGATGCACTGCAGATGCATCAGTTCATAGATGCTATCTGATATGAATTACATACGTACGAGTGTAGGCGTTTGGGTGTGCGCTAGATAAGCTCTGGGCTGCCAGGAAAGTGTATAATTACTATTCCACCGTTTGCCAGCCCAAGAACCATACAATTGCCAAATGATGCCTGGCACCTCACCGGTGACATCGTTGGAAGCATCGTAAGGACTGTTCCAGTCCTTGAATCTACTACCCACTTTCGCTCTAGGGACAATGGTCCGACGATGGAATGATAGCTAGGATTGTCGGCCGGCGTTGCCGTCACATGCACTCCCGTGGTTGCGTCCCATGCGAAAACGGCACCATCACGGTCTGCCGCCAAGATCCTAATATTATCTGTGGCTAGAGCAACAGAATATACTGGTTGCTCTAGGGTCAATGGACCCAGCAAACAGTGGCCTGTTATGGGGTCCCAGACCCGCACAGTGCGATCAAGCGATCCCGAAACAATGCGTCGGCCATCTTGTGAGAATGAGAGGTGCGAAACGAGGCCTTTGTGCTTGCGAGCCACACCCATACTTCCGACTGACTCGACATCCCAGATGCGGACAGTAGCATCGCTCGCGCCTGTTACTAGACGGAGACGTCCGTGCTGCTGCCAAAATGCTACGCAACGCACAGGCATTCTGTGCTGACGAACGAGGTGGCTTAACTCTTCCCCTGACTCCAGACTCCAGAGGCGTACGGTAGTGTCCTTGGATGCGGATGCGATGAGCCGCCCGTCAGGAGAGACGGCGACAGAGAATACAATACTGCGATGTCCGTGAAGCTTGATTGGTCTGTGCGCCCCTCGTGACCCATTCAAAGAAGGGTCAATCTGAACATCCCATACACAGATGGTTTTGTCATCTGAGCCCGATATTATCCGCGTGCCATCACGAGTGAAGGCTAGAGAATAGACGCCCCCAAAATGACCACGCAGGGGTCCTAGTACCATTCCCCCTGATGTTGCATCCCAAATTCGAGTAGTACCGTCACGCGAGCCCGAAGCATAACGCGAACCATCCGATGAGAATGCAAGACACAGGATCGGTTTCGCGTGCGCCGCAGGGAGGTCCAGAATAACTGATGCTGCCTGTACATCCCACATGATGATAGTGCAGTTTTTTCCGCCCGATATCAAGCGGGTCCCGTCAGGGGAAAATGCAAGGGCGTATATAGCTCCTTGATCACGTTTGAGTGGCTGACCTATAATTTTACCAGAGAAGGTGTCCCAGAGGACTATTGAACCACTGAAGAAACACGACGCAGCCAGCTGGCCACCAGGGGCGAGAACCGTCATCGCCACATCACCTTTCGGCCCTTGGATAAGCAGTTCCCCCGATATAGCATCCCACACATAGCACCCGCGGGCGATCGTCGAGATCAACTGCGATCCATCAGACGATAGTGAAAGTGATGTAACTTCTCCACCTGGTCTGGGAATATCCATGAGCAAAGGGGACCATTGATCACGAAAGCCTCCAGCTACGACTGGTATTGACAGCTCGTCCTTGAATATCTGGTATAGAATAGAGTTGATCGGAGTAAACGGCAGTGCACTGCTGTATACGAGAAGTGGGTGCTGTTCAATTACCGCGGCGAAAGCTTGACAAAAGCGCACTGCGTCTGCCAGAAGGTCACAGAGTTCCTGATGGCGACCTTGAGTTGACTGTGGCCTGTTTTCAGCAACAATAAAAAGAGGCATAATGATTTCACTTGCATTGCTCCAATCTTCCAGTCGCATTAGTAACTTAATCGTCCGTCTGGCCTTCTTCAACAAACTCATCGTCTCGATCCAGTGAAGCAGATGCTTCACGAGAAAATCATACACCTCGATAGAGAACCACTCCGCGTTTCCTTCCAACTCACAGGCGTGCTCGATCCAGAAGATGCAGGAGTAGGTAACATCCTCCGGTAAAATTTTGACATCGACCGCACTTTTCGTGAGGGTCAGGTCGCCCATATTTCGTTTCAAAGTCGCGCGAAGGGAGCCGATGCACTGACGGGCAAGTCTCTGGTGGTGTAGAGATACATCAATGAACCATTCATCTTTGCAGCGAGCTCGATCTGTCAAAAAATCTTCGAATGAGGGATGAATAACATGGATTGGCTCGCTGGTCGTTCCTCGGAAAATACAACCAAGATGTTGAATAGTGTGAAGACTTGGTCGTGTGCTTAAGACCGAAGCAGCCTCGTTGAGACGGTCGATGGTCGACGCAGTCAAAGGATTTTTGGCGACTATCACAACGCCAAGAATGTCGCGAAAGTCGGCAGAAAAAAGTGGATCTTCCCATCTCCCAGCAGATTCCAGGGCGGTGGAGTATATAGAATCCAGGGCAGACTCGGCGTTCAAACAAACGTCGGTGCGAAGCAGATCCGCTAGCCTTTCTCCTGGATCTTGACCATTTTCCACGTAGCGACAGGTAGTATATGCCCAAATAAAGAGCCCGCATGCACGAGCTGCTAGAGCGTCAATTGCGTGATGCCCAGGCCAATCTTGTGGGAGTGACAGATATTTGTTTTTGGAAATGATGTGCTGCAGACGATCATATAGGTACAAATGAATATCCTTATCATTGGCAGAAGAGTTGATGTCAATCGCAGTGCTGCAGATATTCTTCCGTGTTTCCAGTGCTTCCTGGATATCCACCTCCGTTCGGCTTGTTACGATGATGCGTAACGTCGGTGGCAATTTTACGCTCTCCAGCGCCAGGACGCTAAGAAGGTCTTCTCGTTCCCCGACGTGTCCGCACTCATCCAATGCATCGATGATAGCAATCACTGGGCCTTCTTGGCTCCAAACCGCCATTTCGGATTCGGACAGTGGTTGTACCAGTAGTTTATGAAACTGTTGTCGCAAGGGTGACTGTCTAATGCTTGGAGTGTTTTTGATCACAGTCGAGATAGCCGCTCCCAGCCGGTTGTCGAACTCGCCAAGTTGGAAGGCAAGAGTTCGTACGACGGCCATTGGATCATTCCTTGCTGCCATGTGGCGATTGAAAAATACAAACGCGCCGAGACGACCGAGGTCTCGTGCAATGTTGGCAATCGTTGTCGCAATGGTGCTCTTTCCAGAGCCAGCAGGACCATGAAGCCAAAGCACATTTTGATCGCTAGAAGGATTCATTGCCCAAGAAAAAACACTGGAAAGCAAGTCGCTGCGAGTTTGGGGCAAGCACACCGGTCGAGACGGGTCATCCATATTTGCTGGATGAAGCTTGGCAAGACTCTGCGCTTGAACTAGCCACTGATGAGTGCTTGGAGCTTGCAACATGTAACGGGCATATCAAACCTATTGACTGCACATCTTCGTACATGCGGTGAGCGATGAGAGCTATCTGAACCCCGACCCCAGTGTTGAGTGATGTCTTCAACATCGTGAATGTTTGTATGAAGCGTGTAATCTGATCGTCTGTCCACTGTTTATTGAGCACATGTCCTAGCGAACTCTGAATGAGAATTAGAGGCTTGTCAAAGGTAAAACACGTACCACAAAATCCACGACCAGAGTACTCTTGAATGAACAACATACACTCTATGGTCTGAGACAAAATCTTCTTGACTGTCTCCTCCAAGGATGACAGCCTACTCGGAAAGTTTTTCACGTCATCAACAAAGGTATACACGTCCTCCATCATATTCACTAGATCTGCAATTCTCTTGTCCGTGTCCAGTTGGCCTCTGACAACCTACACTATTCATCAGAAACTCAGAGTATCATGCGTTCGCGCTCACCGTGTAAAGGGATGATACAATCTGCCATGTCAGGTTCACGAATGGATGGATCTGAATTTTCCGACATCAGCCTGCCATAAGTGGACAAGAAGCGTCAGTTAATTTACCTGCGATACTACGCTCACGATCTGGACTAATGTGTCTAGCTGCGAAATGAGTGCAGAAAAAGATTGATCCACGGAGGAACTAGCTAGTTTCACGGGCTCCCCAGGTCTGTGCACACGGACTAATATGTAGCCACGCTGTGACGCATCATGGTGCAGTGCTTCGTCTAAAGGAAAATCCAGACGAACATCTTGTGCTTAGGAAGGTTGATTCAACGTCATGACGTGATCAATGTAAAGAAAAGATATCTTACACGCTGCGACAACAGATTGTCCAAGTATTGCTGCCGCATCTAATCTGACCTTGCCGAGAGAACGGGAGCCATGTCTGAAAAACGGGTTACGTTTGATTTGCTTGATCTCAAGCTGTGTTTCTGCATCTATGGGTCTGATGGTGTTGGTAGTACTCGGCTGACTTTCCTTTATAAAGATAAAGCACTCAATACTTACAACATGAAGTGTTCGTTCCACACAGCCTTGGCATCTTCTTCAAACACTTTGGTCTTCTGCGGTGGCAGCCCTTCTACATGGATTTTGACATATACATCAGAGGATTTGTTGGAGCCTTTCTTCGGGATCAAGGCTTCGATGACTATAGATGAGATTTTGAATCATGAATTGACCATGTGGCATGCGGTACCGAAGACTCACTGTCTACTTTGTAGTATGTCCTGCTGCCCATTTCGATGATGGACAGTATTGAAAACAGTTGACCGACCCGTTCAGATCGAGGATGTACGGGTGTTTGTGTTATCACGTTGGAGAAGATTATAAGTTCTAGTAATACGGTAGTAGAAGCCAAGATCTGCCCGGCCGGCACCGACTCCACGTAGGTAATACTAAATCATACCCCAACCAATATGTGGAGTAAGGTCAAGCTGAGAGAAATTCTTAAGGCTGCACTATAGAATGTATGCCCTCTACTCACCACTGAATGCTCACTGGTACACCCTCTGGCCTGAGTCTACACTAGAATCATAGACATAGAAATACACCCGTGTACATCGATATACTACTTAGTAGTAGTGGCGCACTCCCCAAGTACATCGTTATGCGACTCGATCTCTAGTCCTGAGCGCTCTGTCCTCTTCTGAGTGTCGGGAGTCGCGCAGATATTGGATAACCTCCTTTGCTTGATAGGCCAAGGATCTCACAAAATCCAGTGACCATCCAATAGAAGTGGTCATCATAGGCCACAACGTGAATATCGTGACTATTGTCCATCCAGGGACCATCGTCGCGAGCGTGACGACGTCACTGGTATCGAAAATGAAGAGAGACAATGCCAGGCCGAAGAATACCATTCTAAAGACACTAGCGTCAGATCTCTGCAATGGATACGCGGGGTATTAAGGCTTACGCCCATATAAGAAGTGCAAACGGCAAGCTATGCATCAATGCCAAGTTTTCAACTCCGGGGATTGCACTGGTCATTAGAGACATGTACATTGCCTGGAGATCTCTGATCAGTGAGGCTCATTGACTGCAAAAAATGTCGCATACCCCGCCTTCAGCAGTCTGACGCTGATAGTCTTGGCTTTGGGCGACCAGCAGGAGAGAAACTACAAGCGAACCCACAGAGCAAAGAGCCGACATGTATACCGCGATGTTGGACGAAGTTTGCGAGGACTCGTAGGAATTGATATCGATGACGCCAGGCACTGCTAGGAAACTAACATCGACAGCCAGCATGACGGTGGACTCCAGCGACGCTAAGTCTTAAATTTCACTCGATATTGTATCGAGTACTTACATAGAGCGTGAACCCCGTCCACTCGTTATCTAGTTGGGTGATAAAGTCTTTCCAGCGTGGGGCATTGATAATCTCGTCGACCCATACTCTCCGTATACGTTTATAGTGTTTGCGTGGCGCGTACCAGAAGATTAGGTTGGAGACCCTGAAAATCAATGTTTCGCGCTCGTGGCCCTCCTTGTAGTAGATGGATCTGTCGGCGTCAACCCGTCCGCCAGGTTGCCCGCAGAAGTTCATGTATTTAACTTTGGCTGGGCATCATCAGTATTTTTTTGTGAATCGAAGCATAGCTCCGTACTGAATAATCTCATGAACCGGGCTATAAGAAGTATATAAATGTCGTCACCCACGAAAAAAAAATCTTACCTACGACACATACAGAATGAGCATGCGTTTTATCGATGCTGCCTGGTTGAACATTTAGTTTGGGTCGGAAATATTTGACCAAGTCTCACCCTCAACACGGTCCATTAAATCCAGCATCTTCGCCAGCTCATTGCCATCAAATGGGGCCAGTGAAGTATCCGTGGTGATGGTCTCTATAAAACAACGTAAGAATTCGTTCATCGGGTTGCAACCACCTTTGCCTACCTGCGTTCGCATGGATAATGATTTCTTTCAGCTCTTCAAAGATTTGTTTCGAAAGGTATCGGTTGTGAGGATAAAGCTCGCAGTGGTACCTAAAAGGCTGTCAGCGTCACCACCACGCTATTGCCCCCAAGTCAGTACAATCGATTGAAATAGTTTACGGAGCGTACCGATCTCTTAGAAAGCACTAGCCAATATTGTGCCTCTAACGAATATTCTAAAGCGCGTGTTCAATGGTAATCCGTGTGGCGTTGAACCACCCACTTATATGACTGTGTTTCTTAGCTCCCTTGACGTTGAACAGAACCTCGCCACCTGGTTCGCAAGTATACTTATGTGCCCAAAATATCATCCTCTTCGCGTGGTGGACGAAATAGTAACCACAAGAATTTATCCTGTTACGTGATCCGGTCTCAAGCTCAAGCTCGAGCACCAATTCTGTTTCATCATCAATCCTGGCCCATACTTCTGGCTGACTCTTTGCATGAGCCTTGAGGGCGTCAGCCATGGCCAAGAGCATCTTGGAATCGATCTTTCCCAGGCGCATGTCCGCATCCGTGAGAATTCTCTACAGGGGAATGAGCATTTTGAACGATCAACCTCAGGATGCGTGCTAACTCTCTCGGGGTGATAATAAACCCTAGGACCTTCCGGGTGTACGAAATCGTGCCATCCATGTTGCACCTGCCTGAACGCATGTATTATGAAGATACGATATAGAAAAATGTTAGTGAATGTGTACATACTCCACATACTTGTTGTCTTTGGGGTCGATGACGATGGGTTTCGGTTCAGCCCATTTCCTTCCGTGGGCAGTGTCACTATGTCAAAGGATCTTTAAAGATAGGTGACCGTCTTACATTTTGATGTTCCTGTCATAACGTTTGACGTCGGTCGGTATGATTGATACTAGGTTGATGTGCTTGCGTGGCGTGGAATCCTGTTCCGCGAAGAAAGATTGCGGCTCTTGAGCTGATGTGTTTTCTAGGTCGATTTGAGACTGTCCACTGCCAACGATAGCATTTGGCCCTTGATCATCATCTACAGTTCCGGCGTGGAAGCTGTATCTGGAAGGTGGCGCGAGGTGCAATGGATGTTGCGGAGATGCAACTTCCACTGGTATTGCGAGCGTACGAAGTGGTCGGTCATCAGGTCGGTCGTCATCTGTCACAGGTGTGTGGATTGTAGGCAAGCCGCTCGCGCATATTGCAGGGCGCAACTCTTCGTGTAGTTTTCTTGCAGAGTATGTGCAATGGTGAAAGCGAACACGGACGCTTCCTAGCCTGCGGAGCAGGGAATAGAAAATCCGCAATATATAGCATGCTCGGCGATGTGAAGACCTGAACAACTGCGCAAAGAATCTAGCAAACTTGTGCAAGACGTCCAATGAGCAAGCGGACATCAAGATGGTGCCACAAAGGTGCCACACTCGGGCTTTGAGTCTACCATTTAAGAACCGAAGCTGACCCGACATTGCGAATGCAGTAAAGTAATTAGTCGTGGCCAAGTCGTGGCCAGTGGCCGGCGTGCCAATGCCATTGCCAAGTGGCCAACCTTCTAGTTGCTTAGTCATCAAAGTACAGCAATGGCAGCCCTTGGCTGACCCTACCAGCCTGGGTAATTATAGCTGCGTTGGCTGCTACTGCACCCCCTACAGCACAATGTCCGGTCAAGAAGAGCAGCTCATCGAGTTGCTTTTAACGCTCAAGGTCAGTGCCAACGACTTCCACACTAACCAACACCTAACGCAACTTCCAGAAAACAACACCGGAGCAAGCACGCGCTATTCTCGCGTCGACACCACAGATCGCATATGCCCTCATCGGTTTGATGGTAAAAATGAATGCTGTAGACGTCCAAGTCCTGCAGGTACGCTGTGTCCGCGTCTACCACCTAAAACCGCCAAATTAATGATCGCCAAATCCAGAAAACGCTCACGAACTACTCGGCATCGATCCAGCAACAGCAACAACAGAATACAGGCCCATCAACGGCGCCCGCCATGCAGCCTGCTTCTGCCATCCCGCCACATCTACAGCAGTACCGCACGCCAACGCCGCAGTCGCAAACGCCACCACATGTGCCGTCGCATACTCCTACCCCTCCTCATTACTCCAATGGACATGGGCAGGCTCCACAGCAAAATTACGGTTATGGAGCGCCCTCGCACTATGGTGGACAAGGAGGATATGGCGTGCCGCAGCAAGTTCCCATGGGTGGTGGTATGATTCCAGATGCTCTGGCATCGATCCCTGAGGAGCAAAAGGTACGAGAAACTTAAGTTCACCCGTATTACAAATTCTGACGGGTCCAAACACAGGCGATGATTATGCGCGTCATAGCTATGACACCAGATCAGATCAACATGCTCCCACCGACAGAGCGCGCAAGCATTATTCAGCTGGTAAAAATATTTCTTTAGATCGATGATGCCTATCGTGCTGACCAACTCGAACGTTTTCCTCGTCTCTTCGACGTTCCTTACAGCGCGCAACGCTAGGGCTGCCGTCATAAGGGTCTACACTAGCCAGTTATATCCTACCTGTGACATAGATGACCCCCCAGGACCCAGCATTGGGATGAAACACTGAACGTCACTCTGAGAACGTAAGTCCTTCTGACCCGCGGTGTACAAACAAAGGGCAGGTGTGAGTTTATCCCCTGTGGAGATGGTGACGAGCACATTGGCCAGTTTGATCGTGGAGAGCAACTTAACAGAAATATGATTTACAGTTCGATTACTACATGTTTGGATAATAAACCGAGGGTACAAATGCAATCCCGAGGAGCAACCAAGTCCGTCCTGCAATAAGTCTTAACACGATTGGTATTGGTATGTCAGCATCTGCCCTTGGCGTTTCGTTTTGCAATATAAGACCCTATAAGACCCTGTACACGCAAGAGCATTCTTAGTAGTCTCCAAGGTCACTAATTACCGAGGAGATTGTTGGTGGCAATGACATGAATGTCGTACGTGGTGAGTATCGTCAAGATACATTGCCCTCTAGAACTAGCAAATTTCGAATTTCATCTAATCTATCGAATCTGCTTGTACGACATCACGCGACCGCAATCTTGAACTGCAACGATCTCGGTATCTCGTTAAAACATTGCCACTGCTAGCATACTCTATCGTGCTCATTCCTTCTCGAGCATGGCCTTGACACCAGGTGCACCCAAGCCCTCCAAATCCGAATAGCCTAATGAAAAATAATCAGAAAGATCAGTATTCACGCAATACCCAAAAATGTGTTCATACCACCAATCAATTTCTTGTCTTTCGCAAGATCATGTCATCAGCATCACCTAAAGCGAGACGAGTCAATGTTTCGTAACTCACTAGCAAAAACCCGAGGGAATGTGGCCGAAGAACCAGGGAGGCTGCCAAGGTAGCTGATTATGGCCTTCTGCTCCCCGGTCGCGCTAAGGCTATGTGTACTTGTCAAGATGCTGAGCGTCTCAATCAAGCGGAGCACTTACTCGATTGATTTACCCTCGAGCTCGGGGTATTGTTCCAAGAAACGTAGAGCTTGCTGGCAGAAGTAGCATGACGGTGAAGTCCGGATGAAGACGACCAGGCCTTTGTCTTTGAGGTTCTTCTGCGGAGTAGTATGACATCAGTAAGGTGTAATTTTAAGCCCAGGCAGACAGCATCAATTACCTCGACAAACTCTTTGATTTCGTTCTGGTTCATTCTGGATGCTGACGAGGTGTGAGTGGAACTGGATAAGGAGGGAAGTCTAGATGAGACAGCTCTGTAGACTTGAGAGAACATACTATTCATCCTCCGGCAATCCGCGTGTTGTAGTGACTAGTCAGCAACAAGTCAGCAAGTCACAGCCTGTCACGGCGCAATGGATGACAGAGACTCTTTTTGGTCGCTTCGCATATCAGACATATCCAACCACAGCATTCTGATTTGCTGGCGTGTTGCCAGATCTTAGGCTATTCGTTGAATAATTAACCTCGAACGTACTCTAGATCTGCAAAAATGTCTATCGTGGTGAAAAGCGTGTGCAAGGCTTTGGAACGAATCGCGCCTCTTCGACTCGCTGAGCCATGGGATAAAGTTGGTACAATTCACCAGCAAGATCGTATGATATGTGATCTAACGTACCCTGCAGGTAGGCCTGATCATAGGTAGATACCCCATATACCAAAGCTCTATCATTACTCATCGAAGCATCTGCCATGCAGAATCTCCCCTCCCCAGGGCCGACGCAAAGCGCGTAGTATTGACGATCGAGTAAGTGAAAACATCAGCAAGCATCGTCTTGCAACCGGCAAGCAATATGTAGTGACAAGGGTCCTCCAGTCTGACTACTGCTGTCCTGGAGGAGACACTAAAAGTGCCTACAGCACTGGTAATTGCCTACCACCCACCCCTCTTTCAACCAATCACTTCTCTCACATTGGCAAACCCACTGCAAGCTTCCCTACTCAAGCTCTCAGCCGCAGGGACGTCAGTCTTCTGCCCTCATACGAGCCTCGATGCGACTTGGGGTGGTATCAACGACTGGCTTGCAGAAGGTGTCATAGGTCCCCAGAAGGCTACTGCAAAAGTTAACATCCTAGGAGAAGTCAAGGGAGAAGCAGGTGGTGCCGGCCGGATCGTGACGCTTGATGAACCGATTCATATCGAGGAACTTGTGCAGAGAGTAAAGAAGCATCTCTCTTTGTCACAAGGTTTACTGCGCATTTCCCTCCCGCGTGCCTATCACGAATGGCTGATTAAAATGGATGTACAGTTGACGTAGGACGACCACTTTCTGAAAAATCGATTAAATCGGTTGCAATCTGTGCAGGTGCTGGAGGAACGATGTTTTCAGGAGTCGATGCTGACGTGTATTTCACGGGGGAAATGCAACATGTGCGATCAAATTCCTCTTGCCATCTGTACGATCTTAACCGTTATTGCAGCACGAGGTCCTTGGCGCAGTCGCAAAGGGTCGATACGTCATACTATGTGAGTTGATTACACACGATGAGAATCTTGCTACTGAAAGCATGATGTTAAGGTGGTCATACAAACACCGAGCGCGGGTACCTCCCTGTTCTGGCAAAGAAGCTTTCGGACACACTTTCCGACCTTGCGCAGGACGAGTCGCCAAATGGATTGTCGCAAGAAGAAAGAACCGAGATCAAGAAGTATCAGCTGGACATCCACGTCAGCGAAGCAGACAGGCACCCTCTTGATCACATGTAACAAACACCTGTGCCAGAGGGTTGGGGTATTTGATTACGCCTATATATAACATATAGGTCAAGCCTTTTTTCATGAGACAGTATGGTCAGATCTGTCACCTTTCGGAACCACAATTTGCCTTCATCAAACGCAAATGCAAGAACTGAACAAAATGCACATGGTGCACATGTCCTACAAGCTCATAGCCGTCCACGTCACTCGACCCTGCGCTCGACTTCCCCATAGGGTTGCTATACCTCTTAGAGTTTAGTTGCTAACCTGCGAAGGAGTTTTTTTTACTCACTAGCGACCCGAGTACGAGCCGTTCGAACTTACGAATGACTCGGAGTTGGCAGCAGGGAAGCAAAAATGATGTCAATCGATGCTGAAAGTGAGGCCGTTTGAGTTCAGTCAGGCGAATATTGAACTATAATTGAACGGAGAGGAGCGACATGCAGAGCGGCTCGAGGTCCGTTTTGACTCTCGGTGCCTGGATGGAGCAAGTAGCCATACGACATGCAAGCGTCAAAGTCTCTCATCAATTGCTCTTCGAGGTACGTTACCTAGTACAGATCGGATGGAACCTGCGAGGGCGTCGGTTAAAGCCAAGCCAATGGATAAAGGAGGATAAAGGCTTAACAAATGCACTTGCAAAGGCATGCGTTTACGGGAAGAAGATAGCCAGGTGATCGTCATTGTATGGAGTCAGCGAGGTCGGCGGACAAAGATTGACCCGAGAGAATTTTTGCTCGAAGAGTGGTGGCAGAGAGTGGCACGGATTTGAATTGTATTGCGGGGTAAGACGTGTTCGTGGAGAATGGAAGCTGGAAGAAGCTGCTGGCGCGTGCGAACCACAACGCGGTGATATCGCATATTAGGCACAGAAGTCTTGAAGGGGGGATGGGACGGCGAAGCCGAGTGACACATTTGGGTTATGTTTCTGTCTGAAATACATACTTATCGAGGACGTGGATGAACCTCAAGTCGACATATAGTTGAAATGTGGGAGGGTCTTGCCGCGATGTGGGGAAAGGTGGGAAATATGTGTAATTAGACGTAAGAATCATGATTCGGCATCTAAACTCGACGAGATAAGGGCTTGTGAGGGATTCCAGGAAGATTCAAGGTGAGATATGAACGTCAGCATTTATCTCGAAGTTGTTAAACTTACTCACTGTGGGACGGTGTCATACACGCCAAGCCAACGTTTAAAAATTTGGATGGGCTAAAAGAATGTCAGCGGCAGGCACATGCAGCATTGCTTGCCGTTGCCGTTTGCGGCACTGCCAGAAAATTGATTGGATTGAGGAGGCGTGTTGGGAACCATTGCAAGCTTCAACGTATTCGTGGAGTGGGAGACTATCGTGGTGGTGTCGGACATACAAAAAAAAGGTTTGAGTTGGAGTCTTTGAGAAGGGTGATCGAAACCTGAATATTTGCAGCTTGCACGCATGCTAATAACCTGAGATGATGAATGGGCCGTGAGGGTAAAAGTGTGGTCCTCCCGAGGACATGCAGTTCTTCATAGATATGAATAACCTGAAGGCTGAGAGCTCTTCAAAGCGTGTATATTCAAATCTGGGGATAGACAAATGATGTTGTGAAGATTAGACCAGAAAAAAAATCATTTGTTTGACAAGACTGAGAAGAAATTCATTAGCATTGTCAGAGCAGGGAGGTTGTCAAACGCCATGGCAGATACAGAAACCTTGCTTGATTGAAGCAAACTTGAATTGCTCAGGAGCGGGTTTGCATTTGACACGAATTAGGAAGCAGAGTTGTGACGCTGTCACTGTGGTCGTGACTGTGGCTGTGTGGTTGTCACAGACGCGTCAAAGCAAATGCACGTGTTTTTGACGCGTCAGAAAAAGTCTCACGCCCTCTCATTCTCTCCGACGCACCACGTTGGAGTTGAAACGTCCCAAGTCTACGCGCATCATGCCGCCAATCACCAACACAAACCTAAGTCTAAGACACTTACCAGACCTCTCAGATACATCTGTCTCTTTCCAGATCCCCGACGAGTCCTCATCCGCGGAGTTTCTGCTTGCAGATAACAGCAGTGATCTTGATTTTCTGCGCGGAGCTGGTGGCGCCAGTTTCGCCACCATTGCTCCTACTCCAGCCCGCGGACCATTAAAGCTCAGCGATGTTACACCGAAAGCCGCGTCGCAACTGGTGTCGCTATCACGATCCCCTAGTCCGGGTCCGTCAGCACACAAGAAGAATGATTACCGACCCTCGCAGTTCAGACGTCAGAGCCCTGTCAAGATTACGCGCGTTCCATATAAACTTAAGGAGATTATACTTGACGAGCCCGCCGTCTCCGAGGAGCGCTTGGAGTCCTTGCGCGCAGAAGTGGGGACCCTTGACGATGATTATGGTATCCCGGTGCACGCGCAATCACCAGCGATTGTGCAATGCTCTGACATCCCCATGATGAATGATACGGCAACAAGAAAAACAAAGCTAAAGCCGAGGACAAGAGTAAATTCTGTAAGTTGGCTCCCATTTACAATCGGTATGTGCTCACCATCCTGTGGCAGGCGGCGGAAGGCGGCCATAACAAGAAGCTCGCAACACGAAGCAAGATTCCTGTGTCTGCAGATGACAAACTTGGTACCAACTTCCACTACCGAACCAACTATTCAGTTGTCTTCTACGTGGCCGTCTGAGACAAGAAACATGGAGATAGATACCGAAATCCAAGTTCCGCCCGCAGGCATAAGCGCTCATCTTAGCATACCCTCAAACACTAGCCAAAACGCGACCGGACGGGTGGCTGAACGCCTCGTGTCCTACAGTCAAAAGTTCATGTCATCAATTGGGTACGTCCACTGATACGCATTTCACTGCATTTGCACCGGAACTGATCAGTTGTACCTTGCGTGTGTCATCTATTCTTTTTTTTGTCGCCTTCTGTGTGATTGCGATCGCAATTGACAATTATGGCTCGATCTCACTTGATGTGATCTTCCGGCGTCCTTTCTTGGCAATGCCATCACAGTATCTACAATGGCAGGACCGAAAGTTCCTTCACGCCAGATGCGGATGCTGGAGTTGCTAGAATGGAAAGAGCTATCGAAACTAAACCTTCACTTCCGGTCGATATGGCCCATGCCCCATGTTCACCGGACGTTCGCAGTCGCAATGATTACCCATTCAGGCTTTCAGAAATTTCGCCGCAAAAGTATCACACACAAGCTAGCGCCTCCCCCGGTCACTTATCCACAGGAAGGCGACAACTGTCGCCCATGAGACCGGCAAGGAAACGCCGGGCCACCGAGGAAGATTTTGCCTGCCAACAGCCAAGTGGCGGCAAGAAGCTCAAGGGAAAACCATTAATCCCAAAGCGCCCAGGTCGAGCGTGGCCAGACCATTTTGGCAGGGACATCCAGCCAAGTCCTTCAGCCATCCACCCACAAAAATCACGCACCATACCAGCGCGCAGCCTGTCAGTCGGGATTCGCGGTGTCCGACATCAAATTTTCCAAGCGCGCGAACCAAGTACAAACCCAGATGCGCCGTCCAGCACAAGGGACAGTCGAAATTGATTTCATCATCTTCGTCGTCGTTCCTGCGTGGTCAGACGATCAGCGATAAAAATGTCCAGGGACAAGATGAAGCTTCGACCGAGCGCTCGCTTGCATCACAAAGCCGAGCCTCGGGCAGTTCCCGGGTCCACTTTGACGCAGGTCAGGTGAATGCTAAGAAAACAGCGCCACCTATAGGCCTTAGGGCGGTTAGGAGCATCTAGGCCTGGCCTTGTGTCATCCCTCGAGAAGACGGTACGTGATTAATTAACGGAATCCCTGTCTTATGTGCGCTGATATTATGTGGATGACTTGATATTTGATTGTTGGCTATGATATTCGAATGAGCAGAGCATCACGTTGCCATCTGCCAACTTAACAAAGCCTGTCGCGTTTACGTTTCATCTTGATGCACGCATGGAAGGGCGTAAAGGTGAATTCGAGAAGCTCGCAGGCTCGGCTAACGAGCAGGGCCATATGGAGAGGCTACACCGACAAAGGCATCCTGTGCCCGATTTCAAGGCACTACACGAGGCTCACCAAGCGTCTCTTGCATGTCGTAAAGAACACCTCGTCGCGATAGTTCCCGGACCACCGATAATGCTTAGCACCGAAATTCGGGCGAGAGAGAGGGAGAAATTCGATCAAATGATGCGAATGAAGGAAGAGGAGATTGAGCGAGCAAAAGAGGAGCGCCGAAGACAACGAGATGCGGAAGAAGAAAGGGAGATCAAGGAACTCCGCAAGCGAGCGATTCCTAAGGCCAACGAGGTTCCAGAGTGGTATGCTGACATGCCGAAGAAAGGAGGCAGTGTAGGAGGATCAGGATAGTGGAAAGCGTCATAGATCATATAATGGTTGTCAGGTGGAGATCGAGAATGGCGAGTGTACGCAATATTTTTTTCGTTATCTGTGCAGCATGTCTTTTTACATCATCACTTCGGAGTCATCACCCTTTCAAGTCCATGGCTACTTACTTGACCGGATATGATACCTCGCAGATAGGACAACGCCGGTGACACAATGAAGTAGCTTAAGTTATTCTGGGATGTTTGAACGGGGAAGAAGTCTGGGAAGACCTCGCGTTTAAACGCATTATGGCCGGTGCAAAGTACCATTCAAGGCTTGAGAAGGCTTGATGGCATCGTGACCGATTGCCTCGGAACCTTGTTTTGCCTTCTGTTTCGATTATATGTTTATATATGACATTCCTGGTGCGTAACCTGGGCTGCGGGTGGTCGGCTATGCAGAGGTAACTGATACATGCTCTAGTAGTAGTGCTATACCAAGTTGGTCGGTCGATCGTTTCAAGTTGGATGATGGACAGATCGAGGAACGATTTCACCGTTGCGCAGCCTTTTAGAATATATGAAGTTCCATGGGATCTATTGCCCACTTAGTTGGAAATCAAAACATGGGATGGACTTCTGTGGGTGCCTTGGGCCAGCTGACGCCACTGACCAAATCTACTGAATTAGACTTTGGGGATGGGTGAAGAGGAAGCTTGCCTTCATAAAAGCGCATAGCCCCATTCAAACTAGCCAACCATGCGGTGGGGGAAATAAATTGGTTTCTTCTGGAAGTCGGATGCAATGTGAGCCTACGGCATTGCCAACGAAAAAGTCTTGGGTTGCGGACACGCATGTTCAAATCTTGAATACAACGAGGCATACCTAGCTTCAAGTTGAGTTCTGACGGTATGGTCAATAATAACGAGAAGTTGCCAATATAGTACTATGCAGGAACGGTCACATCATGTTCCTGTATACGATCGGGATTGAGTATGTTACCTCAAGCACGCTGTACGTCGAGGAACGCGGTGCCGCAGGGTAGCTCATACGTGAATAAAGAAGGCAGTCGAGTGAACGGGTGCCGCGTCGTGTGAGGTTGAAGTTGCTTTGTTTCTACAAATTTTTTTGTAAAATCGCCAATCGGGACGTACACTGTGAGGATTCAATCTGCCAACAAGACACAGCCAGATCTCGGGGCCAGTGAAGTAGTTGTCACTTGAGCAAACAACATGTCCAAGTTGAGTTAGATATAGATGGACTTGCAGTGCATAGTACGTTATCGTGTGAATAAGTCAAGTGAGACCCAAGGGCAAGGATCCGGTGCAAAATGACCTCGAAAGGTTATCGTGGTGGAGGGTATCCCCCTGGCTGGGAGCGCCCAAGGAAATTGAATGTACGATTACTGGGTCTAATATTTGCTCTTTCTTCGAGGGGTTATGGGCTTAAGGAAGTCCTCTCAGGTTCCCCGGTTTCCTTTTTCGTTTTTACAGATTTGGTTCATCAGTGACGCCACAACCCGCAAGTATACTCTATATTTCTGGCCGTCGGATGCGTGTTGTCCTAGCTATGTCTACGCAAGCCGATAACGGAAGTATGACCGGGCTGCCACAAGGAAACGCATAAAAGGTGGAGCATCTTCATACACTTTCACCAGTCAACCAACCAACCTACTCTCCAATACTACTTCTCAATCTACTACTCAAACACAATGTACGCTTCCTGCTCCACCGTCTGCACGTCATCCAAGACTGTTGCATACTCATCCGACGAGTCATCATCATCATCATCATCATCGCATCAATGCACGCACCACTCTCATGCTACTCCAGTGTCAATGCGCATTTCATCTGATGATGACTCTTGCATCAACTTCAATGCACCCCAGTGCTGCCACTGTGGCTGGCGTGGATCTCACTCCCCTAGCTGCCCATTCCGCTGAGCACACACGATAATTACGTTTTACTTATATTTATTCCCTTTGCTCGTAAGTCATATTCCCTATTGTTTCTTATTTCTCGGTCAACTCAATGTCTCATCCTAGACTATTGTTCTCATCATCCCTCATGTTATCACTCTCGACTTCGATCACACCTGTTTTGTCGCATTGTACCAACATACATCTACACCCCGTGCATAAGCGCACGTTAGTCGTCGAGATCTCATCGCAGTTGTAGGATTAAGGAGGAAGTCAGACGTTGTATGGACTCAGAGTTGTTGTTAAGCGGACTCCTCGGGGCGGCTGCATATTTAGCCTCACAATTTTGCCGTTAGCCCTTGTATGTATGATTATTGTGCTATCGCTCCAACAACCATCATTATTTCCCGGTCCGTAAACCGTGCTGAAACGTCAGTAACACGTCTCAAACAGATCATATACAGCATCGCAGTATGCCTCCATACTGATGACCGAACAACAACCCACCATCGGAAATGAACTCACTGACTCGACGGTTCTTCCACGTGGATACCCATGATGCTATTCCACCTTCTTTATAGAAATGCACGTGTCATTCGGTCTCTGATGAGACCCTCCTGCTGGTTGTTCCCTGTTCAAGTTCCGCTGACGGGTGTGGGGAACAAGGGGAAAAACTCTTAGATTGCGACGAGATTAGAGAATTCAAGGACTGATAATTTGATTGCGGACCCTGATCAAGAGGACGGCTCTAAGAAACGTGTCCTGCCGCTGTCTCTTCTGTACTGCCTTCGCCGAACTATCCGCAAGTATGACGACTTGAAACCTTTTCTTGAACCGAGTTGGAAGAAGTTTGAAGATGCATCTTTGTCACGCCCTTACGCCCAACACCAATCCTACCACAACTGCGGTCCGCGGAAGATAGGCGGACTCGGGAGTCGGCCGTCTTTAACCATCACCTTCCTCGTACTTGTCGGCGTAATACTAATAAGTGTGGTTCAGAAATAATCCGTCTCGTGCCGTGTAACGATCCCATGATACGGTTATTTCTAGTGCGCTAGTCTGGTACTCTGATGAAATTCGGGTTAGGTCTTGCCTTGGGCGCCTCTTGGCTTTCTTTCCCATCAGTCGGCCGAAAATCCGACCCAGATTGTGTACAGCGTGTGTCAGCTCAGTACCAACGTTCTTGGATCGAAACATACCATGTCTTCCAACTGGGACCCATTGTCCTTGCACCCACCTTCTCATTCCGATGAGCTCAAGGTGTCTTTCCCTCAAGAACATGTAATGCTTATGACCTTTAACCGTCCGAGGCACCTCAACGCCATGACGCCTCAGCTTACCACCGATATAGCTACCATTTTAAATTGGTTTAATGACGAGCCCTCTTTGTGGTAGGTTCTATCTCCTAGCCTATCGGTAAACCTATTCAACCTCTCCGTCCCCGTACTTCAAGGGTAGTAATCGTAACTGGCCAAGGACGCGCTTTCTGTGCAGGAGCCGATTTGAAAGCGTAAGTAACGAAGAACCATGCTTGTCATTTCCTCGTTCCTCACCCTCGAACCTTTCATTTCACATCAGCTGGCTTCATAACCAGTCAAGCGGCACAGCGAATGAAGGAGAAGATGTAGCTTCTTCCATGCATGGATTTGCGTCTATATCCCGTCGCCACACCTCTTTCAAACCCATGATAGCCGCGGTGAACGGTTCGGCTTATGGCGGCGGGGTTGAAATGATACTAAACTGCGATATGGTCATTGCAAGCGAAGACGCCGTGTTCGCACTTCCTGAAGTTAAGCGTGGTGTGCTGGCTGCACAAGGAGGTGGGTTTATACTACATCAGTCATCCCATTACCAATTTCAGCCTCGTCTTCGTCGATTATTTTGGAAGACTGAAGCGGGGGGCGGGTATGTATGGCCTTGGCTGATCGGTGATTCGTTTGTCTTTGCAGTTATTCCCAGGTTAGGGAGAGTTGCGGGCCATCAGGTATCGCTTTGGCATGAATACACCCACAGATATCTCCGCTCACTGAGAAAATCTCGCGGTGTAGCTTGCTTCTGAGATGTTATTCTTGGGAAATACCATCACTGCTGTCCAAGCCAGAGACAGATTCCGTTTGTAAGTGAAGTTTCCTTACAATCGCCGCCAGCCACAAAGACAGCTTCTTGACACTAATGCGTACACTTCCGGTCCGTAGTGTCAACGTCGTCGTCGAGAAATCGGCTGTTGTACCTACCGCCCTGGATATCGCGCGACAGATTACCATGAACTCCCCTGACTCGGTACAGAGTTCAAAGGAAGGCCTTCTACTTTCGCAAAAGCACCATTTCGAGGACGCCGTACGAACACACTCACTGAGTCTCGTGAGTAAACGCTTGTATCACGGGGCGAATATCAAGGTACGTCACGTCACGTCACGTCTATCCTTGTCCTATAGGATATCGAGTTATTCATCTTTTTCTCCCCTGACGTTAATCCAGGAGGGCTTGGCTGCGTTCTCGGAGGTATGGCACACAGCTCCTCGACCCTTTAGAATTAAATTCACCCGTTCTTTCCGTTCGCTCTTCCGCAGAGACGCAAACCAAAGTGGTCGAATCCCGCGAAACTATGACGTGGTCGCTTATTGATCTAGAACGTTTAAAATGGTTATAGTACACACAAACGTGTTATCTCTGGTACATAAGCTCCTGTGTGACCGGTAGACAGTGAGATATTCCTCGAGACTTTGCTTTGCCCGAGGATTCTATGATGCCGAAGATGGCTGTGCCTGACAATGATTCCCTGTATGACCCGAACGAAGTGGGAAGATCAGCAAGAACGATATTGTAGAAAAAGTTATTTTCGCTTATCATATTCACAACCACAATGTCATCACATCCGCGAACGAGAGCAAGAAACCTACCTTGATTTAATGATTTGATCCATACCTGGTATAACACCCCCAAGTCACCCACCCCAAACTCAAAAATAGCCTGTTCTCAAGCCGAACGGGGGAATACATCGAGCGCATGCTCGACGTGGCTCTTCTGACAACGTTATCGCAAGCTTGTTGAATGCCACGTAGTTTTTCCTCACTGCCGTAAAGGGCCGCAAAACGCACAAAAGGATTGACCTTTTTGCTTTCCGACGTTAATGGGGAATGGCGTCATATACACAAACCTGGAGTTCATCGTCTAGACCAAAACATAGAGAAGCGCCCAAATACGTGTGAGCCCAAGTTCTTTTTCCAGCGCCAAGGTGAACATTGGACACGTCGAGTGAAAGCCGCGAAAGAAAAATTGCCAAGTGAAAGGCCTGAGGATTATCTGCTTGACAAGGGATAGCTTATGAATAGCTAAAATGGATATAGAACTAAGACAACGTGGTGAAACCCCCTGCTCGTGATCCAAGAGTCGTCCATGCGAGGGACAGACGTCGAGGTACTGCAGTGCCAAGACAACGTATGTCGTTAGTATCTCTTGTCAGCAGACTCAATCAGACGGTTTTCAATTGACTTACCGACGTATACACCCTAAAGGAGTCATTTCCGAAGTGTAATGTATCCAAGTTGAGTTTGAAAAGAACTTTTGTGAGGGAGAGATAGTGTTGATAAGTTCGCTGGGGTCGTGGGCGCGATAGTCGCGGCTTTCGATATTTTGGAGGCGGTGAGTAACGAGCTGTCACGGCATGAAGTTGGCTGTAAATACATAGACAGTCAGGGTGGTATGAGGCCCGTGAAACGGGGGAAATTTAGTTTGAGGTGGGACCCAGGCAGTGGAAGGAGGTGCGGTAAGACCCGTGAGATAGAGTCCTAGTCGTCGGGTCGCGACCTATTACTATCATCAGAGGTGAATCATTAATATGGGATCCGTGCATGCGGGGGGAGAGTACAAAGGGTCGCGAAATTACTTGATTGAAGAAATATGCCAAAAAGACAAATTGTCAACTGCGCAATGAGTAGGTGGCACTGAGGTCGTCGCGGGGAAAGTGCGCTCATAGCCCAAATGAATGTCATACCTTGACGTGCCTTGGAATCGGAGACATGGCACTCCGTATGAACGCAGACTCGGTCGTAAAAGGTACATTGTTGAACCAGGGCTTTCAGTCATTGCAGATCCAGTCAGCAGGCCAGAAGTGTCAAGAAAAAGTTCACCCGGCAACAAGGGGAAAGTGTTACTGACAAGAAATACTGGCTGAGAGTCTACCCATGGCCGTTACTAGTAAGGTTGCTGATTCATCGATATTTGGAACAAACACTCGAGGTCAGCGCTCCATGTTCTTAATTATCAACAAAGGTTCTATAAGGGTTGTAAAGTTTTGGTAAGACGCCAATCATGAAAAACAGAAGCTGGTTGATGATAAGCGCGGGTATGGTGGTCCACGCCGACGGACCCAGTAGTCTAGGCTCAAAGCATCATCCACTTCCACTCATGCTGCATGCACTAAGATAGTATGGAACATGAAAAGCACGAAATAATTAGCTCAAATAGTATTTTTATTCAAGGCCAAGTGCCAGTTAACTGACGAGTCCCGCTACATAGCAAGCAAGCCCTTGCCATGATGGCGCAATGCAAATTCGCAGAGTTCTGACCTTCAGCTACTGAACAGCGAGGGATAACTATTCCATGCATAGTTATATCAATAAATCAGGGAAGTCCCAGACGTCATGTGTCAACGTTGATATTGAAGCTAAAGTACAAAGGCCATGCACTGACATTGGTTGGTGGCTTATGCTTGTCGTCTCCAGTAGCTGAGCAACTTGACCCAATAATGTATGACACTCGATATGTCGTGCTGTAAGCTATGTCTGTGCTTTGTGCAGGGTCGAGCGGTTGAGATGTGCGCCGCCATACACATCTATAATGAACTGGAATCAGTCATGATAATCCAGCTATCGCAGTTGCTCCTTAGAGCAGCAATCTATCGTTGGGAGTAAACAGGGTCGTGCGATGCGATACCATATCTGTTACTTTGGCAGTATGCTGCAATAACGACTGCTCCACAAGGGTCAAATACCAGGGTTACTGGGGAGCGTTCTAAAACCTGCATGCAATACCAATTTTGAGTACAATCGCAGAAAGATCACAGCGCAATGATGATGGGGAACGTACCTGCCCAAAAGACTCAAGTCGTTGCAATGCTGCGGCTAAGAGATCGGTAGAATCAAGCGGCGTGAGATGAGCGCCCAAATGGCGCGTGCGCCACTGGCGTTCTGACAGATGTGTGACCGAACACGTCTCGTAAGGCGGGTCACCGTTTGTTTCTAGTTCCACAAGTCAACAGAGGCACTGAGTGGAACAACCATACTTCCGGTCTATGAATATTAAAATAACTGGTTGCCGGCACGTCAATAAGATACAGAAATAGCAAAACGTGCTTATCTGATAAGCTTCGCAGGAACAACATGAGTGCTGCAGCTGCTGACAAACATACACGGTCACACGAAGTGGCCGTGTGACCCCTGATCAGCCAACAAATGAAATCGAGAACATCCGTGCTTGTCATAGTCGGGGTTGGTTTTTAGATCGCCTCGGATTCTTCATCGTCTTTTCATGTCTCAAGAACCGATATGCTCATTTCCGGAAGAGTAAAGGGGATTTTCGTCTGACCCACGTCGACCAGACGGTGAACACGGCTACAAAGCCCCGCCAAATGCTACCAGATATGAACGTTGCAAATCAGAAAATGTCATCGTCTTTTCATGCCGCAGGAGCAGACGCGCTAATTGCCGACAGACCCAGGTAAACCTAGTAAACGGGATCTTCGCGAGCCATGTCGGCTGGACGATGAACACGGCTGCAAAGCCCCACACAACGCCATCAAATATGAGCATCGCAAACGATATAGATCAGAAAATATTGATCGCCTTTTCATGTCACAAGAACAGATGCGCTAATTTCCGAAAGAACCAGATAAACCTGGTAAATGGGATTGTTATATGGTGGTCCATATCGGCCAGATGGTGAACACGGCTACAAAGCCACATCCGACGCCTATGAGCAGTGAACATGGTGACGAAGCCATCCACCGCCACTGGATAGAGCATTGCAAACGATGCCGATCAGAATTGTGGGAGGATACTGCGACGAAAAATACATGTCATTAGCCTGACATCAATCTATGAACCAGAAAAATCATGAACCTCCGCGTTAACAGCATGGGTCACATTATTAGTTGCTCCACTCTGAACGTTGACTGCGTCGTTGGAGCCATGAACGAACCTAATCAGAATCCGCAGCACACGGTGAGAAGGAACAGTTTTTGGTAAACCTCGCGCAGTAGTTGCGGTCCTGTTCGGCCAGTACCGAGAGTATCAGCGATTCAATCGCAAATAGAGTTGTTAGGAACGTGGCAATCGTTATGACTGCCACTGCGAGCTTGCCTAAATCCACGGCAGGAACATTGTGAAAGCTGTAAGTGTCACAGTCGACTGAACTCGCGCCCATTACGAACACATGAAAGTTTTTGATAAACCTTGCGAGTTAACGGTTCTGTTCGGCCAGGACCGAGACTATCAACGATTCAACGGCGAATAGAGTATGCAGGGACGTGGCAATAGTCCTGACTGGCAATCGCCAGCTTGCCTAGATCCACGGCTGGAACTTCATCGAGAAAGCTGTAAGTATTACCGTTGACTGAATTAGCGCCCATTACGAAGTGAAACCGCTCAGTATTGGATAGTCACCAACTCAGGAAGTCCGCGGCTTGAGCGACCCAGACGTTCCATGTGTACCGCTGGCGAAAAGGATAGGGTACACGGAACGGATCCGATAGGGCTCAGAAGCATCGTTCTCATAAACGGACCGCTCCGCATTAAGCGCTCACCTCGTTGGTGGCAAAAGTTGAAGAATTAGATTTCGCGATGTGAGTAATCACATGGGTGGAAGAGTCGTGAGTGACTGCATTTTGAGATCCACGCCTGGAACGGCGAGAAAGGTGATTTCCATTACAAGCACCACAGTCTACTGAATACAAAAATCAACAAATATTTCAAACGGATAAAAACCACCCACATGATTTGTAGGACACATCTACTCAACTAAACATGCAGCTCATCGCAAAATGAATAGAAGTTCACGGTTCGACGATCCAGGCCCTCGTAGGCCAGCCATGTGTATCGCTGGCGAGCCGAAAAAGATAGGGCCCACAGCTTGGATCCGATGGGGTTTAGAAGCATCGCTCTCATAAACAGGCTGGTCCGCATTAGGCTCTCACTTCGTTAGTGACAAGAGTTGAGGAATTTCACTTCCACCGACCGATGTGAAGAAGCGCAGATCAGGGCATGGGAAAGGCACGAACTGAATAGACTGTCGTATGAGGGCTCGTTCGAACATCAGTGGGTTTCCAAGGTACCTGTTCCGCATGGTTATCTTACCGAGACGCATGTAGAATGGGGTTCGGCAGCGTCAGCAATATTCCCTAGAACTCGAAAATGAGCAAGCTACGCCGTACGAGAACAGTAAAATGACAAAGCCCATCAGCATCGAGGATTCTGCCGTCTCTTCGCTTGCGAACGGCGCTAAGGAGGGATCGGAAGTGAGATATTACTGGTTATTTGAATCAAGCTAGATCAGACGTGAATGATTACACGAGGATGACAGCGCTAGCATGTACAACCAAACTCTGGGGCTCTTTAAACGAGCCTTTTTTCATTTCGAAGTGCATCCTGGAGGGGGGTCGTAAGACGCATTCATGAGCATGACTCTGTTATTAAGGTAAACTTTAAAATTAGAGGAGAAAGTTCGAAATCGTCTACCCGAAATACGCAATGCGCGCACGGGAGCCGAATTGTTACTTCTGTAATCGAGTCTTAGTAGGCCAAGGCGAAACACAAAGAGATATGACTTAGCTTCACGACACCCTTCACTTTCATAAAGATCTGGTCCGTATGATTGCTCGGGAGCCAAAAGACGAATCGCTTTCTCCGGTCAATTAAGTAACCGCAGATCTCCTCGCCACCGGTGATAGGTGGTGCAAGGGCAAACGGATATGACTTATCGCCATAACACCCTTGAAATTCGTAAGATCTGGTCTGTAGATTGCTCAGGAGTCAAAAAAAAACAAATCGCTTCCAAGTAGCCGTAAGCCCCCTAACGAACCCAAGGACGAGTTCGATATCGTTGGTGAGCACCAAACCCCAGGTACGAGCAAGCCCAAAGACCCGAAGAGGTCACCACTGCTATCTGAGATATAGATTGGAGATTGCTCGCTATCACACTTGCTGTTCCGATCCTTCCTATTCGAATAGTTATGTCCAGTATTGAAATGCGAGTGTAAGTTCTGGATGAATGTGTATAATTGGTCGCAGAGACAGATCGCAGAGCGGAACGATAAAAATGGATGGCTTGACCACTTCTTCGGCAAGATAGGGGGGCGAGAAGTTTCCAAAATGAGCGAGCGGCGAGCGTTGTTGAACAGTACTTGAAACGATCGTGCGCAAGAAGTTCCTGCGCGCTAAGATTAGAAGTGCCATCTCTGCGACACCCCAGGCATGTTCCTCTTCAGAGAGTGATGTTCAAAATGGAAAACGGAAATCTAAAAGATGAATCTGTATAACAAGTTGGTCGCAAAAATTAGGTGGTACAGAACGCGCTCACGACAAGCTGAACGACAGACGGATAGTGCAGCACTGCAGTAAGATTGAACGATTCAATTGAAAGCCGAGGAGTTTCCAAAACGAACCTGCAGGATTGTGACCACTGTTGAAATTGGGTCCAGGCCCCAGGGTCAAGAGTACGAACGTGTACGCAAAAAATGCCTAAGCGCCTAGTCGATGTTTCGTGTTCAAAGAACGAGAAAAAGGTTGTGTTGGAACTTGGCCCAGACTGCCCAGTTGAAGCTGCTTTCCAAATGCAGGAATAAGAGGGGGTCACAGTTCACTTGAGTCCAGGATCTTAGATGGTGAGCACTAAACATTCCGGACAAGACAAACACAGGATCTAATACACAGGTTGTTCTAGCAGCATCAATGTGCGTGAAAGCCGGGAAAGCCAAGTCCACCTTCTGATGCGATGACAAGCACCTACCTCCTCCGGCCAAAGCTCATCCCCACAAACTCCGTAGAAACAGCCCAAGTCCGCTACATTTAGACTCTACCAGCCCCTCGAAGACCTCTACATCTTTACCAATTAACAAAGCGTCCAATACCCTCCATCTCTTCGCACGCGTCGTGTATGGTATCTCCCGCACCGCCGACGAGCGTGAAGTTCAGAAACCTAGTGCTGCTTGTTGCTTTTGATGAGGCCGTGAGCATGGCGTATCTGGAACACGTCAATCTCATATAGGTGAGGAGTACATCGGAGATGGAGAGTCATGAATAGACGATTTACATAAGATATCATTGCAAGGGTCAATTTACCTCCGTAAAACTCACTCATTTTATGACAGAACAGCTCAAGCGTCGTGCACGCCAACTCGAGCTCCAGTGCTGCGAACAGCAAAAGCGTGCTGCAGTGACTAGCATGAGGAGGCAGCTCTTACCTTGGTGGGGCAT